TTTTCAATCTTATACTTCCAACTTTCTATTCAAGTTCCAATCCCTGGTTAAGAATGTGGAAAATGAAAAAGTTTCTGTCACGCTTCGAGTGAAATTATAAGCAGATAACTACTAGTTTTTCTCTCGACTGATTAAAGTTTTCAAAATAACTTCTAAAAGTTTTATTAACATCGATAGGTTTTAATGTAAGTTGAGGAATGATGTCGAGTTGTTCATGTTGCTTTCTCTGAATGTCTCCGTGTAATAAATTTAAGTCTTGACACGTAGAAAATTAAGAAGATCTTCCAAGTTCATATTACCCCCTCATACGTAGGTACATTTAATAACAAGGAAGAAGACAACAAGTCTCTTTGATATGGGATCGAAATAATGAACACGCTAACACACACAAAGAATCTTCTTTTTTTGTGGGGATTCGGAATAAATGAAAATTAAGATGAATAAACGAATGCTTGGGTCGGTGGAGGGAAAAGGACGAAAAGTACGTGACAGTTTTTCGATAACAGCAGACAAAAATTCATTTTCATTCGCTTTTGTCTTCGTCGCAATGATCAATTCTGAATGCTTTTCAACAACGTAAGACATCAAAATATCTTTACAGCATTTTATTGGAAAATAAAATTCGAATACTTAAAACATTTTTCGTCTAGTGAATATTTAATTATTATCATTAATGTGCAGCTGCCAATTGCCAAATCGACGTCTTCAGACATCGAGACGTTAATTTGCAATGATAGCTGATTGAATTTATTGTAAAATAATCGATGTTTGAATTTTTGTCATTGACGAGATGATAAAAATACAAACAAATTTATTTAACGACGTTATCGCAATCTTATCTTGTTATGAAAATATTTTCGATAAAAATCAGGAAAACGATTTCAGTTTCGATTAAACTGTCATCAATTGAACATGGTGAAGTTTACGGGTTATTTTCACAACAATCTTGAGTTCGGACATGTCGTTATCTTAGGCGGAAAAATTAGGGAAACTGCCGGGAATTTCACGCTCAATTTACTCAGTGAAGACGATTCACTCGACGTCCCACGGAACATTCCCTTCCACATGAATGTTGTTTTCGGTGAGAATGGACAAATCATTCGAAATACTAAAATTCATGGCGAGTTTGGAGCTGCTGAAAATGCAAGCGGAATGTTCACGAACGTGAAAAATCCACTAAAGTCAGGTGAAAATATTTTAAATCAGAACTTATCATCATAAAGTTAGTTATGCAATGGGGAAGATAACGAAAAGTAATAAATTTCTTTATCAGGAGAGGCTTTTACAATTTATATTCTTATTGGAGTCGATCGCTTCCACATCGGTATTAATAGCATTCATTTCTGTGATTACATTTTCCGATCATCAGTGAAGCGCATCATATCTTGTCAGGCAAGAAGTTTCAATCTTTGTGTTGAGTTCCAAATTAATTTTGTTTGTTGTAGCTTGTGCACGATGTTGAGAAAGTCACGCAATTTGATCATCGAAAAGTTTTTCCATTTTCTTATCCAGTTTATCAAACACGTTTGTTGCCAAATCTGCGATTCTCGAATGATGTTCCAACGCCATTTTGTCAGGGAAATGTCATTGTTTTAAAAGGAAGCGCTGGTGGGAATCCGAACGGATCATTCACATTGAAATTTCTTGTTGGAAAGACAGAAATGCAAAGTTTTCACATGGATGTGAGATTTTCTGTGAAGAAAGTTTTCCGAACCAATTCAGTTAACGATAATGTTGTGTAAGTTTCAATTCTTTGTTCTTAAGTTAACAACATTCAACCGACTGAGACATTTTAGATTAAATTTAGCTGATGCAGAGACTTACGGAGGATTTCCATTTGAATTTGAAAAGATATTCAAGATCGCTTTAGGTTTCGAGTCGAATGGCATTCGAGTATCTGTAAATGGAAGTTTTTTCTGTGAATATCCTTACACAACTCGTCTGACGTCTTATTCAGGTCTTAAGATACGCGAGAAAAACGATTTGGTCTTACATATTTTGGAGATTCAACACTTTACAGTTGATAAGGACTTACGCAACATGGATTTGTTGTCAAGGTTACAGAAGAGATAAAGGAATTGATAAAAGTAAAATATTTATGCTTGAGTGAAGCATAAAACATAAAATTAATTTGTACTTTTATGATAAATAAAATCATTAACTCAATTTAACTTCAATCAAAGTCTCGAACTTCATTAACAAGATTTTATTTGTAAAGTTAAAGTTCACGACACCAAACTTATTTTCCAATCTGCTACATAACTTAAGCAGATACATCGAAGTGAATGGATATTTAAATAAATTTATTCCGTTCTCCATTTTCAGGAAACGAGAATAAAATGTGAGAAGATTCGATTTTTAAAAATAAAACAGAAACTTTTTCTACATGTTTGCATGTTATCTCGAATAACGTCAGAAGACAAGACATCGACTAGAAGCTATTATGCAAATGTTCAGCTATAAAAGAATCTTTATTCTTGCTTCTCTTCTCATCTCGAAGCGAAAAGCTTTGAGATTTATTCTCGATTGGAATGTATGGAAGTTCCATGATGAAGCGCTTATCCTTATAAACTTCATCGAAGAGATTCTCATTCGTAAACATTTCCCCCGAAGCTTTGATATTTTTAAATGTATCGACTTTGCAGGAAAAAAACACACAAAAATCGATTGTTAGATGAAATTCGGGGTAACGCGTCCCAAACGCATGTTAATGTCCATAAATTTCAATTGGTCTACATGGAAAAATTTGATTTTCTTCTGCACTTATCTACAAGTTTCCCTAAATGGAAAATGTTCTTCAACAATCTAAATAAATACGAAGGGGAAGTTGGCAAAGTTCATCTTGATAGAAAACGAATAAAATTTTTGTATTTTTCTTTGATAATTCAATTATTATACTCTGATGAACTTTAATAGACATGGAAATGAACAACAAAGCACTTTCAGTCACACACAACCAACAAGCAATGAACACCAACGATAATCGAATCAATAAATCAATCGAAGGCAATTTAGGAAAATTTTCTACGCCATGAAAATAAACTCGCACTTTATGGATAAGTCATTAATCATTAGCTTCAATCTCGATGCTTAAACGAAGTTATGTACATCAGTCGATCACAAACGAATGAACATGAATCAGCAGAAAAGAAATTTGTCAAAATTAATTAGAAAAGACAATTTGACTAAACTTTAAAGTTTCCTTTTTTGGAGATAAATTTATTTAAAACTTTAAGTTTCTCTCCTTCCTTCCCTTTTGTTTATGTAATTAAATTCTATCGCAGAATAAAAGTAAGTCAAACTCAAGACATTCAAGCATGATTAATAGTTTCGAAATTCCAAACATCACTGAATGAAAATTTCTCAACTTCTTCCCTCACTTTCACATTAATTCCTGAAGCTTATCGTACAACATTAAGTAATTGAAGTTTACCTGTTTGTGTTACGTATTATGGAATGTAAGTTGTAATTTAAGAGATTCAGGAAAGTTTTCATACTCACTAGGGGATTTCAATATCGCGCCAATCTATGTTAAGAAAAGGAAACCTTAACGTGATTTCCCCCCGGTTAGGTTGAAGCTTCAATTTACTTCAGACAAAACGGAACTTGGAGATTTTATCTCTGATTAAACTCTCTAAATACAAATTTAAAGCAGTCTTGAATGTCACGAAAAATTTGTCATACAAATAAATCAAAGTGAAGTGAGTGGGAGAAGTTAAAACTAAAAATGGTTTCGATCATTCATTAAGTAGAATTGTAGGCTGAAGAATAATCATGATGATGATAAAGCAATTTCTCAAAGGAGATTACGTGACACTTTTATAGAAACAGCAAACAGCAGACACATTTCTCTGTCTAGCTGTAATTTTATTGCTTCTGTATAAAGTTTATTTAAAATGTTAATGAGTGGGACAGTCAACATTAAATGATCTCATTATGAAATGAAAATAGTTTGGATATATGACAATTAACAGAACTTAACTTGAACATTTGAAAACTAAGTTGAAGTATGAAAATATTTTGTAAATTAATCTGAAAGTGTTTCTGCCATTGTGGATTTTAAATTTTAATTAAATTATCTCTTAGGCAGCAACACACACATTTGAGCAGCAACATTAATATACAAAACGATTCTGTTGGGAGTTTTTTCGTGGGGGAAAAGGGTTGAAAATTAAGATTAAAGCAATTAAGTCGAAATGATGTGGAGCTTTCTTCATGGTGCAATGAGCGTTTCATGCTGTCAATGATTATGTTGTAAATTTATTTTTTAATGTTTAAGCATTAGGAAAGACGAACGAAAGCGAATGCTTCCTCGACTCAATATCATTTAACATCAGATGTGAATAATAGCTCAGCTCTACAATTCCAAACATTAAACAAGCATCTTTGTAATGTTTTAATTTTTTTTTATTTTTTCGCTGGTTGTGCTCATAAAATTTAATTAACACTTTAATGGTTTACATGTTTTTGGAAAAGCGAACATTTTTATCGCAGTTGAAGGTGCTTTATTAATCACCTTGGGAAAACTGAAACTTTATTTTCCTTCTCGTAGTTATCGTGATGAAGGAAAACTTTTCTTTGAAACTTTAGGCATGAAAGTCGAATGTGGTGTGATTAATTGCAATTGGGGCAGAAATCTGTAGTCGTCAAAATGATGGACTACAAGAAGCCGTCGAAGGAAGCAGCTAACGTTGTGAGATATTTCACGAGAAATAATTGTGGCTGACAAGAGTGACATGATGATGAAAGGCAAGTGTCAAATGTAGGTGAAACGAAAATATGTTTATTCACCATGAGCCCATTTCATGAACATTCCTTGTCTTACATCGCTAAGTTCAGACATTTTGACTTGGGTTAAATTCACATCACAGAGCGTGAACATGTTTTCGACGACATCTACTGGTTGTATTGTGTCAGAAAGCAAGCGAAAAAATTTGTTATCAAAAAAAAGAAAATCCTGAATCAATTTGTTCGTTCTCTGTCGGTTTTTGTATCGCAAGAGAGATTTTTATAAAGTAAAAACCATAATAAACTTCAGTTGATATTTTCTTGTAAACGGAAACGGAAGGAAGGAAAACTTTTGTTGAAGACTTTTCACGTACACATTTTTCTTTTTCTATTCTCTGAAGTGTTAAGTCGAGTGAGTTACGAGAGGTTATCAAGTTGTTAGAAATCTCGATAGGATTAAAAAATAATTTCAACATTTCTAGGATTCTTAAAAACGTTTGATTGCTTCTTTTAATCTCGCATGTGCTTTAATCGAATCATAAAAAAAGTGTTGTCAATAAATTATATCAAAAATTTTCACACAGACATCGTTACATTTATCCGGATAAATATTCCACGTCTGTTGCAGAGAGAAAAAGGAAAATCTTTAAGGAAGCAAGAAAGCATAAAGAAAAGAAGGAAAATCTTATGCACATTTATCATAAAAGGGAAAGAAAAAGTGAGATAAATTTTTCATGTCTAAATTTTTGTGTTAGTGAAGGGGCTTTGGATAAACTTTCGTCCCGTCCCGTTCTCATTCTTCGACTGCTTGCAGACGAGAATGTGAAAGAAGTTGACAACATCCCCACAACATTTTGATTATGTGATTGAATGTTAATCTAAAACTTGCCATTACATTGATACGTTTTGCGCCCTCCCATTGAATTGATTGGTAATTTTCTTAAATTATATAAATTTGCTAACATATTTTCCAATAGAAAAGAAAAAGAAAAGCAGCGGGAAATGTAAAAGTTTCCCAATAATTTTTTACGATGTTTCCTGATCAAAATTTATGATTTTTCGTTGGCTTTTGTAGAATTCCTTGTGAGAATAAAATTTACATGCAAGCATAAAATTTCCTCCGTTATGAACTGAAATCTCATCATGACGCAAAACATTGACAGTTTTATTGTTCGGCATGATCGTGATATTGAAATCGAAGTACTTCGTCTTTATCCTTTTATTGCCACATTTTATGCAAGCCAAAATTTTTGCTTCCGTTTCAACTTGAACATGCTTTCAGTTCTGCTGCAAACACATGCTGCTGATGAGATTGAATGAATTGAATCGCATATGTGATGGCGAGACGTGTAGGTTGGAAACAATGACTAATAAATTGTTGTTATGTTGATTTAAGCATCGAACGACTTATTATTTATTTAACTCTAACTGCTGATGATTAAAATAAAGAAGCTTTAAGTCTTGACAAAAATAAGTCACTTACGACTGTAATAACATGATTAACATTTTCTATTCAAATGATTTCTAAGCTTTTCCTACTTATTTAGCGACTGCTTTTAAATCCACCGACTCGGAAATTATTCCAACGTTTCAATTAAGTTTATGGTCGAAGTCATAAACACAAATTTATATTTATTTTTATTTTCTGAAGCGAATGGGAAAGAAAACAGGAAGAACAGAAGGAATAAAAGAAAGCAGGAAGAGAGGATTGTGAAATGCCATTGCATTTTCCACAAAATTTTCAGGGAATTAATGAATGTCATAAAAATAATTTGTAGCATAAAAACACCTCGCGCAGTGTCTTAATGAACATAAAGTGAGTGGAAATTTACACAGAAATTTACTTCTTATGCGCTAAACATCCCCTCAGAAAAGTTCATTAAATGTGTGTCGTTGTTTGTGTTGTCGTCAAACAGTGAAATAATTGAAATTTTTAACATGACGATACATGAAGAGCTCGTTATTGTCTTCTTACATCCACCATACACCTGTGAGAAGCAAGGAAAAAGCAATTTAAGAATTACGGAGGTTTCACGATGTCTTATCGACACAAAACATAATTTGATAAGAATCATTGTCGGTCTCGTAATTCAGTTTGCTTTATTTCCATCATTTGTTGACTTGACATTCACGAGAAATTGAAACAAATGTAAGAAAGAAATCTAAATGAACAGGAAGCGCTTAGGTTTGCGGAAGTGGATCATTTATCCATTTTCAGCTACGCAATCAATTTCAAAGCTTACTTCGAACCCCTACGAGAATATTTCAAGTGTCTTTAGTGTTACGAAAAGCGAAACAAACATTCATATCGAAAGTACATAGAATTATGAATGGAAATTCTTTCCCCATAAAACATTTATGTTTCACGACTAAAAACCATAATGACATAAAGTCACGAATATTTATCCTTTCATAAGCGATAGATTTTTGTCGCTTTCGTTTACAAATGACTATAAATAAATATTATCGATAATGTTGCATTCCTTTTGTTTATGATGAAAAGTTTGTTCACCCTTCGATGCAGCTTTGAATGATTTCAATTCTCATACAAATTTCGCTAAGCTTAGCCAACTAATAACTGCACCATGTTGATTGATCTGATTGAATTTTATTACTTCCTTTAAAGCATTCAACAAAATTCATCTTTATAAAAAGAAATCTTTCAAATTTCTTTTCCTTTTCTTTTATTTATTTATTTATCTCTCGGCAGCGATTCGAGACATCGACAGAAAGTTATTATGCAAATACCGAAGCTATAAAAGAAACTTTATTGCTTAAAAAAAGAATGAAATGCGTAAATATTTATTTATTTCGCTTCTCTTTCTTTTATACATGTATCAACGTAAGTATTTGAGTATTTTTGGGGAGCGTCAGCGAATGAATTTCCCCGAAATTGTTCTCCGCAAAGAAGCAGCGTATTGCAGATTAACTTGATAAATTCTCTCACTTTTTATGGTTGGCAATTCTGAGCACGTTCCTTGGCTCCCCTTTTTATTGATGAATCAAAAGCTCATTTGCAGCGGAAAACAATTTTTTTTGTACTTTTGAAAAAAGAAGAAAGGAAAAGAAAGGAAACGGCGAGAAAAAAGTTTTTCATTAAACGCGATGTTATCGTTGAATAAATTTCTGCAGTTTTTGTCTGTTTGTTCGTTTGTTCGTGAGTGCATTGCAGTGAAAGGTGACGAAGAAAAAAAACACTTCCGTTTAAAACACTTTTATGTTGAAAGATGTTGTAATCACATTTAAAAGTTTGCAAAATGTGCTTTAATTCTTAGACTTAAACTGCTGAAATTTCATTCCCCTTCATCTCCTCCTCTTATTTCTCTGAGATAAATATCGTTCGTGAGGTTTTCGTTTTACAGATTAACAGCAGAAATAAAACTTAATGCTTTTCGGGAAAACAAAAAAAGAAAAATTATCGAAAGCCTTTTACAACTTTAAAGTCTTTAATGGGATTTAGGGTTCTTTGTCTCACTCACACTTAACAGAAACAGAGAGAAACAAGAAATGGAAAGGCAACCAACCAACATCAAGCCACAAATGCGTATACAATTCCAATTTGAAATCAAGAAACTTTATCAGAGACGAGATGTTCCGAGAGTCGGAAGAAAAAGTTTCAAATGAAAGCGCAATAAATTTTATATTTTTTCCACTTTTTGCTGGGGGATTAAAAATCTACTTTTACTAGGAATTACATATAATTCGACAATTCTTTCCTGTATTCAGTATCGGCGGGGGGCGAGAGTTGAGATGAAAAAAAAAAGCTGGCGTAAAATAATGAACTAATAAATCACGGTGTCAATACCCTCGAGATGGAAGGGGAGTAAAGAAGAGGATGATTTAAACGTGACTAGATATTTTAGCTTTCCTTCTCTCTCCGTTAGCGGCTCATTCGTTACAATTTTAAGGCTGAGATTTTCTTTCTTGTCTTTAAATTGTTTGATTTTTTTGTTTGCTCTTTAATTCTGGGTAGAGATTAGATGCAGTACTAGAATTTATAGAAATATGTAGTGGAATAATTTCTAGTACAACATTCACCCTGCTTCACAATTCTTTTTAAAAGGCTTTCAAGAAAGCACAAACATGACATATCAACAGTCGTCCCTTTCTCTAACACTTCAGACGTGCCAAATGTAAGCGCACGATATTTAGACCTTCATTTGAAAGGAACATTTCATGGCCTTAATATTTGGTATTATGCTTCAAGCTACGAAAGGAAAAGCATAAATTTTGAATGAATGCAACATACTGTGATGAAAATTATGCAAATGAATTTTCCATTGATTTTCCATTTTCATCTTGTTCGTTTTCAGAAATTTCGAAAGCATAATGTTGATGTAAAATGATGAGAAATCAACAGCGCGTGTACCATTAGTCGGAGAGAATGTCAGACAGCAAGAAATTATCAGCCCAAGAAACGATTCAGGTGAGTCAATGAAGCGAATCTTTAACATATTAAAGTCATTGTCAAAACATGTGACTTCTTAGCCTGATGAAACTCCCAACGATAAAAGTTGAATGAAATTCGGCGCATGCCGGTGTTTGGTTTGATTACATTTTCATCTTATTTTTATTTTACTCGGCACAGTTTTCTGCCGTGAAGTCTTTTGGGAATATGTACAAATATCGAGTCAGCAGAAGAACACAAATTTGTACTTTCCTCAAATGACTTTCGTGTTGTCTGTTAGCAGTGCTACATGATTTTCGTTTTTCTTATTCCTTCATAATGAATTTTTCAAGAAGACAACAAAATTTCCCCTTTTTCTTCTTTTCAAATGAAAACTAAGCCAAGTTGGAATAAACAAACGAACAAATGATTGCTCGTTCTCAAGAGTTCTCAAAAAAAAACAAAAACTTTCTTGTAATCTTCAGATCAAGTGAAATCTCAACTGATAATTGAAATGAGATTGTTTTGAAAGTTTTCTTCTCCTTATTTTTTGTTCATTGTTTGTTATCTAGAAAAACTTTCTTTTCTTTTTGTTTCATTTATTCGCTATGTCCTTTTTAATTTCTTGATTACTATCAAGAAAGTGTTTAAATATCCTTGCTGCGTCAAATTGAATGAACTGTTTGATATGCTTTAAAAGACTTTACGCTAAATATTTAATTAAGTTCATAGGAGATTACTTTCTTTGTCAGCAAGAAACAATTCAGTGCTATTAAAAACGACATTTCAGATAAAACAGATAGTTGAAAAACCTCATCAAATTGAAAAATACAAAAAATTACAATCGATGAAAATCGCAAAAATCTTAAAATTTAATCATTTTACTTGAATAAAGAAATTTTCTATGAAACTCTGCTTTACCGACATAAGTGAAGTTGGTTGCGGAAGAATGAAAATGGTATAAAAATCGCCTAAATGTATGCGATACATTTTCTTCTCCTTAAAGTTATGCAAATAATTCTTTTAAAACGGAAGAATCATAAAATTGTCATAAAATATTTTACGGGTTTTTCATTCAAAGACTTAATAAAAAATTTTTGAGTGAAACTAATGCAGGTGGTTGACTCATTTATGTAACAATTGCAAACCTACTTGTATATAAAAATTATTAGGCAGGCTTTAGAGTTTTATGGCTAAAAGGACATGAAAATTCTTTTCTTGGTGCTATTTTTCACAACTTTTATTCTTCTCCTTTCGTTGGATCATAAACACTTTCTACATAAATAATAAGCTTCTCCTTCCTGTTTACTACTAAAGAAAAGTACCAATTGATATTCTAGCAACACCCTTACTTAGATACCTGCAAAGGAAGCTGAAAAATCAACATCAATATCTAATTATTTTGCACCCAAAAGGAAATCAGGTCATTCAGGTATCAAATATCATTGAGTTTAGTCATTCAAAAATGAAAATCCCTCCATCAATTCCCCCATGAAAAGTTTGTTGTTGTTGATATTTGAATGAAACAATTTTTTTAGCCAATTTTCGCCTTATCAGTTCAATAATCTATTTTTTCTGTTTATTTTGTTCCACTCGCTTCATCGTAAAATGAAGAGAGAAAATTTATATAAAAAGTTGAATTTTCATCGGAATGAATCATCAAGTTTCAGTTGCGTAATCCAAATAACGTCGGGATTTTCCCTCAATTGTGAAGATGTGAAAATTTATGTCGGGAAATTTTGTAAAGGGAAGAAAGTAGCAATCGAATGATATTTTGTAACCTTTAGTCAATTGTGTAACATCCTGGCTCACTCCCTCGCTTTTCTCATCATGAATGTATGAAAATCACCTAAAAAAAATTAAATTTCAGCAATAATCTCAAGGAAATTCAAAAAAGTCACGTTCACGATTCAAAAATCTTTTTTGTTTGCACAAGAAAATCGAGATTAGAAATTTTTTTCATTAATAAATGGACGTCGACAAGTTCATAAATCAAAATTATGTCATTTATTAAATCATAATTGCGATAAGAATCAAAACGACTTGCAACCCTTTAAATTTGATTTTCATCACCACTCACATTGACGGCTCATGCTTGAATAATGAAATTATGATGTTGGTCTGATTGCTCAAGTGGATGGAGACTAAATCAACATATTTCATTGCCCATTTACATTCTTAATTTTTGCAATCTAAACTCGAATTATATGATCGCAAAAAAGAGAAAAAAGAATGAAGTCGGGAGAAGTTAAAAATGTTATGTTGTTCTAAGTGTTACTCAAGTGTTCAATAAAATGTTGAGTAGAAAAATTCCTGCAGCAGAAATTTAATGACATTTCAGCAAGAATAATTCTCGTTCGATGCGTTCGACTGGGAAATTCCACAAATTTCTTTCCTAAAAAGTCAAGAGCAAAAATCTTTCCAACTGGGACGTCGCACTTCAAATTTCAACAACTGGGAAAAGCAAAGAAAAAAAAAGTTTCACCCTTCTTCCCTCGGTATCAAAACACTTATTGCGTTCAGTTATGTAAACAATCATGCAAGGAACAAAATGTGAGGGTTTCTTGCTGTTTCCATTTAATCATATTCATGAAATTTTATACATGCTGCTTTTAAAAACCTAAACTAGATTGAGAGTTAAAAGAGAAATTGAACCCGAAAGAAAACAAAAATTATTTTATTGACGTTTGCCCTTTGCCATCAGCTTATAAATTGCATTTCAATTTAGAATTACGATGCTTTGCACTCTTCAACTTAAAGTTGGAATTTCATCACGAGATTGCATTACAATTTGGTTTGTTTGTGTCTGTAAATTTGGAAAAGTTTTTCCTACTTCTTTCGAGGGTAAAATAAATTGACAACTTCAAAAATTCACTTTCATAAAATTACTTTTGAATTCAACTTCAAGAAAATTTAGCGAAAAAAAAAAGTTTCCGAGAACACGACAACATTAATGTTTTATTCATGCAACATTACTTTACCATTTCTTATATTTATTTGTCAGCTGAAAAAGGGTAGAAAAGCTCATTTGAAATTGGAATGAAGAAGGCAAGAGAAAAAAAGAAAATTCTTGTAAAAGTATGCAAATTTTCAGTTGACACATTTTTCAACTTCTTTCAAAGTTTGAAGGCATTTGTTGATAATGTTGGAAAGTTAACTGTGCTAAGAATGTCAATTTTACAAGAAATATATAAATAAGAATTGGAAAGGAAACAGATGATGTTATTTAGAATATTTAAAGTTCTTTTAAGAGAAAACTTTATTTGTAAGGAATGTCAACTCTGCATTTCTTACAGTCAATTGAAGCCAATGAAGAAAATGAAAGTCAACATAATACGGAAAAAAATCGATAAAATGAAAATCGAAAGCAATCTTTCCCTGTGATGGCAAACAATCTCATGAGCTCATTTCGGTGATCATAAAAGTGTAACAGAAAAGGACGAAAAAGAAAAGAAAACACTAAAACGTAAAACATAACGAGAGAAAGTTAATTAAGCTATCATAATATTGACATCGATTGCCAAAAATAAATAGAAGCGAAAGCGATATAAACACTGGAAAAGAAAGAAAGTTTACTCGAACATCTCATGACCCTTCTTGAGTTGAAATCTAATTTTAAGAAAGAAAGTTTCCTTCACTTACGGCTCGATTTCATCTCATTTCATTTCTATTCCATCAAATTTGTTTGCTTATTCAATCAAAGTAAATAAATAAATTATGATCTACCTAGAAATGAATCTTATCTTCTATCTTTAGAATATTATTTATGATTAGTGGATTGGAATGAAAAACCGTTGGAAATTTTTAAATATTTTCGAATATCTTAAAAAATCCTTCGAAGTTCTAAAACTCTGGAAAACTTTGTACTAAAATATTTCAACAAAAATCACTCAAATAAAATTCAATTTGAGGTTTCCAATAAATTTTCAACTATACTTCATGTGCATTGAATTGTAATTTATTTATTGGAATTTGAAGAAGCTACAAAGAAAGAATGTTGAAGTTACGGTCGTTCGTCCATTGAATCGAATTAATCCGCAACCAAGAATCACCGTCGTTTATTGCTTTTCATACTTATAAAGTTACAACAATATGTGTTCAACCTCATGCTCAACAATGATGTTCATTTCTAAACAGGGGAGACGGTCGTAAAAACGACGTTGTGGAGTTGTCTGGATACCACATAGAACAGCATTCAGTTTTTATGACAACGGGAGCTTTTGTTTGAATAAATCGGAGCGCAGCGTCTTAAGTTGTTTGCTTCAATTTACTGCTGTAGAAAGCTTTTTACGACCTTTGAGAGTCATAAATAAGTGTCATGTGGTGAATTTTGTCTATTTATTAATCTCTTCCTTTGTTATCCACTAAGGTGAAGTCAAATGTAGAATCTTTTTGACGACTGAATCTCAATTTCTCTATTACAATATTAAATTACCGTAATCAGATGGAAAGCATGAAGTATAATGCGACCGACACACTCCACTCATAATTTTTTCCTCGGATATTTTATTTCTTTAATCACAAAATATGTTAAAGGCGGGGGTGGTTGTAAATACTTGTTGTCGTCATTCTTATTGTATTTTAAACATCCACACACCATGTTTATCGATCTTCTTCCTTCAACAACCCTCCTTAAGCTGACTTAAAACATTATTCTTCTTTACACTATTTAACAATAAATTATGTTGAGCTGAAAAATGAACAACAATTGAGGAAAACAAAGCGATAGTGAAAACATGAATCTGATATTGTTGGTATAAAAATATTTTAATGTATTTTCTTTTGTTGTTATCGAGTATTTGTCTACTTATCTTCAAGAATATTTGGATAACAATTCTTTATGATGATACCTTGGCAAGGGCGAAATATGATAGAGAATTTCCCCCACTCAATGATTCACGATATTAGCACAGGAAAAACATTGCCAAACCCAAAAAAAGAAAAAACCGGGAATGATTCACTCAATATCAACAAATTTTCCTCCATCGTCCCTTTTTCAGCTGTTGTGACATTTGGCGAGTAAGACGAACGACATCATTTTTCTAAAAATAGATTTTCCGCATGTTCAACCACCACGTGGATGTGAAGGATATTTTTGCTATGTTTGTGTGTGTTTTGTAGACTTTTCATTTATCCGGCGAAGTTGTGCGAGGATCGAATGCGCATAAAAGACGATAAGAAGGGAAATTTTTTATGTTGGAGAAAAGGAAAAGAAGAATTTCCTTCAGTCATCGTCGGTTCTTCAATCGTAGAAGTTTATTCTGGCACATTCTCTCGTCATTTTATTCATTCTCTTGTATAAAGCTTTTCAGACAGTAGTAGTTAGTAAGGAACTGTTGATGTCATAAAAATTTAGTGTTTTGTGTTCGTTTATGAGAAGCTGAAAAGTGAGGAAAAGAAAAAAAACTTTTTTTTATATCCGGAAATGGAAAAACCAAGAAAATTATTCTTCGTTATTGTATGAAACATAAAATCGATTGGATATCAATGACATATCAAAACGAATTGGATAAAATAAAAAATCATAAATAAAAAAGAAAAGTTTTACGACAAAAGTGAAGAAATAAAGTTTTAGCGAGAAATACTTGTGAAGCTAATTTGTAAAAAGTTCTTTCGACACTTTACATAAAGTGATGAGTCATAAAATCGCATGAAATTTACAGCTCTGTGGATTACCTCAAATAAATAACTCGCACCACGATGGAAAATCCCCCCAAAGGGAAAAATATGTAACAGGATAAACCGAAGGCGAAATAATTCATTTTTATGTGAACAAAACTTTTTTTTACCTCGTCTGTAAATATTTACAATTACATAAATTTTCCTTTCCTTAAATGCGGTGAAATAATTTTTTTCCTTACTGTTGTTGTTGCCGGAGTTTAAGTATGGAGAGATTTAAAATAAATAAATTTTTGTGTAAACCGAAAAAGGCCAATATGTGGTGGAGCAAGAAAAAAAAAAGATCCAAAAATTGGTCGAGAAATGTATAATTCAGTGAAAGTTTAAGGGGAAGGTGGAAGAGATTGAATGTGGATACGGACAATGTTTATCTGCCTTCGGGTCAAAGATTGCGTTTTCTACTAATTAATAGCAAATTTACTGTTCCATTGAATATTGTTGGAGTGCTTGAAAACACTCACAGTAACTCTTACTTGTTATCGTTTTCAAGTTTTAGGATACTGAAACGAAAATTACATTTCACCACTAAAACAATATAAATTAATGTGGAGCCATTAGTCAACCAAACAGTTTGCAATAAACGCCCGGGTTCATAAAACAATTTATCAAAATTTTATGGAACATTTCAGTTGTTTTTGTTGATGATAAGTAACATGTCATTGCAATATTTCATCGATGTTATTCGATTTGTGTTAAATCCTACAACAAAACATTCTTGAACGTTGTGAAAGTTCTAAACTCAGACAAGCAGAAAGTAATTAAAACTTTGAATATTTAAAAGGGAAAGAGAGTGTTGCGGAAAGTTTAAATTAATCTCGTTTATATTGCATTTGTAGATGGCATTTGCCAGCTTTTGTTAGTTGTCATATAAATGGGAAAACGCTGAGAGCTTTAGACACATAAACATAAAAGAAACCCCAATGATAATTACGAGATGGTGAACTCCTTTCAAATGAAGTTTTATGTGCTTTGCGATCTCTTGTGTGTCGGTTGTTTATCGTGACTTAAAAGCTTTGCATTATAACACACAAAAAATGGAGTTAAAAACGAACTTTAATATGAGCACATTAAGCGACACTTTTCCAAATATATTTTCACTCTTTGAAAGCACTTTACGTATTAAGTTGAAGTTCGTGTTCATTCGTTTCTCATTTTAATTTATGAGCTGTTGTTTTGAAGCTTTATTTGGACATCAACATTCTCATTAATAAACCATGAAATCACATGTGAAAGTTCGTACACTTAATTAATCATTTCGCATCTGTTCTCATTATAACATTTTCATAATTCTCGACGGTATTCTGCTTAAAGCTTTTTCTCTATCTTCACTGTTGAATGTCAGCAAAACTTATCAAAATAAAAAACTTTTTTCGTAATCAGAATTAATAACAAGAATATGAGGCAGCAGTGGAATGAAATGCAACAAAACCAATGTTTCTTGTAATAATTATAATCCCCCAAGCATTACGAGTAGATTCACGTAAAAAAAAATTAATTCAATTCATATTCGGAGGCATCTCACTCTTTACACATCCCAATGTGTTTGCTTCTGCCTTTCACTTTCGATTTTTTTTACGCGCGATGGGATGAGATGATATCGCATTGCGGCTTTTTTATTCTCGACAAAGTAATCCCATCGCTGTGGATTAAGATAGGAACAGAAAAAGTTTCTTTTTTCTGTTGTTTTCTCCATTGGAATATCTAACATTTGGTCACCAAATTAGGGTGTTTAAGGAATATCGTCAGCTAACAACAATAGAATGAAACGCAGTAGCAGCAGCTGAAAACAAAACTGAAACTCATACAAACTTCTTCCTTTCTCTTAAAGACGAAAAATGAAGATAGAAACGTCTCTCTAAAGGAAAATATATTAAACAGAAATGTGTGTTGAAACACATAAAAATATTCGCTCATGGAAAACAATAGCACATTGCATAATAACAACAAGAAAAAAAGGAAAAAAAGAAAAATTCAAGCCACGTAGTTCGTTAAACGTGAAAGAGAAGTTTTAGGGGTTGGCGCGCATTCTACGATAGTGAACAGAGATAGATTTGATGTGCAAAAACAAGAAAGAAAGTGAAGATAACAAAATGTGAATCATTCTTTACGAAGTTATGGATGGAAAGTTCTTCGTTGTGGGTAGTTGCTTCTGTGAAATTCTTTCTTATGCCAACCTTCTAGATTATCGTTTTAAACCATTTATAATAATAACAAAAACAACAGAAGCTACAAAGAGCGATGGTCCCATGCTTATCCACTAGAATCCTATTTTCCAATTACGTGATTCCTCCCAAGCTTTCGCTTTGAAGCTACTTTGTGACTCTTTCTTTTAAGCATCTTAAGTTTTATTGACTATCACTTAATTGTCGTTACCATCTTCCAGACTTTTCTCTTCCATTTTTTTCCCCTCTAAAATCATCAACTCTTAAATTATTTAAGAAATAAAAAAATCAGCTTAAACTAATTGCTTTTTAACTTTGAAAGACTTCTTCACGTTGATGTCTGTGGTGAAAGTTTCAATTTAATTATGGAACATTAACGTTAATTGAGAGATCAGCCGGAAAAAAGAAGCTCGTTTCGCATCCCGTCACTTCTTAAGCGCATTACAAAGCCTGAATATCTTTGACAATGGAAATGAATTTCGTTTAAGTTTTCTTCAAACTTCTAATCCGATTATCGTTCACTTGATAGATTCACAACTTCAGTTTATTGTTTTTGGTTTCTCTATTTAAACTGACATGCAATGCGACTCATTTTTCACTACACAACCATATTATCGATCTCCCACTTTGATAAATTGTTCGATTTATTGCTGTTTAAGGTCGCTCGAGGGTGAAAACTATATGAACGTTAACATAATCGCATTTCGCTTTTCTTTTTCGTGTAATGCCTTCGTTGGCTTGTGGGGATTACGATTAACAAACGAGACACGAATGATTTTAATGCACTTGCATCGATCCGATTAAAATAAGTTACGAGAAGTTAAATTCTCGGGAAAATTATTTCCTTTTATGTTTATTACTTGATTGTTGTTAAGGCAATTAATTTGATGATCATGAAAATGTATGCGTGAATTTATGTTTTATGGCAACAACAACAGCAATGAAAAGAAATTTTATCACCTGCTACACTTGAAAGGATTTTTATGATGAATTCTTGTAGATACTTAATTATATTTATTTGAAGCAAAACAACAAAATCAAATAGCGGTTTAGTGATTGTGTAACAGATGGAAATGGATGTAATTGAAGTGAAGTGTAGAAAATTGATCAGATGATACCGTCGCGCAGTTGTGAAGTTAATCCGAGTGCAAAAAAAACTCAAATCGAGTGGGATTCAAAGAATTCCAACAATCATAGATCGGAGTTGTCTTCGGAATCATGTAAATCGAATTCAACGACTGATTTCCCATCTGACATTAGCTCTGCCAATGAAAATGACAATGCAAAGGATGCTGTTAGTGCTTCATGTAAAATTAATAAGACGAGCGACTTGTCAGAAGGGGAAAAATGTTCAGAAAAGCATAATTTGTCTCAGGAAATTGCCGGAGGAAGTTCCACAAATGATGAAACATTAAATGAAAGTCGAAAGAAAATCAATAACAGCAACTCGACAAAGAAACGTTTTTTTGATTTGAAAAAATTTCCCGATTCAGCAAAGAAAACATTTTCGAGCAAATTAAAACTTCCTAATCGTGTCTCGTTAACTCTCTCGCCCCGTAAAGCTTCATCGCCCCATAATAAATTATCGCTATCACAATTAGAACAGCAAAACAATTTATTCATTCGTGATGGGCAGCAACAGAGTAAAAGCAGCAGCGAAGAATCGACGATAAGCAAACAAGTCGAACAGCAGACAACAAAAAAGAATTCAAGTAATCAGAAGGAAAACGAGGGAATCGACGGAATGGAGCAGGCGGGCAATGTTAATCCTAAACAAAAACAAGACAATTTGTTGGGAGCGAAAAGTAAAAAAGCTTCCTCGTCGTTGATTCCATCATTCCTGGGTGGTGGCAGCAGCTCAACGCAAATAAAAAACGTTAATCACATAAAAATTCCATCAACGTCTCTTGGATCAATCAAAAAAGCTCCATCAACTCAAAATGTCGTTGAAAAGTTAACAAAAACTGGAAATAAATTCAAAGAACTTTATCGAGATTTCCCTTCAACTTCAAGTAATGAAAAATCAACTTCATTGAAGAGAAATCCACCGCCATATCGACCGCCACCCACACCACCAAATAAAGACAAAAATCAATCAAACAATGAGAAACAAAAGCGTCTCCGTTTCTCGGAAAATGAGATGAAGAATTACGAAGAAATCGAACCGATTATTGAGGTGACTTGTGAAACCAGCAATAACGATGAAGGGAGTGAAGATAACAGCGGAAGGAAAGCAGAAGAACAAAGCAATGAAGATGTTGATGGGATGATATCAAAAGCTGAATATTCTTCGAATGTCTTCAAAAACATTCCCGTAAGACCACGAAAAGGAATCGTTTCACATATGGAAAATTATTGTCTGTTTGATCCTTCGGTAGATTTTTGTAACGAGAAAGAATTAATGAAGAAAAAACTCATTGAATCGAAAATGTCGGAGGTGAATCTTGTCAGACAAGCGAACAAACAATTCCAATTACTGAATAGTGAAGAACTTAAGGATGAGAGAATTGAAGACGTGACGTTTGAAGATCAAACTGTCTACGATGTATCAGAACTTGATGAGAGGGAAAAGATTCTTGCACATCACAACTATTACGAAATCGATCCGGATTTGTTGCTTGAAGAAGATGAGTTTGAATCGGTAGTCACTGTTGTGCCAGTTGAGCAGTCGATGATTGCTAAAGACAATCAGAGACAGGTTGGAAATAAGATGAGAAAATCGAAGATTTACTCAAATACATTATCAACATCATCAGAATCAACATCGACTAGTCAGACATCCACAAACTCAAGTTCAACTTCGACAAGTTCTGATTATCCATCATTGTTCAATTCTGTTATAGAAACGACGCATTCATCAACAGTTGAATCGACTGATGACAACGAATCGAATGGATATGGAAAAGCAGCAAATGACCGACAAGCACGAGAGAACAGCAGTCAATGTGTCGACGAAATCAATCAAACTGCAGTTGGTAATGAAAGCTTAATTACAATTTCTAATGTCGTCACATGTGGTGAATCTAATGCATCATCGACGGGAGCAACAAAAAAGAAATCACCACAATTAAATCGAATTATTCGACCATCATCATCATCAACACGAAATCTTTCGTTGTCACAAAATAAATCCAATAAACAACAAACAACATCATTAGTGACAAAAACAAAAACGAATAAAATTAATTTTCCAATTCAAAATAAAAGTCAACAATTGGATCCATTAAAGTCGAGTCATTCTTTACCTCAGCTACAGAACATTATCGTTCAAAATCGTTGTCGACAACAGACGAATAAGAGTGAATTGAATTTTGTGATTGATAACACGACTACAATTCAACTTCGTCGTCAGCATAGTTCACGTCAGGGACGACCGTTATCGGGGCATAGCGACGACAGAGACAGCGGCTTTCTCTCGCCTGTTACACCCCCCGATAATCAAAACCCAGCACATATCACTCCAAATGTTATAATCAAAGAAGCAAAGGAACAAAACACTAATAAAAGTGAATCAACGCTTTTAAATCAATGCGATAACATTCAGCAGCTGATCGAGGTGAGTAACGATTGGGATGGGCTTGTAACACATTTTAATGTCAAAACACATTGTAGAAAGATGAGAACAAACGTAAAACATATTTTGTATTGTGCATTTTGTTAGCAATGGGAATTTCCCCCTTTTCTTTGTTTTTCTTGGCATTGGGTGGCGAGTCACCATCCACCGACTAACCCTGAACATGAACACACGCAACATTTATTAGATTCACACCCTCATATTGTCTCGCTTGCTCCTGGGCTTGCAATAGAAATGAAACTTCTCCCCGTAGTGTCGAAATAAAATTAAATCCATAAATCATGCCATTAATAACCTCGGAGAATGCTTTTGGTGCGTAATAAATGCACTCTTGTGAAATTTGCTACATCGTCGCATGTGGAAAGTCAGGGCTGGGGAACAGTTTAAGAATTTTCCGAGAATCTTCATTCAAGTTTTCAATGACTTGAATAGCAATCAAAGTGATTGAAAATCGAATCCAAGCCCTTTAAAGAAACATTTCTTTCATTTCCCCGCTTATGTTTCATTTCAATTCATCCCTTCTTTGATGAGTTTTCTGCACTTTTTCTTTTCTTCTCATTGTCATCGCCATCAGGGAGCAAAGAAATAAAATAAAATAAAAGAAGAATTCTTAATGCTGTTAAACCATTCTAGATTAAAATTATGCTTTATGTTATTTATCCACCCCCGCATGTTCTAAACATTTAAACTTCCACCCTTTTTTGTAGAGATTCGTTTCTTGTAACGTTTTTTGTTTGTTAAACTGATGAATGAGTGGAAAAATTTCACGTCAAATGAGGATTAGTTTGGCATTGCAATAGTTGAAGAGACATTGCATTGCATTATAAATTACACAACAGCCAACATGCATCATAAAGTTTAAAGCATAGGGTCGATCAACGGCTTAGTTCACCCCTCGATGTTGTGATGCTGTGTATGTAGTTTCATGGATGAGTGAACAGAATGAAGGAGGATAACAGCAACTAAAAAATTTTGTTACACTTTGTTTTTTGTTGAGTCAGGTACATAATTTTACACCCACACCAAATATCTATTCATAAACGACGCACAAGAGACAAGCGTTAAAATTGGATATTTACGATTGTGCTGAAGAATTTAATCGCATTTTAAATTTAATTTTGTTTATTGTTAAAGTCTGGGTTTCGGTGGAAATTACGAAAGTTTCATTAATTTAATTGGTTTTCTGGGTTTTGAGCGCGCTTATTTAATTGGCTGAGTTATGGGTGGCATTGAAAATCTTTTGTTTTTTAATTATGTAAATGCTAGTTGAATTCCAGTTAAAAAAATATGAAGAATTGAATATTTGTAATTGTGTGGGGGTGGATTAATATTCAATCTTTCTGTTTTAATCATTCAATTTCAGTTTTCTAATGAAATTCTATCACATCGACTGTTGTTGATTAAGGAAATTCTTGTTTAATTCTCTCACTTTTTTCAATGGAATTCTATCAAAGATAATGTCGCCTTTGTCAAATATTTATTTCCTTAAAATTAACGTCGTCAAATGTCATTTCAATTCCATCAATGAAATTTCAAATTCTACAATTCTCAGGCGACATGTTTGAACAATTGCTGGGGTGAATCATGAATCGACAGCTTCTTTCCCCTAAGGTTATTAATTCTCTTAAAATCACCCTTAAACAAACAACTTTCTCCCAAATAATTGTGCTCGAGCATAATAAAAATGTAAAACTATGCAAATAAATTAAAGTAGGGAATGAACGACACTTGCAGCCCCTAAAATCAACCGAAGAAGTCATTTGGGAGATGCGTGTGTCGTAATTTTGATCCTTAAAAATATTTCATACGCTCGCTTTGATGAAATCTCATCAGGAAAATAAATTACGCAAGATTTCGATGCATTCAAGCATTTAAAGAGGGCCAATGATGAATTGCTTTCGCTCTTCGCTTTAGATCAGTTTATGAAAATCTGAAATTAAACATTTTACTTCATGTCGAAATTGTAATTTATTCTCACTTGCTTTGCTTCCATTGAACTTGATTTTCCCCCCTTAAAGTCTTTGAAAATTGTTGAATTGCTTTAAACATTGAAATGAATCATTCATTAAACCCTTTTTGCTTCTGATCTCCATCTCATATTTTTTGTTTAATTTTTCAACAAATATTTTCATTGTGAATTGGCACAAAGTGTCTGGCAACCGCTCAAAATATTTCACATGAGCATCTCTAGGGATATTAAATTAAAATTTCAATTTGATGTGCAAACAGATAAAATTCTAAATGGAGCTTTAAATATCAGAAAATTGAACACGATAGCCGCAAATTTAATATAGTGGAAACAATGGAGTGGGAAGGTTTTATATGCAGAAAGTTTCAAAACACACAACTTCATGCTCTAGACGGATGTAAAGTATTAAAATTATTTCCAGCACACAAATTGATAGCATTTAACGAGCTTTTGAAAATGTGTCTGAAATGATATTTGTTCAGAAGTAAATATCCTGCGGTGGTACAGGTAATTGACTTCTAATTAGACCTCATGTTGTGTCATCGTGTTCTCGAGTTGATTCAACTTTATTCCTTTTCATTCCATAGCAATGCAATGCGATGCATTGTATCCATGAGATTTTGAAGTGATTCAATTAAATTCAGTAGCAAATTATGATGAAAAAAGAAAAAGGAGAAATTTTCAACAAAATTCTTTTATTCGAAGCGAGAATCATTTGGAAACTTTTAATTAAAAGTTCTTGCAACAATGCTTGAGCTTTGAACTGAATATTTTCCGTTTTATTTTTATGTTGGAATATCTCGAACAAATTATGATTTGAAGAAGTTGTAAGAGCTTTTAATGAATATTAATTTGCCATTTTGAACTCCCTGGCAAATTTTTCCTGAGAGAGAAAATTTCTCTGACAAGCAACATAAATAACATCTGAATTTAATTAAATTACTTTTCAAGATTTAAATAAAAAAGTGATTAAATTTCAAACTTTAATTTTATTTCAAGGACTTTTCTTTTCCTTTTGAATGTGAAAGTCCTTTTTTCATCTTCTTTACGACTTTCATTTGTTTATGTCGTTTTGTTAAGCCTGGAAAAGTAAAATTTTTCTTCTTTGAGCTTCAGATAAATGAAAAACTTTTGACATTTTAGGTAAGTAATTTTATGGTGGATGATAACTTGAAAGTGAATTTCATTTCATTGTCAAAAGGAGCTCAAACAAGCTTTCGTTTCAGTTCTTCATCTCTCGACTTCAAATCGCGCACCATCAACGTCATTCATATAAAAACTTTTGTCGAAAGTTAAAAAGTTTCTTTTCACCATTTCCGTCAAAGATTTCAATCTGAATAATAGGCAAGCGACTTAGTGTGAGCTTGATTTACAGTATTAATCTGCCCATCGGCTAAATGAATTTCATTTCATCATCCATCCGTTTCTTATCTCAGTTGTTATTTAGTTATTCCCTCATTTCTCGCCCCTTAAAAACCTCGAGAACAATTCTCTGCTGAGCTCGTCTACATAATACTGGAATTTAAATTCATATTTTCCCTCTTTGGTGAAGTGAAGCCAAGAGCTGAAATTTATGCAAAGGAGGAAAGAAAAAACTTTTTTTGTTGGCTTCTCCTCATCGTCTCTTTTTACATTATTAGCTTTTGAACAATGTTTTCCATTTCGCTGACTGCTACTTCTCCTAGGTGAAAATAGAAGGACAGATAGACTTTCAGAAAAGAAACCATGAACAGGCGTCTAATTTAGTTTGTTGTTATTTTTTCTTCGTTTTTGTTTGATGATGGTAATAAAGACTGAGGCAAAAATAATACGTAAAGAGCATAAACACTTTTATGATTCTGATCAGGGATCTCTATCATCATCATCATCTTCTTGTTATTCACAATGCTTTTAAGGTTTCTTATTCTCGTCATGCTCAACATATTTGACTGAGGTGAAGCTTTGTTTTCTCGTTTCTAAATTGTAAAAACGAGTTTTCGAATTTTTTGATCGAATCATTTCTCAATTTTTGAATCATTTCTACAAATTCCCAATAATTATGAATCTTTGCAATTAAGTTATTCATACCTGTAATTCAATTCTCCGATTACAAATGTCTTTTCCAAAGAACGAACATTTTTTGTAGCAATAACTTCAACTAACAATCATAAAGCGATGCAGCCCGTCCACAAGGAATTCTTAAAATTTGTATAATAAAGCTGTGAACTTTGTTATTCAAAAACTTTTCCTTCATCTACTACTACTAGATTGTGAAGACGAACCGAGAAATTTAATTTTCATTACACTTTTATCATTGGAAGATTTCAACCAGGAGATGAAGGAAATTGCGTGGGTGGAATGAGATTATGAATAAAATTTCTTTTCTTTTTTAAAGAATATGAAACTCAAATTTAACTCAAGTAGTTTGCTGTCATGTGCAGTTAACGTAGGATTTAATTTGATTCTTTACTGCTTCGTGGAGAATTTTCTACTTGAAAACTAATTTGTTGAATGATGATGAAGTTGAAGTTTTATGCTCCCCTCTGAGAAGAAATTTTCAAATACATTATTTATTATAACAACATCGTTACAAAGAGCAATAATATCGGTTTTTAAAATGTAAACAACAGCTGCAAGTCATAATTCCCTCCCCCAAAACACTTACAAAGACGTTGTGTAAGCTTTTTTTTTTATTTCTTCTTTTCCTCCACCCGCACTGATTTATTCAGTCTTCATGTTACAAAGGAAAAATTATGTTTGCATACGTGTGCTGTGTGCTTTAACAATGCAAGAAATTTCTTCTTTATTTTCTGTTTCCATGTTTTCAACAAGATAGGAAAGAGATTTATTGTTCAACTCACTTACTCTGTACACAAATATCTACTTTCTTCCAATTTACATTCATTTTAATACCTGGGAACTGAGAAACCTGTGATGATTTTCAAATGCAATTTACAAATGTTTCCCTTCGCTCTTGACTGATGACTGAGCACATTGCTTTAATTTAATTGAATCTAATCATAGATAACATCAATGACATGACAAGACATTCGTTCATTTTGACTCAACAGGCGAATCAATTTGGCAAAAAGTTTCCTGTTCCATTCTATGATATTTGTTGAGGGACGATTCGAAATGGAATGAAAGGAAAAAAGTTTTTCTTCTAACATGGAAAATTATTCGATAAAGAGAGAAAACTATTCAACGAAAAGTTCAATAATGTTAATGGCAAAACTTTATGTTGAAAGCAAATTTGTTTGTGTTTATTTCGTCATTGTCTCCACCGACTAAAACTACTCGAGGGGGAGTAGAAATTGTAAACTGTATCAGTTTAATAGGAATGGAGAATGTTTGTTGTTTACAAATCAGGAAAAAGGGAGAAGGTTTGCCTCGATTTGAAAGTGAACAGAAAATAAATTGAAAAACTGAATTTGATGCAAGAAACATGTTTCTTCTTCTTCCTTTTTTTTTGAAACATAAAACGAAAAAGTTTCATCTGCCTTAAAAGCGGTAAACGCTTTTCTGTGCTTTTTTTTTCACTGAGTCTCGATTTTATTTAAGAAACAATGTTGCGGGGGATAAGATTGAAAAAGTGGAGAGAAATAATGTCTTCGTAGCTTCCTTCAATAAGTAGTTTGATAGAAAGAAAAAGAAATCCTTGGTGAATTATTTTTATGGAAAAACATGAGAGAATTTGAAGCAATGTCGAACTTCGTTCCATTCACTTTGCTATGCCATCCACAAATAAACAACGATAATCCTGAGATATGTATGTAGATATAAAAATGTATTAGAGCAAACAGGAAGAAAGGAAAATCTGTCTTTATCGAAACAGAAAGATCAAAGAAAGTAGAAAGCAAATATAATTTGAAGGAGCAGGTGAAACGTAAACTCTCAATAGATAATGGGGAATGTTGCACCCCGCCGCAACTTTTATCTCATTTCTTCCTTTCTCCTACTTAAACGCAAATCTCTTTCAACTTTTCAATGTTTTATTGTTCGTAAAATTTTCTTTTTTTGCACGATTGCGGAATCAAAAGAAATAAAACGAGACTTTCAATGAGTGAAAAATGAAAACCAGGAGCGCAACTCTAAAAGCCGATAAGAAAAAAATTGAAAAGATAATTTTTATTGCGTTGTTTGATGTGGCATGAAGAAGAAAAAAATGAAAAATTATGAAAAGAAAATTTCGTTTACGAAAAAATTCACATTTGAATTCAAGGAGAAAATAAGATTAAGATGTTTTATGTCTTTCTGCGGAAGTAATCTCGAAAACTCAATTTAATAATGCATAAGAGATTTGAAAATTTAAAACGATTTTGAAGTGATTTTCGTCTTAAGAAAATGTTTTAAATTCATAAAGAAAATGTTGAAGGGAGAGTCATAACAAAAGTTTCAAGATCTGTTAACAACTTTAACAAGTTTGTCATCCAACAAGATTAAGCAAGCCCTAACAATGCGTCAAAAATAATAAAACTTTGAACTTCCTCAAGACCGAACAAATACTTTCAAATTGAGGACTAAAAACTTTGACGACGGAGTTTCGAAATTTATGAAAACATAAAAGCACTGACCAAGAAACTGAGAATGAAATGCGAAAATAATTTGTTTATTGTTGTGAAATTGAGTCTTGGAAGTCTCGTCAATATTAAAAAATTGTAAGCAAGTGAAGTTCATTCTTTTATTTACCAAAATCATCTTCAACCATGTTAACAATATAAAAATGATGATGATACATCCACCCACACATATCAGACATTTTTAATATTCATAAAGAAAACATGTTGAAGTTTTCCATTTAGGAAGGCACAGCAAAACATACAAAACAGTTTTATGCTGTGTCATTGTCTGGCTTTCAAATATTGAAAAAGTTTCAGACTTGTAAGCATGATTATGTTCAGAACTTTAAATTCCGACGACTAACTCTTCCGGTCGTATCGTAAGTTAATAAATTTATTCTTTGAACCTGAAATGACTTTGCAAATAAATTTATGGATTGCTTCTAACAAAAATCGTTTCCGGGGGAATGTAAAATTTGTTATTCCCAAATGCCAATTTCAAAAGCTTTTAGTTACACAAAACTGCACTGCAAGCTTTCATGTGAAACATAAATTGATGTGGATTTACGAATTTCAAAATGAATGAAATAGATTGAAACTAAAATTATTTCTTGTAGCCTTAACTGTGCTAGATTTCACCCAATTTTTAACAGAAATATTTACTTAAGAAAATTCACCAAGTCCTTTACATAAAAAGGGCGAGAGAAAATGTAAAGTTATGACGCTTTTAAATGAATTCCACAAATTTCGTCTTACGCTAGATTGCTTTCCTAAAAGCATAAAAATCCAACAGCGGCAAATGATGTTTTATAGCAAATGAAAATATTTTTCCTTCCTCTCTGATTCAATTTTAAAATTGTTCGTTCATCCGACAATGAGAATGAAAATTATGTTTCTATTATGAATTAACGAGTATGATCTATATCAGTTGATTCGACTCCCCAACATCATGTTCTGACACATTTTACTACGAAATTCTTCTTTTCAATGTTAAAAGCGTTGAGAAAATTAAATTCCTGCGGGTATGTGTGTGTGTTTGTGGGAGAGACGAGAGACGATAAAGTACTAGGGGGATATTTTATAGAGGGTAGCCCTCAAACAGCCATTAATGTTTCCTTCTAAAATCGCTTGCAATTTGCTGGGACTTCCATCAATGTTCATTGAGGGACTCGTACCGAAAATTTGAAATACGATTCTCTTAAAATTTTATGTTTATCTACTTTGAACGTGAGTTTTTCTGCCCTATTTCCTTAATAATTTGATTAGCAACATTTTGTTTGATGTAAGCTGAGGGAGTTGGGAGTCACAGTTTCTTTCCGCAAGCTTATTGCTGCTGTTAAATTTTTTTAGGAGTCGTCTGAGTGATGAAAGTTAATTCGAAAAGGATGCGAATATAATTAATAGAGAGATTGAAAAGGGGAGAAGGAGGGACTGAATGTTTTACAAGTCTTTTAATTAACACTCGAGACGACACCAAAGAACAGAAGCTAATGATTTGATTCCTGTGTTTGACATCACTTTTAAGATTCTTTTTCATGTGGAAACTTAAGATTCCTTTGTTCATTAAATCCAAATAGAAACGTGGGTGATGATTCTTTTTGGCATCGAATAACGAGTAAGGGATCAAATCGTAAATATTTATGCTTGTAGAAACATATAAAATTATATTGTAATGTTGTTCAGTGGTCGATATTTGAATCACATGTCAAATAAATGATAACGAGTGATACACAAATGGGTCAAAGTTCTCCTAGGATTTCTTTTCTCCGCCTATCTACTATCGATAAGCTTAATTCTCCTATTTCTTTTCGAGGATATAAACCAAATTTGTTTTTATTGAAAATATAATAAAATTGACATTTCAATTGGATTTGAAAATGGAGAGAAAATTTAAATCTTGAAGTGAATTCAACCGGAAAAATTCTTTCTTTCTTTGTTATTTATTCAAATGAAGATATTGACTAGAATGGAATTCTATCTGCTTTGTTGAAGAGTTAGATATTCATTTTTCATTCGTTATTGACCAGATAGATGGATGGAATTGTAAATTGTAAACAGACTGGCAAACTGTTTAAACAGCAGCGACTTTTTGGAAACAGTTAACATGAAAAACACACCGGAAATTGTGAAACCAAACTTTATATCTCTCTATGCATTTGTATTACAAACAATAACATCGAAGTCGATGGAATTTCAAGTTGCAGGAATAACTGAAGTCAGAGATAACGTAAACTCATTTCAATGCATTTCAATGAAAGATATTCATTTCAATGATTGCAACTTGATGTTTATTGAAAGATTTAAACATCGACTGCAAGCATAAATGTATGGAACATCATTTGATTATCTACATAAACGAAACTTAATTCGGTAGCGTCTGGAAATGATAAAAGAAATCTGGAATTTTGAGAAAAAAAGAAGTTTTGAGATGAAAATCGGAAGAGAAATTTCATCACGTTTTCTCGTTTTACGATTGAAAAGATTTGATTTACTGGCTGGCATCGAAATGACTACTTCATTTATCGAATGAACTTTCTTTCATTCTTTTCGCTTACATTTTTCTTTTTATATCAAGCACGGAAAATATTGAAAATGAATGAAAAGTTGAGGGAAAATTAAATTAAAAGTTGTATCAAACACAGAATATCAAATCATTTGCTGACGAATGGTTCATTGACATTTATGCTTTCAACATTGATTTTCTGAGGTTTCTTATGACATTTGCATGAAATGTCATCAAACCTAACCAAATATTCGAGTGAAATGCTAACTAGTTAATCAAGTAGCGTGATTGCATGTAAGACGACATGAAAAGTGTAAACTTTTCCACTCTAATGTTATCAGAATGAATTAAAGTTTGCTTCTAAATCTTAGACTTATTTCATTTAAACTCGCGTGACTTGTTAGTAAGTGAAAAACTGTGAAAAAATAAAATTAATTCAAGCTACGTCTGAGTAAGTTTGAAGCCACATGTGTTAAGCTCAGACAAAAGTAAAGGAAATAGTTTAGATTCCGTGAGGATGTTGAAGCTCTTACATCATAAATTGATAACTTTATTATGAAAGTTTCTTGTGCATTTTGTATCTCAAATGAATTTAACCACTGAAATAAATTGTGTAAGTTTTCAGTTGTATCAGATTACATTAAGTGAGTTTTCTTTATGAATCAGTTGTTTAGAAAGTTTTCTTTTATCTTGGGAATCTTTACCAGCCTCGCTTTACTGAAGCTTAAAGTTTCCTGACTGAAATTTATATGAAAAATGTTTATCGACATGAAATAAACTACAGATAAGTGAAATCAATTTAAAGTTTCGAACATTTTTCATCGAAGAACTTTTCTTTGAATGAAAGATCAATCAACATAAAGCAATCTGAATTTCCATTAACATTCAACCTCGGGTAATAAAAAAAATTTCAATCTTCGTCTCGAATTTCATGAAAAAGTTAAACATTATGGAACTGTCCTTGACATGAAAAGAAAATGGAAAACAAACAAATATATTGATATCTCATTTAATGGAAATGTTTTTGATTCGTTGAAGAAAATTTGAAGAAGCATCAATCATGAGTTTATAATTAAAATGAATTTCTCTGGTTTTTTCCCATCAGTCACCTTTTTTTTATTTTGAATGCTTAAATACACATTAAAATCTAAAATCATCTCGAATAAGTTTTCCTGCCATCACACTCGTAAATCCTAGGAAGCGCTTGAGAAGACGAAAGGTGACACAATTTTGATAGATTGCGAAGATGAAAATTATTTATAGAAAAATATATAAAAAGATTTTTCTTTTTCACGAAATACTGCACAGCGGAAATGTGAAGTTTTGTGAACTTCACGTCACGCCATGAGAGTCTAATGCGTTTATGTCTGAAGTTATTTTAACACCGAACGTCTCACTCAAGTCTTTAATCCACAATTTAGAACTTCTTGATCATATAAATCATCGTCGCGAAAAAAAGCGAATTACAAAAGATATAAATTTCTTTAATGGACCAATTTTGAACGTCCTACATTGAGTGTAGCAGAAATTCGGAAAGCGAAATCTGGTTTGAAAGGAACATTAACATTAAATCACGACAAGCTATGTAAAAATGCTTTTAATAAGCGAATGTTATCACACGACGCGCCGGGACGGAAGAATTATGAAGACAGCGAACTTCGTGTTGTGAATGAAAACAGAAGAATTTTCTTTTCAGACTTTCCAATCTGTTGTAATCTAAATGAAGGAGATACGTGTTAATGTTAATTATAATACTAAAAATAAAATGCACGACGTTGAGGTGAAGTGAAAGTTCTTCTTCTTTTTAATGTTGTTCCAAAAATAAATTCAATGCATGCGAGGAAAACCATCTGATGAATCACTTCGTTGCTTTATTTAAAACCGATGCTTGTTGGTAGAATAGATTTAGATTACAATTCGATATGATCAATGACAAGTACAGTGGAACTTCGATAAACAGTTACTTCGATAAACAATAATTTTTTGATCCTCCTTGAGTCATCTGTTGATCTGTTGTTCCACTGTAATTATAATTAAAATATTATGTAATCTTTTCACAATTTGATAAAACTTTGTGGATTTAATCAGCTGCTTGTAAACAGAAAAACAATTAAATTGTAGATCATTTATCACACACATTTAATTGAGATCTTGATCATTTATAAGTACGCATAAAATTTGATAATTATCAATTTTCGCCTGTCAAAAAACAGATAATTATTTGTTTTTATTTTTGACTAGCAAGATGATTCATAACTGAATAAGATAAAAATTAATAAATTATGATAAAATTGAATTCATTATTGAGTTAGGAATATTTTCTTGACACTTGATAAAACATTTTATTGTCATACTTATACATTCTTTTATTATATAACTTTGCGTTTAATGAAAAACAATTTTGTTTAATTCTATTATTTTATTACAGCTGATTTAACAGCCACTTACAACATGCTCTTCAATAATTCCATTTTCACAAGAATAAACTTCGCACATTCCCCCAAAATCTGATTTCTTTATAATTTCGCCGTTATGATAAAATTCACCATTTTGATAACATCCTCCATCGATTAATCTTTCTGGAATTACAAAAAATAATTTACATAGAATTTATTTAATAATTATAACAAAACAAAACACAAACCATCGCAAAACTCCCTCGTACAGCAATAATCGCCTTCTACTAAGACACATCCTTCATTGGCTGGTATTTTACAATCATACTCAAAGTTTTCAACCTTTGAATTTAAACATCTATATTCAAGACATTTATGATACTTTTCTCCAATATCATCTGTTTTTGCTATGTAAGTGTTATTGTCATATGCTCTTCCATTGTAAAGGCATGCACCTGAAACTTCCACTCGTGCACATTCTTGTGAAATGAATAATAAAACATAATTGAAATAAATTAACTAAATCAGTAAAGTGGTTTGCTTATGAACTAACCTGAATATGACTGAAGCAAAATCACAAACGAAGCGAAAGTTAAATGAGTTATTTTATTCATTTCGGATATTTTATAATGTTTGATTATGAAGGTATCAAATAAAAATGAAAATATTTCTGTAGTCTCTTTTGAAGAGAACAATTTTATTGTCAATCCTTCTACGTTTGAAATTTATTATAGAACTGAAATGTTTCGAAATTTTCTACTTCGTTATGAATGTTCCTCATCATCTTCGATTGTTATTCTCTTAATGATAAAGTATTGTGAATATCTAATATCTATTGGTTTTCTCATTTTGGCGACACACCTCTTGTTCATCTGCGTCATCAATGATAGTCATGCAATGAGATAAAAAAGTTTAGTGAAATTAATGACAGTAAGAAAATAAATGAATAATAATAAGAAAAGTCATGAGTAAATCTTAAAGAGTTTATAAGCAGATTGCAAGGAAAACAGCTAAAGTTTCGATCAAGAACTCAAAAAAAAAACATTCAGTCGCCTATTTTTACTCAGTTTCACTATATGATGATAGCAAATGATAGCAAATGATCACACAATTATTATCTTTGCACCTCGTCTTGATCTTCATTAAAGTTGAAATATGTTTGTATATCAAATAAATATTTAATGACACAATTCAATATTTTAACAACTTGTGCTTTTATAAACTTAAAAGAAGTTGCAGTTTGATAAATTTCCTGAACATTTTTATTGTTAAACTTTCATTTGTGTCTGTTTGCTGTTTAGTACTAAAACTGAAAAATTCGTTTCACGTTTCTCTCAATGCTTCAATATTTACTATGAACGACAAAGATCGATTATTTCCAATGTAATTAATATTTTCTTAAGTACTCTTTCTACCCTTGTAATTAAGTGCTAAACTAAAGCTTTCGAATTAATTCATTTGTTTTGTTTTTTTACAAAAAAATCGCAAAGTATTGCAAATTAATTTTGATCACGCTTCTTCTCTTTATTAACTTGCAATTATGTTCGTCTTAACTGCATGCAACAATGTAAATATTTACAAAAAGCATCTGTTTAAAAGTGCACAAATGACATACTTATTTATTTATATCAAATATTTATATAATTGTTTCAACAGCTTGTGCTTTTGTGAATATAATAAAAAGTTGTAAGAATAATCCAGACGTTCAATTGTATTTGCTTTCGTTTCTTATTGATAATGAAATTTCATGTGTTGACTTAAGAATTCTTTCATTTTCATTGACAAGAACTTTGAGATCTTTAGTAAGATGTTTCATGCTTGTTAAGATCATATCAGAAATTCTTCTTTTGATTCTTTCCCAGGTTCTTTATAAAGATTTTCATTTGATGGCATAATCTCAAGCAATTTATCAACTTCCATCATCGAAGAAAGGAAAGTCTTGTGATGTCAAATCGTTAGCTTTGAATGTGTTATGAAAAATTTCTTATCAAGATTGTTCAAGATGTGAAGCACTTGAGATTTAAATTTCACTTTTCTGTTCTCAGAAAATTAAGTATTGCTGATGACGATCAACTATAAATAAACATTAAGTTTCTGGCTTCTCTTCTTCGTAGTTTCCATAGCAAAAAATACAAGAAATCTTCCGACGTTGGGAAAAAAAGTTAATGAAGAAAATCCAGGAGGAGTTTTCAATTTAATTTTCATTTTGACTTCAGCTTTTCCCATAATATTTAAGAGATGCAACTTGCAATATTTTTTCTCTCTCTTCCACTGCTTTTACCTCTAGAGTTGAGGAAAAAAAATATGAAAATCACGATGAAAAACGAGATGAAAACTTCTGGATTCTTAAGCAATGAAAATTTATCTTTTGCCTTGTTGACGTCGTTTGTTCTCATGTTTTAATAACATGCATGTCGTTCCAAAAGTTCTTCTTGCTTCTTTTGAAAAAATAAAAAGTAAACGAGACGAGTTTTTCTATTTTCTTTTAATTTCATCTTTTTTTTCTTCATTACGTTCGTAAACATTTTCGCTCCCGTTTTTCATGAGAAAACCTCGATGAATAAAACGATGTAAACGTAAATAAATAGCATCAAAATATTTGTAAAAAGGGAGAATTATAAATTCAGTAACGTTTTCCTTATTTTTTGATTATAAAATTAAGTTATTGAAGAAACATTACTTTTGATTAAGAAGTTTTTTTCTATTCGAAGAAGAGTTGAAATGTGTAGAAGAATAAGAAAAGCCTAAACAAACATTGAGTTTGTTGAGTAGATGAGCAAGTTGCTCAAATACTACGCACAGCATACACTCATTCATTACCATGCAAATGACTTCACTCCGCTCCCGAAATCGCTACTCGTAAGTAATAATAATAAGAAAAAGAAGACCGAAGAAGTCAAAATCTGACGTCGTTCTCTCGTTTGTATGCTTAAAAATAAATTAAACTGAATTAGTTTTCATTTTTCTTTGAGAAAGAATAAGACGATGATGAGAGGAAGGGAAGAAAAAGTGCACAACTGAGATATATGTGGGAGATTAAGTTCGAGATTCTTTCATCATTTACAATATTGCTTTAGTCGTGTGCCAGTTGTCCGCTTGACGAGTGCGTACACAATTTAGCGGTTTGTTTGGACGTGAAGGCGCGAGTTAAACACATTTTACGTTACTCGCGTGCGTGTGAAATTTTTGCCCATTAATTGGTTGGCGACCAATGCGAGTGGTGGTGGTAATAAAAAAAAATTATGATTCTCGGTTAATTGCTTTGTTAATGAATGTGTATGGCAAAGTCATGAAATAAATAAGCAAGAGTTTAGCATGGAAGTGGCAAATTAATGTGAAAGCAAGCGACAAAAAGTCAATTTGAGATCAGCACTTACGATGTAAATGAGTGCTCGGAAAATATATTCTTATGTGCAGCTTATGAAGTGCCTTCGAATGGGGGAAAGCGAAATGAGAGAGAAGACATTTTTATATTTTCTTTCTCACCTGTTATGCTCGATAATTTAAAGCGATTTTAAAAGAAATGAACTGATTTCATTACGAAGAATAAAAACATCTGTTGTCAATCGTGACATGGAAAACACGAAAATAAAAAAGTTCAAAGAAATTTTAGTGGAAAAAGTTTTTGAAAAACTAATTTTGGTTTTATTTATAGTTTTGTGTCATGTTGGAATGATCCATGAATGAAGTAACGTTGACGTTGTAATAATAATTCTGTGAATTGAAGATTGATTCATATTGCTTTGTTTATGAACGCTTCAGTGAATGTGATAAGAGTTGCTTAGAGAGAAGTTTAATTGAATGAGTAATTGACAATATCAGGAAATACTTAAAAATAATTCTATGGAAATCAAAACTAAGAATAATAAATTATTCGATATGAGATATAAACATAAATAACTTTTTATAAACATTCGTAATTATGGATTTTACGCTCTGATAGACATCAAAAGTCATTCATAAATTTATCCAACGACGAATTTTCATGATATTAAAATAACAACAGCAGCAGATAATAAACTTAGAGAACAAATTTAACTTAATTTTATTTCTCCTAAAATAGCTTCAAGTTTGTAACGCTTCTCATACTTAGACAAACAAACTTTCTGCCTGTTCTTGCTCTCAGTCGGAGCATTTTAAATCCATTTATGAGACAGTGAACTTCAAACAGTTCCAAAAACTAATGTAAAACATCTGAAGCGGAATTTAAATTATGCAAAACTTTCATTCAAAGTGAAATGTTACTTTTTTCAATGTCAAACATGAAATTTACGTTAACTTCATTAAAGTTCAATTTCATTTCCAAGATGGAATATTTTTCGTAATTCACACAAATTAAATATTGATTTGGGAAAATATTTACAAATCGATTGGATCCCGCGCAAAGTGTCGCGTCGTCAAGCAATAAATGTTGTCGCGAGTCGTAAATTTCATTCCGTTTCAAATTGTTAAATATTTAATGCAGGAAGTGGTTTCGCGATTTGTATTTTTTTTTACAAAATAATAACTTTGAGGCATAAACGTGTCAATTAACTTTGATGTTTTCTCTCTCTCTTTCCAACCCCCACAATTTTGATAATTGTCAACAATTATTTGAAGATGTATCGTTGGTGTGCGTGCGACTAGGTTGAGTGAATTTGAAAGTGAAGTTCACAATGATGAAACATTCTATCGACAATTGTAAAGCACCACAGAAAGCTTCCAAGTTGTAAGAAGTGACTTATTGTTGTTGTTTATGACATTACAGAGAAATGATGAATTCATAGCAATCACGCAACTAAAGGCTTGCGGCTTTCTGTCCTTTTTTTATTGTGGAAAATTCTTTGTGACTTACTGCAGTGAAGAGTGAAAAGACTTTTGAATACATGCATGAAGTTTCAATGTGGATTTGAATAAGCCCCAAGGGGACTTTGTAGATTCATTTGCAACAAACATAGAAATAATCAACAAAGAGTTGAAGAAGGGAAATAAATTTCCTTAAACAGAACAACAGCAAACAGTTTAAAAGTAGAAGGAAGGGAGAAAATCAGTCAAGAGAAATAATTTGAAAAGATTTGAAAAGAAAAAGGATAAAATGTTGGGACGTTGTGTAGCTGGCCAAGGTTCAAATGACGACGTGTCAGACTTTCCAGAGGTGAACTTTAATTTATTCATTGTCGTGACGTTCTTAAAGGTTTTAAGCCTAAACTCGATAAGATATCAATTTCAATGTTTTGACAGTTTTCCACATGACATCATCGCAAGAAGCATGAAATATTTTCATAAAACATCTAATTTTCATGTTCTTTCTTTTTCTCTTTCCTTTCAGATCTACACTGAGTGGGCCAATTACTATTTGGAGCGTGCTAAATCAAAGCGTACGGTTGTCGACCTGTCGACAGACTGTCGCGATGGTTTGTTGCTTGCCGAAGTCATCGAAGCTGTCACCACTTTTAAAGTACCTGATTTAACAAAGAAACCGAAAACACAACAACAAATGGTGAGTTTGAAACTTGAATTAGAGGAAAAATTAATTATATTGACGATAGAAACAAGAAGATAATTGATTGAAGCTTCTAAATAAGTTAATGATGCAATCAATCTCAATTCAACTTTCTCGATCTAAAACATAATAAAGATATCAATGTCTAATGCAATCGAAGTCGATTTTAAATTCAACTCCCCCGCAAAACAATTAATTGAATAGAAGAAGCAAAGAAATAATTTTAAAGAATGCATTTGAAGAGTAAATAAAAAGAAAATCGAGAAAAATGATGCAATTTGGATGTTGAAGCATTTCACAATAAACTGTTCAATAAATTGAGAAGTGCGCTCACTTAAATAAAATTTTATTGCGGGAAAATAAAGGAAAACATAAATAAATAAACTGAAAGTTGTATTTTTGTTAAAAAAAAGTCGAAAGCAATCGATGTTTACACTAAAAGCATTTTTATTGTACTTGAAATGAAATATGAGAAGCTTCATCGATCTAGTAGAAAATTCTTTAAAATGGTAAAAGTGAATTGCGAAAAAGTGTCGAGAACGAAATGCATTCAGATGTGAAAACTTCAACTGTCAGCATAAATATTTTATAATCGAAGCATAAATTTGTATGTCGAAGTGTTCTTCAAACGAGTCTTACTCGTAAATATTTTTCTCTCACGTGTTCAAAACCTTGATAATCTGAGATCTATCCATCAACTTCACGTGACTTCAAAGATGTTGATAACATGTCTGGTTGGATATTCATTTGAAGCGTCCTCATTAAAGATTCTTAAACACACACAGTCAAGATAATTGAAGATTTAATAAAATAAAAGTCTTTAACTTTTTAATTGGATAATAAAAGTCAATAAAAACGCAACCTACAAATTCAAATTAACATTCATTTGAATCGTTTTAATCTGCGAATATTTATTAAGAATTTGAATTCTTGACCGGTTGAATTAATTCGCAATTATTTCTCATCATCATCTTGGACCAAAACTTGCATTTTTATTGTCGTCTTTTAGCATTTCCTCTTACGGTATTTCATGATGATTTCTCGTTTAACCTCCGGATATTCTCAAGACAATTTATAACGTTCCTTACTTTGCTTTCCATCGACATGTTAATTACAATTCTTTTGAACTACAATGAATTGCCAGAAGGCGACAGTGATTGTTTAGAAAAGATGGTTACAGCTTTATTTCTATCGAGAACTCTCGACTTCTCAACGACGACATCGTGTGATGACTTGAACTCACTAGAGAGTCGAAACAAAACAATTTTTGAGAGTAAACAAATGTCTATTGTTTACGAAATCTGACATTGGAGCCACTGAGAATCAAACTGACTCGTATGATATTTATTCCACCTACAATACGTTGTTAAATATTCACGAATGAATTTTTATAGATGTAAATCGGAAATTGAGAAGACTCCGCGTAAACAATCGTATGAAGTTTCTTGACATTCACATTATTAAATTACATTTAAGTTTATTGTAATTTAAACCAAGACATGAACAATAAATCGCGTGAAATTTAAGTTGAGGGAATTAAGAGAAGTTATTGAGTCATTCATTGTTCGATTAACAGTTGTTATTTTAATCGCATTTGTTTATGTCACATTCTGAAAGTTTCGTGGCAAAAAAAGTCTTGAAATGTGACGTGAAAATGAATAATCATTAAAAGCGATCGAGTGAGACGGAGAAGCATATGACACGTTTAACAACGATCTAAGTCTTGTATTTAATAGCCGATACAGTTCAACTCATTCATTTATTTTGAAATTGTAGAAGGTCGAGTCTCAAAACGAGATCGCACAGATAATTGAGTGCTTAAGTTATTGAGCATTGATGACCCAATTATCGACTCAAAAATGAAAGAAAAAATGAAGAAAGACTGTTCAATGACTTTAACGCAGTCATTAAGCTTTCGTCGCTTCACTTTCATGTTGTTTAGAAGGTGAGAAAATTTTACTTTAAATTTTCCTTCATTAACTTCCACCTGTAATTGAGGAAAAGGGAAAATTGTGGTGAAATCAAGTTTCAAACATATTTCTCATTTTAAACACGTTCCTGGAGCAATTATTACTCAACAATTTCAAATATTTATAAAGAGTAAGTTATGGCTAAATGTACACGTTTTCATTGAAGGATTTACTCAACTATTTCACTTAGTCATAAGAGTCATCAACTGCACTGCAGTTAAAATTTTAAACTTGTATGTGACGTCATAAATTCATTTAATTATAATGACAGATATGGAAGTTTAGAATTCTTCTCTACATTCGGAAGTGGATGAGTGACAGTTGTTAGCTGGTCAGTCTTTACTCTGCTTTGCTTAACCATTTGATTTATGCTTTGCTCTTTGTTTACGTGCAATGAATAATTGAGAGAGTAAATCATTCAGATATTTAGCTAGCTCAAGTAAGAATCAATTATGGAGACAACAGTAAAGTTTCCCTTGAAATAAATCGTTTTACATTCCACATTTCTTCGCTTCTCAAAATACAAAAACAATTAAAAGTTTTTCCTTAAAATAATTTTTTATTGCTAAATGGAGAAAAGTTTTCAATTGGCCTAAGGGCAAAAGTTAGCAAAAGAAAATCTGTCATCAATCTTAATGTTAAATGGGGGGGAGATCAGGAATACTACAAATTTTATAACTTTATATTTATTTAATTAATTTATTTTCTTTCTCTTTGTTCAATCATTTTAACTAGAGGCAAGAATATTTTAATCATTTCATGAGATGAAAGTTGATAGTCGTGAGATAAATCAATGTCTTAGATTAACATAGTTTTAATGTTTTTAACAGAGATTTTTTCCCGTAAACAACTTAATTGGTTTGGTTTCATAGAGTCATGCATAACTCATTTGGTTTCAATAAATTTTCAATTTTTAACCAGCCAATGCATTGACAATGTTTTGTTATATTTTCAATGTTTTGATGTTTTATGGATCTTTTGAGTTTCCAGATTTCCAGCAAAACATTCAACATGAACGGGCGAAACATTGCGTGAACATCGAAAACTGTTATAACCGTCACATCACAAAAAATTGATAAGAAAAATTATGTTTCGGCTGAATTTATCATTTCGTCATATGTTCAATCTCGATTAACGATAATAACATTTTTACTTTAAACATAAAAGAATTGCGAATCATTGTTCAGTACATAAACGTGACAGTCAAGCATGAAAACAAGCAAAGCAATGCGATGATTCCTTAAAGTGGAACTGAATAAAAAAAATTGTTTTCAGTACGTAAGAGAATTCCTTAGTTGAAAGATCGCTGATCACGTTGCTTGATACGATCAATAAAAAAGTCAAAAAGTTTATCTCATGTGCGAAAGAAGAAATCCGCTGTGAATAATTGGATGACAAATCGATTAAAATTCTCGAGTTAGATTCGCGTCGCGAGCGTTTTAGATTGAAATGATTGTCACAACAGAGAAGTTTGAAGAAATAAATTAGTGGAAAATTAAAATTGTTGGATATCTGTAGAAGTTTCATGTGAAACAAGTTAATTTAGATAAAGTTTTTAAAGCGAAAATAAATCGATTCATCTTTAGAATTTGTCTCGAATGTGTTTTTGTTTGGATTATAAATATTAAAAGCCAATAAAGGTATTTAAGTTTAAAATCTTTTCCATGTCAATTCAAAATCAATTTCTTTGTCCTTTGTAAACACACCTTAATGGATTTGAACCACTGCATCCCTTTTTAAAGTATTTACTATTGTGCAACATAAAAAAGATAAGCAAGAAACGAAGTCAAAACTTGCTTCTCGTTCATCAGTCACTCAAAAAGAATAAAAAGCAAACACGAAAATCTGACATGCGAAGGTTTTTTTAATCGATCCATCAACACTGAAATTTAAACTTCGATTTGCTTTTGTCTGTCTGATGTTGTGTCTCTGACGATTCAAAGTAAATAATCCTTGAAAAGGGTTTCAATGTTTTATTCCTAGGCAGGTATTTGCGGTTTGTTACCTGCAAACATTTTTCACACTCGCAATTTTCCATGCATGAGTGACTTCTTTAATTATTTTTCGAGATTTTTTTGATAAAATGTACAAGCAAAAAATTGCTATCAGTCGCGGCGCTACACTAGTTTTACATTTGTAGTTTAGTTAACTAAAAACAAATGACAAATATTGAATTTAATCATAAATCACATAAATAATGGCAACAGAAACGCGTGGGCGTTCATTTAAAAAACAACAAGCGCTTCTCCAAAAATAGTCGTCAAGCAAATTGCTTTTTTTATTATTTCAAGAAATTGTTGATTCTAAAAAAGAATAAAAGAATAAAAGAATAAAACGAGATGGAAATTTAAAGAATTTTAAGATTAAACATTTAACATCTTGCAGTTTTAGCTTTTGTCTTCATTAACACAAAAGGAATCGAATGAGAAATGATTTAAAGTGGTGATTTCACTATCAAAACTTGATGATTGTTAATTGAATTTCCGAGAAACTTCAGAAAAGTTCAGACATGATTTATGATTTTTATGACGTTTCGAATTAAAAAACAAACAAACAAAAAATAGTTGAAACATCTCAACCAGTTTTCTTCCTTTTCTGTTGCACTTTTTCGATATCCGAGCACACTGACCAGCCTCGGAGTTCATAACAGTAAATTTAAATTAATGAATTGCGATGCTGTTGAGTTGGTTTGCTTCAACGATCATTAGTCAACAAATAAAAAATTGGCTTTAAAGCTCATAGATTGACCTCAGGCAAAAACGTCGTTTTGTTATGAAAGCAGCCACAATCTTCATTCATTCATTCTTGACTCGTCTCGTCAGCTATCGAAAAAGCTTCTCTATTATTAAACCACTTTTCTCATTTAGAATTCTCCTTCCTTCTTTTCTGTTTTTGTTGCACATCCATGAGAATGTGGGAATTTTAATCTCGCACGATGCTTCATTCCATAAGCATTGTCGCCGTTCTAAGCATCACGCTAAGAATCAATTTAAAGATGAGAAAGTTATCTGGTGGAACGATCAGTTCAGTTAGTTAATCATCATTGTTGACTTTTTGCTGTTTTCTTTTTATCGTTTAGAAGAAGAAAAAAACTGACATTTGTTCAATTAATTTCTTTTCAATTTAGTCGCAAACAACTGTGTAAAGTAAGACATTAAATTTTAACAACTGTTTCTTATGACTTTTTTGTTGATTTATATCTTTAGTGATATGGAATGTCTCACATTGATAACAAGACTTGAAAATGAAGAATTCTAAACTCAAAAATTTCTCTATCAATGAAGAACCGACAAGTTGTGAATTTTAATTAATTAAGTTGGCAGACCAATTCAACGACGACATAATCAAGCATGCAAAACGTGTGACAATTGCTTCGATGAACTCTCAAATAAGAATTGAAGTCGTGTTATTACTCATGATTTAATTTGATTTCGTTCCTTTGTCTGAATCTCAGACATTAGAAAAAAGAATTCATGGTGAGTTCACATTGAGAATCATCAACTTTATGCAAATTAAGACATTTCAAACTAATTTTTGTATGTGCAAAAGTTGTGTAATTTCACTATAACTAATTCTACAAATTATCGAAGCATGTTGATAGATGACAGAATATTAATTATCATCATCGCTTCAAGGTCGACTTCGAGTGTTTATCGAAAGATCATAAGAAAAGTTGATTAATTAATTCACTTAAACTTATCAACATGTGTCGAATAGCAAGATTATGTTCAATAAATGTAATTCAGATTGACATTTTCAATAAAAGTAAAAGGTGAAGACGAGTCGGTCGATTTACTCTTCATCGTCGTCGTCCACTTGATCGACAGAAACATGTTCTGATTTGAATAATAACGTATTGAGATGAAAGATAATGGAAAGCTCAAGGAATATAAAGTTACAAGCCCAGTGATTGTTTAATGGCAGTAATTGAATGTCACAATCGAGACTAAGACTTAAAAAACGTTTAATTTATGCCTCGTGTTTTCAATCAATTCCATATCGAGTCATACGATTACTAAAATCCCTCCAAGACATTGAATTCATTTTTTACTGCGTTCTTCAGAGGTCATTGACAAGAAAGATGATCAGGAATGCAACTTTTTTGGTGGCTCGTTATTCATCTTTTTTACTTCGAATCTTCATGTCAAAACAAGATGAATTTGATGTCGAAATTGTGCCGTCAAAACAAAAACAAAAATCATCGCATTTTGTCTTCTTTTACTTTCCTTAACTTGCTGCTGGTGTTTTAATGTTTCCTTTCTCATTTAGTATTTAAATTTTTAATTTTTTACATCAAGTTAAGCATTCATCATGATAAAGTAAAAATCTTGCGTCATTTTTTTCACACGTTCAACTTTTCTGCGATATTTGAATGCTTTCAACATTCTTTGGATGGTTTAATGAATTCTTGATGGTGCGAATAAAATTGTCTTACTTAAGTTATCGTTCTCAAAGTCAGTGGAACAATGATTTAAAGAATTTCGCATAATGACAATTGGAAGCGATTAAAAGATCATCGAATGGCATGAATGTAAAGTTTGAGTTTCTATGACTACAACAAAAGGCCATTGAGTGTCTTAAAATCAATGAAACAGACAAAAGAGTTTAATGAATCGCACAATAATGATGCTTCAAAAGAAATTCTTCTCCTAACGTTCCATTTAACTCAAAAAGAAGCTCATAATGATCAGAAAAATATTTCAATGTAATCAATTCTTGCTTAAACTTAGAAGGAAATCGAATTGAAATTCATTTTGTCAAATGACCTACATAAAATATTGCAAGAAAATTTAAACTTTTCAGAGAGTTTTTATGAAGAAAATTTCAAAGTTCACCTTGAAATTGGATAATTATTAAATCGATTGCAAATATTTTAGATATCTAGAAGAAAAAACAAAACTTGTCTAAGGTCAAAATTTAATTCTTCGTCAACTCCCCCAACATTCACTTCGCAATTGCAATCAACATACAAAAGTCTCAAATCCATAATCATTCACCCTGAAAATATTTACTAAGTTCGTTAGTTTTATGTGTTATTAGTTCCTAGACATAATTACAAGTCTTTTCAATAACATAACAACAAAAACGCAGCAACAATTTCCTCGATAGCTTCATGAAATTCGCAAAAGAATGAATGAGTCAGAGAATAATATGGAAAGCCACAATAAGCAATAGAAACATGACATGGTGAGAACGAGTCATGCTCATGGTTTGTGTTTATGTTTGCTGTTATCATAACCATTTATATTATTGTTATTTACCGAAGCATTCGCTACAAACCATTCATGATAAATATTTTTGATTCCCTTCTTTCATTTCGTTTCTTCACGTGAAGAATAATTTTCACTTTTGTTACGTTTTCCCACCACATTTAATTCTCGAATTATGGGAGAACGAAGTAGTAGCAACGGCAGCATATGATGCGGTTTCAGTATTAAAACATTATGATTAATGCTATTAATACATTATAATTATGATTCGTATTTTCTTTCATTCATTCATTTGTTGTTAGCAATAAACTCCCCCACAATTTTATTATTACCTACGAAGTCTTGTTCGTGATTCAAAGACATTTTCACAAGAATCACTTTCAGCTGCAGATTTAAAGTAATTTTTGTGCTGTGTGCCAATTTCAACGAGCGGATGATTCGAGAATAATTTCGCATGAAATTTTATTTCACAATTCTCTCTTTTTAGTAAGTTGAAGGCATGGCAGAAATGAAAAGTGTTTGTGGGTGGAAATAAAACATTACACCGACATTAAAAGAAATCTTTACAGCGTGCAAATCATGAAAGTTAACGATTGGCAAATGATCATTTGAACTTTTTATTTTGTAATTTTAAAATTTAACTCGTGAAGTTTAATTTAACAAAACATTTTCTTGCTCATTAGTATTGTTCAATCTCGTGACTGGCAACATAAAAGAAGCATAAAAGTGTTTCATTATTGGATATGCTGTTCGTAAATAAAATACTTTATTTCTTCATTTTAATGACCGTTTCAAGTGCACCAAACACTGTGATTTGTTTTTTCAATTGTCACTTTTTTATTTGTTGATTAAAGTCATAAGATTTATGTTTTGATTCTTTTACGTGTTGAATGCAAATGATGGTTGAGATGAATAATTGAGTTAAAGAAGTTGCAACATGAAGCATTCATTCAATTCTGTTTATTCTCAAACCTGACTTCAAATCACTTCTTTATTATGTGACAAATCATGTGAATGGTAAAATGTAATTGAGAAAATTTCATTTCAAAACGTTGAGTTGGTAAAATGAATAAAAGTATTTTAATTCTAATTCAATTCAAGAAGGAAACTTTAAGAAAAATCAACGAAAACTTTGATCATTTCAAGTTTAAATATTTCAACAATGAAATATGTTCCCATTGTTTGTTACCAGCATAAAGAGTTGAAAGGATGTTGTCACAGGTGTGAGTTTCTTACTTTGGATTAGTCATCGTATGCTGTTACTGTTTTCCTTCATCTCACTAATCTATTCTGCCACCCATGACTGTCTATGTTGAATGTAAAATCTTGTGCGCCAGGTAACAGAATTATGTAAATTGAATGAACTTTTTTCTCCCTCTCTCTCCTTCTTTTTTCAATTTCAATGATGATCTCATTTGCATAACAGTGGATAACGCATGTTAAGCTTATGAGAAGGAAACAACATGTTGCTTCTCGTGAATAAACAATGAAAAAAGTATTTTCACCTTACACATGAAACTTTATTACATAAATTGTCTCAATCTCATCATATTAACTTCAATAACGTGATGAAGACAAGTAAAACTCGGATCAAAACAAAATTTGAATTTTTTCTTATTCATAGCAGGAAGTTTTCCTGTTGTTATGAGTGAGATATGAATATTTGCAAATCTCACTTCCGTCATAAAGTGATTTCATGAAATTATAAAACGATTAACGTGAACAGTCTTAAAAAAAACAGAATAATATTTCGATATCAAGGTCTTGTCTGTAAAAAATTGTAATTCACTCATTTGCCCAACAATTACGTCTTGTTCAAAGTAATTTTTACCTGAATATTAAAACTAAACCAATTTAAACAATTCTGAAACACGTCAAGAAAAAGAACTTTTAGATTGTTATGAGCTAAGTTTCATCAATTCTACCTCGACGGATGTTTTTATTGTTTGTGTTGCTTCTTGCTAGATTAATTACATTCGTTCGAATAGAAGCAGTAATTTAGTATTTTATTACACGATCTTCAATGAGTGAGAATCGCGGAAACCGTGATTTCTTTGTGTGTCAAAAAATCACTTTATTCGTCGCTTTGTGTTCACAATTCCATGACTTTGACCTTCAACTTGAACCGACAAAGCATACGTAACAATCGCAAAAATGATTTTCCTAAAGCAACAGGTTGCTAATAAATGTTTTTTTATTCATCTCTTTGCAGTATGATAACGTTGAGAGTTGTCTTGCAGTGCTACGCCAAAATCAAGTTGGTGGACTAGAAACGATAACAGCAAAGGTAAAGATTTTAACAATAAAAATAAATGGCTAGCAATACAAACATTCACTTTATTTCCCTACAGGATATTTGTTCGGGTAGATTGAAAGCAGTTTTATCGCTTTTCTTCAGTTTAAGTCGTTACAAGCAGGCAAGCAAACAAAAAACGCCAAGTAAATCCCCACAACCAACAACTTTCATTCATCATCCACAAATTCATCAGCAACCAGTACAACATTTAAACACATCACAAAGCGACATGACAAAAGAACGGTGAGTTATGCTTATCTATTTTGTAATCAAGAATCAAGACTCTTCACTTCAATTGTAATCATTTAACTGTCGAGAAATCAATTTTCAATAATGAAAATTTCATCTGAAGGTATAAAAATTCGTTGAATTTAAAATGTCCGTTAAATTTTTGAAAATTATTCAACGCCATCTACTTGGATTCTGCTATTGAGGATAGCGCACCACGTGACAAAATGCAAAACTAAAACGAATAGAAATTTCTACTCATTTCTTTGAATAGCATGAGTAACTTATTTTGTTCAGGATAATTGAGTAGCAGCATAAATTGCTATTCACTAGAAAATCTTGTGCTAGACAAACTTGAATCTACTCAATAGAAAATGTGAATCTAGATAAAGCAGTAGCAATATAACTCACAAGAAGTTTTAAATCCTAAACCACATAAAATTTTCATTTCCTTTGTATTGAATTACAAAAAAAAATCTTGAATGGAGCTGCATAAATATAATTTTACTCATGGAAAACCATACATGATATGGAATTTATGAATTTATTGCGACTATTTATAAGTTTATAAGAAAGTTGTGATGAAAGATATGACACGAAGTATGAACGATGGAATTAAAATTGCGAAATTTATTGACTTAACTTTTCAATTTACTCAACTCATTCATATTCTCGTTGCCATGACAGTCTTTACTACATGTTCAGTTGCTGAAATGATAAGCAGATTTTGATTTTAATTTCTAATTAGATTTTAACTCAAAGTGTCGTAAATTAGAAGAACTTTTTGAGAACTTCCAGTTCGTAATGTCATCATAAATTTGGATAATAAACGAGCCTAGAAATCAGAGGGCATAAATTCCCTTCAACCCCTTTTTCCTAAGCGTTCTCTTAACTACATGAGGCGATAATTATTAGTTTCGCAACAAACACATCATGAATGTTTGTGTGCGTTTGTGTTTCATGTTCGTTTTGATTCCCAAAGTATCCCGAAAACAAGAGTTGAAAAATGATTTTACGACTCTTTGCGGTACTTTGTCGACCCCTTCGCCTATTTGTCGTTTATCAATGTTTCGAGATAAAAGAAGTGGAAAATTTCAAATGAAGCATATCGAAGTGGAGTTTTAACTTCATCGCTTCTGGCTGCTAATTTTCCCGTTTCATATCTTATTCATTGAAATCTTTATCGTTCCCTATTTGAAACTTCTGTATGTATCTAGAAAATTACTCGCTATTTGCATAGATATTTTTTTAAAACTCATTTTCCAAAGTCTTTTTGTTTGCTTCATGCACACTGCACAACTTTATCACATTGTGGAGTGTGTTGAGTTTTAATTTAACAAAAGACCATTAACAAAAGTTTTATTCTTTAGAAAGTAATTTAAAAGAAATTCACATGCAATGAAACTAGCAAAGAATATTCTTGTAAGGCGGTCTTTCGAAGTGCGGTTCATGAAATTAAATCGAAGTGAACTCGACAATGATTTTGCAGTCATGCGTTGCATACAGAGAAGAAGATGAAAAGAATAAAATTGTTGAAATGATATTTTGGTTTGTTCTCGAACATTTGACATGAGAAATTAAATAAAATTAAATTCTCAACGCACCTAAAACATGATTTAATAAAGGAAATGTTCGTACGATGTTTTGCTTTATGCATTTCTGAGTGCTTTTGAGAATCGATAATAATTCGCAATCAAAGCCAACTCGTAATTTAATTAATTCCAATCTTGCTTCCATACACCGCAGAAATCATTTTAATGAAGAATTTATTCAATTAATAAATCCAACAACTCTCCAAATAATTCTACGAATGCAGCCATTGAAAAGCCAAAAAAGGTTTTGTCGTTTTTTGATTTCTTAAAGTCTCTTCCAAGTTGCAAACCACCCACGCTGTTTAAAAGTTAAATCGAAAACTTTATTGTTGAATTTGTTTTTATTGTGCAAATTTCTCTTCTTTGGAATGAATTGTTGCTCGTAGTCAAACCAGTTCATAACTTTTTTATTCCTCCACCCCCACAGTGATTATTTTTTTCTTAGAAGACGAAGTGAAAAGTTTTATAATGACGACTTTTTTTGCTATAACAATTCAAAACAGAATCTAACTTTAAGATGATGAATAAGAAATTGCTGCACTTCCTTGCACAGCTCGCTTAACGTATACGTTGAGTGAAAAGATCAATTATTGTTGTGTCAGAAATCTCTTTTATTTACATTCTCAAAAACATTTTCATTCTTTTGAGACGTGACTGTTCTCAATGGCTTTAATCTTCTCAATCAAATCTTTTTCACTTGATCTACATTCATTTAAATGATCACTCAATGGCAGACAATTCTTTCCCAAATCGACTTTCATTGTTTCTAAACTGCTTTGATTATAAAATTCATTGATGCACTCATTTTTCTCCAGATCGACTTCGACGAGATTTTTCATCTCATTGAAAGCTTCCGAAGGAATTGAATTTAATTTGTTGTAGCAAAACGAAAGCTTCTGAAGTCTCTCGTTATTCTTCAATAATCCTTTTCCGATACTTTCAAGTTTATTGCTTCCCACGTTCAATTCTTCCAAGTTGACTAGAGAATCGAATGTTTCATCCGCTAGTAAAGAAATTTTATTATCAAAGACATTCAGAAGTTTCAGATTCGACAACGTGTAAAACGCTTTGGAACTCAACATTTCAATTTGATTACCACGCAAATAAAGTTCATTAAGGTTCGTTAGACACTTGAACCAATCTGATCCGATATACAAAAGCTTGTTGTTATCCAAATTAAGATAATTCACTTTGTGTAGATCTTGAAAAACGTTTTTGTGTATGGTGTCAATCTGATTAAAGCCAAGATAAAGATATTCCAAGTCATTAAGATTTTTAAAGTCGCCTGAGAAGAGTTCATCGATCGAAGTATTTAAAATTCGAATTGCTTTGATGTTTTCAAATGAATCTGCAATTCCGCCAGGAATGAACTTCACAAGAAGACTTTCATGTTCTATTCTTAGCACTTCAACATGCTGACTTGAATTCTTTGAGATTGTCATTCCACGAGTAACAATGCTTTGATGTTCGATAATGCATTGGTGAAGTGTTTGATTTGGAAAATACCAGTCGCGGTTTCGAAGTTCAAAGTTGCAATTAAGTTGCTCAGAAAATGTAAAGTTGAACAACAAAATAAAACCAAAAACTGTCGTCTTGACTCTAAATTGAAAGAATTTATAAATTTTTAAAGTTTAAAGTTCTTCAAAAAACTCAAACTCACTTCATTCTTATCAACTTTTTTTTCTCACGTTGAACTTTAAACAACTCAAAGGAATGATAACAACTGAAGCTTCACTTTAGTTCGTCTTGCTTTTATATGATATAAAAATCATGTAAGCTTCAACAATAGATTTCAATTTAAACTTATTTAGTTTTCTAGTTGAATATGAAATGAAACGACACCGAAATTATGTCGAGATAGAATGCGAGAGAGAAGGAAAATAATAATAAAACCGCATTAAAGTTTCCCATGAATTTCAGAATTTTTAAAAGCATTTCAATGATCCTAACGCGACCTATTTGACGACTTCTGCGACCTCAACCATTTGTCACAAATTGCTTAACATTATTAAAATCTCATAAATGTTATCCATACATATGTGTGGAGATCCCTTTTAAGAAATCTGTAATCTGATGCTCAATCAAATGAACGAACAGCAAGCAGCGAAACCATAAAGCAACTGATTCGTTTTCATGAGTTCCCGTCTAATGATGCAATAATGTTTCGGATTTAATGCTTCAATATTTTATTCTTCTGGTTTCCCTTTTTTCGTTTTTTTTTAATAAATTTTGCTTTAGTTGTTCAAATAGATTTATTATTGCACATTACGAGCTAGAGTTTCTGTCTTTCTGTTTCTTTTCTAAACTCCCACCCACTCACACAAACAGACAATTTTTCACTTTCCCTACTTTTATATAAAATTTTTGTCCGTTGCATTCCCGAATATTCTCTCAAATAACGAGTAGAAAAAATAAAATAAAGGAAGAAAATGCCAGAATAAACAAAAAAAATCCATAAGCTCACCCTCGCAAATGTATCATGATTACACGATGATCGGGAGGGGCATTTTTTATATTATGTAACGTCGAGCGTAAATCATTGAGCAGCGTCACATGTGCACATAATTTGTGTTTTTTCTTCATCCGTGCGTGTGCGTATTGGTTTGAATTGCTTGATAAGGGCTTCCAGCTGGACGTTGTACGGAAGCAAGTTATCCAAATGTAAAGACGATTAATCCACAACAATTTTAACCCTTAAAATCCCTTTGAGAGATTCTGAGGATAGCACAGTTTGTGTGTCAAGGATCAAGTCAGGAAATTTATTTGAAATAATTAAACATGTTTGGATTTCGCTAACATAAACAAACAAGAAGACTTCCCAATCTCTTAAATTACTTGAATATATTCAGTTCGAATATTCAGCGTGATAAAAGGTGCTTCAAAGAAGCGGAAAGCCGCCAAAGCTCAATTCCAATAAATTAGAAGGTAGATGGATAGAGAAAAGTGAAACACATTCTTTGATATTTGAAAACCTTTCGATATTTGTTCTGCGAAGTTGACATTTTGACTTTCAGAATGTGGGACGAAATATGTTTGAAGTCTAACATTAGTTTTGATAAAAGAATTTATGTCTTATTTTGTCACTTGAACTGACTTTTGATTCAAAAATCATATTCAACAACCTTGAATATATAAATTCGTTTGCATAAAGAACGACGCGATACCTGCAAGACCCCAAAGAATGAACAGAAAAAAATAAAACGAATGACAAGAAGAAGATAAAAGAACCAAAAAAAATGATTGTCGTTTATGATTGTTGTATGCAAAGTAGACATTTATCTTCAACTTTGAGGATCCTTTGAGGGAATAAACAGCAAAGAAAAAAGAGAAAGTTATGAAGGAGTCGACGAGGGGAGCAAAGGAGATACGAAAAGAAAATCAATAAGGTTTCCATCCATCGTACCTTAGTTGACAGTTTCTCTTTTTCCATGTGGATTAACATTCAGTAAAATTTAGCTAGGCTGTTGGCATTGGCTTGTTGCATGAACTTTCCTTCGTCTCGTCTATGCGTTGACTCTTTTGTCACTATGATTTGGGGTGGAAGAGAAATATGTTCGCTATCTTCGATGATGAACCAACAAAGGAGTTATTATCACACAACCATTCATTTTTCTCGTGTAAATAACAACTAAAAAGGTTTTTTTTGTGTGCTATGTAAAAAATGCGACTAAAAACATGTCCATTTTAATTTACCAAAGCATTGTTCGTTCCGTGCATTGAATAAAGTCAAGGCAATATAATGGTTCATTTACCCCATAAAAAAAGTGTTTCAAATGCAAATTTTCACTTTCATTGCTGAACCTGGCGATGAATGGATGTCATTTGGATGTTTCTCCAATGTAATTCTCATCTCATTTCCTTGCGGAGTAATAAAATTACCATGGAAAAATGAATTATCGACTATCATGGGGATTTCGGTTGAGTAAACAACATGTAACAAGAAATTGGGTGAATAAAGGATTACGTTCATTCTGTTGGCAGAATCGTTAAGAAAACATTGAACGTGAACGTGATTTAGGCTCAACAAACAGCTCCCGTGCGTGAAAGAAATCTTTTGTTCTTCATTGCTCAAACAACCGCAAAAACTGTAAAAATGTCTGTCGTTGTGGAATCATGTGGCATGTTTATTGTTGTCATAAAAACATTGCTTTATGCAACTGTTGCTGTCACATCATGTCGCGTTGCTAAACAAACAAAAAACATTCAATGGTTTCGTTGCATGCGACAAGAGGAAAAAATGTTTTCAGTTCTCAACAAAACCTCATTGAATAAAGTTACTTCGCGCACATCTTCTGATTTTTATTCGTTTACTTTGTTTTTATGTGTTGCTTTTCATTTCGTAAATTATGTTAATTAAAAAATGTTAATTTCAAGTCATTAAGTTGAAAAACTCATTCAATTTATGATCAAGCACTTTATTAGTTTGTGAAATAATTTTTTATACATTTTTGTGTTGTTTTCTTGTGTTAAAATGATAATTGGAAAAAGCTTTCGGAAAAATATTGTATCATGATGATAACCCAAAAAGAAAAGAAAGGAAATGTTATGATTTAAAATATGTTCTGAACCTTTCTTGCCCTCTGTCACCTCGGGCATTCTCCCTGCTTGTTTATGTACGATCCAACAGAGCCCACAATTTCTATGCGAAAAGAACAGATGAAGGTGGTTTCATAAAGGAAATTATTTAAGTGCTTAACAGAACTACAAATTAACTCAAGGAATCCTTAGAAAAGGAAGCAAATAAGTAACTACACACTATTTAAGACAAAAGGCGATGAGACTTCCAATTATAAATTAAAATTTTCTTCATCTTAAATACCACGAGTTGCTAATTATTTAGAAGCAAAAAATGTGTGCAGACATTTTCCTTTTCCTGGATTATTCTCTTCGTACAGAAGTAAAGTAAAATGATGAATAATTAAGGTTTTCAGGGAAAAAGTTTTTTCTTCCTTTTTGTACTATTTTTCGCATCCTTCTAAACGCCAATAAAAAAGGATTAAATATGTTAATTCAGTAGATAAATTCTTACATCAACTTCTTTTTCCTTCTTGTATTCTTCTTTCCACAAGATGTAATCAAGCATAAAAAAATAAGAAAATTAGGAGAAAAACTTCAACACTCGATTGATGAAAATTTTCTTGCATAAATGAAGAAGTTTTCTCAACAACCTCTTAGCTTTTCATCCATCAATGTGGTTTCTTTTCTCATCAAAAGCATTTCTCTGTCTACGCTATCATCATTTACCTGCTTTTACTGTGAAGAAGTCATTTGGCAAAGTAGGAAAGTTTTTTCGCCATTTATTCCGACAACATGAAACGTTTTGCTGTTCTATCTGAAACTTTATTTTTGACATCACGAAGTGGGTGAAATAAATTTTTGCGGGAAAAGTTTTCTTTTTCTCTCTTTTTATCATCATTATCGTTGTGTTGCGTAACTTTTGGTCTTTAATGACAAAGAAGATTTATCATAAATTTAGCTTAATGAAAGCTTATTCTAAATTGAATTTAATTAAACACTCACGGTGTGTGTTTGCAGACACTTCTGAGATGTAAACATCTGAGATTTAGAAGACAGAAAAGCAAAAGTCATTTAGACGTTGGTGTTGCTATTATCGTTGGTCAATAATGACTACGACTAAGTATTTAGGAAGGAAAAACGACTGCGCTACTCTTGTGGCAATGATAAAAACTTTTCCTCATCGGATAGTTTCATCAACATGGAACGCCTGCTACCAGATGACTTGCACTTATTTCATTTCATGGTGTTTGATAAATTCATTAAACTTACTTCACTTTACTAAATGATTTCATGATTTTCTACTCTGCTTCTATTTGTTTTCCGTTCATTTCCGAGCGTGAATCATTTGAAGCGAAAAACGATAAATCACTTGAGCTTCGTACAACCGCAGAAACAACACGAGAAATTCTCACATGTAGTTTGAGCATAAAATCGTCTCGTGAAGATATTTTAGATATTTAAAAAGAAGAAATTGAAAAAAAATCTTCGAGAAGTAAATGAGAAAGCGTAATTACACTAGGGATGGAAAACTATTTTAATGTTGATAGCATCGCAGGGAGATTTTCATCCCTTGCACCTCCCATGATTCTCTTAACCATTTAGAACTCTCAGTAAATAGAAAAAATTTTGTTTTATCATGTTTCAAGCATGTTGTCAGATGAAGATGCTCAACATGACTTTTGGGGGTTACAAATGATGTGAAAATCTTTGTTTTTAAATTAATTTCAAAGTTTGAAATGCTTAAAGTCGACTTGAAGGTGTTGAAATCTTTCAAAGGTCAAAGAACTTTGCATTAAAATCTGAAAAGTTTTCTTGACTATTTTAAAACAATTTTCAGTTTCTTTTAACATTTATCCAAATATTTGTTAAATGAAGTTTCAACTCCAGACAATTTGAAAACGAAAGTGTTGATGAAAATGCTATTTAATTTTTCTTCATTTACAATATTTCTTTTTCACAATTTTCCTCGCGATATTTTCTGCTGCTCAAAATCTAAAAGAAGCGAGGAAAACGGAAAAATTCTTATTTTGGGTTTGAGATATTACTGAGATTTATTTGTGAGGCATTTTTTATGTTTTAAATATGAGTCAGACGCTCTTTAAGGGAATTGTTGGAAAAATGTTTAATTATTCAGTCTTGTAAGTTTGAAAGTTTTAAAATTTTCATAAACAGATTTTCTTTTCATTCCTACATAAAATTTACTTTTAGATAATCAATTTTCCATTCACACAGTGAAATAAAATCTACCGACACGATTGAGAAATTAATGTAAAACATTATTTAAGCGACTTAAGCAATTAAAAGCATCTAAAGAAGACTTTGCAAAGTTTCAAGCGTCAATGGCCCATGTAAAGATTTTCAGCTTTTAAAATTTTTAGCAAATTCGCATTAAACTCTCGAAATAATATTTTGTTAGCTTTTACTAGCTTGTTAATTACAGAGATCGCGTCGTTAGTTAGCAAACAATGTTTGTGTCTCAAAATCAAGTTCAGTTAGGCAAATAAGACAGAAATGATTTTCAAGTTGTTCAACGACAAATTCTTCTGCAAACACAATAAATTAAATATGACGCGATAAGTCTTGCGAAAGTTCTTCTTTAAGATACCAAAACTGAATTGAGATCGATGACATTGAGTTCTTTAGTAACTGTGATAAATTTTGTTTATTTTAAAAGTTGAGCGTGACGATACTTATCAACATCTCCTTTAACACTTCCAATTCACGCAAATTATCAACCTTTAACGAGTTCACAGAATCATAAATTTCTTTTCTCGAACTTTTTCCACTCACATGTGCTTATGCAAAAGAAACTCGCTAACTTCTCCTTCTTCTTCTTGACTTATAATATAACAAAAATTAAACACTTGACACCATGTGTTCACATTCAAACGCACACAATTCATTCTCGATTGCTGAAGATTTATTCCTTCAGCTTTCTTAGTATTCAATGTTTTTTAATAACCGACAGAAGTTTCATTTTAAATGCCATTTGAATTTTACTTCTCGAATGTTGACAGCGTGTGTCGAGTTATATAATTTTCGTGTTCTTTTAGTCGAGAATTTCGATCGAAAGGAAATTGTAAAAAACATTGATGAACTATTGTTTAGATTGTATCCGCTAATCAAGTTTGAATCCCATGCTAGTTTATTTATTCATAGCAATAATTAATGTCTAAGTTGGTAGAAAGGTGCAAAGCTCGTTCGTTAGTTATCGACGATGGTTGAGTTTCTTCACCTGGCACTTCATACATTCAATATTCATGAAGTATCTTCCAACTCATGTTTATAGAGGTATGAAGCGACGCGTTAGACTCTCTTCCGAGTCATAAATTCTTCGCTTTGCTTGTGATTCCAACATTCACAGAATTGTGTCAAATCTTTGCTCAACATCCGAGTTTTTTTTCTCTCTTTTTCTAATTCTAATATTTATGAAAACCATTCAAAGTTAAATTTATTACTGGACTAGAAAGAAATTTATTTGACAAGATTATGTTCTGAATGTTGGGGCTTGGGAAATGAAATATCTCATCAGTTTACTGTCTGCCACCTTGACTCGAAGAATGAGTTAAAAATCTTTTATGTCATGTTCATATCGTTCTACGCTTTCTATCAAACTTCATCTGTTACAGTTTTGTCAAAAGAAGAGAAAAATTCTGTGGAAATCAGTGGAAAATGTAAAACAAGTGAAAATACGATAGGAAAAAAGAAGGAAATCTCGACAACACATGCTACCATCGTCTTAGTGTATCTGATTAATCATACTGGTGGAAAATGAAATGAAATATTAAGAAAATGTGCATCTGAGTGAAAACTTCGAGAAACAAATAAAAATTTCTGAATGTTTTTGAGTTGAGACTCATTCGCATTTTACAAATTGCGCTTTCAAGATTTGTCTCGGGGGTGAAATTAGTAGAATAGAAAAACAGTGAAAAATATCGTTCCATTAATTGAAACTTTTTTATTTCTAAAATGAAGAAATCGTAAAACTTTCTACAAAGAAACTTTATGGTGTTTTAAATTGAAAGCATTCATGAAACAATCCAATGGGCAACTCAAACTCATCAAAGTTGATACGTGAAAAAGGAAGAAATTGTCAGAGTTTGCCATGTTCACCAGATATCCGAAGGTAAAAGCTTGAAGACAGTTTCAATCATTGTGAGACATTCAACATGTACATAATTCTCTTTATTTAATAATTTATAATGAAATCCTAGAGATTGTCGAATTTTAATCGAAAATTTGATTCAATTCATTTCTTGGCTGTTAGTTGAGAATTATTTGAAGTAAGAATTTGTGACACTTAAATTGAAAACAGTGAGAGGAAAAAGATGTCTGACATTTATTGATAAAATACAGTGGAAGCTCGATAAAAGAAAATAGTTTATTGTCACTAATATCTTTTCTGTCTCATTTCACAATCATTCAATATGAAATTTGATGAAATCAGAGACGAGATTATCCAATATTCAGTAAATTCATTCAACTCTTAATTCCCATTATGCATTCATTATTCAATGAGCTTAACATTTGTTATATTCTTTGCTACAGCAATTTATACACCGAACAGCAACAGCAAATGTTTATTTCATATCTACACACCAGATTAAAGTATTTAATGTCCGACGGTAACGACTCATACAATAGCTTGCTATAAAATATTTCAAACTTCTACAAGGCAGAGCTTAATGTTTAAAACTCATAATTTTATTGTCTCTTTATGTGCTTATGCTTCATCGTTTGCCAGGTTTACATAAATGAAATGAAATAAAGACTTAACTTCACGACCAAATGAAATCCGTTGGAATATTGTAAAGTCATGTGAGAAATGACTCGAATGCGAAGAGTTAAATCAAATCTGTGGATTTTGATTCTTTTTCCGTTCTTCAACTTAACTCTTATGTTTAATGCTTTTATGGTTTATGGATTACGACTTCGCCTCCTTCATTGAAGTGTGCTCACGATTGCCAGTAGCAGATGCAGAGAGAAATGAAAACCACAACAAAATTTTGATTTTGAAAAGTATAAAAATATAAAATGCTTAGCGGAAGAAGAAAAGTGAAACATAATAAGACCGCATAAATTTCCTTGTGATTTGTGGATACAGTTTACGACCAGACACTACATTACACTTTGCTTAACTCTCGTCGTGTGCTATGATATCCATTAAACTCTTTTTTGGAAATCCAAAACAGAACCGAAAATAGAGTCGATAAAAGAATCATAAAACTGGAAGCTTAAGGAGTTGATTACGATACTTTTTATGCTTTTTGTGTTTGATTTGAGTGAACAGAGGATGACATGGTCGTGTTAGATAAGAAATGACTAAGAACTAGAATTTTATGGATGGTTGAGATTTGAAGTTTTAGCTTTTACTCGCATTCAATGATTGAAAATCAACTTCGTCTTTTTATTTTACATCAAACTACTTATGGAGATTTCCCTCTAAAGAATAAATGTTTTTATTAGCACTACAGTTGAGTAACTTCCTCGGTAGATTCTTTATAATCACTTCCTGATGTTTAAACAACTTTAAATTATTCGATTCCGCAACTTTTTTGCTGCTCCATTGGACACTTTGCAAACTGTTCAAATTTACGATTTCTTGATTCATTTTTTTCTTTCTTTGTTTTCCCCGAAGCATATCACAAGACAAAAGACAAAGAAACTTAGAATGCTGATAAAGCATAAAAAAACTTTTAATCAGTTGATTACTGCAAATCTGAATCTTTTACCAACGCATTTCAAATAAAAAAGAATTTTTCATTTTAAAGTTTTTATTCTTTCTTGTCGTTGTTGGAGATTTTCACAGGTAAAGAAAGAAAGGAATGAGATTGCTTTAGATTTCTTATTCAGTCAACGAATGATGTTATTGTTTCTTTTACTTCAATGGAACTGCTACGTTCTTCCATTTAAGTTGCAATGAATAAAAGCAAACAATTTAAAGTTTTTACTTTTTCTCAATTTTCATTACTTTTCTGTTTTTCAACACTTTTCAGATTGGTTTAGTTTTTTCTTTCATTCGTCGTCTTCGTTGTCGTCATCGTCATTGCAATTTGTAAACTTTACGGTACTTAGAATCGCTTTAAACTTTCATAGTTCGACTGAAGGTTTATGACTGAATTTAATGTAAATGCTTTGGCATAAATGTTGAACGGGATTGTGTAGTGAAGGATTTTCAATAACTGAAGATTTACTTGCTTTATATTAAATAAATTTACGATGTTATAAATAAGAACCTTAGGAAAATATTTTTGAATTACTCGAAAGCAGGGCTTGACTTGACTTGACTTATCGACTTGAAAGTTTCTTAAGACTTGACTTGTTCGGGTGACTTGACTTGAAATTAAAGTAAGTCAAGTCTGAAACAAAAATTTCACATGGCAGAAAATTTATTATTCAAATTTATATTAATCATTGAATCGAATCACAATAATTAAGCTACTTAATTATTTAAATGATATGCAGAGTCATTATCAAGTTCTTTCATTGAAATCAATTTCTACAATATTTTTCTTTTAAACGTTTTGTTGCTTCTTATTAATGCTTCTCATGTATAACAGCATGAAGTGTCCATTTATGTTTTTATAGCTCATTTAAATGAAAATGGAATTTGATCGTTAAGGAAATTTCAGAGAAATTGATTTTTTTATTTTCTTCTCTTTCGATTTGACATCATGAAGAGTTTAATGTTGTTGAGTCACAAAAGTATTTCGATCTGAATTTCTCACCATAGCAGCCAAGTGCGACGATAATTGAATCATTAAAGTTTTATGAGAAATGAAGATCTTGATTTCAATCTGACTGCATATCAATAAAAACAATTTCACTATTTTTTATCTATTTAAATTGCTTCGCTTTTAACTTTTAATATAAAAATTCTTATAAATTTGAATTCTTTTTATGTTTTTGAACAGACAACTGCCAGTTCCATATAATAAAACAACAAACGGTGGTACAACAGCAATCCCATTACCAGCAACTGTTCTTGTTACAAGAAGAACACCCGATAAGCGATCTTTGCCTGTTCCCAATGGACAGTCTGGAATAGCAAAATATCCATCGGGAACGCCATCATCTGAAAACAGTCGACCAAATAGTCCACCAGACTTTAAAAGTGGCATCAGGTGAGCGTTCGAATAATGTTTTTATCTCTACGTGAATCAACTTTTAAATAAATAATAACATTTGTGAACACAGGTTTCAAGGTAATTGCAAAATCCCACCGAGTCCCTACAACGTGCAAGGAAACAATGGAAATTTATCAAGTAATGAGATTGTACAAGCTCCACAGCAACAGCAGCCACAACAGCAACCGAATGGCACTACAAAGCATTCGATGTTAGACAAGTTGAAGCTTTTCAACAAAGATAAAGATCGCTCAAAGTCTCACACATCAAAGCGCACGAGTTCAAGCAGCGGCTTCTCATCAGCACGCAGTGACTCGAGTTTAAGTTTAAACAACGATTCAAATTTACCAGCACCGTCTAAAGGTAAAAAGAATGAGACAACAACAAATGTTAAATCAACATCGAAAGCATCGAAACTTTTATCGTCAAAGTCTGGAAAAGAACAAACAAGTTCAGGTCTTCCACCACCATCGGTCATTAAATCGTCAACATCAAAAGGCGAAAAGAAGGAAAAAGTTAAATCTGTGGAAATAAATGTTGAGAACCCTTCGGGATCATTGAAGCTTCAAAAAGGTCCAACAGTAAAGTTCCAGCAGTCACCACAGACCATGAATCAACACATAAAACAACAAAATCAACAGCAACAAGCTGTACGAAAGGTCGAAATTAGAACTGAGATGAAGACCGGCTTGGTTCCTCCACAAGTTCAACCGAAAGCAATAATACAACCTGTCACCAGCATCCCCAAGCCTATGGCTGCAATTAAAGGAACAACAAAGCAAGTTGAGTTTAAGAAAGACGAACATTTTGACGTCATTAAGACAGATGGAAAAGTAAATGGCGAACAAAAGATGCAAGTTGTCAATCCACTCAGCATGAGTCCATTACATAATCAATTACTTAATCAACAAAACGGCACGAACACGTCAATGTCAGACTCGATACACTCGACTTCAACAAATAATCATTCGCATTCAAATTCAAGCGAATCGAGCGTCATTTATCGACCTGACTCGGGTTCAGAATTTTATCATTCGAACGTGCCGATGCAACATCGCAATCCCATACCAAATCGGAAATTGGATCACTTTAATGATCCGTTACTAACAAATGGACATAAATTCAACACGATCCCATCGAAAATGAACGGACACGGTGGTAGTGGAAGTCAAATGGCAACAACGATTTTCGAAGAAGACAAGCAGCATGGTGGTTCGACGGTTCCATTACGATCGATAATGCGAAACTTCAACAATCATGTGACGCTTCCAACTCGTGGTTCAAGAAGTGGACAACATTTAGTGAATGGTTATTACGAAGAGAACGGTCAGGGATATTGTAGCGATGGTGACGCTTTACGGAAAAATCCGATTCGTTACACAGATGTTGAGAATGGCTACTTGTCCGAAGGTGGAGGGGTCACAAATCCCCACTTTATGAGCATCTTCCGGAATCGACCACAACTTCCGACAACAATCGAAGAACGGTAAGTGTTTTGATTCAATTAACTTTTAAATCTCTGACGACAATTCTCGTCTCAAAATTTCCTCGAAAGCTTTTAATGATTTTATTAAATTGAAACGTTTTAATGATGATAATGTTGAATGACTTGAACATGACAGAAAACAAAATTAAATACGAGAAATCACATTTATGTTGACAATTTCTAAGTAAATAAATGTAATTAAATTTTAATGTTCGGACATGTTGAAATTCGTGGTGGAAAATCAGAAAAATATGTTGACAAACTAACCACAATGATGGAAACCTCATAATTGCGATAAACATTCACATTATAATGAATTTTGATTTTCCATGTTTAACAACTTGGTTGGAGTAACAATTTTAGATTAAGCGAAATAAAATGAATCCTGAATTGAAAAGTTTTTTGTGGAGGAAATTGTGAAGCATTGAATACAACATGTTGTGGTTGAAAATATGTAAAAACAACATGAATGAGTCATGGGAAATGTGCAGCATTTGTTTATCTCTCTCCGATTGTTTACATTCGACTAATTTTTATTTAATCTGATGTCGAGACTTACTCGATTATTTATGAAAGGGAGAAACGACGAGTGTCATTCACTCGTTTCCAACTTCCCTTTCCTTGTTATGAGAATGTGATAACATCGATAATGGAAATCAAGCTTCATTTTCTTCAACACCCACTTTGAATGTCAATTTTGCAATATGCTGTTGAAAAGAAAAATTCTCTCGGAAATATGTAACTGTCGACTTGTCAGAATGCTTGTTGGTTTCTAACAATTTAAAAGAAAGAAATGAAAGTGAATAAACGACACTGACAAACCTTCCCTTCATTTCCCGTTTTCATCCTTTCTTCCGTGTGTTTAGTAAGAAGAAAATTTCTCAATCGATTGACAAGCTAATCTAGAAGATCTTTTGATCCCTTTTCTTCTTCTCTTTTTCCTTTTGATTGGTAATCTCAATCGATAGAGAATTTGAAGAAAATATACAACAAGAGTAATTCTTGTAGCTTATTCCAAGGACAGAGTCTTTAATTTAAAATAAATTGCTTTTCTTTCCATCACAATTGGTGATATCGAGTTCATTCAATGGACGTTTTAAGAAGGGAAAAATTTCTTCTTAACTCCCAATTTTATGCTTTGTTACAATTCAAACTGAACAAATGTTTATCGATTGACAATAAAGAATTGAATCGAAATGCTTTCTTCTTTGACTTTATCAAGTCTTGATGATAACAACATGTTTTGTTGATATCAAACCAACACCCCGTGGAACTTTTCCCTGTTTTCTAAAACAACAATGATCGCGTGTCGGAAACATCCATTCAACTGTCATAAGCGAATAGTTATCATTTATTTTTCCTCCATTTGACTGAGTGGCTGTGTGTGTAAGTGTGAAAAAGATTAAAGTATTAAGCTCACCATCCAAACACATTAGTCATTCGTGACGAAAAAAATGGTGGAAAAAAAAATCTTTTCAAACTTTTCCCCACTCATGCCTTTTTTTTCTTAAATAAACTTTACGAAACTCTTCATAGTCATTTTTATCATCCCCAAATATTCGAAAAAGGAAAATGTGCGTATGATATCCCCTTCCATCATCATTATCAACATACATCCAAAGAGATAAGTATTAGAAAAGTTTTCGTTCAAAAGAGCAAAGCATGCCAACATTATGACGGAGATGCCTCAAACGAGAAATTTATTTTCTACGCACAGTTTGTCTATGTTTGTAGGGAAAGTTACTGTAACAGAAAATTGAATTGACAAAATTTATATGCTTGGGCACGATATATGGTCCATAATGCATGATAAACTACATAAATATGGAGATTTTTTCTTTCTCTCTTTCAAACCGAATAACCCTAAAAATTAATAGGAAAACTTTTCGCTTTTTATTTTGAAGCGATCGTAATTTTTTTTAGTTAGATATTTTGCTTGATCCGTTTTTCGAGTGAAATAATTTGAAAATCCGGAACTTGTAGATTATCTAACACTCTCTTGCCATATTTTTTCTTATCTTCAGGGGAGCTTTCAATGAGAATTCATTTTGTGAGCTTTTCAATTTTCCGCCGTTGCCGTTAAAATTCATAACATGACGCGAACGCTTCACTGCCCTTTTCCCCTGTAGTGATCCTTAATCTCAGTTGGATATTAATTTAAGCACGAAATGCTGTAAAAGAGCAATATTATGCAAGAAGCACACAAAACAAAAAGAAATGAGAATTCCATCAAATGCTTCCGAGCTCTATAAATTTTATGCAAATTTTATGACAACGTGGAGATTTCGTTTTCTTCTTTCTTCCTTAAACTGAGATTGAGCGAAATAAGAATAAAAAGAAGAAAAGTAAGAAGTAGAAAAGCTTGACGACTCACTGAAAATCTGTTTATCATTAAAATGTCATGAGAGAGTCGCGTAATCATATTTAAATTTGATTTTGAATGATGTCAACGAAGCAGTTTTTTTATGACACTTTTTTTCTGCAGTTCATAAATTGTTGACGAAACATTTCTTTTTACTTAATTTTTTTTCATGATCTATCATCTTTAAATGACTAATCAATAAATTTTCCTAAGCAATAACTCATTATGTTGTATGAAAGCATTTATCATCATTTAACTCAAAATTTTCATCTAAAAACGACAATAAAATTTATGCAAGGTTCCTTTATCGATCATCAGTGTAATTATTAGATTCGTTGGGAGAAATTTCTCAAAATTTATCTTACATTCAGTACTTAAAATTTCAAGTGTCGTTTATTTACACCCTCAACGATGACGGAAGACGTTTTATAGCCTAAAAGTGGGTGTCGATTTCAACATAGGAAGTTTTAATTCAATTTTTCTTCCTGTTTAAATATGAAAGTAAAAATGAAAATCTTTAAAATCACTAGAGGCGAAATCAATGTCATGATTTTCTTCTTTATTTTCTTAATGGATGCGTCAAAATTTTCAGCATATCACAAAACAATCTTTTATTATTCTCGAAGAAAATCTTATAAAAAGATCAAAAGACGGCAATTTGATTGAGATTCCATCAAAGAAATAAACGTGAACATTGTAAAGTTGATAAAGAAAAGTTGAAATATTCCCAAGGCAAATTTTCGATTGGAACTTTAACAAGAATTTTTACTTTTATTATGATAAAAATTGTTTTCAATCTCAAAATATATTCTCCAATATTCATAAATGCCTTTGAGGAGTTTCAATAAAAACATTGAGACAATTAATGTAAATATTAGGTGAAAGATTGAAAAATTTTCAAGTTGGTAGATTGTTCAAGGATTTCAAGTTAAAAGTGATATCAAAATGATTTTAAATATCTGTTAAATTATTTCAAACGTTTGAAAATAAGCTTTTGGGTATTTCACCAAATTGAGAAGCTTTGAATGTTCCAGTTCACCACAATTTTGTATTTCAAATTCCGTGGTGAAGAGAATTTAATATTTGAATGTTTCAGTTTTCACCACGTTTCATGGAACAATTTTCTCATGTTTATGAAATTTCTTCATATTTTCTTGTAACTATTATTTTACGTTTTTCTTTTTATTATTACCTCATACGGATTATCAATCTGATGATATGATTTTCTGGGATGCAATTTAAAGCATTACAACTAAAAATAAATTCATAAATGTCATAGTTATTAAAAAAGGGTAAATTTAAAATTTTAATGAAGGTAAAAAAAGGGAAAGTTGAAATTCATTGGGAAATTTTAAGAGTCAAAGTCGATAAATGTAACGTTTTAACTTTGAAATTTATGCTTCTTTATTTTGCACATTACCGAGAATATCGAAGTAGAAATATTGAAAGGAAAACTGACAAAGTATTCTCGAATATTTTTGGCAACATCATATATGCTTTTCATGCTAAGTTAGGATTTTCCCAATACATAATAGCTTTAAAAAAACTTTCTAAATGGATTATGTTGTCTTGGTAATATTTTAAATTGTACATTCATGGATGGAGAATTTGCATTGGGATTATTTTAAATCAAAAATCTGATTTTTCTCTTAAAGCCTAAAGAAAAAATCACAACTTTTATGACGAATCGTAAAACGTGTCATGATTAAAGATATTTTCGCATTCAACTAGTGTCGGAGAGGATAAGAAAAAGCAATAATAAACGCAATTTGTGATCAATCATAAGCAGATTTATCCACAAAAATATTAAATTAAAGTCTCAGGGAAGGAGAAGAAATGAAAGCTTTTACTTGATCCCTCTGCTTAGACTTTTCTTATCGATTTTTCTTTCAGATAAAATTGTTTGCCTTTTCCTTTTGTTTCAAATCTTCTTCGTTCGACATAAATATTCTTGAAAGTTCATTCTGTATCATAAATTCAGCAATCCAGCTGTAAAAACATTTATAACAAAACAGATGTCAATTTAAACATGATAGAAATCTCAATTATAATTTAAAATTTTTCGTATTCTCTTCTTCCTCAATTAGATGCAGAAGTGGCAAAGAAGGAAATCTCGAAAGTCCCGAAATGGATCAGAATAATGGACAATGTTGGAGTCATGAAAGTAATCAACAAAGGGTAATTGAGATTTTATTATATTTTTAATTACATCCTGATTACAAAATTCTCTCTCCACTTCCTTTTATTCTCATCTCAGATGGTGTCATCGACACACTCAAGACGAAATGGAATCCCAAAGACTCGAACAAAAGGAGTCCCACAAAATTTTGGATACATTAAGCGAACTAATGGAAGTTCAACAGCGACAGAAATGCAAACAAATGCAATGATATCTGGAGGAAGAACAGCTCATGTTTCAGCAGTTCCCAGGGGAAATAAAATAAAAGTATCTGGTGGAACTCAGACGACAAATGGAGATTTTCAATCAAGTAAAAAGTTTTGAAATGTTTTCATAACTTAATTGAATTAATTCATAATTTTATTTTTAGAAGCAAATGTTCAGTACAAAAGTTATTCATTGACTGGTCAAGGCGCTGCTCAACTCAGTCAATCAGTCAAAGAAAGGTTTGGAACGGGAACCAATAGTTTACCCAAATCCGGTTTAGATATGCATGTCTTTCATGCTAGGTTAGCCAAGAGATTTTTATTCCTTTCTTTAACATTTCTTGCTTTCACCTTTCCATCTTTGATCTTTTCTATTACTAACAAAATTTCTTGTGAATATTCCTTGAACTTAAATAGAATGGCAAATCGTGGTGCGACTAGAATTACTGATGGTAGTCTCTCTGACACTTATTCCGACATTAAAGATTATAGTTCCTATTCGATGTGGTTGAAGCATAGCAACACATCAAGTAGATTGTCAGATGGCGGTGAATCAGTCGATAGTGCTACAATCATAGCTAGAAATCAAAGATTGATTCAGCACAGAAATTCGACTCAATCACCGGGTCTTAAACTCAATAGAAGCAACAGTATCAGGTACTTAAAATTATTTTCTAAATTGAGTAGATTTATTTTAATTCGGAGAGTTTAAAATTTACGAATGGGTTGTTGAGTTGTTGGTTTTATTAATTTTTCGAATACTTTTTTTTAAATGAATTACAATGATCAGCTACTTAAGAGACCGGACATATCCAAGGTAGATAGTGTTGAATTACTTTAAGATCAATGCTTGAATCAATTCGCACAGTTTCGCATGAAAATTCTATTCGCACAGTAAAATGAAAGTTGTTTTGTCAACTGACATCAGTAAATCTTTTATTCCCTCAATATTCTCTCTTCTAAGATGCTTCATATGTCTTGTTTGTTATTCAAACATAAAAGTGTATTTAAATAAGCTGTAAGAAGCTTAACTTCAAAAAGCTTCTATCGAAGCTTGAATAAATATCAAAATAATCATTTCCTAACAAAACATCTCATGCATGTTGACACTGAAAACTTTTGCAAAGCTCCTTAATTTTATTTTCCATTGTTGAATGTTTTCTTTCCTTGTAAGTCGCTATAAGAATTTTCTTTCACACAAATTTCAATTTTATTTTAATTTACAATGATTTTCTTTTTTCTAGATCAACAAAGTCAGAAAAACTTTACCCAACGATGTTAAGTCGTGGTCCAGAAATTGAAACTGAACCGTATTATTGCTTGCCAGTGAGTGGATCAGTGTGGAGTCAACCAACATCGCCAACTCCACGAAGTCTTGTTGGGCTTCTCTCACCTACACACACCAACCACAGACTAATCCATCAAAAGAAAAATGATGAAGGTAAGCGATTAATTCAACCTAATAAGTCATTGAAATAAGCAAAATATTCTTTGGTTTGAAGCTCACAGCAGTCAAATATCATTAATGTCTGGAGGGTCGTCGATGTATGGTTCAACAACTGAAGAACAACGTCAAGTCAATGAAGTACGTCGTCTCAAACGTGAGTTGACGGACGCACGTGAACAAGTTATGAGTTTATCAAGTCAACTGTCAACAAACGTAAGTAGAGAAATTTCTGTTTACATTCCAATTGCTTTCCTGAATGAAATTCTCATTCTGAGTTGTGTTTTTGTCAAGTTTTCATCAATATTAACAAGTTAGGATTAAGAGAGAAATCTGAAGATGATGTTATTGAAATATTTATTAATTTATTTATTTTTGTTTATTTAATTCTCGGAATGAGTGAAAATTATGACGTTTAAATACCGGCAAACCAAAAAAGTGTCAAATATGCTCGCAATTTTATTTATTAAGTTATCAACATTTGCAAATGATTAAACAAACATTCCATTAATCCTTTCGAACTGTGATGTAAGCGTCGTATCCACCCACATCTTGTTCCTTTCTTTTCATTCTTAATTCAACTTTCCAATTTTCACCTCCTGGAATAGTTTTAGGAAGCAAATTTCTTTTATCTTCACAAACATAATCTTTAAGTTCGTAAACTCCTTTTGGATATGGACAAGTCTTCCATGCAACACGTGGAGTTATAAAGTTCTCAATGTCTTCGTACGATTCTTTGAGCGTTTCGTTTTTGTATTCGTACAACGTGCAAACGTTTGTAATTTTCTTGCTTACAATTTTATTGTATTTACCATCAGCAAAATTGTAAGCAGTTCCTTCAGCATCAAATTCTTCGCCGATATCTTCCAAAAGTTCCATTACACCGTTTAAGGTTTTCCTGGAAATGAATGCAACAAATCATGTAATTAAATTCAAATTAAGATTTAAAATGATTTTCACGTGGATTCGTTAAAGTTTTTCAATTCGAATGACTTCAATTTTGTTACGTCTCCGTCTTTTCCCGGCACTTGTTCTAACTTTTCAATGATTATTTCATACGCTGAAGCCTAAAAGAATTGAACGTTAAAGTTGTTGGAAAATCTCAAAGACTTCAAAAAAATATTTACAGCACAAATCAAAACCAATTGCAATAATAAAAATTTTAAATTCATTTTAATTTTTTTCTAATTGCTTTTAAATCACGAAGTGAAGTGAATTAATTTTATTCTGAGCTTATATAGCGCAATATTGCTTAATTAATAAATTGCTTCATTTTTATGATGTTCGATTGCATCGAGAAGATTCGTGTTTCGCTGTTTCAATGATTTTAATGAGACGAGAACAGTAAAAATAATTAACAATTATTTATTGCTACAATCACGTTTCTTATCAAATGTTCAAATTTATATAAATATCTAAAACTTGATGATAAATTTATTAGTTGATTTTTGTAGAAATTAAATCGATGCTGATCTCGAACAATTTAAAATTTAATTTTCTTGACGGAACCTGACATAAAAGTTGTAACCACCAAAATTCTTTCCTTCTTTCATTAAAATCATGTATCAGTCATCCACTTCGCTTCTAGAATTTCTGAATCTCCACAAACATAATAAAATGATTCATCATTCAGAACTAAGGGATTTTGCTTAAATATGATAACAGAAATCACTTCCTCTAAATTGTTATCTGAATTACAATTCCGTTCTTCAACATAACAAACCCGTTGGAAATGTAACGAATTTAATACGAATTGGCATAAACAATTAGTAAGAGTTTCAATTACGAGTAACGTAGCAGAAAAATGAATCACGTTGCGAAATTCCATCCCAAACTCAAAGGCATCAGTTTCTTGTTCTTTAAGAGACTTTGAAATCAAATCTTGATAAAAATGAACACAAATATGTAGTTTGTTAGAAAGCGAAGAAAATAAACTTGAAAAATGTCAGCCGACTGTATCAAATTAATTCGATTATGTGAGGATCGTAAATAAAATTATTGGTGCTTCTAAGGTAGCATGAAATGCCATGCCATGGGAATATCTTGTTCGAGTTCTTCTGCTTCCTTTTTTATTTTAATCGTTCTCATCCTTTCGTTTGAGTTCGTCTTGTGTTTAAGTGTAACAATTATCGAAATCATCTAAGGGGAACATCTGAAGGCGGTTTTGAAAGAATAATCAAAAGGAAGATCAACGAAAATAAGAGTTTAAGCAATGAAAGGCAATGAATCACTGATAACGTTAGAACAACCCTCGCAATCATCATATTTGTGGGATTTTCATTACTGAGCTTCACTGTCTCGTTGATTAATAAAATTAAATTGTTTTATGAACATAAAATTATTCCGATTGAAATGAATTTGAGTAACATTCAGACAAACAGAGTGAAAAGAGTTTTGAGATAAATGAAATTTGTGGTTGAATGATGCAGCAAAAAAAATAAAAAAAATATTTGAAATCTTCTTAAATATTCAATATTGAAAGTTAAAAGAAGTTCATTGAATGCAATGTCAGACCTCAGACACTTTTTTTCTTTTCTTTTTTATTTCGAGTAAGATTTTTACATTTTTTTTGGGATCATTTCATGACCGTTTGAGAAAAAAGAAGAAAAAAAATTACCTGATCACCAATCAGTCGTTAAGAAAGAAGAAACTTCTTTCTTCCTCAACACCTGAGAGTATTTACGGCAGTTATTCAATGTTGAAGTTGTGGATTGAGAATTGAAAAATAAAAGAACGTCTTTGTTTAGATCATTTTCTCTTTTTTCTATTCTTTGCCTTCGTTTCCTTGTATTCTTCTCTGAAATTGCTTCAACTTTTTATGTGCCCATGTTGAAGATATATCATCGTCATCGTCGTCATAAACATTACTTGTACACTAAGAACTTCATCAATTTATGGAGATCAGATGGTTTGTGTACTGGTCGAGACATTTACAATCTTCTAATTTTTTGTTTATTTTCTTTTTTATACTCGAAGTGCATTCGAGTGAAGTTCCACAAAGAAACTTAATGCAAATAATAATTTTGTTGAGGTTTGCATATCCGGAAGGTAAATTTGTAATTTTAAGGAACTTTATATTGAGAAACATAAAACAATTAACTTTGTTAAAGCATAGATCATAGATTAGTTACTAATACTAAGATTGATACTCGCTCAACCACACATCACCATCTAAATATCAAAAAATCATTTAATTGACTCACAAACACAAAACATAAGGAAAGAGCAAGGCTTGAATGTTAATGATTTTCAAATAATCGAATGTCTTTCATTCAGCAACATAGTCGTCAGTTTTCCATTCTCATTTCTTTCTCAAACATTGAAAATATCAAATAAAAATTTTCTGTGAGTTAAGTTAAGTTAGTGTTGGAGTTGTGAAGTGCTCAGAGAGTGAGTTTGAGAGAGGATCATCATCAACTCACTATTAGTAACAAACTTTTCTGTCGAACTCAGTTTAGTTTGTGAGAAAGAATTAAACGCCTCGGAGTGTTTTTTGTTTTCCTTCTGTTCACTTGAAATATTCGAAATTTAAGTGCAACGGGGCAAGTGTTACTCGATGCAGAAAGCAATGGAGAATCATTGCAACGAAGCGCAAAGATCATTTACATAAAATCGAAATATTTATGTTGCGGTCTAAAATTTTACTGCAGTTTTGTGTGTTTTTCGACTCCTTCATCTTGATAATCAATTAAAGAATCATAAAGAAGTCTTTGTGGCTTGAGATTTGCAGAGTAGCAAATATTGTGCAAATGAAATGATGTGAAAAGAAATATTAAATTAAGCATTATTTGAGAAAAGAACAGATAAAAGAAATATTCTGAGGAATAAAAATCAATGATTAAAGTTCAAAAGTGTTTTTGTGTTAAATGAAACAGGATTTCACTTGAATAAGTAATTGTGGTGATAAAAAATGTGATTTAATAATAAATTTGTTTTTCGAAATGATATTGAAATGTTTTGCGTTGATTTTTATTGCGAGGTTTGAAATCGTGAAGTTTCTTAAAGAAGAAAATAAGTTTTTGATATTTGAAATCGAATAATGACACCGTCACTCGACTTGACTTCTTTCTTGGTAAAAGAAATGACTCGAAACAATAGAAATTACTTCTCTTCACTTATTTATTCATGCTTAGAATGCAAGCCATTGCTTATGGGAATTCTAGAAAGCCTTTTCCTATTCTCGTTGCAAGAGGAAAACAATAACGTAAATATTTTAATGAGAAGAGTAGGAAAATTATTTCATTTCTTAAACAAACATTCGCTTGTGCAATGCGACAGTAAACATAAACAATTCTCAATCTTTTTTTTGCCTCATTTTGCTACGTGAAATATTTATTTAGAATGCACATTTTTTCCCTTCAATTATGTGCACATTGTCGTCTCTCTTTCTGCTTTGTTCACTCTGCTAGTTCATGCTGGTGTTTAGAAACATCTGGCTGCCAAAATATGATATTACCCAATGCCAAACATAGACAAATTCATCTTTCTCGTAACACTTAAAAGAATATTTCGACTTGAGGGCAAAGTTAAAAGCTAGAAGCTGTTTGAATGAAAATTAGTTTAAATGTACGGTTGAAGAAGCGTTCAAGACGATTACAGAAGACTGTGAGACGAGTAATAATTCTTTCTAGGTAGAAAGTCTTTCGCATGAAACTTTCCGAGTCGTAATTCAAATTTCATGGTTGGAAAAAAATTCTTTTTAGAAGTTTAAACTTGGAAATAATGAAATTATTTTTCTTCCATTGCTTGCTCTGTAAAAGTGTCTTCATGAAGTGCAATCACATAACAAGCATTTGAGACTGAAATAAAAATTAATCCTTTCCAAAAACCTGTAATTACGAAAGTACAAATTTAAAATTTATTAAAACTAAAGGAAGACAAATTTCTGCAACAATTTGCCATTCTCATGCATGGTTAAATATTTTCAGTAATTAACTTAAACAGAATTGAATTTACGATCATATTACTTTCGAATGAAAAACAAGAGTTCTAAATGGAAATTATTTTTCCCCTTTATTGTAATTTAATTCAATTCAAAAGTAAAGCACAAGAAAGCGAGACTGAAACAAACAATCGAAGATTTGATTTGACGTCTCACGTTCACTTAAGCTACTTATTAATCAGTTGCAGCAATAAAAATTAAAGCTCATGTCAATCATTTTATTGCAATTATTGTTCCGTTTCAAGTTATGCGACTTGCGCAATGAGTCTCTTGAGTGCACTTTAATATAACAATCATTGTTGATTTAACAACAACTTCCCATGCAAATATTTTACCACGCATTCTGCAAACCTATTTTTACATTTATTGTACACATAAATAAACTCAATAGACATTACAATTACTTTTTAATTCAAATTTCCATTAATCTCAGGGAGAATTCTGCTTTATGTTGCATGCTTTGCGGGTGTTGCATATTTCAATAATTTATTAATTTTTCCTAGCACAAGACAATAAAAAATCTTTTAAGAAAACTCAGTTTCAAAGTCAAGTCGTCTATAAAAGGGATTAAGAATTTAAGTAATGTTCATGTGACTGATTTCTGTCTTAAATAACAAATACAATTCATCTTCAATGGCTTTGCGTAGATGCTTTCCATTCGCTTTTCTTGTTTTTGTAGACAGTAACATTATTCAGAGCTCAACTTCAAGTGTTTTACAAATTTTGTTTGTTCTCCAACCACATGTTGGAGTTTTGATAATAATTTGTGTACCTACTCGAATCGATTGTCGTTAAAATAGTTGCTATTGCTAAGCGAAGTGACGTTTGTCGGTGCTTAGTTTTACAACAATTATTGAAACAAGTGACGACCTTGGTCACGATGATGCCATTTTTCATACTTCATTTCATTCGCTTCACTTGCTTCTTAAATCGTGATTTACACGATTGACAATTGCATTTATTGTTTTGAGTTGTGAACTTGTTCTTCAAATTTAAATGGAAAAAAATATTTTTCTGACCTTCCCGTTAATGAAATTGCTGATAAAAACGTAAACAAAAAAATTCTTTGAAATCTCTCATTTTAATTATGAGAGGATTACATGAAGCTACGCTTAAGCTTAAGCTCAGTTTGTAATTATCGATAAATATTTCATAATCAATCGAATGAAATTCCAAGATGTACGATGATGCACCTTCTTTACCTTTCACGAATCAATTTAATGAATCGACAACCGGTTTGTCTCGTGGCGACATTGTGCCAATAACATGAGAAATCAAGAAAGAAAGCAACAACAAAAGACCAAATCGAATAACTCAGCTTCATAAACAAGATTTAAGACAATTTTTCATTATAATTCGATGTTCATTAGCCAAAAATAAAAGGCAAACGCCAACATGCAAAAAAGAAGTTTCAAAGTGCTGACTACTCGCTGCACCAGCTCATTTCCATTTACAAGTCACAACCAGAAATTAAAGGAAAACACTGAAACTTAATATTCAACTTCATGGTCATTAAGCGAAATTGAAGAAAATACAAAAATAAATGAACTCACCAGCATATGCTGCTTAAACTTGTTGTTGCTTAGCTTAAATTGCTTATTATTCACTTTCCTGTTAATCCACCCGAAAAAAAAATAAAGTCTTTAATCTCATAACGTCTATCTCCGTTAACGGAGCATTAAAATTACTTAAAAATCAGGAATGGGGAACAATTTCGTTCGTTTTTATAAATAAAAAGTTTCAATTCTGACTCTCAACCCAGCCCTGGTTGAAGACAAGGCAAAGAAGGGAATAAATTTTGGTCACTAATAGTTGCAACTTATTAGTAAAATGAATTGCATTCATTCGTTAAGTTGCTGTTTATTAACAATGAAGTAACAATTAATTATCAGTGTTTATCACCAACTTTTAATATCCAACAACGTTTCGACATTTTCTTTTTTAATTTCAAGATAAGATTACGAGTCGAGACAAAAATGAAAAAAGATACGCAAAACACTTAAATTGTATTCACACGTTTTTCTCTCATTAATTATTCTCATTTTTCACTGTTGATTCAAAAGTCTAATAAAGATTCAATAGCGAATGATTCTTCAATTCAAAAACTTCAGTCACAGTCTCGTCGAGAATGTTTGTTTGTCCCTTCAACAGAGAAATTCATGATGCAACTCATGAATATCTTTAAAATTCATTTCTTTCGATATTTATTTAACATTCGAGTCGTTGTTACAAATGTACGTGAGAAGCTTTGAAAGTTATTCAAGCAAAGTTGATTATCAATTTATTTAGATAACCCTGCATTTGATCATCTGTCATCACATGATCTTTTTGCGCTAGAATTCATTCTCGTTCATCATTCGTGACTGATAAGAAAAGAAAACATGTAAACAAAGCTTTTGAATCTTCAGCGTTTTTGGATTCTACTACAAACTACGGCACATGTAATTCAAGCTGTTATCTAATCAATAAGCGTTAAAATAAATTATTGAGATTGTAAAGTCGACACGGAACATCAGTTCAATATCACTTCGAAAAACTTAACCGAATCTGTGATTATTTACAGTCTGTCACTATGTTGTGATTGAGTAAACTTTAACTTTTAAAAATAAAAATCTTGAACTTTAAAAAAGCATAAATCGGATTAAATTTGATTGCGGTCATCATTTTCCATATTCCAAAGAAAAGAAGTGAAATAAAAAAGCAGTCGTGTGATGGCAATGGTCAAAGCTCAAATACCAGAAGGTTATGCAACAATTCGTCGCAGTACAAGTCGAGCAAGAAAATTACGAACAGCATCAACGACGTCACATGATAATCAGCCGCAATTTGAGATGATTGAAATGAACGAACGAAATTCAATTAGTCGAAAATATGAATCTGATATTTTGTACAATAATCGTCAGAATAATATTTACGATGATGCTGGTGAGGTCGATGAAGGCGTGATAAATGACATTGAAACAGACAGATTCTACCAGAATAATGACGTGAAGAAGGATTATTTTGGTGATAGTCAAAGAACATTTCAGACATTCAAACCACCGACAACTAATGGATTGTTAAATGACATGGAAACGAGTGTCAGTTCTAAGGATTTAAGGCAATCAAATGAACACTTTCAGTCATTACCGTATGACTTGCTTATGTCGCCTTTGAAGTCACCCCATTATATTAATCAACTGAATGCAATGCGTAATAACAAACCGATTGGTGGCGATGCAGCTGCACAACGGCAAAAACAATTTCCGTTGTATGCACGCCCTGACAGTCCTCAAAAGTATGGGAAAGGAACTTACAATCGATCAACTTCACCATCAGCTGATAGCATGGACAATTGTTCATCAAACTCATCAACATATTCGTCGGCATATCGACAACCGTCATCATCGGTGTTGAGTCAAGACGATGAGAATTTAGTTTTAATTAATATCAATAATGATGTGAACAGCAGAAAACCGCCGATGAAAAACACCAACTTGAGTTATCGAAAGTCATTCAGCCATATTAATCGCACCCACCAACAGAATGGTGATGTTAATGGAAACAGGAAGTTCACTGGTAGCTTCAGCAACAATCGATCGAAAGCGTACAACACAAGCGACAGTCAAGAGTTCATTAATTATGAGAAGCCATCAATTAGTACTTTAACAATGACAAAACCACTTGGCGTACCTTCCATTTCGACCTCAAACTTATACACTCGACAACGATTTGCAACATTATCTCATCCTAAAGAGAAGCAACTACAAAGTGTTAGCACGAAGTCGACGTCGTCGCTTAACGAGAATCACGTTTTTCGGGATCCAATATTGGACAGTAAAATTGGATCTCAAACAACATTAAGAACAAAACCAATCGTGCCTTGGTGGGAGCTTGCTTGTAAAAAGGAACATCGACAAAGTTGTCCCCCGATGCAGGTTAATATTTGTTTTTCTTTTTTATTTATTTCTTATTTGCTTCTTGCATTTTCAACATTGATAACCGAAAAGCGAGAAGTGAGAGAAACCACAACCAGTTTTCAATTTCCCTTATGGGAATGCTTTGTTAGTTAAATCACGTCGTGATAGTTCTGACATTATTGGAATGTTTAATGCAACTGACAAAACTTGATGTTGTCCCCATTTGTTTCTTAAATGATTTACATTGTAAGATTTTTAATCGAATTTAAAATCGTTGTCTAAAAAAACTTGAAATGTTTTCATTTTAAAATAAACTGAAGAAAGGTTCAAGAGTCTCGAATTTTTCTTTTACTTATAAAACGATTGTGATATTCTTAAACTGATAAACAAACAAAAATACATTTTGAGTTTGTTGAAGAAAAGCTCAACACCCAGCGGGGAGTAAACTGATCAAAATAGTGAAAAACAGTAAAAAATATTTCTCGTCTTCGATTTCTAAAAGGCGTCATCATTTCACACAACTTCAGAATTGTTTATTTGTTGATTGCATAACATTTTTCATCTCGTAGCTTAATGTTGCGTTGAAAGAAGTTCGCTTATTTAAATGGCAAGTTAAAAATTATCGTACGTCAAAGCTTATAACAATAATAAAAGAAGAAGAAGATGAAGGAATAGGAAAAGACTTGGAAACATTGTTTAGATTCAAAACATATGTTATCATTTCATGTCTACACACATGTTTGTCTTTACGAATCATTTGAAACCTCTCAGCCCTTTGTGAACCACATTGAAGTGAAGACAAATCGATTTATGTTAAAAAGAAATGGTTTATTCATTCGTAGAAGCTGAACTGGTTGTGTCTTGAGGTCGTCTTGATTAATTCTATTTAGAAGTTTTTTTATTTCATTCCACTCGATGGATCTTTATATTTTAAGGAACACAAAAACATGTTTTTTGGATTCCAACTATCAGATTACAAACAAATCAAAGCGAAGCGAAGAATCTTTTTTTTTTCGCACGCCATCGTTGATTTTTTTTATCAACAAACACTCAAAAAAGATTTAAAAATTTAAGAATTCAAACAAGATTAACAGAGAAGGAAAAATTCCACAGTTTCTATCTGAAGTTGAATAACATCAACCAAATAATGTTTCAAATTTTGAAGTCAAATGAACGAAATGAGAAGGAAGTTTGTCTAAACATTAATGAATTGTTGATGTACAAAAGTGTAATTAAAAATGATTGAAAGATCTTGAAACACTTGTAGACGACTGCGGTTGTGTTTATGTAGATCATTGTCGACGGAAAACGAAAAATAATATCACAAGTCATTGTTAAAGCACACGAATTTGAATTTCATTGTCAAGGCTGTGTACAAAGATCATATAAAACTCTTTCAACAATGTCCATTGATTGCTAAGTAGACATGCGTCTAAGTATCAAGCAATTGCCAAATTTAGACGCCAGGAAATAAATAAATTCGCATTTTGAAATCATTAATTATCATTAAGTGTAAAATTATTCGAAATCAATTAACGTTTTCAAGCTCAAAACTTCTGTGATCAACCCACAAACTGCCGAACATCAAATTCTAGTCGAAAAAAATATTTTCTTTGTTAGCTTTTTGGATTTTTAAATAAATTAACACTTTTTTTCTTATTTTTTTGTTACGCCATCGCACACATTCTTAAATTCGCAACAAAAATCTGGTCGTTGTTGAAGCCTACAGAAAGCAATAAAATGAGAGCCGGCTTATAAAAAAATAAATAAATTGACGACTATTTTTGGTGTCAAAGACGCGAAAGGATTCATTAAAACTCTGTTGGTTTTTGGTTTTCTTTTTCGCCATGCCATGCTTCAAATTGCTGCATTTTAATGACTTCACCAGACATTCAATGCTCGCCAACTGACATATTAACCTTGCACATTAGTCTGACATCGTCACTGACTCAACTTCTAATCTTATTTCATTGTCGTTAATTCAATTTCAGTGTTTAAGAAATTAATTGACTTCAAATTAAATCAACAACAGCAACAACTAAAGTTTCATATCATGATTGCAATCAAACAAGGCCTGAACGCAGGCTTGTTATTTCTTAGATGTCGTAAACAAATCAAATTTGTTGCACTTTATGCCCTTTGTACGAACTTGTATATTGTGTTAACCACAAGTCACTGTGTCTACAATGTCGGTGATTATTATTATAATATGTGAAACATAAAAAATCATTTAAATAATTAAACAAACGATCAAACATGAAATTCGTTGAAGTTGTGAATTTTCAAACTTTTCGTCAGTCAATATCGTGAATAAGAGTTGAAAATTTCATCATCAGACTAAGAGGCATAAGTGCCAAACAGTCAGTTACTGGAATTAAAATTGCTTTATTGCATGCCTTAACTTAGTTGATTGTATGCAATTTATGTTAGAGGTCAGTAATTGAGAATGGAACAGCTACTGGTACGATGACGATAGCTTAATAAATTGTTTTTAAATTGTCTTACCATGCATTGGTCATTAACCGATAAATTGAGATTTCTTATCTAATGAAACAATGAAATTTAAAAGCTTCGATTAAAAATTATCGATGACAAAATCGTTCAAAGAATTCGCAAATATCATTTGAATCATACAATGAAATCAATTGATTAATTAAATTGCCATTAATTGAAATAACGAGTTCAACTAATTTCCATAATTTCTGAAAGAAAAAAACGAGTTCGTGTGAACTAGAATCGTGTCTTTGAATAGCATTTCATGATGTGTGTCTGACTAAGAAAATATTTCTTTATAATTCATTTCAAAATACATTTCTCGATGACATTATAAAAAGTTTTAAAATACCAATGAACTTCGTTCTTCTTTTTTATTTCCTTTACCGATAATCACCCGTAATTCCAGTCTCGTAACATCGCATCGGTGACATCAACAAATTTGTAAAAAATAAAACGAAACCGTTCAAAGTGAAATGATGAAGTTGTCGGAAGCGATTGTTAAGTAAACATGAAAAGTATTTCTTCGATGTTATCTCAAGACCCTCAACTTATCATTTACATAATACTTCATCGTCCAAAAACAATGCACAAGGTGTTGTTTAAGTAAATTGTTGATGTTTTCACTCAAGTGATGTGGTAGCTTTTGTTGTTTCAATTGCAGCTAAAGCCGACTTAAATCCTTTAATTTTCAACTTCCACTTGAATTAAGTTTCAATAGAGTTCGATTGCGTGGTGATCTGAATCGTGCTTTCTTAATCCATTGAAATTTATTTATTTTTCCTTTCGATTCGTAAACACAATCGAGAGAGAGAGAAAAGTTGTAAACATAACATCGTCGTGTCGTTAGCAACCGGGAAAGAGAAAAATAAAATATGTAAACCCACTCGAATGTACACAAAGATTTGAAGTCACAAATCGAGAAATAATTGAGCAACAAATTCTTTAAATATTAATAACTTATGGCCTACATTGCTTCAGTTGAAATTCATTGTTTGCTATTCGTAATTATTTTCCTCTCGTGTGTGTCTCGCGCTTTGTTCTTTGAAGGGTCAATTGGAAGACAATCGAGATAAATAAAAATTTATATGAAGGCACTTGGTGGGTCAGACATTTCAAAAACTTTTTTTTCTTCTGTTTGTTTGTTGCCGATATGAGAGAAAAAAAATCTTTGAATAATTTTATTTGCAAATTTATTTCTGAGTCAGAAGAATTTGTTGGATTTGAATGTTAATTCATAAAAAGCTTTTGATTATATTTATTTAGCTTAGAAACATGGACTTTAGTTTCAAAGGTTGATAACGTTTGATGATAAATTCAAAGTCATGACATTTATGATCACTGATAGCATTAACGACACCACCAATATCGTCTTTGAAAGACAACGCAGCTTGCTTCTTAATTGGCTTTTTGCATAAATTTTTTGCCTGACAATCAAGCAAAAAAAAGATGAGGAACGAAGGAGAATCATAAAAGAAGATCGAAAAATAAAGAAACGAATTGAATGATCAAATTGTAAAAAATAAAAATTGATTTGCTTGAAATTGTACGCAAAATAATTCTTAAGAGATCATTGCGAACTTGTTAAATAGCCTTCGAACCAAAAATATAAAAGAAGTAATGAAAACAAATATTTTTCGGGGGCGGTAAGAAGCAGTGATTGAAGTTCATCAAATCCTTGTCAGATGAAAAACAATTTTAAAACAAAAATCATTTGCAATCAACTAAATATGGTCGTGTGAAGTCGGTGAAGTTAATTACATATCGTGGTTCGTGATGACAGATTTTTATGATAATTATGACTCTCTTTTTCACTTAAAATATTTTGTGTCGTGACATTCGTGAGGAGATGAAAAGTGATTTGAAAGTTATTAATTACAAGTCATTATCATGAGAGGCGGCAAGTGACTTGAATTATTTGTAAGCAGTTAGTGTATGAATAATTTATAATTACCACAGTATGAATATGACAATTATTCTTCCCATCGGCTCTCTTAGTTATCGAACAATTAAGTAAAGCTGGAAAATTGCTTTTTAATTTGAATATTTAATCACAGAAATTTGTTAGCGCAAATTTCTTCGTGTCGGTAAAACAGATTTTGTGTTAAAATCCGTAATTGCTACCAGGCAGCTTTCTATCAGCCAGCATTCATTTGTTGCATTTGCAACCTACTGTGTTTGTAAATTCTGAAGCATTAATCAAAAGAACTTACCGGCAAATTCCTGAAGCCATTTAACTCACTGTGAATTTCACAATTCTCATGCGCAGAAACATATGACGACGCTAACTGTTAGTCAGAAACCTTAACACTTTAATTGAATGAATAAATGAAGAAAACAATTTAACCTGCTTTCGAACTATTAAAAACCTCTCTCGAGGGAAATATGAAATCAATTTGAAGTAGGTATGAAAATTAGTTGAACAACAACTTTTTTATGATTGATTTTTCATTCGCACAACAAAGTTTTGTTGCACAAGATGTGAAGTTGAAGTGATGCAAATTGTGTGGGCATCTTATGATTGAATACAGAAAATATAAAATGTGCTATGCCCGCATTCGAACGCATTTGAATGAATGAAAATGGAGAAAAAGGTCTCGTATTAAATAATAATTTAAGCAACATGATTAACTATCGTGAATATAACGGTAGTCGATGAAGTATTGAATGAAACCTTTTTATAAAACTGAAAACTTTTATTCATTTCAATAGAAATCGATATCTTGCTGTGATCGTTGCAGTTTCTTGGTGGTTTGTTTCGTTCATATTGTACGCATATCTTCGAGACCTTCGAACATCAAATGAATCATTTCAGTTATTATTTATGTATGCAAACGATCGCATTGAAATATTGATCTTTGAGATCTTTATTTAAGGGCTTTTAAATTTATGAATAAAAAAAGCAACAAAGCAAATAAATTTGCTTAAATTAACACAAAGCGAAGGCAATTGAAAGAAAAAGAACAAAAAGAAATTTCATCAGTGATTTTCTTTCTCTCTTAGTTTCGTTTCAATTTAAATATTTAGATTTAAGAATCGAGAGAATAAAAATCAATATAGATTAAAATGAATCGATTAGGAATTTCCTATTTGTATTCAAATTAAGTAATTTCAATTCATTGAGTTGATTATCGTATCATTTGTGAATTGAATACCTACAATGAAGATGTCTGCGCATTTTCATTCGATTTAGTTCTTCAACTTCTTTCTTTCTTTATATCTTCTTGAGATTATCCAATCTTCTATTTATTTTTATAATGAATTAAATCAATAAAACGATTCAAACTGGAATCATAAAATACATTCGATCAATGACAACGTTAAGAAGAGACAAACTGACACAACGACAATCATTGATCATAAAACTTCCAACTGGGATGATTTCAGCTTCTGACACAATTCACAATATAAAACATAAATTAGAGCTATAAACTAAACTTTTATTCAAACAATGTTTTTATTTCTAAAACATTTTCATTGATCAATTTCACAATTCAAATGTCGTTGATGACTTAATTTAATTGTTTTAATTCCTCAAGGAACTTATCTCACGACAATTGTCTGGCGTTATTTGATATCACATTAATCGTCATTGAAGGCCGTTGAAAAAGCGATTAACAAATGAATTCGTTAAACAAAAGATTTCAATAAGATAAAAAGAAAACCAGTTGTTGCTTTCAATTGTCCCACTTTTCTCTATTTTCAATATTCTTCGATTAGTTACGGAACATTCTTTACATTTTATCAACTCATTGAAAATCACATTTCGAGACTAAAATGATAAATTAGCAGAAGCGAAAGCGCTATTCGATCACGACGTGTGCTTTCTGAAGTCAATAGCTTACGGGTCACATGTGTTAATAGATCACGATGGCAAGCGTTCAATAATTGTCAATGATTTCGCATTAATTCAGATTCTATTGAAGTTTTTCAAGCTTTTCTATGAGAAGAAATCTTAGACAAAGCGACTTTCAATGATTTCATTTTAAAGTTGAATTTGCGTGGGCCAATTGTTGTGATTTGTAAGCGATTCGTTCAAATTGTAAATATTTATTATGATTAATGCTCAATTCATGCTTCAAAGCTGTGTTTTCATTTACATAAATAGAATGCTCTTTATGGCTTCCTTGAGACACTTTTCCCACAAATAACAAACGCGCAACATTAACGATCGATGTCACTTGTAAACTAGATTTTCTTCATCCGCCATTTGATAATTGCTGAATCACGCTTTGATGGAACACGAGAGTTAATAAACAATGTCTTATGATATTTGATTTCACGCCTGGATTAACTTTCTTAACAATAACTCGACAGCTTAGAAGTGATCGGGTTAAAGCAAAAGCCAAATGAAGCGTGCAATTGAAGTAGTTTGTTAGTCGTGATTTAAGCTACTGAATTATTTAATATTTTGTTCAGTTTATTGTGGCAAAAACAGGCGGCGATTAGCAATATTTTTAATAAGTTATCAAGTTTTTCGATCGTATAAGAAATTTCTCATAAAAACCATTCGCTATGCCTCGATGGCTTGAGGTTTAAAGGTTTCCGGTTGCTTTTATCCACATACGACTTCTACTTTGATTGACTGATAAATCTTTAATAGCCCACATCGGGATAGAATCTAAACATGTGAAAGACTTCCAGCTGTGAAAATAATTAAAAAACGAAACATTGATCAATTTAGAAAATAAATAAATGCAAACGGAAAATCACAAGCAACGATGAGCCCTGAAAATATTTCACTTCAATTTAAAAATGTTTTTAGTCCAAGTCCTAAGATTATTCACGCTTGCCTTTCATTCAATTGGCATGACCAAGTAACAAGTTTTCTTCGTGTAAACACAACAAAAGCAAAAATTAAAAATATTTGAAGAATTCAACTCAATTGTTTGAACTACGAGGGTGCTGAAATTCTAAAATATTTTATTTCATTTGATTGAATAACGACGACAACGACTTGAAATGTGATTTTAATCGAAAGAACTAATTTTGATTTGAAACTTTGTTCTTGGTTTCACTTTATTGTTCATATCTACATGAGTATGAAATTTGAGAAGGCGTTAAAGAATATTTTGATGTTGTTTTATTGTTTTCTTTTTTGGAAATTTCATTTCATCAGATGGTGACATTGAAGATTTGTTGTCTTTTTGGTTTTACACACTTCACCACCACGAGTCATGAGTTTGAGGAAAACTTACGGTTATCTAAATATTTTATTAGCCCGTAAGTTTTAATCCCTCCCGTAAATGGCATTTGAGACATTTTGAATCAAATGTAAAGCCAGCAGATGCGATCGTAACAAATTTAGATGAAATCTCATCATCAGCAGATGGCTTCTCTTATAAATTCAAATTTAATGTTGTTTATGGTGATAAATCACAAAGTCTTTGCGGGAATCCTTATCGAATGTAAAAGCCCGCAAATGAAATGAAATATTTGTTTATTTTTCGAAGAGATTTTTTTTTGTTGTTCATCCGGAAGTCGACTTCGATTGAATTACAATCGTTAAAACCTTTTATTATTTAAATATCAATTTCTCTGTGAGTGTTTAATATATTACAAAGCCAAACAAGATATTGATTGAAAAATGAGATTGATTTTCACTTTTGAAAATGAAATTGAAAAGTTGATGAACATGACAAAAACATGACAATGAAAGTTGAATGCAAAACTAACCAAAGTTGAATTTTGATTGACTTTTCTTCCTCACTAATTAATTATAGGCGCATGTTGTGAATGCTTTTGAAAAGTCACTTGCAACTATGACAAATCGGCTTCAAACACTAACAGCAGCAACTGAGAAAAAGGTTTGTGACGTTATGTGTGATAAAATAATTAAAAGCATGCTGAAAACTGGTTGTGAACGAAATCGTAAAGTTTTGAATTTAAATTAAACGAATAAATTTTTTTTATTTAATTATGTTAGGAATCAGAAATCACTGACATGCGTCAGACGATTGAACTGTTGAAGAAGCAATCTATTCAAGCTGGTTTGACTTCAGCCCATATGCAAAGTATGGGAGTGCAAGTGAATGGAAAAAATGGAAGTGTCAATAGCAGTCCAACGAAGAAATCTTTGAACGGATCACATGAAACTGGTTTACAGAATGGTAATGGAACCATGCAACGTCACCACAGCACAGATTCTGTTTGTTCAATCAATTCCATCAGTTCAAGTTGCTCAGGACAAGACAAGAAGAAGAAGAAGGGTTGGGTAAGTCTCAATAACCATCAAATTAATCTTAAATTACTGCAAGAATTACTGAGTAATAAAATGAAATTTAATCTCCAGCTTCGAAGTTCGTTCACAAAAGCATTTACAAGAAGTGCAAAAATATCAAAAACACCGCGCGAAACAAGTCTCAATGAAAGCTTATCAGAATCGAAATCTTCATTGCCGTCAACACCGCAAAAATTGCCACCGAAATTGCCATCCACCTACACATTACCAGATTATGGAAAGCCACCAATATCACCAACAAAAAGTTCGCATCGTCATGTGACATTAATTGAAAATGCAAAGCCAGTTGATTCGATTGAGATTGAAGCACATCCGGTGGTTGAAGATCTGAAGAAGCAATTAAGAGAGAAGGACATGGTTTTGACTGACATTCGACTTGAAGCTTTAACTCAAGCATCACAAATGGAAACTCTCAAAGAAACTGTCAAAGCAATGCGTCAAGAAATGATGGCTTTGAAACAAAACAATGAAAGATTACAGAAAATGGTCACAACTCGATCACTTGGTGGATCTGAAACATCAATTGGTTGTCCAGCAAGTCCACTCGGATCAGGATGTGACTCAAGACGATACAGTTTTGCAACAGATTCAGGACATTCACGACCACCATTGGATCTTCCCCAGAACTTGGATGAGACAGAGGAAGAAGACAACATTCCACCAGCACCAGCTCCAACAGTTTCACCTCATTTGATGAGCGATTTGTCTCCAACTTTAGAAAGAATTTCTTTGTCGAATGAGATTCTGACAACACCAGCAGAAGAAGTCGCTGATCCAGTTGATGGAAAGAAAATCACGATTGCAGTTTTTCTTGGACAATCGGAAGTTTATCTTCGATATGTTGAAGAGTTAAATGGATGCGAAAGGTTTGATGATGAAGAAGATGGTCTTCAAACAAATGGCGATACTTCGACATGTTTCAGTGACTCACAAGACGATCCAAGCTCATCGAAAATTGCCATCGCTTACACTTACATCTCAGGAAAAACAACATGGCAGAATCTCGATTACATTGTAAGGAAAACTTTCAAAGATTATTTGTCAAAGATCGATCCTGGCACAAACTTGGGACTCAACACTGACTCGATCATTTCATATCATCTTGGTGAAGCAAAACGTGGACCTGAAATGGGATTCCCAGAACTTTTACCATGCGGATACATCGTCGGTAATGTGAAAACTCTTTACATTTGTCTTCAAGGAGTTGGAAGTCTTGCATTTGACACATTAATTCCACGATCGATTGTTCATCGTTACATTAATTTACTGACTGAGCATCGTCGATTAATTCTTTGCGGACCGAGTGGAACTGGCAAAAGTCATCTCGCTCGAAAACTTGCAGAGTTTCTTGTTGCAAAATCGAATCGATCAAGTCCAGCCGAATCAATTGCAACATTCAAGTGAGTTTAAATTTCAATTCAAATTGTTGCAATTAAATAATTTAAATTTGTCAATAGTGTCGATCATAAATCATCGAAAGAACTTCAACAATATTTAAGTCACATTGCTGAACAAGCTTCGATTGCTGTTGAAGAACTTCCTGAAGTTATCATCTTAGACAATCTTCATCATGCATCAGCACTTGGAGATGTTTTTTCATGTCTTTTAAGTGCTGGTCCCGCTACGAAGCTTCCTTGTATCATTGGAACAATGTCTCAAGCAACATGCAATACAACAAACCTACAATTGCATCACAACTTCCGTTGGGTATGTCAACCTTCATGTGATCATCAAACATCAATTAATCTTCATTTTATTCCTACAGGTTTTAACAGCAAATCACATGGAACCTGTGAAAGGATTTCTGGGTCGTTACCTTCGTCGTCGCTTATACGACATTGAACTGCTAAATGGTTCAACACAAGTACAAATGGAAAAGATTTTCCGTTGGCTTCCAACAGTTTTCCATCACATCAATTCATTCCTAGAGACACACAGTTCAAGTGACGTGACAATTGGCCCGCAATTATTCCTAGAATGTCCCATCGATGTAAATGAATCTCAGAAGTGGTTTGTGGAATTATGGAACAATAATCTTGCCCCGTATCTTGTTGAAGCGATTAAAGAAGGCGTTCAATTGTATGGAAGACGAGGAAACGGTTGGATCGATCCATGTCAATATGTTCGTGAAACATATCCATGGCCTGTGACACCGACAACTGTTCCAAAACTTCGAACAATCACAGCTGAAGATGTCGGTCTTGAAGCTGAATTATCTGGTAACAAGGAAGATCCATTGCTTAATATGCTTAATCAATTGAAAGAAGCTGCAAGTTGGAATGAGGGACAACAAGACGATTCAGATTGCGTTAGTCTTGACTCAAACTTCACTCATGATAGTTCATTAGCTGAAGCATAAATCGAATTGAACTTCACAACACCAAAGTTGATTTATTAATTCATTCACGCAGCACTTTTGTGCTTGTCTCTTTCAATTAATTGTTTAACTAAAATGTGTGGTGTTCAAATTCACATGAAGTGATCTGAGAAATAAAATTCGATTCTCATGATTTTTTTTTTGATGAATCTTCACTGACACATTTAAAATAATATTTGTAGTGGAAAAGGAAAGAAATAAGTAAAAACTGTGATATTTTAAAAGAAAAATCTTACTAAACCAATTATCTACATATTTGCATTAAATATATAAATAAAATTTGCTGTAAAAATATATCAATAACATTTTACAAACTTAGATGTGCGATTTACAATTATCAAAACAAAATGAAGAGAAATCATTCAATTCTTTGTCTTAAAAGAAACTTTTTTGAGCATTGCAATTTTTTTATTCATTTGCATCGCATTAATCGTGTAACTAAAGGCCATAAATAAAAAATAAACATTTTACAAAATGATTTGAATTGTTTTCAATATTTTATCTGTTGGCTGCTTTTGATGATGAAAATTTATGCCATAAATCGATAGTTTTATTAACAATCACATCAGATTTTTCACTATCATCAGCTGGATAGTTCTCGATGATTTTTATGACATTCTCACAAGTCAGTTGTGTCTTTAAATTGTATCTTGTGTAGGAACAGATGACGATGAAGATGAAGATGACAATTTTTGTTGAACCACCAACAATTCGATCAAAAATTCTGATCAATGAGAGTTCGTTGAGTATTGACGAGAAAATTGAAGGATACCAACGTTCAAAAGGAAGCTTCTCAAGGATATTTTTGTTGTTTAAATTGCTGTTTCAAAATAAAATCATCAATTAAATTCTTTAAACATCTTGTTCTCTATTATTACTTAAATAAGTCGCTATCTTCTTTTTCAAGCATTTGGAATGTTATTTGTTTGAGTTTCGGCATCTCATTTATAATTTCCTCGCTGTATTTGTAAAAATTTCTCGATAAAAAGTACAATTCAACTTCTCCTACTTCCAGATTCTCAATGATGACTTCAGCAATTAGTGGAAATGGCGAATCTTTCTGCATGTTAAATAAAAATAATTTTCAATTCGTTTTGTGTATTTTACTAAGTTACTTACAAAAATATTAGATCCGCTACCGAGTGATCTATTTTCTAGAAGCCACATTGCAAAGATAACTTTACTTTTAGGTGTTTTCCCATCAATCATATGCATAACTTCCAAAGCTCGTTTCAGATCATTGAAAATTTCTCGTTGTTGATTCATAATGCTAAAAATTGAAGCTATTTACATATAATCTCAAATTATAATAAATATTAAAGTGTTTTTACAATTCTTTCGATTCCATATAAACAGGAAAAACTCCAAGAATAACTTCATAAAGTAATGCTCGATGTATCGATGGAATTGCAAATCGTTTCGCAAAATTTCTCAGTTTTGAAAGTGTTACTGGATTTTCTTTAAGAATGATTTCTAAATTTTTCTTTTCCTCAACACTTCGACATCCAACTTTTTCATAATAACTCGATCTGAAGTTTCTTGTATCTTCCATTGTTGCAATAATTAATAAAAAACTTGATTTTCGAGAAAACTCCACAGAACCGATTCAGTATAAACAAAGCAACCGATCGATCGAACCGATTCACTTCAATTTCCAATGCGGTTGACACAACCTATTAGAACTTTCACTTTAGGTTTTTAATTAATTAATTTAATTTAAATACACATAATGGTCCAAAAGCAAAGTGGAACTGATAAATCATCAAAAGTTCATAGCGTTAGTTTTTCAGAACTCATCAAATTAGGTTTCAGTAAAAATGCAGAATGGCCTGACGATGAAATTTTTCTCGATTGGATTTATTGGAGTCGTCAAGTCGTTGGATTGCTCTTTGGATTAATTTGGGGCCTCATACCATTGACTGGTTTCATCGGACTTGCATTGTGAGTAAAATTGAATTTCTTATCTTTGAAAACTTTTAACATTGAGTTTAATTATCATTTTCAGATTCGGAATTTGCTCTTGTGGTTACGTTTATTTGTACTGTTCAGCTTTTGGTGTCGACGACGAAGCATATGGTGGCATCTATGAAATCATAAAAGAAGGATTTATGACAAACTTTGCTAGTTTCCTTGTAGCATGGATCATTACTTACTCTTCGGTACATTGGGACGAACTGCTAGTCGAGAGATTATAAAAAATCATAAAATTACTCAATCATTGATTCATTATTCGATAAAAACAAAAAGACAAATAAAAACTCATGTTGAGCAATGAAAATATAAAAAAAAATCCTTATCAAAATTCTTTAATCTGAAATTTTCACCAAATTACAATTTACATTCATGAACCATTTATGTCTATCGCTAATGGAAGTTTAGTCGTCTAAAGCTGTATGAACAGTGTTAACAAAAGTGGTCATACTTTCGATGGGTGTTAATGGAGTTATTCCATGACCTAAATTAGCAATGTAACGGTGTTTGCCGAACTTCTTAACCATTTTCGATGTTAATTCTTTAAGCTCTTCTTGGCTTTTGTACATGTCTTGTGGATCAAGATTACCCTGAATTGTCACATTTGGCCCAACTTGTTTTCTTGCATCTTCGGGATCAATTGACCAATCCAGTCCAATCACATCGTAGCCCAAATCTGACATCTCGGCAAGTGAATGCATTGCACCTTTGGCAAAAATTACCATTGGAACGATTTCAATGCCTTGTTTGTTAAGCTTCTCATGAAGTTTCACGCGAATATCTTTTAGATATGGCATGGCAATTTCAACAAATTGTTTTTTTGATAAATGCTCAGCACTTGATTCAAAAACCTGCAACATTTGAGCACCAGCTTTCACTTGCATCTCTAGGTAATCGACGGTAACATTTGTGAGCAATGATAATAAGAATTTTGATTTATCAAGATGGTCTGCAAGCCATGACTTTGCTTTTGACATTGTCTTACTTCCACCACCTTCAATCATGTAGCCCATTAAAGTCCAAGGAGCTCCAGTGAAGCCAATCAACGGAACTTTTCCATCTAATAAATGTCTCATCATTGTGATTGCATCACCAACATATTTAAGTCTATCGACAGCACCTTCAGGATTTAATCTATTTAGTTCTTCAGGGCCATTCAAAGGTTCGGGGAATACTGGACCGACACCTTTCTGCATTTCTACTACCAGTCCAAGTGCTTGAGGAATCACGAGAATGTCTGAGAAGATAATCGAAGCATCCAAGTCAAATCGTCGCAGTGGCTGCATTGTCACTTCACAAGCTAATTCTGGAGTGCGACATACAGTGAAAAAATCATGTTTTGCACGAACTTCCTGAAATTCTGGAAGATATCGACCGGCTTGTCGCATCACCCAAACTGGAATTCTATCAACAGCTTCACCACGAGCAGCTCGCAGTAAATTATCATTTTTTAAAGCTGGAAAATCCTTCAATGAGAGAAAAAGGGGAATGATGAGTTAAAATTGAGAAATAGTTAAACTCACTAAACTTCCAGAAATGTTTGATGCTGACAAAACACAATTAAAGCAGAATAAGAAGAGAATTACAAAAATTTGTTGAACATACACACTGACCTTTGGTTTGAACTCCATAATGATACTGAATTATTTATACTTTAAATTAAATTTCAATTTCAGTTCAAGCAAGTGAAATTACTTACGCCGAGTAATTTTTTTATTGACGTTCGAATCGGTTGAACCGATTGTTTGGAATTCCTGCCAATAGATGGCGATCATGTGGAGTCATAAAGGATACCAAAAATCAAAGACTTTTCTATTCCACCTCATTAATACCATAGATGTATGTGCTTTATTGAATAATCATTATAAACATTCAATAAATATTCTATGGTTTCATAAGTTTGAAAATAATTGGATTTTCTCAGCTAGAATGTAATAAATTTATCAACACTCAAAAGTCAAGTGTATGTACGTAGGTATTTCATTAATTAGAAGACATTATTCAAAAACCGTGAATAAGGGGTTGTTTAGATCTAAAAGTTGAGGTACTTGTCATGATTGCTGCTATGAGTGAAGGTAGGAAGAAATGCACGAGTCCCACTCATGAAGATGTTGAAATCACACAATAATTTAAAACAATCTCGCTTTTGATATACTCAAGAAATTTTTGATTGAAGGATGGGTGAAAATGGGTGAGAAATTTAATTTTAAACATTTAATTTAGATCATTTCTCTATCACATTTTCAGGATGCTTGACTTTTGTTACATTAATGAAGTTTGAAATTGAGCAAACTTTTGAGCGAATAAAATTCTTATTCAAACTTTTACGACACGCGTCTTATAAATAATTGATTTTATTTATCCTAAATTTTCACTCTCAATTATGTTTACATTGAATCCAAAAGTAAATGAAAGATAATGGAACGAATGAATAATCAACGATTTATTTGAATTAACTCAAGAAAGGTAAAAGCTTCACTTTTCTGATTGAGCTTTCAAGTTAATATTTACAACAACAAAGTTCTTTGACTGAAGATCAACATTTTCGTCTGCTATATTTTGGATGTAATTCTCCTCATTTATTGTCGATCGATCAGTTGGATCGCTTGTTTGGTTGCAGTCGGTCACAAAAATATTTTATTAATCGACGCTCCAAAAATAAAATCAAACTTAGAAAATATTTTCAAATTTCCGAAATTCAAAGAAAGTCGTTCGGTGAAGAAAGTTTTCCAAAGAATAAAAAAGATATAATTAAATAAAATATAAATAAATTCGAAAAAAAAATAGTGTCAATAATTACCATTTGATTACTAATTGGTGAGTGTTAAAATAAATTGTAAAATTAAACAATACTTAATAAGAAATGACACATAAATGATTAAAGACTTAAGAATGCACAAGTAATGCAACAATTTCAATTGCATTTCAAGTACGTTTCTAAATTAAATACTTCGCAGCCCTCATGACTGGCGTTGGAAACATTGTCGTTGTCGGCTTGTTGCAAAAAATCATTTGAAGCATTTTTTGAATATATAATTTAACTTTTTATCCTTCTTCTTCTTCAATAAGAATCGTAGACTTTACGAGTATCGTAAATAAATAAATAAACACTCACGACTACAAAAATCAGTTTCTTTGCCATCAATTTCAATATCTAGTGTAAAAAGTTGACTGATTAATATGCAGTGGGTGATGTGAGCGTAGTTAAACAGTGGCCACTATTGTGACGTATGAAAAATGAAATTTAAACAATTGTGCGACAAAACTATCGCTGGTGATTGTAAGAACAAGTTTTTCGATGATTTGTTTTGAGTTCATATGTGATTGGAATTTTTTTTACGAGCTCTTAAATATTTTTTATCTCTTTTGGGAAGATTCCCATGGTGAAGAATCTAAGAATCTTCAAAAAATAATAATAAAAAATATCTGCAGGTCAATGTCACTGTCTGCATTTCATTATCAAAACATTTTTGTTCATTCTTATTCTCTCTCAGCTTCCATCGAAAACAAAGAAAAATTATCCTTCGTCCAGAATTTTATTACCATCGTCATTTACTTCAGCTGTCACGCCTCGAATTTGTTTTCATCACTTTCGAAGCATTGACTAATAAATAAATTGGACAAATGATTAAGGTCGGATAATTAAATCATTAAAGATTTTATTAGCTCTCATTAGTTCCATTCTTTCCTCAGCACACATATTTTCTACTTTCGATTTGCTTTGCATTGATTGAATAATAAAACACTTCAATTTATTCAGAATGGTTGTTGACCAAATATCCACAACTTCGTCTTCTTGATGCAATCATTCCCATTGATATTAAAATCCATTTATCACGAATTTGGCTTAAACATGCAACGATATATCGTTCATGATAGAATGAAATGAAAAATTGTTGACATATTGCGTCGACATTGTGTATGCACCTTTTGTGTTTTAGTGCACGAGAACCCATTGTGGTCAATTTTATTGAATGATCAATATTGTCAAGTGTGGCAGAAATAAAGACGCTTCACTCACGCAGCATTAATCACAACAAGGACCTCCATAATGCGGTTATTTATGAACATATGAAAAGGAAAAATCGTTGTGACTTGCAAGTAAATTTCCCCGCCAAGACGCTTCTCAACAATAAATTCGATGATAATTTTTACTGTCAATTTCTTTTTATTTGGCCTGTACAGCGATAAAAATAAATCAAAGGATTCTTTCTCGTGTCGGTATGTTTGTTTATATGGCCATTCCCCCATCGATTTGCGTTGTCAATAAATGTTTTACTGCTTTCGATTTCGTCAGCTTCCACATCCTTGAAAAGTTGTAACATGTTGTGAAATATACATCTGGAAAATTTATGTTCTGTAAAGTGAGACTCACTTCCGAGAGATTTCTTTTCAAATGTCACTCTTCCTTTATTTTTATTGCTGGTCTTTAAAGGAAGTTCAAAGAAACTTAAAAGCTTTTTCATAAATTTTCTTCAAGCATCTTTTCATCCTTCACAAGGAGATTGTAATTTGTCAGGAAACTTTTTTTCTCCTTCTTCTCTCTGTCCACTTTATGTGACGTTTTCATAAATATTAAAATTTCTTGTCAAAACCGAGACGACTTTTCACATTAAAAAGTATCAAGAAAATGTTATGTTGTTTAATGGTCTACCGCATTCATTCATAAATCTTCCTCAAATGATCTCTTTCTGACAAGCTACAGGCGACTTCAAAATGTGTTTATCTTCTGATGAAAATTATTATCATGCTGCTGGACTTTAAACAGTGATTGAATTTTAAATTTAAAACGATATAAAAAGCTGTCAAAAAAATGTCACTTTGGAAAATATGCAACAAGCATTTCGATGATTAAATTAAGTTTATGATAACAAAGCGAATCGAACGGTTAAACACATTGAATATGTCATGATCTTACATAAAATTCGTCAATGACTATCATTAATCTTTTTAATCCTCCAGGCGACATTAAACAGCGAAGAATGGTAAAAAAATGAAATCACTTTAAACGCTTCATTTAACTGCTATCAATACATGTCCACGAAGCCATTCACACGCGCAAAAAATACGAAAAAACTGAAAAGTTTAAAAGCGAATAAAAATTTATTGGGATAATTTTATTAATATTTTGCGATTCAAAATGCCAGTGACAGTCATATTTAATATTTCAATTGTTAATGGAATAAAAAACTTGCATACAGTTTTTGGTCAACTGCTGGTATCCTCAGAAGCATTTAACAATGAATGTTATTATTGAAAACGGAAGCTCAACAAGTCTCGTACATGAAAACCAGAACAGGAAGAGTTGTAGAATAAATCGTGAACCAATTCTTAAATAAATTAATCTTCTCGACGTTCTTGACTAGAACTTAAGACTCATGAACAACTTTTACATCTTGTAAGTAAGTCAAGTGACAAACAAAACTGAAATTCTTTTCTCAAGACTTAAATAAATCGTGAATAAAAGATTTCATTAACTACTTTAAGCATTGTGATCTAATGAACAGGTTCCGTTGCGACTCGAAGACATTTCATTTGATTTGTGTTTCTCTTTCGGGAGTCAAGATTGCATTTATTTTAGAATCGCATCAGGTTTTGTATCATGACTGAAAACAATGCTGATGGTGGTTCGGACTGAAGAATTATTCAGTAAAGAAGGAAGGTTGATTATGCTCTTATGTTAAATGATTTAAGCTCATTTGAATTCAAAAGTCTATCCAGACCATCATCATAAAAACTAAAACCGCGCTTTGGCCACTACCAAATGCCAAACAATCGTTAAAGATTTTTTGCACCTTTTTTCGATATTATGCAAATGAAGCGATGATCAAATTTCATTTATTTAAAATAAAATTAGAAAGAATTATTCTCTGTGGGCTTTAAATGCGAGTGACAGCACCTTAAAAAAGCAATTTTTCTATTATTCACTATTTATTTCTTTGTAAAATGATAAGAAATTAATTTGAATTCTCAATTTATTTATTTCCTATTTTAGGATTTTTCTCTTCCAACGAAAATATTCTGAAGAAGATGAAAAGCCTAAACAATGATGTAAAAGTAATGAAAAAATAAATCTTTATCAACAAAAATGAGAACAAATGAAAAATATTTTTCATCTCATCGTAAATGTAGCTCAGCTTCAAGTTGATTTAGGGAAAAAATATCAAAGTCTACAAAATTCTTAAAATATTTGATTCATATCAGCTTTCAAGACGACAACTTCGCTCTTTTATTGATCCATTGCAAGTCCATTAAATCAACGAAAAATATTTACTCTCGTCGTCTTCGTCATCGCACAGCTTTAATATCGCTTTAATAGCTTTGCAATAAAATCATGTCGTAAATAAAGAAACTCCAGGAGCTTGTTTTAATACTCAAATTAATTTAAATTTAAACCAAAAAGTCTTTAGACATCAAAATCATACGCATCTGAATTTTATTGTAGTTATTTTAAGCACCTGTACAGCCATTGGCGTGACGTAATGTCTTAACTTTCCCTTCTCAACGACTCATTTGCAAAATAAATTTTCTACTTCAAAGAACAAAAATTGAACATTTTTTAGAAGTTTCTCATTCTTGTTTGCCTTCGACCGAAAAAAATCATGCAAATTTCTTTTTGTTTCTTTTTTAATGTTTTTGTATTGGAAATAAAATTGAGCCACGACAAAAAGTTTCTAAAGGTTCTTAAACTGTGTTTAGTCAAATGGCTACGATTAGAATATTTACATCGTGAAGTAAATCTGCGTATATAAAGCGATTATTCTACCGAATTGATTTATTGATATAATTATTACCTGGAGATGTTTTTTGAGTATCACAAATTGAGTAATCAACCGCCAACTTAAGCCAGCAAAATATTGTTTTACTTCCTACTGTCAAAAAATTAAGTTTATAGATCGAATTCTTCAAATGCCACACACACAGATTCCTCACATCCAAATTATTTTATACTCATGTGGTGTTTTGTGTATCGTAAACTTTCAAACTCATTTAATAACAAATGACAAGTAATAAAAAGCTTATTTAAATAGATCGTGTTGAAAGTATTAGCGAATTTTGTTTTGATTGTAATTTATGCAAAATCTTAAGATCATTCATCTCTGACAGCCTTCTCTTCATATTCATCTCTAAACTATCAGCTTTAACATACATTGTTGAGCGTGTTCTGTTCGGTTGAATACATAAGATTTATGTGAAAAAAGGAAAAGGTCTGAATGAATTTCTGGTTAACTGAACCTTTTCTTAAAGTTCAATTGATTGTCATCATGAGTTGGAACGACTTCGATGGAAAGAAAAATATAAAATCAATTATAACTTTAATCCGAATTCTTTAAATATGTTGATGTAAAATTTATGTATTTTGTTAGTCATTCTCAATCAAATATCTTCATTATATTAAACATTAAACATAACTGTTACACATCTGAATAGCTTGTTTAACAGCGACCTTCACGTCATCGACTACAATGTCAGGGTCAATTTGTCAGCACATGCTGAGAAAGTAAAATACGTTTTGTGTTAATCGAAGTGTTCACTCTCGAAAATCCAACAAACTCATGTACCGTCTGCTGCTATGCTAACAGTTAATACTTTTAGACAAAGCACAGAAACTACAATGGTAATAAGATATGATGGATGAACAGAAAATGATATTTTTGTCTCTCGGATAATGATTCATATTTATTTTTAATCTAATTATAAGTGAAACAATTCGAATTAAATTAAGGTCGACACAGTTCATTACATCTTACCAAAAATATGTAACTAATAGATTGATGTTTAACTTTTAAAAGAAATTCAAAACGAAACTTTCAAAAAGAACTATCTAACGAGATGAAAAATATTTTTCTCGACCTTGATGAAGACTAAAAGAAATAAAAAAAATCATAATAATGAAGAAAAGAAGTGAGATGAAAGAAGTTATGTTCGAAGTTGTGTCGCTTGAGCTTATCTAATCTCGTTTGATGCAGCAGAGCTGCTTATTGAGAGAGAAACAAGTAAGAAAATCAATAAATTAAATTTTTGACTCTTAAAGAAAGCTTTTTTCGGTAAAAACAAGTTTCAAGATATTCTCGTTTGATCTTAAAATTTATTTGTGAGTGCATTTTGGAATGTTGGTTAGTGTCGAGTCAATAAATTGTGAAATGCGAGCAACTATGAATTATAAAGATTATAAAATTGAGTTCAGAACAAACTGACATTTCTCATTCAAAAACACTTTAAAAACCAAGCAGATTTCTGTTCTTTTCCTTGAAAGAATTGTTATTTAAATTCTGACTTAACGACGCTTCCACAATTTCTATGCAAATAAGAAAAGATGACAACTTTCTTAATATCCTTCAGCGAAAAAATATGGTTTCCTCCTTCACAAAAAGTTTCCTCAAGAGATCACAAACAGATGCAAGAGAAGGATTCGCTGTATGAAAAGAATCTCACCAAAGTAATTGAATTCTATGTAATGAGAATAAATCATTTATAATGTGACTGCAGTAAATTCTAAACACTTTTCTCATGGTATTCATGATATATGAATGGCTTGATAATTCTATTTAGTAACAAATGTATATTTGATGCTGCTGCACCGGTGAGACTTTCCACTGTTGGTTTAGATTTCAATAATTTCGAAAAAGGCTTTTGCTTCTCATCAAAATTAAAATTGTAATTAACAATTCTCATCACCATTGTTGCATCGTTTCATACAAAAGGAATCAAGAATTCACAAAACTGCTTTGAAAATTTCTTTATAGCATGGAATTTCAACATTTAATGTGCTTTTAAAATTTACATCATCCTTATGGTCACTGATAAAGCATTTTCCATCCATGACTTTGAATGAATTGAAACCATAAAAAAATTATTAGATGAAAGGTTTTAAATTAAGTTATTTCAGATACATGAAAGAATTTTCAACTACCGAGATACGAAGCTAAAATTGAAGCTGTAATTAATTATATTATTCTACCCACCTACCTAGGTAAACAATTCTCGCAAATGCCTAACGAATAAAAGACATAAAAATTTACTGAAAAGCTTTCAAATTTATTTAAATCCTTTTTAAAATATTCTTGACGTTTAATATTGGATTGACAAACAAGTTGGTGAACTTTATATTCAGATGCTGCTTGAATGAAAATCGTTTCAAAGAATTTGTCAACAAAATGTTTCAAGATTAATGCAATCAAATAAATATGTAAATGCGAAAATGTAGGAAAATTTGCATCATAAAAAGTTTATGTTAACTCATTAAATTCACACAAAGGTAGATTCTGCATAAGTTTATGAATCATTCACGAATATGAAGCATAAAATTATGAAAGTTTTCAAATGAGAAGCCTTAGGTGATATCGTTATCAGATCTTGAAGTTTCAAACTCATAATAAACATTAAAAGACGCCGATTAAAATCTTCTTCAACTGCTTCAACACATTTCAAAGTTAAGTAAAAATTCCTTCAGATGCTTTGAAATGTAACAAATTAAGGAATAGTCTGACTTTATGACCCCATCAGTCTTGTTGTTATTTGCTTTGAATGTTTTAGACAGATAAATATTGCAAAGCTTTTAATAATGCTTAATGGTTCGAAAAAGAGATTAACTTTAATGATTTTATTAAATCTCACAATGCAATCTTGTGGCTGGTGAAGTTGAAGGTTGTTACTCTGCGTATCATTCAACAAACATTTCCATTTGAATTATTTTTAAATGTTTTGAGTTTCACTCTCATTGCTATCTACATCAGCAGATGCTCCTTGGGACTAAATTTGATATTACTTTTATTCTAAAGTGTCGTAAAGATGTTGAAATCATCATAAACATCACCATAAAATAGAAATTTGGTCGATGATCGTTCCTGACAATAATTTCTTCTGGAACGATGATTTTTGGTAGAAAGAAGAAGTGAATGTGTTAAAGACGAATACAAACATCAAAGATCAACGAACTGTTAATCAACAACGCAGTTTGTTGATGATTATAGCTTAACTAAATGACTTTTGGGAGTCTGAAAGACCAAAAAAAATATTTTTGCACAATTCCGAACCCGTTCTGGAAGTTAATTGAAAGCAAAAAGAAAAAAAAAGAATTTATGAGCAATCAGATTAAGAGTTCAAGATAACCTGGTCGACTAAATATTCTGTTCTTTTCATCGTTTTTTTGACTTTAGCTTTGCTAACATAGTTGTATATTCAAACGACCACTAAAAGAATTTTGATACTTTTTTAATTCAACGAAAAACGAGAAATAAAAAAAGAAAATGAAAGAAGTCATTTCAGTTTGAAAGCTTTTTTTGACTTAGTTGTGGCTGGAGGCTGGGCTTGAATCCTCACAAAAATGAAACATGTCGTAATATCATCCGGTTTATGACTTTTATTCTTGGAATTTAACCCCATGAAGAGATGGAATGTCAATCTACTTTGAACGGTTGCCTCGTGAACAGTGTAGGGATGAAAGGATATTAAACAGAGATTCTGATGTTATTTTATATCAACTCATATCTGTGATTTCTGTTTTTGATCTGACACAACAGGATTTATTGTAAAAATATTTCTAACAGATTAACATGTGATGTAATAAATCAGAAATTTATTAAATTTTGATTCCAACTTCATAAAAATTCAACTTTTTAGGGAAGGAAGCAAAATTTCTTCTTACAATTCCGATAAAATAAAATTTAATGACAAAGAATTGGTAAACCATAAATTTTAATGGAGGAGATTTTTCTTTCTTTCGTAAATATTTCGATACTTCAAAGCGCAGTAAAGCGATCGAGCGGATTCGTAAGCATTTTTTCGTGTTTTTCGTTCCAAAAATTTATTTATTCAATGCCGGTTATTTATCTAGAGTGTTTATTTATAGCATTGGCAAATACGCATTAGCAATGTCGATGGAGCAAGTTCAAGTTCAGGAGAGTTTGAAATTTTTAAGAAAAGAAGGATTTTGAAGATTTTTCAAAGACAAACTGAAATTGTTAAACAGTTCAATGCAGTCATTCTCATTTAAAGTTTAAGTAAAGTGAGTTTAATTGAAAGTATTCCATTAAGTCCCCTCGAAAGCATGGAACTCAAATATTTGTTTTTAATTATATGAATAATCCTCGTAAATTCGCTAATCACCGTATCGAGATCAAAATCAAATAAGATGTGTCATCATTAAGCTCCTGAAGCAAAATGATATTGATGAAATGTAAATTCTCTGTGAAACTTGAAACGATAAGAAGCGACAGCAGGTGATTCATCAGGGATTAAAGCAAACTTTCATCATTATTTCTAATAAATTAAAACTTCGTGAAAAAAATATTTGTTTCGCAAAATACAAAAAAAAAGTGAAGTTGATGGGAAAATAAAAACCTCTATGAGTGCCTTAATTAATTTAGGGATTTTATTGTCTATCTCTTAATAAATATTCAAGCCAAAAACCACCACAGATTTTTATGGAAATTTCGTCACGAAGAAGTAGAGCGACTTTTCACGACTTGGTCGAAGATTAGCTGCTGGCATAAATTTATGATAATTTATGCGTCAAACAAGAATAAAAAAAATCAATCTTGCGCGAGAGACGAAATGGTGAAAAAGATGACGAGTGAGTGAAAGAAATGATTTTTTTTTGAAATTTCAAAAGACTTATTAGATTTCATATTTTGATTCGTTGCGCAAGAATAAAAAGCAATGACATTATGAACAGAAGTGAAAATTTGAAGGAATTTCCATAATGGCAGAGTTTACATTTTGAATTATTTTCCACCCTCTTTGAATGTCTTGCTTTGGCTGTCCAATTAAAGGAAGTGGAAGTGAAAACATCTCGGTAGATATTATTTAAGGAGCAGAGCAAGTGAACAAATATTCGAGTCGAGAAGAAATTTGAGAGAAGCGAGATGAAAGTTAATGAAGCTTCCCAGTGTTGGCTACGATTGGAATGTTGAATGACGAAGAGAAAAGTATTTTAATTTCAGAACTTTTTATTCACGCACCACAGTAAAATTGAATATTTTCGACACGATCTTATTATTAATTAAAAGACAAAAAAAGGTCAGATTGTAAGTGATATCTGGTAATTTAAATTTAGATAGGAATATTTAGCGTACTACGTAATTAAAAATCTTATTTTTATATCTTCAAGTCAAGACGTTCCGGGCATTGACCTTAAGAACGATATTGAAGATTCACAAATAAAAATTAATCAGAAACAAACCTTGTTTCCTTAGCCCCGTTATAAAATCAGCAAATATTCTTTTATATCTTCTCATTCGTTCTGACATGACTCTGACATCATATGTACACATGGAACGTTTTAAACTCGTCTAAGCTAGCGATGATGATGACAATTTTATGCAAATACTGATCTACGGTTATGAAGATAAAGCAAAAGAAAAACGAAAAGAAACACTTTTCGGTGCTTTGAATCGTTGTTCTTGAATAATTCATTGACATCACAAAACATTCTTTAGTTGTGCTATTGCATCGAAATAAGCTGAAATATGAGATTTTTATATTCAAATAAAATCAAAAACAGAAGAATGAAGAAAATCAAATTTTATTAGCGATAAATGTCATAAAAAATCTTTATAACGGTAAAGAGCATTCAATAAAATTCTCTTCATGATGGTTTTCGTAAATTTTTCACTTCAACGACCTTGTAGTTGATAAGAAAATAATAATAATAATAAAATGCTTTCTTTAGCCGATCATCATAATAAATACTTACATACAAGATGCCACTGTAAATGACAACTCTTATAATAAGTTGACGACTCTTGACATCAAGTTCTTTCATCTCTCTCAATAAAAAGGCCTTCTTTTTGCTTTATATAAAGGTCATCATCGTTGAACACCCAAAGCTACATATCTTTCTGCTGATATTGAGCAAAAATGTTAAGTCGACAAAAACATGACGACACTATAAATTTCACGCACATATTTACGCAACAACGAAAGTGCTGACATTTACTCTTGCACTTTTAAGAATTCGACACTTCTCGCTTTTGTGTAGCATCTTTGTTAACATTCTTCGAAACTCTCAATTAAATATATGTTACATAAAGCAACATAACTGACATAGTGATAAATGAATGTGATGTGTATGTAATTGCGACCTTTAATCATGTGAAGTTCAATTTAAACATGAAACCTTTACAAATTTATGCATGTAGCGAAATTATTTAATTAATATTAAACAAGGATAGATTCGTTTTATTCTGTCATGAGCGCTGCATAATCCTATAAATCATTCCGAAGTTTTCATTAATATCTCAAACACTTTAACAAGATTTTGGTTATCCACATACATAGTAAGGAAATTGTTGTCGTTTAATTTTATCTAACATTTTCCAATCGTGTTTTTTGGAATTGAAAACAATCTTTCCTAAAGATTTAATTTATCTTCTAATCCTCTTGTGTATGTCATTTTTCAAATCTTGAATGAATGTTTCTCATTGATACGATACTTATAAGCAATTTTATGTGAAAATAATTCAGACTACTTTCCTCTATCTCGATTATGTTGTAAATAAATCGATAGTAAAACTTAAGTCTGAGCTACAGATGAAACATTCTGTCGTCAAAAGGATTTCTGGATAGTTGATCAAATAAATAAAAGTAGAAGCAGAAGAGTTTTCATTGGAATGTTGTACATGCATGCACATGAATGTTTATTTCTTTGAGAATTCAATGAATATTTATGCGAATGAATGAACTTTACAAGGTATGCTTTGAGAGAATAAATCACTTTCATGATAGCTTCCATCTTGAGCTCAAAACAATCAGAAATCTCTTGATACTGTCTATGAAATGAAATGTTTAATTAAATATCTTCATCAATCAATTATCATCAAATCAGAATTCAAATGGAAACTCATAATTTTGTACTTCTTCATGTTATTTCTAATGGAATGATGGGAATTGATTAAAGGAATCGTCGTTGTGCAAAATAAATGTAATGAAAGTCAGACTGAACGATTCTGAAGTTGATTTTAAATTTCTACCCTTACGTTCCAATCAATTATTTTATAGAAAACGGAAAATTAATTAAGAATCTTTTTATATCCGCTTCAAAGTTTAAGAAATTAATGAGCATCATTTAAACTAGAGATGTCGATTGTTAATTCGAATTGATTGTTTAATTGTCATTTTATAAAATTGTATCGTGCAATTAATTCACGAGTAGAATATTTAATTGCAGTTTATGTCGAATTGAAACAACTGATAATTAATTGGGAAGTGATATGGCGCAATTAATCGACAACCCTAATTTCAAACATCATCCTTTATTTACCGAAGTAAATGCTCGTTTAAAATACTTGAATGTAAATTGAAGCAAGCAAACGTTGAAGTATTTATTCTCGCTTTCATTTGTCAACATCATCACTGCAAACTGTTCAATCAGTAACAAAAAATATATGCAAGCAGCTTATGCATTAAGAGGCCAACAGAAATGATTTACAACTGCAAAATATTTTGGTATTGTCAAAATATTATTCGATGATAATCTTTTCTGCATAAATATTTCACACTGACATTTAAAATGTGAATTAATTCATCATTTTTTTGTGCAAAATGGAGATTATAATTCCCTTAACTAAAAAAATTAAATAAATCTAGACAAAGATAGTTTGAATGAGTGAAGTTGTTCTGAAATCTATAACTAACAGATACTTTCTAATTATTAAATTGCTCAAGTTTGAAACTAGAAGAAAAGTTAAACAATGTAACCAGACAATGTTGGATTATTCACAATATTTAATGATTAAAGTTTTCATTACGAAACCATAAAACTTTTCATTATGTTATTGAATATTAAATGTTTTCATGACGTGACAACATCATAATAAGTAAATAATTGCACAGAATTGCCAATGCAGCCAACGAGTCGTTAAAAAGGAAAATTCCATTTTTAGAGATAAAAATTAATTTTTCATTCGTTCCAGTTGAAATTTTCCGTATTCATCGAATTCGTTTACCACTAGCTGTGAAAATAATTCATTTTAAATGACATGTTTTCACTTCTTTTTAAGTGAACAACAATTTTATTACGTATAATTAAAGAGGTGCGCCAAAATAAATAAATTGAGGTGACATAAAATGAAATCAGCAGCAACGATTGAGTTGCTTGAAGTTATTGGATAATTTCTTTGACCTGTAACTTACTCGTGTACGTGTATTGTTGAATAAGTAATAATTTTTGCTACTGATTCAGAAGCTTATGAGCATCCTGTGGTTCATTTATCAGTATGATAATCAGCGGGTGACTGAGTTGAAATGATTAATTCATTATTTCAATATTTACATTTTTGTGTTGATACGTGACTTTCGGGTGATTCTAGAGATGTAATCGATCTACCTTTCCCAGCTTGTAGCACTTGTTGAACAAAATGTTTTGATGAACTTTACATCTTGTAAGTTTCTACTTTAGTTAAAGAGCTCGAGCTAGGAAGCTCCTTCAAGTTGATTAACAATGGTAGCAATTTTTAGAGGATAAATTAATGAAGTTAATATAATGAGATATTGTCGTCGAGATAATTTATCATTACCTATTTATTCAATTGATTACATTCACTTGATATTAATTGCTACAAGAGACTACAGTTGACATAGTTACAACATTTGTTAAAATGAAAATTAATCAACAATCAAATTAGTTAGTTAGACACAGAACAAGAAGAAGAAAGTTTTACTTGCTGTGAATTGATTTCTAAGATCAGTTGTAAAGTTTAAGTTCATTTTAATTGAGATTTAAGTTTCAGTGCTGAAGAAAATAAATAATAAAATTTCGTTAGAAGTTCTCAATCTTATAATCTTTTAATTCCATTGAACTTTGTTTCTCTTTCGTCTTTTCTCATTAATTCAACTCATTTTATCTTTCATTTTCACTAAATGATGTTGTAAAATATCTACAAACTCAATTATCATAATGTAATCGTGATGGATGGCTTAAATATTATACATTCTGAAAAAAACCCATTGATTCATATTTTGTGAATATATTCAAACTAAGTATAGATGTCGAGGTGAAGAAACATTATTGACATATTGATGTACGATTAGGGAATCCGATGTTTAAAATCATTTTATAATATGAAGAGATAAAGCTTACGAGATGAATCTCAGATACATATTAAAGTGGAGGAACAATTAGTACTAATGGAGATGTTAAACAATATCACGAGATTGATTCGCAAAGATTCTTACAAACTATCTAAATGTATCTTGACAGAAGTATCAGAATAAATATGTAATTTGTCAGCACAGACTCTAACGTTGCCGCCCAGTAACGTTTTTATTGTATACTGGCGAATTGACAGTCTACAATCTAAATGCGGATCAATAAACTTCTTCTAACAACACTTGCCACTTGCCAACACACGACAAAGCGATGAAAAAATAAGAAAGATGGAACAATCTTTTAAGAACTTGAAAGTTGAAACAATAAATCTTGAATCCCTCCTCATTCCACTTGTGCTTTTATATTCTTAAAATATTGAGTCATAGTAAGTTCTTCTGAGTTCATTAATCATAGATGAAATGGGTTAACTCCACTTCACTTCTTCTCATCTACTCGTTTCTCGTTTCACATACATTACCACAGGAATTTCCGCCCGATTGTTTTTATTTCGCAGCTTACTTTATTGTGGGGATTTTGTTTAGTTCGAAATTTGTTTCATTTCACCTTTTCAACAAGCAAATAGTTGACGCATTCTTTACTTTATTAATTTTGACTCATTTCATTGGTGTTGTTATGAAAGTTGTTATGAAGGAATGAGAACATTTGTTTGATTATGAAACACTGCAATTTATGGTGATAAAAAGTAAAGTAGTTTTAGAGAAGAACTTAACAATGAATGAATGAAAGTCAATTTTTGCCAGAAAAGAAAAACATCAATAAACTGTCAATCACTTGATACTGATAAGATAGAAACTTCGTAATAACAAAGTGCGAAGAATTTTGCTGTAATGTATTGATTTTGCTTTTCACGCACATATTTCGATCGATTTCTGACACTTCGTAAAACCCATAATGATTATGATGGACATTTTAATGTGAAATAATCATGATGAGCGTAATTTTGCGCCTTCTTTGACATCTCGATTCGTCCGCTCATAAATTATTTTAAGCTATATTAATGACAGCAATTATTGAGTTACGTGAAATAACATGCAGATGCTTACGCCTTATCAACGTGTTAGTGTCTCTTTCACCATTCGCAGCTGTCAAACGAAGTTACGATGTTGTTTACAGTCGTAGCCATTGATGTGAAAAGGAAAGAAAAACAAGAAGAGCACATTGAAAGGAAACGCGTCCTATAACTCTGAAATTTTACGATATTCATAAACATTTGTCATGATAAAAATGATTCGTGATTCATAAGATGGCCTTTTAGTTTTCATATAACGAAAAGGATCTAAAAGATTTCACTTTAAAAGGTTACGCAATGGGCCTATCCTGCCATCGCTCGTTTTCAGCATAAACACACAAACATAAATACATATTTATTTATACCATTCATGTTACTTATATGATGTACCCTGTTGTGATCAGAAGTAGGAAAAATAAATCAAAATTATTTATATATCTTTTCACTTTTCGATTTCGATGGAAGCGCAAGTCAAACAATCAAGAATCTTTTGAAAATTTCGTCACGTTGCGTTTGAATTCATCCCATTCAAAAGAATCCATGTTGAATATTAAGAAAAAGAAAAACAGATATATGTGGAATAACAAATTTTCTCGATTCAATTTATTGCGTTGCGAATGAGACTTTAAGATGGAAGAAAAAAAATCCGAGGAAAAAGTCGAATTGAAATCAAATTTACTGCATATGAAAACTCTGTCTAATTTGGAGAGATTGTTTGACAACAAGCGCATTTGATGATCTTCACAAGGGGAGTCAAAGCAGAAGCTGGCTTGAATGACAGTCAATTCAATTTTCTTACAGTCGTAAATGGTGTCAATTTTACATGAATATTTATTTCGGGAAAAACTTTTCATGCTTTGCATGGATGACGAGGGAAGACAAAGGAAACAGAAATAAATATGAAAACTGAACCCAGGGTAATGCAACGTATTCAGAAATCAGCGATCAACTGTAATTTTATTCAAACTTCTTTTATTTATATTCACAACACATAATTTTCATTCGTATCTACGTACAAGCTTTTTCCCAACCATCATTAAAGCATAATTAAAGAGCTTTCACAGAAAAGTTCGCTTTTTTCCTCTTTGTGTTATTTAATAACGTAAAAGAACATAAACTTTTGACTTTTTTCTTCTATTCTTATGTATCTGATTTCACAGTCAATGATTAATGAATGTGACAAAGAGACGAGTTAATTCCAAAGTGAATGTCTCACGTCCAGTTTTACTTTTTTTTCGTTTGCTGTTTAGCACCAGAAAGCTAAGCATGAAACTTATCCTAGCGACGTAGTTCATGAAACGGAAAATCGAGAAGATTTTTTAATCTCTAAAACGGAAAGTTTCTCGCCTCAATGAAAATCATTTTAAATCCCTTATGCCATCGAAGTGAAAAAATAATTTTTTTACACTGGCATAAATTCCTGTTCATTCTTGCGTTAAAAGTTGTTACACGTCTTCACTTCTGTTTCCATAAGCAACCCGTCGCCCGATGCTACAATCAATTTCAATTTAAAATTTAATTTGCAAAATACGTGTAAAATATCATTATTCTTCATTTGATTGAAATTTATGGTGCTGAACAATTTTCAATTTAACGTACGATTTGACAACGAAGAAATGCTAAAGTATTTTTGGTTCGATTTAAATTGAATAAAAATTGCTAGGTAATGGAATAAGTTGATCTAATACAACCTACGCTAATTTTAGATTTTATGTTAATTAATTTTCTGAAGCGGTTGTCATGCGTATAAGAATTTTTGACTTTAATAATTGAAACCTCAAAAATGTCACTCTCACTTCAAAGTTTCACTTGAGTAAAATTTCGAAAGCTTTTAAACAGAAATAAAAAAAAATTCATTGGTGGAATTCGAATAAATTTTTTATGTATTTAAAGGGTGCTTTTGGATTTCTAAGCGACAAGCAATCAAAATGTGAAAGCATAAATAATTATGTTGACTTTGATAACATAAAATGCGTGTGAGAATTTGAAATTTTAATTTTAATCAAATTTCTTTCTTCAACTTTTTAGCAGAGTTTTGAATTTCTTGAATTATTTGTAGACACAATATGAAGCTTTCTAGGAATCTTGTCAATAAGTAATTCAAATTTCGTAAATTAAATAAAATCTTTTATGTCTTTCTCGTCATCGCCACTTAACTTTCTGAAATTCTTCTCAGAAATTATCACGAACAATGCACTCAAGCAGATTAATGAAACACATTCTCAAGTTCTACCATTAATTCATTCAAAGTGTTTATTCTGAATAAAATTGAGAATAGAAAAAGTAAAAAGAAAAATTCAATCTAGTAATGAAATTGAAATCGCGCTTAAGAAAATTTATGAGCTTTCAAAAGCAAAAGCTACCGTTCTCGCTCAAATATTTTCATGCCATTTGCTTCGGCTATTACGCGCGTTTTAAATAATTTATTACAAGTAAATTGTTGTTTAGACGTTGGGGTAGATATTTCTGGTTAAGCAAATACACATAAATTTGATTTCCCATTCGATTTCATAGCACGAGTTAACTCAAACTGATAATCAAAGTTGAACTTTTACTTACACAAATTGAATTTAAATCGCAATACTTCAATCAAAATCATTCGGCATACAATTTTAAGAGCGCCCAAAATTTCCAAATGCTTTTTTAATTTGACACTTAAATTTGAATCGCCACAAAATATTTTCGTTTTGGAAATTTCTGGCAATCTCGAGACAGAAGGAATAGGAAACAATTCAAACTGAGCATAACTTTTTATGATTATCGTTATTGTTAGCGGAATGAAGAGAAATTGAGATATAAAGTTATTCACTGCAGAAATAATATTATAATGTGAATCACAAACAGAGGTTCAGTTCTTAGGTGAAACGAGTTGAAATGTTTTATATTTAATATGAGTTTCGGAATGGAAACTCACCAACTAAAACTAAGTACATTATTTATTTATGCTTGTTTTTATCTTCATAAATGTTTTCGTTAGAGAAATCATATCAGTGACAACTCGACAATGAACTCAAACCTTTCTTTTCAAACTTTTAAACGGGAAAATAAAGAAATAAATGTTCCGGTTTTAATTTCCTCATAGTTAGTTATATGAATTATATAAACAGTTTAGATCATGAAGATATTGAAGTTTCCACTGAAAATATTTAATAAAAGTTGTTGGAAACTCCCGCATAGTTTTCCGTCTTCCTTCAGAAATTTCTAGCATAAATATTCTTCAAATATCTCCGAAGCTTAAGACGTCGAATTCTTTTGGTATTGATAAAGCTTTAGACAGAATGTACTTTAAAATGTTAAAATTGATTTTTTTTTCAAACAGAAGGGGGTCGGTGACTCTTCTTCCTACCTTGAAATTTAAAACTTTTGTTCTTACAAAATTTTAAACTTTTAAGTACGCCTCGTGGCTTCACCCATAGTTGGTAAATTTAAGATTCAAGAAGTTTAAATTGGCAACAAACAAGGGCTTAAATTAGAGGGAAAGCTTCTTTGTCAAGAACATTTAATCATGAAAGCATCACAGCTGTTGTCGTTCTTACAGTACAAAAGTTCAATCAGTCTCAAAGAACATTAAGGAATGCAACTGAGTGATAATTTTAGACTCGTTTATATAAAATTAACATCAAAGCATATTTTTCCATAAAACATAAATTACTCTGACATATTTTTATGCATTTAATGTGAGTGTTTGTTGAGTGCGGTTTTAAATATTAAAAAGTTTAATTAAACTTCCGTTTTTTGTGGTTGATGGAAGCATCCGACTTTCATAGGAAAAATAAAGTATTAACGTAGCTTTGTATTCATATAAAATTTGGATGCTTTCATTAACTACAGTGAAACATAAAATAAAGCTCAGCGTTCTTGCTTCTTCCGCTATTTCATTTCTCATCAAAATTACAAGATTTTATTAAGAATTTTCTTTTTTATTCTTGTTGATAAATATATATGAAATATGTTTTCTTTATAGCTACAATACTTAGACAAATATTAATATTATTTTATACTTATGAGACTGAACTTGAGAGTTTTATTAAGTTCTTCATTCTTGAGTTTGCAACCAATGCTTGTAGCAAGCACTGAAGTGAGTAGTTACATAGATACGTAAGTTTGCTAAGAGCTCTTCAAACTTTCATAAAGTTTCAACTTCATATCATATGTGATACCAAGGAAATCCTCAATTATCTTCTTTTCGGTTGCTCTTAAGCAGAAAATCTTCTTCATTTCATAATATTCATCGAGTTAGATCATCGATTTTTAATAAAAGATGATAAGATGTGAATAATCAACATTTCGGATATTGAATTTTTAAAGAAAGTCTCTTAAATAAGTGGAAGCTTGCATGTAAAACTCTAAATTGCTTGCAAATGTCTGTCGTTGGGAGGAACTTGAAAAACATTGAATGAAAGACAGACTCAGATTGTTAATAAATCAACTTCTTACCCGTTCTTATATTATTTAAATTAAACATCCACTTGACTTCCTTCGTTTCACCAACAGATCTTATTTATGTTAGATTTAAGATAATATTAGAGTGCTTCTGTAATTTATGTATCAAGAATGCTTGCTTAATGTCATACAAAAAGCTTTTCACTATAACTTCGCTTTAAACTTACAAACTTGCATATTTTTCTCCTTATTTTATCGTCGATTACATTTTCATTTATTTCAGTTGTACATTCATGTAGACATGTGTTTAATGATAAAAAAAGCATTGAATGAAAATTTATTGACCAATTAAACTTCCATAACAATTAATACATTGTTGCAAAAATATTTTTTATGCGTGGAATGAGATTCACCATTCAATTCAATTTATCTTAAATTCCAGACAATGATGAATATGCGTGAGTCAGTGTCACGTTTAATAAAACTGTTAGCGATGTTTGCTATGCTGATTCATCATGTAGGTGGACATGGACGCCTTATGGAGCCACCAGCACGAAATGCTATGTGGCGTTTCGGTTTTCCAAATCCAGTTAACTACAACGACAACGGTAAACTTTTCTCCATAACTTCCTTCAACATGATTTTTCAATTTTTATTTTAATAAACTTTTCGATTTTTTTTCACAGAACTTTTCTGCGGCGGTTATGCGGGTAATGATAAAATTTATTGCTAAGCCAATGTTTTTAGACGTTACGGTAGTTGTGCACATCCTTTTCTTTATCATTCAGCTTCATCCGTTTTCAACACTTTTCAAGCTAAACAGACAAACTTTTACTTACTTTTTATGTTTTCAGTGCAATGGGAGCAAAATGCAGGTCAATGTGGAGTCTGTGGTGATGCATATAATTTGAGAACGCCTCGTCCACATGAGGCTGGTGGTGAATACGGGAAAGGAATTATTTCGAGACGATATGCTGCTGGGCAGGGAAGAGATTGCATATCACATTGTTATGCATTTAAAGTATCTCTTTGTCTTTTTTGTTTAGGAAATCGATGTGGAAATTGAGTTAACAGCAAACCATTATGGACGTTTTGAAATGTTCTTATGTCCAAACAACAACCCAAGATACGAAGCAACACAAGAGTGCTTTGATCGCTATCCATTGTTGGTGTCAGAGACACGTTCAGTTCGCTTCCTGATTCCCAACGAGTCTGAGAAGCAAGGAACCTTTATTTATAAGGTGAAGTTACCACCAGGCGTGACATGTTCGCAGTGTGTCATTCAATGGACTTACTATACTGGCAATATGTGGGGCATATGTGCCAACGGAACAGAAGCAGTTGGCTGTGGAAAAGCGGAAACATTTAGAAATTGCGCTGATATAAGCATTTATTCCAACACGGGCTCTGGTCGACCACCCTTGTTCGTCGAGAATAGAAATCCATTCCTTCTCTACTACAGAGATTTACGAGCTGATCCAGAAAATAATGTCTTCCCGTTAATTGTTCGGTGAGTTGAAACTTTACTTCATTCACATTCGATTTATCATCAAAGTTAAAGTATTTGAATGAAAAGTTTCGCTCTGGAAAAGATTTAATTTGAGACGGAAATCCTGAAATAATGAAGCTATTGAATGCATAAAAGATTGAAATGGGTAGGAGAAAGTAATCTTGAAAGCACAAGCAACGAAGGTTTTAATCCATTCTGAAGGAAAATAAAATGTTAAACTCAGATAATGAGGCTTAATATGAAGTGATGTAACGTTATTAAATAATTCTCTTCATATAAATTTAAGTGAAACCGAAGAATCACATCACTCACCTTCCTTGTCTACCTCTTTTCTACTTCTCTTACAAATCGCTTCGTTAATATTTATAAATTTCGCATTAAAAAGCGGTTCAGAATCTTATATTAATTTATCCCTGATGCTGTTACTTTAAGCAAAGCCTTTTTGCTTCTTTCTTTTTACTTTGCCTTTAAGGGATGGAAAAAAAGTTTTTTTTTATTAAAATGGAATCTTTCACGAGTGAAATTGAGGAATGTGTGTAGCCGGCAAGCGCTGTAAATGTGCTTATGTAAGGGATAAGTTGTAGCAAATTGATGGAAGGATGAAATGCAGATTATATTTTTATTGTATCGCAAAAGTTTTATACTTTATTGCCTTCCTTTTCCACATTTCCCCCTTTTCCTCTCGCTTTTATTGCCTTTAAAGCTTGCACGCTTTTTACGGTGTAACATCGAATAAAGTAAATCTAAAGCGGATTAGAGGGAAGAATATTCTCAGTTAATAAAAGTAAAGTTAAATTTGATGTCTGTTCACGCGCATCTTTTATTGAATGTTTAAATTGGATTTGGTAAATTGAAAATTTTTTCTCTGATTAATTTTTTTTATTTCTCACACGCAGAGATCAACTTTGTCTTCCCAGTCCAGGATTTCGCAGTCTTCCTGGTATGGCTGACTGGTGTCAACAGAATTGCTTAAGATATCCACCGAATTGTCCTGAGACAGTTTGTCATTGTCCGTAAGTATCATCATTAATCTCAATCTCAACATCATTAATTTAAATTTTCGCTTTAGTACAACCTGCGTAGCAATTGGTGAACTTGAAGGTCGAGAAGGCGCTGACGTCTACTGTCTCGATGAATGTCTCGTTTATGGTTCAAAATGCCCAGCAGACCGTTGCCGATGTTATTAATACGGAGGGAAACAATCAACAACAAAATTTCTTCTTCTGATTTCACTGACTGCCATATTGCTCAATTCAAACGACATTTAAACGACCCTCTCCAAATAAATTAATGATTTTTTATTCTTTTCTGCTGGAAAAGGCAAGAAACTTTTCTTATCTGAAGAGAAAAGCAAAAGTACTTTCCTGCAGAAATGAAAATTGATATGCATTATGCACGATCATGTCTCAATATCCAATATTCAAACAACCATTTCATTTCTTTCTTTTCCTTTTTTAAGTATTTTTTGGTAGCTTTTCCATGTTGAAGAGAAAATTGAGTGAAGTAGGAAAAGACGTTGAAAAATTCATCGGAAAGAAAAAGATGAAGACAAGTTGACGAACATTTTTGTTGATTTTCCTTTTCATCATTTTCAATTTACTAATTTTCTCGTCTTTATTTTCTACTTCATCCATGAAAATTCAACAACTTTCTTCCCTGTTAAAAATTAAAACTTTGGTCAGCCTAAAATACAAATTCCTTCTCTCTATTTGATTTCCAAGGCTTATCATTTCCCAATTGAAATGAAAATCCATTATGATTCCAATTATGTTAGAAACTTGCCTTTACAATTATTAAATATGTACAAGGGATTGTTATTTCTGTTTTCCAACTCCAAGGCAACGAGAGAGATTATGTAGGGAAAATATATTTTGATAAGAAGTAAAATAAACTTAATTGAACAATAAAAAAAGAAAGTTTTCTACATTTTACAGCTAGAATATCTCGCAAGATACTTTGCTAACAAACAATTGTTGTTGTGCGGAGAAGAATTCAATTCATAAAATTTATCACTTGAAAACAGTTTTATTTCAGGTTATAACTGGAGAAAGTTTCTCTGAAGGCTTCTTCTTCTCCATCTTTCCTCAGATGTAAGAATTTATAAGCAAACTTAATAAATAGACGAGAAGAATTTATAATTTATGACCAGTTGAGATTTTTCCCAATGCAATGCATTAAATCTCTTCAGTTCATGTTAGAAATAAAAATCCTGAGATGATTTGTATATTCGCTTCTGGTCGAAGAAAATGAAATGCGAAGAAACTCTTGAATCGTTATGAATGGAAACTTCACCTGCTGATTCCCACTGCCATCCATTAAAATTATTCTGACTCGTTACCATTGACATTATTTATTATAACACCTAAATAAGTTTATTCAAGAGTTTATTTAAAACGAACTTTATTCTGAATGAAAGATGACGATGAAACTTTGATTTATATTTAAATTCATCTTTTTGAAATCTTATTGAAAGTACTGAAATCTTTTTTTCCAATTCATGCTTTGAACCATGAAGTTATGTTGCACTGCAATCATGTAGATATCTACATGAAATTTACAAATTGAATCAATCAACAAATTGACAGACCAAAAATTGGTTAATTAATAAATTTCGCTGTGGTGAGAAAGGCTGTCCGTCAATTGAGGTAAATTAATTAATCCTAATTACCAACCTTCAAATGCTTTCTGTACACATTTTATTAATTTTGCAAAAGAAATATTATCTAATTAAATACTTTCTGCAATTATTTCTAAAAAAAATAATCCGAAAATGAAATAATTGATGAATCAATAAAGTTCCATCAATACAAATTAATGAAAGTGCGAAAATTGAATCAAATTTCTTCGTGATCTGATAGTTGTAATTTGTTTTGAAAATTCAATGAGCAATTCCGAGCTCTAACTGATTAGATAAGAAGAAATGAGACCTTGAAATTGAAATTTTAAATTGAAGTGGGCTCGTGTTAATTCTCGTGCTTATAAATATCTTTGATAAAAATTGCTGCTCTTTAATTAAGTCACTGATTAGATTACGTTTAACAATAGGTAGCTTAACGCAAGCTTTTGAGTGACAATTATTGTTTTTATTTATAGAAAAAGTTCTTCAACGAGATCTTCTTTAACAATTTTTCTAATTGAAATTTATTAAATTATTTAATCGATGTGATGTGAAAGTGAAATTGAAGATGCGGATTGATAAATGAATAGGTTTATGAATACGTCTTAAATTACTTTGATGCACTTGAAAGTTGAATGAAACAATCATAAATCAAACATATATTTAGACTGATTAGATAAGCAAATATTCATATGAAACAAACAAGCTTAAATTTACCTTTGTGGGTTTTTCCAAATCTTTGAAGAAGTCAATGATTAATTACTGATTATTGCTACTGTTAAAGAAAAACAAAAACTGAGTGAGACTTTTTACAAATGAATTGATTGATAACAAAATGTAGATAAAAAGAACAGAAAACAATTTCACATTCTTTTTGTTATTGTAAGATAACAGACAATTTTCTACGAGATTTTTTCATATAAAAGGACTTGAAGTTTTTATTAAACAACATTGAATTAAAATGCTTCGACTATTTGTGACCTGTTGTTTAATTGCACTTGCTTTGGGTAGCAGTAAGTTATAAAAGAAATTTTCAAATAAAGTTCTAGTTAAATAAATCTTGAATTATTTCACAGCCATTCCCGATGCAACTCTCGATGATGATTTCATTGAATGGTCTGGCCGAATTGTTGGTGGATCAACAGCTTCATCTGGACAATTCCGTTACATGGTGTCATTGAGAAGCACAGGAAATGCTCACTTCTGCGGTGGATCACTTTTCAGCAACAGATGGGTTGTCTCAGCTGCTCATTGCACACAACGTACAGCCGGTAGCACCATTGCTGTCGTCGGTGCAATCAGCCGAACAACTGGAGGAACTGCACATTCTATTACCAGAATTGTCAACCATCCATCATACAATAGCAACACTCTCGCCAATGATATTTCACTCCTTCAAACTGTTTCCAATGTTGCTACAACCTCCACTGTTGCCCCAGCTTCTTTGGGATCAGGCTTCGTTGGTGGTGGCGTCACTGTTATTGCTTCGGGCTGGGGCCAGACAGCCCACCCTGGGTCAGCTGCGGCCAATCTTCAATGGGTTTCTCTTCAAACTTTGACCAATGCTGATTGTCGCAACCGATTCGGTGCAGGCAGCGGAAATGCTAACCGTGTCTTTGACAACACAATCTGTACATTCACTCGCAGTGGTCAAGGTACCTGCATGGGAGATTCTGGTGGTCCAATCGCTTCTGGAAACACAGTTCATGGTGCCGTTTCATGGGGTATTGCATGTGCCCGTGGATTCCCTGATGTCTATGCTCGTATCAGCAGCCATCGTGGATGGATTAGTTCAGTCACTGGAATTTAAATGATTTTTTTAATTATCATTTGTTTCATTGTTGAAAATGAAGAAAATACAAAAAAGTCTTTTGAAACGTAAATTCATATCAAAATCTTTTATTTCATAAATTTATCGCTAGTTAAGTTATCGTAATGATCAGGGGTTGACTCAATTTGTTTTTCCATCGAGTCAAATCGATCTTCAAGTCAAGTCGTACAAAGCATGCAAGTCGAGTCACTGAAACGAGTCAAGTCTTCAAAACCAATCAAATATAAGAAGAAGATCGAGTCAAGTCAGCCCAAAACAGGAAAGTCAAGCAGTCAAGTCGAGTCTCTGGTGACGAATCCATAAAAGTGAAAATTATCAATGGTTTTAGAATAATTGTCAGGGCTTATTGTTATTGACATTCATTTTGTTTTTATTCATCATCCTTCACAACTACTCAAATCATTTGAAAGAAATTTGTGAGATTTTATCATTTTATTCTGCTCTTTCCCGAGCGGCACATAAGGCGATATCTCTAACAAATCTGGCATACGAGTATCGTCTCCATTTAATGGGAAGGCTTTCCTTTAGAATCCGCCATATGAAAGACATTTGGCTAAAAACTACTGGCTATCGCCTAATTCTATCACCTTAAGTTAGTTATGTATTGGACTAGTGAAGAATTTCTTAAGCTGCCTTATGGTAGCCTTATTTAGAGTTAATGGCATGTGGGGCAGTATCATAGCGTCAACTGTTAGTGGTAAATTGATACCTCGGTGATTTTCGCTGATTTCTGAAGGAAAAGCCAAAGGAAGTGCCAACTAAAAATCGTCGTAGTGCAAACGTATGCCTCCGGCACGGCGAGTTGTGCCGCTCGGGAATTTGTTTTGTTAATCATCCAAACTTCACCATATAAACAATTATTTGTCAATATTTAATGTTTAATTTCTTTATACAATTATACGAAATAAAGTATCAAGAAAATTTTTTAAACATCATACTATTTTTTTATATATTTTTTTAACAATCAATTACCTAGAAAATAAATTTACATACGAAGGATGCAAAAATTTGGTTTTTCCAAATAATTTGGATTTTCCAAATATATCATCTAATTGATTTCACTGAAAGATAAGGAACTAAATCTGACTGTAAAATTTTAAGATTGTGTTATCTTCAGATATTTTCGAAGGCAAATTTACGATTTTTGCTTTAATTAATCAGCACACGCTTTTGTTTTTCAGATAAGAAAACTATGATAAATCAAACTTCAATAAACTTTACATGAAACAAATGTGAAAAATTGCCTAAAGTGATTTAAAGTAATGCCGTAGCATAATGGTAAATGCACTGGTCTTGATGTCTGGAGATAGCTGGTTCGATTCATATTGTGTGAAATCTTTCTGTACATAAAAATACATTCAGTGAGCTCTTAAAGGTCGTAAAATTCTTTAAAAAATTGAAAATATGATAAATTATTTTATGACGATAAGAATGTTGATTAATTATTGCAATTATAAGTTATATTTAGACTACTTTAAAAAGCTTTGTTTTTTTGTATAAAAGTCGAGGATTTCTTGATTTCTTTAACATTTAATTTCAAGATGATGAAGTTTGTTATTTCTCTTTGCTTGATCGCTCTTGCTGTCGCCAACCGTAAGTTGCATAAACAAACAACACTAAGCAGAAATTAAAGAACTTTTGAAATATAATTTCAGCTACTCCCGACGCAACTCTCGATCCAGAGTTCCTCGAATGGTCTGGTCGAATTGTAGGTGGAAGCAACGCTGTTGCTGGTCAGTTCCGTTACCAGGTCTCCCTCAGAACAACTGCAAACTTCCACTTCTGCGGAGGTATCATGTTCAGCAACCGATGGGTACTCTCAGCTGCTCATTGCACACAACGTACAGCTGCTAGCACTGTTGCCGTCTTTGGAGCTGTCAGCAGAACAACTGGTGGAACTTCACACAGTGTGTCTCGCATTGTTAACCATCCATCATACAATAGTGGCACACTTGCCAATGACATTTCATTACTTGAAACTGCAACTGCTGTAGCCACAACTGCCAATGTTGCCCCAGCTGCTTTAGCATCAGCCTTCATTGGTGGTGGCGTCACTGTTACTGCTTCTGGCTGGGGCCAGACATCGCACCCAGGATCAGCGGCACCGACGCTTCAATGGCTCAACGTACAAACATTGACAAACGCTGACTGTCGCTCTCGATTCTCTGCCGCAAACGCTGCTCGTGTCTTTGACAACACAATCTGTACATTCACTCGTACTGGTGAAGGAATGTGCATGGGAGATTCTGGCGGTCCAATCGCAACTGGAAACACAGTTCATGGTGTGGTTTCATGGGGTATTGCATGTGCCCGTGGATCCCCTGATGTGTTTGCTCGTGTCAGCAGCCATCGTTCATGGGTTACTTCAGTTACTGGAGTCTAAATTTTGTTGAAATAATAAAGAAGAAATTTATTCATTTCAAAATCAATTAAAATTGTCCAAATTTGTTACGAAAATTCGATTTATTTCAAAACTTCGATAACATTTGAATTATTTAGAAGTAAGTAGTTGATTGCTTCATATGTGTAGCACGTGTGCACTTAAGCAGTTCGAATCTCCTTCGCTTAAAATGACGTGCTTTATTATTTGTTTATTATCTACTATACATACAAACGTTCAACGGATAAATGATAAATGTTTTGTGCTTTCCTAGCATCCTACGTGCCAAATACTAAACTTTGAAGTTTGTTATCGCAATGACGATTTAGCTTCTTATCAATTCTTTTAAAAAATCCTGTCTAAGGTATTTCATACTTCATAAATTTTGTTTCTTGTTTTGATGATGTTGGAATGAGTGGAAAAATTGCTTGGAAATTATAATTTATTTCCTTGAATTTAATTATTGATATTGTGCTAAGTAATTTTTGAAATAAATTCTTACAACTCTAAACAGGAAATTTGAGAAAATATGATAAGTTTGATTCGATCTACCGTCAAATTGAGATAAGATAACTTTGATATTTTTAATTTATAACATTTTGAAATTCTAGAAAATTTCAGTGATAATTTTTCAGATAATCTGAATGTATAAAAGGGAAAAATCGTTTTTGATATTTTTAGTTTATTATTGAAAAATGTTGAAGTTTGTTGTTTCTCTTTGCTTGATAGCTTTTGCTGTAGCCAGTCGTAAGTCGTATAAGTAAACGACATTAAGTAGATTTGCTAATTATTTTGCGAATTCAATTTTAGCCACTCGTGATGCAACTCTCAACGTTGAAATATCTGGTCGAATTGTAGGTGGATCAACAGCTTCTTCTGGTCAATTCCCTTACCAAGTTTCTCTGAGAACAATTGAAAATGTTCATTTTTGCGGAGCTACAATGTTCAGTACAAGATGGAGTGTCACAGCTGCTCAATGCATGACCTTACGTAACCCAGCAAACACAATTGCTGTGTTTGGTGCTCTCACTCGACTTGCTGGTGGAACTTCACACAGTGTGTCTCGTATTGTCAGTCATCCTGCATATAATGCTGCCAATCTTGCCAATGACATTGCATTGGTAGAAACTGCAACTGCTGTTGCTATAACTGCTAGTGTTGCACCAGCTGATTTAGCATCAGCTTTTGTTGGTGGTGGAATCGCTGTCATCGCTTCCGGTTGGGGACAAACTGCACAAATTTCTGGATCACTCTCTACAACTCTCCAATTTCTTAACACACAAACAATAACGAATGCTGATTGTCGCTCTCGATTCTCTGTGGTGAACGCTAATCGTGTCTTTGACAACACAGTCTGCACATTTACTCGCGATGGACAAGGCGTCTGCATGGGAGATATTGGTGGTCCTCTTGCCAATGGAAATACAGTTGTTGGTATCATTTCATGGGGAATTCCATGTGCAACAGGATCACCCGATGTTTACGCTCGTATCAGTAGTCATCGTACTTGGATCTCTTCAGTTACTGGTTAGAAAAAATCTTTTTTTACGTCTTGTCTACTTCGAAATATTTGAGAAATAAATTTGTTTTGAAATCTTCATCGTTAACTTCTGTCGTCGTCTCTTCTACTGAATTGCTTTCGGTTGTTGTTGAATTTTTTTGTCTTCTAATTTGCTTTCTTCTCTTTCTAATAATTCCCGTTGAAGTTTCATTTGGTGCTCGACATTCGGTATAAAGTTTTGCACAATCGGTGAACTTCTTTGGTGCTTGTGGACCTTCTTTTGATGTCACGTACTCTTTGAACAATTCAACTCTGTTGGTGATTTTTTTATTTTTAATTAATTGTTAAAAGAGAAGAGAATTAATTTGACTCACCCAACATATCTCATTGCATATCCCAAGAAAGGATTTCTGAATTCCAATTCACAAACAAATCTTTTTTTGCATTGATCTGTGTTGACTCCAAGAAATCTAAAGAAAAGATCTCCAAAAAGTGTCACTGACTCTTCACTGAGTTGTCTGCCTCTGACACGACGTCGTCGATTTGGATATGAAAAACCAGCAGCTGCTTGTGGTGATTGTTCAGCCATGCCACTTGGTGGTAGATAAGGAGATCCTGAATAGCTTTGAACACCTTGAGATGGTCCCACTTCAGGATCTGACGTAGAGTAGCTTTGGGAACTTTGAGGTGGTCCGACTTCAGGATCTGAACCAGACGCTGATGGTGGCAAATACATGGAAGAACCAGAAAAGCCATGTGATGATCCAACTGGTGGTCCAGGAGTGTGTGAATAAATTCCACTGTAATCACCACCACTGAAAGAATCATGAAAACTACCAGGAAATGATGAAATGCCTTCAGATGAAAATCCTATTCGTGGGGATGACAATGGGGATGGTCGTGGGGATGGTCGTGGGGATGATCATGGGGATGACCATGGGGATATAAATGATACATATATATATATATGAAATGTTGTGGGCGTGACAATTAATTAAATGTAATGAACTGTTTGCTGTTGAAGAATTTCGGGTTAATGAATAAATATCTAACTTCCAAATTTTTGTTTTACAAGTTCAGTTTTATTTCAGTGAAACTTGCTTATAAACTATGAAATATCAAAAAAACCTAAAATAATAATTAATTGCGTTAACAAAAATTCAATTGCAATGAGAAAATTTTTATACCTTTCGTAGGTTTATATTCTAACTATTTCGTAAAGTTTGCTGCATGTCTCTTCTTTGCCTTTATCTTTTGACTTTGAAAACGTACGTACAAAATATTATCTCGTCGCGCGCACATTTTCGTTTGTGTCCGAATGTCACTTCCGAAAATCGGTTTTCGAAATCTTATGCAATCGCGACGTGCTAACTTTAAAAATTTAATTAAAAAAAGTCAAACGAATAAAAAGTTGGAACATAAACTAAAACTTAAACAAGAAACAAAGCGAAATGAAGTTCAGGATGAGAGTCGACCGACGCTTCAATGGCTCAACGTACAAACATTGACAAACGCTGACTGTCGCTCTCGATTCTCTGCCGCAAACGCTGCTCGTGTCTTTGACAACACAATCTGTACATTCACTCGTACTGGTGAAGGAATGTGCATGGGAGATTCTGGCGGTCCAATCGCAACTGGAAACACAGTTCATGGTGTGGTTTCATGGGGTATTGCATGTGCCCGTGGATCCCCTGATGTGTTTGCTCGTGTCAGCAGCCATCGTTCATGGGTTACTTCAGTTACTGGAGTCTAAATTTTGTTGAAATAATAAAGAAGAAATTTATTCATTTCAAAATCAATTAAAATTGTCCAAATTTGTTACGAAAATTCGATTTATTTCAAAACTTCGATAACATTTGAATTATTTAGAAGTAAGTAGTTGATTGCTTCATATGTGTAGCACGTGTGCACTTAAGCAGTTCGAATCTCCTTCGCTTAAAATGACGTGCTTTATTATTTGTTTATTATCTACTAACTATACGAACGTTCAACGTATAAATGATAAATGTTTTGAGCTTTCCTAGCATCCTACGTGCCAAATACTAAACTTTGAAGTTTGTTATCGCAATGACGATTTAGCTTCTTATCAATTCTTTTAAAAAATCCTGTCTAAGGTATTTCATACTTCATAAATTTTGTTTCTTGTTTTGATGATGTTGGAATGAGTGGAAAAATTGCTTGGAAATTATAATTTATTTCCTTGAATTTAATTATTGATATTGTGCTAAGTAATTTTTGAAATAAATTCTTACAACTCTAAACAGGAAATTTGAGAAAATATGATAAGTTTGATTCGATCTACCGTCAAATTGAGATAAGATAACTTTGATATTTTTAATTTATAACATTTTGAAATTCTAGAAAATTTCAGTGATAATTTTTCAGATAATCTGAATGTATAAAAGGGAAAAATCGTTTTTGATATTTTTAGTTTATTATTGAAAAATGTTGAAGTTTGTTGTTTCTCTTTGCTTGATAGCTTTTGCTGTAGCCAGTCGTAAGTCGTATAAGTAAACGACATTAAGTAGTTCTAAAACACTGAACGACATTAAGTAGATTTGCTAATTATTTTGCGAATTCAATTTTAGCCACTCGTGATGCAACTCTCAACGTTGAAATATCTGGTCGAATTGTAGGTGGATCAACAGCTTCTTCTGGTCAATTCCCTTACCAAGTTTCTCTGAGAACAATTGAAAATGTTCATTTTTGCGGAGCTACAATGTTCAGTACAAGATGGAGTGTCACAGCTGCTCAATGCATGACCTTACGTAACCCAGCAAACACAATTGCTGTGTTTGGTGCTCTCACTCGACTTGCTGGTGGAACTTCACACAGTGTGTCTCGTATTGTCAGTCATCCTGCATATAATGCTGCCAATCTTGCCAATGACATTGCATTGGTAGAAACTGCAACTGCTGTTGCTATAACTGCTAGTGTTGCACCAGCTGATTTAGCATCAGCTTTTGTTGGTGGTGGAATCGCTGTCATCGCTTCCGGTTTTGGACAAACTTCACAAATTGGATCACTAGCTACAACTCTCCAATTTCTTAACACACAAACAATAACGAATGCTGATTGTCGCTCTCGATTCTCTGTGGTGAACGCTAATCGTGTCTTTGACAACACAGTCTGCACATTTACACGCGATGGACAAGGCGTCTGCATGGGAGATATTGGTGGTCCTCTTGCCAATGGAAATACAGTTGTTGGTATCATTTCATGGGGAATTCCATGTGCAACAGGATCACCCGATGTTTACGCTCGTATCAGTAGTCATCGTACTTGGATCTCTTCAGTTACTGGTTAGAAAAAATCTTTTTTTACGTCTTGTCTACTTCGAAATATTTGAGAAATAAATTTGTTTTGAAATCTTCATCGTTAACTTCTGTCGTCGTCTCTTCTACTGAATTGCTTTCGGTTGTTGTTGAATTTTTTTGTCTTCTAATTTGCTTTCTTCTCTTTCTAATAATTCCCGTTGAAGTTTCATTTGGTGCTCGACATTCGGTATAAAGTTTTGCACAATCGGTGAACTTCTTTGGTGCTTGTGGACCTTCTTTTGATGTCACGTACTCTTTGAACAATTCAACTCTGTTGGTGATTTTTTTATTTTTAATTAATTGTTAAAAGAGAAGAGAATTAATTTGACTCACCCAACATATCTCATTGCATATCCCAAGAAAGGATTTCTGAATTCCAATTCACAAACAAATCTTTTTTTGCATTGATCTGTGTTGACTCCAAGAAATCTAAAGAAAAGATCTCCAAAAAGTGTCACTGACTCTTCACTGAGTTGTCTGCCTCTGACACGACGTCGTCGATTTGGATATGAAAAACCAGCAGCTGCTTGTGGTGATTGTTCAGCCATGCCACTTGGTGGTAGATAAGGAGATCCTGAATAGCTTTGAACACCTTGAGATGGTCCCACTTCAGGATCTGACGTAGAGTAGCTTTGGGAACTTTGAGGTGGTCCGACTTCAGGATCTGAACCAGACGCTGATGGTGGCAAATACATGGAAGAACCAGAAAAGCCATGTGATGATCCAACTGGTGGTCCAGGAGTGTGTGAATAAATTCCACTGTAATCACCACCACTGAAAGAATCATGAAAACTACCAGGAAATGATGAAATGCCTTCAGATGAAAATCCTATTCGTGGGGATGACAATGGGGATGGTCGTGGGGATGGTCGTGGGGATGATCATGGGGATGGTCGTGGGGATGACCATGGGGATATAAATGATACATATATATATATGAAATGTTGTGGGCGTAACAATTAATTAAATGTAATGAACTGTTTGCTGTTGAAGAATTTCGGGTTAATGAATAAATATCTAACTTCCAAATTTTTGTTTTACAAGTNACAGGAAATTAGAGAAAATATGATAAGTTTGATTCGATCTACCGTCAAATTGAGATAAGATAACTTTGATATTTTTAATTTATAACATTTTGAAATTCTAGAAAATTTCAGTGATAATTTTTCAGATAATCTGAATGTATAAAAGGGAAAAATCGTTTTTGATATTTTTAGTTTATTATTGAAAAATGTTGAAGTTTGTTGTTTCTCTTTGCTTGATAGCTTTTGCTGTAGCCAGTCGTAAGTCGTATAAGTAAACGACATTAAGTAGATTTGCTAATTATTTTGCGAATTCAATTTTAGCCACTCGTGATGCAACTCTCAACGTTGAAATATCTGGTCGAATTGTAGGTGGATCAACAGCTTCTTCTGGTCAATTCCCTTACCAAGTTTCTCTGAGAACAATTGAAAATGTTCATTTTTGCGGAGCTACAATGTTCAGTACAAGATGGAGTGTCACAGCTGCTCAATGCATGACCTTACGTAACCCAGCAAACACAATTGCTGTGTTTGGTGCTCTCACTCGACTTGCTGGTGGAACTTCACACAGTGTGTCTCGTATTGTCAGTCATCCTGCATATAATGCTGCCAATCTTGCCAATGACATTGCATTGGTAGAAACTGCAACTGCTGTTGCTATAACTGCTAGTGTTGCACCAGCTGATTTAGCATCAGCTTTTGTTGGTGGTGGAATCGCTGTCATCGCTTCCGGTTGGGGACAAACTGCACAAATTTCTGGATCACTCTCTACAACTCTCCAATTTCTTAACACACAAACAATAACGAATGCTGATTGTCGCTCTCGATTCTCTGTGGTGAACGCTAATCGTGTCTTTGACAACACAGTCTGCACATTTACTCGCGATGGACAAGGCGTCTGCATGGGAGATATTGGTGGTCCTCTTGCCAATGGAAATACAGTTGTTGGTATCATTTCATGGGGAATTCCATGTGCAACAGGATCACCCGATGTTTACGCTCGTATCAGTAGTCATCGTACTTGGATCTCTTCAGTTACTGGTTAGAAAAAATCTTTTTTTACGTCTTGTCTACTTCGAAATATTTGAGAAATAAATTTGTTTTGAAATCTTCTTAGAAATTTATGATAAATTATTGTTAATCTTTCTTCAATTGATATTGTTTAAGTTTTGTTCACTTCAGCCATGCAATTTTTAGATTTTTGATATTTTGTTATCGACCCCCCTACGCAGTACTATTTCGATTTATTTTTTAATCTTATCGTCACGAGGTTTTAACAACTAAGCAACTTATTTAGTCAGTTTCGCGCTGGTATTTCAGTGGTGAAGTCGAAAAAATAAAACAGCAAATAGAAAATGTCAACAAATCTTGAGATAAATCGTAATCCGGATGAAATACCTGAACATAAGAAGAAAAGTTTTAAAAACATGTCACGCTACCTTTCAAATAATTTGTCGCAACGAACGATTGATAAGTCATGTATGGTACTTGTAGAAGTGATTGGAACTGCAACTCTCGTGTTTTTCGGATGCGCTGGTGGGATTCATTGGATAGGTGACCCTGGCCAGTTGATACCTCCGTTTAATTTTGGCTTGGTTGTCTTGTTTGTCGTTCAAATGTTTGGACACATTTCATTCGCTTTAATCAACCCATCAGTGGTTATTTGTGCAGTCATAAATAATTTTATATCAGTAAAGGTAAAAGAATTATCGGTGTTGACATTATCAAAGTAATAATACGATGTTGAGAATATTTTAAGACTGCAATTTTATTTATTATCGCTGAAATCGTTGGTTCTATTATTGGATATGGACTTTTGATGTATGTCACACCCGCAAATCTTTTGGCGTTGGCTCCCAACGGACTTTGCGTTACTGCAATCCATCCTGAAGTTTCAATCCCGCAAGCATTTTTAGTTGAATTTCTTATTACGAGTTGTTTGGTTTTGGTAGTCAGCGGTGCTTGGGATCCTCGTAATAACAAAAACACAGATTCAACATCATTAAGAATTGGTTAGCTAAAATGTTTTCTTCTTTTAAAAAATCAATCAATAAATTGCCTGTTTCGGAAGGTTTTGCAGTTGCGTCTTTGTGCATAGTCGCTGCACCTATCACGGGTGCGTCAATGAACCCAGCACGATCAATTGGACCAGCTTTATGGAATTGGAATTGGAAAAATCATTGGGTTTATTGGGTGTCACCTTTATCCGCTGCTTATATATCATCTAAGTTTTACAGAATAGTTTTATGGCGAAAGGAAGCAAAAGAAATAACAGAAAGTAACATTTAAAATTAATCATTTTAAAACTTTTAAACGATTTCTTTCCTATTTTCCTATACTAACTATTTAGCTTCTAATAATAATTTAGATCATCATCAGGATTTCCCGTTGTTATTAAGTTTCCCAAAGAAATAATAAAAACATTTGATCGAATGTGTCAAATCTTGCTTAAAAGACTTGAACGTTTTCGAGGAATAAGAAATTGCAATGTAAAGCAAAAAAGTTCCAGTCTCTGTCTTCAATCGATAACTTCGAACAAGTATTTTTTACTCCCAGATTATTTTTACGTATTTGCTAAGAGATCATTCTGCTGTAAATGACTTGGGAGCATCTTCCCTCTCAAATTAACAAAAACTGTTGATGATTTTTCCGTATTATCTCGACAGTATTGCTTTAGACTTCAATTCAATCTGTTGACATATTTTTAAAAGTATTATATGTTTATAAATATTTTCCTTTAAAAGAGCACAAAAAAAATGTTATCAATAAAACAAAGACTTCATTTGATCGCAATATCGATTGGTTTATTTGGATGTTACTCAGTTTTTGGAATTTTTCAAGAAAGAATTTTTCGTAGAGAATATGAAAGCGTAGGTGGAGGAATGAGTGAATACTTCACATATTCAGTAACATTCGTCGGCCTTCAATGTTTCTTTTACTCGCTTTTCGCAAAGGGTTTGTTCTCAAGTGGAATTAAAGTAAGAAATAAAATTCTTTCAATGATAAATTTCTTTGAAGCAATTCTAATGATACGTGAATACAAAGAGAATGAAACATCTCAAGCGTTTTTTGGGCTTACATCAATATTCTACCTCCTGGGATTGATAACATCAAATACTGCACTTCGCTTTATATCTTATCCTAGTCAAGTTATTGGAAAAGGTAAAAACTGATTCTCCATTGAATTGAAAGCACTTATTATGTAATTTAAATTTATTGAAAGCTTTGAAGCCAATAGTTACAATGATATTTGGATGCCTGGTTGGTGGAAAATCTTATCCGACTCATAAATATTTCTTTGTGATATTGATCGTCAGTGGTGCTGTGATGTTTCTTTTCAAAACTGATCAGAAAACGCAAGACGAACCAATTTTTGGCTACAGTTTGGTTGGATTCAGCTTACTCATGAATGGATGTATGGCGGGAGTACAAGAGAAAATGAGATCAGTAGCAAGACCATCACCTTTGAACCTCATGTTTTTTCTCAACGCGTGGAGCTCTCTTTTTGTGATTTTCGGGATTGCATTGAGTGGAGAATTCTTCGGATTCATTGAGTTTTGTACGAGACATCCAAATATTTTATTACAAATTAGCATACTTTTGGTTGTTGGAAGTTGTGGTCAACTCTTTACATGCACAATGATCACAGATTATGGAGTTGTTCCATGTTGCATTGTTCTAACGATAAGAAAGTTTTTTAATGTAATGTTTTCAGTGCTTTATTTCGGAAATGTTTTAGTTCTAAGACAATGGCTTGCAACTGCTTTAATCTTTACATCACTTTTAGCAGACACAATTTTAAGTTCAAAACTCCAAAGAAATGTTGATAACAATAAACGATGTGAGAAATTAAGAGAGGGTTGTGACATTAAGGAAATGAAAACAGAGAATGATTCCACATTAGTTGATAAAAGAAATTACGAAAATGATATAATTGAACCATAGACAGAAAAGATTTAATAAAAGTCACGTGTAACCTGTCATTGATAATCAAAATAGCGCCACATTTGTTCATAATTTAACATTTCAAATGTGGATTCCATGTTATTAACCCGATTATTGAATGAAATTTATTGCAAAAAAAAGTAAAATCACCAACACTGATAACCCAATTAACCCGAAATCAGCTTGAAGTGAGAATTTTCTGGTGACGTTTTTTGTTTCTCTTTTATTTTGTTATCTCTGTTCATGGGACAAAATCCAGCAGACACTGAATAGTTTATTTTAGTGGATTTCCTGATTTTGTTTTTGTTCTTTAATCTTAACGTAAACATAGATGGGCATGTCTTGCGCTGGTACTGGTACTTTACTGCAAAAAACGTCTTGCGTACCCATTTTTTTGCAGTACTTCCACGTAGCGCAAAAAATGCAGTATTTGTGATACGTCCACATAGCGCAAACGTTGGGGGAAGTGATACCATTTTAGTAGCGCAAAATGGTTCCTTCGCAACCAATTGCGCTTCGCGCTTGTGGTACTTAGTAGAAACAAGTAGCGCGAAAAAGTACCGCAGGAACCGTTTGCGCTACCAGTAGTATCACATCCTCCAATTTTTTTTGCGCTACGTGGAAGTACTGCATCCTCCAATTTTTTTGCGCTGGTGGAACCTAGATTCCTCCAAAGTAGCGCAAGACGTTCCTTGCCCATCTATGAACGTAAACATGTGAATTGAACTTTCACCTCTAAGCAAATTCTGTAAAATCTTCAAGAATCCCATGAATTTATCTTGACCTAAAGAAACAAGCAAATTTCTTACTAAGCACCAACAAGAAGTTAAGAAAACTTTCTCGATTTTGTCAAAGGCAGGCAGGTATGACAAAAGTGAAATTTAGTGCAACTTTTATTTTCCGATTTTTCTCTTGTAAAGTGTAGAAAAAATCGACAATTGGGTCACAATGGACATTGTTTTTGCACCACCATTGAGTGTTAATAAATTCAACCAGATTCGATAGAGAGAAAAGAACAAAATGCAATATCAGTTGGACATCACTGACCTCATTCTTCTTTTCTATCGTGATGCAGCAATTGTTAAACATTTTCTTATTATTTTCCGCTTTCTATCTGTCGAGTCGTAATTTCAAAAGAATTTCTTTCTTCACTAAAGCTTTGTATTCTAAATGTTGAATGAATTTGTTGGAAAATTCATAATTTCTATATTAATGTTTAAATAAAGGAAATTGTATTCATACCTTTTTCGTTTCTATGAATTTAATTCTTCAAGTGATTCTCTTTTCAATATAATTCTTTAATTTTATCAATGGGAACAAACTTTTGTGTCATATTTTCAATTTTAAAGTTTTAAAGCTTTTACATTCGAGCTTTAAAAACGAATCATGCAAATATTGAAAGGCATTTTAAATGCTAACATTTGTTGAAGGAGAAAGAACAGCAAAATTATCCACGATTCAGTTCATTGGCTGATACAAAGTTTTCAAATAAATATTTCCTAGAAGTTTGTAATAGCGTAAGGTTGATTGATCTTGAGAATAAGAGAATTTCTCAACTCTTAATCACGCTTGATTAATGTTTTGATCAAAGAAGACTATAAGAAATTATCTTCACTTAGTAAGGACGAATTGATGAAGAATGAAGCAGAAGCAAAAAGGTTCCTTGTCCCCTACAGTAAGAAAACAGCTCATAAGAAAGGATATAATTAAGTATCTTATTACTTCTACACCCACATCTCAAATATCCATGAATAAATATTGAACAAACAAAAGCATCTTGACCATTAATAGTCCAATGAATAGATTGCCATGGGATTTCAAGATTGTTTTATAAGAAAATCTTTTTCTCACATATTTGATCAAAAATAACTTCCCTTTCATTCATGAAAAGTTTGCAAAGAAAATTATTCAATATCCACCCTCACATAAATTCCCTGAAAAGAAATGTAATTCATTATAACAGTGAAAGAAATAATATTTGCTTCGTATTTCATTCCACCGCCTTTCGTCATTTTTATTTATGAGATTCGTAATCTAAAGTGTCATGTAAATTGAAGTCGTTTCGTTTTCGTTTTATGTTGTAAAACAAGAAAAAGGAGTTGTTCTGGTGTGTTGTCAAGATTCACATTTTATCTGTGAAACTCTATACCGGAAACAGCTTTCTTTTATATTCAATAATAAAGTTTCAATTGAGAATCTATGTATATGACTTCCTTTCATATGAAGATGTAAGTTAAGAATTTTGTGTGGGTGGCAACGGAAGAGTCTTCTGAGAATTGAATCTACCTTATAAAATGTTTTGTTGAAAATTCAGGATTAGATATTCATCAGAATTTTATTTCAATTATACTTGACAGCATCATATTGAAATTGTCCTGATTTGATTACAAATAAAAGATGAAATTTAAGAAGAAAGCTCTTTTTAACAAGTTGTATTGAATTAGAAGGTACGCGGCGACCTCTGCTGTCAGGTTTCGATATTACTTAAAGAATTATATTCAAAACCTGAAATAAAATAAAGTTTTGAAAACTTTATTAAAAAAAGTTATTAAAAAGTCACCCTAGTTATATTTCTTGTTTATTGTACAATTTTATTTTCATCTATTTATTCAATTTAAGCCTAAGATGTAACAGTTTTACTTTATTTAATTAAGTGTTCATCATCATCTTCATTTTCATTTTGTTTCTTCATTTTTTTAAATCAATATTTTCACTTCAATCAGTTACAATTCAAATATTTTTTAATTTAATTTAAATTTTATTTTCCCCATAAAACAATAAAAGTTTTGTGTAAATTTTATCATGTTGCAGAAATTGGAACAATTTATCAGTTAATTTGATTAAAATATTTATGTAATTCAAATATATTCAACATGCATGAAAAAGCTTTTCCTGTTTTAATATTTGAATGTCTGTGCTTGAAAACATTTCTTTTATCTTACATCAGATTTTTTATGCAGTTGATCAGAAAAAGGAAAATGGAATTGAAAATCAGTTTACTATGCCATTGTCTGACTTTAAAAGTTATTTTCATTTATTATTTTGCTCTTACATTCAGATTCAATAAATAATTGGATTTCGTGTCCATGGAATTGTTAAAAGGAAAAAGAGAAACGAAACTGAATAAAATTTACTTCTGAACTGTCGTCGTATTATTGAATAAATATGTAAATTCTTTTCATGTTCATAATTTAATGCATCTTTCATATTTATCGACATTCCAACACCGTCAGCAAAATAAAAACTTTGAAAAATTGTCAAACTAATTCCTTTCAACTTTTCATTAAATTTAATGATTTAAATTGAAAATAATAATTTTTCAAAATATTTAATACCTTGTGGGGATGTGCAACACGTTAAGTGTAAATGCATTAATTATGAAGATAATAATCTGATTACTTAATTATAAATTTACTTGATTGATAAATCGGATTTTCTGAATTTTCAAAGTTGAAATTTTTTATGCATTTAGATTAGTGTAAAAATGTTTCTGATAACAACATTAAAACCGTAGGACTTTTTTTATCATGCTTTAATTAATATTTACATTCACTCTTGTGTTGTCAGTTAATGACCAGTAATAGTTTTCGCCATACATTTGTGAAATGGTGAAAATAAGAACAGCATTGGATGGAATGTTTATAAGCGATTAATTAAATTAATTGGAATTTTACATGACAATCATCACACATTAAAAAAAGAACGAATTTTGCATCTGTGAAAGGAGATTAATGCATGATGGTTTTATTGCTACATTTTCGAATGATCATTTCTTCTCATAATATAAAATATTATTTATCTCTGTGAAACTTTCTTTATTCTTTAAACTTTTGACAAAGAATTTGGCACAAAAATGTTTAACTACATCTCCCCACGGTTGCAATATCTTGTGAGATGGTAAAAAGTGAAGGTTTTGAAAGTATTTAGATCGTTGACGAAAATATTCAAAGCATCTTTTATCGCATAAAACCTTTATAAAGAAGCACGAACTATGAAATGACGTTTTTAAACTTCATTTGTTATTTCTTTTAGCTGACGAAGAAAATTTACAACATTGCACTTTAAATTTAATATCTTAAAAGGAAAAATGTTACAAAAAGACAACGAAAATATTGTGGGGAGTGTAAAAGTTGTTGATTCTATAAAAGAAAAAATATATAAGTGAGAAGAATTGAGAAAAATGTGCTCATTAATTCAAATGGTGTACTTTTTCCTTTTAGCTATGTAAGTGTCTTTAGCGAGAGCTTTTCTCTTTCCTAATCCCCTTAATCTGCTTTTAAGGATAAAAGGACAGATTAAACTGTACGCCAATTTTAATGCAAAAATATATGCTACCCAACTTTATGCTTATAATAGTTTAAGTACTTTTAATATTATTATTATTATTTTTTGTTTTCGTTAATCTTCCGTCAAAAGCGTTTTGCTTTTTTACATTATTGAAAGCTTTTGAGCTTTAAGCTTTTATCTTCAAATCAACTTCAAATTTCTCGATTGCTTCTTAGAGTGGTTGCTTTCCACTTTTAACCAATGATGTTGCTGTTATGTCTTGATAAAAGTCCCATTCTGATGCAATATGAGAAAAATGAAGATGAAAGCTTTCAAAACTTTAAAAACATTTTTATTTCTTTTATAAATAATTAAGTAGCCTGCTGTTGTGAAAAGTAAATGAAAATGAAAACTAAAAAGTAAAGCAGCTAATAAATTTCTACAATGAGAAATGAAATAGAAAACAATTAAATGTACTTTTAAGAGAACAGTTTTCCTCCACAATCAGTTAAATGTTGATTAAAATCAAACAATTGGGAGCTTTTATGTTGCAATTGCTTTGAGTGCCATGTAGGGTTCTAATGGCAGCATACAAAATTCATTTTTCTTGCTTTATTTTTTTAATGGATTCAGATGGGAGTTTAATGTACACTTCGAGTTGAAGCAATTATCATTGTTAGCTCAGAACAATTGAAATGAATTGGAGATTATGGATGTGCTTGAAAATTGTTTTTACATCAAACATTTCATAAGTGGTGGATTAAAGCATTATTATGGAATTGTGATAAACATTTTTAATAGAAAATTACAAGCAAAAAAATGGAAATAAAAATTCATGAAACATTTCTTTAATTTTTTTATACAAGCCATCATAGTTGCATTAATCATTGCATTTTATATTTTCACCTTTTTTAATCTTTCTTTATTTTGTTTTGGACGGAAACATGAAATAAAGTTAAAACCACACGCAGATGTATTTACTTTCTTTGATCTAACAAACTTTCAGGAAAACTACAAAAACTAAATAAGTACAACAAATTGCATCATCATCAAATATGTCTTTCTTTTCTTTTGAAAAGCAGCAAAACTTTCTCATCACTTCAACTAACAACTCTTCTTACTTATTCTTAAATGAAAAAAATTAATTTGTTTTGAGAAGTTCTCGAGTTTCGTCTTAATTTACGACAAAAGTTGATCTTCCACCTTCTTAAGCATTAACTCAATGTGACATAACACGAGAATTTTCCACTCAAAACATGTTGAAAAAAACGAAGTTGCAAAGAGAAAACATCATCAGTGCATTAAATAAAAAGTATTTAGTAAAAGAAAATTTCTCCAATAAAAGAAAAATGAAAATTTAAGAAACTTTTCATTGTTTTACATTTTTTTGCTCCGTAAGACTAACAATCACAATCATTAACGTTAAGCTTCTCATTTTTCTTCTTCTTATGTTTCTCGATTAAAAAAATGAAGAAAAGGAAAGAAAAGTCTCACCAAATCCTCTTTTTCTTCTTTCACTTCATTTCACTAATTAATTCTTCTCTTTGAGAAAAAATGTTTCAATTCAGAATGTTGTTGGAAGGAAGAAAAAGAAGGAGGAAAGACGAATTCGAATGACCAATTGAACCTTTTTCTTTCTCTTTCTTAGAGCTGGCATTCTCTACGACCTTTCGTTACTTTCGCTTTGATGACGACGTCTTTTGTCGTCTTCTTTTGCGTGGCAGCTCAATTGACAACAAATGGTTTTCAAATGAAATTACGTTGAAACATAAAACACTTTAAGAAAGAATGTTGGCATGGATTAAAGAATGTCGTCTTAAAAATTTAAAAACATAAATTTTATTCAAATCGTCAACATTGCATTCTGCTGATGTCCATTAAGATAAAATTTTATCACCTACCGATTTATAATATTCTTCTAAAAACTTTTGAACAATTTCATTTCTGTCCACACCAACATCGAAAAATGAGAGAAAATCTTTCACGAACTCGAAAAGGACGAACGAAAATATGGAAAAAAAATCTTTTCTTCTCTTTTGGCCACACATTAAGGGATTTGGCAGATTTATGAACATTACGAGCTTAGATGTCTCATTTTTTGTCTTTTATCCTTTTTTTAAAAATTCAATTTCAGCTTAAATTTAACTATTTAAGAAGCGTTATAAAAAAAGCATTTTTCTTTACTACAAATAACAATATTTTCATTACTTATTCCATCGAAACGTGCCGACACGTGAAGCTTTACATGGACATGAAGTGGAAGCTTTAAAAGCCTTTCTTTTTATCTTCGTTTTAAAATATTTATGTGAATATAATTTGATGAAGGTGAGATGGGCCGAAGGATGAAAGAGAGAAGTTGTAAACAAAAATAAATGTATAAAAAGGAAAATCGTTAGATCTTCCCATTGCAGCAGCTGCTGGCGCTTCTTGTTACTCTTTTATATTCGCGAACATATTTCATGTTTCTTCTTACTTACTCTCTCGATTGCCCTTTTCTTTCCTTACGTTCAAAACTCAAGAAAGAATTACTAGTTATATGTATGCTGAATGTGTGTTTACGCTTCTTCACGAGTCACGTTCTAAGATGTGCTTTTTGTTGCTTTTGTAGATATTTTTCTATTCACAACACACAACAACTTTTTCGCTTCTTATTTTACCTTCTTTTCTTTTGCAATTTTTCGCGAATTTTCTTTTCCTTTTCTTGTTTGTGTTTAAAGATGAAGAATAAGAAGAACTTTTTTCATTTTCATTTGCTTTTCTTTTCGTCGTCAATATTTAGTAGAAAATAGAATTTCACTGTTGTTGATGTTACATTTCTTTCCTTCATTTCTTCTTTTCATTTTCAAATCAATGAACTCTCATAGTGGGTGGAAGGAAAGAAAAGCGACGAAGGTGGAACGAAATGCGAATGAGAATCTTTTTTCTCTTCTTCTATCTTTTTTTTCGATTAAACTTTGTTGCTTGCGGATGTTCAATAACGTTGTTGATATTCGTGATGCCATCGATTGAAGTCAATGTGGAATACGATGATGGATCCTGTTGCCAAGCCAGCGAGTAAATATCTATGAAATTGTCGAGTAAACATTTTAATGGAATCGTCAACTCAAGAATGAGTGGAAGAGAAGGAAAGAAAAAAACATACTTTTGATCGTGTGTCAAAGACAGTGAACGAATTCCACTGTTGCAAACTGGGAATGCATAAAGTGGCGCTAGGTTGAATGTACGCCAGACTTCAACGATGCCCTTATCGCCAGCTGTCATCAGATATTCTCCATCACGTGACAACAACATGCACTGTTTCAAATAGAATGAAATGAATTACAATTTCTTCAAGTCTTTTAAAGGTGAATTTGATTTAATATTTGGAGTCACAAAGTTAAAATTTTAATAAACAAAAAATGATGTAAATTTAATAAAAATGTGATAAACAGAAAATGAATGAAAATTAATAAAAATTTCCCTTCCTAGAACTTTCTTCCCACATTTTCATTTTTAAATTTACCTGAAGATTGTCATTATGTGACTCATGACGTAATAAACGACCGTTGATTGTGAATGCTGCAACATTTCCTTCATCATAATTAACGACTATGAAACCTTCACGAGACATTGTAATGTTTTCTGGTGACAGAAAATCATCAGGTGCATCAAGTGATCGAAGTAAATCACCAAACGTTGTATGAACAAGAACTGGACCATCTGATGAAATAACAGAGTACTTAGAAAATGAATTTTAAATGAAGAATGGAAGTTTGTTAAACTTACTTATCGATCCCGAAACAACAAGTCCTAGTTCAGCACTAATGACGACAGATGTCACTGCTTGTTCATGTCCCGTAAGTGTCGCACGTGGCGTTGGAACTTCACCTTCTCCAACAATGCTTTGAGTTCTTGCATTCCAATGCCACAATAAAATCGTACAATCAGCCGAACCCGAAGCAATATAACAATCCGATGTGATGTTACATTCAGAACGTGACAAACACGTCACAACATCAAAGTGACCGAACACGATTTGAACGATTTTCGCTGTCTCTGTTGAGAAAACACGAAAACTGTTATCCCAAAAGCCACAAGCAATAAGAAAACGACTATCGACTGTTGTGACGTAACAATTCGAGCGAATTTTTATCTTCTGACTGAAATTATCACCCAAATGTCGTTTCACAGCTGGATTGTTGTGTGTGGTTGCTTGTGAAAGTACAGGATCCATGGAGAGTGGCAAATTTTGTGGTTGATTATGACTGTTATCAGCATAACTTGGACTTTGAACAGTCGCTGTGTAATTACAATTCCAACGATTCACAGCAAACTGATGGCCAGCTGTAACTGTAACAACTGATGGAAGTGGCAGTTGTGGATAAGTATTTGCCGAAATATGAATAATTGGTGAATTTAAATGAAACTTTAATGACATGCAAACATCGTCTGGCATCGTATTGAACATCATTGGTGACAAATGCATTGCAGAACTTCGTGGTGGATGCGGTTCCATAAGCAAAAGTGATGGCGTTTGACCAAAATTTTTAATTTGATTTTCAATTGCTTCACGCATCACTGGATCGGTGATTGTGTCCAAGTCAACGCTACCTTCATATGTCAAGTAGAAGAAAACATTTGTAGCTCGCATTGCTTCGGGACCACGCTGTTTGTAACCAAATATCAAATCAATCCATTGATGCAATTGACATGACACAAACTCCGATTCAAGTGCCATTCGATTAATTCGAACAAATTCTTCCGGCGTTTTTGCCCACGGTGGCAATTCCACATCGGAAACAATTTTTCCATCATCTCGTGCGCCAAGTCGATAGTCTGATTGATTGTAAAACATTTCAGGAAGGAAGTACCATTCGGGTATAAGCTCTTTGACATCGGACGTGTCACGTTGGCAATTCTTCCATGACATTGACACTGATGAGAATAAGCGGTCAGCATGATCGAATTTTCCGCCTTGCAGTGCTAAGAACATCGTCGTGAAAGGTTCCATTCGTATCAACCAATTGAGTGTGAATGCTGATGTTGAATAGTGTGTGCCATAATGGAAAGGCGGAATGCCAGGCGTATCCCAACTTTCATAACGTTCTTCGAAATACTCACGTCGACTGTGATTTAAAGCACCAATGGGCTTCGACAAGTCACGATAATTTGATGGCAAACTGAGATCAAGTTCACGTGTATCGTAATTTGTCAACACCCAAGGGAACACCGGATATTGATTCAAGTCATTGTAAGTTCGACCCGCAATCGTATTAAGAAACATCAAATACTCGAAGTTTGAAATCTCACGTCGTTGCCATTTTTGTGTCATATTTGAGTTTCTCATTAGTTGACGTGGTGACATCATCGATGCTCGACGTGTTTGTGGAATTCCATACTTAATACCAACACCCACGCGTGGCAGTGCTTTAATGACTTTCTTCACTGTATGTTGATCAGGAAAGGCGAACAAGATTGAAGTTCGACTAGCGAGGAAGATTTCCAAAGCGACATTTTGAAGCAAATATCGACGTGAAAAGATGGCACGAATTTCTGAGAAATACCATTTGCCATGCAAATGATCACAATATTTGAGAACTTCTGAATCAATTTTCTGAAATTCTTCACTTTCTTCATCAACTTCAAAGTACATTTCAGTTGCTGTAATTGACATTGTGCCTGATGCGACAAGACCTGGTGCTACTAGTTTTGCTTTTGTGCTGATGTTGACAGGTCCAGTGAGATCCAAGTCAAGTTCACGATCTTCAATAAGCAACTCGGAGTCATCGAGAAGGTCTGGTTGTTGTGATCTGGGAACAGCAATTTGTGAGTAAATTTCTTCTCGACTAACATTTCCACTTTCTTCTCCTGATTCGATAGCAACTTGTAATGTCGCTTCTGGATGGCTACTTCCACGTGGGTTTTGCACTAAACGTTTTCGACGTCTTGCATCGTCTTCCCACGCATCCAACTTCCAGAATATTTGCTTTGGACTTGACACTTCACCCCAAGCTCCATGCTTGTTACTCATAATGTTTCTAACTTTCTCCAGCAATCGACTTGCGATGACGTTATCACGACGTCTTGCTGCTGTTATCAAATGATCGCACATTCTTTCTTCTTCTCGTCTTTCAAGTAAAGTTTGAGCGCACATTGTCTCAAAGTCAGCATGTTTGAGAACATCATCAGCACGCATGCGATTCAAAATGAATTCAGCTTCATTAGCGACACGCACGATGTGATCTTTCATTGCATGAGATAATAAACGACCTTCGTTTATCAGTTCGATAAAGGCGAGACCGGCATGCTTTTGAAGACTGTTTTGCCATTCTTGCGAGCACAATAGCATCACTAATTCAACAACCGAGTGACTATTCTTAAATGTTGTTAATCCTTTGCCTTCCATCAACAATTCTTGACCATGCGAACCCACTAAAGTTTTTGATAAAAATGGAGCAAAATCGACCATAATTTCACGAAGTAATGGGCACACTGGGCCAAGTGCAACTTCAAGTTTTTGTGTTAAACTCGCTTCACGCGATGGCGTTGTAAGTGGAAGTTGAGAAACCATCGGAGCTTTAATGGAAAGTTCTTCGGGGCGTCTTTGTGTTGATGGTGCAAATGTTTCACTTACACGAACCACAGCAATATCAGAAACAATTTTATCGCCACGATCTAAATGGATGTGAATAATTTTATATAATTAAAACACTTACTCTATTATATATTTATTTATTTATAACAGAGAAGGAAGGAAAAATATTTCTCTTCCAAAACTTACCGTCAATGTCACGAATTTTCTCATTGACATCATCGTTCAAATTAACATCTGTCCAACTTTCATCATTCGAATTACTCGGCTTATTGTCATCTGCCAAAATTTCACTTGATGTTTCACCTTCTTGCGGATCATTTTCTGTCGAATTCATGTTCAATGAACCGGCATCAGAGTCGACACTCTATGAATGGCATTTTTGTGGTTGGGTTTTTGTTTTCGTTTCCGTTCAAAAGAAAACAGAAAGAAGAAAAAGAAGGAAAATTACTTAGTTTTTCTTTTGCTTCGCTTGTAAATATAATGGAAAATTCTTCATTTTCTTTAGAAAGATTTGGAGTTGAAATTGAGCAGAAGAAAATGTTAAGAGAAACACAGAACAGATTGCGTAACACTAATCATGCAAAAGAGATTGATTGATGGGCTCTTTCTAGGTTAATTTGTGAAGAAGACGAGCTAGCATAAATTTCTTGTGTAAAATAATTGCATGCATACCGTGAAAGCTCCCTAAAACTGAATTCTAAGAGATTCTTGTTAAGCGAGAACTTCTTAAAATATAAGCTAAAGAGAACCTTCACTGTATTGAACATTTCTGCTTTTCTCAACAAAAACCTAATCATCAAAAAGTAATCTAAATAGAAAATTTATCATGCAAGATTATCATTCATTCAAAGTCTACTCAACAAAAGTGTTAATTGTGTTTATATTTATTTATATTATTTTATTTTGCTTGTGGATAAGTGCGAAGGAAATTACAACCAATTTATATTTATTTATTTTCTCAATCGTTTGCAGGAAAATCAAAAACATTCTTTTTTAAAAAATAAAAAACTTTTTAGAAATTCAGAAAATTTGGGAAGAAGAAGAAGAAAGTACGTGAGAAATGAAATTTTCGTCTTCCATTTCGTAGATGATTCAAAAAGTTCCTCAATTGCATGGGTGTTGCGGATAATGAAGAAGAGGAAGAAAGAAGGTGAAATTGGTGGATTGTGAAATCAACTGATTTTCAAAGAGTGAATCAAACTTTTACGAGGGTAAAATTTTACACGTGTGGTGTGCCGGAATTGGAAATTTTACGAGTGATTGTGTTGGTGTTGATAGCAAAGTTTTTGTGTCAGTTTCGTCTGCTGATCAGAAAGTGAAGAAAGAGAAATCATCGACCTGCTTGATTTCGAGAATTGAATGAAAATTTATGAAAAAATGTGACGGTGGCAAAAAAATAAATCTACACATCATCATCAGATAAAATTTGACGAGGGGAGAGAATTTTCAAATGGGGCGGATAATTGTGTTCGAATTTTTAAACATTATCGAGTGTGGGGATCGTAAATCATGTCTCGATAATCTTACCTGCGGTTTTATATCAATTCCACCGAAATTCACGGTCGGTAGCATTTTTGAAATTGCCAACTGCAAATCATCGTTAGCATTCGCATTTGATATGTTTGATGATTTGCGGCGTTGTGGTTGTTTTGCCTGCTTTCGGGAGGTTTTTTAGGTTGATTTGGTTAATGTTATTAGTTTTAATGAAAATTATTTCTCATCTAAGCATTATTTTTGTATTGTTTTGTTCACAACATTTACTCAGCAAACAAACAATAAAAAAATAAAATATCAAAACTTTCTGACTCATTAAGAGATTGCTAGTCAGTGTCATGCATCATTAATCATTTTAAAGAAGCTTTGTTTATATTCTCATTGTTATCATGATGTTAAGAGGGAGTAAGGGGGGAGTGGTTAATAAAAGCCAACGATGAGACATTTGAGTAAATTAAAAAAAATATTTCCTACAACAAGCTGACAAAAGATGCAAGTTTGAATAATGCAATTTAATTATTTTTAACATCCAAAGAACAAATTAAATTTGCAAGACTCCAGAAGAAATTTCTATAATTCAAATGTCTTATCGTTAGCTCTTCTCGTTAGCATAAGAAAGAAGCTTGTCGGAAAAGATAAAAGGAAAGATTTAAGAGATCAGCAAAAGGGAAAATAAAATTAAACATTTAATAAATAATTTGCTTATTGCAAACTCATACAACTTTTTTCTTCTTATGTTGTTATTTAATTCATGCTTAGCTTTTAATTTGATTTCATGAAGTCAATGCTTTTGGATTTATTTACCTTAATTGACGGCGGTCCCGATGAATGTGATTCGTTTTCAGCCAAAACCGATGAATTGTTCTCATCAACGACAATAACTTCATAATCGCCATCCTGAATTGTTCGTGTGCCTATTGAGAGATAAAAAAATTATAATCAAGAGAGTTAATTAAAAAACATTCACGCATAAATGCATGATCAACAATTTAAATAAATAAAAATAAATTAATACTTTGTCATATACATAAATACAATCCAGAAATATTTTTGTTTGATTTTCAAAAAATCTGAAAGCTCAGAGCTTAATTAGAGTCAATTATTTGTTAAAATTTACCATCGAAACCACACGAATCAACATAAATAAATAAATGAACATAAAAATTATTCGTTTCGATGGTGAATCTTAAAGTCAAATTCTACGTGCAAAGCGGTGATGCACTTAACTGAAAACAAAAGGAAAATTTTCTCTCTTTCATCTAAATAAAAAAAAGCTTCGTGATTCAGTGAAGCAATTAAAAATCTTAATTGCCAGCTTATTAAACGATAACATCATAAAACAACAATATTTCATGAAAAGACCAACAAACAGAAAAAAAAATCTTTCGCTCATTAACTCGAGTTGAGCTTTTCACAGTTGAAAAGTTTTTGCAATCCTAAAGATAATAAAGAAAAAAAAAATCATCGGGCAGAACCACGGGATGCAAAATGAAAAGCGAACGTAAAAAAGTTGATGTTCATGTTAATACCTGAACTTCGATAGAAATTATTATTTATGCCATTATTTTTCATTAGTCGATTGCGATTTTTAATGTGTGACAGTCCATTCGTGCCTGAAGCTGTTGATGAATTCATCATTGAGCCATTGATAATCATTCCATCGCCATTACGATGATGCTGAATAAACGGATGTTGCTGTTGGTAATAACTTGAATTCTGGACGTCACCACTCAACATTTGACCGCTAAAATTCATACTCGTCTGATGCAAATGTTGGTGATTGTTATTTATGATGTGATTGTTATGCAGGATAGGAGAAATATTTCCAGAATTGTTCGAATTCATCATGTTGGCGTTCGAGTTAATGTAATTATTATTTGCATTCGACAAATGATGTTGCTGTTGTTGCTGCTGCTGCATTTGTTGGTGATAGTGCTGATGGTGTTGTTGTTGAATCACGACTTGGGGTGGTGCTTGATGATTAGGATGAGATCCGGGTAGGAATTGCGGATAAACGTGATGGGACCATTGGGGAAACAAGGGACGTTGGGAGGTCTCCATTGCTGTTGTTTATTTGTTCATTTCATTTCATTTGAACGAGAAGCGCCGAGATTCGTAGCATAATGAAAAGCATGAACGAAGGTTGTTTATGAGGGTGAATATTTGCACAATATAATTATTAAATTTTTTTTTCATCGTGTTGGATCATCATAAATTCATTAACAATTTTACATATTTTTGGTTCATGTTATAAAATCCAATTTTATTAACAAAGCAGCGTGAAATGAACGAAATAAAAAAAGAAAACAAATTTGTTTCGAAAGAGAGAAGAGAAGAGATAAAAATACGAAGGACTTGATTAGCCTAAAGATTTACAAAATTTACACATTATCATCATCCTGTTAAGGATGATTTGATTTTATTTTATTCATGTCATGATCATTCATCGGGTCTTAGGATTTGAGCGATTCAAATAAGTATTCATTTATTTATTTAAGACATGTAGAAAAGGATGAAAGATTAAAGATTCAAGTGACTACATTTAAAGTACTCACTCTCAGACCCATATGTGAATATAAATAAATTAATAGTTAAATACTTCAAGCAAACTGTGAATTTATTTGTAAAGTTGCAAAGTTGCTTAAAAGTAGATGAATAAAAAGTTGAAGTTTCTTACCTTGCGTTGGTGTTGCACGCTGCATAACAGGCGACGCACGTTGCATTTGAATCTCGGCTGGTGGCTCGAGAATGTCACGATATTTTGAAACCATAAGAACAGAAATAAAATAAACGATGGCAAGTGAAAGGAATTGCGCTTGTTTGGTCTCCTCCTGCAAGGAAAACAAATGAGAAAGGAAAACTTTAGTTTGTTAAACTTTGAAGCATTTAAACGGCAACCAATTAATTAATTTTAAGTAACTAACCACATCACGATAAATCACTGCTCGTAGCCGATTCACATCCATGTCTTGTAACAACTTCTCGGGATCTTTAACTGGCGACATTGGACCGGTTAATGACTCGACAATATTTTTAGGCGACGCTTGTGCACCGCGAATCAAAGCTTGTAAATGTGCACCGCCGGGAATTTCACGCATCGATCCACCATTGTACATACCGCGCGTCCGCTCTTTGCACTCTAAGCAATTTCTAACAGCACATGTGCTGACTAAGCGCAAACATTGTCGCAAAATTCCACCACTCGACATGTTCTTCTCAGCTTCTAATTCACCGAAATTCAATGAGCTTGCAAAAATCAACACGTCAGCCATATTCACTAAACGCTGCAAAAACGAAACGGCAACGTCAAGTGGCATCCCTTGGGTTGGCTCCAAAACGTCTAATTCTGAGTTTGGCGATGTCGCACTTGCTAACAAAGGCAACAAACCTCCACAAGCAATTATCAAATTGTCCGCTAATTGGGAAATCAAATGAACAGTGTTGACGACAAAAATCGCATTTTCAGCTGAATTGACGAAATCTAAAACACTTTTAGTTGAGTGACTACGCCAGACTTGAATGTCAGTCTCAAGTGAAAATAAAACATCTGACAACAGACGTTGATGAATGTACGACCATTTAAATTCAGGAATACGGAAAGGTGGACGTGTTGGGCCGGGACTGAACATTGGACGATTTGATGTTGACTTTTGTCGTTTATGTTGATGAACATCAGCATTGGCTTCATCATGTTGCATGTTGGCGTCAGAAATTTGTTGTTCTTCATTGTTGGATCCCGTTGGTGATGGTGTTGAGTTATTCGTCTTATTTTCATTTATTGGAGAGTCATCAGATAAAGATGATGGCAAAGCAGAATCATTTGATGCTGAAAAATGAATCTTCGTTTCAACACCTTCCGGTTCCGGTGTTTCAGATGTCTCCATAGCGTTGCTATTTGTGACATCATTTTCATTCTCTTCCTTTACATCGTTTGGTGTGGTTTGAACATTTCCCGCATCATCATCTTCCTTCACTTTGTCTTTCACTTCCTGATGCTGCTGTTCTTCAACTTCCCTCACTGCATCGTCAATAATATTGTCAATTACTTCCTTCACTTGCATTTCTATTTCAGCTGAAGTTTCTCGCATTAATTGTGGTTGTTGCTGATGCTTCTCTGATGTGTCGTCAACAGCTTTCTCACTTGATTCAACTGATTTATCAATTATCTCATTGACTACGCTTTCAATCACTTTCTTATCATCATCATTTGTTGTTGTTGATGTGTTGTCATTGATTTCTATTCCATTTGTGCCTGATGTTATTTGCTTCGCATTCTCTTCAACTGATTGCTTAATATCATCACTAATTATTGCACATTCCAGTTGTGAATCATCAGTCTTGGGGTCATCGACGACATTTTCAGCTTTTTGAAGCGTCTTCTCGTCACTGACTTCTTCTTTTTCTTTTTCTTCATTCTTATCGACATCAGCAGAAGATTTTAATTGAATTTGTCGTACACCTTGAACGACTTCATGGACGGCCTGTTCGATTTCTTCATCTTTTATCACTGGCGTTTCATGTTGATTAAGAAGATCATCAGAAACTTGCTTGCATTCGTCGAGGAGTTTCTCCGATTTCTGAATAATTTCTTCGACAATTTCTTCAGCAATTTCTTTTGACTCTTGCTCGGGATTCGATAATTGCTCTTCAAGAATTTCTTTAAGCTTACTCGTTTCTTTTTCTTTAATCGGTGACTCGTTAACAGCATGAATACTCTCACCTGAGATCTCTTTGTTATAGACATCTGAGATACTTGAGATTGTCGTCTTTTGTTGTTGTTCACGTTCCACAACGCCATTTTCCAAAGTTCTTACTTGCTGATGTGGCTTTTGTTGTGGTGATGATGAGGTAACATCTTCATCATCATTCTCATCATCGTCAGCATCAGCATCATCATCATCTTCTTTCTCTTCAAGCTCTTCAATCGGCACAGTTTGAACTTGTTGTGATTGTTGTATTTGCTGTTGCTGTGGTTGTTGTTGCATATCATTTTCATCACGCTCTTGATCCCATCCTGAAATAGTGCTGATTGGTCTCGATTGACGCAACTCAGGATCGGTAATGTTATCCGTACGATGTTTCTCATAATGTTCGTACATTTGAGAGAATTGAAGCTTAAACTCTTCATATGAAACCTAAACGTACGAACGAGAGTAATAAAAGGAGAAGGAAAAAAATGAAAATAAATGACTTTTGTAAATTGCACATTTAATCGGGCGCGGTGAAATGGCGAAGGCGGAGATCGGGGGTGGTTTGAAATCAAGATAATTGAAATCATTTCTCATTCATTCGGGACTTGTTTTATTGCTGTTATGCTTCCTTTTGCCCTTTTTTCTTCCAACCTCCCACATCCCATCACCCACTTTCTTTTTCTTCGGTTGTTGTTGAAACGAACGACTTTCGAAGCTTGTTCGAGTGCATTAAAGTGCTTCATAAATCATAACACTCCAATTGACTTCAACCATTCCTGGCGCAATATTATTTTTCTCACTTACCTTAGAATGAACGATAGCTAAAGTATCAACCCAAACTCTCCATCCACCATACTCATGTTTGATAGCATGATGCAATAACATACGAAAAAGTGAGTAAACCATGTCGGATATTTTCTGCTCTTCCGTATTTTTCGGATGTATATAAGCCATTGCGATAAGCCATTCTTGCCATACTGACATTTGCAGAACTGTTCGACGATTTTCACGATTATTGTTACATAAAAGTGTCATATCGGATAAGAAAAGCTTCTTCACTTCCAACAATTGTTCTGTTTGCTTTGATTGACGAATAAGTGTTGCAACAACTTTAAGTATCACTATAAAAAAAATGAGAAAAGTCATACAATAACCACTTCATTTAGAAGACTTTTACTTTGCTAAATTTGATATATGAGTGGGGAGCTTTGTCTATGACGTTACACTTAAAATTTTTTAAGAAATATGAAGCTTTAAACATTTTTTATTAGAGAGGAAAGGAAAAATAGTTCTATGGTGAAAGTCGTGTAACAAAACTAGGCGATGAACCCCAATTGGATATAAAAAGAAAAAAGTTTATTCACGTTCATAACAGACATCCTACATCAATTGTTTATTGGCAATCTGAGCTTCATATTTCACTCACTCAAGCTCATAATAAACAGTAAACAACAAGGAAGACAGAAATAATTATTCTTTCAATGCTTACTTGGATTCTCCAGACGATAATGACTTTCAGGCTCAGGATGGCGTGTGTAAAGAATTTGCTGTGATATATGCTCCGTCATTATCTCATATAAAACATTATAGATGGGCAATGATAAAGATTCCTCGTACAACAATAGACGTTCTGCTAGTAATGTGTATAAGTTATGTGGTGACATCACATCATATTTTCTCCTATTGGTTTTGTCATTTTCATGTGAAAGCAAATAATAAAGAGAATTTTCGTTTCAGTCAATATTACGTTACGATGCCAATAACATTTTATTTATTTATTTATCATCCGTTTCACTCTCTTTTCTCCAATGATTTATCATTTTAATAACAAGCATTGAGAGCATAAGAAAGTAAAAAAGGCTTTGACATCCCTTAGCTTAGAAGCTTCTTAGAAAAGGAAGGTCAAGGAAAATTTATTTATTTCAGTGTTTCTCAAACAGTTTCCTTGGGTCTTTGTGAGGCACTTAAAAACTTTAAAAGGTTTGAGAACCACTGGATATTTTATTTATATCTTTGAATGAAGAAATTGGAAAAAAAAACTTACTTATGTGTACTTCGAGACAAGAAAAATCCCATCAATTTGAGTGCTTGTAGTCGTATCAGTTGAGTCTCAGCCGCAAGCAATTTGAATATTGAACGCATGCCATGCTTAACATCAAAAGCTGGAACCATTGAACTTGGATGTTCTGACATCAAAGAGATTAACATCTGAAGTACATCGTGTAGATTTTCATCTTCATGAATAGTCGTCAAATAGTTTAAAATACTTTGCAACTCATCGTCCTTTACTCCATTTCCAATCATGATGAGTTGTTTTAAAAATAGTAAAATGTAGGCACGTATTGCTAGAATATCCTTTTGAGCTGGTCGTGGGCCGTCTTTGAGTATGTAAGCGAGCGAGAAAAGAGAAATAATAAAATATAAGAAAATAGAAATGATAATGGTGAACCCATAATGCCAACATCTCAATTAAATTCTATTAAATCTAACAACAAAGTCAATGTGAAAGAAGATGGAAGTGACGAAGCTTCCATTTCAGTCCGGATATAATCTAACAGCATGATGAAATCAGTGCCAATTCAATTTTCAAGATACTTTTTTTTATTCTATCCTCCATTTTCTGACGCTTCTTGCTTCTATTTTTATCGAATCCACACGAATGAACTCAAAAGAAGTGGGGAGAAATGAAGAAATGAAATTATTTTATAGAGCTAACCGTCTGGTTTAAAAAGTTATTAAAGTTTCATCATAACATCATAGTGAATTGAATTATTGGCACTCGGAAGCACGTTTCATGTTTCATCATAGTTTTTATAACCAGATCTCAATGGAAATAAATCATTTAATGTTCTTGGGGGATCTCTTATTAACTTTTCTTATTTTAAAGTTTATACAATTACCCAATCCTTTCGGTGCAATGCCACTTTTAGCTCGAGGATTCACAACCCAATAGTAGTACTTGAGCGTGTGAACGGTCTGCAAAACGGTGCTGACACGACGCACATTGCTGTAGATTTGCGTATCACTTAGAAATTCAGTCGCTAAGTAGGAGTAAAGGCGCGCTTGTACATTAGCCGGCGTATAAATCCACAATGCTGGATTGAAAAGCACATGATCCAAAAGCTGCCACGTTAGAAATGAGAAACAAAACAACTTCATATTAAACCTTAATATTTGTCTGTCCTGCCACAAGCCTGATATATACGATTCTTATATAGGCATGCAGCAAGTAACAATAAACAGTTCAGAGCTAACAATCATTCGCATTCTCAAAAAGAAAAATTTATCAGAACATGTCAAGTCAATCAATTAACAAAGAAAAGAAGAAAATAGATGAAATACTCGCTATTGCGGGACAGCAAACAAATTGGAAAATTAAAAGTCTTTTAAGCGATGAAAAAATCAACAAGAAGAAATTGAAGAACTTTTTTTTCTGTTTTCAATTTATTGTCGTGAGTTGGCGAAAAATAGAAATTCAGAAAACATTTCTTTTCTTCCACTTTTACCTTTATTATTATTACAATAACAAAGGAGGGTGAAGTAAAGTTCTAACAACGGGAATAAAAAGGAAAAGATGGAAAACACTTCATGGAAATTGTCAGGAACTTCAATGAACAAAAATGAGTTCGAAGAACTTTATGATGAGAGAGCGAAATCAAACTTTCATCTTGTAATTAATTTTTCTTTTATGCTTTTATTTATCATCATCAGCATCGACTTTGAGATTCCATTCCCTGGAGAAACTTTTAATTATCATTGTCCTGACTTTAATTGGAGAATACTAGTAAACTGAAATATTTTTATGAATAAAATTTGAACTCAACTTGTAAGCATTCAAAGGATTTTCACATTTAATGGTTAGAAGTTGTAAAATTTCAACATTTAATAGAAGCACGAAGTAAAATGGGAGATTTTTTCATGTGATAGAAGAGAAGTTTAATGACATCAGGGGTTTGAGATTAAATTCAACATTCGTAAATGTTTTAAACCCTGGATAGAAGTCAAAAGGTGTTTGTTTAATCGTTTTTCAAGTCTGGGATCTTTCCAAGAAATAAAATCAATGAAGATTGCCCAAAAAAGCCAACTTTCTAAGAAAAATAAACAGATAACAATCAAAGTTAACAAACTTAACTTTTCATTTCATTTAAAAATTAAAGAAAAAGTTTTCTCATCAAAAATTGTCACATCGAATAATGTAATTTAAATTGATAATCTTTCATGCGTACATATCTAAAAATAATTAAATGAAACTTTCCATAATAATGTAAATATATTTTATCCGTAGAGGAGAGAAAACTTTCAAAAAGTCATGCAACAAACTTTCAAATCGGAAAACGGAACATAATTAAAAAACAAATATTTATGCTTCTAACAGTCGGACATAACAGTACAAAAGATAGAAATTGAAAAAAAAGTTTCAACAGCTTATAATTTATTAATTAAATTTTCGGAGTTTTCGGTAATGAAACTTTTACATTCAAGTTAAAGAACTTTTTGTTTGTAGTATTTCATTAAAATGTTCGTCTGTTCGATAGAATTGGTAAAAGAAGATGCAGTCAAAAAGAGTTTCTCATTCTCTAGTGACTAAGTAAGTATTCAAGGAACCTTTATACAATAATTAAATAACAACATTGAATTATGGTCATTCCATACGTACCTGTTTAAGCAAGAGATCGCTGTTCGCCGATAGGCATGTGACTAGATACTTTGTGAGACTCAAAAATGAGCCCAGCACTTCCGGCGTTAAATGGTCGCGTGATGAACGTTGAAGCATAAACGAGATCACGAGAAAGCCACGATTTTGAATCATATGTTGTTGCACTGTTTGTGACGTTTCAACCAATTCGCAAATGAATCCTAGAAGTTTGGCACAAAGCGTTGGATCCTTTTTCACATCGATTCCCTCATAGGCCATGTCGAGTTGTGAAAAGAGAGGGAACAAAACTTGAATACCGCCGATGGAATTTAATGTGCAATGAATTGAATGTGTAACAACAGCTTTAACATCCTAAATAATAGAGAAACGTGGAGACAAAGATTCATTTGTTAAATTTGGATTCATCACCAACCAGTCATTGTTAATTATGCAAAAGCATGAAATAGTACGTCGTCGTTTATTTATCTACGAATGTATCTCTGCTATGAGAGATATTTATGTAGGGTAATTGACCATTTTCAATCATTTAAACTCATTCACTAAATGTGGTAAATTGAGAGCTTTAAAATTATTTACAAGTAGATAAATTTGAGTCCATTAAATTGTGTGAAAAAAAAAGTCAATTTGAATGTTTTGTGACTGATAATTTGACAACTACCCTATGTTGCAAACATTTTGCACCACATCGTAGATAAATGTCAACGTGATGTGTACGAACATGACAGAGAAATGAACGCGTTTTGTATATCTTACCTGAAGCATGAGTGAATGTGGTGTATGGACGAAATAAGAGACGTTTCCTTTTGGTGCCGATTGTAGACACAATTGACCATCAGTAGCAACCGGATTGTACATAAACACAATGGCATTAGACAATTTTCCATCGTACAGCACCTATAAATTACCCATAAATTACTTCATATGTGATATAAAAGGAACAAAACGAAGATACATTAGCAAAAGATTATTCAAATTGACTTCGCTTTTATTTTCTTCTTTTTGTTAACGCTGGAAGGACAAATGGAAACGACCATTTATTCCTATTGGTATTGAGCCAAACGACAAAGGATGTTCAATTTACAACTAAGCATTATTACGATGTATTTGAAGATTGCTACACACAGAAACGTTTCATTCAACAAAACATCTTACGAGTGAACATTTAGGTCGACTAAGGTTTGAGAAGTAAAGTTCATGTACACAAAATGTTAAATAACTAAAGACGAGAAAAGTTATTCAAACATGAAAGGTTTCGGTAAATATCGAAATATATGTTTAAATATTAAAGTAGCGGATGATTTGACATACTGCAAGCAACAATTTTCAACATATTCAACATTAAATTCTCGTCTTAAACTACACAACAAAACACGTTCATTGTTATACGCTGTAAATTCAATTAGAAATGTAAACTTCAAATCAATTTGCTAAACAAATTTGTACTTTTAAAGAAGCAGAAGGAGAATTTTTTTCAACTTTTAAATAACAAAAGCATTTACTTGATTTCTTTGCATATTGCTTTTCTTGTACAGTAAAAGTTCTTTCATTGGAAGGTGGGATAAATCAATGATTCCAAGAACTTTTACTGTAAAGATATTGTGAAAAACATAAAAAAACGAGAAAAGCATCAACAAAAAAGAAACAAATGTAAACTTAATTTACAAATAAAGCGACAAAATGTTGATAATCACATTAAAAAATTGAAAAGCTTGTAGTGACAACAAAATAAAATTAAAAGAAATTCAATTCGATGTAAATCATCGACTTCAAATTCTTTTTTGCTTCGATTCTATGTCGACAAGTTATTTATATAAATTTAAATTGTAACTTCAACAACACAACAGCTGAAGACACAAAAAATATAAATAAAAACGGAAAGAAAAGCTCCTGCCAAGTCCTACAAATAATTCATCAACAAACAAAAATAACTCAAATCATCATGAAACAAGAAAGTAGAATAAATAAACATATTTAAATCAAACAAAAACAAATAATATAAAATAAAAAAAACCATGCTTACGGATGCAAGATTAAAATCGTCGGAAACTAAATTAAAATTGCTTTCATTTGCGCTGATAGCTGCTGGCGCTCTAGCTACAACATTCGCTACAGTTCCATCGTTTGTGTCATCGTTTAAAGAACCATCAGCATTTTCGTCAATTGACAACTGTGGTGCAAGACTCACCCGTTTGTGATTGTCCGGTAGGTTTAAGTAACATTCGTTGTCGAAACGAAATTGCGACTGGAATGAATAATTATTGTGATTTTTTTACATGATTTTTTTTGTTGTTGATATATTTAATCAGTGCGAGCGTGTAAAAAAAGAAAAGAAAAACAGTGACAATATTTCAGTGTGAATTACTTTTTTGTTTTGTTTTCATCTTTTTATAAACAGTGTCATGAAACATAAATAAATTCTCTTCTACATCCGCTTGATTTCCGCATTCACCATTAGAAAGCAAGAAAAAGAAGTCGAGAGACGAAAAATTAAGAGACTTAGTTTTTTACTGTTTGAGTTTCTTGTTGCTTTCTGGCATTGTTAAATGTTTTAACATTTTCATGTTGTCGTTTTTGCTGGTGCTTTCTCTTGTAAAAACAACGAATCTCTTTTCCCCTTTTAATTTACAACGTTTCTTTTTTTTTATATTTCATTTTCATTTCTATAAAAAGTGTCAGAAACAAACCCGAGAAATAAAAACTCAAACATTGCCGCGAGTCTCTGGCAACAAGCGACTTTGAAAAGTGCGCATTTTGAACTTGATGTTGATGATGAAGGAGCAAAAATGAAAAGTGAAGCTTTTCTTTTGAAGAAAAACAAACCTTCACCGTGTGCTTTCTGTTTTTTCTCAAGATAAATGACATCCCATAACATTCAGCTTAATCTTTGTGACTCTCGCAGCTTCTTTTCCTTACTTTTCTGTCCTTTCTCCCCAGCATTATCCCCGAGACAAAAAAAAATGGAAGAACAACAAGAAAAAAGAAAGAAATTTGAGTAACAAGAAAACAACAAGAGCCCATAAGCGGAAGAGAAAGGAGCAACCATTAGAATGTGTTTTTGCTCTATTTACAAAGACATTTATTGTGACAGAAACAACTTCTTTGTTTTGACATCGCCATAATGTTGTTTTTATGATGTTCATTTGGGAGAATTTAACTTTTCTCCTTCATAAATGAATGTGTTTTTATATTATTATAAATATATACCTCGATGGAAGAAGAATATGAAATAGAAGAAAGAAAAATGATTGTCAATATAACACTCACCTTATAACCTGGACCTAACCGATGCATTGCACAGATCTGCTGTGTTGTTAGTGATTCACTGAAAAGGTAAATCGCTGCCATTTGACCGCAAAAGACCCTTTCTTCATCCAACTCTGGTGTTGCTCCAATGTAGCATTTATCAAACGGCTTTAATTAAGAGAAGGTCGATGGAAAAATAGAACAGAAGAAAATATTAATGATAAGCAATTAAAAATTTCTCGAGAAAATTCATTACTTTCTCATTCTTCCTTTTCTTTCCGCTCAACATTTTATTGTATTATTTTTTTGCTTGATTCTTTTACAGTATCATGCCCCTTTTGTTCAAGTTTATGATATTACAACATTAATAAATTAAGCTTCTTATTTTGCCATTTCACATTGACAAAAAAAATCGAGGGAATGAAAGACGAAAAAAAAAGCTTATTTATATCTTTTCTTTCCTTCCTTCCTTTTAGAGTCATGGAATCAAAGACCAAGGAAAAAAATTCCTTAAAGATCAATCTCATGATGGGAAAATCTCTCACCACAAACAAAACAACCACTCAGGACTGATTGAAGGTTTCGGTTGAATTTGAAATCAGTGAGAAAAAGAGAAAAATGAACGTGCTTTGAGAATGATGCCAAATATTGATGAAAAAGAATTCGAATGACAAATATTAGCATATTTATTAAATCATTCTCAACGACAGTGAAGGAAATTTCACAACTTATATTCGGAAGATGATGGAAAACAGTCAAACAATGTTGTTGACGATAAAAATATTGATCTAAGAACAGCATGAGATAATTCTGATAAACATATATGTATGTATGCTGTTGTATCTCATCTTTAACGACATAATAGTTTAGTTCGATTCGAAAGCTCAACCGATTATGAGAAGTGCTTTTGTCTGACTGAAAATTCAAACACATAAATATGCTTTCCATCAGTATTCAACGTCGCCATCATAACTCCCTCTCACTCATTTGTTGGGAACATTGAATAAATATTTCTCCCCCATTTCAGTACATTCCTTGCCATCTTTAAATCTTTTGCAATCTCTATCAAGTCACAATTGACCTGCTTGGACATTTTTTTATTCTTCTTTTTCTTTGATTCCCCATCGTCATTTCCAACATGGCATGTTGTAAGGAAATGTAGAGAATATACGAATATTCTTCTTTTTGATTTGATTTGATTCCCGAGAAAGTATTGGACAGAAGATGAAGTTTGAATATGTTTGCTTCCGTCAGATTTCAAGATTTAAACTTTGTCGTATCTTTTACAAACAGAAATCCCAAATTCACAGATGGAAGGATGACAGAAACTCCACAAGTTGGAAAACATTTGAAATGATGACCCATACTAAATACAATCTCTCAAGAATCCCTTGAGACTGAAAGGTGATGATGATGATGATGATTAGATAACGACGATTATCTAGATAGTGATCGTCTGCTAAGAAAGTTCGTCAGAAATTGAAGTGAAACTTTTGATATTTAAATTTCTCTCTTCAATGTTTGTTTTCCTATCAGAATCATTTCATTACAATAATACTTACAGCCACCCATAAAATAAAAAGAAGATGAGACACACACGCACCATTTGAGAATGACATTGATAAACGAGACGATATATTTTTAAAACGTTTTGCTTCGGAATGAAATGGTCTCTTTATCTTCTCTCCATTAATGTGGCTTTGCATTGAAAACATATGTGGGTGTGTGTTGGTTGGTGTTTATGTTTACAAAATGTATCCAAATGACAAAAAAGATATTACAAAGAAATCCATAAAAACAAAAGAAGAACTTTTGCTGTAACCGAAACAAGTCTGAGCAATAAGAAAGCTTAAGAATGTTGAAAATGTAATTAGGAAATTCCATTCTCGTATTCTTGTCTGCTCGTTTCACAGTTGGAAAGAATAACATTTCTTCATGCTCCGTTTACATTTCACAGCATGCATTCGAGGTGGATGAAAAGCTCAATGGTCCATAAGGGAGAAGGAGTGAGAGTAGAGCCATATCATCACATATTTATTCGAGGGTTTCTTGTCGTTTTATATGTTGACAATGCAGGGGCATGACACCATTAACTGCGGTTTATCTATCAGCTTCTTGTTTTTTTTTAAAGTAATACTTACATCATTCGTTGACACAAACCATGCCATTTCTGTACTAGAAGCTAATTGTCCATTAACCAGGCACTTGATTTCACTTTTCGTCCAACGATTGTAAATGTAAACTATCGCAATCATGTACCACTGAAAAATAAGTAAAAGTTTCATCAGAAAACTGAATGCTTTTATAATAAAAACTGCTGATAAAAAGGATTAATGCTAATCCAAATTAGGGTTACCGATAATTTACTTTAAGCAAATTTGTTTCCTGGGAAACAGAAATTTTGTGATTCAAATCAAATTTAAATATTCACGTGTACAAATTTGATTTGTGTTTGCTGTTTTGGTTAAATTAAAATTTAACATTCAATTGTTTATATGCTTTAGGCAGTCGATATCCCTAATCCAAGCTCAATGACAAGCCAACCCATTTTAAATTTAACTGAATGGAAATTAATCTTTCCTTTTTTCTCTCATACATCCACTGATCCTTTAATTTGTTCATCAAAGCATTTATTTGGTCATTCACAAAAGGAGAAATAAAATTATGTTGTGGGATGAGTGGGTTGGTTGGTTGTCAGTCGAATCAAATAAAATAAAAGCTCAGGTAGATTGTATGGCATAGGATGTAAGAACTAAAGATATGAGAAGGATATCTAACTAAGTAAAAAGCAACTCAAAAAAGGGATAAAACCATAAAGGCTTATTTATAAATGAAGCGTTTCATGCACACTCCCACGCACACACACACAGATACAAAGCAAGCATCCCCATCATAAAGCTTTCTCATCTGTTTGCCTTTTTATTTCACAAAAAAAAACTGAAAGAAAAAATAATTCAGAAAGCAAACAAAAGTAAATAAAATGAAAAGTTTTATGAGTGTTGAGCCGCAAAATTTCTTTTCACTAAAGAATTTCATAAAAAAAAAGTTTGTAGAGGTGGGCTTTGAGATAGAGAGTGACTTGATGATTAATCAAAAAAAAAACAAATTAGATTAAAAAGGGATTTTTGCTTACCTTTCTCGGTTGAAACTCGTACTTGACGCAATGCTGGAAACCTTTTCCCTTTACTTTCATTGATGTTAAAACGAGACAATTTCCAACAAAGTGTGCCGTGTAACCAACACCTTTTGATGTTTTAAAGCTGTTGTAAAATAAAGGACGAGAAATTTTAACAGATATTACTTAGGATTAAGAAGATTGTAAAGTTTAAAACAGTTGACGTTGCTCAAACCGCACTTAATTTTCTTTGCATATTTAAAAGCTTATCAGCAAGGAAAAAGTTTCGAATAAAATTTTAATCAAATCTGATTAAGTTAGAAATATCTGGAAAATCCTTTATAAAACATTCAATGCAAACGACATCGAGACATGAATAAATAAAATCCAAAGATTTCTCCTGCCAAATTAACCGCGTCTATTCTTTCATTTAAATACTTTTTTCCTTTCTTTCTTTCTTTTCCTAACTATTAAGTTTGTCCACAATCGGATACCTTTTTCTCTATCTTCTAGTCCCTTAAATAAGTGTAAGAAGAAAGAAAGTTTTCGAGAGAAAATCTTATCATCAGAAATAAATAAATTGGAAAATATTTATTTGCGGCAAGTCTCAAGGATGAGATGAACGAAAAACAAGACAAAAAAAAAAGAAAAAAGAGAGAAAATCCTAACAGAAAAAAACTATTATGAACGGTTAAATAGGCACGAAAGTAGATATTTTATTTTACTGTTTATGTTCTTCGTCCCTTCTAGGAAGCAAGTTGGGGGTTCGTTCAGGCTTTGTGAGAGAAAGAAATAAACACAAAAAGAAAGCTTAGGAAGTTGCCTTCTTCTTTGTATTCATGCCATACCGTTCATGTCTTGTCTAAATCTAAATTCGTTCGCTCACTCGCTCACGGTGAATCCGATAGAGAAATAACATGAAATCACATTATGGACTTCGCTCTTAAAGCGTTTTTCTGCTCCACTTTTTTTTTTATTTTCTCATTTTTCCAGCTTCATTTCATTTCTCCTTTTTTTTGTTGGTTAGTTAGAAGAAAAAGAAAGTTAAGTTGAAGTATAGAATGTTTTATATTTTATACGTTATGTTATGTGAAAGAAGCTTTAGAGGATTTTCTTAAATTTCTACGAAGGAAGAATTTTTTTTTTCTTTGTTGATGGGCGCGGCATGACAGTTTATTGTAGCAATATTGTCTCGATCAAAACATAATCTTGTGCTTTCGCCAAGAACTTGTATGTAGAAATAAATATGTAAGATCGTGGGAGTAATATTTTGAGCTTTTGTGAATTAAGTTAGCAAGTAAGTTGAAGTCAATAAATTCCTTGTGAGGTTCAATAAAAGTTAAGCTTTTACCACTTTAGCGTTCACAATATTTATGGACTTCGCCTAAAGAAGGGAAAGCAGAGAGCAAAAAAAAAAAGAAAGTAATAAAAGTTTCTACTCACCAGTATAAATATGGCTTCTCTCGCTCAATATTCACCGAATTTATCGGATCCAAACGAAACCATGTGGTAAATGTAAATCCGTTTTCATACGGCCACTTTGCTAGCGGTGGTAGCACGATTGCCTTCATGATGAAATTTGCGTTTTATTCCAACGGATACGGATCAAAGATACATGATAAAGAACGGAAAAATATCGAATGGAAATAAGTAAAGAAGGAAATCCAATAATTTAATATTTCAGTTATCATCAGCGGAACTTGTATTCCGGCTAACCAAAGCCGTCATGAAATAAACATAAGAGCATAGTGGGACGAAGGAAAAAGGCTGAGAAATGGCGGAAGGAAGGAAATATCTGATGAATATTGATGAATAAATTATTGATAAATGAAATTATCATCCGCAAAGAAAAAGAACCAAAAAAAAGAAAAAAGATGAGCGAAGTAAAAACTTTTATTCAATTTTTCCAGACATATTTGTCCGGCTAAAAATCCCCAAAATGATTTATTTCCTTTCATATCTTATTTCGCTTGAATGAGCGACATAGAGCGGTAGTAAAGATTAAGCACAAGGTCGCATTAAATAGAATAAATTATGGGTGAAACAAGATTCAAATTTGAACAGAATCCTCAAAGGGAGAAGGAGAAGATCGAGTGTTATGAAATTGAATTGAAAGCAGAGACTAAGGAATTGATTGGCAAACGCCCTGCTGTCCTTGATTATCTTTTCAAATCCATCAGATTTTCATTACATCTTCGTTTTCCTTCTTTATTTGATGCAATTCATCTTTCATTTATCATCTGCTGTTGTTGGTGTGATGTAGTTGTGTGTTATGTTAACATCTCTCAAATTACGATGAGATTCACGTTGATGATGATGAAAAGATTAAATATTATTCTTTCGTTCGAGCCTCTTCGCATAAATATCTTTTGATCTTATATTTCTTCTCTCACTCTGCTTTAGAGCGTTGCGACCTTATCTCGCACAAAAATTATTAGTAAATCTTTGGAAGCATCTCCAAGCGTTTGAAGCGATTTCTCCCACATCGTCTCGAAAGCTTTTCAATGATGGCACTTTAAGAATATTGTATTCAGTTCAGAAGAATTTACATTCTTTTTCTTTTCATGAAATAAGTATTCCCAAGTCATTCATCACGCATCAGTCGCTGTTGTAAGCTCTGACGCCATGTCACGACTCACGATGTAAGAAAATTTCTATATGTGTATGTTATGCACATATTTACAAGAGAATTGAGACAAGTAAGCCTAAATATTGAGTTGATGTTTATTTTCCACCCACGCTTTTTGAGCTTTCAAGACAATGTTAATATTAATGAAGTTTCTAATGGATGAATTTACATTTTTTGCGTTCGTCCCCACATTCCATATAGTGTGAGGGGAACTTTTCCTCTCCCTTTACGAATACTTGTAGATATTTCCTTCAAAAGAGTGAAGGAATGTGTCTTTAATCATCATTCAACATTCATAAAATTGATGGAATAATCACTGAATGTGTCTCTTTCGCTCATCAAAAATTTCCATCAAATGAAAAAAGTTTTTCGTTCTTGTGTTTCTCAGCGGTTTTGTCATCATCAAAGGTTGACGTTGGAAAAATCAGAGGAAATATTTGTGGAAGATAAGAGAGAGAGGGAAAAAAGAATTTTTTCACATACCGATCCTTTGCGTCCTGGAAAGCTGAAGAACACATCGGGACCGTTTCGGTGTGGCATTTGACGAAGGACATTTAAAAGTTTAGCGGAATGTCGTGGCTGTAAAAAAATATAAGAAGAAAATAAAGAAAAGTTTATATTTATTTTTGAGAACGGTTTCGCTCAAAGTCGATTAGAAAGAAAAAGAAAAAAAAAATATTTGACAGTAAACCACTTGAGAGTTTCAATGAAGATTGCATGTTTGGCTTTGCTATGTAAATCAAAAAAATAGAATTTGAAGGGGGAAAAACTTTCTCATCGACATTTGTCGTTTAAAAATGTTTTTTCGTCAAACGTTTTTCTGCCTTCCTAAAAATATTTCATGAAATTGAATTTGTGTTCTTTCTTAAAGCTTTAGAAAATTACTTTCTTTTGATATTTTCGTCTACCTTTAATATTATGAAGTTATATCGAACAACGAAACATAATAACAAACTTGAGACGAACTGCAAACATCAAATAATTGATTTTTCATTAAATCTTCGTTGGTTATCACGAAAGAGGGGAGAAAAATGAAATAAAAATTCAGCTCACGATGAAGTGATGCTTTCTGTATATAAAACTTTTGATTACCTTATTGTCAAGAGAAATTAATTAAAAATTAATCAAAAACTTGTTAATTAAATTACGTAAACAATGCACGTATTCGGACATTGAAGTAAAAAAAGGGATTTGAAAAGCTTTCATGGGTGTAAATAAGATTTAAAGCAAATATTCGTAGAGAAGGAGAAAGAATGAGTAAGGTCGGTTTTTGTTATTGAAATTTAATAAATTGAATGTCGACTTACCCATTTGTTGTTGTTGGCTTTCATTGATCCGAAAAGTAATTTGAGCTCCTTGACTGTTATACTATAACTAGCTAAAACGCCTAACATTTCGATTAATAAGTCTGTGGAGAAAAAATCTAAAATTTAATTTGTGAAACTTTTCCTTGATGGTTGAGTTCTTCTTACCTGCAACTACCACATCAGCACGATTCAACCGTAGCAGAACATGTTCAATCAAACCGACTTCGGTACAAGCTTGCAGATTACGAACGCTTTTACGAAGAATTGCTATAAAAACACTCCAGATCTCAGCCTGAAAGTAATCACTCGATAAATCATTTCTTCCATGAAAAGTGAAGATAAATTTCTGATGTTTGCTTTATCTTTTGCGAACTTTGAGAAACGCGCGGTATATTTCTGAGTGGATATGTTTACAGAGTTGGGCATTATGTTTATAAAGTTAGATCTTTGAACTTGTAAGCTCAATCATTAGTTTTGAATTGTTCAACTCTGTTTGTTTGTATGTGATCTGGCAAAACATCTCGACTCATCTTTTTTTATTATTGAAAATAAACTTCGGAAAACAGTCAACTTTCAAGGATAATATTTACTCGATTTCTTCAGAGTTTTCAACTTACCTGCAAATTTGGTGGACAATGATCTAAAAGCTCTAGCATATGCTTGATATTTTGTGCATCTTGTATCACAAAATTTAATTCCATATCAAACTCGCCGCCAACAAGCTGTAGATGAAGAGAAGAAAACAAACGATGAGTATTTTAATTAGCATAATGGTCAAACATGAAAAGAACAAAACTATAAATCAATGGGAAGTAAAATTTCCAACAACAGTCGTTAAGCTTATGAACGGCGAATATAAGAACAGCGGGTGAACATAAATTTCCATAAATTGTTTTTATTGGCTCTGACAAATGGCCATTTGCTTCTCTGATAATAACTGCTTTGAGTCTGAGTCCATTGGAAACAAACAATCGTAAAGATAGAAAATGGAGCGACAAACAGGGACAACAATTCCCCTTCTGACAGCAAAATATTCAACAAATTTTATGATTATAGTCGAACGTGTGCTGGCTGGTTATGATTTTACATCAGCATTATTTCTTTCCATTTCGAATATCAAATTTCTCTTTCACCCTCAATAATTCAGAAAGCATGATAAAGGTGCCAAAGGAAGCGGCAAGAGAAAAAGAAAGAAACAAGTAAAAGCATCAAAGCAGCACAGCAAACACAAGAATGGGAAATGTTGTTCGAAATGAAATAAAAATAAAAAGTTACTATCGACTTTCACCATCAAGAAAGCACCTTTTTGAGTGCTTTTTTTCTTCTTCATTCTTTTCTTTTTTTATCGATGGGAAGAAAGAGTGTCGTAAACAGTATCATAACAGCATCTACGTGAGCTCCTTCAGCATTTCACTTTATCAAGCGATATTTGCTTGATCAGTTTCTAATTTTTCTCAAAGTGACAATTTCCCTGCATGCCTCAACTTTCTTCCGTTACGTTTTCCTTTCGTTCAAGGAAGTAGAGACGTCTTGCCTCAAGCGAAAGAAATCGCAACCCGAGCATAAACATCGCGCCGTTTAGAGCGGAAATTGTTCTGTAATTTTATTTTCAAACTTTCGTAACGAAGGGAAAATTCCTCTAATAATTCAACCGCTGTCATCTCGAGAGATTCGAAACACTCAAAACCAATTTATCACTTTCTGTTTAAGCAGGGATATTAATTAGGGCAAAATTATTGTGATTAATTTTAAGATTACGTCATCTACAAGTATTTCCATCGTGATAAAACCCACACATGATTTAGAAAAGTTTTCTACATTTTCTGATTGCTTAGTTGGCTCCATTTTAACAACAATCTTATTAAATATAAAATCTACGTTGAGAATAAAAAGTTTCAACATCATTTTTCAAGCAAACAACAATTTTTCAACTAAACAAAAAAAATCTTGTCTTAGAAATTTTCTCATCATATTATTTTGTGCTTTTAAATGTTTCGATATAAGTAATTAAAATACATTTTCCATTAAAACTTTTCCGCAATTCTCCCAGCGCTTGAAAATATTTAAATGCCGCTTTAAAAGAAGATAAATTTACAAATTCTTTCCCTTCTCTTCAATACTCGTAAGTACGAGAAAAGCAAATCTTATTAGGAACATTCGGGATTCTCAAACTTTGTAAATATTTCCGAGAGCAGCGGATTTTCTTAATAAAAATGGAATTTGTATTTTCGCTTCATTCTTTCCATTCATTGAAGCTTACAACCACGATTTTTATGTAAAGGAAGATGAAATAGATTCTAATCCAACTACAGACATCTTAACACATAAAAAATGATTTGATTTTTCCCAAGTACATCTCTGCGCGTTCGCGTTCGCCTCCGCATTCGCTTTCGCGTCTCAAGTGATGAAAATATTTCAAAAACTTTGTGTGTTTGTATGTATAATCAACAGATTTGCAAACACATACGAAAAAGAGTTTTTGCTGATTTTTTGAAGAGGATTTCGAGGATGAATTTTCACTTAATCATCACTTTTCTTTATTCTTTGTCTACTGTTTCGTGATGAACATTAGTTGAAGACAAATTTTTCCCAATATTTCAAAAAGCTTTTGCTTTCGCTTGAGAGAAAACAAAATAAAAACAACAAAATCAACGACAACAACTTACCGAGAAAGCTTTTAAAAACACCAAACATTGAATAATTCCTTCCATTGTGTCACCAGTTAAACAAAAAGTTCCACTCAAGTGTCTGCCTTTTCTACCAAACACTGTTGACAAAGATGCCTGCACCATCGCACGACGATGATTCGCAAATTGTGATGATGTAGCAAGTGCATTAGAACTAGTCGTTATCGAATTTATTCGCTTATCACATATTAAATGATCAAGTGACTCCATTGTTAAAATTTACATTTAAATTCGTTTTTTATGAATGTCTCCAACGTTCCCTTTCTTATCTTAAACGTCTCGTTACTAACTTGATTTTGATTATCTTCAATGAAACAGATGCAGAAGAATTTAATGGAAGAATTTTGAACATCGCAACATACCGCAACAATATTCTTCGTTCATCTCTCTCTTTAGCCCTCATTTCTTCCCTTTCCATCACGATGTTCACACAATTCAAACTTATTTACTTTGTTGAGGGGAGAAAGCGTTAACAAAGTCTTGTACATTTTTCAATAACGTTAAAACTTTAGCTTCAACTGCCACAATTTTCTACCCAACTTCCCTTAAATATGAGCGAGTGAAACGGTTTCGTGATTTTATCTTTATCTTTCACATCATACATCATTTGCACGCATACCTTTCGATTACAGTGTTGGATAAAGTTGTGAATGAAAGAATAAAGGCTTTAAGTCATCTTCAACTTTCCCAAAGGTATTTCCCACAAGATATGTGATCGTTACATGTTAAAGTGTGAGACTTATGGGAAGTTTTTAAATATTTTCTCAATAAAAATGAATTATGGTGGCGATATGCTTTCCTATTTTCATCTTTCACAAAGCGTGATAGAATATTGGAAGGGAAAAATGAAAGAAACGCGTTAAAATGGAAAAGTAAGACAAGGCGAAGTTGTTATTTATTCGAAAGCGAACATCGACTTTGAGCTTCAATTCATGCACAACTTGAATTCGTAATAATTTCATGGAAGCTTCTCACTATGAATGTTTCAGTACTTAATCATTCGTAGTATTCAACTAAGGCAACAATACATTGTCGGTAGCATGGAAAGAGGAACATGAGCGGCGGTTCATATTTCAGGGTATAAAATAAATTTGAAAATTTGTTTCTTTCGAGAGCTCGCGCTATGATGCTAATGTTCATAATGGAAAGTTATGTAAGTGAAAGGGATTTTCACATGTTAAGTCACTGAGGAGATCAGCGAAGAAGAAAAAGAAGAAGTAAAGTAGATTGCTTAGTTCAAAATCCTTACACATTCGACACGAATCTCTTTGTAGCTTTAGGGGGTTTTGAGAATATTTTAAATGTTTATGTTGCTAACGAAATTTATGTTATCACGATTTTAATTTTTTCTTTTTCGTCGTAGATATATAAAATATAATGAATATTCATTCTATAATATATGACGCTATCAAGATTAATTATCCGATTTTGCTTTAATGTAACAAACGTTTGTTGCTTAATTATCAAAACAAATTTAATCTGGAACGCTCAGAAGAATATTTGAGAGAAATTTACACAAAAGCACACATGCCACAATTTAAATAATTAATAAAGTTTATTGTTGTTTCTTTTTTTATTTATTATCTAACTCCTTCTCTTTGCTTTGATTTTATTAATCGTTGGCACTGATTTTTTGTTCACTGTTGTTGTTATTCACTAAATTTGATTTTTCACAATGATTTCGCTATCTAATTGAATTAATCTCAATTTTTATGTTGCTTTATAATGAAGCGAAGAGTGATTTTTTTTTACATGTTTCTTTGTCACACTTTAATTTCTTTAACTCTCGGGATGATGAATGGAAAACAGACAAAATTAAAATGGCGAACGTAATCTCGAATTATATTTCATGTCATCTAACGCTTTAATATCTTTATCGAGTTTTTTTTTCTGTCTAGCTCTTCGCTTGTGCTCTTAGGGTGAAAAGTTCGCTTGCAGTTTTTTTCTTTTGTTTCTTTATGCTCTGTAATGCTCTTTTTCGTGCACAACATAAAATTTATGTTGCTGCTGATATAAAAAATATTTTCTTATTATTAATATCCACATTCACGGTTGAAGAGTTTTCACTATGTTCGTTGTGCTTTCGGTTTAACGCTATATCACTGCTATTTCTCCTCTTCTTCCTTATGCTATCGTTGTTAATTTTAGTTAAACTAATTGTCTCTGTTGCCGTCTCAACGATTTTCTCGTCTTCTCCTTTAAATGTGTAAAACTTATTATTATTAATGTCGTCGATGTAATTAAACAAGTTTGATTCATCACGGTTCAGTGACATGAGTGAAGTTGAGACTGTGAATTTACTTATTGGTTTGTCAAACACAAAATGTTTTCGTTCGTAGGATTTCTTTGAATTTCGTAAGATTGTTTTTAGATCGTCATCAAACACATCGTCTGACGTACTGTAGCAGCTGCAAGGACCTGATTTAACACTTTCTATATTATTATCATCATTTGTTTCAGAGCTTTCAGCTTCGCATTCGCAATTACGTTTCTCGCCTAATTGTTCTTCGTTGTCGTCTTTTGTTTCGCCTCCGTTGAAATGATGGTGAGGCTGATACGGCAACGGATGTTCATTGTATTGAAAGCATCCTTGAAAAACTCCCAACAATTCATATGCACCGAAACAGAGTCCCAACACAATCAGTAATTCCATAGTTCACGTCTGATAAACATTTCTCATAGCAATCTTCTCGGTAGATTAATTTTATGCCCACAATCGCTTCAATAGATTAAACATTATAGTTTCTTCACATTGCGATTGTCTGTCATTGATTTTATGTCTTTGTCCTGTTAAACTTCTTAACTTTACTTGAAATCACTCACTACAATTATACGACAAGCTTTTGATTATAAATCAATTCGAATGTTATCCAATCTTTTGCAACCCGAATGCCACCGCATTTGTCTTCGATCTTCCTTTCCACATTTTTTTAAAGAAAGAAAGGAAGAAGCCTTGAAGGAAAAGTATTTTCATTGTCCTCAATGTCCTTTCATTTCTTCCGCAATTAATAATTTATCTCACTTATCTCATTCGCTCTCTTTCTGCCCTAGATTTGTAATGTTTTTATCTGATTCTGATTCACATTGTGAACATAATAGAAGCGATTTGTATCCTTCATACCATTTCAGTCATCCCCTATTACAACATTTATGTGTAACTCTATAAAAACGATTGTCGCCTCTCACAGCTTCTTCGGTTTTCCTTCTTGAAATTCCTTTCAATGATTTATGTTTTTCTTTTAAGTTAAAAAAGATATTCTTCCCTTCACAACACATTCATTCAAACAAACAACAAACTCACACTTGCTGACAACACAAGAGGTAAGATAGCCAATGAAAAAAAAGATTTTCTAACCAAATATCGCACGAAGATTTCAACATAAAATTTCTACCTGCTTGCCTTTAAGCGGTTGTCCGAAAAATAATAAAATAAACTTTTCTAAAAACATCCCAAACCAAAGGAAAAACTATTTTCAAACCTTTCCCCTTCTCTCTCTCCCTCTTTCTCACTCTTTTTCTTTAAGAAATCCGATCAAGGTAGTGAAAATATCTTATTTATAATCAAGGAACGCGTTTGGTTAGAAAAACTTTTCTTTTCCTCGTTTCATTCGTAGATAACATAACTCATCAAAAACACAACTGGAGGAATTCGTCAAGATGTGAACATATTGAAATCCCCAACCCCATTTAACTAAGAATGTCAGATGAGATGAAACCTTATTCATGCATGCAAAATGGCAAAATGACACATTTCTTGAGTCATATTGTATGAAACGTTGTTGAGTATAAAAAGATGCTTTCATTTCATCGGGGAGGAAAAGCTTTGGGAAAAAGAGAAGGCAGGAAGCATCTGAACTTTTCTCATATGAAAAATGAAACGACAATTGGGAATACAAGTTAAGTTAACCCAATCGTAATCATTTTCAATCATTTGAATTCTATTCGAAAAAAGGAAATTCCGATAAATTACGTTTAGAGACAAGTTGGCATCAATTTAATAAATAAACGTTCTCATCTTCTTTCATCCAGCAGTCTCATGTTGTGGTGAATATTTCATCTAATTCTAGACAGAAGCATGAACTGCACAATTTATATTTAGATGAAAATTCGAAAACATAAAGTGAGAGTGTCATTTACATTCATGCGAGGCTCTTTTCCAAAATAAACGAACGTGTCGAATGAAACAAAGCAAGATGAATGTTAATCATAAACACTTTCGTCTTCAACGCACACTCGAGATGAAGATTGAAGCTGGGAATGAAGGGAAAATCGATTGTTTATCGAATGAGAATCGAAGGCAATCGAGGAAAATCGAAGCTCTCGGGAGAAATATGGTGGAGTCTCTTGAACAATTCAATTTGCAAACAAAAGCTTTTTGTTATGCTGCTGCCGTTAAAATGATGGTAACGAATAAAAGGAAAGAATGATATTGCGACATTAATAAATCGTTTGCAATCACGGTTGAAGAAGATTCCTCTTCGATCACTTTGGTAATTTTCCATTTTACTTGAGCCTGATTCATCGCATGTTCATCCAATTAATTCGATTAACTCTCTCAACTGTGGTTAGAGATGAAACAAAAAATTGATGAATCGAAACGAAACTTTTGCTTTTTTAGATGTTAAAAATTAGTTTTTAAACTTTGAAACGAGAATAAAAGAAGAAAAAAGGATGAAAAAAACAAAATTCAACATTCATCGATTATTTTTCCATCATCAAACGAAAATATTTTATAAAAAAAATTGAATTGGATCATTTGCTCGACCAAGCGTTGATCTCATTCCTTTCAGTCGATGCCACCAAAAAATTTCCTCTCCCTGAAATGTCAGTCGGATAAAAATTATTTGTGATTGTAAACTTTCTCTACTAACGGATGTAACCACTGCTAGTAAAGACTGCAAATAACAAGCAAAACCACTTAAAGTTCCACATAGAATGATGAGATTTGAAGGTTTCAATTTTTTGTGCTCTATTTTAGCAACATGAACAGCATACCTGTATGCAGAAAAGCTTAAATAAACTTCTAATTTAATTACATTCAAACCACAACTCAAACTGTTCTATCACTCTTTCAATCTCTTTAGCTTGAATGTTAAATAAATGTTTCAACCGCACTGTGGCATAATTTTCAATTATTTATTTTACTTCTTTAAGTTGAGAACTTAGAAGAATGCCTGAAGTTATATTTTTTGATTTCGTATCGAAACATTATCTGAAAGCTACGAAAGAATTCGCTGAGATAATAAAAATGTAAACGTGGGTGAGCTTCTGATTTAAAATCTGATCTGCAAGTCTGTCTGCAACAAATTAATATCAGATGTAAAGGTAAACATGCTTTTGGCTATCAATTATTGATGGAAATTTTCAGCGAGCTTTGCATGAACATGAAAAAACAATTTCAATGTAAAATTGAAACTGGTTGAAATGAAGAGCTCTAGGAGATTCATGTTAGTTCAATAAAAGCAATCATAACTTGGTAATGATGATATGACCATATATAAACATGAACATTAATGGCTGTAAACTTCAAAACCATAAAATAATTTGCATAATAATTAAGGTGAAGAGGGACTTCCAATAAACAGAATGATGTGTTCAAATTCTGACCTAAATTCCGTTGTACTAAAATAATTTAGGAAAGTAATTGACTAGACATTAGAAATATTTAACTTGTTCAAACCAGACACACTTTTTAATGAGAGTTGTTACAAGTGTTGATTGCATTTTAAGTAGTTCATCAACATCACAATCGAAACATAAATATTTCATGTTTCTGCAATATTTGCCAATCGAAAACATAAGTAAATTATAAAAGAAAATTTCTGTTATCAAAGCATAAACAATTTTTAAGCATTAAATGTGTTTTTCCTTTTCCTAACCGTGAAGTTTCCTCGTTTTAGGCTAAACGGTTCTGCTTTGCAAAGAAAAAAATAATTTCCTTTTATCTTCTGAATTCTAACGATGTTTATTTTGAGCGAAATTTTTATGCTTTCGAATTTGCTAGAATAATAATCTCGGTACACATTTTTCCGTGTTTCTCTAAAGAATTCTCTTTTTTTCGAATACTCATCGATGCGGCGGAATGAAGAGGCGCTCAGAACCATCAGAAAATAATCGATGCCGTTTATTTACGCTTAAACAAGCTGTGGTGAAGAGGATTTTTTTCCTGGGTGAAGTACTTTCATGTATGTGTTGTTAAAACTTTAGAAGGGAGAGAAAGGCGCGCATTCATATAAAATAAAAAGTTTAACTCGTCTCAAACAGTTGCCTGAAACACATTTACAAGCCTCAAAAGATGAAATTCACATTTTTCCCGTAGAACATAAAACAAATGTGGAGGGAAAACTTACGAAAAAAAAATAATCTTTTAAAACTTCTGCCTTAAAATAAAGTTTTCTGACTTCGTTTCTTGGTACGTTCATGATGAAAAAGTTTTTTTTTCCTTTCACATCTCGTAGAAAGGATGAAAAGATTTTCTGTTTTATGCCATCGGTAACGTAATTTGAGGAATTACCACGCCAGAGAGAATGACAACGACACTTTTCCATTCGCAACTAGTTTCACTGCTACCAACCTCAACAAACATACATAAATTCTGCCAAAGTTCCATTTCTAGGTTAATTCATAGACCCAGCTTTCTTTCATGCCTCGGTGATTGTATTTGCTTTGTTCTTATTCCGACTTTTTTGTATCATTGTGTTGGAAAACACATTCATGAAACGGTTGTGAGGTAAATTTCATTATCTTCAAATGTCTTCCGAAGAACTTTCACTGTTCATACATTCATACAACTGTCATTTCCAAAAATTTTAATATTTCATATCAAAGTCATACGAGTCAGAGATTTCTCCATATGCTCTCGTTCTATTGTTAGAAATGGCAATAATCGACACCCGCTTCTTCTTCTACTCTTTGACAGCTGAGTGGGATTGATTTGATAGTTTAAGGAGAAAAGGAAGGAAAAAAAGGGAAAATGAATGAAAGGCAAACTTTCTATCGGCATGACGAATGACATTGAAAAGAATTTAGTTTTTTTTTGTTATTGAAAGGAAATAGATGAAAGCTGTGACGGTCGATATGTTTAAAAGAAAAATGTTGTAATTGAGTTAAAAGATAGCATTTCAAGAGTGACGTGTTAAGCAAACTACCCTGACCCTTAATTTCCTTCAATGCCTTCAAGTTTCAGACATCTTCTTCGTCTCGCAATCCCTCTTATCTTTGTTTTCAAAAGAAATTGGAATATTATCTCGACAAACAAAACAACTTCCAACATTTATTCTTCTTCCTCTTTCGTCATCTTTCTTGGAGTAATATTTATAGTGACATCATGATTTCTTTGTGTGGGTGGTGTTAGTTGTTGAGAGAGAGAAATGTTTGCAGAGTTTTGCTTGCCAGAATATTTAACGGTTACAAGATGAAGGATAATAAAACAAAAGAAAATTGAGCTCAACGTTAAAACAACAGATTATTCTTAAAAGTATTCGAATGTATCTTCCTAAGTTCATGCTCTTTATCAACAAGGTCAGGAAGATGAATCATTGATACTCTCACAGATGATGGAAACAAAATCCGATGTTAATTTTTCTTAAACTTCGTTGTTGAAATGTTCACGGTTTGCACGTAATTTACAACTTGCTCTACCAACATCTCCCTCCATCTTCCATTTTCTGATATTTAATTACGTCCGAAAAGGTCTCTAATGTTTCACATTTTTATTTTTCTCTCTGGCTTCGCTTCGTTAAACTTTTTTTTTCTCTTTTCTTTTTCTTACAGAATTTTATGGAGAAAGCGTTAGCTCATTAGCAGAAGTGCTTGTAATCGCTTTGCAAATGATGCTAAATTATATCACAAGAAGATCAAGACGTAAAAAGACGAAAGAAACGATATTTAGCACTAGAGCAAGGTTCATCAATCGTAAGACCTTAGAAATGTTTTTCTCATTTGCACTACATTCATTCGTTAATGATTAACCGCCACTATTCAGAACTTTCAGAATATTTACGTGTATTCATTCACATTCTCTGATTTACATTCTGAACGTTTGATTCTTGCTTTTACGATGAGTAGAAATTTCAGTAGAAAATATGTTCGCCATTGTCTTGTTTGCGTTGCCCTTTCCACCAACAAGTTTTCATTTCTTCATGCATGATCTCAGTTTTACGAGCGAATCATGCTACTCATAACAAATTCTATTGTCGCCTCGAAACAGGCATGAAAGCTTTTATTGTTCTCGATGATAATTATTATTTTTTCCTTCCAAACAAAGTCAGAGAGCGAAACACGTAACAATCATTTCTGCAAGGCGCTATTGAGATCACTTTTTCCATCAAAGCATCGAGAGCTTTTCGAACATTTTAAAAGCTTTTCCTCGTTCTTCATGCACAAGTTGACTCAATGAGAATGCAAACAAAGCTCTGAACTCATCCATCATCTTCATTCGCTCAAATTTCCTTCGATACAATTCATGTAAATTTCTTTTTTTCTTTTACGAAACCGTGAATGTCACAATACTTGACATGGATTTTCTTTTGCACGTTTCTTTTTTCATGATATCTACGTAAACACATGATCAACAATAGAATAACAATGAAAAGGGTTAGACATGTTTTGCTTTCTTCCTTCGACGAATAAAAAGCATAAATAATACATTTATTACAACGAAGGCATTAGAAAGAGAAAGAAGAAAGCAAAAAAAAAATCAACAAGCCGAAACAAAGTGAGAGGAAAGGAAATGGAAGGCAAAAGGACTTTCCTCTTCTTTTTCGCTTTTCCTCAGAGAGATTTTGTAAAAAGAATTTTCTTCCACTTTTATTTATAATTCACAAAGCTTCTTGTGTTCAATCTTAAAAAGGTTTCTCGAAGGAGTTACAATTAGTAAACGGAACTGAAATTGTTTTTTTTTTCTTTTCATTTCTGCTCTTGACTGAACTTTTCAATTTCTGGTGGGAAATAATAAAAATCTCATTAGACTTGTTTGTTATTTTACAGTAATGAAATAGCGAGTGACTTGCTAGATAGACAACTTATTTAATATTCCTTTTGGAAAGGTGAAATATGAGAAAGTTTATCGTTATGATAATCATAAAATTATCTTCTGAGAAACTTTCAGTCAAGACCTTGAACTCTTTAGAAGGTTTTCTTTATGTCTTAGATCACAACATTAGGTAAATAATTCTTAAGAAATGATTAAAGATATGAGAAAAGATGAAGAAGAAATTTTGTAATTAAATGAAGTTGAATTTAAATTTCTTTTATAAATAAAATGTTCGCTTCTCAAATCAAATTTGTCATAATAATTTTATAATTGATTTTTTTCTTCTTCTGAAGTTCCTTCCGCGTAAATTATGTTCTACGCTAAATTTCCCAAATGAAATCTTCAAATAGCCTCTCTCGAAGAGATAATAAAATGACAACTTTTGTGTGGGTGGCGCTTGGGGAAAGACATTTGACAGAGGCTGGAGGGGAGAAAGGAAAAAACATTTAAATAATTTCGGAAGCAGAGCAATTTTCCTTGAAGTTGGAAGAGAATTATTTGTCGCGTATTTCGTAGATGAGAAAAAGTAGCGGCACGGTTGGAGGTGGAGAAGAAAGAAGAAGAAAAAGCCTACAGGAAAACAAGCAATAAATTCGCCAAGCATTCAAATGTGAAATGAAATTTTACACCAAAAGAAATTTTATGGAAAAACATTTTCTTTCAAAACATCTTTTTTATGACAACAAAGAAGTGAAACTTTGTTCTTGGATTTTTTTTTCTTCTGTTCGCCCAGTTTCGTAAGATTTTTTAATAATTCAGTGACTGACGCGCTTTTGAAAGCTTCGTTTTTGCTTTTTTTTTGTTTTACAAGTCTCCAGAGGATCATGTTTCCCATTAATCAAAACTTGAACTCAAAAGAAAATGTTAAATACATTTTTATATTTCATAAAAGTTTGAGTATAATGCATAATTGACATCGAGGTTGACAAAGCTAAAGACAGAGGAAAAATGAGAAACAAAAAATCCGCAAATTCACAATTCTGTCACTGCTCGCTCTGTCAGCTTCAATGACTTTATACAATTTTCATAAACCTCTTAACTTTTCCTTTTTCTCAACAATTTTTCCAATAATTTAATTTTTTTCATCTTTCTTCGGTCTCACTAACTACGCAGTTTCAATAATTTTGATAACGTCCAAGTTCATCGAATAAATTTAAACTTTAAGTAGATTTCATTTTAATTATTAGCTTTCTGAATTTAGTTTCAATTTATTATAAAAGTTTTCGTTTAAAATATCAAAAGAAATCCAAGAACAGGAAAACTTAATAAACATTTAATTAATTCTGATGAAAATGGTTTTGAGAATAAAAGAAAAAGATTTTTCCACAACGACTGCTTTTATTGACGAAACTAAATAACATTTCCATATTTTTGTAATAAGAATTTCAACTGATCCTAAACTGAAATAATTTTTCCCCACATTGTCTTTCCTTGGATAATTTCGTGCTTTAGGAAAATGAAATTGATAATCAACAAGAATAAACTCCCACGACATTATTGAAACCAATTTAGCGAAGCATACGCGTAAGAAAGCTCTAATTGAGTCAACGAATGAACATCATGTAATTAGATACGGTAAATAAACTAAATGGTTGTTTCGCTCTTATTTCATCTGAAAACAAGTCATTGTGTAGATGGAATTGCGAACGTTACATGACAAATTTTTTCTTCATCTTATTTGAGAACTTTTTTTTTATTTAAATTGATATTCATGGATGCGGAAGAGCAGTCAACTAAATATCATTAACAAGACACTTTTCATGCTCAAGTCATTCTGTCCATCATTCACATCACTCAGTCATTGCTTTCATAAAAAAAGAGTAAAAAAAAACTCATTAAAATGATCACAAACGCGGTGGCATTCGAAATTGCATTGAACGAATTTCAATCAAATCTTTTTTGCTGCACAATCGTGTATCGTCGTACTGCAATAAAAAAACAGCGCAAGTCTACATCAAGTGAATAAAAGTTTGTCTTTCTGTGTCAGTTTATCTGCAGAAAGCATCATAAAAAATATGCTGATTTTTTTTTTAAAAAGTTTTACAAATCACTGATATGCGAGTTATTTTTTTATCAAATATTTACTCGTTTAAATTGTTACAAAAAAAATAAATTGCTTCTCTCTGCTAAATAACATGCAACAATTATGAATCGAGAAATGTTTGCTGAACTTTGAAATATGAAAAAACATAGAAAGCATAATATTTGCAATCTCGATTAATGTTTTTCCTTGTTCATTAGAAAGATTTTGCATCACTTTTCATTTTTTAATTCACTTGGTAAACACAAAAAGAATTGTTGGATTTATATTACTATCTGATTTTTTTTAATCGCTTTAGTGTACTAACGTGCACTCCCTACTCTGATAACGATGATGACAAAAAGAATTGATAAAACTCATCAGGGAAAGTTGAAAAATGCGGAAAACTTTTGCCCACATTAAGATTATTTTTCATCTCGTTTCTCCAAGTTCTTTAAAACCAGCATAACTTTTAACATACTCTCATTGTGAATCTTTCAAATCTCCTTATCAACAAATTGATGTAGATGACGACGACAATTGTAGCAACAAATAAAACTCAGTAAGATAAACAAAATACCTCTTTTCAGTTCGATTATATTACAAGTTACATACACACACGCATAAAGTGAATTTTATTTTCAAATAATCCTTTTTTGTTTTCTATCTTTGTCTGATTCCTCAATATATTTTTATTTTTCATTCCTTAAGGAAATGAACTTTCCCACGAATCTTTTCTGTATGTATTTTCAATACGTGAATAGATCTTCAACACACAATAAAGAAAGCTTTTGCTTTAAGATTTATTTGCTAGCGGCATTAAGCACACAGAATTCAACATTGTTGGATTCGTTATTTCCTCCTTTTTTTTAATGAAACTGCGGCAAAACAACAAACACAATTTTTATTTTGCTTTGTTTACGAGATTTAAGCAGATTGTTCAAGCGTCTTCTTTCTTATCAACGAATTGGAAGCTACCGATCTCACTGCTTTTGTTTATGTTTCCTTTTATTCCTTTAATTCAATTGGGCTTTTCTTTCTTATTTTTCGAGCACGCAAAATAGATTCGGATTTTATCGGCATTCGTTTTTTTCCCAACACACATTTTGTTTTGTGTTTCGAAGCTTTTATGTTTCTTTTATTTTCATATCACAATATTATCATTTGATCCTTTAATTAGCTTTGCTTTCAAGATCTTTGACACAAATCTAATTTTCACACACGATTTTTAAATGATATTACATATTTTTCATTTTCTGGTCTTTATTCCAGAACGGTTCGCGAGAAACTGCCTCTCGTTGACGGTTGCATCGGATGATAAACTTCTACTCCCTACATTTCTCTACTCTTCTGTCATGGAGAAAAAGCTTCCATTGAATTCCAGTTCCTTCATCCAATACCTTGTCAAATATATCAAACGAAAAAGCTTCTAAAGTATGTGAGTCGCTTTTTTCTCTCCCTTAAGTTTCATTGGAAATATTAAAATAACACAAAAAAGTTTTTCCATAGAAACGATTAAAGCTTGGAAGGAAAGGAAAGCATGGAAAGTTTTATTGGAATGAAATGCATTTCCGCATGCATTTATCATTCCAATGATTTTCAAAAATCTCCTTTGTTACTACTAGCGCCATTATTTACATCATTCCACTGACATAATCAATCAAAGCGCAATCGCAAACTTTCCAGCTGTGATTCAACTACATTGATAAGATTTCTTGTGTTAACGCGTCAGTTCACAAATAAAGAAATGAAAAAGAATGAAATATCGTGCAAATAAAGCAATTATGGAAAATGCAACAAAGCTTCCACTTATACTTTCAATCTTTTCTTTGCATATTTTAATAAAGAGAGAAATTCTTTTATATCGTAGATGTATCGGAATAAGTAGAAAGCAATGAAAGAAAGCTTCTGTATGATAGATTAAAAGCTAAAATGCAATCAAGTAAGAAATGAATATCAGTTTAGTGCATACAGAAAGAAGTAAAATGCAAACTTAAATCTTTCATCCATTTATGTCAATGAGTTTTCGATTCAATTCTTGGCAATATCTTTTGTGAAAGCAATATTGTAGATACTCTTATTTATCTACTTTACTCCTTCATTTTGTTGTTAATTCTCTAATGATAAATACTGTTAATGAATGAAGTTTAAGCAATTGAAATGTCATCATAATAAACAGATTCGTTTCCTTTATTTTCTTCTCTCAATTCTGTTTGCAAATCTCTTTGCAGAGGAAGTTCATATATTTATTTGTATACGACTCAAACAATGCGCACTATTTTTTTGTTTGCTTATTTCAAGAATGAAATGCATTTCTATGACGGTTATAACTTTATACAATCTCTTTGTGGGGTTGTTTTGTGTGCACGATTAAGTCGAACAATTATTCTCTTGATTTATACAATTTGAAACTGATGAGGGTTCGTTCTAAAGAGAAATTTGCTACAATGATTTCCATAAAGAGATGTAAATTGTTCACAAAAAAAAAAGTTTACAAAGTGAGCTTTTGAGTGCCATTTCAACAGAAGGATCGTTGAGAACAACGAGTAATTTCTATCGCTATTATACGTCATCCTATTTGATGAGAATCATCGCTTTTTGCGCTTCCGTATTTCCATTCATCTGTTCATGGTGCAAATGAAAATTGAAAATTGAAGAATAAAGAAAAAACTTTTTGTGATGAAGTGACGCATAAAAAGCATTGAAGTTCTTCACATCAATGTAGCCAATAAATTCGAAATGAACTTTTGCTTTTATCATACTTATCTAAAGCGAAGCATGAAAAGTCATTTTCTCCAATTGCATTGTAACACAACATTCAATTGCTTTCAATTCAATGATATTGAAGCCAGTCAAGAGTATAAAAAGGAACTTCATAAATAAGTATGAGCAACGGAACGAAAATTTTCAAGTATGTATTTTGATTTTTTTCATCTCACTTCCGCTGATCAAGCCAATCAATATATAATGTTGCTTCTCACGACGTTCCATGTTGTGACAATAATTCTATGAATGGAAATTGTATCATCATACATTATAGCACAATCTTTTATTTTTATGTGATATTTTTCATCTTAGTCAGAAGGCAACTTTGTATGGAATCAAATATTGAAAAAAAAAGAAGAGAATAAGATTGTTGGGGGTGGTGGAGATTGAATGTTGATTCGAAAAGCATTCGAACACACGGAAGCATGTAAGTAATGGAAGAAAGTTCCACCCTACATCAGCATGATATCGATAAAGAGCAAAGAAAGACGAGAATAAGTGGAAGTTGATATTTATTATGTGTTTGATATATTAAGCTTATTGCTGATACATTTTGTTTCCATTCATTTTACATAAAAGTTTTATGGCAAGGCAACAATGTTAGGCAAGCAGATCAAATGAAAGGAAAATGGAAATGAAGGTCCTTTAAATGGTAACATAATAAATCAGATCAAGGGAAACATATGAAATAAAGAAAGTTGCACAATTTTATTGATCGCCACTATTTGATTCAATGTGACAAATCAACAAATTTATGATCTCACTTTTTCAACTTTCTGATATTTTATTTCGATGGACCCATTCACAGTATGACGTCAGCTTTGAAGTTTTATTGCTGTTTCCTTTTTCGTTATTTCACAAAAAGCATTCGAGTGCCTCGTAAATTTTCACTTCTCAGATTTACCATCACTTTTAAGCGTTCCCGCGGGCAACATTCTAACGATTTAGCTTATTGAGAGCGTTTTGAACGTATTGAAGCGGCCGTTACGTTACGAAATGTCATAAGAATTTATATTCTTGCGCAATTTATTCGGCATCCGGTATAAATGCTATAAAAGGAAAACTTTTTGTCCCATCTTAAAATTTAACTTTTAAAACACCCCAACAAACTTTAAGCATACAAAAATATTTTTACAACATAAGAGACGAATAATTTCCTGTAAACTACCCAGAATGAGTAAAACAAGCAATAAAAACCAATGTACTGATATTATTCTTCATGATTTATAGTTGGAAGGATCTTTCTTCATGAAACATGTGACATGCTCTGGCTTTAAGATCGCTTGAAAACTTTTCTTTTCAATCACAGTGGAACTATCAACTTTCTTTCTTATTACAACCCAATGCATTGTGCTATTAAATGAAATGTTCTCGAAAGCTCTATTTGGTGAAGAAAATTAATTTTAAAAGCATTCCATTCAATTTTATTCACTTTTTTATTAAATTGCCATGCACCGAAAGCATTTCTTATGAACCTAATTGAATAAATGCAAAATTCTCCTCAAATTACCGCATTTATTACAACCAAACAAACATTATTTCTTTTTTCAATGCTATTCGCATCAATTACTTGCTTTATCTCAATCATTACCTTTGAATTATTCACACTCAAAGAATATTTCCATGAAAATCGTCACGGAATGTTTTTCACATTTTTTTCTCTTTGAATCCCCATTCGTAATGGTGGAGAAAAAGAAAGCAAAAAAAAGTTTTCATCCACGTTATTCACTTTCATCCCTCCGTTCTCATTCCTTTCAATTCAACTGACAACAATTTTCAAGATTGTCAATCGCTTTCATTTAACAGTCAATCAATTTTTCTCCTTCACTTCCTTTCTCACATTTCTCAATCTTGTGAATTCCTTCAAATGATCTCGCTTCAAAAGCCCGGAAAAAGGGAAAATCAGAAGTTTTAGGAATGAAATATTGAACAAGAAACATAAATGCTTTGTCGTATGCAACAATCAATTAAGAGCTCGATAATCAGATAACGCTTCGTTTCGCTTTAACATACTTTTTGAGAACGAAAGAAAAGAAATCAAATTAAATTTCCTTCTTCCTGAGATGGGAAATTTCTTGCTGACAAAGCATTTTAAAATCCATGATCATCCACAACGATATCAAATATTAATGAAACACGCATAACAATACAATCAAATGAATAAGTTAAATGTGGGTGAACTCCTAAGAAAGGAAGCGGAAAATGTAAATTGAAAAATAATTTCATCGTTTTAATCAAAAATTAAAATAATTTTTCTGAAATTGCTGCGTGTTGTGTGTCTGGGAAGGAATTCATTTGATTTTTTTGTTTTGATTTCCCACACGACTTCTTATCTTTCTTCATTCAAATGTTTCAATGTTAAGGAAGTAAGCGAGGTTACACTTCATCGCTCGCACCACCCTTCAAATTCATTCATTATCCTACTTTCCACACTTTCCATTTCGTTTGCGTGCCTGATATTTCGGCACTGATTTTCAATGGATAACACTGAGAAGTCTTATTTTTATTTCCTTGCGAAACTTTCGCTTTAATAAATTGATCGCGTTAAATTTGACAATCAAATTAAGAGCTTCATTGCATGAAATTGATAAGAAAATTTTCTTCAAGAACAACAATAAAATGATCATAATTGGTTTTAAGGAATTCTTCGAGCGTATGTTTATGCTCTAAGAAATCGAGGAAAAAAGTAAAGGGAAGTGAAGGGAATTCTACTTTCTCTTGTGATAAATCGATTAATGTTTATCGCACCTGAACAATTCTTTAGGCACGTAAAAAATTGAAAATTCTGTTAACAATTCGTTACAACTCGCTTCAATTATTGTTAAATCTTTATTTCTGTCAACAATTTAGTAAACAACCTTAGATATGAGGACATTTCAAAAAGCGTTTTATTACATCTTTTTATTTTTTCTTCAACATTTTTCGCTTTATTTTTTGTCTAAAAAACTTCAACTTACCATTGCCAAAAACTTTTTATCTTTTTATCGTTTTTATTTTTCGCTGTCTCTTTTCATTGCTAAAACTTTTGTTCTTGTTAAAAGTCTGTTTATTTATTTCTGCTGTTGTTTTTTTAAGAGTGTGAGTGGATTTTAAACGAGTTCCAAGAGTGACGAAAGAGACTATGAAAGCTGTTTTAAGTTGAAAGAAAATTCTCTAACATGTGAATACATATGAGACTCTAAGAGACTCAGAATGTATGTAGGAATGCAAAGACATTAAGTCTCTCTACAGCTGCTGAGTTAAAAAACAATTTGCAATCCAAGTTTCCACGACGAGCACCCCTTGAAGTCATAAATCATAATTTGCAGGCTCAAATCACGAGTCTGAGTGAACTAAACCGATTTTCTTAACAACCGTATGCAGTAAAATAAATTTTTGTATCATGAGGGAAAACTTTAACATTCATTTCATTTTTCTTAAGTTATTTTCTTGAAGATGCTTCATACATTTTATTTGTCCGGATCGCATGTGAGAATGAAAGAAACATTTCTTTTGTTTTTGCACCATTTCATCTTAAGTACGACGGGAGGTCTATTCTAAACGAGCAATTGGGATGAAAAATAAAATAACTGTGAAGCAACGAACGTCGCAAACGCTTCCATCTCATCTCGTCTCCTCTCATATCGTCATTTCAACAATATAAAAGAAGTAGAAGCAATTTCCATTTATTTTAGAAACGAGAAAGGAAAAACAAAAAAAAAACTCCCAAGAAAGATTCTTCTAATGATAAGAAAATGATACATTTCTCATGTTGCCTCCATACTTTCATGTTTTTCAAGGAGAATGAAGGAAAAAAAAGAAAATATAATCGAGGAAAAGGAAAATTAAGAATGAAATTCATTTACGGTAGAAATTTTCTTCGCTTACCACACTTTCTAACTTACTCATTATTGATCCTGACGAGATTGAATGCGAAGCATTATTATACCGATTTTTTATCATTTTTTTCTATACTTCCATTCATCAATCTACCTCTCAAATTCTTTTTCCTTTTCCTTCTCAATTTTATTTTATTTTCTTTTTTTTGTTGCTTAAGAATTTTCTTACGAGCGGATGCTTGCAAGAATTCATTTCAATTAAGGCTGAATCAACTTTTCCTCTTGATTTATTTTTCTTCCCACTTTTTGTTTTCGTTCTTTAGCCAAATCGATCGTATGAATAAGAAAATGTTTCTGTTTCTTCTTCATATCTTTTCGGGTAAAGTCTTTGCTCTCCCAGGGGTGAAATTACTTAAAATAAAATATCTCAGATGCAAAAAGCTTTTTCTTCGCCAACAATGCATGGTGGTTTCAGGTTTTAAGTTTCATCTAAAAAATTCCAGAACATGAAAATCTGCCTTTAACACATTGCACAGCACAAACTCAGTTTTAATCTTAATGAATATGTTTTACAATAGCTTGAGAGGGTGAGAGAGAGAGAGAAATAATTTTTCCCTTTTTATATCTCGCATTCATTTGCCAAGCTTGTTAAAATTGCAATTTCAATTTGTAACTAAAAAATCGAGAACAAGTTTAGCAGAAAATGAAACTTTTTTCCGGTGTAACAGAAGCATAATGATGAAAGGGTGTTTACCCGGGAACTCTCTTGATATAACAACCGAGCTTTTGAACAGATTTTCCACCTTCACGCAGAAACTATGTTTCTATTAATTTATGTTTAATAAGACTTTTGTACGCTCTTGATTACAAATGACATCACAAAACCAAAGTGGGAGAAGTAAAAGCAACTTTTTTCCAACGTTACAACATTCAAGAAAAGTTTGCTTATGTGGCTGCTGATTTCGTTTATTTAACAGAACAAATTAGCTTTTCTTTTCTCTCTCCATTCTCCTTTCCTTCCATCCCGACAACATCTGAATACAAAGTTTTTCTCAGTCATCGCATGCTTTTGACATTTTACGCTTTTTCTCCAAATACAAATAATAAGAAAACAAAATTATGTCAATTTCTGAAGTTGTTTACGACCAATTCAGGTGCACAGTTCAAATTTTCTTGGTTTAAGAATGGTGTTGAATATAGCAAGTCGTTAACAAGTTGTTAAAAGAAGAAAGCTTTTTCAATTAGTTAAAGTAAAAAAAGCTATCGCTAAGCTACACTTTGCTGTCGGCTTTCTACACGCAATTCTCAAATAGTTCAACAAATTCTCAGCTGACCAGCTGAAAAGCTTTCAGTTTGTAAAAGAGAAAAAACACAAAACAAAGAAACTTTTTTAATCATCATTAACATCCGCTGTTGGTTGTTCAATGAAAAAAATGTACAAGAAAGTACTTAATTAATTAATTCATAAAAAACAAGAACGATATTTAAATAAAGTCTCATACTACATTATTGTAAGCTTTCAAATGTCGTTTCAGCTTCATTGATACTTCAATCAATTTGTTAAATTTTATTTATTTCTCTTTAAGTTTAACTTCATAAACGACTCTGATGCATAACAACACAAAAAAGTAAGAAAAACTCATCAACGTTAACGCGTTTTGAGTACCGAATTCATTATCAACTTTGTGATGAACGAACAGACAGACGACAGAGAAGAAGCACTTCTAAAATTATCGTTTTTTTAAACGCTTCAACATTAAACAACTTTTTGATAAAGAGAGAGAAATATTAAGTCGATAGTCGTTATGAAATTGGCTTTATTAAAAGCAATTAAGTAGAAAGAGCTTTTATGATTGACATTACATTATAACACATCCCAACAAGTTCAAAGCGAAAAAAAGAAAAAGATTCACTAGAGAAATTCAACAATTGCTGAGCTGAATCTTTAACGTCTACCTGAGGGGATATTAAAGAAAATGAGAAAGTTTCTCCCCATCTCACCCTCAGGACGAGTGAAAGCAACAAGACGAAAAGAAGTGATAAGAGAGTGAGTGAGTCAAACAGAGATTAAACGAAGTCGATGAAGCTGTGCTCTGCTTCATTCTGCCTCTCGTCGCTTGATTTAATGTTGTCAAGGTTTGGTAAAGGGAAAACGAAAGATGGCCCTGTACACGTGACAATTTTACGAAAATGAGCTTTTTATCTATGATGAATTCTTTTCTCACACTCTTTTCTATTTATTCGGCACAAAATTATCATTAACCCTATTTGAAAGCTTCTACTCCCTTTTAATTTAAGACGACATTAAAAGTATTCAACAGGGGAAAACCCGGGCCGAAGCCTTGCGCGTTGATGAGGGCAACCAGAAAATATTTTCCTTATTAATTTCCCTAATTATTAAGCGTAGCGTATTTCATTCTTATTTAGCATCATGCAACAGGAGTTGTGAAGGGTTGGAGAACGTAAATGGAATGTTTCTTGTAATTTAAATTGAAATAACAATTAAAGAAAGGTTGAATCATGGGATTCAATGAAAGGACAAAATAAAAATAACTGTGACGATGTCTCGTTGAAATTTTAAGGTAAAAGTCATAAAGAAACTTTTTTTGTAACAAAAATAGAAATTTTTTGGTCGCTTTTCACTGTTTCACTGCTCGCTTGTGTAACATACTTCAAAGCAATTTTAAAACGCTGCAGGAATCGTGATAAGAGCGAGGTAGATTTTTTCCTACTTTTTGTTTCACTTGCCATGATAAGAGCGAAGTAAAAAATGTGCAAATTCAGAAAGATAAAAAGATTCATGAAGCATTCCTTAATTCTTTTGTAAATTTAAAGAAGCTTAACAAGACTTATTTCTGTTCTAATGACTTGAAACCAAAATATGTTTTAACATAATTAAAAAAAGCAGTCACGTTAATATGAATGAATGAATTAAATGTTTGTGTTTTTAAACCTCACAGTAACAAGTGAATTATGGTAACAACAGAAATCGCTTTATTAGATAATAATCATCGTTACTGTTACTCATTTGAAACTCAAAAACTTTAGGAATTAACATCAAGGACAGAAACATTAATTTACTAGCATGGAACTATTACACCCTTTAACACCACCCACTCATCTACCCTCTTACTTTTGCCACCTTCAGAAAATCCTTTTTAATGGACTCTTTCATTAGTTTGCCAATCTTAAACCCCTAAAAGCAAATTTTCGGGTAGCATTAAAAGAAATGGTTTGGGTTGTTTCGTAAATTATGTCAAAATATAAAGAAGAGAAGCAAAAAAGAACATTAGATTAATTACTACAAGTTTGTCACGTTTGTCTCGTAAATTAAGTATCATTGCAAATTGCAAAATAATTAATTTTCTCAACTTCTTTCTGGTTGCCATTATCATAATTTTTTGTCTTGCTTCTTCTTCTAACGTTCTGTTTATTTAACCTTATGCGTTATGCCACAAATCTCCCCCCCCCACAAGCACTCTTTTATGTGTTCATAGTAAAGCTTTGAAACTGTTATTTATAATCTCATGAATTTTGATAACATTATATGAATCTAGACGGATTTACTCGGTAAGCTTTCGTCTGAAATGAAGAAACAAGATACGTACTTATGAAGCAAAAAATAGTGAAATTTATTAGAAACTTTCCTTCAGCAGTTAACCCAAAGTTTCAGTTCAAAAGACGATACTTAAACAGATAAAGTTCTTTTTCATTTCGATGCAAACAAACTTGAAATGCTTACAGATATTCATATTTAAACAAATTCTTCTTCTTATATTTCTATCGATTCAAAATGTTACAGAAATAAAAACAGAGCAAGTAAAAATAAAAATATGAAAAGCTTTACTTTCAGATAACAAATTGGAAAGGTATGTCAGATGAGAATGAAGAAAAGAAGAAAGTGAATGGTAAATGCAAACAATATTGGACCTTTATGGAAGCATCAGAGCAAATGGAGATATTATTTTACTTCCCAGAGGAAAAAGAAAAAGATCGATTGCTGTGAGCGCAAGCAAACAAGATCAAATTTTAGTATCGTTAAGGTTTATAGTTCAAGGATGAATCTCGATGTCTCCATGCTTTGGAAGTGTCACGCCCAAATGGGTTGCTTCTCACATCTATCACAAGAAGCAGTTTCTTTTAAAATCCAATACTTAAGGAGAATATGCTGAGCGTTCATTAATTAAAAGTCCTTAGGAACAAACATCGTAAGTATCATCTTACGTTGAATATTTGTATACTCTCAAGGTGTCATCAACAATTTATCTTTCTCATGAATTGCCGTTTCTTCGCGCTTATGCTCATTTCAGTGGAGCAACACAACGAACGTTAACCACAAAGAGATACAAAAGCCTCGAAAATTTCGCTACTCAAATATTTGATTTGTCATTTGATAATATTAAGCGCATTCAGACGAAAATAGATGAGAAAAAGAATGAAAGGATGATAAACGAGACTGTTGGTTAATTAATAAACGTGAGAAGAGAATCAACAAACTCAAAGAATTACAAAGCAAAAGCAACCCTTCCCTTTTCGCCATCAGCAATCGCGCGAGTAAGCGAGTAACGGATATGAGTAGAACACAAATAAACAAACTTTTTCATCCCTTATTGCAATCCGATTCTTGCGTGTTGAACAGAAGAAAAAAAAGTTAATTTTCAGCTAATTAACGGCTGTGTGAGAGCTTCTGGCCCCTCCCTTCAATTTTCTTCACTCCCCTCTTAGAAAACTTTTCTAATCCATCCTGTAAACAGATACCGGTTAAGATTAATTATACATTAGAACTTTAATTGAAAAAAAAAACTCTTTTCCTCCCTTCCCTTTACTGTTTGCCTTCTTCGTTGTATTTCTTTTCAGCACTTTCAAACCCTCAACCCGTGCCAAAAGAATCTGATTCAATTCAATTGCTTTTCGATTTACGAAGGAGACAAAAGGAATAAGTAAGAGTCTTAACCCAAGACGATATTCCCTTGTGTTTGTGTCCTTATATATTTAGAAACAATGTTAAAAGCAAGCTTAATTATGAAAACAAAACAAATCTTGCGAATACAAAAAGCACAAATAATTCAGCATGTCGTGTTCTTCCTTTTTAACCTACTACCAGTGAAAGAGACGCAGGAAAATTTCCTCTCATTTAATCGCTTTTTCGTTATTCAAATTCAGCGAAAGCAACAACACAAATATTTTCCCATAATATTATTTATACTCTGTTATCAGTATAATCAGACTGTCAAAACTTTAAGAAAGTGAAGCGAAGCGTGCTATGAAGGAGCATGAAACGACAACGACAATCAGCACCAAGGAAAGAAAAAAGGGTTAAAGATTTCTGGCTTTTGTATTCGAGGGTATTCACAAACAATTTCTCGTTGTTGGTGGAGTCGAATGAAGTCCCTTTTTAAGAGCTCTAGAGTCAAATGTGCTGCATGTTCGTAATGGCTTTCTTTTCACTTTATACTCTTAAACCCTTTTCGTACGCTAACGTTCGCTTTCATGGCGTTATGAAAGACGTTACAATCTTTCTGTCTATTTTTTCTCCTTTTGTTGTTATTCATTCATATGATTTTCGCTATACCGATATTGTAGTTATACATTTAGAGAAACGAGGGGACATTTACAGAAGGAAAGCTTTAAAGTTTATTTGCAGCTCATTCTTGATCTTCAATGTTTTGAACAAGTAAATGACAATCACAAAGTGATCTTCAACCCTTAAGTTCAATTCATGAACTGCCCCTTGCATTGAACAACCGCCAGAGACTGAACGGTAGAAACTTTTTTATTGTCAACTTCTTTTTTTATATTTATTTATTTACGTTTTTTGTCATTGGTTAAACTCTTTCCTCTTCTAATTTCCATTACGTTATTTTTCTTTTCCTCTTTTATATTTACACCGAAGCGAGGGTGAGAAAGTTTTCCAATCTTAATGTCGTCGTCAGTGTGTTTATTTTACCGTACGTGTGCCGTTTTTCTATGTCATGATGGTCGAGTCAAAACTTTTCTCTTCTTTATTTTATTATTCTCATATGTGGCTTTTGTTATCCTCTTCACCTCTCTCACATACATTAAGTTTCAATCATTATACTTCTGCATGAAAGACGAGCTTTTCTTTTCATTCCTTTTTCTTTTTTTTGTTGTTGTCATTGCACAATGATGGCTATCACTATTCTATGAAAAGATTTCTCAAAGAAATCCCTGATCATCCAAATTATCAAAATTTCATGCTTCTATGATTCAATGTCATAGCCTCATAGGGTTGACGAAAGTCTTGAGTGTGAGTAAGATAATGCAATGGAGATGAATGAAAGGATAATAACTTTAGAACCAAAACGAAAATACTTTTAAATGATGAAGAGAATGAGGGTGGATAAATAGGGACGATGGACTTTTCTGATGATGCAGCAAACCAACATCGTATGAATTTTCTTTACTCCCTTTCTTTCCCACCCACTCTTTTCTTCATTCTTCTCTCGCCAACATAAAGCATGAAGGGTCGAGAAACTTTTTTTCCCGATGTTTTTTTATTCTGTTTACCAATGTCGGCCGCCAAAAGCCAAAGCTGAAAGCCTTCATTAATTTAGATTAATATTTTTTATAGGTTGTTGCATAGCATGAGGCATCGTGAGAGGAAAAATGAATTAAATGTGTTTACATAGAATTATCAGCAAAGACGAATTTTTTTTTTATGTCAAGGAAATTTTTCCGTGAGCCAAATCTCGAAACTCTTAAAAGAGTTACCACGGCAAATAAAAGGTTGCCAACTTTCATTTGATCCCTTAAAATTAATTATGAATGGAATTGTTATTTCAATTCCCATCGCGTGTTATATTTTAACGTTGATGTTCATTCTACTATCACCCAATAAAAAGTTTTTTTTGGAAGGCTAAAACCATTAAAATTTGCATTTTCATTCAGTGCAATTGACGTATCTATCATCGTATAACATGTCATCGTTTTTTATTAAAAAATCTCGCAATAAAATCTAGTCAGTTTCGTCACAATAATATGATTTCCATGACAATTTCATCATTTATAGGCAGTGACAAAAAAATAAAATTTTCATTGAAATTGTGAATAATTCCTTGTTATTAATTGCCATAATTCAACTCAAAACCCCAAAAATCCAAACCCGCCCACAACCCTTCCGTCTTCCATCACCTGACACAATTGACCGAAAAATGTTTTTTGTTACAAAAGTGTGGGTAAATTTAATTGGCAATTAAACAACTACCTGCTTCACCACAAAATACCGTCGCTAAACCAGAAGCGGAAATACTCTCAGCAGGTTTGGGACGACACATTCGAACAATAGCAGTCTTACAAATCACCAGCATGGCATCGTTGAAGGAAGCCTAATTACGTCATTTTGTTGTCCGTGAAATAAAAATAATAAAAAAAGGAGGAGAAATTTTCATTTTCATACATGCAATGTACGCTACATTGTTATATTTCAGTGCTCAGGTGTGCAAACGTAATTTACTCCACACCACCACCATGCCATGCCGTCATTGTCATAATCTATGTACATAGATTAATTTTTTCTTTACTTTTTGATAAAGGAAAAGATTGTGAAAAAGCGTCATTTTGATTGAATTCTTTTCGCTTGAAGATATAATAAAAATTACAAAATACAAAAATATGTTATGTCTTGCATATTACTTTATCCTAACAACCCCCAATTGGCATTTTTTCTCATGCTCTCGCCCAAATCTTAAATCATCGTCGCAAATAAATTTTATTTTTTTAGTGATTTTCATCCTAATTTTCTTCTCTTTTTCATTTTATTTCATCCATCGCGACCCCATCCCCAGAAGCGGTTCACATTCTTCCACACAGTGATTTTTTTCTTCTTTATTTAGTTTTTTTTCTTTGGTCGATTTTTAATTTAATATATTGGAGTTCATGAAATTTCTCATTTCTCAAGCTTCGCTAGGCAAGCAATGTTAAAAAAACTTTCGTTATCGGGGGCTTTCAAGTGATTAACTAAGTTCCCTAAACGCACTCGTAAAAAATATGCAATACATTTTTTGCCTTCGTGTTATCCAATTTCAAATCATAGTCACACAACGAGAAAAATCGAAGAGTTTGGAAATACGATGATGATGGATATTTTTTTTTTTTTGGTTCTGTTCACCTACACAAGACGTTGTTGTTGGAAATTTTATTCCCGGTCAGCAATGTGACATAATTGAAAAAAGAGGAAGTTATTGTGTACTTACCAGGTGAAGAATAGTGTTTACTACTTCCTTATTAGACACAGATTCGACTTTGATTAAGCCTATAAGAACTCCAAATTTGAGCGAAACATTTTCGCTGCCTTCGACAATGTTTTGCATTTTTTCACTGGCTTGAGCACGAGTCAGCTCTGCCCTTTTGAATGTTTCGATCGCTCCACTTACTTATAGAAAGATTTATTCACTTTTTTATGATACTAAATCCACTAAAACCATTTAATTTTCACAAAAATCATTCTCGAGAATTTTTTTTCTTCGTATTAAGAGAATTCTCATGGGCGTAGTTGCGTCCCCTCGAAGCATATTTTGCATCATTTGCTTAACTAGTTGAAATGCCCGCTTAAAAAACGAATGAAAACTGCAAGTTGTGAAGCTTTTTCCTCCTACTCTTCTTCAATAGTTGATTTGCGAAAGAAAGCATTGATTGACCGAAGATGATAGTTAGAACTATATAAATTTATGCCAATTGATTTCTTTAAAGACAACCTGTAATTATTGCAACTGAAAGAAATAAAATTTTCATAGACAACATTTAAGTTTTAATTATTGAAATTATCAACATGAGAAAAGAAAGAACAACAATGTTTTATTCTGCCAAGTTTTATTTAATTATATTCTTATGTAGGAGTTTTCTACTGCTTCACAACTGGCTTTTAACAGAGAAATAGTTCATGTTTGTTATTATTATGCTTTACTTAGCAATATGAAATTATGATTTAATGGAAAATATAAAAATAAAAATTAATCTCCTTCCTGCATCATGAAACATGTGAATTACCTATTTTAATTTACCAGATGATTTAGAATCACTCTATTTTAAAATTAATTCGCCAGTTACTATTTCAAAGACCATCTTTTGACGGAAGTAATGCATATGTTTCTGTTCAAAAGTTATTTTTGAATCACGACAAATAAATTCAGCAAACATGCAACTGAACACTCCACAGTCGCTACTGTTTTGTTGTTGGGGAATATCATATTTACTTATGGATTCAATACTCCAATCGCTTGTATCAAAGGCCACTTTCTTTTTATCCATTGATTCATCTTTCAAATATTGTTCTAAAGCCTGTAGTACAACGTTATTTGGATGCCCCATGGAGTCATAATAACGAATGGTTTTATTTCTCATGTGAATAATCGCCATACACCAATGCACACCTCCAACATGAACAGGAATGGGAATAATGTCATGAGCAAAAATATCAACTTTTCTTGTCCATCGACGAACACCCGAGTATCCCATTTTCAATAGTTGTCCAATAAAAAATGTGTTCATCACATGAACTTTCGGTAGATATTCAACTTTCTGACTTCGTTCTTTGATAAGTTCCATGTAAAAGTTTATAACTTCGTCATTGAGCCAATTTAGTCCATCGAGTGTGTGGAGATCTAGGCGAGTTATGTTCATGTTGAATTTACTAATTAAGACCTAAAGAAAAAAGAAATAATTAAAATAATTAATCATTTTTTATATTAATAAATTAACTCACTTCATCACGTGGACCATGAAGTCCAAATTGAATAGTTTGAAGCTCACGACGTGAAAGAGCTGGAAATTCATCTGCAACATCATCCTCTTCATCAATAATGATGCATTTATCGAGAGATGTTATAGCTTCGTCAAGACGTCGTTGAAGAAGTTTTTCATGTTCTGTTGTATCTTTGGAGATTCGAGATAATCTTCAAATAAAAAAATAGTTAAATGCATTTGATGAAAATGATGAATTAAAATATTTATTACTCATTTATTTCTTCTTGGATTCGAGAATCCTTTTCCTTCTTCTTCTTAGTATAACTATCAATGATGTTTTGAATAACGTCATCTTGCATACAATCGCGAATTCCTTGTCGTTCCTTTAAAGAGTTTACTGGTGTAATTTCAGGAATTTTCGTGGAAGTTCTGAACGAAGTTTGTGACTGATTGTTGTGATCAGAAACTCTGTTTCTGTCAATATAATCCTTTTTCCTATCATTGAAACGAGTTGAAGACAAGACATCACTTCCAAATGGCTCATTTTCATCGTCGCTCAACTCAAAATATGCTTCAGGCTTTTTAAAATCGAAAGAATTTCTGATACTTGAAAAACGTCGCAATTCTGGTGGTTCTCGTTTTGTGATATGACCACCGCTTGTCTCAGTATCATCTGATGACAAATCAACAGTTGCTATCGGCTCAGCAAGCGCTTTCATCTGTTTCTTCATTGACGATTTTTGTGTGTCTGAAATTTTTTCTTTTCAAATTGAAAATTATTGAAAATAAATATTTTTTTAAAAATTCTAAACTCACTTTTAAACTGGAAATCTGATGTTACTGTTCTAAGTAAATTTTCATATTTTTTCTTGATTTCTAGATCGTGATTTCGCGATAAAACTGAACCTGAAAACTTAAAATTTGGAGAGTCATTGATTGCCTGATGAAAGAATAGAAAAAGAAATTAATTTAGGTAAATAGAGCCATGTGCGAACCGCCACGATGTGGCGTCAATATTTACCCGATTTCTCTTCTTAAAGTCGAATATTGAACGTTCTCTACGTTGAACATTGTTGTTACGGATACCATAGCCATTAGAGTTAAATCCGTTAGCAACATTTATTTCTGTACTATTAGCAATCGGTACAAGTTCAGGCATTTCACGAGACTTCAAAACTTCAAAAGGATTTGAAAAGAAACTTTCACGATTCTTTCGATATGACGATTCACTTTTCTGTTGTTGTTGTTCTTGAATGAAATTATATGACATTGGAGTTTGATTTGATGATGATTGACGAAATGTATAATTGTAGCTGGAAGTTGTGGGTTGTGCATTTGTTATACGTCGCGTCTCTCTTTTTCGATATAAATCCTCCTACAAATAAAGAAGAAATTTTAAGATCACAGAAAGAAATTCCTGAAAGCAACAACAAAATGTTCACCTCATCGGAAAATTCTTCGCCACTCAATTCAAGCATTTGCTTCTGTTGCTGTTTCTGATGTTCCATCACGTAATCTTCCAAATATTCGTTGTACTTTTCTTGCGAAAGTTTCACTTTTTGATAAGGATCATCTGGAGTTAAATGAGGAAAAGAAAAAATTAAAATGGGATTTTTATTTACTTCACTTTAAGACTTTTTTTCATTTCTTTTTTTTGCACCAATACACACAAAGCTAATGAGCAAATATTTTCTCTGGTGTATGGAACTAAGAAAATTCAGCATGAAATTTAAATAAAGCTAATGAGCAGCTTATCCTGTTTTAACTCACCATCAGCACGTTGTGGATAAGTTCGAGGGAAGTGATTTGAAACACGACGATATTTAGGAATTGGCGGGCCTTCTGTGTTTACAGCTTCGGATCTTGAAGAAAATTTCACACAATTAGTTATAGACTTAACAATAGCATTTTTAACAATCCTAAATGATGTTCAAAATGCTCATAGACTTATTTTAAATACATCACAACCATTGATTTAGCGTTATCTTATTTATTTTCCTAGACATTTTAAGAAAAGTATTTTTTACCTTCGTTTTCTAATTGAAGTCTGATTTAGAAGGTTTCTTAAGAAATCAAATAACTGCGACATTACAAAACAAAACTGGCAAGGCTAATTTGGTTTATAAATTTACTGATAAATGCATATTCTTTTAACTTTAAAAAAAATGCCGTAAGATGTGAGAAGTTTCTCCCTAAGTTTGATGTGCGGGGTGATGAACTTTTTCTGCATCAATGATGCAATTTCCGCCAAGAATTCGTTTTGTGTTTGCATCAATTCATTCTATGAAAGATCATTAATTTTTTATTTATAAAACAAATCTCATTATAGTTAATTTGCGTGCTTTTCGCTTATTTCAATATGTTTAATTAATATAACGGAATATGTTTGTAGACTGTGAACTTGTGAAAAGTGCTTAAATTATTCAAAAGGAAAATAAGAAAAGATTGCGTGCAACAGAGAAAGCATTTAAACTAAAGAAAGAAATGTAAATTTAATAACATCCCACAACTTTAAATCAATCATAAAATGAGTCTAAATAACAATGAGCCGTTCCATCAGCTTGATGAAGAACGTAAAAGAAGGTAAATAGAATTTGATCTTTATGAATTTCATTCTTTCAAAGAGGATGTTTAGCAAGTAACACCGAAGACGAAAGAAAAAGTATATTAGTCATCGTAATAACAAGCGAAGAACAAAATCACTTGTTTGCTTTACACTCTACTTATAATGGCGTTCAGTGATTTCATCTAAAAATATCGATCACTTATATCCAGAACTCATTTCCCTGTAATAAAGATCGTGATAAAAATGAAAAGAATTCACTGGAACTTTCATGATTCGCCTTTATATCTCACAAATGTATTATTTACTTATTTCTTTTGAACTTTTAGGGAATTACCTTATCAATTTTACAGCTTAACCAAATCTTTTTTTATTATTTTTCAAATCGTTGTAAACATGAACAAAATTAATTTATTAATTCTATTTATATGTTGATCGTAGACTGTTGGAATTGGAACAGCGAATTCGGGAACCAGGCAGTATTGCTTGTGTTGATAGTCTCTTAGACACAGTGACAGCTCTGATTGCTGATTGTAGTCTCGATCCCGTAAAGCAGCTGAAAAATATTGAAGCATATACAAGCAGATGTGAGTGGTTTTTCTTTTCTTTGTTCTGTGACTGACTTAAAGTAAATTCTTATTTATTATTTTTGTTATTGTTATTATTATTCATCAGACACGAACCTTGCCAATGAGATCATTGGGCTTCGTATGAAACCTGACGACTTCGATGTCATCAAATTAATTGGTCGTGGTGCTTTTGGTGAAGTTCAACTTGTTCGTCATGTTTCGTCGAAGAAAGTTTATGCTATGAAACGTCTTAGTAAAGTGAGGATGATCAAACGACCAGATTCAGCTTTCTTTTGGGAAGAACGTTTCATCATGGCACATGCTAATTCTGATTGGATTGTTAAACTTCATTATGCTTTTCAAGATAATAAATATCTTTACATGATTATGGATTACATGCCGGGTAAGTGAAGCAATGTTTAAGATAAAATGAAATGTTTTTTATAACTTTCAAATATTCTAGGTGGTGATATCGTTGGGCTTATGGCTCTATACGAAATACCAGAAAAATGGGCCATATTTTATACAATGGAAGTTGTATTAGCACTTGATACCATTCACAACATGGGCTTTGTTCATCGAGATGTTAAACCAGATAACATGCTTTTGGATAAATTTGGGCATTTAAAGCTTACTGATTTTGGAACGTGTATGGCAATGGATGACGATGGTCTTGTGAGATCGAATAGTGCTGTTGGAACACCTGATTACATCTCACCTGAAGTGTTGAAAGGTGATGGAGGAATTTATGGTCGAGAATGTGATTGGTGGTCAGTTGGAATTTTTCTTTATGAAATGTTAGTTGGTGACACTCCATTTTATGCTGATTCGCTTGTTGGAACGTATGGGAAAATCTTTGACTTTAAAAATTCTTTGAAATTCCCACAAGAAGTTGAATTAAGTCAGAATGCAAAATCGCTTATTAAAGCTTTTCTAACTGATCAACATCATCGATTAGGGCGAAGTGGAATTGAAGATATTAAACGTCATCCATTCTTTGAAAATGATCAATGGACTTGGGATAATTTACGTGAATCAGTACCGCCTGTAGTGCCTGAATTAAGTAGTGATGATGATACAAGAAACTTTGAAGATATTGAAGAGGAAACGAATGATGGAAAGGAAGAAGTTTTCGCTGCATCAACAGCTTTCGCTGGAAATCATTTGCCATTTATTGGATTCACTTACACAAGCGATTATCAGCTTCTAAATAGCAGCGGAAAAGATATTGTTGACAGTAATGGAACAACATCATCAACAACGTCGAGTGGACGTTTACATAATCACGTTCATCGTCCATCAAATAGTGCTGAGATAATGAAACTTGAAGCAGCATTACAACGTGAATTAAGCACAAAAGAAATGTTGGAAAAGCAGGAAAAGAATTTACGACAACAAATCGAAGTCATCACACAAAGAGAAATGGAAATTCGTAATTTAGCGAACAGTCACGAGAAGGAACTTGCAATGCTTAAACATAACTTCCGAGAGGCTCAAAGAAAAGCTGAAAATGAACTTGAATTACGTCGAAAGACTGAATCGGTTTTGAATGAAACTAAAAAACGTCTTGAAGATGAACAAAATAAAAGAAAACGTGAGTTAAATAGCAGTCAACAACATAATGATAAGATCAACATGCTAGAGAAGCAACTTGGAGATTTTCAAGAAAAATACAAAACGGAAACTGAAAACAGTCAAAAATTGAAGAAACAAGTTGCTGAACTTCGATTAGCAAAGAGTGACATGGAGCAGAAAACTGAAGAATTGCAATCGATTCTCACTGGATTACAAGCACAACGCGATGTTCTTCAACAAGAAGTTGCTGACTTAGAAACACGATTAGCTCAAGAACGAACAGCAAGAGCACAAGGAGTCGAACTTCAGAAAGAACTTGAAGGTAAAATTATCACAATTCATGCTGATTTAGAACGTTGTGTGACACGCGAGATGAAAGCTATTGAAGACAATCGATGTTTAAGCGAGAAAATCTCTGATTTGGAAAAGGAAAATGCTTCAGTTGAACTTGAATTAAAAGCTGTTCAAAATCGATATCAACAAGAATTGAAAACACGTCAAGAGATTGAGAAGTCACAATTGGTTAGCAGAGATGATACAAGTATGCAAGAAGTGAAAGCATTACAAGCGAAACTCAATGAAGAGAAGTTAGCAAGGCAAAAATCCGATCAAGTATCACAAGAGAAAGAACGACAAATTTCAATGTTGTCAGTTGATTATCGACAAATTCAGCAACGTTTACAGAAACTTGAAGGCGAATATCGACAAGAGACTGAAAAAGTTGGAGTCTTACATAGTCAGTTGGAGCAAGAACAAAGCAAGAAGTCTTCGTTGTTATCTGAGTTCAGTCTTCAAAGTTCAGAAGTCGCGCATTTGAAAGCTCGAGAAATTCAGTTGGTGAAGGAAGTTCAACAACTACGTGAAATGAAGAAAAAGTTTGAAGAAGATATGTCGAGAGTGAAAAATGCTCATAATGCTGATATTCTACAAATGAAAGAGCTTCAAGATCAACTTGAGGCTGAACAATATTTCTCACGTCTCTACAAAACTCAAAGCAGTGAACTTCGTGAAGAAATGGATGAAAAATCAAGAGAAATTCAAGATTTGGAAGAAGAGAAATCTTCAATGCTACATCAACTTCAATTAGCAGCAGCACGTGCTGATTCAGAAGCATTGGCAAGATCAATTGCTGAAGAGACAGTTGCTGATCTCGAGAAAGAAAAAACATTGAAAGAACTTGAACTCAAAGATTTAATTGCTAAACATCGTAATGATATTGCAGCTAAAGAATCACAAATGCAGACACTTCGTGACACTGAAAATGAACTCAATGCTAAACTCACGATAAAAATAAGTGAACTTGAAGAAATGATGAGTCAATCAAAGAAACTTCAAGATGATTTAACAAAAGCGAAATCAGATCAAACAGAAATTGAGAAGCTTCAAGCAAAACTGAAAAATGAAACATTGCTCAAACAGACAGCTGTGAATAAACTCGCTGAAATTATGAATCGTCGTGATGGGGTGATACCTGGAAAACAAAAAACAAAAGGAAGTGCCAGTTCAAGTGCCGAACTTAAGAAGAAAGAAAAGGAAAGTCGACGACTTCAATTGGAGCTGACACAAGAAAGAGATAAATTCAATCAATTAATGCAGAAATATCAGGATATTCAGAATCTTCTGCTTGAAGAGCGACAAGTGAGTTTAAAAATATTTTTTTCTTACAATTTTCGAAATGTTGATGTTCGAAAATAAATTTCGAAATTCTAATTCAAATTATTACTAAACCGTTAAATATTTAATTTATTTCAATAGTCAAAAATGAAACTTCAAATGGAGAATGATTGCAAAGCAACAGAAATTGAACATCTTCAGATGAAGCTCAACGAGACAGCATCGTTGTCATCAGCTGACAATGATGCAACAGAGGAAGGTCAAGATACGATCTTTGAAGGATGGCTGCATGTGCCAAACAAACAAAACATTCGTCGACATGGGTGGAAAAAGCAATATGTTGTTGTTTCATCTCGTCGTATCATCTTCTATAATTCCGAACAAGAGAAACAAAATCGTGATTCGAATTTAATCTTGGATTTGAGGTAAATATTTTAGGATTTAATAAAACAGATTAAATTTAAATCTTTATTCAAAATACAGCAAAGTATTCCACGTTCGTTCTGTCACACAAGGCGATGTGATACGTGCCGATGCCAAAGAAATTCCAAGAATTTTCCAATTACTTTATGCTGGCGAAGGTGAAGCACGAAAGCCTGACGAACAGAATCTTGATATGTCGATGAAAAATCAAGATGAATTAAGGCCTGGAAATACAATTTTCAAAGGACATGAGTTTGTTCAAATCAGTTATCACATGCCAACAACATGTGAAGTTTGCCCGAAGCCATTGTGGCATATGTTTAGACCGCCAGCCGCTTATGAATGCAAAAGGTGGAATTATTTAACTTTTAATTTCGTTTAATAGTCAGTAAACAATTTTTCAATCCTCTCAGGTGCCGAATAAAAGTCCACAAAGATCACATTGACAATAATGATCCACTTGCGCCTTGCAAGTTGCATCATGATCCAAATAGTGCTCGTGATATGCTTCTGCTTGCCTCATCACCAGAAGATCAAAACAAATGGGTGTCGCGTCTTTCAAAGCGAATCCAAAAATCAGGTTACAAGGCAAATTCTACTTCTAACAATTTGAATAACACAATTTCATCTGGTGATGGTCCAAAAATATCGCCAAGGTAAGACGATTAACATGAAATTAATGATGGATATTGCACGATAAATTCTTATTATTAACATTCAAATTCTTTACTTCAAACTAATTTTCCAACAGTCAATCGACACGCTCAACTTATAAGCCGTATGCTGCTAATAACTTACAAAAATCTGCCACACTACCAGCCAATTCATCACTGAACAAACAACAGACTTCCTGAGACAATAATTGATAACATTGACATAATCACTTTCAATTTCTCATGCGTGGGTGGATGAAAAAAAAAAGTTCAGTGAAATGAATAGAAAGTTTTAGAAGCTGGCTGACTAATTAACTTACATCTTGTTGTACTTTTAGTTTTGTCCAACAAGTCAAATTTTATCTATGTTAATTCTAAATAACAAAAACTAATCTTTATATCTATCACTGACTTTTCTTCTTTTATTTTTCATCTGAATCTTTTCTTTCTTATTTTACAAAATCCGTCATTTTATTAATCTTCACGTGAACATTTTCCATTGTAAGTTCAATTCAATATTTTTATGAGTTTTCTTAAAAGTGTAAATAGAATTTAGAAGTTTGAATTTTAAAGAATAATTTTTGAAAAAACACGGAGAGGAATTTTTGATGTTTAAATTTTGATTGAGAGACGAAGACATTCCGATTAAGTATCACATCCATTTTAATAGCAGATAATTTTCTTTTGTTCAATGGAAAAACCAGCAGCTTATTTATAAACAGAAGGAACCAAGTACATTATTTCTAATTTAAAAAAAGAGTTTTCATACTTAAAAATCTTTTTAAAATGAAGCTCAACAACGATTGTCATAAGAAAAGAAAAATTTAATTTCTAAGACGAAAAAATCCATCAGACTTATTAAGGAAGAAGTAACATTTAAGTGCCTTTATTACGTTTTAAAGAATCGAAAACAATAAATCATCTTAATCAAGAAATAAAATAAAATTTGTTATTTTTATAAAATCTTTGTGTCGTTTTTTGATAAAATTTCGAAGAAGAATTTTTGATAAAATTAAATTTTACTCGTAAGAATTGTAGCAACATTTTAAGATTTTGTAAATAAAAATTGAAAATTATTACCTAATTCATTGTTTAGTTACGGAATAATTTGTTCCTATTGGGTAACTTATGTGATTTACAATATATTCCAACCGCTCAACCTTATCTATCCACTCTTCATTCTCGCTGATTAAATCCGAAATTTTTAGGTCTAAATTTTCTATTTGTCTAATTTTCGTGTCAAGTTCTTCAGAAATTTGAAGCAACCGTTCTTCTTGAATCATGCCTCTCTTTATCAGCTCTTCATTCTTGCTGGTTAAATTTGTTACTTTTAGATTTAGATTTTCTGTTTCTCTGATATTCGTAGCAAGTTCTTCAGTAATTTCATTTAACCGTTCTTCTTGAATCATGCCTCTCTTTATCAACTCTTCATTATCGCTGGTTAAATTCGTTACTTTTAGATTTAGGCTTTCTGTTTCCATAATATTCATTTCAAGATCCTCAGTAATTTCAATCAACCGTTCTTCTTGAATTCTATCACCTAATGGAGTACAAAAAACATCAACAACTACTAAAACTCTGTACATATTTTGAGGCGTTTCCGCTTTATCATTAATGCAAACATTTTGGTTCATTTTCAGAAAATCCAAGTTTAATGATCCGAAAATATTTATGGATAGCCTTTTGATTTGGTTGAAATTTAAATTGATTCCTTTCACAGCTGGTGTAAATTGGAATACATCTTTTTCGAGGGTTTCTAATTGATTACTATCAACTATCAGATACTCTAAATTTGGAAATTGTTGCAACTCGAAAGCACGAATTGTTTTCATTTGAGTGTGTCTCATTTGAAAAACTTCTATGTTTGGGAAAAACTTGTCGATGTCTAATGGAATTTCCGTCAACCACGCATATCGTTCGATTATGAGCATAGCTAAATCCTCATTGGTTTGTTCTTCCATGTGCTCCCCAGTAACTTCTGTGACATTCATGTTCTCTATCTCACCAGATAGTGTTGCAAAACAGATATAATATATTCCAACTGCATCAATCAATCCACCAGCATTGAAAGTTGTCGACACAAAATCGCAATCAATTTCCATAGATTCTGTAATCTGTAGGAAATTAATCGTAATAACCAGTACTAAAGTTACAACCAAAGTCTTCTTCCTTTAAATTTAATTTTAATTAATTGCATACAATTGAAAAAGAAAATTGAAAAGGAAAGTTCTCACATTCTGACTAGTTCAACTGAGCTCCACTGTTGAGTTTCATAAAAAGACTAATAAATGCGTGTTGTGTGTTTGTCCCTTTTATATCAAAATTTCTCCACAAAAATTATTTTTCCCTACCTAGTTATTCTAAGAAAAGATAAGGTGAGATTTTCCATTTCTTGTTATCTATCAAATTCAACAGTACTTCAAAAATAACAAGATTTACAACGATATGTCGCGGATTTCAAAGTTCAATAGTTTCATGATGGTTTATCAATAAATTTAAAACCAACGATATGATTTATACAGTTGAAAATGCTTTTTCTTTTCTTAAGAATTGAGTGGATGATAATGAAAAAAAGATAAGAAAACGCATTGCTGTTTCGTCAAGATAAAAATAGTTTAGCAATCAAAGGTTGTTTCAGTGAACATTACGCAAATGTAAACGATCAAGAGCGGAAAGAATTAACAAAAGATGAAAAATACCTAATTTCACAAACCATCAAAAGAACAATTAGGTAGGTGACTTTGTTTTAAAAGTTGTTAATAAAAAATTAAATGATATTTAAGCGTGATTATAAATTTGATTTGATCATCAGTATTTGTGTTTTGAATGGAATTTTATTTAGTTTTGGTTGGTAAAACGACTTGGATTGGGTGTTGAGTTTCGGACGATTTTTTTAATTTTGCGGTCATTTTGAGACTCTTATGTCTATACGTTTCACTTTCAGTCCTGTTCCCATAACATATGAAGGAGTTTCATACTTCACTTTTTTTAAGTCAATTATTGACTCATCTTATATACAATATTTGCCGATAGAAATTTCTTCAATTTTGGTAAAGCATGGATACGAGGAGATAGATAAAGTTAAATGTGAGGTTGTTTTTATTTATTTTATGGAAGTGTTTACAAATGTGTACATTTGGTAAACAAAATACAAAATAAAAAGTTAATTTTTTTTTATTAAGGGGAAGGGTGTACCGGGAGAGGGCGCTGAGAGCGGCAGTATACGACGGACGACGGTAGTAGACGGACGCATGCGAACAAATAGCTTCATGATGGTTGATCAATAAATTTGTAACTAACTCGATATCATTTATACAGTTGAAAATTCTTTTTGTTTTCTCCAGAATTGAGTTTATAACAAAAAGAAAAAATAAAAAGTTCTGATTTAGATATTTACGAACATTTAATATGAAAAGTTGTTTTTTCTCTTAAAATATGTCTAAATTGAGTTCCAATAATAATTATATTTATATCCATTCCTTCCCGATTGCTTTAAACATTCGGGCGAGGGTCTTTGTAGTTCCTAACTTAGACATGATGATAAACATTACTTTTTACTTTATTTGATTGCTGTTCAGTCGAGATAAAAAATAGTTTACTACTCAAACGTTCTTTCATCAAACACAATGCAAGTTTACACGACCATTAGCGAAAAGAATAAACAAAAGATGAAAAATAATTTCACAAACCATCAAAAGAACAATTAGGTAGGTCGCTTTGTTTTAAAAAGCTGTTAAAAATAATTAATAAAATTAGGCGAGAATAGAATTATACGAGTGATTATAATTTAGATTTTCATAATTTTGATTTGATCATGAGTGGATGCACGAAAGCTGTAGCTAAACGTAGTGATTTATAGATATAAAAAATCTTTTATTTATCATTTTGTTTTAAGTTAGTTCATTTTTACTTCTCCCTTACTAATTTTTCAATGTCGCTTAAGAAAATGAAGTTATACTTGTTAGACATTATAAACTTGAACCCAACCCAATGAAGATATTTTTTGTGACTTGTTTAACGTCTGTGTAAGTTGCCAAAAATTTGCTGATTCAAGTCAGAAACACTGAATAATGGTCGACGAAAATGAGCTTGAAATGATGAAACTAAATCAGGAATTGCTGACGTTGAAGCCCTAATAGCTCTAGCAGCATGTTCACGAGCCATTCTTGCATGTTGTTGAATTCTTTCCATGTTTTCTGTGTTAGTTCTGTTCATGTTACGCATTTGCTCTTCGAATTGCCGTCTCTGTTCACTAAATTGTTGCCTTTGTTCATCAAAATGATGACGACGCTGCTCATTAAAACTGTGTGCACGATGATGTGTATTTGGACGCCAATGACGTCTGAAACTGTGTGAATGATGTTGACCATTGCTATTTCCGGAAAACGATTGACTCTCAAAACCTTCACCATTAACATTAGTGAACGAATAACTTGAAGCAGAAGCCGAAGGTCCTTGGGGATTTCGTTGATCTTTTTCATTGTTATTTGATTCTGTTTCGTCATCGGATGAGTCAGAAATTACAATGCGATTTGTCTCTGTTTGTTCTTTCTTATCCGACGAACCTCGTAAATCGATTGTCAGTGTTTCATTTGATTTTGCAGTCAGATTTTCATCTTGAACTGTTACAACTTCTTCACCAGATGCATCGATTGATTGAGAAGTTTCTTTAATTGATTCATCGTCTATGATCTGAATTTCATTTTCATTTTTGTTAATATTTTCATCTTCTGATAGTGGTTTGATTATATCTACGCTGATAATGTTAACATTTGGACTCTTTCTTCCAGCAGATGTGGAAGGGCCTGCATCAAATAAATCCTGTTCAGGAATATTGTTGCTTGAAGAGTTTTTTGAATTTGTTACAGAAGAAACGTTGCCAACAAAACTTAAGTCATCATCGTCATCATCATCAGTTTCCATCGATGATGAATCAGAACTCAACACAATATTTTCAAATTGCTTTCGAATTCTTTTAGAACTTTCAATACTTTCATCATAAATTTGTGACAATGATCGTTTTCGAGAAAGTTCTTGTTCTGTTTCAGGACGAAAATCAAATATGACTTTATGACAAGCACTTTCTTCCATAAAAAACTTCAAGTCGTCATCACAAGTGATTCTAATTTTATCGTTTTCCAAGTCTGTTGAGGAAAGAATGATTAAAGAAAATTTTCGATTATGAAATTGCTGACAGCTATGGCGAATATTTTTATTGTCTCTGACTCACCAAACCAATAAATTTGAGGATCTTCATTTTGCAACAATGGACATCTATTAAAAGTTAAATATGTTTATAAACAAAGTTCAATAATGATGAAATAATGTCGTAAACTGTGAAAACTTCGATCATTTACCTCAAGAAAACTTTGTTTTTTAAAGTTTCCAATTCTTCATTGAAACTAAGTCGAATGCAATAAATTTCATCATTTTGTAATTGTTTGGAGTTTTTCAAATATACTTTAAGGACTTTTAACATCTTTAAGAAGTGAATGAATTAAAAATATGACTAAACTTTGCTACCAAACTTTTCTGATGCGTAAAATATTATGAACTGAATCGAAAATGATTGTAAAGAAATTCAATTCGACCAACAATGAAAAAAAATTTGTTTAGCATGTGTGACATGTTTGGCGAATAAATCCTGTTTAAAGGGGTGTGCAAGATCAGCTGACCGAAGTAAACATATGAAAAAGTTTCGAGTTAAGTCAGTCGCACCCCACCACTCAACGATAGAGAACGTCGAGATTTTTAAGAACCAAAAATATAATACAAAATCAAAGCCAAAATGGCATATGCAGTTAATCAAAATCTGGCAATGACACGAGATACTTTCAAAGTTACTTTAATAATCGACGATACAGTCGAAAACTTCTACATTAAAATGAAGATCAATTCTGTATCGAAATTTGGTAAGTTTTGATTTTTAAAATTTTTATCTATAAATTTTATTTTGTTTCATCATCAGACATTGAACATCCCTTGATCAAGTTTAAGAACATGGTTTTCAAGCGTAATCCAAATGTTAATACACCAAACTTGAAGGTTTACTGGATAGGTGAGTCGAGTTTTCAAATGTTTGTTAATTTCATAATATTCCGGACATTTTTCATAAACAAAGTTTTTGCGTCGTAATGAAAAAAGAATGACTCATGTTCTAGATTTTGTTGTTATGCCAAGGCTCACAAAATCAATGAATTTAATTCATTTATGAATTAAAAATCTTTTTTTAATTTAAACAGATGCGGAAAATGATAAAATTTTAATCAGTTGTGAAGAAGATTTCCAAATGTATCTTGAACAAGGTCATGGTAAGAAAATCTTCTTCAATGCATCGACCGTTCTTCCTAAACCACCAATTGAGGATGATGAGGAAGTTCCCATGGAAGCTGAGGAGTCGACTTCTTATAAAAAGACTAAATTAGATCGAAAGGCAAAGAAAATGTTTGTAACTTTATATTTAACGACTCTTCATCCCCCCACCATCTTAATTTATTATTTATTTAACAGAGCTCGTGAAGAAGAGAGAAAAGAAGAGAGACAAAAACGAATTGCAAAGCGTTTGGTTGAGAAAATGAAACAAGCTGAGGACAAGTTGCGTCATGAAGAAGAACGTCATCAACGACATCCAGAAAAATTGGAACGTAAAACCGCAGAACGTTTGGAACGAGCTAAGAAGCGTTATGAACAATTTCGTCAACTTATTACAGCTTCGATGGATCCAGCAAACTTGAGCGCAGCTGCTGAAGTTATGAATAACTTTGCACCTTCAACTTCAACTGCTCCAACTTCTGAAAATGTTGATTCTATGGCAATGATGCATCCATCGGCAGAAACTATTCGTTTGTTGAGTTCAGCAATTGCTGGATGTTTACAGCCTTGCAATTTGATCAATAAAATTCTAAATGAAATTATTGGAATGGTTCCACAGCCATCTGGAGGTGAAGATTCGAGCGGATCTTCAGCACCTCAAACAAGTTCTGATCAACAACAACAAACTGAAGTTCCAAAGCAAAACACGGCAACAAACACTTCTGATTTAAATAGTCCAGCAACTGGTCATCCATCAAACGAAGAAATTGAAGCGCTTTTCAAAGAAGCAGCAAAGGAATTGGAAAAAATGAATGAAATCGTCAATAATGGAAAAATGAGTGAAAGTTTTGCTTCACTCGCTTCATCTTCGACAACGACTGGTGAAACACAAATCGAAAAGACTTTTACAAACATCACTGACTCTGCTATTTCCAATGCAACTGTTATTAACGCTCCAATGTCTGTTGAAGAGAAGAATGACCAAGGTGAAGGTGATGATTTAATGTCATTTACGCAAGCACGTTCGCGTGAATCTTCAATTGAAGTTCATGACATAAATTCAATGATCAGCGAAGATTCTCGAGATTGGACAATGTTGGATGCGCCTGGTGGTGATGATGTTGATGTCACCATAAGTGATGATGCTGCTGAAGAAGAAGCAGTTCAAAATGTTGCTGAAACAGAAGCAACTCAAATTGTCGCTGAAGAAATTCCTGAAAAACCATCAACTGGCGCAATTCCAAAGAAGATTGAACCAACTAAAGATGAATCCATCAAGACAGCTTCAGTTTCTATCGAGACTCAAACTCAATCATCTCTTATGATTGATGCTGAGAAGTCTCAAGCTGCTTCAATCCATAAATCAATTCAAACGGCTGAACAAATCAATGAAATTGTCAAAGACTCAATTGCTACAGCTCAAGCGGCAATTAAATCAATTCCAACTCAAGTTGAAGAGCCACAACAAGCTGTACAAGTTGAAGTTGCAGCTGCAGCTCCGATTAAAGTTGAAACTGCTCCGAAACCAGCTGCTCGTGGGCCTCTAATTTTGAACATGAAAGAAACAAATCCAGCAAATTTGAGGGCTACACGTAACTCAAGTGTTGCAGCTAAACCTGCTTCTCGTCCAACTTCCAGCTCTGTTGGACCTGCTGTCATTGTCTACGATGCTAATCCGAAGATTAATGCTGCAGTTCATCAAATGATGAACATGGGATTCTCTAATGAAGGTAATGTTGTGACTCACAATCAATTTATTGATAAGAAATTTGATAAATATTTATTGTTTCTACTGACAGAAGGATGGCTGACTCAACTATTGATAAATGTCGATGGCGATGTTGCCAAAGCCATCAATTTCTTGACCCCACAACCTAAGAACATCCGAAAACCTTAAATTGGACACGAAACCAGATGCAACAATTCTGAAAATTGGTGATGGGATTTTATCTAAAACAATTTAAATTTATTTACGATTGAAAGAAATTTTAAATTAATTGACATGTCAAAATTCTTATTGGGTGGAAAGAAAGTTTATATAAAATAAAATATTCTAATTGTTAGCAGCAGAAAGAATTACTTTTTGAAGGATCTTGTTTGCATCATCGACATGATTGTGTTCTTCATTTGTTCGCAATCTTTCAATTCGATTTCGTATTGTTGAATCTTTTCTTGCTTTTGAACGATTTCATTTTCATGCATTTTGACAAGTTCGTGCAGTCTTTGAATTTCTCGACTGGCATTGGCGTTTTTCTGATCGAATTTCTTCTGTTCTTTCACTAAAAGTTCAGCCAGTTCTTCGTCTTTAAGCTTTTTCTCATTTTCTAAACTCTTTTTCAATTCCGAGATGCGAGTTTCCTAATGAAAAAGAAAAGATTAATTAGATAAATGAAATTGAAACTCCACAATCAAACTTACATTTTCCTTTTGAATAACGTGAACCTTCGCCTTCATATCATGCAACTTCAATTCAACCTGCGCTTTGTCGATCTTAATTTCTTTAAAGATTGAAAAACTTTAATTAAAATTCTGTAATAACTTAAATTAATTAAAAACTTCTTACGTTCTATCTCTTTAGCTTGAATCTTTATTTTCTTTTCGTTTTGAACTTTACTCATTTCTTCTTTGTCGATTCTTTGTTGGAAGGAACTCAGCGATGATTTTAAAGTTGTAATTTTTAATAAAAGTTCTTCATTTTCTTTAATTAATCTTCCGTTGTCTAAATGAAGACACCAATTGGCAAATTCTTGCTTTTCGGTGACTGTTTGATTGAAGACTATTTGTTGTTGAAGTTCAGCAACAGTTTTCATTGAAGCGTTGAGATTTGATTGAAGAGTCGCCAATGTATCATTCAAGTTTTCAATTTTTTGACGATAAAGTTGAATAATGTCAGGAATTCCGCCATTTCTTATCTCATCATTATCAAGTTTCTCATTTATTCTGCTAATCACTTCATGAAGTTCATCACGAAGTTTAACATCAATGAAATTAAAACTTTTCATTTCATTTTCACGACATTGCATTGAAATTGAAACTTCTTTTGATTGATTTCCATCAGCAATTTTTGCACCGCTTTTAGAAAGAAGTGAAATGACTTTTCTTTTTGGGAAGTTCTCAATGCTCATCAAATTAAAAATCTTTTCAAGAATGTCTTCGTTTCTCGTGAGATGAGCTTTTGCAACAAGTAATGGCAAGTAATCTAAATTCAAAGCAATGTTCCAAAGACCATAAAAACTTGACTCAGTCTTTGCAATGAAAGCTAAAGACGAAAGACAATGAATGAAGAGAAAAACTTCTTCATCATCGACGGTTGAAAGATTTGTTCGTTTCATGCTTTCGATGATTGCTTCAAAGTATTTAAGAATTTCGGAGAAATGAAGTTCACTCAGAATTTCCTTCCTCTTCAACGAAATTACTGCATTTAAAAGTGAATATTTCTGAGAAAGAAGATAAGGGATTGTTTGTAGTTAAAAATCTAGCAACATCTGCAATTTTTTTTTACCTGTTTGAAGCTGATCCTTTGTTGTGTTTCGTTATTTTCGGTAATAAAGAATTCGAGAATATTTTCTATAACAATCTCGGATGATTTTAAAGAACCTTCACATTCCACAAAGTTTGAGAGATAATTTAGGGCTTCGGCAGATTTTGAAATGTCGGCTGATAAGAATGCGACGTTAGTGAAGTTATTGAAATCTTCTTTTAATTCATTGTCGATCTTCAAAAGGATATTTAAATAATCGAAAATATTTTCAAAAAATATTTCTTTTCTAGAACTTTCTTCATCTGATTCTATCCTTTCAATTAGAACATCACATAAATTATTCAAATATTTTTGTAGACATTCTTTCTCACTTATTCTAAAGTCGAAATTGTTTTTTAAACCTTGAAAATGTTTAACGATATCCAAACTATGAGTTACTGGATTAATGTTGAAATCAATAATGCCAGCTTGAATATTTTTAATGCTCATCTTTAGAAAATATTCAAAATCACTTGGACTATATTCGTCTTCAAGAAGAATGAAGAATTTGAAACTAATAAGATCGTCAGAAAGATTCTGAATTTTCTGTTTCATTGCCGATGTTTTCACGACTCGTGCGATGAGATATTTTGCAGCATGATTGACAAGACATAGATTTGCAAGAATATAGAAACAAAGTCGATTCACTTCCTTGCTTTCGTTATGATTGATGTGATCTTTCAAAACTTCCACGATGTATTTCAAATTTCTTTCATCAAGTTCACTGCTGTAACTCAACATTTCGCGAATTATTTTTAGAACTTTGATTAGCTTCGATTCATTATCTCTTTCGATTTTAGCGATGCTACCGATGAGTAGTGGAAGGAATCGGAAGTCAGCAAGGATCATGTCATGAACTCTCACATTGTTTGATGTGATTGAAGTCAATAAAATGTCTAAGCAATTATCAAGTAATTCAGTTTTAAGATCAGACGATTGACATAATAAATGATATAAATTAGAGAAGAACTCTTGAAGATTGGCATCACCGGTGATATCAGAAAATTGCGACTGAATGGATTTTAATTTGTTCGACAGCACAACTTCGTCTGTATACGAAAGAAATTTTATGTTTTTAGCTTGTTTATTAAATTCCTTCAAATATTGTTGAACAAGCATTATTGTCACTTTTTTTTGCAGTTATTTAAGATCTATTTAAATTCAAAATTATATTCTTTTCTCAGAGTTTCTTTCTATTTCACTTATTATTATTTAGAAATTAATTTTTGTTATTTTTAAAATTTCCGTTAAGTTTCTTCAAATAATTTTCTTATTTTTATTTGTCAGTCTGTCATTTTGAAATGCTTCGCATCGTTATTTTTTTAGAATATCAGTTTAATCACCGCCAACTTCACCTAGCACAAATGTTGTTTTCACACCCTGCTCATGCATTTCGTCATTTCCGCGGACCGAATTCAGTTTTTCATACTAAACATGCAAATTCCATCAACGGCGAGATAATGCTCACTCTCCACCTGAAACTGCTTCCTGGAGAAGGCAGTTTCAGATGGAGAGTGTATAAAATCGACGTCACTGGTGCTTTTCATAGTAGTAGTGTAGTGTCAACAAAATTCAAACTTTTTCCTTTTCTTCAGTCAGTTTCAAACCGCGCTTGAAGAAAGAAGCAATAAAAATGTTGCTCATGTTAAGACAATAATAATAATTAATAAAGAAAGTTGAACGTTTTATACACACCTCACGGAATTCATTTTTTCTCTTTTATTTGCATCAGACGTGTGGGAAAAAGAAATAAAAATTATTTGATTGATTGGATGGAAAAATGTGAACTGTCGAGTGAAAGATTAAGTGAAAGAAATGCATTAGCTAAGATATTTAATATTTTTAATCGAAAAGATAAAGAAGAAATTTTTACAACGTGAAATAAGATCGTTTGGTGTAAAACAAAAAAGGAAATAAATATAAAAATGAAGTTCAGCATCGGATTGCTGTTAATATTATTGTTTTGGAAAGAAATAAATGCAGAAACGCGTCAAGCTGCATCGCCGAAAGTTAAACTTGCTATCAATAAATGTTGTCGCATTGGCGATGTGTTGAACAAAGATTTAAAATGTGATGCCGGAATTGGATCAAATAAATGGGCACCAAAAGTGTTTTTTCCCAAAAAACAAACTTTCTATGTCGAGACCGGCAGCTTGCCCAACTTCATGGTGACACAAGAAGAAGTTCGGCCATTGTGTAAGAACTTTGATCTTGTCAACAGCACTGAAGTTTTCATCGTTGGTAATGGATCACTTTACCTTTACGACAAACATATTTCGATCAATAAAATAGAAGATTATTGTGTTGATCAAGTGCTGAGTGTCGTCTGTCGTCGTGACAAAGAATCAGTGCCTGACAATATGGCTCTTATTGAGCTGACAAAATGCTGCGGCCCAAATCAAATTTACTATTATAATAGTAATGCAACTAACACGCCTTGCCAGACAATTAACAACTCAAATCCGTTATTCGGCCGCCCGCTAATCGAAGGTGTTTACGTTGACTTGACTTACAAATTTCCTGATTGCACTTCTAATGAGTTTGCTATCGCTGGCCCATTTCTAAGCGCTAATCACTATCCAGAAACGGGCGACGTGAGAACTGAGTCAGGAAAGGTTTTTCACCGCAATCAGTATTGTTTAGATCACGTACAAAGCGAAAGCTACGAAGGTGTTAAAATATTTACCTGCTCGGAGCATTACGCAATCTTACCGTCGATCACTAGTCAGCATCAGGATGATGCACGTTTCGCCATCTACTCAATAGGATTACTTATATCCGTTCTTTTTCTATTTGCAACACTTGCCGTGAGCTTTCTACTCATTTCAAATCATCACGTGCTACATTGGAGATGTCAAACGAATTACGTGATTTGTCTGCTGATTGGCGATCTTTTGCTCGCAATTACGCAATTAGCGGGAAGTAACATAACTGGAGCTTCGTGTGTTGTTATCGCACATCTCATGCACTTTTTCTTTCTTGCAACATTCTTTTGGCTTAACGCTATGAGTTTCAATATCTGGTGGACCTTCAGGTAAGTTCGATCGAGTGAAAGATTCGTAAAACCTTCAAGAAGGAATTCGAGCATTTATTTAATTTATTTTTCTTTTCTCATTTTCTACTCAATAACACAATTCGATAATCAAACCTTAGAAAAGCAAGCAAACAGGCAGACACGAGAAACAAAATTCTTGTTGTGAGTGAAGGGAGACAGATGCTCTGAATACCATCTGTTTAGCAATGTTTTTCATTTCGTTCCCTTCTTAATTCTCTTTTTTTTCTCTGTTAGTTATATTTTGTTCCGGCGACAATTTTAAAAACAACATTTTCTCCATTTTTCATACATTTTTATTTCTAAGAATGGATGTTGTCTTGTTAGGTACGGAATTCCATTTTAAAAGGAAAAAAGCAATCCCACATTGACCTTGAATTGCAGTTTCTTTCTTGGATTCAGTTTTTAGTCGCGTGTGCTTTGCTTAAAAAGCGATCAATTCGTCAAACGATGGTGGCTCGTAGAATTAGTTGTGCGATTTATGTTTCTAAAATTAAAAAACATTCAAAAGTGTTTCAAGATTAATCTTTTTGTTGCTGAAAAAAATGTTTGTGTCCGAACCATCATCAATAAGACAATACGAAATGTTTTTAAATTATTCCACTTTCGTAGCCAATACAACTTGACGCTTTTTTTCTTGTTGTGAGATGTAAATAAACTGTTATACTTGAGACGTCACAAAGAGTTATTACACAATGACATATTCGAATTAATTGATGATGGAAAAGGTTGCGCAAGTTAATGAATCTTGGGATAAACGTCGTTTACATTTCTTATATTTTTATTTATTTATCTTTCTTCGTAAATTCTTTTAAGTTGTGTGTGGATAACAACATCATCATCGACGAATCTCGCCCACGTCTTTCAGTTTCATTAAAGAAACTGCTTCTTAATTCAGAATACTTTTCAATCATTCATTACATGTCTCGTGTTTAAGTTGAAAACCTTGAAAGTTTTTTTTAAATACTATTTTTGTTTTTATTGAAAAGAAATTTAATGCGAAAGCAGAAAAAAAATTGTTTGGAATATTTTTAAACTGCTTTCGGGAACGCTTTCGTGCGCGATCAAATTTAAGAAATATGAGAGGCGTCTCATCAGATATGATGATGTGTTCCCAACTCTTTTTTCAATAAAAACCCATCCCCGATAAAAAAGAAATGAAAAGAAATAATAACAATGAAAGGAAAGAAATGAAGACAAGAATCTCATGAAACTCTCCCAAGCTTTCACTTTTTTTCGTCGCTTTGTTTTCTCTTAACATTTTTGACCTCGTCGAGTGGTTGCTTCAAGTGGCTTCAAGTGCTTGTTTGACCGACCATTTTTTATTTTGTTCAATATTTTCAAACTTCAATCTTGAATGCAAACGACGCATCGAAGCCTCAAAAAGTGTGAAATTCAATTAAATTTCCAATCAAGATTTGACAAGTCGCTAAGCCCTTTCCAATAAGTGTTTTTATTCAGATTGAAAAGCGTTTAAAATCGAGTAGAATCGACTCGTTTCCATAGCTCTAGCTATTCGACGATTCGCCTCTTTTCCATGCCTTCATGTTTTTATCGGAAATTGATGTTCATAAATTTTCATAAAATTACAATTCGTTGAGAACCCTTCTTGATTGTTTGTGCAATAAATTTATAGACATTTGAGAAAGTTTACAAGTTTTGTAACAATAGTTTGATTATCTAATGAGTGAGGCAAACTTTTTCGAATGCATTCATTGCAACATTATTTTAAACTTTTCCCACTTTATGCTTAATAAAACATAACGAATAGTGTAATGTAATTACCGATAATAACGAAAATCATGATTTATTGGTTGTTATCAAACTATTTTCATTTCTTTTTTCTACCCACATTACAGAGATTTCCGGCCCACATCAATGGAGAAAGGGCAAGAATTAGTTCGTTTGCGGATCTATGAAGTTTATGCATGGGGAATGCCAATTGTGATCACAGTCGTCGCAGCAATTCTTGATAATCTACCAGAAAGTTCGACTGAAAGATTTCTACGACCACGTTTCGGCGAAAACAAATGTTGGTTCTATGGTGAGTGTTTCCTTCTTTTTAATTTTTAATTTCCGGGAATTATCAAAGTTCTTCATTCCTTTAACTGCGCCTTTTCGTCGACATTTCGTACTTCGTAGAACTTTAACAAACAGACAGCTTTTTAGGGTAATAAATTTCATTTCTCCCCTAAATTTAAAACTGTTTTAGTCTTGCCCATTAATGTTTGCGAAATTTCTATCCGCACTATGTATGCAATTATTCCAGTAATTTGTATTTTCGCCCCAAATAAATATTCTTCGCCCTAACTTTATTCGTTTCGTATCTGAAAACAACAGCGAAAGGAAGAAAAAAAAATGAAATAAAATTCTTGAGTTTAATGTCTGTTTTATGTTTTTCTCCAAGCACGGGGAAACCATCAAACCTTCAAAACGAAGTCATAGTAACGATCGAACTTTTATATAAACGAAGTCATGGAAATAGAAAGATTTTCTATTAACTAAATGAAACTGGTTTTTTTTTGTTTTTTCTTCTGGCATCAACAACTTGGAGGTGAGACAATACGTAGACGAAGGCTAGAGATGAATTCCGATGATCGTTTAATATCATCGTTATCACTGTCGGTTTTAACGACGATGTTTGAGTTTCTTTTTCTTCTTCAAATCCTTGTTTATCATCTGACTAAAAGCGTCAATTAAAAAAACAGACATTCAAACTCTTGCTGTGCTTTGAGACGTCATTATTGCCTTCACAATGTTTAACATTTGTCTTCTTCTTCATTCTTTATCTTCATGGATTCACTTTTCAACATGATTATGGTTCGGATTGAAGAATTCTTTAGTTTTATGTTTTTAAATTTATCGAGGATTTTTAATGTATAAAAACCTGATAAATTGTAGGGTTTTGAAATTTAAATTTAATTCCCTCGAAATAATAAATTCATCAATTCATAAGAATTTCTTGCATAGAAAGAAAATTACATTATTTAATAAAGCAAAACGAACTAGCATCCTGCATAAAAAATAATAAAAAGAAGAAAACAAAACAGAAATTTCACATAAAATAAGATCATAAATTTTTCATTTCCCCTTTCGTGCGATGTTCTTGATAGATTTTTCTTTTAGTTTTGCTTTACTTTGTTATTTAACTTCATCATTTATAATTTTTTTTGGTTGGCTACAGGCAACATAAACAACACATTGCTGCTTACTCTGCGCATTGTTGTTGCTCGATATTCCCATCGCTTCTTCACATGACGGAAACATTCTTAGAAATCGTATTGCGATCGAGTTTTTTCTCGTTTTTGTTTACTTCTTTTTCGTTTTCGCTTTTCTTTCTTTCTTTTTTATGTCTTTGATTCGCTGTTCGGTTTGTTTGTGCGAATCTTGTTTTTCACCGTCATCAATTATTATATGTTCTCTCGTTTGATGGACATAGATTGGGCAAACATGATGTCTTTGGCTCTTCATTTCATTATGTTTCGTTTCTACTTTGTTCTCTTTTTTAACATTTCGATTAAAGTGTTAGTTTGTGTAGTCGGCGATGGGGTCATTAGCAACTTGATCGGTTATTCTTCTCTTGTCCATTTATAGACAATCTCTTTAAAAATATAAAAAAGTTGTCCCGCGAGGCGATTCTTGATTGCTTCTTCACTTTTAAATTGGATTCTTGTAGTGAGATGAGGCTGCTGTTATTGATGTTGATGATGATGATGAGCACTCAAGACAATTAACTTGTTCTAAGTGCCGAATGAAATTTATGAAAAAATGTTTAACAAATTATAAAAAAAATCGATAAGCAACGGAACTTTCATGCTACTTATTCACTTACTTACTCTGATTTATTTGATCGATTTATTTTCATATTTCGCGTATGATTTCCGGTCTTAAATAAAATTAATAGACTGCATACTCGACGAAGATTTAATGTTAGATTACGAATTACGATCCGCTCTCCATAACAACAACCATCTTAAAGTAGAGAAATCTTTTTCTTTTCTTTTTTTTTTATTTCATACAAGTAAGTATTTCGATTTCTTTTTCAATCGAATGAATTCACGTAGATATCTAGTTGAAATGGAAGGCATAGACACAATTTTGAAAGCATTAAACATCAGCAGCATTACCGTTTCATCTCTTCTTCTTCTTTTTCCTCCCATTTTTGCCTGTCGAGAAACCAAGCGTCTCGTTCCATTCAGAAACTGCTGCTTGCTTCTGTTGCTGTTTATTTAACAATTACTTTTGCTGTAAAATGAAATCTCTATAGTGAATACTTATTTCGTTTTTCGAGTTTCTAATTGGAGAAATTCTTATACTGCGATATCTACGGAAATGATGTGTGAACTATTGAGAAGTAATTAAATACATTTCATAACTTAATAATGGAACTGTTCTCTTAAGGCGATAGTGCAATGGCCTCAACAAATAAACAATAATGTTTGATGATTATCGGGGGTGGGAGATGACAATTCAGCCACAAGATTTGTGTATGTGTGTTTGTCAGTTTATTCGCTTTCTGTTTATGGTTTTGTGGCTGACAATCAAAGGACATAATAGGGAAAATTTATGAAGTTGGAAGATAAATAAATAAACAAAGAAGAAAGCAGCCAAGCAAACACACAATGCCGCTTATCAACATCGCTTTCTCATTTACTTTTATGCCAGATGATGTTAGATAAAAACTTCTCATAAGTGTACACAGAACAATTTAAGGTGTGAATGTGCATTTTAGAAAAGGTCAATGAAAAGCACATCACAAATCACATTCTGATCTCAATTCAACGATAAACATTTTCCATTTTCTTTCCATATTTATTGCGCTTCTCGTTTATTTTTTTATCTTTTTCTCGATGCTGCCCAACAAATTATCAACCAAACGAGCTGCTGCAAGCAATTAATTTGGATTTTTTCAGCTTTTTCGTTTAAAACTTCTTTTTTTTTTTGTTTAATTTAAGTAATTTAATGTGTGTGTGCTTTTGTGTTTACTTCCTTGTCATGACCCGGCTACCAAATCAACTTGTTTACTTTTCTTTTTCACGGAAAGCCGTAAATTAAAAATTATTGTTTTACAATTTTATTTTATGTGTTTTTTGACGGTGTTTAAATGTGCAAAAAGAAAACGAAAATACATCGCGAAAAAGTCGCTGATGTCTGCCAATTTTTTATAAATATCCACAACATCGCGAGTGTTTTCCACCGCTGTTTTTAAACAGTTTTTCCGTCTCGTTCAAAGCAAGTAATTTACGTAAGGAAAATTTATTTTGATCAAACGACGATTTAGTGTGTGGCTTCACATGTCATATCGTGAAATTTATTGTCGACATTTTTTTCCGAATTTCTCTCGATTTCATCGATTTAAGCGCAATGTATGTTATTAAACACTTAAATTTATGTATGACAATTTCCGCAATGAAAGTTTTCATGAACCCGGTTTTAAATTTCATTATTTGCAATTTTCGACACAAGTCGTTGTTGATCAGGTGAATCCAATCGCTCAAAATTTTGTAGCTTCTGTGACTGCGCCCAAAAGAAAGAAAACTTCTCAAACTCAACTTTTATTTTTTCGTATGACACCAATTTTTATTTTCACCGTTTCGCAACACAATCATGATTCATTCATTGGGATTTTTGTCTTCTTTCTCTCTCTTTCTTTATTATTTTTGCTGTCATCTTGTTCATCGTCGTCGATGTTTTTTGTTGTTCAGGGCTAGTTCGCAATTATAATTTCTCATGCATTAAATGTGACATTAAATAATTTCTTTTCTTCTTCTTTTGCAGGTGACATGGAAATATTCGCGTACTTTTTTGGTCCCATTGGGATTCTTCTGTGCGTGAATGTTATGCTATTTCTATCTACAGCACGCCAATTAACTTGTGGCTTGTGGAAGCGAGACGATGTAAAATCAACGACAGAACGGTAAGAGAAATGACTCTTGTTCTCGTAATTTCTTTCTTATTTCTATTCAGTTGCTACTCAAAATGTAAGAAAATAAAAACGAAGTCGTTTAATTATGTCTCGCTGTTCTTCTATTTTAATTTGAAGAAGTTGTAAAAAGGAAATAACAAAAATTAGCTTTCGTTTCAGAGCGGCATTGGGACGAGTTTGCCTGAAGCTGGTGATTGTAATGGGCGTAACATGGATTGTTGATGTTCTCTCATGGGCTGTCGGTGGACCGCATTATATTTGGTAATTAAATTCATTTAAAACGCTTTCAAAACAATAAATAATTATTCAAAATATTTTCATTACTTTTCCTTCGCAGGTACTTCAGTGACATCGTAAACTCGTTACAAGGTTTGTTCATCTTTATTGTTGTCGGATGTCAGCCTCAGGTAAGAAGTGTTGAAAATTTCTTCTACATTTTCGGACGAGAAACTTCAAATTTCTCTTCTTTAAACAATTGTTGAATGTTTTGTTTGCATTTTAAAAAGTTTTGTTCCATCTCATGTTTATTTAACAGGTGTGGTCCGCCTTAAAACGCTTGTGGTCATCACGATCAAGTGATCATCGGATGACAGGAACAACCAACGGTCCACAACATTCAATATCATCGCATGGTATTCCATCAATGGACGCCAGTGTTACCAACAACACAACAACTAACTCCAAAGTCGTGCCAGTCGAGACGATGTGTTAATTACTTTACAACAAAAGAAGAAGTTTCATGGAAAAGGTTCAATACTCGAACGAAACTGAAGAACGACTCCAAGTGACGATAAATTATTAAGACGCACACAAATTAAATTAACTAATAGTTTTTACTTAAACTTCTTAAGTATTATTTAAGCTCACGCTTTATCTTGTACATTTCATGATTCCTTCTGTTTATCATTTTTTTAACACAGACATTTCATTTTTCTTTCATTGTTGTGATATGCCAATAATATTCTCATTACTGTTTCTCTTGTAACCACCCACACTTTACTTTCAAATAATTACTAGCATACATTTACAAATTCCCTTTTCTTAGGACATTGTAGATGGTTAAGTAGAAAATTTATATCATGTTTTATGCCAAAATAATCCAACCCTGCCAATCTTTATGTAGGTTAATCGTAAGCTTTTGATCGAGTTTCAAATTTAATTCTGAAACAATTTTTTTGATATCTAACAACAAAATAATTCGCAAATTTCGTAAACAAAAAAAAGTTCTTTAGGTTTAAGAAATCCACAAAATTGGGGACTCGAAACGAAGGAAATAATTATTAGTGCATTTGTTTATGCAGCTTAAATTGACTGAAATACCAAAACAATAATAAAAACAAAAAAAGAATTGAGAAATGATAATCGGTTGTTATTTGTTTGATTTTCAGACGATGGCAAGTTAATTGATGAAGCAATTTGTTAGCAAGAAAATAGTTTATGTTTTGACCTTTCGCACTTGATCTTCCCTAGTTTAGTTGCCTTGTATCAATTCCATTCTATCTTCAATAATTTACAGCTTTTCTACGTCTTTCTCTCGAAGAAGATATCATGCGGTGCTAATTGGAGGCGGTTAACGAGAACTAAATAAAAAATGTGCTTCTCGTCTCTCATTTCGACATAAAATTCTTAAAAAAATGATTATCAATGTTGATTAAATAATTGTTTATCCCAGTTCAGCCGTTATTTTCATTCTTATTTACTTGATGATAAGATATTTAAACGTCGCATACAAATCGAATTGATGATCGATGAGTCTTCAAAATAAAAAATGTAAAGTAAGCTGGTGTTGAACTGGGTCATGAATTTAGTTGTGAAATGAATTTTACTTTACATTTGATGAACTCATGCGGTAGTTGGTGAAAAATTCCCGCGATGCCGGATCTTTAAAATGACGACGATGACGGCGAAAGAGTGTGAAATTAAACTTGCTTATGTCCGCTTTTTTCAATCTTCTTTTTCTTCATTTTTTGATGGAGGAAGGAAGTGACGAATTAAGTTTTAATTAAGACAGTGGAGAGTGGAATGTACACATTCGATTATTAACTCGATACGACGATTTACATGCTAGACGTGCATGGAATTAAGCAAATAATTTTCATCAACATTAATCGTCGCTCAAAAGAATATTTGAAGAAAGAAAAGAAGCTCTTTCATTTTCGCATGATCTGAATTTAATAAGTTGACGGCAATGCAAAAGACAAACTTAGGCAAGCTAAATATGTCAATTGAAATGTGCTGTGGATCAACAAAGACGATTCTTTTGTCTGATCCCGTTCACTTTCCGTACGATCTTTGTACATTTGCTTAAGCCACGATGAAATTCACATTCAGGTCGTGCTATTGTATTGAGTTAATATCATTTGAATTATGACAATTTCGTAACAATTTTCTTTAAGTAAAGCAAGCCAGGTGCTGGAACGTTGCTCAAGTGTTGAGATGTTAAACATTTTTGCGGGGTTGTGCGAATAAAAGCAAGAAGGCGTAAAACTTTAACATAACAATCATCGACCACACAAAAATAATCGCAATGAGAGAATCTCACATATCTGATAGTCAGCATAATTATCTGATCATAAATCCATAAAAATGTTTGTACAATAAAATGCTTTCCAATCATTGTGAACCTCAATTCATGACTCTGAGAGATTTCACGACTCAGCGAAATTCTTTTCGAATTTGCGCGAACAACAGTGAACATTCTTCTTCTTTTTAAGTCCATGGTCAAAGCTTATTGCCGCCAACTTTGTATACAATCGTCTATCGGGTCTTGAGCAATGAACATGCAGAATAAATAGAATTAAAATTCTAAAATGTACACAAACAAAAATACGATTGTGGATGGGGCAATTATGGGGGGGAACAGAATGAAAAGTAAAGAGAACACAAGAAGCACCGTTAAGCAAGCATAGCACCGATCAAGCTTTGTTTGTTTTGAGCTTCAACGAAAATTTTATTTAAGAAAAGCATTTTCTCATCTGTCTAAAGATGGTTTTTAATGTCGAAATAATTTCTCGTTCCGTTTATCTTTTTTTTCTAGCAAGAATTATTGTTAAACATGTTTAAGCCACTTCAGACATCACCGCTTTGAGATCTTAATTCCGCTTTCTTACCTGTCTCGTTTACTTTTATTTTAGTCTCTTTGTTTAATCTTAAAAATAAGACTCTTGCTTCACTTGCTCACTCATTCGATCTAATCAATTCCACGAAAGAAAATCTCTGAAGGAAAGAAACTAAACCTCATGTAACGAATGACAGATGGGAATGAATAGGCGAAAATAACCGCAAACAAACTAGTTTCTTTACATGAGATCAAAGCTCTTCCTAGAAAGATCAAAATTCCGATTAATTTTAAAATATTTTCAGCTCAAATTGTTATCAATTAATCAAAGTGAATTTGCGTAAAACAAAAATATTGATTAATTGAATACTTCCCTTTAGAATTATGTTTGTTGTGTTGTGTGCTTCGGTTTGACATCAAGAAACATTCCAACAAACAATTTGAAATTAAATTACGCTCGTAACTCGTAGCTTGTAATTTTAGATGCTCGCTATATCTTTAGAAGTTTTAATAGAATTAACACACCAAATAACAATCATTCAATTCAATTCAATGAAAATCAACCAACACGAAGTCATCATCCAGAAGTAATTAATTAAATTGGCGACTAATAGAATCACAATGAATTGAAATGAAATAAAAATAGTGTTTCCGGACTTTAAGCGTGAAAATAAAATTAAAGTCGACACCAGCTGTAGACAAAAACGAGTCAAAATCACGTCCTTTTGGCAGTGGCGGAGAAACATAAAAAAACTGTCGCCAGACATGAGAATTATTAATCATCGGTCATGTGCAAGTATGCGGATGACGTTGCCAGCTTCTGTCGCGATTTTGTCTCGCTTATTTAAGAGTACGTGGGTGTATGTTAAATTAGGAAACAGTAATTTACCATCAAATGACAACAAAGACTGAACCGAAAGGGAAATTTATTAAACATGATGATTCATTATAAAATACTACGTGATAAGAATCGTGAAATTTAAACCTTAACTTGAATTGCACTTCAATAACGCACAGGAAATTTTGTGTGTATTCGTTTCTATTTTTTTAAGCTTAAGTTCAAGTGAAAAATAAACAAGAAAAAGAATTTGTTTGTCGATGTTTTTCTGCTTCTGGTGGTCTCAAGGGGATGGAAAAGTGGAAAACATAAAATTCAGATAAATATGTGATGCTGGGGTTGGTGATGAATGTTATTTTTCATTAGAAACATTAATTTTCTTGTTCTCTGTCATGATATAACGACCCGAAAATATTCGTTTCACGTTACAGTCATGATAGATTCCAAACCGTTTCATTATTCTGCACGCACACAATCCCAAAGCATACGAAAATCTTTTGTTAGATGCATGAGTGGCCCTTTTAATTCCCATCGTGGTGCATTATTTGCAATTTTCTTTGTTGGACTTAAATTGCTTCCAGTTTCAAATATAACAGTCAGGTAACAAACCGTTCCTAACTCAAGCAGCATGTGATGGCGTCATGAGAAGCATAAATACAAAGAAGAGAAAATTGAAACATTAATACGTTGCAATTATTAAAGATCAATCAGGAAATGATGTTTATCATTGAATGAGAGAATTCATTGAAGAGTCTTTGATTTTGACATCACTTGATCACTTACCCCCATCAATTTTCTAGATAGAGGAAAACTTTAACTGCAACCTTAGTGCTGTTTTTTCTCATTTCTATTTCTTTTCTTTATCATCTTGTCCAAAAAATGTTTTTTTTTCATGAACGGTCGAGATTTTATGGCACAGAAGAAGAAGAGAGAGAAGACAGAAGATTAAAGCTTATTGGACAGTAATTTTGTGTAATTATGAACATTGTACAAATCAATTTATCCAACTTATTCTGTTCATCTTTCAATCTGCGATATGAGTTTTTAATTTTCCCCTTCATAGGTTTCTAAACGAGAAGAAGATTGCTTTTCTGATACGTGAATGCAGTCAGTAAATATAAATAATTTATGAAGTTATTAGTATTTCTAAACATCAACAGAGAATGAAAAATTACAAAAGATTAAATGCTTTGAGGCATAGATTCGGATGTGAGGATGCTTAAACATTCAGCAAATGATTTTCAAACGAAAGAGAAATGAAAAAAAGATAAATTTAAGCGATGCATGATGCACTCGTCGTCGTCATAATGATATGGTTGGAAGGAAAGTGCACGCCAAGGCGTTTTCTCAACCTCTATGTAGCTTTTTTATCGCATTCTTCTTCAGACGAACGTTTTCCTTCTTTTGTCTTCTTGAACGTGAAAAAAAAACGCATATCAGCAGCGTTGAAGTATTTACGTCTTCTTACTTTTTCATTTATTATTCTTTTTTGATGAACGAAGCATAATGAAAACGATATCGCAATGCAAGTGCATAAAAGATTATAAACACAACTCAATGTTTGATCGTCAAGTGCTTCTTTCAATGTACGAATAAACAGAACTGAAATTTTATTTATTCGCTTCTCAAGATGAAAAACTTTCTCTTCTGGCTGTTTATTTCTGATATAGGGTAAAGTGACATAAAGTGGTTACAAAAAAAAAAGAGGACCTATTGTGGTAACACCTAATTTCGAATGCGATTTTCTTCGCTATTTTACATTTTTATGGCTCAAAACTTTTTACAGAAGTGCTTTGAACTATCTACTCTACTTCTGTACAAAGTTTTGAGCCATAAAAATGTAAAATAGCGAAGAAAATCGCATTCGAAATTAGGTGTTACCACAATAGGTCCTCTTTTTTTTTTGTAACCACTTTATGTCACTTTACCCTATCTCTGTTTTTCTTAAAAACCTTTTGATATTTCATTTAATATCTCTTGATTTCTTTAACCGTGTATTTTCTTCTTTGTCTCGGCGCGGTTTTACTTTCATGCTGCCGCAAAAGAAGAAAGAAAGGAGAGCAAAGCAAAACTCTCTTTTATTTAATTCACAATGCGACTTTTTACATTAATTTTGTGCATTGCGCACGATGTCTGTTTCTAATTAAAGTGTTTCGGTAGAGTTTTCATTTCCATTCCTTTATCTGGATTTAAATGATTCAAAAATCCTTGTCGTAAATTTTAGACGCATGGTTGCGGGTGATCTCAGCTGGAAAAAAAATTTAAAACATGTTAATTATAATGATATTGTTTTTCAAACGTACACATTCACTTTGTATATTTTTCTTAAGCTTAAAATGAATGAGATTTTATTGTTCGGACATTCATACATAGTATTCAACATTTCAAAACTCAACGGCGCCGAGGATTGATCACACAAGCCCGGTACTTGAATTCATATTATTTTCATAGCGCAACGACTGTTTAATACATTTTTTAAATTCCAATCGAACAATATCTCTTTCTTCTCGTTTCTGTTGTTTTTACCAGATATGAGAACTGTTGTTGAACACAGGCAGGTTTTATGAATGCTTATGAATTGAACCAGCTTCTCTCTGGAATGAGTGAATGAATCATCTGACAAAACTTGTGGCAAATAGGAAGAAGAAAAATCTAAATTATTTTAAATACTAATAAAATAAGAGCTCGAAACGTGACGTTTCCTCAAAACAAACTTGATACGTTTTCTTCATATTTGCAAACGATTAATGAGTTATAATTATACGATGAAAAATTTGTACTCCATATGCCTCGATCGTTTGTTGATTGCTTTTGCAGACTTCGATAAACAATTTTTTAATGATTGATATATCGCGAAAATTATAAGTGTTTCAATTATATTCTAATGCATATTCAATTAAATTTATTGCCTTATCGACAGAGTTTTCTTTAAAACAAGTTTTGCTCTACATCTGTAATTATCGATAGTTAATCATGAAGAAATCCCAAGACGAGACTGCTTGAGATTATAGCGATCGTTTGTCTGTTTGTTATGCAATTGAAAATGCCCACAGCTTAGACTGCATTCTTGATCAAGTTTCATTTTCTATGATGCAAATTGACAATCATTAGATAGGCATGAATGAAACAGAGTAAAAATAGTTTCAACAAGTTCCATCTGAGTGTATGTTTTAAAGACTTTAATTTCTTGTTATTCTGAGCGTGTAATTTTTATATCTAAGCGGCTTTTATGTGAAAAGAAAATTAGCTTTATAGCTTCTTATTTTTTTTCTGTTTTTCAATAGATTTGTGGATTTTTTTTTCTCAGTAATGAGGTTAATGTTTTCATAAGAACTTCTTATGAAGAAAATTATTGTGATTAATTTTTACAATATTGCACTCATTCGATTTAATTTGATGCTTGATTTATTAACAGAACATTTTCAAATGGTTTTCGTGAAAACTTAAAGATTATTCATAATATCATAGTTTTCGAGGAACAACTTACAAGAAGATACTTGAAAACAGTTTGAATAATTAAATATTAGAGTAATCATCATCAAGAAAGTGTAACATGCTTTTCAGAAAGCAAACGTTTTGCTAAATTAAGGCTCTTTGTAATTTTCTGAGTGATTTTTCTCTGATAAGAAATACTTAGATACATATCTAGGTTTTTGATGGACATTGATTTGTTATTTGTTACTTTTAATACCCGCGCATATAAAACTCACTTGTTAGCGCATGAGATTATTTAAATTTTCTTTCCCGCCTTTTCATTGAAAAGAGCTTTCGAAAGTTTTTTTGCATCTTTTGATGCTCGAAATTAAAGCTTTAGAGGGGTATACAACTTCACAACATCAACACATGTGTTTAAAAATCTCTTGCAGATTGTTAATGTAAATAAAATAAAAAATGTCGAAAAGAGTGAAACATTTAACTGTTGATACAAGTGCTTTCATTAAGAATGTTCAACTTCAAGTGAGTTTGATTGAAATTGATACATTATATGCCATTGTTTTGTTAAAAATATCAATAACACTTTTTTACTTTCGCAATTTCAGGAATTAGCGGAAAATGTGTACACAGTGCAAGAAGTACTCGATGAAATAAAAAGCAATACGCAGTATAAAAGATTAGCTGTATTGCCATACAATCTTCAAATCAAACAACCAGATCAAGAAGCATTAAAAATCATCTCCGATTTTGCTAAGAAAACCGGAGATTTCGCAACATTGTCATTAACTGATTTAAAAGTTCTCGCACTAACTTATCAGTTAGAAAAAGAGAATGTTGGGGTTAATCATTTGCGAAGTGAACCTATCGTTGCTAAAACTATCTGCTCAGCTGAAAAGCCTCCAGAAGTTAAGGATCAATTTGTCGTTGCTGGTTTTTATGATCCACGTTCGAAAAAACAAGAAAATGAGGAAGAATTGAGCGATGATTTTGAAGAAATTGAAGAAGAAGATCAACAGGAAAAGAGTTCAGAAGAACTGCAAGATGAAAGTGGTAATGAAAGTGAAGAGTGTGAAGATAATTTGAAAATTGATGATGAGGAACTGATTAAAAAATTTGGAACTTTAGGTTTCAACACCATTCCAAATCAAAAAGCTGATGAATTACTTCAACCTGTGAAAGAAGAAGAAAAAGAAAAAGAAGATTCTGAAAATGAAGAAGAAAGCGAAGATGAAGAAAGTGATGATGACGACGAAGGTTGGATTACTCCAAGTAACATCAACAATGTGAAAAGAAATTTTGGAGCTGAAGTTCTCGATGACCAGGACGTGGAAGTTGCATGCATAACAACAGATTTTGCGATGCAAAACGTTCTCAAACAAATGGGACTGAATGTAACTTCGCTCGATGGACGAATTATTAAACATGTAAGAACTTTCATCTTGAGATGTTACAGTTGCTTCAAAACAACATCAGATGCCACAAAAATCTTCTGTCCTAAATGTGGTCATAAAACTTTAAAGCGAGTTTCTGTAAGTGTTAATGATAAAGGCGAGCAAGTTATTCATATCAATGCACGTCGCCAAATCACAACGAAATTTAAAAATCAATCATTGCCTAAGCCTAAAGGTGGAAAATATGCTTGTAATCCTATCCTATTTGAAGACCAGTTGATTCCACAACAAAGATTATCAAAGAAGGCATTACAGAAAACTGATGCTCTCGATGAAAACTATACAGCTGGATATTCACCATTTGTGATGCGCGATGTTGACAGCAGATCATCAAAACTTAGAAACACAGCAAATATCAAGCAATGGATGAATAACTATGAATATGACAATCACAGAAGAGGATATAAAAAGAATAAGAAATAGACAGGATCTGTTTTTGATTGAAATATAAAATAAATGAAAACTAAATGAATTATTAACGGTGAATTTAAATTTAAACCGATTCAAAGCTTTTTTCGTTTGTCTTTTTACTGGTAAAAACTTAAACTTTTTCAAAGGATTTTTTCTTCGAGCTTGAAATTTATGAGCTTTTCGCTAAAATTTATGTTTTTTATGATTATACTGGAGGGCCCAGACCAAAAGGTGAAGAAGAAGCAGTCGCCAGTCGGAAAATTCCTCGTAAATTAATTTGTGCGTTTGTCGGCTCACCACCCAAGCTATGCACAGGTCCATTGCATTCATTTCTATTCATCTCATCTATGTTACTACATTGTCTCCCCAACAATTGATTAGAATTTAAAGATTCAGCAAAAAGTTCAAATGAACGATTATGATCACAAGTGTTAGCTGAAAATCGAAAAATAGTTCGTTCAATAATGATTTGATGTCTTTAAAGAAGTAAAATTTCTTACTGAAACATCCCGGTTGATTTGTTCCTCCATTAATGTAAAAATTTGCATGTCCAATAGGAGTTCCAATGCCAAAGGTTCCTGATTCTGTATGAATAACTTCAACATATTCTGCGTCAGTTGAGTCCAATCTGTCTGCTGGATTATTGACATCAAATAATGGCCCAGCAGGGTTCAATCTTAAGAATATAATTTAATTTGAACTTATAAATATTAAGTAAACACATTCCATCTAAATGAAATCTCACCCAAAGATTGTGTTAATTCTGCCACGTCTAACGTTTTTTCCAACAAATCCACCGACATGTCCACCGAGACTATGCGATACAATAACAATACGACTAAAATCTATTAAATTCGCTGCATGCAGATTGTCAATGAACGTAGCAACAACAGCTCCTACAGGTCTGACTCGATTTCTAGCCGCCACATAATTTATTGTGTCCGCGCCTACACTCCAATCAACAACGATGACATTAACATCAGAACTACGAAGGTAAGCAGCTGTAACAAGAATATTCAATTCACTTTGATCACTGCCAAATTGCCCATGAATAATAAATCTTGTTGGACGATTGACATCGTAATTTGAATTTATAACTGTGTTCATATTTGTCAAATCAACAACTTGACCAATCGTAGGATTAAATCTTGTAAAAACCAGGAATCTGGTGTCACGAATTGGTTCAAAGGTTGAATCAATTTCTTGAATACTTTTGATTTCGCTTATAAAAGCGATAATAAAGATAAGATTGAGAAAATAAAACAATTTCATTTTGAAAAATTCACTACTTAACAGTTTGAAGTGAAACCATGAACTGAACTTTATGAATGTTGATATCTTATCGATCTTACTTTTTTAGAATAATAAATTGATAACAACATTTAGATTGTGAAATTCTATTTTATTTACAAACAATTTCATTGACCGGAATTAATCTTCATCGAAATGATAAAAGCTTTTACGCAAAACCTGAAGCTTTTACGAAAAACTTCTCATCAGTTTTAAGATGGAAACTTTGTATTAATAAAATTTGTCTTATTTAAATGATTTTTCAATTTATTTTCTGATAAAAGCCGAATTGCTGCATTGTTATGTTTATGAAAGAAATAAAAACAACGTTTCTTCTCGTAATCCTCATCAAAATTATTGAAAGCTTTTAATACACCAAATAACAATCATTCAATTCAATTCAATGAAAATCAACCAACACGAAGTCATCATCCAGAAGTAATTAATTAAATTGGCGACTAATAGAATCACAATGAATTGAAATGAAATAAAAATAGTGTTTCCGGACTTTAAGCGAGAAAATAAAATTAAAGTCGACACCAGCTGTAGACAAAAACGAGTCAAAATAACGTCCTTTGTCAGTGGCGGAGAAACATAAAAAAACTGTCGCCAGACATGTGAATAATTATTAAGATTAAAGCTTTAGTTAGGCTGGCTAAATATATTATAATAAATTAACGGTGATTTTAAATTTAAACCGGTTCAAAGCTTCACTCGGTTGGATATTTTTTTGAACCGGTGCCGCTGCTTATTTTCCTGAAAAAGGTTTCTTTTTATATAAATATTACAGATAAAGTAAAGATGACTTCTGTTAATCCTTGTGTAATTCCGACACAGCCTGAAGACATCGAAGGTGATAATCGATGGTTGTCAATTCACAAGCGTTTTTTGCAAGAGTGTAGAGAGAAAGACCCGGAAAGTATGAAAAAAAACATGTTTTTATTAAAGAAACCTTTCAACTGAATAATTTTAATTAATTATCATTTTTTTACAGTTTTATTTGTTGGTGATGATATTTTGTTAGATCTGTCGTTTACTGAAGTTTATCGAAGTTTTGAGGAAATGCATTTATTAAACTTCAGCATTCGGGGTGATAAAACTCAAAACATTCTCTGGCGACTTCAAGACGGTGAACTTCAAAATATCAATCCTAAAGTAAATTGAATAATTTACACGCACTAAATCATTTTGAGTACAATAATGTATTCTTTCAGATAATTGTATTACATTGCGGAACCAACAATAGCCCGCACAATTCGGCTGAAGAAATCGCAGAAGGAATTGCCGAATGTGTCTTGCAAATCAGAAATCGCCTCGAAGAAAGCTTCATTGTGGTTCCATCACTGTTGCCTCGTGGTCATCATCCGAATAAATTGCGTGAAATAAACGAAAAAGTCAACGAGTTGATGAAAGAAAAACTTCAAAGTATGAAGAAAGTACAAATTGTGGATATTTCTAAAGGTTTAGTTCAACTCGATGGCACAATTTCCCATCACGATTTACACGACTACTTGAATCTTACAAATGCTGCAAGCAAAAAACTTTTTGAGCCTATTTGGGACTTGTTGAATCAAATATTGAATGAGAATGAGAAGGAGGTGTTATTAACACCAACAGAATGAGAAAGTAAAAGAAAAGAATTGCAATTACCCAACGTAAGACGAAATTGTCATCACTTGGGCCACCACCAAAAAAAGCTTAAATTCATTGAATTAAACATGTTCGCAAGTAGCCTTGCTTTTAAAACATCAACAATAGATATTTTATACAACATATTATGATATCAAATTGAATGGATTCGCAAACGTTGAATTTTATTTTCTTTATTTTTATCGGCAAATAATGGCGGTGACGTCTTTAAAAGACTTGCATCCGATTATCGGAGCTTCTCAATACATTCCTATTATGCATAGATATTAAGGACACTTTAAAGTCTAAGTTAATTATTTCATTATTGTTTGTTAAAGCTTACAGTTTAAGTTTCCCAAAAATTATCTGCAAAATTGTTGCTTTGAAGACACAAACGCTGTCAACATTTATTGTACTTATCGATATTATTTTTTTAGAAATTTGAAAAGGAAGAAATCATAAAATAAAGTGAACTTTTAAAATTTAAGATGATGATTTTGAGAGAATTTCAAAATATGATCCTTCAAGTAGTTGACTTTTACTCAATTGAAACTTGTCCATTAACTCTTCAGCAATTTTGTTGCCAACATCCAGATTTTCTTCAGGATTCATGACAACTTCAAATTCCATGCCGTAATAGTTCGAATCGTTATTCTTAACAACATCGAGATGAATTCGTGTCTTTCCATTGTGAATGAAGAGATGACGAGTCTTGTCTAAGACGCCAAGAGTGCCAATTGAATCGTCAAGCATTTGCTCCATCAAAGGTCCATCAGAAACATTCAGAACGTTAAATTTCGATAATTTCGGTCCAGAAACATCATCACGTGAATATTGAACAAGCATCGCAATATCACGCTGAAATAATTTTCGCAGTTAAAAACTTAATCATGTTAATTAATTTATGAACTCACCTCATATCTCAACTTCAATCTTCCATTTGGAACTTTAAAGAAAACATCATGCTGAACGATAACTTCACCGCTACTCTGACCAGTAATCTCTTGCGCAATTTTTATCTTCTCATTGAACTCTTTTTCGTCTTTCAACTTTGCTTTAATTTCAATATTTCTCTTACATTCAGACATTTTACTGACTATCAAGAAACGGAGGTTAAAATAAACAACAATTCAAGGTCGACAAAAGAGGGAGCAATCTAATAATTTTTTATTACGGTTGTAAGGAAGATTCAATCAAGTTCGACTACCATCAATAATTGGTAACAATTTATTTAATTAAACATCAATAATATTAAAATAATTTAATTAAAATGTTTGTGAAAATTTTTCCTTACAATTAAAGATCAACGACAAAATTCTTGTTTAATTCCCCCTCGCTTAATCTCAAAATCTTATTAAATATTTATCTACATAATTTCTTAGAAATTTCTTTTCGTTAACTTAACTTTAAATCCCTGAACAATTTTAGTAACAACAACAAACTCGAGAGAGATGTCTTCAAGTTTCATGTCAGTTTCGACACGAAAGTGTCTGAAAAGATAAGCCAAAGTAATCTTAAGCATTCTTGTGGCATAATTCAATCCAATGCAATTTCTTGGGCCAAGTGCAAATGGCATGTAAGCATAAGCTGGAACGATTTTAAACTTTTCACCTTCAAATCTTTCTGGTTTGAATTCATCAGCATCGTCACCCCAAAGTTCTTTCTTTCTGTGCATTTCGTAAATTGGTATGAAAATGTGAGCTCCCTTTGGAACCAAATGATCACCTTGATAAAAAAAAATTTATCTTCAGATGAACTTATGCAATCTTGAAATGATTTATGTACAAACTCACCAATTTGAACTTCATCTGACGTATATCTTATGATGACTGACACTGGTGGCCAATATCTTAAAATTTCCTTCACAACCAAATCTAGATAAGTTAATTGTGGAAGATTTTCTTCGTTTACTTCTTCATTTGGTGACTCAAAAACATTTTTCAATTCATCATGAAGTTTTTCTTGCACTTCCGGATGTAATGCTAGGATGACAACAGCCATCGCTAAAGAATATGCTGTGGTTTCGAAGCCCTTAAAGGTTTCAAACATTATTTTCTATTAATTATCGTTAACCACAACACTTACTGCTCCTATGAATGAATTAACTTCATCTTCAATCTCATTACGAGCGAATTCACTTCGTTTTTTAAAAAGTTGATCGATAAATATTTGAGGCTTATCGGAGATGTCACTAATGTCGAATGTCTTTTCCTTTTCATCAACAAAATCTCTTGTAATTTTATGAATTCCATTGTCAAGATGTTTTATCTCCATTTCGTAATATTCTGTTAACATGATGATTGGTTTAATCTGCAGCCAAAAGCGAACAATTTTTGTTGATATTACATGCATTGCACTATAATTAAGAAGATAAGCATGTCAATTAATGTATTAAGTTGAATTAAGAGCTTTAATTACACCAAGAAATGGTCGAGCAATTCTTTACGTTTGCTGGTATGTGCATCAGCTTTAAATCCTAATGAAGTATTTAAAATATTATTCAAAGACAAAGCAGCCATAAATGATCCAATGTCAACTTCTTTTCCATTGGCATGTTCAGCCAAGACATTCATCAATTTTTTAGAATTCTCATTAAAAATTGGAAGAAAACTTTTCAAGACTCCAGCATTGAATGCCGGGTTCAGAAGTTTCCGATGATTTTTCCATAGAGCTCCATTTGAAGAGAGAAGACCTGGATTGGTGAACAAATTAATGAGAATTGTAAGTTGTTAAATTTAATTCCACTTTAACCTGTCACTGCTTTAAATGCCTCGTAAAGCTTTGGTCGATTGATGCAGCTTGGCGTTGTAAAAACTTTTTTAATCTGTTCAACATCATCAACGATAATGAAAAGTTGTGCAAGTGTCATCCAACCTTTACGTGGCGATGATCCTTTCATGTTCGCCAACTCATGAAAGAATTTGAATAAATCTTTTTTAAAGTTAATTAAAATGTTCATTTCTGTTTTCACTTTATTATTCACCTTCTCCAGAAGCACGAAAAACTCGAGGCGCTAATCCTAGAACTGGAACTTGACCACCACATGAAGGAATTTTACTTGCTAATTGATAAAATCTTCGATTATTCCAAAGAAATTTTAACAGCCAAAGAAAAAATGTCGTAACGATCACAATTAGATAAACTTTGAGCAACATCTTTCTAAGCTTAAATGAATAAATTTTGAATCCATCGTCTTGTTTTTATATGAACATTTTTTTCAATTAGATTTAATTGGAGAACACGCGAATTGACTTACGTTAAGTCCAAACCTATGTACAATTCACAATATTTATTACATCAAGGTGTGCTAACCCTTAGAACTTTCTTATTCGATGTTACGAAATGTAAGAATTTGAATATTAAATCTTGAGATTTACGCTAATGCCAATGACGTTAGCAAATTTTATTATTGTTACCTGACTTATGAACATTACACGAATGTACATTTGTTTCAAATTCGCATTCAAATTAACACCAGACTATCATATAACTTTTATAGCGGCGGTGATTTCTTCATTGTTCAATTTTAATTTGTCTACTTCTGAAAAAGAAGTTAAAATTTAATTACGTTTTCATGTCCTTCTGACCTCTTGATTTGAGTTCTTTTCTGAATGAATTTGGTTTGTGTTAGGTATAAAAATAAATTCTGAAAGATTCTTCTTAAGTACAAATTATCTCAAGAAAGCTTTTCAAATCATAATGCAACATTACGAGGGTAAAGATCAGATTAGTCTCTCATTAACAAATTCTGTAAATAGGTACCTAGTTAAAAAAATTGTTTATTCTTCTTATCAAGTTCAACAACAATCACAGCAGATAAACAGAATTCCATCTGAAACATTTCGCACACTCAAAATTTCAATCACTTTTCTTCAAAACACTCTTCACGTAGGTAATGAAGGTTTAAAATGACGTCCAATGAAAGTACAAAAGATTCGAAGTCAAGTTCAACCCTCGAAAATGCATTAGTGGAAACATCATTCGGAAAGTTCAATTATTTACTGATAGTTTTATGTGGTGCAATTTTAGCTTGTGTTTATCTTGAAACTGTCAGCATTAATTTTGTTCTACCAGTAGCGCAATGTGATCTTAATTTGACAAATTCCAATAAAGGAATTCTGAGTGCTGTTGGTTTTATCGGTATAATTATTTCGTCTCACCTTTGGGGCTTTCTCGCTGACACCAGAGGAAGAAAGTTCGTTATTGTGCCAACATTGTTTATTGCCTTTTTGATAACAGTTGTGTCAAGTTTCGCAAAGTCATTCTGGTTTATGGTGTTTTTAAGATTTTTAAATGGCTTTTTGTAAGTTGAAGAGCATTAACAATGACAAATGAAATTAGAATTAAATTTAAATTGTAGCATATCAGGACCTTCAGCGACTATTTATGCCTTCCTTGGGGAGTTTCATTCAGCTAAAGACAGATCTCGAGTGCTGATAATTGGTATTTCTTTATCCTTTCTTATTTTTTATTAAAACTTGTAACATTTTTACATTCACAGCCTCGGTAATGTTTGGAACATTTTGTTTGTTCAATCCACTTTTTGCGTATCTTTTCCTCAATCAAGAGTGGAGCTTCAATGTTGAGTTTTTAAATTTAGAATACAAACCATGGAGACTGTTTTTGATAATGGTTGGACTTCCTAATTTAATTTGTGGTTTGACGATGCTGATGTTTATTCCTGAGTCTCCAAAGTTTACTTTTTCTCAAAACAATGAAGAGAAGACTTTGAAAATCTTGAAGGAAGTTTATAGACGAAACACTGGAAATCACGAAAACACTTTTCCAACGAAATTCTTAATAAAAGAAGCAGAAGATGAGAATGGTGAAAGATGTGAAGGATTTTTCAAGTTTATGTGGTCTCAAACTGTCCCACTTTTCAAGCCACCACATCTCAGAAACACTTTGACAGCGTGTTTCATTCAATTCTGTATTTTCAATTGCAGCAACGGATTTTGGACATTTTTCCCTGAAATTGTAAATAAAATTACAAAATGGATGAAAAACAATTCCCCAGGATCGTCTGCAAATGTTTGTGAAATTCTCGATGATTTCAAAATGTCTTCAAATGTCAGTTTAAGTCAAGAAATTGCTACAAATTGTCATGTCAAGTTGGAGTTCAGCACGTTTCAAAATGCGGTCATTCTCTTGTGCTTGTACATTTTCTTATGGATGTTCATCTCACTTATCATCAATCGAGTTGGAAAACTTGCCATAATTATGACAATTTTAATTGTTTGTGGCTCAAGTGCATTCTCATTAACCTTCGTTAATATTCCAAATATTTTAAGCTACCTTTACGTGATAATCTTAGCAGATGGAATTGCAATATCAGTCGTGAATGCTTCAACAATTGAACTTTATCCAACGAAGTTAAGAGCTATGGCTGTTTGTATTTCACTCATGATTGGACGTTTAGGAGCCGTCGTGGGATCAAACATCGTAGGATTATTAATAGCAAATTATTGTAAATATATTTTCTTAATGCCAGCAATTCTTCTTACTACAAGTGCTTTTCTTTCTATTACAATACCAAATATTACTAAAACTCATAAGAATTAAATTACATTCTTTTAAAAATTGTTGATGATTAATTGATTCACAATAAAATGAATGATCGAGACTTGTGTAATTTATGAGACTCAACAATAAATTTTTTTAGTTATAAATAAATATGGAAATGTAAAAGAAGGTCAAACCTTCAAAGTCAGACAAAAAGCTAATTAACATCTTCTAACTAAGAATCACCATCGAAATTTCTTCTCGTTAATTTTACTTTGAATCCTTCAACAATTTTAGTAACAACAACAAACTCGAGAGAGATGTCTTCAAGTTTCATGTCAGTTTCGACACGGAAGTGTCTGAAAAAGTAAGCCAAAGTTGTTTTGATCATTCTTGTGGCATAATTCAATCCAATGCAGTTCCTTGGGCCAAGGGCAAATGGCATGTAAGCATAAGCTGGAACGTTTTTAAACTTTTCACCTTCAAATCTTTCTGGTTTGAATTCATCAGCATCGTCACCCCAAAACTTTTTGTTTCTATGAATCTCGTAAATTGGTATTATAATATTTGTTTCCTTGGGAATCAAATAATCACCTTTAATAAAATCATAAAATTAGTGTTTAAATAAATAATTTTAAAACTCTTCCGTGCGTCTTACCAATTTCGACTTCATCCGATGTGTATCTCACAATAACTGACACTGGTGGCCAATATCTTAAAATTTCCTTCACAACCAAGTCTAGATAAGTTAATTGTGGAAGATTGTCTTCGCTTACTTCTTCATTTGCAGACCGAAAAACATTTTTTAATTCATCATAAAGCTTCTCTTGAATTTTTGGGTGCAAAGCAAGAAGAACAACGCCCAAAGATAATGAATATGCTGATGTTTCATATCCCTACATAATTTTAATGTAATTTAACTTTTCACCAATCTAATCTCAACTTACAGTTCCGACTATGGTTCCAATTTCATCTTCAATCTCATTACGGTTGAATTCACTTCGTTTTTTAAAAAGTTGGTCGATGAATATTTGAGGCTTATCGGAGATGTCACTAATGTCGAATGTCTTTTCCTTTTCATCAACAAAATCTTTTACAAATTTATGAATTCCATTAGTAATGTGTTGTTTCTCCAATTCATAATACTTCGTTAACATGATGATTGGTTTGTACTGTAACCAGAAGTTTGTAATCTTTTTTGTTATAACAAACATTCCACTAAACACCAAAAAAGTAATGAATTAAAAGTACTTGAAATTAAAGTATGTTCATTACCCTAAAAAGTTTTGAAGCAACTTGCTTTGCTTGTCAGTTTGAGAATCGCCATGAAATCCTAATGATGTTGAGAGTATATTATCCATAGAAAACGAAGCCATGAATGTACTTATGTCGAATTCATTTCCATTTGAATATTCATCCAAAACTTTTATTAATATTTGAGTTTTCTTGTTTAGAATTGGAAGAAAACTTTTTAATACACCGGCATTGAATGCTGGGTTGAGCAGCTTTCGATGATTTTTCCACAAATTTCCATTGGACGATAAAAGCCCTAGAAATTAATTTAAATTAAAAATTAGTTTCACTTGCAAGAATTCTTCAGGAGGTTCACCTGTTGGTGCCATAAATGCTGAATAAAGGTTCGGTCGATTGACGCAACTTGGTATTGTGTAAACTTTCTTAAGCTGCTCAATATCGTCAACTACAATTAGTAACTGTGCTGGTGTAAGCCATGCTTTACGTGGCGATTGTCCAATAGGGCTGAAGATTTCACGCATCAATTTGAAAATATCTACAAAAGCACAATCAGAATGATCCTAAATCAATGTAACGGAATGATTTACCTTCTCCTGAAGCCAGAAATACTCTGTTAGCTAATCCCAATATTGGAAGTTGGCCAGGAACTGAAGGAACTTTTGAAGCAAGTCTGTAGAATTTCCGGTACTTCCAAAAATAATTCAATAAACAGATGAAAATACTGGTAAGTATTGCAATGAGATATACTTCTAGCCTCATCGTTTCTGAGCAATTAAATGAATTTATTTCAAACCGAATGTTTTATACAAAAATATTCGCAATAAAAATTTATAACTACTCTAATTCGCGAATTATTTTTAATAATGAGACGTGAGAATTGCTTTGACGCATGTGATGATTAAAAGTTTTAAGACTAAAACATCACTTTTCCTCTCGTTTTTTACCTACTAGAATTCTTGCTAGAGATAAAACAAAAATTCATAAATTTCAGCTCAAGAGAATTTTTCAATGGTTTTCAATAATAACAAATTGGTAAACAATTAAATTGTGTTATTAACGTCAATCGTTATAACTTCACTTTTAAAATAATCTTCATTCTAATCAATCTGATCAATAAATAGTTAATATGTACATCAATAACACATAAATTTAAACTCTCATATTAATTTATGATATTTTACTTATTACTTCTTAATGAAGTGAAACCTAATTACAATGTGAAACATTTTATTATTTCCTTTAGTTTTAGAAAATTAAGAAGTTTTGCGAACTTTAAGCTTTCAATTTATAAAACTGGAAATATGTCAGAAACTAGCAAATTCATTGAAAAGATTACTTGAATGTTTATATTCAAGCAGCAAGAAATCAAAATAAATTTATTTTTAAGCTTTTTATTAACAGATTTATGGAATCTTGAGCCTAGTTTTGAAATGTTGATCAACAGAAAAGCTTTCGGCGTTTCTCATAGCATAATGCGAAGTTATAAATTTCAACCATTATGCGCTTCAAAACTTATTTTACGAACATAGTGCGCATAAAAATGTAAACAAGAGTCGTATCTAACTTTGGAAAAATATTGTAAAATATTAATTAGGATCAGTAAAATGAATATAAATAGTGATATATACAGATTGGATAATCTACCAATCGAAATATTGATGAATATATTTTCGTACGTTCCTGATAAATGGAATTTAAGTCAAGTTTGTCGGTATTTCTACGAAATCATTTGCAAGGTTGAAAGAAAATCTCATAAACTTAATATAAGTGATGAGAAAATGGTGAGAAAAGTTGCTTATTATGACTTATGGTATTCTAACTTCCCTAATGTTTCAGCTTCTAGATAAGGCAACATTTCAATCAATCATGAATTCGCAACGTCAACTTCTTGGTATAAAAATTAACATCACAACCAAAATGACGAAGTTATGTTGGGATCGATTAGATAAAATTTTAATTTTCTTAAACCTTAAGAGTATTTCAATAATCAGTTGTGATCCAAGAATTGAAACTCATCAGATGCTCTGTGAAATACTTTTGAATACGCAAGCTGTGAATGTTCTTTTAGAATTGAGTCTAACAAGTGTAAACATCGAATACATCCGGAAATTCATGATAAGGCAGAGTGAAATTAAATATTTATCAATAACAGGCGCTGTTGGTGATTCATCAATAATTAACAAATTGAATTTATCTTGTCTTAAATTAATTGGTCCAAAGAGTAATGATTTGGCAACCATCATATCGCAACAACCTAATTTAGTGAATTTAAAGCTTACAATCGACACAGAATCAACTTATGATGACGAAGTCTTCAACAGAATCGTTCAGTTGACAAAGCTCGAAGCTTTGGACATCCCATTAAACGACAAATTAACTCCAGCAATTATTTTAAATCTGGAAAAGTTGAGAAATTTACATAAACTTAATGTCAGTTGTTCGCCACTTTGCTTTCAACATCTTATTGTGACATCACTTCCTTCTTTACGAGAGCTCGATGTGACATTAGAACAGCCAGCCGGAGGGAATTCCATAGAAATTCTGTCAAAAAATGTTCCTTATTTAAAATCAATTAAGCTTCGAGGTCCGCTCGTGGCAAATTTCTTTAATGATTGTCTTCATTATTATGAAAACCTTGAAAATCTTTGGATTGAAAATGACGAATCATATTTTGTAAACGTTGTCAACTTGAGAGCTCCTAGAGTTCCTTGTTTTAAATTAAGACGCTTGTTTATAATTAATCATGATCGTAAAGTTGTTATCTGTGCCAATGATATTATTCGGTTTGTGAAAATGTCTCCGTTTCTTGAAACACTCACAATCACTAAACTTATTGATATTTATCTGAGTGATGTAGAAACATTACTTAAACATTTACCAGTTTTACAGGAAATTGTTATCGACTCGAAAAGTATGGAATCGACAACAAAAGTTATGAGAGTGTTTAAAAATCACGGCCCTAACTTGAAGTTTGTTATGCTGCAGAACTTCAAACTTCAAACAAGCATAGAAAGTCTTAAAACCTTTTTTGAAGGTAAATTTGAATATTTTGAGAGAAAAGATGGAAACTTAATGCTTCGAACTGGAAGCAAGTCATACTTAATGAAAGTTATGATTTAAATTGTAACAGTCATTAATTAATGCTAAGCATGAAATAAAAATAAAATGTTAAAAAAACTGATGAAATTTATTTCTAAATTACTATCAATGACACTTTCAAATAAGTTAAATCGAAACTTAATTAAAATAAATTTATAACGAAATAATATTTTGACATGAATTTACAAACATTCAGAATCCCTGGAAAAATTCGCAAAATCTTTTCAATTTTTATAAATAAACTTAGTTAAGAAAAAGAGAGTAAACAGCTGAGTATAAAATTCAGTTTTGTGAAATAATCTTAATCTTGTTCTCATTAAAAATCAACTCTTGACGGTTCATATACCTTTATATTACAGGCAATTCATGTATCTGTTTGTAATCTTATCAAGTGTAAAGATGATAAACTAAACTTGACTTTGAATTTTTGTGTCAGATGAGCTTAGATTGTTTGGCAGAGAAGAGTTGTTGATCATGAATCCAGAAAAAAATCAAAATGAAAGTGAATCTCATTGCACACTCGAAAGTGCTTTAGGAAAAACGGGATTTGGAAAGTTTAATTATTTTTTCATTCTTCTTACTGGCATGATTCTCGGTAGTGTTTTCCTGGAAACTGTCAGCATAAATTTCATCTTACCTGTCGCTCAATGTGATTTAAATTTATCAAATCAAGATAAAGGAATTCTCAGTGGAATTGGATTCATTGGGATAATTGTTTCATCACATCTTTGGGGATTTCTCGCAGACACAAGAGGAAGAAAAACTGTTATCGTACCAACTTTATTCGGAGCTTTTGTGATAACAATTATCTCAAGTTTCGTCAAGTCATTTTGGTTGCTTGTTGCTTTAAGATTCGTTAATGGATTTCTGTAAGCTTTTTATTTGTTATTATCAATTTGATGGTGAAAGTTTCTTACAAGATTTTCCTTTATTAGAGTTTCAGGACCATCTGCAACAGTTTTTGCTTATTTAGGAGAATTTCATTCAGAACGTTATCGATCAAAAGTTATGATGTTGGGTAAAGAAAGAAATCTTAGAAATTCAAGTTTAGATTGAAAATACCTAATTCTTCTCATTCAGCTTCAGCAACTTATGGCTTGACTTGCTATTGGAATCCAATCTTTGCTTCAATAATCATCAATCGTGATTGGACATTCTACATTGCACCTTTAGACTTAGTATTTAAGCCATGGAGATTATTCATGATTGTTTGTGGAATACCAAACATCATTTGCAGTCTCATCACACTCTTCTTCATGCCAGAATCACCAAAATTCACATTTTCAAATGGCGATGAAGAGAAAACTTTAAAAACTCTTCAAAGCATATACAGTCGAAATACTGGAAATCCAAAGGAAAGCTTTCAAGTGAAATCTCTTGTAAGAGATGCAGAATATGAAGAAAATTCTGCAAAGAAGTTTAATAATTTCTTACACTTTATGTGGTCACAAACAGCTCCTTTGTTTAAACATCCACATCTTAGAAACACGCTCACAGTCTGCTTCATGCAATTCTGCATTTATAACTGCAGTAATGGATTTTGGACATTTTTCCCTGAAATTACAAATAGAATCTCACTTTGGCATAGCAGCGATCCAACAGACACTTCAGCAACAATCTGTGAAGTTCTTGAAGTGACAAAAGTTGTCGAGTATCAAAATCAAAGTTTAATAAGCTTGGAAGAAAATTGTGTAACAAAATTAGAGTCGTCAGCATATGGAAATGTTTTCATTCTTAACACGATTTACACAGTTGGTTGGTATTTGTTGTCAACAATCATCAATTGTGCTGGAAAGCTTATCATTATAACCACGCTTTTGTTCACATGCAGTGGTGTTGCAATTGCGTTGATGTTTGTAAATATTCCAACGGTTTCGAGTTATCTTTATATAATTTTATTGACCGATGGACTTGCATTAACTGTTGTCAATGCTTCAATTGTCGAACTTTTCCCCACCAAGTTCAGGTTTGTATGAGATTTTAAATTGCTTTTCATTCCAAAATATCAGAAATTTTGTTTTTCAGAGCAATGGCATTGTGTCTTGCATTGATGTGTGGTCGACTTGGCAGTGTCATCGGCTCAAATGTTATCGGATTGTTGCTTGATGAATATTGCAAATATACATTCCTGATGCCCGCAATACTCTTAGCCTCAAGTGGACTCCTTTCATTTACAATCCCAAACATCTCAAAAAGAATTAAATGAATCAATCTGTAAAAAGCAAATTTAAAATTGAATAAAGATAAGAAATTTTGGGAGAATCTTGTCACTCTCAAAGACGAGAACTTTTTGATTTTCTTGTTCATTAAGTCATTAAATTAAATTCTCAGTTCGTGAATTAAGTTCAAAGTAAGTGGACGTTTAGAATTTGGAAGTTTTCAGTTACATCTTATCAGACTATTAGAAGTTTCCTAATCATGAAAAAGAGGAAGAATATTTTATTGCTTATGATTGTTGCAATAGTTTTACATGAAACAAAATGTCAACAAGATTCTGAAGATGGTAACATAATTAACTCATCTTTGTCGTCATCCTTAGAAATCTAATTAAAAAAATTATTTCACACTCTACAGCGAGTTACGAAGACATTGGTGAACCATTCGTACAACAAAATTGTAACGGTGAGAAATTTTAATCGAAGAGGTTCAAAGTCAAGGCCACAATGATTATATTTGTTTACTATTATTATTTTTTTGCTGCCATGTAGACAAACTTTTGAAGGGAATCAACGAATTGACCGACCTTGTTCGAGCAATTCAAAAGGAGTTTGTTTATCAGAACGCGGAAATCAAACACGTGCAGAGTTTAATTGAGAACTGTGGTGCATGTCAAACACCCTACGACAAAAACACTTGTCGTTATGCAAATCCCTGCTTTGAAGGTGAAATTTATTTCATAAATTGTTGACTGATAAGAATTTATTTATTAATGTGATGTGATGTATTCAGGTGTTGAATGTCACGACACTTCATCGGGAATGGTTTGTGGCAAATGTCCGCGAGGCTTTGTTGGTGACGGTAAAAGTTGTCGACGAGTGGAAATGTGTGAAGATCGTCCTTGCTATCAGTAAAAATAATTTAACATCTTTAAAATAATTTCAACATTAATTTGATTTAATTCACAGAGACGTAGATTGCAGAGACACTGAAGAAGGAGCTGTGTGCGGCCCTTGCCCTCCTGGTTACACGGGCAATGGAAGACATTGTGAAGTTCTGCGAAACATTTGTGAAGATCATCCATGTGAATTTGGTTTTGAATGCATTCAACTCAATGAAGCGCCATACTTTGCATGTCGTGAGTGTCCACAAGGATCAATAAGTCTTGATGGATTCTATTGCACTGATATCGATGAATGTAAAGATGTTCAACCTTGTGATCCCAAAGCTCGCTGTACAAATTTATCGCCTGGTTTTCGATGTGATCCTTGCCCTGCTGGTTATGATGGAAGACATTCGCTAGGAATTTTCATGGAAAGAATCGACGCTTCGTTCCAAGCGCAATATTGCGATGATATTAACGAGTGTCAAGAACAACGTGCGTTATGTGGAGCTAACATGGAGTGCATCAACACTCCTGGTTCATATGCATGCCAATGCAAGCCAGGTTTCACTCTATCAAATAACACAAATGATTGCGTCCTTATGCCTGGTTACTGCCTCGATGGTCTCACAGTCTGCGATAAAAATGCAATGTGTCGTCAGATCGGAGCAAGACGTTTCGACTGTAAATGCAAAGTTGGATATGCTGGCGATGGTTACCGTTGTGCACCTGATCGTGATTTAGATGGATGGCCTGATTATGGTTTAAGATGTTCCAATCCGTTCTGTAGTCAAGATAATTGTCCATCTATTCCGGTATAAACTTAACTCTCTTAACGAATGACATTTTAGTTAATTCCTGCAATTTATTTGTTGTTATCTAGAATTCAGGTCAAGAAGACACTGATGGAGATGGAATTGGAGATGTCTGTGATCCCGACATTGACAACGATGGAATCTTAAACAAAGCTGTTAGTTTTAAATTACTTTTAAACTTTAAAATTATTCTGAAGAATGAAATAATCTTTAGGATAATTGTGTTTACATCTATAATCCCGATCAAGCTGACACAGATGATGTTGAACGTGATAAAGTTGGCGATGCATGCGGTAAAATTTTTCTTTAATGTATTTTAAAATTTATTCACTTAATTTTTTAATTTAGACAATTGTGTTCGTGTTTTCAATGGTGATCAGATTGACACTGACAATGATGGTTTAGGTGACGCATGTGATCCAGTAAGAAAAAGAAAGAAATTTTGTTTGGATTGGAAATTAAAACTAAATTTCATTTCTAGGATATTGACAATGATGGAATTTACAACGAAGACGACAATTGTCCTTATGTTGCTAATCAAGATCAAATGGATACTGATTTCGATAGGATTGGTGATGTATGTGATAATTGCGACTTGACTCCAAACATGAATCAAAGAGACAGTGACGAGTAAGTATTCAAACCTTAGTAGCGTTGTCGATCAATAATTTCTACACTCAACAGTGATTTGGTTGGTGACTCATGTGACAATGACATCGACACAGATGATGATGGAATCCAAGACAATCGAGATAATTGTGTTTACGTTCCTAATGCAGATCAAACTGACACTGATGGTAAGTTTTGGTTTCAATTAAAGACTTTTCTTTGTGAAAGTTTTAAGCAGCTTAAAATTGTTTCTTAGGTGATGGCATGGGAGATGCTTGCGACGATGACATTGACAATGATATGATTCTGAATGATGTCGATAATTGCGTCTTTACTCCAGTAACATTAAACATTACTTCTCAATAACAGTTAATGAACACAAATTTGTTACAGAATTATGATCAAATCGACACCAATGGCGATGGTAATGGCGATGCATGCGGAGATGATTTTGATGGCGATAGTGTCAAGAATTTCGATGATGTTTGTCCGTACAACAATAAAATTATTTCAACAGATTTTAGGAAGTTTCAAAGAGTAAGACTCGACCCTGTCGGTGACAATCAAAAAGACCCAAAGTGGGTGATCTACAACAAAGGCGCTGAAATGGTGCAAACTCTTAACTCAGATCCTGGTCTTGCAATTGGTTATGATTCATTCACAAATGTTGACTTTGAGGGAACTCTTTTCGTTGACACTGAAATCGATGATGATTACATTGGATTTATCTTCAGTTATCAAAGCAATCGAAGATTTTATGCCGTTACATGGAAGAGAAATGCTCAAGAGTATTGGGATAAGACGCCTTTCGTTGCTTATGCCGAGCCTGGTATTCAAATCAAACTTGTTAACAGCAACACTGGCCCTGGAGAATTTTTAAGAAACAGTTTATGGCACACTGGAACCACTTCGAACGAGGTGAAACTTTTATGGAAAGACCCGAGAAATGTCGGGTGGAAAGAGAAGACGGCTTATCGTTGGCATTTGATTCATCGACCAAAAATTGGACTTATCAACATGAAGATTTTTAATGGAAAACGTTTAGTTGCTGATTCAGGAAACGTTTACGATTCAACACTCAAAGGGGGTCGATTGGGAATGTACGCATTCTCACAAGAAATGATCATTTGGTCGAATTTAGTTTACCGGTGTAATGGTTAGTTGTTCACATTGGAGATGAACACCTTGATACGTTAATTAAATGTAAATTTATTTCAGACAATGTTCCTGCAAAAATCTTCTCAAAGTTGCCTCCAAATTTGCAACGCGAATGTCAAATCGAATCATACTTGAAACGAGCAAGAGAATTTTAAGTTTAATGACAGCTCAGTGACGAGATCAACTAAGTAATCTTGGGTTGATGATGATGAACGAGACATATTAGTGTCAATAAAATTCTTCCCACTTTTATTTGGCAAACAATGAAATCTATTTTAAACTTTTAATTGCATTTACTTTGATCAATAACATCTGGCTTTATTATCACATCAAGTGACGTAATCTTTTTTAGCACTGGTTGATGTGAATCATTCTGACGTTTAGAAATATTCTATTTGCATATTCAATACGACAAACTACGCTGTGATTGAGTAATTAAATGACAAATATTTTGTTTGAGAAGTTTAACATTTTGGATGAAATTTCTAAGAACATTCAAAGTAATTCCATTGATTATAATTTCTTAGTATCAGCTTACGAATTCTTGGAATTTATTCAACATCACTCACTCATTCATTACAGAAAATTCTCTTAGAATTCATTAAGTTACGTTATTCGTGCTCCACCCATTTCTATCGCAACATATACTTTCATTTAAACGTTCGCTGCTATTTAATTATGCTTCAATCATATTTGCATTGCATATTCAAATAAGTGGAAATCATTAAAAATTTAATGTTAAACGTTTAGCCGTCGTTTACCTGCTTCAACTTGTATTTCTTTTCTTCACCTTTCTTGAAAATTCTCTCTTTATTGTGAATGTTTCTAAATTTATGTAGAGAGATATTTTCGTCTCACACCACCAATGCTAATAGTTTTCATGTATTAATTTTATTGTTAACATGTTTGGTTACCTGAGTTGGATATTTATTAAAGAGAACTTACCTGAGTCAAGTTGAATGGAAAGAGCGAAAGAGAACTTGTGGTGAACCTGTGCTGAATCTTTCATCAAATTTACATGTTCTACATCCTGTTTAGTGACAATTTGTCTGACCAATCCGTTCGTCACTGTGACACTTCTTACATAGTAAGATCTACCCGATTCTTGATGACACAGCGACGAGGTTGTTTGGTTTAAAAATAATTTCCATGCTCTCATGCCGACCATTCTCTCTTTCGCTCTCTGAAATGATATTTTTGTTTACGGTATTTTTGTGTTGTTAAAAGTTGTTTCTGGCTGAGATTTTTTTTCTACTTGCACGCTCAGCAAGCGAGGGAAAAAGTGAGTTCATTAAAGTTTCGATGTTAGGCCGAGAAAGTTGCGCGCGCGCGTCTCGCTAAGAATCCATCAACTTCTTGTGAATGTGAACCATCAAGAAGAAGTTTGAGATCTTCTTCTTTTCATTGCATTGTGATTTGAACGAGTAGTGGAAAGTTATACAACGAAAAATAATAATCAGAAAGATCCAGTTTTAATGCAGCAAAAGAAAAAGCAGAGAAACAATAATTTGAACCAATTTCTTGAATTGTGAGAAATAATAAAAACGAGTTCTTAGATCAAGCTGTTCATCATTGTCTTCCATCGAAGCTTTTTTTATATTTTTCTCTTGAATGGAGACTTTTCGCGATTGCATAGTGGATAAAGTTTAGTTTAAAACGAAAAGTGACACAGAATCAAAACGAGTTGAATTTTCTTTCTTTTTTTTTTACTTTTGTCGGACGTGTAGTTACGATAGCCATCAAAGTAGTGCTGATTGTAATGTGTATGTTGCTATAGTGACTAAAACACCATCGTTTCGCTTTGATGGACATAACGAGAAGTTCACCAACATTAGATATTGAAATTTTCTTTCTTTTGTACTTCAAATTAATTCGAGTTTAGAGATTTGTATTTTTTTTTTCGAAAACCCGATTGATGGTCGTTGCTTGACCCCACGCCTTCGATTCCAAAAATATTGTCATGCAAATGTTTGTCGAAAGTGATCGTGAGTGGAAGCAGCTTTTTAGTGTCTAAACAACGAGTGAAGAAAGAAAAAAAAAACATTCAAAAGCCCGTTACTGTGATTTTTGTTATTTAACAACGTGAAGACGAAGAAATTTTGACTTCAACCAGAAAGAAGTTAGAGACGTGAATTGTTGTGCTTCTTCTGTGCCACATGACGGGTTTTACTTACGAAGACACAGCTATAGCGAAGGAAAAGAAGTTTTAAGTGGATTTTTATTTTAGTTTTTTGCTTTCCTTCTTTTGCCTTCTTCAAGTTGTAAATCGAAGAAACGAAGCAAAAGAAATTTATTGTTGATCGGTAAGATTATGTTCTTTCCATCTCACTCTGTCTTCTGCATTTCTTTACACCATTTTCATTCCATTCCATATCCCAGAAAGTCAAAAAGTACCTGAAAGAGTATCGACAGCGTTTGAATGTGAAACTGACATCATTTATGTGCTTTTACTTTGTAGAGCAAGCAGTGGTTGATTGCATTTCTTGAATATTTTTATTACAATGAAACTTCTTTTAAGACGAACATTAAATTCAAGCCTACAATTACTTACATGAGAAGTTCTCATAAATATTTATTCACAAATACCTAATAAATTCCACTCCATAAGTTTTGATCGATTTTTTTCTGTCTCTTTTCTCTTGATTGAAAATTCTTGGGGAGTTGGCAAATGCCATTTAATGCTAATTTGTAATGCCTTCTTAAGTAACCTCTGTACTTAATTGAATTATGAAATTTATTCGCTATCGACATGGGTAGGGACTTGACATCATCATTGTTTTTAAAGGGTTCCATATCGCGAATCTGTCACAAGGGAATCTTGAGTAATCGTGTGTGTTGCTGTCTGGATAATCGATTATTAAAGTCGAAAAAAGTTCCCTAAACTCGTAATATACTCAACGACACACACTAAAGCTTCGTCATTGCTTGTACAAACAAATATTTGAAGTGTTTCGGTGAGTTGCTTATGGGATTCCATTCTCGTTTCGCTTAAATTGCTACGAAAGTGATTTGGTTTTAGTTAAATGATCAGGAAAATTGCCCCACAATCGCAAATTGCATTTGGAAAATAAAATATCAGCCGCACATAAACTCGATTAGCAATCAAAACTTATCAATTTCTACTTTTTTCTTGCCGCTAATAATTTTCTAAGATTTACCAGATCAATGAATAAGAGATTAAAATCTGGTCGAGTTAAGTTTTGGGTCAACAGTCCATTCTCATTAGTGTGTGGTGAAAAGAAATCTCAAACAAGCAAAAATATCATGTCCAACGTCTTTTGACGTGTTATGCAAAAAAATATAAAACAAAAATTACGCCAAAAAAAGAGAAATGGTTTCGACAACAACACCTTGCGATATCTCAGCGACTTCAACTTCTTTTCCACTTTCATTGTTCGCTTTTATCGACCGAAGGCGATAAAGTAAGTCACCAAACCCATTCCAAGTAACAAGCCGAAAACAGCTGAAAGCTAAAGTTCCGCTACTTTGAGTCAGCGATCAGTGAAAAAAACGACGCAATTACCAATGCAAATTCCATGTTGATTTAAAGCAAGAAAAACAAATTTCGTGGATATTTTTTCATGTTTCTTTCTTTTGCTTTCTCTCTTCTGTTATCGATCGATTCACGAGACTTTAGAAATTCATAATTGTGACGATTTCCTTCTTTTTTTTCTTTCAATTAATTTTTCTTTCTCTCTTTTTGCATGACGTGCCAACTGAAAGCTTTAATCAAAAAATTTGAGTTGTTTTCAAGATTTTATTGCATTTTGTTGATCTTTAACTGTTTGGCTGTTCATTTTATGTTGAATGAATTTCCGTTCTTATTATTATTCCCTCACATCTACTGTCTGAATAAAGAATCATTGTTTTGTTTCCGAAATTGTCTTTCATACTTATGAATTCTTAGCTGTCGATAAAAAACAAAACGAATGACTTGAAATTGTTCTTTTTTTACCACGACATTAATTGTTTGAAAAGATTTTGTAGAGATCACTGAACTGGACATTTTAGCATATAATAAAATAAAAAGTAACATAACTGACCGCAATATTCTTAAAACGGGTTCTTATTTAGTTGCGTCACTCACTCCAGTAAGAATATTATTAACTTTACAATCATTGAAATATAATACAAGAGAAGAGCTTCGAAGCGAAACCATTCGAGTTGTTAATAATTTTTTGCATAAAATTTGTTGTGCACTTCCTTTCCACTTATGTTACCTCTCGTTACCTTCAGTTAGTTTTGCTTCTTATTCAGTTTTGATGCTTTGCACAACTCGACAATCAAGTTTCTTTCCACAAAGATGTTGCCATTCCTACTTCAATTCTTAGAATAAGCTAAAGTAGAAATAAATCTTTTAGTGTAGAGATTTCCGTGCCGCTGTTGAATGTATTGGAAAGCCGCATATCTTCCAAATGCCAAACCTTTGAGACATCAGAAAAAAAAAGTATTGAAATAAATTTTATGAATCTTCCGATGTTTTCAACTCATTCAATTTCATTTCCCTTTGAGACGTGTTTTCTTTTTCACTCTCTTAAGACGATGCAAACTGTGTAGACATGAATTGTGATGTGGGAAAGTTTCACGGTTGAAATGTTAGGGACTCGTTGCTTATTTACAAATACAAAGCATGACGTTTATGTTTACGTTAAAGACGAAAAGTGACATCATTTATTAACCACTAAGGCTTTATGAAATGTAAAAATATTCTCTCGACAGGAGATATGAAGTAACAATAAAACGATTAATTGAGAGAAAAAGAAGCGATGGATGTCGAGGAAGAAAACATTTTTAAGTCGAGAATGTGACGAGCGCATCGTGAAAAACTATAAATTAAATTTAATGTCGGATATTCAAGTTAATTCCACTCCAAGCTGTGATGACAAAACGAATAAAATCTGGCAGCAACGCAAGAAGCAAATAAATTTGTGTCGACAAAATAAAAATGTGGTTTAAATCCGAATCCACCCACAATTATCACTTTCGTTAGCAAGTATCTCCAGTGTTATTCAAAGACGCTTCGAAAACTCTTTTTTGGATGACGATTAATTTCAGTTTCTTTATTATTTAAATTAAATTTAGGAATGTGCGATGTGATGATGCAACCATCGCGAATGATTCAGACGCAACGCTGCGTGATTTTAAATGAAGCGTTTAATTGCCTTCTGAAACAAGTTCTGACATTCTCACGAATTCTTTGTGAATGGAAAAGTAAGATTTCGAAAGTTTTCAACTTTACGTGATTGATCGTACGAATGTTTATCTGAGATCTCTTTTTAACCAAACCGCAATATCAGATTAAAAGATTTCACAGTGCCAATGATGAAATGTTATCAAAGTTATGTTGGAATTAAGTTTCACATGTTCCAAATTAAAATTGGTTTTATTCGAAACGTAAATTAATTTTTTGTTTAATAAAACGAAGTTCTAAGTTGAAGTGTTTACGATTCTGAAAGTTTAACGTCGTCACGTCGTCATGTTTTCATATTTTCACTTTAAGAAAAATATAAAATAAAATCGAAAGTCGTAAAAATGGACCTAGAGAGGAATGAAATGTCGGCAGAGCATCTAGAAATGCATTCAAAGCATAATGTGACTAACGACAACAAGTCAAAGGCCTCATTTGTTATACAAATAAAGCTTGATCTGTTTGATCCACAGTGTCTCATTTAAGCAGACTTATCTTGAAAGAAAAAGCAATAGGAATTTGATACTCCGTCTATAAAGGCATCCAATGAGGTGTTGCCACTCGTGATATTTCACGGAACGCTAAAATATTCAAGAAAAAGAGAAGAAGAAACAAAAATGTTACAGTTTGGCATTAAGCAATCATTATGCTTAACTAAAGCATCTCAAAAAAGCTAAAACTCAATAAAACGAGCAATATATCTAAATACTCTTAAAAGATGTCAAGACTGCAAACTATTTTATTTTGAGATTTATTTATTGTTGTCGAGTTCAGAGGAGAAGAATAAGAAGGAAAAAATTGGAAAGTCAGTCGAAATATTTTTGTGCTCAAATCAATAATAATTGCATCGAGTGGCGACGTTTGGTGAAGTTTATGTTTCATTTTTTTACTGACAACATCACAAGCTTGCAATGAGAAAAAAAATTAATTGCACTATAGTGTGCAGTTCTTTTTTTGTAGATTTCGATTACGTAAATTAGTAAATTGTAGCAACAACGATGTCGAGTCTAAAGACGTAAAAAATATTGAAAAATAAATAAAGTCGTTAGATTGTTGTCCATGATACTTGATTATAAGCTTATTGGCCGTTTGAGTCACCATCTTACACGCTTTTTGTTACTCAACGTTCAACAAAGAAACTTTCTACGATCTTGGGGAACATAATTTCAATTAAACTTTTTTTCTCTTATTATTGCATAGGCGAAACTGTGTTTTAAGTTAGAAAAGACTCATTTCAGCAAACTACAATGTTTTTATTAACTTTGTAACCTTTTTCACAAAAGTCAAACCTATTCTCGATTCATTAATCAGATTTAAATAAAATGTAATAAGTGAGAAGATTAATGCAGCGCAAGAAGTTTAATTAAATAAATTTCATAATCATTCTTTATGATCTCGTTTTTTGAATGAAACTTCAAAGCTTTTAATATTTAAAATATCACGACACCGCGTCATCAGATTAACTCTCAAAATATTAAAAAAATTAATCGCTTCCATTTTTTTCACCCAATTACTGAGTAAATATTTTGAGTTTCCAAATCAATATTGATCAACTTTTGTTTGTAACAGAAATGTGACTTGATTAATTGGAATTTTATAATCACTTCCGACTTGTTTTGCCATTAAAAACTACTTTATCGTAAATGATCTTATTAAAGATGATTGATTCGTAATCTCTTGCGAAATCAATCTTTCTTTCTTATTCATTTTTTGAAAGTGAAGTTAAAGTATTTCTACTTAGTGAATTTCCATTAAAATCCAAAATTTATGCACTGTTTTGTATCTCAAATGCTTTTCAATGAATGAAAAGAAATAAATTATTAGGAAAGAAACATTTAATGCATACAAAGGCGCAAGAAAATATTTTACTACCTAAATGAAAAATGTTATCTCGTGCTCTCATAATAATTTGAATGAAAAACCATTTAGTGAAATCATGAACCCATGCATAATTTTTCTATGCTGCTTTAGCCAAGCTTGTTGCGCTCTTATGTTAACTGTTGGAACTGTAAGCCAAGTACAATACTCGTACACAAATTTAGTAGCAACAACGTTGTTGAGAATGGAAGTGCACAGCATGAAATTCATTTTTTTTATTCACGATTACTCATTGGGACCGTTTACCATTTTTAATTATTCAAAATAACTACAATTCAGTTATGTAAATATTTTCTATAAATTTTCAAAGTAAAATATTATGTTGTTGATTTCCCTCCGGTGATTCAAGATTTTTGCTTACTTTGGCTAAGTAATTTTGAAAGTGATCGTGTGAAAATATTTCTGACAGTTAATAATTTCAGGCGGTTGACACTGTTTTCATCCGACGTCTATTAATAGCATGAAGCGATGGTGATTCTTCTCAATTTTATTTTTCTTTCTTTCTATTGTACAAAAGACATCTACGAATTTTTTTCATTATGAATAATGGACAAAACATAAATCTGAAATCTGAGTAACTTTGGGTAACAAAGCTATTCTCTGTTGCTTAAAAGTTACAAACGCGTGTACTCAAAATGTAATTTATTGCTTTGCTCGTGGTTATGCGCGAGACTAACGAAATTAACTGAAGTTAGATTATAATCATCTAAAGCAAAGAACAAGCGTTAGTTTTCGTTTGAAATGAACCGATAGATCTATCTAGACAACGCGTGAAAAAAAAACTGGTAACGTGGAGACGCCCAGCCCAGTTCACCTTCAAGAGCTCAGCTTGCTGTCATGAAAATCCCTCAGGTGCAAATTGAATTCAATTGCAAGTTAAAAACTATTTTTTATAAAAAATGATTTCATCATTTGTCGTGTTTCATAATTTTGTCTTGAAGAAGCTGAAGAAAAGTAACAGTTCATCGTGACTGAAATGATTGTGAACGAAACTAATCAAAACATCATCAACTTGTATTTTTGATTTCAACACGTTTCGAGTAGGAAGACGTCAGCAAATTTCAACTCTGATCCCGATTATTCAGAGAAGTAATTTCAAGGCAATCGCACTTAATTTAAGCTTCAGCAAGACAAGTCAATCATCCGGTTGCAGTGTGATTAAAAGCTTTGCAGACAATTGTCTCTCGTAACGCGATTTAATCGTAACTGATATTTTAATAACTTCAGTCAATTAATGTAACTTTGAATGGCTTTGACTCAGTTCGTGTTTTGTTAGCTTCCTTTTTTATTCACATCCAAAAAAATTGCCAGTGAAATTCCGCATTCTTCCCCTTAAGCCATCATGAATAACATTTGAATTATAATTAAATGTGAGCAATTTTCCATTCAAGCGTTTGTTGAATTATTAAACTTCAATGATCTAAGTGTTCATTGAGTTTTCCTACATTTTCCTTCTTGACAAATTGATTTATCAATTTTGGATTGAAATTTATTAATTTCACTAGCTCAACGTTTTAAAATGAAAATTCTCATTCTTGGGCTCAAAATGTTTCACATTGAAATGCAAATTGAAATTTTCCCTGAAATATTTAGCTTCATACAAATTAGCAATTTTAAGATTTTTGCAATTTTCATCGACTGATTCGATAAACTTTGATCATGAAAAGAAAATTCTTAAATAATTTCCTAATCGCAGTAAAGTGATCAAATTGAATAAATTTAATCGCTATAACTTCTCAATTAAGAGACTTTTAGTCTGCTCTACACAAAAGAAGCAAAATCAAACAATTCTTCGATTCACTTTTGCAATGAAACAAAAAGAAAATTTGTTGAATGAAATTTAAAAATAAATCGCGAAAAAAAGTTTTTTTGACAATTCTATCTCATTGACAGTATCAACATGAAACTTTCTTTTTCCGAGTTTTATCAAAGTATAAATAGATAATAAAATTATATTTAATTAGACATTTTTCACTGCAAAAGAGACTTAAAATCTGCTGTTTCATTTCATGAATCAAAGGTCCATTGAAAACGGAAAGTTTCACGAGCATGCACAGATTCCAAACAAAACAGACAATGGATTAATTTTCCCAAAAGTAGGAGAGTGAGAGAGAGAGAAATAAAAAGTGTAGAATGAATGAAGATTGAAGATCATGTTATATTGTTGACGTGCATGGGCGGATGGTTGAGTGTGACACAGATTTATTGGCTTGGGAACTCAACGGTGGCCTCCATTATTGTATTCTTTTTCACTTCATTACACGAAGATAAATAATTTATAAATAAAATTTCTAATTTAAGTCTTCTTCGTTCACTTTCAGATGCTGAAAATTGATTAAATATTTAAATCCATTAAAGATGGATGATTTTGATAATATGTCAGAATTTTCGCCATTTACATGGCAGCCAGTTTATTCAGATGGAAGCAGCGGTGAACTGATGGATTTTAATTCAGCTATTGGAGATCAATCACATTTATCGTCATCACGTGGAATGCTTGAAACGATTGTTGAAGAGACTTCAGATGATGAGGAGAATGGTCTTTACAGTGGCAATTGGTCGGGAAGTGACAGCTTTAGTTCAGGTTCGTCTGAGACAGGCTCTGTTGTTAGAGTTGATGTAACTCATGGTAAGTTAACCTTCTGAATAAACATTCAAGTCATAATTAAACTTTATTTTAATCTCTTTTAGATCAAGACAACCAAGATGCAATCTCAGAGCGTGATTTCATTTGCCCACCAAAACGACGTCGTCAGGAAGTTGAACAAGCAAAACTTGATTTCATTCCAACTTCGTCATTATTTAGTCAGCTGCTGAATCCAACTGCGAATGCAGAGAATGGAATTTTCGACAATTACTTTATGAAGCAGAATGACCTTCGGTAAAACTTAAAATGTTATTTGAATTTAAACTTGCATTGTGATTTGTGGATATTTATGGAACAAGCGTGAGCAAAACGGGAATTCGTATAGTGACATCATTTCAATTCATAAATCCAGAGAGCATTGCATGCAAATCCCTCTCTCTATCTCTCTCATAATCTCGATCAATTATTTTCCCCTTCCGTTTACTCAGAGTTGCTTGAGTTCCACAGCAAACAATGAAACGACCGCGAATTATTATCGTCATTTGTCATGTGCCATTCGTAGGATTACATCGATTGTTATTGTTACGAGATCTTTTTTTATTGTTAACTTTATTCAAATTATTATCTCTTAGTGCCTTAATGTGCATTCAAAATGAAGTTACGACATAATATTTAATCAGTGGTTGTGAACAATAAGTTAATATCTAAGAAAGGCAAGTCAAAAATGACGACGAATCTTGAATATTTCATTCGTTCCACTAAATTAAAAATAATTTCATAAATTTATTTACTAAATGAATGTTTTGCAAAAACATAAAAGAAGAATATTCATGCTTTTAGGTGTGTGTTTAGATACATTGACATTAATTAAGCGCTTCTCATTAATAAACATTAAAAAAAAGATCACATTCAGCAACATCAATTGTTTACTTAATGCGATTTATAATTCTTTCATTATATCAAGCACACACACATATGTAAGGTTTAAAGATCACTTTTTATTCATTCTTCTTCCACTTTGCATGCTATACTCGCAATCCTTAAGTTATCAATGAAAGTATGTCATTTCATTCATTTGATTTGGTTTGTTGAACTGTGGAATATTAAAAGAAATATTTTTCATTGGAAAACATTCTCGACAATCGTCGTTTGCTTTAAGTCACAATATAAAGTGAAATTCAAAGAATTTTAAATCAGAAATGGTCATGTTGGAAATGTGTGTGAACGTGGATAAAATTTTAAAAACATTTAATTTTAACATAGTTAAGTCCGATGAAGATTAATAGCGACATAACAGACAACGACCACGATCTGACATATTTCCGTCTACAATTACTTTCACAATAATTTACATGTAAAATCTACACACCTAAGCGACTTTTCAATGATCATTAATTTTCTTGCCACTTCAAAAAAAAATATATTCAGGTTGATAATTTTCAAAATTCGCTTCGTGCAAGAAAATATGAAATTAAGAGTGCCACTGATTCAACTTCCTTCAATTATTTTATTTGCTTTGCTTTTTTTATAAACTCGCAAATTATCTACGGAAACATTGAGACGAAATTGCACAGCATCCAATTACTTAGCTTTGAAAGCATTGAAAGTTTTGTATACTTATCAAGACTCTTGATGAAACATAACAAATCATTCGACTGAAACTAATTGATGATATCGTGAAAATATCTCAATCTCTTCTCGTGCTCTCTGAATAGATCGAAGTAATTCGAAAGCGTTTTTTTTCACATATCTAAAATTGTTGAATTTATTTTTGAATTAGTCTCGTGCAATGAAATGTAAGAAGAAAAGTGTGTGCTTCTGAATGAAGATGATCATCTTGTAGACTTCAAGTAGTCATGAAGCAAACATTTGTCTTCATTTATTTTCACCTGAGATTATATTGAAGTGATCGAGAGAGAAAAAAATTGAGAGAAATGTTTAATCAATGAATGCGTGGGTGGGTGAAAATGAATGAAGATTAGAACATGGAAACTTTTGCGATGATTTTCTTCTTTAAACTCTTCAAGTTTATTTATTTCTTGTTAATCTTGATTTAAATAACTTCTCATTACTCAGGTAAACAAAAAAAATGAAAGTTTTTGGGGATCGTTTAAAAGTCATGTAACTTGTATTGACCAATGTTGAGTCAGCTACATTTGCTTGTTTATAATTTAATATTTCTAAACATAACTTGACTCAATTTATGTGTTATTTTTATATCTTGTTGTTTCTCATCTATCTTCTCATATAAAACGCCATCAAGTGTCAGAAGTCTGCTCTAAAAATCAAAAACAAACCAAACATAATGGATTCATTTTTACATTAACCCGGTTTTTCCAGTCAATTTTCCGCCTAATTATAGAAGAAACCGAAAAAATGAAAACAAGTAGAAACAAGGCAGTTTTCATCTTAAATTTCACAGCGAATGGTGTTGCTTTTTACGACAGACGCTTCTTAATTTTTACTCGAAAAGTTCAAAAGAACTTTCCATTATCGCTTGATTACTTCAGAGTGTTAATTTGAATGTTTTGTGAGGATTGAAAGTAATTCTCACGAGTCCACCGTGTGTGCACAATAAAAATGTTTTTAACGGGATTAATTTAATACAATTGTCAATTATTTTAATAACTTTAATGTAATTTCGTGATGTGAATAACGGAAGTACTGACACCTATAAATTTAATTAGAATCTGACATGATTGATAGTGATCCCCCGGTCGAAATGCAATGCGCGTGCATTCTCTATTTTAAGCAAGTCATTAATCTCATGTAAAACAGTCAACAAAAAAAGGAAAAAGATCTTTGAAGACATTTTCTAAGAAAGAAAATCTTTGTGATTGCTTTGCCAGGGGAAATGAAAAATCGTTCGCTTCACTTGTTGTCATACAAATTGTCACAGTTTTATGAACATCATAAACATTGACGAGAAAACATTTGTTGGAAGTTATAAACAGTTGTTGTGTTTTTTTTATTATCAACTTAAAACTTCTTTAAGTAGATATCGGGGAAATGTTTTGGGATAAATAAAAATTTATTGATTGATTGATTGGATATAAAAGATAAAACGTAAATTGTGAAAGTCTGAAAAACACAATCAAAGCTAAGGTTGATATCTGATAAGAAGTTTAAATGATAAGAACGTCTTATCATATCTAAAGATAAAAACCCTTCTGAATGTTTAAAATATTTTCTATGAACTTATTACACCTTCAGACATGATTCAAAGTTGAATTAAGCGCCTCAAAATAAATAAAAATATTTTTCACAGTGAAGTGTGAACAGAAAAAAATTCCATTGAACTTCATTAATCACATGAAGAAATAAAAAATAAATTGAATGTCTCAGAACAATTCCTCGACGCCATTTGAGGAGGGAAAAAATGAATTTAACACAAGTGTAATTAGTTGTATGTGAACACAAACATTCCAAACGTTGTTCACTTCGTAATTCCGAAACAAACAGTTAATTGACTCAACTTTTCGAACGAATATTTTAAAGAATTATTAAATCTAATTGATTCTCAACCTCCACAGTTGGCAAAGTTTGCTCCAGAAAAGTAAATGTAAACAGTTCCAAGCGAGATATTTTTATAATATGATTTAAAGTCTTAAAAATTTCAGTGCAAAGTGAAAATAATTAATTAAAAATTCATCTAATCGTTTCATGTTGTTTCTTATTTCAGATACCGATTCGATGAATTGGGCGTTGAACTCTTTTCTGATTCAGATCGATTGTCATACACGTCGTTAAGTCGTTCATCGTCATTGATACAATTTGAGTCTCTTGAACGTCAATTGCAAAACGATTCACAAATCTCGGGATCATCACCGTCATTATACTCCTACGAAGGCTCTGCGGCTTCATCAAGTGCCCCTGCTACTCTCACCTGTCAAGAGATTAATGAAAAATCATCACCCATTGCTATAAACTCGTTGCCTACAATCAAAATCACAACCCCCCCACCAGGTGTTGTAACATCAACAATACAATATAACAATTCAGATTCAGAGCCATTTTCAAGCAGCAGTACAAGTGGAAGCTACTCTAGTGACGATAGTGAAATTCATCACAGCGAGAAGACGAAATCAAACGAAATTGTTAACGATTCTTCCCTGTCGTCAAACGCGTCATCTGAAGAGAAGGCAAACAGCAACACCAACACATCGATGATCAAATCAACCGAAAATAGAAAGAAATATTTGAATAGTTTTCGAGCCAAAAATTCGGTAGACAGTTTGAGTGAGGATTCAGGATATTGTGATCGTGATATTCGTTCATTGCCAGTTGGTGCTCTTTCCCTTGATTCATCTCTGCCAACAGGAAATGATTTAGAAGATGAAGATGGAAGTGTCATTGAAGAGAAAAGTATTCTAAGAGACACAAATCCAATGCGTCACTTTTCGCTATCGCCAAGAATTCGAACTCACTCCGACGACGACGATATTTGTTATCACAGTATGGAAAATCTTAATAGAAAATTTAAATCAAGAAAAATTGATTTACTGAGCGAGATTAACATAGAATCCGTGAGTACACGCAAGACTCTTCCAAATACCAACCGTCAAGAGACAACAAAAACAACGAAATCTTTAAAAATAGAATCACCGAACGAGCACATCTCAAACGAACACAAGCCGATGGTTAAAAATATTTCCGAGGAGATTTCACATCAAGCACAAAGCGAGAAACTCATTTCCATCAGTTTACCGGAGCTCTCAGCGAGCGGTGACATTTCCAGAAAGATTCGTTCGAAACGTAAAAGAAATTATCGTGAATCGTTCGATGAGTTTCGTGATCAATTTTCGTCGATATCGAGTGTACCCGATTTCGTGAATTTAACTTTGGATCGTGCGGATTTCAGTGACTTTTCTCCCTCCTGGACGGATACTTGTGACACAGTTGCAAGCAAGAATTTTAATTTATACGATTTTAACTTCGGTGCATGTTCATCGTCACAGAAACAACAAAAACTGGTCGATATTTCTGCGAGTTGTGCAAATCTCACGCTTTTAAATTACTCTGACGATAGTGAATTTTGTTATGATACTCGAAAGTTAGTGTCAGTAAATCGATCGAAATCCCAGACGATGAGTAGTGGAAAAGTGCCAATGAATATGTACTCAAACTCAAGTGATGACGATGATGATGCTTACATTGCATCGTTTCGTAGTAAAGAGTTAAGTTCATTGTTGGAAGAAATTTCTGCACATTTTGATAAAAATTTGTCGATTTTAAATGACCGTGAAGCTTCCTATGAGCCGAAAGTTGATGTTGTTCAAGAGGAAGAAAAAATTAAAACTGTGCAAACGATGAAAATGCCTCCTCCAAAGCCACCTCCGCGTAGAACACAAATCAAAACAAGTCCGAATCATTCGGCACCGAAAAACTCTTCTTTTGATCGGGATCCTACAAACTTGGTGACGTCTTATGCACAAAGTCTCGAAAAGTGTAATTTTAATGTTGATGAGCCGATAAATGTTTACAGTTCGCGACAAAATCTTTACCTGATACCCGACGAGCCGGTAGCAAGCATTAATGTTGACCTGCATCAATCAACGCCCATAAAAAAAAGAAATTTCGTATCAAGCACCCCAAATTTAAATTATTTTGATTCTAACATGAAGCATGTTAATCATTATAGTTCGACTGATAATACAGCTACAGCAGAACAAGATTATTTAAGTCCGTCATATGTTAATGACGATGACAATCGTTGTAATTCAATGAAAGAAATTCCAACAAATGGTGGCGGTTCAACAGGGATTCTTGCTGCACATTCAACGGCTGGTTCTAAGAGTGGACTTTCTGTAAGTTTCTGTCCTATTGTAAGTGAAATAAGCTGGCAGGAAACTGCAGAAGACGAAGATTTTACTGATGATGTTGATATGAATCATTGTGGGGAACAATTTTCAAGCAAGAGAAATGATTCTCTAGTAAATTATTATAACAACAATGACGATGGAAATGAAAATGATGATGACGATGACGAAGATTTTGATGATTTCATTGCTGTTGGGCCGTCGATGAAAGAAACTTCCACATGTGTTGGTGATCACAGTACAAAACTACAAATTCATACAAATGTTAATGATGAAAACATTGAAAATATTGAAAACATTGAGAATGATGAAAACATTGAAAGCATTCAATCAGAAGCGATCATCAATCATGAAACATTCACACAACTAAACAAAGCAACATTGGAAACAATCAACAAAAAAGATTCAACACAAGAAAATTTCATATCGACTAACAGTCAGAAAAATATGCTTGTCGAGCAAACACCTAGCGAGAAATTTATTGCCAACGAGGCATCAGCTGGTACAATGGAGAAGAGTGTTAGCAGTCAAATGTTAACAACAGTACCACAAAAAGTGTCAAGTGATCCTCCAATGCCGCCACCAAAAAGTGCCAAGAATAAAAAATCTATTTTCTCGCGATTGTCTTCCGGTTTTCGATTCTCTTTCCGTGGTAAAAAGAATAAAAAGCTTGGTAATGATGGGGTTGTTCATTACCCCGTCGAAGCAAATAATAACAGTGGAAATAATAAAAATAAACGTGACAAGTCACAGAAAATTTCAAATGCTATCGACAATGAATTTGTTTTCATCCCGTTAAAAGATCCAAACGATAATTTGAAAATTTTCGATTCACATGTTGATAACAGACAATTATCGGAAGTATCACAAAAGTTGCAGCAACGCGAGTCTGAGAATCAGCAACAGCAACTCTCAGTTGATCGTAAATCGCGAACAATGCCACGTGAATCTCCACCGAAGAGTAATCAAGTTACGGGTAAACCACCCCTTCCCAAACTTCCACCTCGTATTGTCGGAACCACAACAAAACGCCCTTCTACGCATGCACCAAGAGCATCGTCTACACCACGCGAAACAGAAGTCGATGGTGGTGAGTTTTACAATCAGAACATGTTAGGTGATGGGCTGAAGCAGTATTACTCGAGTGGTTCACGTACATTAGGCGCGATGGGAAGTGAACACAAAATCGGATTAATCGAGACAAATCTCGATACTGATGAAACAATTATCAATGGCAAAACACAAAGTCTCATGGAATTGGGCATTGGTCAAAACGGTGGACATACAAATCGTATGCAAGTAATGCAAAATGTGAATAGTGGAAGTGGTAACGGTAGCAATGTCGAAAGTGGTCGTCCACATAAAAGTATGGAATTTTTATTGGATAAAGAAAACCATCAGAGAGTTTTGGTGAGTACTTAAACATTTATATTTGAACAAGCATTGATAGCTGGCACGTCGTTTTATGACTCTACGAAGAAAATAATTTCTTTTCGTCATCATCCCTTTTTCTTTTCCTTTCCTAACACCAGTGACAGATGAACAAGCTCAAAACGTCATGGAATAACAAATTTGTCCCCAATTTCCCTTCCGACTTTTCAACTAACACCATAAAAGTAATTTTTACATTGAAGTCAAATAAAATATTGTCTCGGGAGAATTGCTGAGGAAACAGAAAACAAAAAAGGTAGAACAGTCAAAAGGAATTTACGATGACAAAGGAATTTCTTCTAGAAGAGATTTCCTGTTTGTTCATCTGGGATGATGGTTCAAGGCTTCCACCTGAAATATTGTCGGTTCTCTCTTTTTATTGAAAATGTTTCTGGCAAATTTTATAACTCGTAATGTTTATGCATTTAAACATAAATCACGAATGATATCCTCGTTATTAATAGACTCTGACAAAATCGATTTTTCTTTTTGTTTTTGATATCATTCTAAGCGAAAGACGAAGTTATTTGTGAATCTTTAGGCACATTATATGAGAGACAATCTTATGGCTCCCAATGGGACAATAAGTTTTGTCATCTCGTTCATTCTACATTCAAGGAAAAGTCTCTTAACTCGATCTATATGAAAAGTGAGGCAAAGAAAACTTTCTCGTGCTCTAAATACCATCATTTGGGTAGGAAATGTGAGGAAAAATGAAAAAATAGCACAAAAGACTAAATAATGGTTGACAATTAGTGCAACGGTCGCGAAATTCGAGTGTTGAATGACAATTAAGCTGAGTGATGGAACGTTTGTTCAGGGCAACAACTTTAATAAAGCAACGAAGCGAGTAAGCATACAAATAAACATAAAACCAAATTAATGTTGTCTTCCAATAAAGATGAGTTTCATTTAACAAATCCGAGACTTCCTTTGAATTCATCACCCAATTAAACTTAATCTCATCTCCCGACACACGACACAGATGCGACTGCAAGACATGAAAGGAAACATATTCACATATCTTAACAATTCATTCAACTTGAACAACGATTGCTTATTCGAATTTAGATATAGTTATGAAGGGTGAAAGAATGAACAGAAAGAAAAGAAAGAGAAAAATGCCATCAGAGCATGAAAATATTCAACTTTAACACATGGCGCATCTGAATCCATATGGAAGCATAAAAATGTTTAAATACGATTGCAAATGCCAATAATTCTCATTTTTCGTAACGGATCGTGAAACATACTTCAAAATTTTATTCATTTATTTATATTTTTCGCTGCGTCAGCTGATGAAATGATGACTGTCGTCGATATTGAATTTAAAATATTTTCCAAGAACAATTTGTTGTCTCTCTCGGTTCTAATTTATAACGTGGAATCTTTTTATCCCTTTTTAAATTAAAAAATTGATTACGTGAGTAAAAAAGGGAGATTGATACTCAAATTAAATTTGTTTGTTGAGGCAAATCTTTTGAAGCCGAAAATTTGGTGTCTGAGAAGGTTCGTTTACACATAAAAAAGCAATCAAACATAAAACTGACCCAACTCGGAAGCGAAAATTAATTTTGAAAATATTTTTCCCTCATTTCATCGTCCACCCACACAGCCGACGGTCAGTGAAGAAAAAAGTTTTCTTTTTGCGCATTCTACGAACGTTTTCTATGCTACTTAACTTTTGTTCTCACACGTGATGGTTGGGAAGTTGATAACAAAAGTGAAAGCGTTTCATTAGATATGGGCCGATGAATAAAAGATTCTTTTTTTTGGTGGGCTTCTGGATGGGGGATATCGTATTACCATACATCATTGCTTCAGTGAGTTACGATGCGAATTTAGTAGCGGTTGAATCGAAAGCTTGTGTCAAGGACAGGCCTAAATATTTAAGCCCCATGATTAGAAGTTCTTTGTTCATGACAAATTAGCTTCTCATGTTAATTTCATACGCAATATTCTAGTGTGTGGACTACATTTACAACCAAAACAAATAACCGAATTGAAGTCTCGAACAAATCCAATTGATTATCATGTGACATTACCGACCGTTGTCGAATTAACAAGTAAACAACAATTCAATTGGATTAAATTCCCTGTATCTAGCAAAAATGTAGATGAAATTCACAAATATTTTACATAGCAGAGCTTGGGACGTGTACGAGAACTTTTGCTTAACTGAATTTCATATCACGAATTTTATTTCTTCTTTTCGATATTCACAATGGAAAAGTTTATCCTTGAAAGCTTTTGTAGGTTGATTCAAAGCCGCAAAGAAAGAATTCTTCTCAATAAGTAGCATAAATTGAATTTCCTTTCAGTAGGAAAAGGAAACATTGAATAAGTAAACGAAAACATAAAGAATTTCTTTTTTAGCAAAACTGTCGGATCGTAAAATTATTTTCATCGCCATTTTTCTAACACCGCAACAATAAAAACATTTTAAAATTTTATGACTCAATTTTCGCATCAAAGTTTACACCTTAATTAATAGTATGTTCGTTGTGTTGACAATAAATTGGATTGACATAATGCGAACGATGAGTTAAAGGAAATATCAGCAACATTCATATTTAATTAAATAAATTGTCGAGTTTTGAAGCTTTTTAAATGGCTTTGTGAAAACGTCACGTTTTAAAAAAAGACTTTAGTGAGTAGATAGTTAATAAATTTAATATTTTTGAGGGAAATCATTGAAACGTGAATCATGATTGAAAATTTCTTAAACTCGTCCAAACTTTGTTGTTGTCGCCGTCTGGTTTCTCTGGTTATTTTATTTATGGAAAACAATGGATGTTTGAAAAATCAATTTTATAATACGAGTTAAACTGACAAAACAAGATGATAAATCTAGAGGAAAAAACTTATCTATTTTTGGCTTGAGGGCGTTTTGTTGATGACATCACGTTGTCGTCACATTTATTTCATTTGCTGTTGTTCGTGAAACTTTTTTAAGTGAAGCTTTTAAACTATTAGCATAATTAGCAACAACTCGTTTGATTGATTTTAATTTCGACTTTCTCAAAAACTTTTTAGCATCATGTGACGCATTTTATGGATGATGTTTCCAAACAAAGTAAAGAATCCACAATGTAAATAATTTCTAAAGAAATATTTTAATAGCAAAGTCAAGATTATTGAAAAATTACCTTTTAAAACTGGAAGCTGTGACAGTAGCGAATTCTTTTGGAAATTTTCGCTTCAACGATACCATTTAACGTCAATATAAATGATCACTAAAGTATTTCTTTCATTTTCATTACCAAATGAAATAAAAAATTCTCATCCAATTGTCAGTTGATTGCCTTTTAATTAGAAAGTCTGACTGCTTTCGACTGTGAGAGTCTTCAGTATAAAGTTGCTGCTAATAACGTTTCAGTTGAAGACAAATGCGCTGAAATCCCAATTCAATCATTAGGAAATTACAATTCGACTCAAACATATGTAATTACAAAGCTCATTTTAAAGAAAAATAAATTACTTTTCGCTGTTTTCTTTTTTTTATTTTAGTTTTTGAACGGCTCAACATATCCATCTACTTAGCCATGGAGAAGTTTCACCGTTTTTCCATTTAAAGCGAATTATTTTGTGAATTTATTCAATTGTTTCCTGTGTGCTCATAAGCAACTATATAAATAACATTCGTCAAGTTCTAATCGGTTATTCAACTTTCATTCATTAACTGTTGTAGTTCATTAAGAATGAAGCGGCAATGAAAGTTTCAAATCTTGTGAGCTATAAACGAGCGACTTTGTTATGCTTCAACCATTTGTTTCTAATGTTCAACACATGCTTTTAAGTTTCTTCCGGCTATAATGAGTTTTTGTTGTCTTGAAGTTTACAAAGAATTTCTTTCGTTCATCATTCCATAAAAGTCAAAGCCCAATAATTCAGAGTCATAGAGTCGAGTCATGAGGTACAAAACGATAAAGAAGAAATGAATTTTTGTTTGTTTATGTTTATGCTTTCGTTCTCTGTTTAAATGTGCGTTATGTCATGCATGTTCGAAGAAAGGGGAAACTATCAAGAAAGAAATAAAAAAGTAGAGCAAAAAAATCCTTAAACCAATAATACAAACAATCTCAGTTTCTTTCTCCTTATTTTTTTCTATCAGCTTCTACAAGTCTGCGTAATATCGTAATCTAAATGCAAACATGATTTATCTTTCAATGAGATGTGAAGACCTCTTGATGTTGTTTCTTGAGAAAATATATGCGAAGAAACATTTAATCTGGAACATCTCAAGTTCGTTTATCTTTCGCATCGTGTTTGGAATATTTCATGCGAACAGGAACAAAAAAGAAATTCAAAATTTATTCTTGTCGGACAAATATTTAAACAAAGATGAGTTGAAAAGTGAATTAGTTGAAAATTTTTGGGTTGCTTCACATCTTATCTTCAATTGATAAAGAGATCGTTTCCAAGAATCTGTTAACTTATTCAACAAACGATCCATAAAATCTCACTTTTTTCAGTTACACCAACCACCTAATCTGCGATGAAAGTTTTTCAGTTTTTCAGTTTTTCTTTTCTCGTGATAAAAAACGAAATGAGAAAGAAGTTAGAAACAAACGAAAGCATTTGTATATATGCTTCGAAGATTTTAACAAAACAAAAAAAATGGTTTGTCGAGTGTAAGAAATGGAAAACAAACAAGCTTACAGGGCTTGGAATTTATTCGGAAAATTTTTGGGAATGAAATTTCAATGCCGATTTCCATCTCTGCAAGTTTGAAAGCTTTTCGTGTTAACTGCTGGAACAAAGGCACTCAAATATTTATTTTAAAATGAAATTGATGATGTTTTGCATTTTTAAAAATTCTGCGGTGAAATAGAAAATGAATTTGATTTGTGTTGAACTAGTTAACCATTTAAGGTTGAATGAATTAAATTTAATCGAGAGAATAAATGAATGATGTTGGATGCATGATTCAGGGAAGGGGAAATGACAATAATGAAAAGTTTTGCAAATCGAGCCTCTCATTCGACCTTTCACTAAAATAAATTCAAACTTTCGCTATTGCGTGGGTATTGCAATTACTTATTTAATAAAATGCCAATCGATGACTGCAGAACGACAAGAGAAAGCTTGGACGAATATTTGAAAATAAATCTCATGAATCGATCGTGCTAATAATTTCCTTTCTCTAAAGATATTTGATATGCTTTGTTGAATCGATTTCCATTCATAAGTTTATCAAAATTATTACATTGAGAATCGGTTGAATGCAGTTGCAGATGGGCGTAATATTTACAGCGGTTTACAATTAGAAGGTATCGAATGATTTGCGATCGTGAGTGGTGGTTAAATATTATTAACTGCTATTTATATTTCCAAGAAGAGAAAGAAAAGTTAAAATCGATCGCTTTCCAGCTGTAAGCATTAATTTTTGCGATACTTATGAGTAGGCGAATATGAACATTAATAACATGAATTTATCGAATATTTTTCTTAAACACATTCTTGACTCATGACGCATTGCGTGTGCTTAAGGGAAGTTTATCTCTCTCATTTTTATCAACATGATGAATAAACAGTGACAAGAGTAATAAAAACATTAATTCCAAAATAGATTCATCAAAGAAACATTTGAAAACATTACAAGAGTTGAGTTGTTGGTGGAATCATGATGACTAATCGACAATTCATTCGCTTTTGAAAGAATAAAAAATAAATTTACATTCACGACTAACAACAATGCGAGATATCCACGAAATGTTGCAAACAAAAGGAAGGTGAAGAAAAAAATAAAATCTTGATTTAATATTCACAACAGCATTCGTTGTTTGCTTATTTACGTTGCTCGTGCAATGTTTTAGCCTTTTTGAAATTTCGATGTTTCATTTAGCTAAATCTTAATGAATTATTGTAATGGAAGATTTAAACCAAAAAACAGCAAATCGATTTGAACTTTGATTCAAGATTCAATGTCTGGCGAATATGCCGACTTTCATTAATATTTTAAAAGTTTTAAATGATCAACTGTTAGACTAACTTGACGCATTCAATATTTCTTACATCATTTCATAAATTCCACGATAAATTGCGCCGTAAAGCTCTCATTCGACGTTCAATGACGAGAGAAGAAAAAAAATCGACGAAAATCATATGATAATGTTGATGTAAGCCAGCAAGTCTCAGCCGACGCCCCGATAATATAAATATTCGCTCAAGACACAACTTAAGTGAAAGATTGTTTTTGTTTTTCATGTTAAGCATGTGGTCAATTAATTAGCTTTGATGTTCGCAATTTTTCATGTCAAAAGTGGAAATATTTCTGCCCTGAATTCTGCTTTCTCAACTAACTAACTTTATCGCAACCAAAATCCGTTTATGGCGTTTTATCTTAGGAATGTTAACATGAAAGACTCAAGAGATATCAGCAAATGCACAGTTTCGTTCATTTTTTATACTTACAACAAACACTTGACATTTTTTTATATCGAACGCACAAGCATTGCTGCTTGAAAGTATTCGAATGTCATTGACAATATTTTGAAGTCTCTTTAAGTTAAACCTATCCACAAATACTCATAAATAATTCAGAAGTTAAATGGTAGTTGTAACGTAGATAGTCAAGTAGTAAATTTTCAAAGAACGGTAAGAACTTCCTGGGTCATTCGGAAGTTTTAATTGTGCTTTATGCTTCGCTAGTCATTATAGGTCGCAATAAATTTGATTAAAATAATGTTATTCGGTTTTAAATACATTTTTCCAACATTTTGTTATGGTACATGAACTTCAAGGTAGACCATTTTTCACTCTTACGAACTCATTGACTATTTCTAGACTTGTTTTCAAAGCTTAAACATCCATTCATCTGGCAACGATTAACACAAAATTATTGCTTTGTTTGTTTTAATTTTATTGAAGATTTAATTAGTCGATTGTGCACATTCGCCGATGTTGTTAATGACTGCTATATTTAGAGAATTATATTTTGCGATGAAGAAGCTTCGCATTTCTTTTCAAACAGCTTCCGATTTAAGTAGCTTACAATGAATAAATAAACCAATTTCAAATTCATGCTTGAGATGGAAATTCAATTAAATCATGACACGAAATGGATTCAATATTATTTTCTTTAATATTCAAAAGGGACAAAAGAAGGTTTAAGAGTGTCAAAGGATAAAAGAAATTGTCAATCGACGTCATAATAGAAGGAAGCGATGAAAGAATTCAATTTAAAATGTGCTGATGTTCATTCCGCACTCTTTAATCTATGCTCCATTTAAATTCCACTCATTATGCTGCTTTTGAAAGTAATCGAGGGATGAACGTTTGAAAAGAATTTTCTTTACATATTTCCTCTTCGTTTTTCCACCGGCATATGTTTTCGTCAAAACTGTTAACAAGCGAGTTTGTGTTTTCACATAAAAGCAAAGTGGAATTTAGGTCATGAAGAATCTCAGCGATGTTTAAGTAATTAAAATTGTAGATTTTGGTTGGATGAAAGATTACAAAAGTAATAACAATCCGCACTTTTATTTCGTGTATCGTGTGAAGATGTTTACGATCTTCAGAAATGCATTCAAAGAACTAAACATGAATAAAGTTATGAAATATAAATGAAAGTTGAAGATAAACAGTTCTGAATGAAACTGAAATAAAAATAAAGCTCACAGTCACAACTGAAGCATAACAACCGCGAAACAATTGTCGAAAGGGAAATGAAGATTTTTAATATTGTCGGCTTCTGCTCTTTTCATAAAGCATGAAATCACTTAGCAGCGGAAAAAAGCTACCTTAAAAAAAGTTCAATAACATTTAACGACACGTAATGTTGTGATTGCAAAATTTTAAATTTCCTTCCTTGTCGCTCCACTAGGAAAACGCTAAACCATCAACTACTCGTATGAAAAGAAATTCCTGACATTTTCCTTCTTTCAATCGTTGCGATAAAGAAAATAATTGTTTTGTTCTTCTAAATGATATCAAAGTAATTTACTTAAAGTCTCAAGGAAGTTTCAAGTGGCTGATTTACGAGATTTGCCAGCAAATAGTTGTGGTGCGAGTCATTATCGTAAATGGGGAGGTTTTTGGGTGGAAGGAAAAACGAAATGGAACGAAAACCATGCATATGCGCTTTGACATTTCCAATTTCCAGAAAATTGTTGATTGAACGTTACGTGACGAGAAATATTTTCAAAGAAAGAAAAAAACTGCGGAAAACTCACATTGGAAATTTCGAAAGAAGTCGTTCGAAGACAACTACAAAGAGCAGTTCAAGTAATCGCTTTTGCCAACAAAAATAATCGCCGGATGAGTCTTCTGAGATGATTTATTTTTGCATTAGAAGTTGAAATTGTGTAAGCGCACCGTGGGTGTTTTCTCCAATCAAACTGGGCATCAAATGAGAAAAAAATCTTTACTGTTTGTATTTGAAATAAGTCGAAGCTGTTAAAGCGTTTTTGACTTTCTCTCCCCCGTCAATAATTGATGAATATTTATTTTGGCTTCAATGACGGATGAACATGGGGAGCGATTTATTTTGCGTTCTCTGAACTTTCTCCAAAAGGAGATTTGATTATGATAAATTATGCGCACCTTTTACAAAACAACTTACAACACTTTACAACAACAAGCTATTCGCAAGAGATTCTTGGGAATGAAAGGCAACTTCATGATAAATTTGACATAATTGCTTCAATTTATTAAACAATGAAAGACGTTTTAGTTCAACATTTGTTAATTAGCCAGTAATTGAATGAATACGAAGAAAAAGTATTCACAACGTTTGTAACAACACAAATTAAATATTTTTGTTCCCATCAATTACTTTCAATTTCATTCATTTAATTACCAAATCAAATAGAAAAGTTAAAACTTGTAAACTTTCCCAATTTCGTTGATCTCATGAGTCATGACGATATTTTAACGTTTCTTGTGAATTCATCGTACGAATATTTCCCCATTTTCGAAGCCAAACTTCCACCAACGACCAATGCGCAACATCTGGAAGCTTCTGACATTTCCAATAGCCATAGAAGAAAAAGCTCGTAATAATTTTCACATTATCCTTACCTTCAGATCACTTAGACCTTAGTTTATTGAATGGAACATTCATATATATTTTTTGTTGTGGTAACTTTTTTAAAAGTGTCTTAAAGTTTATTTGTTGTTAGTTATGTGAATTTGAAAAGACATTGTCAATGTTATTTGAAATGTCTGAGACAAATAAAGAACAAAATATTGTGAAAGAAGTAAAAGCTAAATGGAAAATTACAATTTAAAGCTCTCAGAAAAGTGTAGGAAAAAGTTTCTTCTTAGACATTAATTTCTTTTCTTCTTCATTTTTGCCAGCAGCACGTCTGGAGTTCAGTTCGATAGAAAAAAAATGTGAATTTCGTTTTGAAACTCTAAAAGTTTCATGATAAAGAAAAGTTCATTACACCGTTTAAATTGAAAAACAAATACTTTGTCACAATATGCTGAAAACATCGATGAAATTGATGGAGGTAATTAAATTGCATTTAAATCATTAAATTTTGATGAATTGCGAGTTGCTGCAATGTCAAAGAAAAAGGCGTTGAAGGGTAAAAGAAGAACTTTTTTAACATGAAGAACGATACTTTGAATTCATAGAAATCTTGATTAAAAATTCACCCCTAAAAAAGTTCATAGCACAGAAATATTTGCTGCGATATGTTGTGTAACATATATGAAACTTTTTGCAAAACTAAATGTACAAACTCGTTCAAAAATCGATTATATAATTGCTACCTTGAAATAAGCAAGTTTAAAACGTCAGAGGCAAGTTGCTTCTCTATTTCATTTATATTTTTGCATTATTTCTAAGTATCTATCTCGACATCAAAATAAACATTTAATTCAAACCAACTTAACTCTCTCTCTATGTGGCAACATCAACATGTAATAAGACGAATGTGGGTGAAAATTACCATACGACGAGTAAGAAGAAAGAAAAACTTTTGAAGCAAAAAACAAGAAAAGATTTGCTGATGATGCTACTACGTATGAAAGCAGACAGAAATAAAAACATCAGAAATGGAATAGCTAATATAAAGCATTCAAAGATTGTTTTTGTGGGTCACTTCGCAAGAATACCAAAACTTCATTTCGTTTCCTTTTTTAACTTTTCTGGTTTTACGTGAGTTCTACTCAGCTTAAAAAAAAACAAATGTGGGAAAACCCAACCCGGTACATAAAGCCATAAATCGTCATTAAGTGACATAACTTTAAGTAAAGTGGAATAAAAAATAGAAGGCGGTACAATTAATAAGCAAAAGTGTGTCGGAAAAGCTTCTCCATTTCTATGCATTTCGATTTTTTTGTTCCGTTTTCGTCCTCGTGTTGAACATGAAAATGTCCTTGACTAAAGGAAGGAAAAATCAATGCAATTCTTCTTTATGATTGTCATGCTTCGTGATAGCTTCGGGTCTTTGAGCTTCTTCAACTTTTGTTGTTTTATTTGTCGCAAATTTTTATCTTTTGCTGACGCAGTTTTTAAGAAAAGTAAAACAAAAAATGGCTGAGCGACTGAAAATCGTGCTAAGGTGATCAATTTTTCAATTTTTCAGCCAGATGTCAATATTGAACTTTTAAAGTAACATATTGTTTAATGTGAAACTGTTTAGGTCATAAAATGTGAGCTGATTTCACCGGAAAAATTCATCACAACTTCTTTCGACATGACACACAATCTAAATAAATAAGATGTACATGAGATGAATTTAATTAAATTCGACACACCAAAAAACTTTTCTTTTAACTTATGTATGTATGTTGTGCTTGTTGAACTGAATGCCAAAAAGATCAACGAGTTTTTCTTTCCTTTGATTTAAGAAAGTGCTTGAAAGAAGAAATTTAAAAGCTGATGAGTGATCAAAGCATTGCATTCAAACAAATCAGAAAGAATAATAAATTAAATGAATGAAAATTCAAACAATTGAAATGAAGAGCTAAATTATAGTTTGTTGTGTCAGATGTGAATTACTTTACGATGACGTTTGTAACACGGCTTTTGTTTTAAACAATCAATTATTGACAACAATTCAAAAAAAAATTCTCGGCTATTGTCATTCATTGGTAGCGCACTTAAAAGCAATATCGCATGTTTACTGGTGGTAAAATAAAATTATATGAAACATTCATTTGTCCTTCGTTCTTATCTATCGAACACAACATGCAAAGCAGAGGAAAAAGGGAAAAAGCTTTTTAATGCTGGTCTTTTTGGGAATATTTCGGATAAAGTCATAAAGCTTTCTAAATCTGATTTTGGAAACACATATGGTGACGATGTTCTCAATTAATCAATTAAAAATAAGCAGAAGTTACAAAGATTATCGGATGGAAAGTTATGGTTCATTGAGTTCATTTTAATTAAACTTGTTTCCCCTCTCTGTGAAGAATAAAGAAAAAGTAATAAAAAATTCACTTTCGTCGCATCTTCATTGTTAAAACTGGCAACGTAGCATCAAAATAGTTTTAAGATTCTGATTACTTGCTGTACTTTTTTTCCCGAAAAAAACATCTTAAATAATCATTAAGAATTTTTATGACATTCTGGAAATTTCCAAAATTATTTTTCCTGTCACCAATCTTCGTGCAGGTAGTCGACGATTATTTAAATCTGAAAGCAATTAACGAATTGAAAAGTTTTCGCATATGTTCGGTGATTTTTTGTCTCTTTCACTCTTTCCTTTTCGTGTCATGTCATGATCACCAAGTTATGTAAAACAATGCCATTTCTACACCCATGAGAGTTCAATTTAGTATTTTGCACCGAAAACGGGAAAAAAATTATACAAAATGTTAAAGTTGTTTCAGGGTTTGAAAGTGAGAATCTATAAAAATACAAAATTTCGTTGATTTGTTGCTACAAAAGGTTTCTAAGCTCTGCACTAATTTAGCATATAACAAATTACATTCAAATGAACCGTAAGAAATTGACCTGCAATTAAATATGAGAGAAAAAGGACAACATTAACAACTACAAATACAATTAAGAAAGGGATCGTTAAATAAATTCAGACTTAGATCTGTTTAGTTTAGTTTCGGAAATTGTCAAGTTAACACCGAAAGTGTGGAGAAGGAAAATTAATTTTCATTAAAATTGGAATAAATATCAACGTGATAAAAGTGAAAATACAAGATCAAGACATGGAAGTTCTTGACTCAAGTCATTCACATTGGAATGAATTTTCGATGTATGAAGAAAACAACAATCATGAGAAAACTTATGTGACTGTTAATGCTGATTCGTATAATGAGAAAGACTTTGATAATTTACTTAATTGTCTCGATAAAATTCACGAGTCGGAAACTAAAAGACAAAATCGAAAAGTGATAAAAAATTACTGCGTACAAGTGCCATACATTGACAACTCAATTGCTATTAAAGATGACGCTCCATCAAGAGACGAAATCGATGAGTCTTGTGACAAGATGCGTAGTAACATCAGTCAAATGTTCTCTTATTTTGATGAAGATATAAACTTGGATTATGATGAATACGACGAATCGAATCGCAATTATAAGAAATGTGCTTCAAAAGTAAAGAAAAGGAAAAGCAATGATAGTAATAATAATAACGACGAGGGAACCATTGACAGTCAAAAAATGAATTCCTTAAGCGAAAGTTATCGTGAAAAGTTTCTTCGTAATCGTAAAAAAATTGAAAGAATGAGCGAGGCACAGAAAGTTGACACTCGACCAATAATTTGTGGCGCTATAAAGAAGCCAAACGCACCACCAACACCAAATACATCGCTGAATAAGAACCAAGTTGATAAGATAATCAATGAGTTCAATCGTGTTAAGATCAATTACTACAGCAAAGAAAATTATGTTGAATTCACCAACATTGATTATTTCTATTGTGATAGTGACATGGACTCGATATGCTCCGAAAAAGTTGTTGGAAAGTTGAAAGAAAAGTTTGACACGGAAAAGCTTGATGAAAGTGACCGAAAGTCATCAACAAATGACATCGAAGTTGTTCCAAAGAATTCTGTTCGTGATAAGATAAACATGTTCACAAAATTAGACACAATAATTAAACCGTGTGATGGTCCGTTGAGAAACTCGCTGAAAACATCAGTCGAGATGACAAAAAAAGAGTTTCGAAAGGAAAATGAAATGAAACAGAAGCAGCAGTCGCAATCCGTAAGCAACATCATTAAAAATACATCAGCTTCCAATAAGAATCAAAATAAATGTTTCATTAAGGATGTTAACAACTCTCTGCTTCATCAGGTAGAAAAAGATGATAAGCTTGAGGCTTTAAAAGAAGAAAATGAAGATATTTTTGTCTCGAAAAATTTGCTTGATAAAATCTCTTCCCACGCACATCTCCACAACATCGATTTGCTAATGAAGCTTGAGCGGATTGTAAATAAATTCAACATGAGCTTATTGCATACAATTAATAGTCTTGCAACTGATGATGCATTTGGCAGCTGTTTAAAGCACTTAGATGTCGAGACTCGCCCATCATTCGAGAGATTCGACGACACTTTCAATAACAAGAATATCGAAACAGTTTTGGAGAACGTCGAACTGAGTACCATCGACGCTCACAAAATTCGACTTCAAATGCAAGTAATCCTTGTCAATACAACGACGGGACAAAAGGATTGCAGTGCCAATGTAAATGTGATTTTTATGGCCAAGTACGAGACGGATCATTGCGTGCTGCCGCCGAAAACTTCTGTCATTGACGACAACAATTATTTCATTTATTTTACGAGTCTTTTTGAGGTAAAGTTTTAATCTGTTGCGGGTGTTTACGAATGTCGAGACAACATTTTTATTTCGACAATCGTGTGAACTTACTTAAATTAACTTTTTCGTACGATGATATTTCAGAGTGTATGTGATATATGAACCCATCAACTTATTTGAATAATTGTGTTTATTTATGTCACTCTTTACTCCATGCCATGCTACAATGCTTATTCAATCACTTGATGGTGCTTTGAATAACTTAAATGTTAAAAATTCACCTATTCGATGCATCATCAAACAGTCTCCATAAAAGCCTTGACTAATTAATTTATTATTCTCCTTTTTGCCTTTACAGCCACCAGAGAATGAGCTTCAAAAAGCACGCGAATCAAATGTCGTTCTTAGTGAACATCAGTTGCGTGTTCAAGCGTCTCTTCAAAAGCTAAACATCCCAGATTGGTACAAGCAATATAGTAGCAATGCTTCCCACAATACGTCAGCTAATACTTCATATTATAATAAAAATGATGTCACTGGTTTGCTTCGGAAAAGAAATTCAGACATTGGACGATGGCAAGGTTTGAGTTCAAAAACGACTTCGTTGAGTTCACTTGGTTCAAATAGATCGGATAGAAGTCCGGTTATGTTGAGTCCATCAGCTCATAGTCACACCGGTGGACCATCAACTGGTTTCTCAAGGTAAGTTTCTTTAAATCTGATAAAAATTTTCCTTAATTTCTAATTTGAATCTTCATCAGATGGTCAACTTCACATTTGAACTCGAGTCAAACTTCACCGAGCGTATCAGCGCGAAGTTCCTTTGTGCGTAATTCAAATTATAATTCAAGCACAATGTCAGGTCAGTCAGTAACATCTTCACAAGCTGGTGACATTCGAAGCTCATACCGTAAACCATATCTGGGTTGGAGAAGTCAAGAAAAACTCGCTCAACCAAGGACACCACATGAAAGGTAAAATTTGATTCATTCCATTTAAATTTCTCCTTCATTAAAATTCATTTCTCCATTTTAGATTAGCATCGTCAATGATGTCACAACAGAAGCAATCAGAAGATCAACAACAGAAACTTCAACAGCCGATTGCATCGTCAGAAATTCAATCGTCGATCAAAGAAGTGACATCAGCCATTGTGCATTATGTGAATGATCAAACAAATCGAGGATCGAGAAGTCGATCAGTCAGCCCAAGTACAAGGTTTGTTAACTGAATTTTAATTTATTTTCCAATTAATTAATGTTTAATTCTTTTAGATGTTGGCTGGAAAGCTCATTTGTCGGTACAAAACCACTCGAATCACCGCAAACACCTGCAACGGAAAATTCTTTCGTTCATGGACAGAAGATCAACATTGGACCAATGTCGGTGACAGCAACAAACTATGATTCGATTCGAATTAATGGCATCAGTGGTGAGTCGTCCGTCATTTAAGCTGGATCCACTAGAACTCATTCACATCATTATCATCATAATTTTATTTATAAATTAAAATATATGTTATGATTTATTGAGTCATAATTTTATGTTTATTCAATGTAATTTCAAACATTTTTTTCGATCTTTAAAAACGTCAAAACAAAAAAATCATTCGCACAATGCCAATCGATGCGCACATTTTTAAAATCTATAAAAAAAATTGTGAAAATCTTTTGCTTGAAAGTATTTATCTAAGATATCTACAGAAAAATTTTCTTTTCATTAATTTATCAGCTTTTACTTGTTGCTCGTTAAGTAAACAAAAAACTTTTAAAATGTTTAGAGAAATGATCGGAAAAAATTGCTATGATTATTAGTTTTAATATAATTTATGATTATATATTACTTTTTATTGTTTATGTAGTAGAATTTAAGTTTAAAAGAGATATTAAGTGCCTCTCATTTATTAGAATGTCGCATAGAAATCGAGAACAATCACTTTTATATGAATCAAACGAATGATTATGATAGAAAGTTAAGTAAAAATGGTGCAATCTTTTGACTTCCTAAGCAAAAATCTAAGAAAGTTGATGAAGAAGACGAGTTTAGTGTTTGATTTCGTTAAAATCTTTTAGCCTTTCATTGCATAATAAAGATCCTTTCAGTAGTCATGTCACGCTATGAAACTTCATTAAATAAAAGAAGCTTAAATATCATCGAGATGTTTCGTGTCACATTTAATTACTAAAGGTGACCTCATTTGTCAACATAAATAAATAATCTCTCCCAGCCATCCATCTTCCTTCTCTTGAACACAAAGTGCCTTAATAAACTAAACAACATGAAAACAAAAGCAAAGGAAAATCACCGCATTCGTTTCAGGATAGAAACAGAAAGTTGAAGGAAGGTGAATAAACTTCTTCAATTCAACGTTTAAAAGTGAAACGAATGATGGTTTTGATTTAAAGTTAATTGCTTGTTAGCGTTCAAGAGTCTTCAAAAGTGCTTCATCAAATCTCAATTGTTGTGTGGGTGGGCTGAAAGGCAACAAAAACCTTTCATCGTTCGTAACCATGTTTAATTGCTTTCGTGTTACTTTCATTTGTCTTTCAAGTGAAGAACTTTACACCTTCATCCTCACGCCGTCCAGGTGGTGTAATTAAATTATTAACTTTTTGCTTCTTAGTATACTCCCTCCCTCCCCCACAAATATTATATAAGCTAACTAAAGTCGAAGCGCTCTTAATTCTGCCTAGAAAAAAATTAATAGAAAGTTTTTTTTCATTCGAGAAGATTAAATTTAATTACAAAACTTTTCTCCTGTTCTCGCTCGCCTTAGATTTTAATAAGAAATCCAAACATTTTTTATACTTTAATATTGACGAAATGAACTTAGAAGATGAGAAGCCATTTGTATGATTTATTTCTTGCTATAACTTGTATGATTTTATTCTTCTTTTTAATTAATTTTTTATAATAAAATAAGAGGAAAGTGACAATTTATGATCGAAAATTTGTTTATATTATTTTATTTTTTTCCAGCTTTTATTATTTATTGATTAGTTCAGTTTTAATCGAGTTTAAGACATTTAAGATTTACAACTTTGTTGAGAAAATCGCCCTTAGGCTGTGACGTTCTAAGGTCGATTATTCCTGATATCGATGTCAAACCTTACTTTCTCGAACTCGTTGTTTTCAAGACTTTTTTTTCATTCTTGACCTTTTTGTCTTTTTCTAAAGCATTTAAACTATTTGGAGCCTAAAGCCAAGACATCTTCTTTCTAACTGTGGCGCTTAGTATTATTTTCATTGAGAGTATTTTTACAAACAAATACTTCTCAGACTAATGATTTATTTCCGTGTAAATATCTAGTTTAAAGATGAAATGTATTTTAAATGTAATATCTGAAAGAATGAAACTTTTATGTTCTCTCACTTTGATTTCAAACTTTTCATTTATATCAGTGTCTGTCAAAATGTTTTTAATCTGCACAGTGACTCTCAAACTTTCCGTTCAAATTTTATTCAAAGATTCTCAAACTTTTTAAAATTAAAATTTTAATGAAAAATTTTCTGCTGTTAATAAAATAAATTTTTTCATCTTCCGCAATTATAACAATCACTTTGAAATATTTACATAAAATCTCACAGTTTGAGAATCACTTGTTTTTTGTTCTTTATGTTTTCAATCATTTATGAATTTTATGATTTATCACCAAATTCGCTCACAAGCAAGCTGCTAAAACTTTGCACATAATTCTAAAAAGAGAAATCCGTTCCATGCCAAAACCAAAACAAATCATTTATAGCTGACGCGCAAGAATCAACAGCATTCGTTTCATCGTATTATCCATCAGTTAAAAGCTCTGCCACAAGTCTCGAAGAAGAAGTTATCTTGAGTTTATTAGGATTGCCTTCCGATATGCACAAATCTTCTTCAGGTATGAACCTGTAAGTTTTTGGTTCCGTTTTATGTGAGTTTATTTGCGAAAGCAGTGAGTCGTCACATCTCACCATCTTCTCAAAACTTTGTTTCTTGAGTTCTTTCTTTTCATTTCTTATCATTGTTATGTAGTTTTCTTTTATGTTATCCCATTTCCTCTTCACTCAGAAAGGCACATATCTATTTAGGTAAAGAAATTGTCAACAGGCACGTATTTAGTCGGAAATGACCCTAAAAGCATATTAGCGAAAAACAAACAGAAAAAAGTTATCGAAGCTTAAGGTTGGAAATTGAAAATCAATTGTGACCTAGTTTAGCTTAATGTTTAAATAAATTATGTAAACATCAGTGTCTGACAATGTGTCTCTAAATACACAGAAGCTATCAGTTATTTAATTTAGTTCCAATTTGTTTTCTTGTTTTGTTTTATTCATGTTCAAATTGAAACGTTTGTCAGTGGTATGTCAATTGACACAATGAAAATCAAAAAGAAGGATAAATAAATGTTACACCACTTACAAATGTTCCCCGCTAAAAGCTTTCGTATCAATACTAACGAAATTACTAACAAGAAACTATTTTCTCATTTTCTTTCCTATCATTACTTACATTTCATTCATCAAATAGAGGATTTAGCTAATCAACCGAATTATCGCGGATTATCAACATTCTCGACTTTCAAGCCCGCACCTGTACCAGCACCCGCCGCTACACAACCCAAGCAACCACAACCACCATCGTCATCATCACAATTGGCTGTTGAGCATTCATCACATTCAAGACGACATAGTGAAGGTGATGCACAAAGACGATTAATGGAACATCATTCGCAAGATTATGAAGATGAGAAATCTGATGAAGTTCGACCGTTGATAAATCGAGGTGCATCATCAACATCAACCTCACCAGCACCACAATATCGACGAGTTAGTCTCGATTCAAGTGATGCAAATCATGGTGATTTACTTCGATGTCGATATCCACGTTGTGATAATGCAGCGACTGTTGCCGATGCTAAAAAGAATTACAAGTCTTGTCATAATTGCACTCATCTTTATTGCTCAAGAGATTGTCGTAGAAATCATTGGGAACGTGGTCATCGAAGGGCTTGTCTACATTCACGAGTTTCGGTTCTATGTCGACAAGTGTTGTCAGCTTGCAAAGATGATCCCGATACTCTGAAACATTTAAGTTTGTTAGCTAGACGTGGATTTTTAGCACAAGGACGTGGAGTTGTTCGTTTACTCTTCCGTAGTCCCGAGAACGCTGACTTGTTTATCAAGCAGGGCTTTCAGTTCTTGGGAGAAGTATCGTACGTTCGATGGCCTGATTTGCTTCCAAGTGAAATGGGCCCCGAACTTTACAGCGAACTCTTAAGATTAAGTACTGAATACAAGCCAGATGGCAAAATGTTAATTTATGTAGCAATTTGCGTTGTTTCTGAAGCGCCTAGTTCGAGTACGGCACCAGTGAAATGGGAAAGACAATTGGTGTCGCGTTGTGCTAAATTGAAACTCTGCAAGTCAATAATTAGCGATAAATCTCTCTTTACATCAGCTAATGCTTCCACGCAAGTCATTAAACATGAATTTGACACAGATGTTTTAATTCTGACCTTTAATGCGACTGATAAATCAACGCAAAAATCTCGCGAAATTATTATGGCAAATGTTCAGCATACGCTTCAACAGAAAGGTATAAATTTACGAAAACACTTTCCTGAGGTTTTCCAACGCTTGAGTAATTATGCTGAAGGAATATCTTCATTTCTACCTGTGACAATTCATCCACGCGATAACAACACTGGTAGATCTTTTGTTTGTATTATCTTTCCACAAAACGGCGATGCCGAAAAGTTTAAATTACCGCCCAAGCAAGAAACGGGAGATCATGTACAAACAATTGATGTGGGAATTGAAAGAATTGATGAGATTATGTTGACTCATAACTCACTCAATGATGACTTGTTTACAGAGGGAACGAAGTTTTAAAATGATTGACTTTATAAGCTATGTTAGAATGTGGCATAGCATGGGATGTGACAATATTGAGTTTGAATGGTATATTTATGGTTGACAGATTGTAATCTGGAATTGATTGATAGACGAATTTCGAATAACTGATTGAAACTCTTAACAAAGAAACAGTTTCATCAATTCCAAATAAATTTGACGTCTTTTTTAATAAAGTTGAAGCAAATCAAGATATTTCTTCCCATCCAACCTTCCTTCAAAAGCCATTCAAATAAAAGATTATATTTAATCATGAAGGAAAACATTTTCCGAGAATATCAAATTAAATTATCTTGAAAGTTTCGTGAAATTGAAAATCAAAACAATTTTTCCGTTTTGTTGATGAAAATCTATTGAAATGTGAAAAGCAAACAAAAAAAAAATGTTTAATTGATTGAATCAAGGAGTTCAACGATTAAAACACCAACTGCCAAAAATTAAGTCTTGTTCATTCCATTTTATCCAATTCACTTTGGAGTTGATACATAAAAAGAGCTTTCTTAAGCAGAAAAAGGTTTTCAAATAATTAGTAACGATAACGATGAAACATGAAAATTAAATTCCATTAATTAAGCAATAATTTAATCAATCATTGCTTTCTGTCTCGTTTCTTCTCGTTTTTATACGTGTTAGACAGAAAGTATTTTTAGATCATGAATCCTTTTTTAGGTAGATATCTAATCGGATTTTTGCCATCTCTCATTCCCCACATTATAAAACATCTGTGCCAAATTCATAGCAATTGAACAACATTTTCTTATCCAAAATGGGATAACTTGAACATTGATTCATTGTTTTGGCTGGAAACTGGTTCCTTCTAGCCACCAATTAATTACATTTCCACTTCATCCTCAATCGATACTAATTGTCTTTTTATCTCGTTTTGTGCCGAACGCTTCCCAACAGCGCTTTTTGCAACATCAGATGAATAGACAGACTTGCATATGAAAGCAGTCAAGTTATGCAACTTCCACGTTTTATATCGCAATTTGTTCACCTACAACATTTTTCACTGAAATTCTTTCGACAAATGTGTTTGCTATGTACATTAAGGAATCGTTCAGAAATCAAGTCACATTATAAGAAGATGAAGTTTTTATAACTTTTTTTATTTAAAGTTTAAAAGCTTTAGATTGGAAAAAAGTTGAAAGTTTTTGAAATTCTGAAAGCTTTCTTATACTTAACAGAATTTACTTGTGACTTGCTTTCTTATGCCTGCATCTTGAATCTTATACGCTTTAACAATGCTAAATCTTTTCTTAAACATATCAAGATGAAAGCTTTTTTGTTACTAAATCTAATTTAATTAATTTCCAATCAACATCATATTGAACAGATTTTTTTTGTTAGGTAAAATCTATTCAAGAACTTTTATTAATTAGGGACAAATTTTTATATAAAGTTTCAACCCTTCCTTTTGTTCTCATACTTAATTAAAATATGTTTCACTCTAGTAGTTAATTGTTGAAGATTTTCCAATCCACTTTACGCTACCCTTCCTTCAGGTTTCCTTGAATCACCTCATCTTGACATTGTTTCAAATTATTCAACTGTAAACATTTTTTTGAGCTTTATTTGAGCTTCGTGATGAGTAACAAATCAAGAAAACTGCTTTGAAAATAGCAAAGGAAGAATCCTTAACTTAAAGAAAAGAGCTTGAAGAAGTTGAATAAAAGTGAACTAAAAAAATGATTAATGAGATTCCTAAGAGAAACTTCTATTTTCTGCTTCTTGATTCCTTCCTCCCGTTTCTAGGCGTGATGAAGAACAGAAAAAGTAAAGAAAAAAAGGCGCTAAAATGATGATGAAAAATTTCTAGATAGAAAAATTAATTACTAATTTTTTAGACTACGTCTTTTCATGTTCCGAATACTAAATGAGAAACATTGAAAATGAAAAAAAAATTATGAAGATGAAGGTTTCTTTGACGACCGACTATCTACTGCTGCAAGACACAAAAACGAAGGGTTTTTTATTCTGTTTCACTGATAATGATTATGGAAGAAAGATGAGAAAAAAATAAATAAATATATTGCTGTTATTGCTGCTTTTTTGCTCCTTTGCTAAAAATAAATTCAGAGAAGAATGAAATGATGCTGTGCGGTTTTTTTTCAATATTTTTTTTTATTCAAAGAATAAATCGTAGAAATTTATGGAAACTCACAACTGGCTTTGTTGAAAATAAGCTTTTCTTTCCTGTCTTTTTTTATTTCGTTGAGCTTCAGTTTTTATTCTACATAAATTGGAAAAAAAGAGAAAAAATAAGACAGAATGAAGCCGCGTGAATTTAGCACCAGAGCGAATTGATGGTAAGAACTCCAATGAGATTTTCAGTATTTATTCGAATTTCTTATGTTAATCATGAGACTATCTCGACTATGCTGTAACTTCAAAGTTAGTGTGAAATCTCTTGAGAAATTTTCAAATCAAAAATGTAATTTCAATCAATCAAAACTACATTAAATGAACGACTTAAAGCAATTTCAACTTTAATTTGTTAAAAAAACATCTTAAGAAACCTAAAGGAATATGAAAGAAATGACCTTTTTAAAAACTCATCAATTCCACAAAGCCAACTTTCATAGCCATTAAGCTTCGTGGTGCTGAGTTCTCTCGCATTAAAATGAAAGAAAGAAAGAAAATATTTTTTTTAAATGTAGCAAAATGAAGAAATGATATTAAGATTGAATCGCAAGATGCCCTTAATCCGGTTTAATTTCGGGAGTTTTGAGCTTTATTCCCTTTTTTGAAAAGGAAAGAAACGGATGATAAATTATAGGAACCTTCTCTAATATTAAAGAAGAATCTTTTCTTATATTTTTGCTTCAACATAATATTACACTTATTGATCTAATGAAATATTTAAACGGAAATTTTCATATATTCGTGATATAATCATTAATTTGCTCTCTTTTCCCTCGTTTCAAAATGTTCCCTTATCGTCCTATATTCAAACCGGATCTTGTTTGCCTGACTCATTTCCCCAGTCTCGATTCTCGTCGTCACAGCTCTTCTGCTAAATTAACCCAATTTCCTTCTCTTTTGGAGGCACACATTTTACTGGTTTGCAATTTGCTGCTTTTGATACTCACTCAAAATGCCTCTCAAAGGAAAAGCTGACAAGAATATTAAAACTCAACCTTTAAGAATAAATATGGCTAATTTTATAATGAAATTAATAAGGCAAATAAAAAATTATTTTTTTATCAGCAAATCATAAAACCCAAAAACCAAATAGACAATTGTTTAGATATTTCCCTTTTAAACTTTAAAAATAATAAACTGAAGGAATATTTATGTAAAGAATGAATTCAAATAACGTTTCCTTAAATCTTAAGGTTCATTAATAAACATTCTGTTGATTAATCGATAAAAAATAATTGAATGAAGAATAAAGATGATAAGAATAATAAGAAAAAAGAACATGAAAGATTACGTTTCACTTTAGACTTCTTTATGATGATTTGATAAAAGAAAGCTTCCAGATATTTGTAATAATATTTCTAATTCAGGCCATTTTTCGTGAAGAACAATGAACCTTGTTTTATTGTGGAAAGCTTTTAATGGAAATCAGAATCTCACATTTTTCCACATTCTTTTTCCAGCTTAACAGGGTTTTGTAAGTTTGCGAGGTTTTCTACATTTCCATTCCTCTCTTTTCCCTCATTTTCTCTTGGAAAATGTTTTTCCTTTTCTCCTCTCAATATGACAAAGTTGATATTTTCAATCTAATTTTCAACATCAAGCATAAGCAGATATCTTGTTTCAGCTTTTCTCAATTTTCAATATTTATTTCTTTACGCAATTTTCATTTCTCTTCAACACTCATCTAAATTAAAGAGCTCTCAGCCCTCGAAACGTTAAAAAACGAACGATGTGATTGATCGATATTCACGGCACAAAGATACGAACGTTATCAGCAAAAACGTTTCTGCTCTCGAATGTTGTAAATTTCTTGATTCCGTTTCTGACATTTGAACTGCTTGTCGAATGTTATTTGACTTTGAATACGATGAAAAAAAAGGAAAATTCATCTGTAGTCCCTTTTTACCGTAAATAAAATTCATTCAACTGCGATGAAGCTTTTTAAATGCTCTCAAATTGGTTTTTGGCCTCAGCATTTATTCTCATCATCATCATCATTCCTCACTCCACCAATTCCATCGAATACAAAAATAATCATAACTCAATGTGTTTAAGCCAGGCTTCGCCCATTATATTTTAATTATGCTTAATAAATTGGAAATATTTCTTTCAAAACACAGCATTGTAAATACTTTTGAGTTTCTCGAGTGCTTTCAACGTGGGTTGGTTGATTGAGTTGACAAGAATCAAAATACAAATTCATATTTAATTATTTATCATCATCTCCAAGATTTTCTTTTGTTTTTGGAGTAACTATTTCTTCTACTTCTTCCTCGAATTTTCATTTGAAACTTTTCTCATTCGAGGATGTTTCGGAAAAGGATTAACTTAAGGTTCTTAGACAGTATCGGAAATCGTTATGTAAATCTCTCATTATCCAAGCTTCAAACTTTGAACGAACAAAATACAAGAAAAGAAATCAGCATAATAAGCGTAAGAAAGACATACAATAAAGGAAGCAAAGAAATATCTTTAATCGAACTACTGAGACTTGAACCGGAACAAAAAGACAAAAGAGGGATGAAAGAAAAGAAAGAAGAAGAATTTGTGCGGTGAATTAAAGGGTTTTGAAATGAATATCGGCAATTTGTTTCTTCATCTTCTCCTGCTTTGGTATGCCTTGGAATTTTTATGCTTGAAACGAGAAAGAAGTCCATGAGAAGTTTTTACGTTTGTGCAATACAAACTTTCAGCCGTTTAGGGTAGAAATAACATCAGCAATGAAAAGAGAAACGAAAACTTCGCAAAGAAACCTCTGAATTAAGAAATTTTTCTTTGCAATCATTTTAAAACGAGTAACTTTTTTATGAAGCGCATGGTGATGGTGTTGACGGTGGCTAAGGGAAGTTGGTTAAGGTTGAAAACATTCTATTAAAAGTGTTTTACTCCTTTTTTTCCTTTAGAAATATTTTTCTCCTTTGCGCAGTTTTCTCAACATAAAACATAAAAAAATGTGAAGCTGCCCTATTTAAGGTAAAGTTTTATGCTGGAATATTTAGTGAAAATAATAAAACTATAAGAAACGTCAAATATGAATGTTACATCATGATGATTGTGCAAGTTTTCCCTTCGACAAACAGTTTTTCTCTGGAGGTTTAACAAGCGATGATGGTTTGCCTATGTTTCCGCACCATCATCCGTCTGTGGAACTGTCAGCTGAACAAAACAAAATGAACCATTTTTTCCTTAATTCAATTTACTTAATTAAGAAAATTAATCATTGCGTCATGTTGGAAAAATGTAAATAAACTGCCGAAAATACCGAAAACAACTCCTTTTGTGTCGCTACACAATAAACACTCGATGGATTAGCGTCATGAATTACTTGCCAAAACAATGAATTGTCATGTTCACGAACGATTCATTCTATCTATTTATGTAGAAGAGAAAGAAGATTTTCACTCTCAGCTAAACCACATTACGAAACAAACAAATTACCGTTTTCGATTCGTAAGAGACTTGTACTAATTAGTTGCACCAAATGTTTCACATTAATCATCGAAATGATTTTTTTACGAATTGATGATTGTAATCATTGAATTGTTCAACAATAAACAAAAGGTGTGAGGTGGTTAAGGGAATTAAAGTGTTTTCGATGCATTTAACTTCTTCAACATAATTTATCACCAAGGAAACTGTTGAGAAGTAATTTTGTCCTCTAAAACATTTCTCACATTTCAATCTTGATAAGTAATGCAGTAAATGCATCATCATATGTTCAACGACGTGTTATTATCAACCGATTTTTCGCATAAAATATGCGAAAGCAATTCTCACATTGTTTAACCGTCTTGTATGTCAAATATAAATTTCCCAAATGCATTTAGATTCAAGATTACATTTATCATCTCACGTATTGATGCCATCTACTCCATTTTCAGTTTTTATATTTTCTTTTTCTTATGATCTGATGTGAATACAAGACGAGAACGGAAATCCTTTCAATCCCCGAGGATCATATCCGCCTTATAGATCTATGAGTATTCTTCAATAAATGTATGACGCAAAACGTGCATTATATGTTCGAAAGAAACGATTGAAATTATATTTAATAGCATCAAGAGGAAAATCTGTCACACAATGTGTCATTGCGGAGTTGTTTGCTTAACTTCTCCCTTGCCTATGTGTATGCATAAATGAGAAATCTATGTACCCTCGAAAGCGAAAACAACTTGAAGTATTTTTAAAAACAACACATGAAATTTCCACCCACACCCACAGTTTTCAAAATCACATTTTACAGAGATAGAAAAATATGAAAAATTTCCAGTTCAGTGAATGAAAAAATTTCGTCGTGCACGTCAAAATAATGGGGAAAAAAACGAAAATCTCGTTTTGTATTTTTTTTTTTCTTCTTTTCATACACCAGAGAAAAAAAAAGCGTTTTAAAACGACATAAGCAATAAAAATTTATTAAATTCATTCGATTGTAATGCTTTACTTTAAAACTCGATTCGCAACCAACGATAGAAACGAACAAGTCGTGGGTGGAGAAACGCAAACGACGAAAGCTTTTTTTTTGTTGTTGCTGTTTTTTATGACTTCATTCGCATCATGGCGACAAATAGATTTATTTGAAAATGCACAGAATAATAACATAAAGATTCGAGATGACTGGAATAATGTTTTGAATGTGACGTCGTAAAAGAAAATCTTGATGGAAGTACAAAGAAATCGATGCATAAAAGGTGAAAGCTTTTAATGATTTCAATTCTATTTGAAGCTGACCATGACGTGATTTAAAAGCAATTCAATGATTTTTTTTAAATTGAGTTTCACTTAGAACATAATTCATTGGCAGACATTCAACTGCATTTGATTTTTACACCACTATTAGTGCCAATCGTCGTTGTTAGAACGGATGTGGTTGATCATGTTTTCATACGAGAATTTTTTGAAAAAAGAAGAGAAATAATAAATTGTGATCACATTCAACGAGTCATGAATGGAATTTTTTCAGTTTCTCTCATTTTGAACAGGAAAAGTGTTGAATAGAAAGTTTTTCCACAGCTGAGGATGAAAAATTCTATTCAGGTCGAACCATACTTTCTAAAAAATTACACCGTGGGGAGAAATTTATGTTCTGAATGCAAAGTTGTGCTTTAAAAACATTAAATGCATATTTTACACTTAAAATTTTCATAGCTTTTCTCTCATTGAATTTTCACGGGTAGAAAAAAAAAGTTAACAACACCATCAAGAATGATAATTAAATGGTAATTTTCTTGGCGATTAGTTCTCTTAGCAAGCAGTTTATTTCCATTATTTTTCACTCTTCTATAGTCGAGTGAAGAAACTTTTAGTCGTCTTAGGGTGAATCACAATCTCAGTCGAATAGACGAATAGAAGAAGAAAAAAAACAAAGCAGTAAGCGCAATTAGTGTCACCATCAAACGAATCTCGTATCACTGCTAGTTTTACGATCGTCTTCATGGCTCTGTCATTCCACTTCTCTACTGCTGTGTAAATTCTTTTCATTTGAAAAAGAAGAATGAAGGAAATCTCGAGATTATTGCGCACAATAAAATATCAAAGAAGGAAGTTTGGGTGAAATAAATTGTTTGAAAATCCTGGTTTCTTATTATATTGTCGACTTGTTGGAAGCGCTCGCAGACGTAAAGAATTCTTTTGATATAATGACTTCAATAACACCAAATTAAAGTGAGAGTTTCGCAACATTTTGATTACGATTTGCAAAAAGAAAAGATTTTCCCTGTAAAAATGAATTTTTATCTGAAGGTTTAGCTTCCAAATCTTTGTACGAATGGAACTTGCTTCTACTTGTAAAAGTAAAAGAAAGTTGAATAAGATTTCATTTTCTCTTCCTTTTTCTGTCTCATATCTTTTTCTTATTTCGTTCGACTAAAATTTCTTCAAATGTAAACCCAAAGAAACGTTTCCGTAACGGAAATGAGAAAGTTTCTTTCAGTCATTTCGTAGAATTTCGAGAAATGTTAAAGGAAAAACGACGAAATGGAAGAAACAAACAAACAAACAAACAATTTTGTATGTGCGAATACAGCAGCATTGAGATGAGGGAAAAAGAAACTTCGATTTTTTATTGCCATCTTTTGTTGTTCCTTTCAATCCCTTTTAGATTATTCGATTATTGTTTATTAAAAGTTATTTTTCGTTTGTTTGTATTTCGAGTGTAGAAGTTGTTCAAGAATCGTTATGGCTTTTGTTAGCCCTTTTTGTGTACCATTGCATTGATGAGAATGAAGCAGGGTTAAAATCTTCTAAGTAAAGAACAACAACGACTTCTTAGTATTAAATATCGATTTTGAAGTTTTTCTGTTTAGAGAATTGAGAGTCAAGTTACTCGAACGTCGGGGGGTTCAATGATTGTTGCAGAAGTGGAAATCAATTTCTCTTTCGATATTTCTCTTATAACCATTCACAGTCAGTAACTAAACCCTTGATACTGACAAACCAAAACTTTGATTTCTAATCTAAGCAAATCAATGGGCAATTGATACAATGTTGCAACCTTACTCGAAACTTGTTCCTACACATGTTCGAACCGACACTTTGTCGAAGCAATTTATGTTAATTTTTCAATACTCTGCTAGTTCCTTTGGTAGCTTAAGGGAATTTTGTTTTGAATATTTTGATTAAATTGATTCATAAGTAAGAGAGAAACATGACAAGACAAGATGATGAAAAGATTTGTGCTTAATACATTGTGGAATTAACTGAACATTTATTTTGTTAATTCAAGTTTATTTACAAAAAAAAAATTATTTTTCTTGATTTTGATTATTTTAGTGATATTGCTTGATCGTCAAATTATTCAGATGTCTCCAATGCAGCGATACGGATATCGTGTTGATCTATTCTGTCATCAACTCCTTTTATGCGATTATCATGGGCATTTAGTTCGCCATCAATGCGAGAAATGGCGGAAGAAGGAGCTAAGTCGGCGATATTTGCATTCAAGTTAAAAATATCATCTTGAACCTTTTGTAAATCATTGTCCGTTTGTGTTATTCGTTGGTCATGGACATTTAGTTGGCCATCAATATCTAAAGCATTTAAAGTTGCAAGATCGCCTTCGACGCCAGCTAATCGCGTATTTACTCCCGACAAGTCAGTTGGTGGATTTGCTGCAAGAATCTCTTGCACTACATCTTCAACTCTCAATTTAAATTCACTTCCATTCAAAATTTCTTCCTCAATCATGTTTGTAGTTAATGGACAATTTCTCGAAAACTCCCACATTAAGTCTTCCATTTCAGTTACGTTTTGTGCATACATATCAACACAAGTATTTCCAGTAAAGTCAAGCGATTCCAATTGATTTAAATCATCGAAAGCTCTTTGACTAACATGCCTGATTCTGTTATTAGCAAATGAAATATGTTTCAAATTTTTGCTTTCCAAGAACAACGTCCAATCAATTACATGGATAACATTTCCAGTAAAACTTATTTGCTCAAGATGTTCGAAAACACTTAAATCATTTTGGGTGATTTTTTCTAATCCATTTCGTTGCATTCTAATCACCCGAATGTATTTAAATACATTTTCAAAATCTGAAGGGAATTCTTCCAAGTTTTGATCCAATATTGAAATTGCTTGGACATCATCGTCATTTTTTCCAGACAAATGATTTCCTGTGACTCGAGTAACTTGATTTCCACTGCCAAACTTTGATATGCTTGCTTCGCAAGTGTATACATTGTAATTCCAAATTTCTTGATTCCTGAAATTGCAATCAACGTGAAGTTCACTTTTCACCATTAAAATCGAGGAATATCCAACGATCATCAAAATAAGAAATTTTTGTATCCTATGGAAAGAAATTTAATTTAAAAAATTTATTTGATTTTGAACTGTTTTCTTACATTTTATTTGTTTCTTCCTTTTTTTTTGTTTTATGTCAATTGATTGTTTAGAGCAGACTGAAAAACAAAGCCAAAATCAATTCCTTTTATAGTAAATTTATTTAATCAAGCTGCAAAGATAAGAAAATGTATTATGACTTAAGCTTTTTATTGTTTTAATTTGATAAGAATTATCTTTGCAATATTTAAGAGATTAAATACATCGTAAATTAATATAAAAATAAAAATGTGTCGTTAAGAGGTAAAACATCAATCAACTAAGATTTAAGTATAAATACATTAATGTGACCCACTTGCTATTTTTAACTTCAGTTAATTATGCAACTTTAAAATTATAAATTTAAACCGATAAGTACCTAAATAAATTTGACTAAACTCTTGAAAATTTTATTTACGCCATTTAATCAGGTAAGCTTAGGCCTAAATTATTTATAAATGTTTTCACAGAAAAAAGTATTATTCAAAGTCGATAATCAATGAAAACAGAAAGAACTTTTCTATCTAATCAAGAATTTAACTCATTTGGGAGTCACAATCATAAATTTTTATGGTGGTCTATCTTAAGTTTACGCAAACAATTTTTATGACACCTAAAAATGGTGAAATTCAAGTGTTTCATGATTTTAATACCACTTTAAGCTTTAGATAATTTTCAGTTGCTGTTCAGCAGTCAAAAAGTGAAACTGTTTAGTTGATAACTTCTTAATATTTTGCAAAACAGTGAAGTTACTTCTGAAATTGTTCGTTCCAATGATTTTGTGCTTCATAAGCATTGAAGGAGAAATTGTTTGGAGAATATCATCCGCTGATTCGATTCCAATCAATTCAATTCCTGCTGGTAAGGATAATAATGAGACTTTGTATGCATGTAGAGCTTGGTTCGTGCGTGACCTTACGCCTGGAAAACTTTCCCCAGGACGAGGATGCGTTATAACTTATAAAGGAATAACGAGAATCATAAGTTCTGATTACGATGTTGCAACTGGAACAGGTGAATGGGTGACCTACGATCATGATTGGCAAGCAAATAGTTTCAAAGCGTCGGGTATTAATGGCAGAAGAGAAAATTTGTTTGTTTGCCGCATTATTTTAAACGGTAACCAAACACCTGGAAAGTTCAATCCCAACAACGGCTCTTGTTGTAGCGCTGGGGAAAGTCAAGAATATTGTTATGAAAATTTTGAGGTTCTGATTGAGTTACCAGTAATGATAGATCATCCTACTATACCTATTTCACCTACTCCACCTACTGCACCTTCTACTTCAACAACTCAATTAGAAATTATAACATGTCCAGAAGTTGTTACATGTCCAACAGAAACCGTCACATGTCCTACAGAAGAGATCTGCACCTGCCCGACAGAAACAGTTTCTTGTCCAACTGAAGTAAGCTGCACTTGTCCTGATGTGACTTGTCCTACAGAACCCATTACATGTCCTACAGAAGAGATCTGCACCTGCCCGACAGAAACAGTTTCTTGTCCAACTGAAGAAACCTGCACTTGTCCTGAAGTAACTTGTCCAGAAGAAACCGTTCCGTGTCCTACAGAAGAGACCTGCACTTGTCCTACCGAAGAGATGACTACGCCTATGACTACAACTCCCCGTTTCTTCAAAATATTTTAAATCTACTCGGGAAAATGAAAGTATTAAAATTTATTTTCTTTCAATTAAATGATTTTGTTCAATTGAACTTTGGATATGTTGATATCAAAACCGATAACCGAGAACCGATAATCGGCTGTTTTTTCCGGTTATTTCGAGTACTAGGTTAACCGAGATTTCTTCCGGTTAACCGAAAAATAACCGAAATTAGCGAAATTTACTCCTATTAAAAATTTTTTTCGCAAATTGTTTCNTTTCTTCAAAATATTTTAAATCTACTCGGGAAAATGAAAGTATTAAAATTTATTTTCTTTCAATTAAATGATTTTGTTCAATTGAACTTTGGATATCACTAACTTAGAATGTTGAAAAACGTTTTTAATAAAATCATTAGAATAAAAGTCACAAGAATGAGTGAAAAGTTTTGTAAATTACTGTTATCAAATCACATTTTGTTAATCATCTTATGTAGGTCAAATCGGGTTATCATCATGAACTCAATCTGCACATTAAAATTTCAAAAATATTTCAGTCTTGTTGAAAATTTCTGACCAAACGGATGACAAAAGATGAAGTGAAGGAAATTTTTAATCTTTTAAAGGATTTCGGTTGATATAATTTCATTTTAGGTTGATAACTTTACTTTTATTGACGTTGGGTATGATAACTGTTATCAAACCAGAAAAATTCGGTTGCAAGTTCAGCGTATCAACATTGGAGACCACTTCGGAGACAACATTTTATCTGTGCGAACTTATCGACATTAATTATGATGGCCAAAGTGGTTTTAATTTATCAGCACATGAACAAGACGATAATGTGAATCATTTGAAAGTGTCAAAATCAAAGATCATTGAACTGCCGAATTTAATATTTCGTAAATACAAAAGAATGAAAATATTTCAAGGTTCAAATGTGCAATTGAAAACTTTAACTGCCTTGTCGTTTAATGGTGCTGCAAAGCTGGAGAAAGTTGCTTTAGAAAATAATAAATTAGAAAGCATTCCCAATTATGTCTTCATACACTTAAAGCTTTTGAAAGTGCTTGATCTATCGAATAACAAGATCAAAACTATTTCTGATAACGCATTCAAATCTTTACATAATTTAAAAACATTAAGCTTAGCTAATAATAATTTAATGACGATCAATGGAACAGCATTTGAACATTTAATCTCACTCAAGTGGCTTCATCTTAACAGCAACAAAATAAGTTCATTAAATTCCGAAAGCTTTTCAAATAAAAATAAAAAACTTTTCGGAGTTTTTCTCGAAAATAATGAAATTAAGAAAATTTCCCGTTTTTCTTTTGATTTCTTGAAGAGTTTGAGATATTTGACACTTTCTGGCAATGATTGTATTAACAGAGATTTCAAGGAAAATGTAATCGCAGAAAATGTTTCAATCAAATATGAATTAAACGAATGTTTTAAAGCTTACAAAAATGACACTCCACCTGAATGTTCGTCAGACTGTCGCGAAAATGAATTAAATCGTTTGATTAATATCGTTGAACGAGCTGAAAATTGCACTAATCAAGTGGCAAACTATACAAGTAGTTTACTTTTTTTCAATAATTTAATTGAGAACGAAAAGAAAACTTAATTTTATTTCATTTTCTTAGTTAATAAGTTCACAATTTTAATTCAGCAATTTGCAATGAAAGTGATTTAAAGAACGAATTGAAAAACGCCATCACGTGTTTCCTGTTTTTCTGCAGGTTTTACCAATTTCACTTCCGAATTAAAATTTTTAGTTTTATTTTCAATTGTTCGGAGTTTAATTCCTAAATCATAAGCAGTAATTGGACGTGAATCTCTTTCTTTCTGCAATTCTTTCAACTTATCCTGAATAAATGTTAAAGTGTAATAAGAAAAGTTCAATAAATTGAATAAATTTCACTTACTTTGTTTTTCAAAAACATGCAACTTGCTCTCATTGTAAAATAATAAAATATTTCCACACCAGATAGAAGCGAAAATCCCAAACACAAACCAGCAACTCCACCGAATGAAACCAACAAATCAGCCCATCCAAAGATAACTTCTCGTTTAAATCGAAATATTGGCCATGTGAACAGCTCAATTGAAATTCCGGATTTAAAATTATCAACGAATTCTTTTGTTGAGTTTGATCTGAAATTATTATGAACTTATTATTATGTAGTGCTGTTGGTTACTGATTCGAGAAATTCTAATCCATCATGTGCAAGTTTCTTTTCAATAAAAGGACTTGTAACTAAGCCAAACATGATTGACATTTCCTCAAGCAAAGGCACATGTAGGCCTTCAGTTGTTTGTTAATCAACAACTACATTGTGCCATGTACTATGTTAATGAAAATCAAATGTTTTGTAATATTTTATCTACTAAAATCTTGTTCGCTTTAAGGGAAAATCATGCAACGAATCTTCGCTTCAATCGAACAAAAACTTACTCTGGTTTTTTAACCAAAAGCTTTGAAACATCATAAAGGGTATAGAGACAACTCAATTCACACATCAAACCACAATCATCTTTGATATCTGATATTTTTCTCTCGTGTTCTGCTAAACATGCAATGTCACTTATGCCACAATATCGATGCTTTCTATTGAAAGGTGCATAGAATGGAGGAATGCATTTGCAGTAGTTGAAAGCTTTTTGCATGCGACATTGTTTGTTGCACATTGACATTGAATAAACGTCGTTGTTATGATAAGAAACCTCAACTTCACCATGAATGACGCATTTTCGTTGCCCTTTTGATAACTGTTTAGCATCATCAGTTGTGTAAGTTTGTTTCATTGTAATTTGAAGATTAAGATTGATTCCTTTCTCCCAAAAGAATTGCGGTGGAATTTCATAGCTCGACACTTCATCATGCGAGTATAAATAGACATTTGAAGCAGCATTTAAATCAATTTTTACCGACCATTGTGTGTCAGTTTCTTTAAGGTAATTGAGATTTTCATATCTGATTCTGAAAAGATGTCAAAAACTTGTTGTAACTTTTAAGTTAATTCAATTCACACTTACTCTTCATCAGCAGTTCCATAATATCTTGGATTAAATGCATAACAAAAGCCTCGTTCAGTGAAAGTTGGTTCGAAAACATCACAGCACGAAACATTTTGACCGCGAAAATGACAATTGTAAAAAAGATTTTCGCAGCTCACGGCAATTTTGAAAATCAATTGTCGTAATGTAAATTTCTTTTCATCGATGTTAATTTCATCGCTGAGGTCTTTAATGACATTGTTGATTTCATTTATGTGTCCATAAGAGAACTTTGATAACGCTCTCAATAGTGGAATGTTGTCAGCATAGTCATCATCATTGACATTCGTTGTGTTATTATTAAAATCCATATCGAAAGGATCAGCAGGGCAAACCGCCACTGTTGGAAACAACATTTCCTTACTACGTAAATCAGTATCCAAACCTTTTAAGAAAGACAGAAAGCAATCAAAAGTACTCGAAAATATCAGAAATAAAATGAAATTTAATTTAATTTCAAATTTCTCGCCTGTTAATGTTGGACTTGTTTGAAATTTCGCCCATAATTTGTCAATGATAACAAGAGCAGTGACAGCGCCAACTAAGAGAACACTCATCCAAATTATTTTTTCAAATAATGATCGCCCTTTTTCTGCAACATAACGAACTCCATGTAGCGACGAATTAGCGAAAAACTCTTTGGTTTGATAATTAAAATTTAAAAAAATTATTTTAATTAGCTTTGAAAATTTCGACTGAGTCATTGTGGTTTTATTGTTAAACTGAAACCAACATGAACAAATGATATTAATAAAAGTCGAGTCAAGTGAATGCGACAATAAAATGATAAATAATTAATTATGTTACATATCAAAAGCTTTTATTAAATTGGATAGTTGCATGGCCTCTCGAAGTGCATAAAATGTTTTAAACAGTGATAGGAATTTTCAAGCGTTATAACATTTCATAATTTAAGCTCTGCTCTGCTTCAAGCACAACTTTAAACATTTCAAATTGGCCTCTATCTCACTCATCTTAATTATAATCTCGACTCAGGGGTAAAGTTTTTTGAAAATTAGCCTTTTGCTTAATGAACAAGTTTCAGACCTTGATGATGTGAAAATGCGAGCATTTCAATAAACAAATTTTCTGAAATGTTCCCTTTCGTCCAGCAGATTATCGAAGTTTTACTTGGTTTTATATTTATAAATTATTTATAAGTTCTCGTATAAATGTGAACATTTTAATGTAGCTAGTCATGCATGTTAAACTTTTTACAGCAGGAAAAGCATTAAAATCTTTCCCCATTCAGATTATTGTGACATAAACTTGTGACTTTTATATTCAGAAAAGTTCATTTCGTTCATGCTTCTACGTTAGTATGAAGCTTGTAACTTTCCGTCTTCAAACTTCAATTTCGAACGTGCTGTAGCTGCATCAGATCATCTAAATAAATAAATAGAGAAAGTTCGATTGAATTTTGGTTTCAATGTTCAAAGAAAACAACAACAACATTTCTTAGAATAGCTCGATGAAGATTTGTTCGTAAAACTATTTTCGATTCACATTCCATAAATTTATCGTGTCGACTTATTAGATTTAATCTCCACTTTCCCTTCTCGTTGAAATGGCCTTAACATTCCATGCTGATGCAAGGCAGGAGGGAAAGCACATAAATTTGAAAGTTTTGCTATTTTTCTTCTCAACAAAAATACTTTTAATGGACGCCTACTCGGCCCAAGCATCTTAGGCCATAACTTTTCACTCTCCCGAAACGATAAAATGCCAGCATCAATGTGTGGAGGTCATAAAACTTCAAAATTTATGACATTGAATGAAGGGAGATAAAGAAAAGTGTGGGGGAGTTAAAAAGGGAGAAAATGATCGTTAACGACTTTTGTGTCTGTTGATGCCTGACTGATTTCTACTGATAACATTTTACTGATGTTTTTATTATATTTATAACATACGAAGTCTTAATTTCATTATTTGCTTGTGTGCAAATTCTGTTTTTGCGTCGAAGACAACTTAAATCGCGATGAAACACGCAATTTGCTTTTGAATTAAATTGACTTTAGCTTTCGCTTTTGGGTATGTTAAAAAAAAGGAAAAAGAAAAATGTGAGACGAGGGAAAGTCATAAATAACAAAAACCTAATGGTTACGAAGATTTTTCTTTTCTGCTTAAAAAAGTTTCATTTTTGCAAACAAAGTTTATGGTAATTTAGAGGGTGGGGTGGGTGGAAGCGTAAAATATTACGCAATGTCATTAAATTTAGGAAAAGAAGAAAAAAAAACTCTGAGAACGTCATTTATTAATCTCGCCTGGCAACAGCCGTTCGACTGGAAAAATTTTCATTGCCACCGACTTTTCATAAAGATGATAATTTATGTGGTGTTAACAGAGTAAAGAAGGAAGTGAATTCATAAAAAATAATAAATTTCATTAGCATTCTTTTCACACTAATGTTGGATCTAGTTGCGACTGATAAAATTAAACATAGGCTGGTTGGCCTGCTTACATCTTTCAATGGCGACAAAGAAGTTGACTGACAAAAAGGGTCTTTAAAGATGCCACAAACACAAAGCTCTGGTTTTTGTACAAATCGCCTTCTTCATCTTCTTTTTGTTTCTTTTTGTGAAACGGGAGTAAAGTAGAAAGTGATTAAGCTTAAAAAGGGACAATTTTGTCAGCAATTTAAATGAATAATTTCGCAATGTAATATGTTCCACGCAATGTTTCAAAAGCAGCAGAAAATCTTGCAAAGAAACAAAAACGAAATGAGATTTTAAATTCTCCCATTGAGCATAATTTCGAGGGTAGACATGACGAGAAAAAGTTTTTCGAAGAATTCGTTCAAGTGACTTGAATTAATGTGCTTGATTTCCTCACGAAAACTGAGAAGTGAACATGAAGAATGGAAAATTATATCGGTGGAAATTCTGTCATATCTAGGAGCACGCTCATAAAACTTTTTTTTTCTTTCTCGTTTGGAGACTTTCGCTTAAAGAATTTAAAAGGTTGTCATTTAAAATGCAAATTTTCTGCCGCTTTGCCAGTTGAAACGCATGAATGTTTGATTTGTATTGCTTGTAGTGAGATGTCTGCTAAAGCTCTTGAGACACATTTTGTCTAAATGGTTGTTTTATTATTTCACAAATTTGACGCAGAAATAAATTTTTAAGCATTGAAACATTTTCAAATCAAAAATAGAAAGCGAAGTTCTTTCACTAAATGAACCTTGAGAGCTATGTCAAAAGTTTCTCCAAGGATTAGGATCACGAGATCGATTCCATGTCATTTTCAGGCAGGCTTATTCATTGATTATAACAAAAGGTTCAAGCATTCATTCGTGAAGCATAAAAAATGAGTTTGCTGAGTCAGAAGTTTGAAAACAATTTATTGGTTGATCCAGAGAATTTCGAATATCAATGACACAAGTGTTTGCGACGTTCCTTATTTTTGTTTGTGTAAAAGCACCTTCAATTTTCATCCAATACTTATTAACATCAAACCTTTAATTTGAAGCATGATTTGTGACTTCGTCTTCGTCTTCTTTTATTTTTTGTAATAATAAAGAACTTCACTCAACCTTCGGATTGTTGGTTCTGATAATAAACTGTCTTATTTTTATTCCTTGTTCTTCTTTTATAATAAATAATAAGTATTGCCTGATCTGTAATACAGGCATTTGAATTACATTTTTGGGATCAGTTATATAATCTAACACGGATATCCTTCGACATCGCAAAATATTGAACTTTATCTCAGGTGCTCAAAGATCACCTTCCCTGATTAACATAAGACCCAAGCAGAAATTTGCATGATCTCTTAATTTATCTAAAATCCGGGTAAAAAGGACAAAAAATTCTAAAATCTACAGTAGATTCTTTATATTTTCATCTAAATTGAGTAGGGACAAGAAGGGAGAAATTTCTGTCTCAAAAATAGGATTTGTACGTAATGCGTTGGATAGGTAGCAAGTATTATGATAAAAATGTCAGGCGTGGAAAATTTTTGAATTAATAATTCGCTTGGTGTTTGTTATTCATAACCCTTTTTCCCATATTTTCTATACAACATAACGAGATAACCCGAAACGTAAAGGCATCAGTAGCGAGATAGATTGAAAGGGAATGGATCTTTTTTAAAGCTGATGGATTCAAATGAACTTCATTTTGATACATTTCCACCTAACAATTCCTTTCAACTTGCCTTGCCACACCGCCTCTTATCATCTTCAACACTTTTTTCCATTAGCATCACAATCTGCGAACGGATTCAATTTCACTTATCCATTCTTGTGAATAACGAGTGCGTAAAATAATAAATCATATTTAAAGGAGAAAAGTAATTTGTTTATCTTACTTACCGTCTTCATTTTCGTTTCGAATTTCCACCCAACTCGAACCTATTTCTCCGAATTCAAATGAATGTTTGCATGATGAACTCGCATTTAACATATGCATATGCGTAAGTATTAAAAGGGGTTTCTTCCTTTACACTTAACTTAAATAACGAACATACATCAGAAGCAAATGTCGTAATATTTTTAAAGCAGAGAAGGAGAGAGTGTGGAAAAAACGTATTTTTCATCCTTCTCACTGCCAGGCATCCATTCCAACTGCTGGCAACCGCAAACATCGCATAAATTTTTCAAAAGCGGTTTTGCAATCATCAGAGTCATTTTTCTCGCATGAAATATTATTTTGCTGTCAGGGATGCTTTCTCAGAAACAGCACAAATGAGCTTCAACAATGTGAATTTTATTTCACGTTTATTTATAAGTAATAAAATGAAATTCATGAATATGCTAATAACTCTTTTCATGACTAGCAAAATGCATTTCATTTCATTGAAAAACTTTTCTTTGTTGCATTCTTTATTGAATTAAAAAAATTTGTTTGTCATTTATTAAAAAACCTTTAAAGATATGTAAGTGGAATTTCATCTCCCCAAAGTCTAATGGAATTTTAATATCGCTTTTAAAGGAATTTCATTTGGGATATCGTTTAAATTAAACGAGAGAAACAAATAAATACTTTGATGCCGGAACGTAAAAAAAAAATGTTGTTGATACAAATTAGATGAAATCTCCACCCGAAAATCTTTTATTTTGTCATGCTCGTCTGGCAAAGAAATATTGGCTTATCATGCTATCAAAATTCCCCCTTTTTCATGTTACCCGACACATAAACTTGTTAAGGCTCGTAAGTAATATGAATTTAAGTATATTTAAAAGAACGTCAAGCTCTGCGATAACACACAAAGGGGAGCAAGAAAAGTGGCAATTGTTGAGGTCTTTAACATTGAAGTATCCCTCAAAACAAATATTTTTGTTGCTTATTCCATCATATTTTCCTTGTCTAAATTTTCTTTGCATCAAAAAGAAAAACAAAATACTTAAAAGAAAAAGGAAATGGAAAAGGAAGGAAAATTTATCCCAGATTTCCACTCTAAAATCTGAAGAGAATTATAGAATTTCCTTTAATCATTCTCATTCCATTTCATTGCATTTACCACACCCACGCTGAAAATGTAAAATATTTCAAATCCTTAATTTAAAGAAAGCTTTGAAATGCGCTGAAATCTCATCTATGGAATAGACAATAATGTTGTGTAATTACCGTAAGCGATCATTGTTTGTTTGTAGCTTTTCATGAGTTTTTCCTGAACCGACAAGGGAGGAAAATTCCTTTCGACTTATTTTATCGTATTTCTCTTTTTTTTTCGGCTGTTGTAGATTAAGCTTCGAAAATAATCCTCTAGGAGTGAACACACAGCATGAGAATCTCGTTTTTCGTTCTCGCAGAAATTTCAATTATCCATTACATTGCCGCGTCTGTCGAAAATGGGAAAAGAAACAATGATGATGGAATATATTTACAAGTTTTTGGGCTTCAGGGTAATATGGAAAAGGAGAAAATCGTGAACAGTAAGCACTTTAATCTTATCACCATTTGCAAGCTTACATCGTCGAAATCCTCTATGTGGATATAATGGATTGTGATAAATTCCTTTTTATTCAACAACATGTTCTTAAATGTCATTAATGTTGTTCAACTATTGTTTTCCTTCTTCTTCTACTCTTTCTCTCGATTGTTAACAGTTGAAATTAATTTTTATTCTTCTTTGTCAAGTATATTTTATTGTCGTTCACTCTTACAATTGTTGCTAAGTTCCCAACTCTTGCCATGTTATTATGTCGCACGTAGATATGATGAAAATGAAAGCCAAGCTTAGCTTTTCTTTGTTGTTGGACAAACAGCATGAAAAGCTACAAGGGAAAAGTAAAACTGTAATTAAAATGTCTCAAACCAATTTTTTACAGCCTTTTAATGTTTACATGAGAATTGCTTTCTTGGTTGAAAAGGTAACAAAAGTTTCCAATGAATTCTCAGCCCCAAATGAAATTGTTTCATTCTCGACTTCATTTCTTACTTACAAAGTAGAAAATGTCATCTCTCCATCTCTTTTCAACAGCCTTCTTTGCTAAACATAAATCTTGATGAAAGGGAAACAAACTTATAATCGTTTTTGGTCAACAAATAAACAAACAAACAAACTCTCCAAACATACGAAAATGAAAAATTGTTCTTTGAAGAGTGAAAAAACATTACGTAATGAAGTTCCTTTTCTGTGGTTGAGTTTTATTTTTCTTTTCTGACAGGGATTGGGATTAAGTTTCATGAATGGATTCAAAGATTTGCTTTCTAAATTCAAAGAACGTTTCACTTTTCCTTCTCAGCTCTGTCCTTTCATATGAGCATACATCTAGATTTATTCCATATAAAGCTACCAAACTCACTCTATGTGTTGGTCAGAAAGTGCAAATGGAAGACAATTTCTTAAATTAAAAGCCGACATAAATAAGTTTTTCGAGATATAAAATCTAAACCAAAGCTGAAACTATCAAGCAAATTTTATTATTTTTCCTTTACTTTTGTGAGAATATTGAAATCGCTTCTGATCCCTTTTCACTAAATTAGATTTTTTGTATGTTCTTTCCATGTACAAGGTGCTATAAACTCAAAGAGATTGATGACCTTTTTTTGTCTATGTATCTTCTTTCCATGCTTTTGAACATAACATCTCTGACATTATCATATCGTCGAATATCGTCTAAGTCAATATGACAAAAGGGAGCTCGAAAAGAAGAAAAACTTGTAATTCAAGATTCAATTAAGTGTAAACGAATCTCATCATTGACATGGTAAACAAAGCAATAACGAAGAGTCGATCGATAAGAATATTAAGTGCTGATAACTAAGGCAGGTACTCGTGTTGCTTTTCCTTTCACTAAAGTGTCACAAATAAGATTTTTAAAATTTCTTTGATGTCAAACGAAATGCTATTCCTTCTTCATGAATTTATTAAAAGCTTTTACAACCACTCTTAGTTGAGTGATATGTCAGATGGTGAAATAAGTTGAAAGCTTATATTAAAAGGATGTTGACTTCATCTGACACAACGTTGACTTTCACGACACTACGAGAATTTTAAAATATAAAATTCCTTCTCGACATCCAGATACGTCACAACAAACTGATTAAGTTCATAAAGCGAGTGACTTAATAAAATGGGAAAGTTGAGAATAAGTTTAACAAAGATAATTGGTTGGTGGCATTGCCACTACCACTGGCACTGTTAAGAAAAATGTTTCTAAAAATAATTAATTTCCAAAATTCTTGTTTGTTTCTTTTTTTTTCAGAAAACTTGAGAGAATTTTCCCTTTTCATTATGAAAGAAATTAATTTCAGCTTGATAAGTTGAGATGGGTGATGATGATGTTAGAAAGTTACTGAAAGCGAAACAGAAAAACTTTTTCTCCTTGTTGTTTCTTTAATTACATTTTCTTCTCATCAACAAAAGAAATTCTTCTCAATCTTTAACATCGACAGGATTTTGTTTGAGTATCAACATTGAAATTAAGTTGATTTCGAGGAGAAATGAAATTGATGGAATTATGAAAGAAGTTTTCTGTTCATAATAATCCAATTAAAATCGTTTGCTTCTCTATAATTAATGGATAATTGTTTTTGTCACAATCATTTTGAAGAATGTCTGAGGTTGAAGTTTGTTAGACATGAAGAATTGTGAGATGTTGATTTTCTATTATAGTCAGAGTATTAACGGCAAGACAAGCAGTTATTTGATGAGAATGGGTCGGAAAGACTGGCGCCGATGTCACAATAAAAAGTCATCAGTTAAATAGCAACGAAACTTCCTCAAAAAAACATTTTCGGATCGACAAAAATGGAAAATAAATTGGTCCATCAATTTTCCAGTTGAGAACGCATTGCGATGAATAAAAACGAGGATTCTGTGATCTCATGCTATGAACATTATCTCGGACAGTCGAATGAAAGGAAACAGCCGACAAAACGAACGTGGAAAGTAGCGAAAAAGAGAGCGAAGGCAAGGAGAACCTTTTCCGCTTCGCATCGTAGCCTTCTAAAAATAAACACACATTTCTTCAATTTATTTTATATTTTTGTACTCGTCTCATTGATACAGAGCAGAAAAAATAGAAAGGATGATGACGATAAGCCATTTACAATGGCAACGTTTCGGAAAACTCATTTTTTTGCTGTAATCTTTATGCTTCGTTTGAAGACAGAAATCATTCAAGTAGACCCAGTTGGGAAATCAACAAACATAAGTACATCAAATCATGTCATTGTCATTTTTGTGTCGAATTACATAAAGAAGAAATGTTAAGCGGTTGCTTATCCTGTTCATATTTTGAAAACGATTTAAAGCCCTTCAGTCCAAGTCTCAACAGATCCCCAATATGTCAGCAATCTGACTACCAAACATTTGACACTTTCCAATATTCTACCTGGGCTTATTCGGACTTCGTTTGACAATGGTTGGACATTTCCTAACGATATCATCATCTTAAAGCAAAATGAAAGCTTCCCTGAAAGCAGAGAGGCGAACATATAACGCCAGCATCCCCCTTCAACCCTTACAATCATATATCGCGTCCTTCCATTCTGTCATAATGTCATTCTGACCATTTTTCTCTTTTTCGTCTTCTTTTTTCTGTTGTCCATAATGTTCTCCATTCATTCGTTCTGTGGTAGTTTTTGTTGCTTCCACAAATAATCTTCTTGCTTCTTCTTTATAAATATATATTTTTGAAACGAAATAAAAAAATCTCGCTTTTGGTCTTTCCTCGAATAGCTCAAAACATTTCTTTTTTCCATGTTGTTGCTCTTGCTGTCATTGCTGAAATCTTATGGAGAATACAAAAACCAGAAAAAGAAAAAGAAAGAATAATTCAATGGCTAGGGACATGAAGAAATTCTTTCTTTTCTTTTGCTTTTCCCGAATGGCGATGAATGAAAAAGCTTTTGGAGTCGACAAGAAAGAAAGTTCATCTCCGATTCTGTCTTTCTCTCTCTCTCTCTTTCCTTCATTCATTGTCGTTTTTCTCGCTTTTCTGTGTTTAGATAGAAAGAATATTATTTTCCTAAACGCTTTTTTTTCTGTCCCACATTTTTCTCTTCTGATTTCTTTTTTTTTGTCAAGGCTGGATAACAATAGATGAGATATAGTGAAAGTAGACGAGAGAAAGATGAAATAAATTACGGTTGACAATGATGGAAAGTTCGGGTTAGAGATGAAAGAAAGGAATCTCGTCTAGCTTTGGCAATGAAACATCTCCGAAAAGAAATGAAAGAGGTTTAGCAAGTCAAATTAAATTTGTTCTAGAGAATAATTTTCATTAAGTTTCTCCCATCTTTCATCTACTTACGCGTAGGATTTTTATATTCTCTGACAAAATGAATAATTTGTAAGTGAAACGTCTGAGATTTATTTTCTACCTCTTGCCTTGTCTTCCTACTTTGTCATTGTGCAAGGGGGGAGAACGAAATTCAATTAAAATGCTAAATTGACATATCAAATCTTAACGGTAAACGAGCTCGTAAACGAGTAAAACAATTTAAAGTTGACATGTTTTGCAATGAAGCTCTACTGAATTTCATTACAGACTTCTGCGGTTAATTTGCATCAATTTGCCCTCCATTCAAACATTCTTTTGTAATAAACTTTGAAAGCTTTTTAAGTCATTCACAATGTTATAAACTTTTTGCAAGTTCATTAAAAACATTGGAAGTACAAAAATGTTTGGAAAATTTTGTAAATTTCGTTGAAAAGTAAGGAAATGTGATGGTCATTGCTATTAAAATGAGTGAATCGTATCAGTTTTGTAGTTCTTCAGCTTTCGTTTATACGAAATGGATGATTAAATATTAATAGATGGCTTAAGTTATTCACATGTTTCTATGAATGCGACTGAATTAATTCATCATCTAGTGCTAGCGATTACTTTTGATATTAATTAATGTTTAACAACTCGTTAAATTTAGAAATAGCAGGTCTTTGTTACGCTGCTAGACTCATCGCTCGAGTTACATCAGATAATTATCTTGTCTCCTAATTTCATTTTAATGACACATTTTACAGCCTGTTCGTGAGTTTAGGGTTGTTTTTCTGAAACACGAAGTCAAGTTGATAGTCACAATAAATTAGAAAGATATGAGATTTGGATACAGTTGCGAATAATGAACAAGATAGAAATAAAAAACCAAAAGCAAATCAAATCTCATGAGCAAATATTTCATAAGTGACGTCTTGAATCTTGTTTATAAATCTAAACATAAAAAATTCTTAAAATATCTCATATGTACATTTAGAGGTAAAAAAGCATAAAGCTAACATCATAAAGATTGAATAGATGTTGAAGTGTCATCATCTTTAAGGTTGATATTGAAAAGATTTTGTTGGTAACGACTGTAACCTTTACGAAAATTCAATTGTGCAAATAAGCCAAGTTGATATTTTCTAAGCATATAAATCGATTTAAAAAGAAGGAAAGGAAAAAAGTTTTCTTGTAAATTTTGACGTGGGATTTCTCATGTGTCTGAGACGGTTTCAGTTGGGGATCTTGTTAGACACTATTTAAGTTTGCTACCAAATTGATTTATTATGTAGAAGCTTAATATGGACGAAATTGAATTCTTATCAGAGATTATTGATATTTGAATTCAATTTAAAATCAACTCGTTCAATAGGTTGAACAAACAAAGCAACAAAGATTTGTTCTGACACGGATTTTCAAATAATATTTCATTAGAACTTTGTTTGTGTTCTGGATTTAAAGTTCAAAACAAGTTCGTTTCGAAAACTTATTTATTGAATTTGATGTAAATTCAACTTTCTGTGTAGTTTTCAATTTGAAATTTCAGATTCTTAGCTTTTGGTTTATAAGAAAATTTAGACAATGTGGATTCACCGAAGTTCTTAAATACAATTAAAGAAATAATTCTTGTTATCTGAACTTTAATGTGCAACTGCTTCTGGCTTCAGTTTGAAAAGCTCAGATAAGTTTTTAGCAAAACATTCTCAGTTTTCAGTTTGTGATAACTTGCAGAACAAACGTCATGACATGAAAGGATTTGAAATATAAAACAATTCTTGGTCAAATGGAGTTAAACAAATATTTAAGAGTCAAATGTCTAACGACAAACATTTCTGAAAATTGGCTTTCGACTTTTAGGATAAAATCACACAAATGTAGACATTATTGCAATATTTATGTGAATGGATTTCTGATATTTCCTCGATGAAATTTATAACAACAGAAAATTACATGAAAAGCGTTTCAACAAAACTGTGAAGAAGATGCTGGAATGTAATTGCATTGCTTTTTATTAATTCATGTCCCAGTTATTCGATTCGTAACAAGAACGAGAAACTTGAATCTAATGTCTGTTTTATTTTATGAAATTTAAGATAATCAAAAAGGAAAACTTTAACATTCATACGGTGCTGAGATATCGAAGTAAATCAATAATGAAAAATCTTTTCCATGTTCGCTTCCAACAACAACATCATCCAAGTATCATTGAAACGAAGCGATATTGCAATATTTATGTAACGTGATACTCAATATTTACGACCTCAAAAGATATCTTATGTAGGGCACTTTAACTTCCATATCATCTTCATCGCAACAATAAGCTTCCAATATTAACGACTTGACGTGCGGTTCAGTTTTCTCCTCCATTATGTGCTCTATGCACTCATCGATCAACAAATTCTCACGTTCTTTGAGCTTCTTTTCTGACATGAAGAACGAGTAAAGCATCGTGACGTTTTGCGACAACATCGTAATTTCGAGACGATGTTCCTTCTTGAAATAATCCAATAACTGTCGTAATGTCATTGGATGGTTGATATCAAAGCGATCCCAGATCGTCCATAATGTTTTATAAAATTGACTTGTAGCAGCCTCTTTAGGCTCTGAGAATGCGTATGAATTGTCAGCGAGGTTGAAGTAACTGTTTTGGTATCGTTTTATATCCTTGAAGCTAAAAAGGTAGCGAAACGAGAATGAAAGAGAAATTTATCACCAACGCACGACAAGAGTGAAAAAAGAACAAAAAAAAGGAAAATTCTCATTAGACCTGATGATAGATAAGAGAGAAACTTACCCCTGGGCAATCTTGTAAGCTTCAAGGCAGGCAAAGCCTGCAACGATACTCGTCGAAGTTGCGATTGCGGGCTGAATTTTGCCAGCAATTAATTTTGATTTGAGTTTGTCGGCGGGTGGAATTTTGTAATTTTCTGCTCTTAAATTCGAAGCTGCTACGACAAAATCCATGTGCAAATTTGCGTCGTTATCCTTTTCAAATTGCAAACCTCTCGCTTTTAGTCCTAATTTATTCAAGCTCATTAATTCATCTGCTAATTTTCTAATTGCCTCTTCATCAACTTCTTCGTCGCTGTCGTTTTTCTCTTCCAGCTCAGCATCACTTACAGGAATTTTCACATTCGATTGCGGCTCAAAATTTCGCACCTCAACTTTTCGCACATTTTCAATCACATACGAATAGTCACGATTCGAATTCAAATCAAAAATTTCAGCCATCAAGTTGGCAGATGAAATAATGAAATCAATATGTAATTGTTGATTGACATCGAACGTTATGAACGTTGGCATTTTTTTACTTCCCGACCAAAACAATTCTCCATTTGATGTGACTTGTCCGGGAGGAAAATTGAAAAGTAATTGTTTGATTTGATTTATGAAGAGATCCTCAAAGCGATAACGCGCCCATTTGACGCAATCAAAAAAGTTATGTGGACGTTCGTCAATCAATAACTTTTTGATTGATTGCAATGATTCAAGTGACGCGACGTTGTTTTTTGCCACAAGATTATCGAGATAATTGTCATCAGAAAGAAATTTCTCAGCATCAACGACATCGTTGTAGAAGAATCCTTCAAATTTATCACGAGCCCATTGTATTGTGTGTTCAATTGCGTTTGGAAAATGTCTGAGTGTGCACACCGGAATACTTTTCTCAGGTGGATCAACAGACGAAGCATAGGATTCGGTTAGATGTGGAACAACAACTTGGACATTTCCCATCGTTCCAAGTGTGCCTGAGTCAATCAAAGGCTTATGATAAATCACACATTTCCGATCAACAAACAAACGTGCGTCAACATTATCCAAAGCATTCGCAACTAAATCAAGCTTTTCGAAGAAAAATTCGTTGTAAATATTTTCAGTTTCAGAGCAAATTTTATTTTCATGATGGAAGATATTAAGTTGATTATTCATGATTTTCGCAACTCGTGCTGCTATTTGTGACTTTGAAGAGCCAACATCAGAGGAACGAAAGAGAAATTGTCGATTGAGATTTGATTTTTCAATCAAATCCATATCCGTAATAATCATTTCACCATTTCCACATCCGACACCCATCATTGCAAAGTTCTTCAACAATTCACATCCAATGGCGCCAGCACCAACAATAAACATTTTTAAATCTTCAATGCGTCGTTGCACATCACTGCCGAATACAATGGACTGTGAATTGTAGCGCGATCCACAGTTCTGAGAGAGATATTTAGGCATGGCTTCTTCGTCTCGTAAGCATTCGAGGGCGTCGAAGCATAAATATTGTGTAATGGGAGTGAATTTCCCGGAACAAGCTTTCATCACCTCCTGCGCTGTGATTCCGCCAATGATTGCGTTCATTGGTGCGAGATTTCCCGTGCAGATTTTAGAGAACGTTGTCACCAGCTTCACATCGACTTCCAAGCACAATTGGCTTGCCCTCTCGACACATATTTTCATAAACTCCAAAGCGTCGCTTTCATTCCATGGTCTTGGTTCACGCTGGTGACGTTCTAGAAACCGATGATAAGCGGTGAACGCCATATGAATTTGTTCTGCATTGTTCATTTTATTCAAGTCCATTAGCATGAATGTAAATTCGGCCTGATTCTCAGCGACTTTAAGTGGTTTAAATGATAAAGTTTTTGGCATCTTTACTTGCGTTACAATTCCGCCTTCAATGTATTCAGAGAGTTTACTTGTATCACCAACACTGAATGTATAATTTCCAAGCTTCTTTATTTTTACTGCTTTCCATTGATTTAATTCCGTCATTCCTTCAATCTGTAATTTATGGATAGACGATAGATAACAAAACTTTAATAATTTTCATTCCACAGCTTTGTTTTCGCTCAATTAATTTTCTGTTTCAATTATATAAATTGCTTTTCCATTCAAATGAACTAAACTCAAATTGCAATCACATAAAGCTATGAATAATCACAATAATCTCAGTTAAAGCTTGTTTATTGACTTAAATATCGAATGTTAAATATACTTTTACAGCATTTTCAATGCGCTTGATGAGATGCTATTAAAATGGAAATGCTATGAAAGTCTTCTTACTTGCATTGAGTGCTTTTACAGTCATTTCAGGTGAAATATCAAATCAGCAATCAACCTTACACCGCTTAGGAATCAATTTCCACTTACCCCAGAAAACGTGACATATTCTCCATCTAGTAGATTGTGCCACTTCTCAGTCGTTATGACTCCCTCAAGCTCCTTTGATATTCCAATAATTTGAGAACATTTCGGTGGCAAACCGTCATCATCATAAACTATAAAATTCTCACCAAAGTCACAAAACACCTGACCGAATAATCCCTTCGTGTCAGCGATGATTAACGCGATTTCATGTGACCTACAAATATCCGAAATTCTTTTCTGCTCTTTATCGCTGCTTTCTGTAAGAACAATGACTTGAAATCTGCTCAAGATTGCTTCACTTAAAGCTTCAGAGCAAGCACTTGTCGTGACGTAGCTGTTCAATTCCGACAGCTGCTTATTGCAACATTTTGCTCGATTTTTTCCAATGCAAGATTGATTGAAGTAGAATTGAGACGAAAGGTCTTTAACCGTACAACATTTTTCATCATGAAGCGTAACCGATTTCACTCCACCGAGAATGATATTTTTCGCAATTTCCACTCCTAAACCGCCGAGACCAGATACGAGAACATTAGAATTTTGCAATTTTCGCATGGCATCGATGCCGAGAACATAAAGTTGACGCGAATATAGACTTTCGTCAATATCTCCATTCTTTAATTCAATTTTATCGTCAACCATCGTTGTGTATGCACTTTAAATGAAAATTAAACTGAAATTTTCACGACGTGATTGGGTTTTATATAGATAGGTTTACAATCCGATCAAAGGGACTCGCATATTCATAGAGTGCGTTAAAATAATTGAATTTGCTTTGTCGTGGTGATTTACAACGAATGATGTTGAAAAATTTTCGTCTTTGACAATTCTAAAATATTTTTTCTCGTTTTGTTTCGGGATTTTATCGTTTTTTTTGTTGCTTATTCTCTTACAGAGAAAAGAACAAACAAAACAGTAAAGCTTTACGTTTGATATTATATTTTTAGAGTCTTTCTATTGTGTGCGTTGCTTTACTGCTGACATTGCACACAGAAGCGTTTCTGCAATTGAATCAGTTATCTCTTTTTATCGCTGATTATAACTCTTGCTCATTGTATGCTCATGGCGTTTTGTCTGCCACAGTAGATAAAAGGCATTGTCTGAGTGGGATTGTTGAACAGCAGTTAAAAAATCCTCATTAAATATGAATTATGAGGAATCACTTTAAAAGCTTTTTTTTTCTTTATAAAATTTATTTTATCGAAACTTTTCTCCTGAAACTTATTTATCTTTATTTTTGCTCTTTCAACTTTTAAATGCCACAAAAAAACTTTTGCCATTTAATCAGAAATGGTAATTTAAAGATTACAATTTTTCCTTCATTAAAAGAATGAAGAATGGAAAGAAATGTTGGTGGCTGAAGTTTCCTTTCTCATGTTAAAGAAAATTCCTCTTAAAGTTTCTGTCACATCCTCGATTGTTTGATATTCTATGACAACGTGATTCATCACAGAAATCATGTTTTCCGTCGTATTCACAATTATGTTGGATTGGAGAATGTTTTTGAAGAATATTCTGAAAATATTTTGAAAACTTCAAATTCAAAAAAAGTTCGAAAATTTAAATTGATTCTAATAGCATTAAAAAATATTCTTCTATCCGAACCATCATCGTGTTTAGAAAGACTCACTGAGTTTTTTCTCTATGCGTCTTCGAGTTTCTTCATTTTCCTCGCATTTCACGCTTGAAATGAGACGAAAAACTTTTTCGTTTCTTTTTTATTTCATTCTTTGGCATGTACACATGGAAGAGGCGCTGAAACGACACCAAATTTAATCGTCGCCACTGATAGGAAGTTCGTAATTCCAATTTGTGTAGCTACCGAAAATTGAAACTCAAACATTAAATTCGAGAATCTAACTTGGATGATAAATTTTAATTTTCATTTATGCGAGTTATTCTGTCATCGAAATGAGATTCCGAAGGATTTTCGAGGGTGTTGAAATGAATGCAAATTGAAGTTGAGAAGTTTTTGGTTTACATAGTGATTGTGGTGGAAGATGAGCTTACAAATGGAGAAGAACTTTGTCAGTAGTCATGATTGCTGTGTGAATACAAATCATAAAGAAAAACATGATATCATGCACTTCCACTCTCCCTACTCGTCTTACGTTTCACACCAGAAGAAAACTTTCTTAATATTATGAAATTTTACTCTTAAAGTTTCCTCAGATTACAATTCTGCTTCGTCAATTCCTCAATTTATTTCCATCCACGTTGCGCAACAAATTGTTTTTGGCAATGTGGATATGCATTGAATGTTTCATTCGTATTGAATTTCTTTCATCAAAAATGCATTTGCAAGATAAGAAAAAAGAAAAACTTCAATCAACATTGCATATTCTATTTCAATCTCGTTGTATTCTAGATAAAGCTTTAAAATGCATACAGTGAATTTAAATTGATATTCTGTTATGCTTTCGTTATCTTAACTGTCAAAACAAGACGAACATTATATAAATTTTCTGTAATACAAGCACATTCATGATTTTGATATCTGCTCTAAAAATAAATTCTTAATCATTAATATTTAAAAAGAATATTCAAGCATGTAAGCAGATATCTAGGATTCTGTGAAGGAAAAATATTACATTGAAAAATGAATTTTCTTCTTTCGAAATGAAATTTAATTGAACATTGTAAGCCTTGAACGGAAAGTTTTAATTAAAATAAGTTCCAAGCTGCTGGCATACGGATGGCAATGACAAAAGCTCCATTTAATCGGTGAAACAATAAGAAAAATAGAACAAAAAATATAATTTTCAGTTGAAATTTCGCAAACGCAGGCTGGGGAAAAACGAGAAACTTTCAAGTTTATAAATTATAGAGAAACAAGAAGAAAATGGATCGTTTAATTGTCGCGTGACTTATTTGTTAGCTGCGGCAATTTCTCAAAGTGATTTCATGCTTTTGAATATTTTTAATTGTTATTCTACATAAAAGAAGGTTTTTGAGGGAACCTTTGTGCGTTTTTTTTGGGTCCTTTCTACTTCCCAATTCAGCATCTTTTGAAAATTTGAAGGAGAAGAAGAAGAAAGCAGCCTTTGAGAAGCCTTTAAACCATTCATCGATTTCCTACTGAGAAAGGACAACGTAAATGTTGTTGAGGGTAATGTCGACCCTTCTAAAGTATCGACATAACTAAGCCTTTATAATCATGGCACATTTATAAGCTGCTTTTATTCATTCTCCACTCACCCAATGCTCCAAAATTTTCCATTTATTTGTTTATAAATGAGAGATTAAAGCAATCTTCATCCGAGGAACGAAAATAATGAGAGAAGCTGAACATTTTTTTTTGTTATTCCAAGCACAGAGTTTAAGGGCATGTTCATGTTTTGTCTTGTCCCGTGAAAACATTAGCCGGCCACTCACTCCACGTATTCTCATTCACTTCATACTTACATACATTCGCTTTTCATGTGATTTTCATGATAAATAAAACAAAAAGAACGAGTGTTTCGAATAAATTATGATTTATTCTTCTAGGGTTGAAAAGGCAATCACAGAAGTTCCGTCATGGTTTATGTATCTAATCAATCTGAAGCTCATCTGATTTTCATTATTCCACATTATAATAAGATTGGAATGAAAATCAGAATAATCTTCATCACATCACTCACCGATGATCCACCGGATTTGTGATGTGACTTATGTTTTCAAAATGAAATAAATCATCACAAGATTTTTTTATTCATGAAAATTTATGTTGGTGCGCGTGCAGGGCATTTGTGGGTCAGTTCTTTGTTGTTATAAATATTTTCCTTTGTTTTCGCAACAACAAACATTAATTAGAATACTTTATGATCGAGTGAAATTTAAGCATAAATTTTTCGTTACATAAACTTCTTAGTTCGTTAAAATAATTAAACGTCATAACTAGTAATTAAAAAATATCACGCTAAGCTTCAAAATATATTGTGAATATAAATTAATTGAAAGGAAAATGCACAAAATTTTCCATTATTTACGATTGTTGTTGTTGTCTAAGCTCCACGATGATTTACGAGTTGTTGAACGTGGTTCATCAGCACGAGATTATTCTTATGCTTAAATTTCTTTCTATAACAGATGATAGGAAAAGGTAGATTAGAAGTAAATAAAGAAAACAAGCTGACAAAGCGATTTATAAAGTTCACAACAAGAGCATCGTGATAGAAAAGAAACTTAATTAAAAATGCTTCGAACTCTGTCAAATAATGAAAATAAATTTGCAGTGGAGAATTGTAAATAATAAATGCTAAAAGTGTGACAAAATAAGCAGAAATTTGAACTTCAAATCATGCGTGAAAAATCTACTGCCCGTAAAAATTTATTACGCTTTGTTAGGATAAGGATCAGCAATCAGGTGAACAATAATTTTAACCGTTTGACAGCAAATTTATGTTCACCTCATTTCTAAATCAAATATTGTCAAAGACTTTTTATAGATGTTAAAGGTTTGGCTGGAATATTAAGCTTACGCCAACAACTTGTATAATGACTAAATGCTTAAGATTATTTATTCAGAAAAATTAATGGGATGATAGGTCAGTTCTTTTTTATGTAAGTAAGTGAGAACGAGTTCTTCTTCGACTCAAATTTCAAACCCTTTTTCAATCCATGATCCTTTTGATATTCCACCCACACTTTTCAATGATGTTAACAATAAGCCCAAAAACAGTTCATTTATGTTTATGATAAAAGCTCAAACCATAAAAATGTTTGGTAATGTGTAAGTTTTGTTCGAGAATGTGCGTAGAAATTTAATTAATCTTCAGAGATTAAAAGCATAGTTTTCGATAATGAATAAAGTTGAAGTTGCTTCAACAAGCATGAATGATCCAATTATTTATATAATTTATTCATTGGTCTATTTGACTCTTAAAAATGAATATTCTACATTAAATAATCTTTATTGCAAACATTCATGTTAAATTCATTTCTCTCATCAAGATATTCATGTTGAACGAGATCTTTTATACTTTATGTTGAGTCTTTCCATTAACCACGGGTAAAGTACGCTTCCTTTCAAAAAATGTTCTCATTTGCTAGTCTTTCGCAAGCGTTGCTGTGGCTACTTTGTCTTAGGTTACAGCGAAAGCATTTGAAGTACGGTAAAACATCTTGTTGCTGTGATACTTTCAGTTTGATTACACTGAAAAATTGTTTTCCATTAATTTTTCTTCTCACGATGAAAAGAGAAATAAAAATTTTTGTTCAAGATGATGAAAATTAATTCAAGTCTTGGCAGATTCAGAAAAGAATTCACTTAGAATGAAAAATTTAATTAAAACGCCAACAGCGTTTTCAATCACATCAGCAGCAACACAATTTCAAAACTGTGTTCAATAAATTAATTTAAGGAATGATAAATAATGTGACGATTACATAACTCAATTTTAAATGGCCTCTCCAAATCGCACATCATGTCACATTACCAATCAATTCATTAAAATTTCATTATAAGGCTTCATTAATGTGTTAAAATCCAGACTAAAACTGCTGAATAATTTAATACGTCCCCCATTTCTACATAGACATTCGGTTTTCTCAACGGGAGACCAACTGACGTAGCTTTGTATCATATCCAAAACATACACACAAACATCAGCAAACATAGATAGTTCTAAATTAATTAACATGTAAAATATGCGTCATCTGAATAGGAACTGATAATTACATCACACTAACGAGTTGTTCCTGAAATTTAAGCTTTTGCCACAACAAATTTCTCTTTACAATTCTTTCACCAATAATGAAACATTCAACCCAAATATCTACAGAAGGCGATGATGAATAAGCAAAAAAGTTAATGCCGATCGAAGCATGTTTTTAATCATCGTAATATCCAGGAGAAAGCCCCCAACCTTCCCTTTCTTATTCATACTTATAAAAGGGTTAAAAATAATCCCTCAATGACCTGATTCCTGACATTTTCATAAAGTTTTTCTCTCAATCTAACGCTTTTCGTTATTTTTTTATAGCATAGGACAGCATAAATTCAATGTCTTTTAAAAGCTAATAAATTTTGTCTAGCTTAGCGCTTTTTTTCTTTTTGTTCTCTTACTACCGATTCTCGATTTTCGTTAGCTTTCGCACAACACATGACAGCGATTGTTTTATGCCGGCTATTAAAATGCCATAAATAAAATATTTTATCACAAAACCCAGGACATAGTCCCCGTAATATTGCATATAGATTAAGATCCCATTTAGATACTGGAAAAGTGCTTTTCAATACCGGTGACAGTGCGTGCTTCATCGAGGGTTCAAGTGTTGTGTTGTTCACCTTTTTGAATAAAAATGAAAAAATAAAATTTTCAATGTGATGGAAAGAATGTAAATTTCTCGTTGGATAGGCAAGCGAATGTCGTTTGCTTTTGAGTAAGTGCGAAGCTCAATTTAATTTCTATTTATTCTGTGAATAGTAAATTTGAAAATCAATAAAAGTTTATGTTAATATTATGACAACGAAGTCAATAAATATTATTGGTCTTTATGGCATAATTTATGGAGTAAAATAATTTAGCAAGAAGAAATTTAATTTTGTTGGCTGAAAACACATTTGAAGTGCTTTACCGACTCCCAATAATCTCCTATTGGAGTTGTGCAGGGTTGTGTTGTCGACATCATCATACAGAATCCCGTTATTATCCTGTAGAAGATTTTCCTCTCTCTCTCTCATTTTCTCTCAGCAGCATCTCATAGCGGAAAAATCTTCTCGAAGTCAGAAGTGTTTTTGCCTTTGACCTGTTTGGATCACGTTTGAAGTTTCTTGTGAAAAAAATTCTTTTTCAATTGAAAAAAATGGAATTAAATTCAAACTGTTGGATAACACGAAAGGATTAATTATCGTCAGTTGTTTTTAAAAAAGAGAAAAGTGAAATTGAATTAAAATTACTCAAATTTTTGAAGGTGAAAAGTTTGTGAAAATTTATTATGAAAAAAAAAGAAAATTCTCGCACAGAAGTTTTGGTGGAAGCGTTCACACCACAGGAATTCTGAAGTGATGAATGGAAGTTTCCACGAGAAGAGAGAATAAATTTTTCTTTTTCTTTTTCTTCATGGAAAGTACCTTAATTTGGGTGTGTTAGATGATAACATCAGAAGAATATAAACATAATTTTTGAATATACAATGGAAGTGTGCATTTGCTACTTTCACAGAGCTTTTCATTCCACTTTCAACTGTGAAAATGAACAAAAGTGAGATAAGAAATCTAACACATCGTTTGTAGATTTTTAAAAGACTTTTTATGAATGGAATAAAAGTGTTTAATTACTCATGAGTTTCATTTATGATGCTTAAGGAAAATTTTCATATGCCAACCGAGATTAAGAAAGTTTTGTTGTGAATTAATTAAGGAAACTAATGAATTAATTATTATAATGTTGAAAAGCTTATCTGATTAAGTACTGAACAGATAGATTAACTAAGATAATTTAATAAATTAAATATTCATTCAAAATTGAAGTGGAATGTTTTCATCAATCAATCTTTAACAATTTAAATTGAAAGTCAAATTCAAAAGTGTTCAAGAAAATTCGGAGAGTCTCTTGAAGTTTCCTAAAAGTTTTTTAATCTTTTTGACAATTCGTAAAACTTCTTTAACCCACAATTGCATGAATAACCCAAAACTTTTAAAGAATTCTCTTCTAGTTTATCTAAATAATTTATTAACATTGAATTTTCAATTCGATAAGCAAGAGAAATTTTCCATTTCATATTAAAAACTTTTCTTTTAAATTTTAAAACAGTAAAGTCCTTTGTTTATGAGTTAAATTCTGTTTTAAAACAGATATTGTTTCAAATAAATCATAAACATTGATAAAGAGAAGCTTTTAAAAACATTATGCAATAAATTGCGGAATAAATTCACTTTGTTAGTAATTGTGGTTTGTTGTTCGCCAAACCTTTCTACAGTTGACACTAAAATTTCTGTGTGTGTGAGTGTTTGTATAAAAACGGAAAACAGGATGTGAAACAAACAAAAATGAAAATTAAAACTTAATTAAAATATTCTCTTCTTTTCCTATGGTTTACAGAGAAATATTTCAGCTAAGTGAATCATTTGAAGAAGGCAAGTAAAAGCAAACAGAACTGAAACAAAAGGATTAACACAGATGATAACTTTTTATGAGAACTTTTACTCGAAAAACGTTACACTTTTACTTAGAAAATTAAAAGCAAATAATTGCTGAACGTAATAAATAAACGAGAAACTTCCTCGAGTGCTTGCAAAACACTCAGAGCTCTCCGTAAAATTCATTAAGTGTGTGAACAAAATTGTGAAATAAGTGGAACTTTTCCAAAGGATTTAATTGTAACAACATTTGCATTAAACTTTGTGGATTACGTGTAAGCTTTTCGCAAGGTGAGTGTTTGACTTTTCAAGCTTTAAACATTTTTCAATCTGATTTTATTACAAATTTCTATTACATTCTAATATTTTATTTACGCTCTTAATAAAAATTGCTTTGATATGACGACGATGTCAGACTTTGACAAAAACTTTTCTCATAAAAAAGTTTCAATTTTTCATTTTATCCCCTCCCCAACACCAAAAGTTTTTGGCTAACCAGATTTTGTCACAACCATGACAAAATACTTCACAATAAAACAAAATCACGTCAAAGATTTTCCCTTTCAGCTGCAACAAATTTTTGATTGAGAAAATTAAATTTTATTAATCATAAAAATTTTATTCAGCAATAACTTTTTTACTTCTTGCTTAATTATAATTTTATTGCTGATATTAGGTTTAACATTCAAGCTAACTCTTCATCCTTCCCTCGCAGCTTCATAGATAATTTCGGATGAAATTTCATTTTATTCGTCTGAAAATTACCTTCTGAATAAATGAATGAAGCCTTTCGATAAGCCTACGAAACTGAAAGGATCTGAAACAGAAACGATTATTGCTTTATTTACATCTTATCCAACTGTTCCAACTGTTCAAGTATACAACAGTTCAAAGCTAAGAATGTTGACCGTCTAATAACATCTTTCCAGTTGAGACACAAAGAGACATAATTTAATGACGAGACCTTTTTTCACAAAGCCCAAACCGTCATAACTCTCGAAGGCTAAGCATTCACACATTGTGTCGTTAAATTCTGTTTAAGTGATTATGTGCTAATGGTTTGTATGCGGCAATCGTCAGTTAAAGAAAAGGCAGTGAAACAGTTATGTAAAGAAAGAGAAGGTTTTCCGTGCCATGTCGTAAATAATTCTTCCTTCGAAAGGAAAATTCTTCTCCTGCAATTTATCATTTGTCAAGTCTGATTTGTAGTCTGTGTGTTTGGCATCGCAACTTATTACTTTCCCTCAAAATAACATTTTTCATATCTTCGGAAGCTCATATTGCAGATATTTTAATCCCATTTACCGCTTATTTTCTTCCGCTTTTCTCTGGTCTGATTTCAGATTCTCTCTTTAGAATATTCATTCGAATTTCAAATAAATAAAAAGAAAAGTTTCACCGGAAATTGCAATTTTCATTCGGAAGTCCTGAATTGAATCTAAAATTATGATATTTAAACATCTCTGCCTATGATTCAATGATTCCAATCATCTCTTGTCTATAAATTAGAAGCTTGTTGAAGGAAGCCCATGAAGTGTCGTAAGCTTCATCTCCATTAGCAATTCAGAATAAAATATTTAAGGGGGAATCGAGAATTCAATTCAAGGAAGAAGAGCAAGTGAGAACTTCGATAACAACATTCATTCATTCATCCATTCATCATTTAGACACCTCCGTAATAAAGTCGAAAGAAAAATTCTACTACAAGATTTTTGAGCTTCTTCTCATCATCAATAATAATATCATCGGAAAGTAAAAAGAATTTCTTATCGAAAAAAATGGCAAAATCAGGTTTAAGTGTGGAAAGTCGTCAGCAAATTGTTTTTCTGCTGTTGATGACATATTTTGCAATGGTTATGACAGCACCTACAACAACTCAATCGACAACAACATCAGTGAACAAAGACACTTTAGAGAATCCAAGTTTGACATCAGCCATTGTTGCAAGCACTACAGAAGTTGAGCCAATTATTGTCAAAGCATCTCAAAAAAATGCTTCAAATGTCATGGATGGTGAAAAATTGAACTCAACTAATGAAATGTTACCGTCACCGCTAGCATTGTCAAGTGAAATCATTGACACAATTCCAAAAGGAGACGGAAATAAAGATGATAACTTAATGAAAGAAAAATCATATACGACGACAATGTCAACAACGTCGAACGACAATTTAATTGGCGCAAAATTGCTGACAGAAGTAACAATTTTGAAAAGTAATGAAACATCATCACCGCCACCCCCTCAAATGCCTTCCAGCATAGAAAAAAAGAACAAGACAAAGTTTTTTGAATTTACAACAATAATTCCAACTCCAATGGCGACCAACAATGAAAATAAATCAATTAATTCTGATGAAATATTGCTTGAGAATGAAACCAAACCCGATGTGAGCACGGTCAGTACAACTGTCGCATTTAATGACACACCCGAAGCTACAACTCTCACAACAACAACAATTGAAATGCCAATTAAAGTCGATGCAGATAATTCAAAAATAATGGAGAATGAACGTGATTTTCCGGAAAGAACGACAATTGAAGGTAAAAAAGGAAAGTTAAAGGAAAATAAGAAGAAAGCTATGAAAACTGGAAACGACAAAAAGCACAAAATGAAACAAAAATTATTAACTGAGATAAATCATTCGACGATCGTGCCAACAACTAATGAACCAAGAAATCTTGAACTCAATGAAGTAACTTCGATCAAAACAGCACCGACAACTATAAAGTCAACAACACTAACAACGATTAAAAGTTTTGAAATGCTAGAAACGGAAAATGTGACACAACCAGTTGAGGTTTCAACTGCTGTGACCACCACAGAATCTGCTGTGAATGTTAATTCAGCAACAACATCAACAATGAATAGTGAAGAAAGTCATCATCGCAATGATAATGTCATCGTTTTGAACACAAACAGCAGTGGACTTATTGTTGTTGACATCATGGAAGGTTTCGGTTTAGAAAACTCATCAAACACTGAAACCTTTGAAATCAAAATGGATCTCATTGATGATGTTACAACAACTGAAGAAGCTCGTACAGATAAATCACAAATAATGAATGAAATGCAAATAATTCTTCGTGATGATATTTTCTTAACGACAGTTGAAACTCCAACATCATCGATTGATGGCCGTCGTCAAAGTTCATCGGCAATTGATTCAACACCATCACTTACCACAACTAATGATGACATCATTTTGATAAATGAAAATGCTGATACGACAACAACTTCAAGTGAATCATCAAATGTTAATCGCATTAAATGGAATCAAGTAAAGAGTGATGGCGATATTAAGATAACATTTGATAATATTGATTTACCAAATCAGAAGGTGAATGTGTCGATTGAAAATGGTGAATTAGTTATTGACAGTATTGACATTAGTGTGTTGAATAAAGCGGAAGAAGAAATGAAGAAGAAAAATAATTTTAACATGTCGTCGTCGTCGTCTACGAAATTGAATAAAACAGCAGATTCGTTGGAAATAATTCTCATTGAAGATGACAGTCGACAAGAGTATGAAAAGCCAAAAGAATCACTCGCTAATCAGGAGAATGACGAGAATAATTTACAAATAACATCGACAGAGACAAACGAGAGATTACAAGCGACGACAATTCTTTTTGAACAGCCTCCACCGCCACCTCCACCATCATCGTCATTATCATCAACAGCACAGAAGCTTGGAGATCATTTAAGGAAAATCGAAATGAGCGGAAGTGATGATGAAGATGGAATTAAGATTAAGACAACCGACAAAGATTCGGACACGATTTTCTACATCTCAAACACGGAAGTGAAAATGATTGAGTCGATACCGACATCGTCACCGAACGTGAGTTCAGGAAAGAAATATTATCCAGCTATTTATGAAGAAGACGTTATCGTTGATGTTCCCAATAAAAATCATACAAATGTTGCGACAGCTGGTGATAAGTATGAAGAAGATATCGTGTTATCGCCACTTACAAGCGATTTCGATCCGAAAGATATCAACTACATAGGCGAGGCTTTCTTGGATGTCGAAGAGTCATCACAAAATGGTGTAAGCGTGTCTGAGAATCGACACATAATTCCCCTCACATCCGACGTTGTCATTCAGCCAGTTCAACTTCGTGATTCGCCACCGATTGGCATTCCAATCATCGGTGAACTTCCGCCACAAATAGAACTCGAAGAAATGGTTTTCAGTGATGACTATGAAAATAAGCAACAATCAACTTTCCATGTTGAAGAATTTTATCCAAATTTTTTAAGCAACCGTCTCGTTAAGAATCAACTTGAAGCAGATGTGCCCAGAGAAGTAATTTTCGACGGAAAAAATTCTACGTTATTACCCAACCGAACAACTCACATCACTATTAACACAATGATTAATGGCACAAATGTAACAGCATTAACAAGTCCTTTCTCCAACGCAACCGCTTATCTCAGCTTAGAAAATGACGACAACGAAAACGCAGGTAGACTTTAAGCGAAATTAAATTAAATTTATACTGATGAGTGTTTATTCGTTTCATTCTATAGATCTGAACGATATTCAAACTCTGCTCTTGGCATGTTTTGCCACCCTAATGCCGCTCTTTCTTTGCGTCATAATTGTGCTTACAATAAGGTAAGAAAAGCTTCGAAACGTCGAAGGAAAAAAAATCATTTAATTTTTTCATTTATTTGCTTTCTTCACCCCCGTCGACTTTTTCTTATTTTGTTAAAATGTTCAAGTCAAAATTGGATAATTAGATTACTTTTATTTCTTTCTCATTCTCCTTTAAACGTTTTCTTCCTGAATGGAAACAGATACTGCTGGTTAAAGCATCGTCGACAAGGTTCATCGGGAGATATGATGAGCGATAAAAGCACCGATCCCCTGGCTGAAAAGACTGTCGCATCATCAGTAGATGAGGTAAGCAAAGCCAAAGGTTAATGAAACTGTTTGGAATTTTTGTAATGATGATTTTCGATTCAACTAAATATTCGATTGCGGTTAAATGAAAGTTAAATTTTGGTCGTTATGAGAATTTCTCTATTCAGGCATTTAAGTTATTTTATCTCTAATTAAACTTTCATACAAAACATGAAAATATTCGAACTTTACAAAATTGATATGAAAATTATCGATTTAAGTGTTCATTGATTTTCTTACATTTTCCCTCTTGAAAAATTGATAAAGTGAAAAGGTTTTGAATTGAATTTTCATTAATTTCACTAGCTCCGCGTTTTGAAATTAAAATTTTCTTAATGAAGCAAACTATCAGGACTTAAACAGGTTAACCTTCACTATTTCATTAAGCAACAAAATATCTCTCCATTCTCATTCAACCAATTTTTTTATTTTTTATCGCTCTTACATTTTTTTCAACCCAAAAATTCTTACATTTGAGAGCTCAAAATGATTCACATTCAAATGTTAATTGGGATTTTTCCTGAAACATTTAGTTTCATACAAAAAAGTAATTTTAAGATTCTTATTGTGATTTTCATCGATTAAAATTTTCATTTGTGATATTTTTATTTATCAGAAACGTCGCATCTAAGTCAACAACAGTTTTGAAATATAATTTAACGATTTTAAATAATTTTAATATTTTTGAATGAAAAGTTAGTGAAAGCAGTAAAGTCAAGAAGACAATTCAAGCAGAGAAGTCGAGTCTATCGCTATAAATTTTCAATTAAGAGACTTCAAGTCTGCTCGACACAAAGGAAGCAAAATCAAACAATTCTTGGATTTCCCATTGTTGAAATATTTAAATTTGAAATGCTTTTGCCTCCTTATCGGCGGAAAGTTTTTTTTTCCTTCTTTCCTTCAACTTCTGTTTGATTTATTTCAAAAATGTTTTCTTTAGCCATAAAACTTTTCCAAGCAGAAATTAACATCGCCTGAAGAACTTTCTTTTTATTCTTGTTCATTTTCAAGTTTGTTATGAGTTTTATTACTTACACTTGCAATTACGAATATCTGGGAAGGAAAATGCACAAAATAAACGCTCCGAGGGAAATGATGCAAATTATGAAAATTCCTTCCATTTCATAAATTTCGTCAATTTAGAAATTTCATTTTCCAAAGCATGGCGAGAATTTTTAATCGTGTGAAATGCTTTTGAGATTTGTTTAATGTGAAGAAAAATAATTTAAGATGAGTGGAATTAAATGAAATATTACGTTTATCTAAATATAGCACAACTTGAACATGAATTACAATTTCTTGAACAAATTTTAAAGCTTTTTCTCTTCAATTTGATGGTTTCATTTGTTCAAAACGTGAGAAATTTCTGCATAATAAGATTGTGAAGAATAGAAAATGTTCTCAAGCATGTAATTCAAGTTTTTTGACGTCTAAGAAAAATTTCTTAATTAAAATTTCATTGAGAGAATGTAAATATCTGCACTTTAAATTTTCACTGCACTGCATTCATTTATAACGACAGACATTCTCATGTCATGATTGTAAAGATGAATAGCTGATGAAAGAAGAAGACTTTCATTTATTGACGTGTTTACGATTTGAAGGAAGCTTTTCAGTAACAAAGCAACCAAAACAGGAATTTTTGATTAAATTTCTTAAATAGAATTTTGTTTACATTATCGTATGAAAGATTTGAAGACTGGTTTTAGATTTCTCCTTTCAACGACTGATATAAAATATCTTGTAAAGCAATTACAAGCTTTTAGGATCTGTTGACAGGAATAAATATTTGACAAAGAATATTTCAGTGCCTTAAATTGACGTTAAGAGTTTTAATGAAGATTTATATGAAAGTATTCAACCTTGAACTTTATAAAATCTGTCAGATACATAAAAACTGATTAAAAATTTTTCATGTTTCTTTCAAAAGAAATTCTTCAGGTAAATTTCTAATAAGAAAAACTTTTTATGCAACGTAAAAGTTTTCATCTTCATGAAAAAGCTTTATTCATGTTAGCAACAAACCTTCCAGTTAATTGAAAGTTTTTTTCTCTACTTTTATGTAAATTTTTATTTTTTGTATCAAACTAAGAACATTAATTTATGATTCACCATTAAATTGTAGATAGTTTTTCGCATTATATACAATACTTACATGGTAGCTAAAGATCTACAACAACAGCATGAAATGTATTCATAACGAGAAGAAATATTCATTTAATGTTGCAAATAACTAACAGAACTGTCACTCTGTATGAAAATAGGTGGACGAGGATGAACAATCATCATGAAGATTGAAATATTTATAAGTTTTTGTCTTTCTCTCGACACTTTGCAATTTGTTGTAATTTATCTTCGATGTAAACATAATAAAAATCCTCATTTTTCTTGTGTCTTTCAGTTGAAGCCTTCTGAATCGGGCATGACATTGGATCGAGGTGGTGATATGCAAGCAAGTACTGAATTGCTTCTTGCTGCCAACGGTGACATAACACCAACCAATCATAGCGGTACAAATGGTTCCATCATCACCATGACGCTGAAAAATAATCATCTCATCGTTGAGACTGAGGAAAGAAACGTAAGTGAGAGAAAGTAGTCGCATGACGCTCGACACTTGATAATCATTCTTCTCTTGTAATTTATGAATCATCGTTAAAGATGGAAAATTGATGATGTTCATCATTTCAGGATATTTCTCGTGATACACGTGAGACAAAGATGCACTACTCACCATCAGATAAAGATGGAGTTTTCATTGTTGAATCAGCAAGAGGTGCTGATCAGAATGGAAGTCATAAACCATCACCATTACTACAAAAGCCAACAGAAGTTCCTTTAGTCATTCCAGATGAAATTAAAATTGATACATTGCAAAGTCATTTCACTCCAAGTTCACCAGAAGAAGAACACAAACAGCCAAAGCCAGAACAAGTTGAAGTTCATACACCACCAGCTGAGTTGAAAGAAGATTTGATTCGTAAAGAGCCTGAACCCGTTGTTATTTGTAATGGAACAAAAACCGGCTTATCACAGTCTGATCTCAGCTTGACATCGTCGAACAGCTCAAACCAGAATTACACGTATGGCGACAAGGAAAGTTATCAGTATGAGGAAAAAGGTTACAAAGGCTCGTCACCCAAGAGAATAATCAACGTTCATTGTCATGACTTGAAGCCTTTGATAGAAAATAGTCCACCGACACAAAATGACGATCACAACAACAAAGCGATTATCACGTCAGCTATTCTTAAAAATGACTCTCCAATTGATGACGACGATCACAACACTCCCAATTCTGATAACGTCATGAATGGTAAGAAAGAAAATGGAATCATTGAACAGTCACCGAAAATTGATGAATCAGACAACAACAAAGTTAAGATTCATAAAATAAATGGAATCATCCCCACAACAATGAAGAATGGATTCGATGAAATTATTTCTGTTCAAGATGAGAATTGCAACGATGCAATTATTCCGCCTCCTTACACAAAACTTGACTGCAATGGAGAATTAAACATGGATAGCTTATCGTTCCTTCCAGCACCACCCGAAGAACTTTCAAATGAACAGAACATATTGGAACTGACGTCAATGGACTCACTTCCACCACCACCACCCGAAATGACGGAGTTGACTCAAAGTTAATGAAATTTTGTAAATGTCAACATCAGAAGCTTTTAAGAACTTCAAATTTTTCTTTTGGTTTCTTTCACGACCTTCAGTTTGATGGTGGACAATGAGATAAGTGAGTGAGTAAGTTTAAACTACTAATTAAGTAGTGCTTTAAAATCAACGCTGAAAAATGTTTGAAAATTAAGAAAGAAATCAAAATATTTACTGATGGATTGACAGGATTATTAATTGTATTCGAAAGTTTAATCGTGACATGATGAAACTCAGAAAGAAGGGAAAATAATAAAAAAAAATGTCAATGTAGTGTGATTTGAACTATAGAAAAATAAAGTTTAAGAAAAGGCAATAGATGATGATATTTAAACGATAGAAAAATTTTTCATTAAACTTTTGAAATGTGAGATGAAAGAAAATCACGATGAAGAGTTTTCTTTCAAAAATGAAATGAAATTAAGGAAAAGTTTTCAATTGGAAAGATGAAAGAAATTAATTGAAAGATTCTAGTTTAAGAGGACCAAAACAATAAGAAATTGTATTGATTTTGGGCTTGATATTAGATAACTTTTAATTTTCTTTTTCTAGCTTCGCAAAACCGTCCTCGTCAAATGATTGAGTGATAAATGTTTTTTTGTAATGAAAATTGGAGAAAATATATAAAAATGAAAATGAGGAAAGATGTTGGGGGGGGGGTGGGGAATTTATGTGAGGATGATTTTAAATGAGATTAGAATAGAATCGACACTTGATGTCATTCATCTCGCATAGTTACATAGATGACCATTCCATTAATAAGAAGACATCGCTCGCCATTAAGAAAACTGCAGTCATGTAGAAACTTAAATTGTTTACAACTCATTGATTGTCATTATTTTCCCCTTTAATGTCCATAAAACCGGAAAGAGAAAAGAAAAGAAGATAACATAAGATAAATATTTAAGACTTTGTTGACCTCAACATTAATAATTGTACACTCAAGTGAAAGAATATTTTTTATTCGGTTTAAGTATTTATAAACATGACGAAGAAAGAAGAAGAACTTACAGCATGAGAGGTTTTAGATATCAATGAAATAAAGTAATTGTAGTAGTTAAATTGTGAAAGAAAACATTAAAAACAAACCATAAGAATAATAATCTCAAAGCTCCTTTCTCATTCGACAAATACACGAGATTCACTGATTAGACATAAAATGAAGCAGAAATTTAATTAAAAAGAAAAGATCTCGTTTAATCTCTATTATCCTGTTGTAAAAGATTTTCATGAAAGCATTCTGTAAGCAGTGAACTACTGATATTTATTGATAATAATTGTTAGACCATGAACAAGGCCAAATTGAATTTTCATTGAGTTTCCATCTCAGCTTTTGCTTGAGTATTGTTTCATTTATTTCAATTCTCTCGATTGTCAAGCATTTAAATGAATGTGCCAAGAAAATATTTCAAATAGAGCTTTTGGCCAAATTTTATTCTCATATTGTTTCATAAATTTTCATCCTAAAAAAGAAAACAATCAAATTTAACAATTTGTTGGCATAAAATGCAATTTTTAATTAAAACATTTTGTTTTGACCTTTCTTTCTTTTATTTTTAAAGATGAAAATGAAATTTTTAACAAAACAGAATGTTGTTAGACTTTTTCATATATAGAATATGTAGTTGAAATTTATAATTAAACTCAATTAATCCTCTTACTAATGCTAGATTCCATTCGGTGGTCAGATTAAGTGTTTCTATACACCCGACGCCAATTTCATGTGCACAATTCATAAAGTCAAATAAACGATTTTCTACAAATGAACAAGTAGAAGTAAATTTTCCGGAAAATCCTGGAGACTCAATGTAGTGAATTTTGTTATAAAGAAAACTTATTTAACGAAACAAGAAAGCAAGAAAGGAATAAAGGATGATAAACTTTTCATGGACAACTTAGTAAGAAAGAAATTCTATTGAGAAAAGTCTCGACTATCTCTCGAGAAGAAAGAATTTCATAAGAAGAAAAGTAAATAAAAATCTCATAAGAAATCTTAAGTCATAAAATGCACTTTTGAGATAATATTTTATCTTCTATTTCTATGTAACTTTAACGCATATTTCATAAATAAAAAATGGAAAAACTAAAACAATTTATTTACTTGTTATTCGTTTAAAGTTTCAACGATATTAAAAAAACTTGCAGGAAAAAGCAATAATAAATGCAGGTCAACGTGGTTAAGTTCATGCTTCAAAGTTTTATTGCATTTGGCAGAATTTTCAAATGAGCTGAAATTTAATATATTTTCATTGATATTTTTCGAAATTTATTATAAAAGAAGCAGGGAATGCGCTCCCAACACATTTTAAATTGTTTTCAATATTTTGACATTTAAAATGTACAATGGAATTGAGCAAGTTTCTTGTACAACTTACATATCAAACATGCGAAATTGCTATTCGCATGGAAATTATTGTAAAGCGCCATCTTTATTAAGACACATAAACTCCGTTGAAATCATTTCTCGTTAAGGACTCTTACGAATTTTGTGTCTCTTTCTTTTAATATAAAGATAACTTATTGAATCTCGTCTGATTATCAATTGTATAGACAAATGAATGCCATTCGCTATAAAAAAATTAAAATTCATTTAAATTATTGCAACTGCGAAAACTAATTTTGCTCGGACTAAATTTTCAGAAGATTATTTAAGTATATTTCGTCTTTATTATAGTTATATTTTATTTATAAAGTCCAAAGAGTTATTAACAAAAATAAATTGAAAAAACTCAAGCTGCTGCAAATTACCTATGTTATTAATTACTCGAAATATTTAATTTGCGCATTTTTGCATGAGGTTCTCCATCCTCAATCATTTTAATTTTCTTTTGCTCTGCATTGTAAAGCTGGTAAAGTTGACGTAATCGAATTCGCAATTCATAATCCTTTGTAAACCAAGTGTTTCTTAAAATTTCATCAACTGTTGGACGTGATGTCGGATCGACCTGAATTAAGTTTTTTATTAAACTTACAGCCATTGGAATCTGAAAGCAAAAGAATATTTACAAGTTTAAAAAGAAAAAGAAAATTCTCACCTTTTTCCAAAAGTTTGCACAAGAAAAGTTTATGTTCCCAGTTCGAATTTGATCTCTTATCGGTGTTCCATAATTATCATGGAATGGATAGGATCCCGACAAACACGAATAGAACAAACATCCCAATGACCATATATCGGCTTTGATTGTATATTCACCATTTAAATCCATTATTTCAGGTGGTAAATAATGTTTCGTTCCAAGTTGAGTCATCAATGTTTCGTCAGATGAGCGTGCAAAACCAAAATCGCCGATTTTTAACAAATGTTCATTTCTATCGTCAACTTTCAAAGACTTCACGAAAATATTCTCAATTTTTATGTCTCTATGTGCAATTTTCAGTTGATGCACTATTGCAAGGCCTTTGCATATTTGTGCCAAAAAGAATTTTGCGTCTGACTCGGGTAAACAGTTGTTTGGATAATCATTTACCAAGTCAAACATGCTGCCACAATCCGCATGTTCCATGAAAATGAAAAGATGTTTCTTATGCACAAAGTCGTCGATATATTTGATGACATTTGGATTATCCAATGTTTTCATGACCCGAACCTCGTCATTCATCTGCATAAAAAATGAGAGAAACCTAAGAAAATTTTCAATTGAATTAAATAATAATTAAAATCTTACATGTTGAATACGCTTGCAATATCCGAATACCGATTCACAATCGTTTTTATCTCTCGGAAGTACTTTGACAGCCAATTTCTTTAAATCCTTCTTTTCATAAGCAGCGCGTACTAGACTTTGACCACCACTTCCAATTATGGAACCAAAACAGTATTTGTCTAATAAGATCTCAGGATAGTCGAAAGTTTCAAAGTTTCTTCTATCGATGAAGGTAAACAAGCTGAAGCTCAAAACCAATTTAATGACGTCTCCATTTTTAAGCATTCTGGAAGATCCTTGTGAAAGCCTTTCAAAATTCAAAATTAATCCATTTAAACCTGTTACATGGAGAACAGCTGGGCTTAAATTAATTTCATTTCCTGATGATTTTTCTCTTTGAATTCGAAAATGGTTTCTGCTAATTGAATCAAAGTGATGTTTGATATGTTCAGCGGTAAAGATAAATCCTTCTGTGAAATTATCATGTGCTTCTCTTCCGTAAAATGAGACATCACCAACAAGTTTGATTGGTCTGAGAGTGTTTGAAAACAATGGAAAAAGGTATGCCCAGCCATTCATTCCATCTTCTTGAAAGTTATTCGTGTAATTTTGTTTTAATGCCATTGTTACACTTTCTAATTTTTCTTTTATTTTAGCCTACGTTAGTAAAAGAGAAGAAATATATGACATTTGTCCTTGAAGAACAGGCTAATATGAGAGTGTTATATAAGCATACGAATTTCAATTTGAAACAAAAAAAAAACAAATGCAAGATAATAATTTGCTTACTTATTTTGAGTTCGGATTTTTCATTTATGATACTCTAATCAGGCTTTTAACTTTTATGTTCACTTTAAGCAAAAACAATATTTATTAGACACTGCTATACAACCGGAGAATGTACATACATATTTCTAAATTTTAAAGAAGTTAGGTAATAATTTCGTGGTTTTCTTTGGTGACAACCGATTCGAAACTGAACTAACCGATTGAAGATCTATTTTAAAAATCAAGTGAAAACGTTAGAAATTTGAGACCAAAGAAACATAAAAGGCTAAAGTATAGATTAAAATAATTATTGACTTTCAATGTTAATTAATTTTCTGTTAATGGACAATAATTAACGTTAAATTAACATTAAATTATTGTAATTTTAATGTTCATGGACATAATCCGCAAGAACTATTAAAATCTTTCAACCGCTATATCAAATTCAAATCTGACCAATTTTGGTTTCAATATCTTCACACTCNCTTCCAATTATGGAACCAAAACAGTATTTGTCTAATAAGATCTCAGGATAGTCGAAAGTTTCAAAGTTTCTTCTATCGATGAAGGTAAACAAGCTGAAGCTCAAAACCAATTTAATGACGTCTCCATTTTTAAGCATTCTGGAAGATCCTTGTGAAAGCCTTTCAAAATTCAAAATTAATCCATTTAAACCTGTTACATGGAGAACAGCTGGGCTTAAATTAATTTCATTTCCTGATGATTTTTCTCTTTGAATTCGAAAATGGTTTCTGCTAATTGAATCAAAGTGATGTTTGATATGTTCAGCGGTAAAGATAAATCCTTCTGTGAAATTATCATGTGCTTCTCTTCCGTAAAATGAGACATCACCAACAAGTTTGATTGGTCTGAGAGTGTTTGAAAACAATGGAAAAAGGTATGCCCAGCCATTCATTCCATCTTCTTGAAAGTTATTCGTGTAATTTTGTTTTAATGCCATTGTTACACTTTCTAATTTTTCTTTTATTTTAGCCTACGTTAGTAAAAGAGAAGAAATATATGACATTTGTCCTTGAAGAACAGGCTAATATGAGAGTGTTATATAAGCATACGAATTTCAATTTGAAACAAAAAAAAACAAATGCAAGATAATAATTTGCTTACTTATTTTGAGTTCGGATTTTTCATTTATGATACTCTAATCAGGCTTTTAACTTTTATGTTCACTTTAAGCAAAAACAGTATTTACTAGACACTGCTATACAACCGGAGAATGTAGGTACATACCTATTTCTAAATTTTAAAGAAGGTAGGTAATAATTTCGTGGTTTTCTTTGGTGACAACCGATTCGAAACTGAACTAACCGATTGAAGATCTATTTTAAAAATCAAGTGAAAACGTTAGAAATTTGAGACCAAAGAAACATAAAAGTAGGGTTCGTAAAATTTCCATCAGTAGGCCAATGCTGGTTGAGGCCAACAGTAGGCCTGCGTAGGCCAGCATGCAGGCCAGCATTCAAGCTTTTTTCTTCCATATTAAATTTACATTTCAATTCTACGCGCTCCGTTGGTCTAAAAATGTTTTAAAGTAAGATAAAGTCATTTAAATAGGCGATGGAAGTTAAACTGCACAAACCTTTGGAGTAATAACGTTGCAGTCATCTTATAAAAAGCAATAATAGTAATTTTAATCAAAACTTGGAAATATCATATCAAGCTTAAAAACATACTAATCATAAAGTATGTATAAACAGGTCTTCAGTATTAATAAAATTAAATGATCAGTCCCTATAATTTCTTAACAAATCAAGAATATTCATGATGGATAATTTCAAGATATCTGATTATTTCTCCATATATTTTTCAAAGTTTTAAAATTCCACATCACTCTTTTAACATTGTGGAATTAACTTATTAAATAAATGTTCGAAAAATAATATTGCTAATTGATTTTTAACATTATTTTTCAAGTATGTTTTCAACCCTATTTTCTAAGGGATTATTCAAAATTAAAAATTTTAATTGAAACGCTTGCCTTTCTCTGGAACAAAATGCTTAAATACATTGTTGCTGCACTCTACAACATCCAAGAAGTGGAATATTGCACATTCATAACAAAAATGTGGGATTTTCCAACTTTTAAAATTTGTATGGAAAAATGAGGTTCAAAAGCTGGCCTGCGCAGGCCAGCATGTTGGCAAATATGTTGGCCTCTGCTGGCCTCTGCAGGCCTATGCAGGTTGGTGAAACCCTAGAAAATTCACCTCAGATCTTATAATGAGTATTTAGTATACTAGAAACATATAAAAATTAAAACATTTTAGATGGCAAATATTTAGCTGCCTTGTTCCTTGGTGTCTTAACATTTAATTAAGTGCTTTATAATGTTATTAAAACAAAAAAACAATAATCTACTAAATCAATGTTCTCAAAAGTTTAAAAGTTGAACCAAATTGACAATACCTACATANTTTCAAAATTCAAAATTAATCCATTTAAACCTGTTGCATGGAGAACAGCTGGGCTTAAATTAATTTCATTTCCTGATGATTTTTCTCTTTGAATTCGAAAATGGTTTCTGCTAATTGAATCAAAGTGATGTTTGATATGTTCAGCGGTAAAGATAAATCCTTCTGTGAAATTATCATGTGCTTCTCTTCCGTAAAATGAGACATCACCAACAAGTTTGATTGGTCTGAGAGTGTTTGAAAACAATGGAAAAAGGTATGCCCAGCCATTCATTCCATCTTCTTGAAAGTTATTCGTGTAATTTTGTTTTAATGCCATTGTTACACTTTCTAATTTTTCTTTTATTTTAGCCTACGTTAGTAAAAGAGAAGAAATATATGACATTTGTCCTTGAAGAACAGGCTAATATGAGAGTGTTATATAAGCATACGAATTTCAATTTGAAACAAAAAAAAACAAATGCAAGATAATAATTTGCTTACTTATTTTGAGTTCGGATTTTTCATTTATGATACTCTAATCAGGCTTTTAACTTTTATGTTCACTTTAAGCAAAAACAGTATTTACTAGACACTGCTATACAACCGGAGAATGTAGGTACATACCTATTTCTAAATTTTAAAGAAGGTAGGTAATAATTTCGTGGTTTTCTTTGGTGACAACCGATTCGAAACTGAACTAACCGATTGAAGATCTATTTTAAAAATCAAGTGAAAACGTTAGAAATTTGAGACCAAAGAAACATAAAAGGCTAAAGTATAGATTAAAATAATTATTGACTTTCAATGTTAATTAATTTTCTGTTAATGGACAATAATTAACGTTAAATTAACATTAAATTATTGTAATTTTAATGTTCATGGACATAATCCGCAAGAACTATTAAAATCTTTCAACCGCTATATCAAATTCAAATCTGACCAATTGGTTTCGATATCTTCACACTCGAACACGATTTCGAAAATTATTTTGCAAGTTTAAAAGAACGGATGATCTTGAACTCAATAAAATCAATTCAAACATGGCATCCGAATTCTTTTTGACTCATGACGAACTTGAAAGCTGCGTGTTGGAGGAGAGTAAAGATAATGGAACGAAGCAGTGGGTTTTGTGCAATTCAGCTAACGCAGTTGAAGGAAAGGTAAGTAAAGGATAGTGTAAGTTAATTATCTTAGGTTAATTGATTCATTTCAGACAAACTACACAGTTGTCTTTTTAAAGAAATTAAGCGATTTGTACAAGGGCATAGTTGGATGGAGCCAATCTTTCCGCAAAAAATCGAAATCGGGAATTATGACATCCAAATGGGTTTGTCCACATGGAGATTCTATTTCGGTAAGTATTGTATTTTATGTAGGATTATTATGATTTAAAATAAGTAATTTCATATTTATTAATTTATTATTATTTTATTTTCAGGTACGTGTACATCAAGCTGATTTAAAACCGAAAAAGGGTCACTCAACAAGCTTCACCACCAAGACTGAATGTAAAGATTGTAAAGCTCAGATCGCTGGCCGCAATGGGGAGGTTGAAGACAACGTACAAGTTTCGAAGGAAGATGATGGAACTCCCGCAGCAGAAAAAAAAAGAAATGAGGTTCTTGAAATTCTCGTGAAATTGCGTCAGGGAATGAATGAAATCGCAAAGCAGACGATTCTTGGAGCATTAGATGCAACTTTATCTTATACATCAACTGATGACAAGCTGGAATGTATGATTAACAGCATACCTTTAATAGCAGGACAAATCCAAGCATTTTTATTGAATGAACGGAACACACTATTAATGAAAATGGAAGAAGAAGAAGCATTGAAACAAAACCAGGCTCAAGAATAAGACAACAATCTGACAAAGATTTAAATGTATGACACAAAAAATTGCTATTTGAAATAATAGAAAATAATCTCGTTTCATATCACACTTATTTGTTATGTCGTTTGAAATTATTTAATTATAGTAAAAATCATCACTTTCCAGGGAGAAAATATAAAAAAAGCTCAAAATGTTTTACATTCAAATCTAAAATGAGATTTTTTCTGAAATATTTAGTTTAACGCAAATTAGTAATTTTAAGATTATTGTGATTTTCATCGTTTGATTCAAAGATTTTTTGCAAGTTTCTTGTACAACTTACATATCAAGCATGCGAAATTGCTATTTGCATGGAATTTCTTGTAAAGCGCCATCTTTGTTAAGACACATAAACTCCGTTGAAAATGTTTCTCGTTAAGGACTCTTACAAATTTTGTTTCTTATTCCTTTAATGTAAAGTTCTTTATTAAATTTCATCTAACTATCAATTGTATGGACAAATGAATGCCATTTGCTATAAAAAATCTTAAACCTATCAATTGCAGATTAGGACTTTAACATGAGTAAGAAGTATTTTCTCTACTTAGGATGAAATTCATTCAAGAAAACTGACGCAGGGGAAAATCCTTATATACTTGTAAATTCCTTAGTGTGAGTGAAACTTCGTATCGTATATGATTGCTTAGCAGGAAGGCAACGTGTAAACGCAATGTGTTCTTTCTTTTCACTTTCACTATTCTGTTGATTCGATGTTCGTGTGGTGAGACGAAGCCGAAGATTGCTTTATTGTTTCCTTCTTCGGAAGCTCCTCACATACACATACAAAGGATTAAAAGTTTTTTGTTGATGATTGAAGAATTGAAACAATTTTTAATGATTTAGATTTGATTAATTGACTTCAATAAATAGAATAATAAATACATGAGAGAACGAATTAAATGATCATAGTTTGAAAGCTTTTTCTTTCAAAAAACTTGAAATCTGAGAGAAAATTTGAGAAAAACTGACAGAAAATTTTCACATCATTTTAGTTTTAAAGAAAATGATAATTTGCAAATATATTAACTAAATAATAAAAGAAGGAAAACTCCACCACCAGATTTCCTCGTCATTTCAATGAGACTATAAACTGTTAAAAACGAGCGGTAATTTCTTTCGCCATCAACAGTCGCAACTCGTTAAAAAAAGAACAACACGAGAAGAAAAACCTGAGGAAAAATTATTACGACGCTATAAATTTAAGCATAAATCTAAGCTCCAAAGTGGAAAATTTCGAAGGAAATTAAAAAATATATTGCGGAAAACTAGGAGATAGCTTCATTACCCTGGGATATTGATGAGCAGTTTTATTAGAAAAGTTGTGTTAAGAATAAAATTTTTAAACCTTAAACCTTGCCTCCATCCATCCCACCCGCCCGTGAAATGATTTCAGTTTCCTTTTCTCATCGTCTTCCTACCCATCTTCGACATTTTTACAAGCCGAGAAACGAGGATGAGATAATCAAGAGAGATAAATAATTCGTATATAGTATACAGCGTTGCAGTAAAATATTTATGAGCTCAGAGCGAAATAAAAAAATTTAATGTGCTTGTGTAAAATAAAAATGCGAAATGAGAATGAGAATGTGTATCTCTCTAAAGTTTTTCTTCTTTCATTTTTTAAGATATAATTTCAGGGATCAGGTCGCAGTCTTCGCTTAGAATCTCAGATGGAATCTTCAAAAGCATGAAAAGAAAATGCTGATTCTCTTTTATTATAGCCAAATCCATAAAAGTATTCCATCCTATGCATGTTTATTTTCTGATGTTTCTTTTATACTTTTAAGCATTTTATAGTAAAAAATATAAAAAAAATGTTCTGTAATTCACTTGCAATGAGGTTTTGACATGACAAGCCAAAAAAAAAGTGAAGGAAAAATTCTTTGCATTGGCTTGATGATCGTTTTACACCTTGCCATGGAGATCAGAAACCAACGAATGAATTATAAATGAAGTTGGAAAAACTTTTTTTCTTCCTTCTTCCTGAACAACGCAAGAAACTTGAGTTAAGAGCTTTCACCTGTCCCGTCTCTCTTCATAAGCATGTATTAGGCAGAAACAACAAGCGAAATTATAAAAACATATCCGCATGGCATAAAATTATATAGATGGCAATAAATTTCCCTTCGCTCGCTATTTTTCATTTCCTTTCAAAGATAAGAAGATTTTATTTTGCGTTACTAGCAACGATATCCCCGTGAAAACAACGTGAGTGCTTTCAATTCTGACATTAAGCCTTTAAATGCTGCACATTACATGGGAAAATAAAGGAAATTCCTCTGAACTAGAAAATGGCGGTTGTTAAAAAATGTATAAAATAAAAGCAAAGCCCAGAATGGTGCCGTTGGTGCTTCAAATTTCCTTTCTGCTCTTAAACTTTTTTTTTTCAAAGCAGCGAAGCTTCTCTTTCACTCCAGTTAGGCTTTTATTCTTTCTTTTTTACTTTTTTCATTTCCCCAAAAACACATTTTCTTTATAATTTTATGTAGGTATTGCACATAAAAAAGAGTGCTTAAAATACGCAACGAAAGATGAGAAAATGTTTCTTTTTTACGGATGGAAATGTAGTAAAAGAATTTGTAAAAAGTGAAACGCTTCATCCACCGTATTCTAAAACTGCGAAATTACTAATAAAAAACTCATATAATGTAAAATCATATTTAATGGACTATGTGGGAGATGTGAAATTTATAGTTGACTTTGCCGTTGATGCTTACGTTGCTGCTTGCATAAAATTTCATTTCCGTGAGTTTCCGCTTTTTAACATGCATGAAAATTCTTTATTACGCAATTTTATATTGAGGTGCGTGGGTGGTCCAAAGTAAGTAAGAAGCTGTGCTATGCATTCAAATGGTTGTCGTAATTGATCGTACTTTTCATCACTCAATCTTTTAAGTCACAAAATGGAATTTTCCAATGAGAATTCTTTCCAACATTGAAACTATCGAAGAATGATTTAAATGCATGGGGAAGGTCGGTAGTTGAATGTAAGAATTTGACATATTTATAGCGAAAGACATTCTATAGCTAATCAAACCATTCAAATCTCAAACAAGCAGCTTAAATATGTTTCTGTTTGAAATTTGTTTATTTATTTCAAATCACCACGCAAAATTAAACGAGTTCATGGCCCTAAAAAAGTTCATTTCAATGATGAATTTATCAGATAAAAAAGAATCTTTTGTAAAAATTATTTTTTGAGCTATTTTGATCATTATTTACAAAGGTATTTAAAAATGAATTTTCTGAATCACAATGCTTTAAAAAAACATCAAACGAAGTCTGATCCTTAGAACTGAATCAGTTTGTTTCTTTATTTTATTTTTCGATTGCATTTGAAAGTGTTTTATGGGGGTGGGAGACAAGAAGGCAATGTCTGACCTGATTTGCTAATTTACAAACCTAATAATAGTAATAATAAATAATAAAAAGCAGTAAGTCGACCTTTAACAACGATCTAGAATGGGAAAGAAGAATTATGTAAAAATTATAAACGAACCCGAAACTGATGGGTTTTTACAGACGTCACTTATCATCAAAATTCACGGCTTTTATGTCTCTTTCAATTTCCAATGCTATATAAATATTTAATGCTTTCAGCATCAGCAAAATATCTAACAACAGACACACATTCTACATATATGTATGCCTTTGCCTGTGCCTTTGCCATTTCCATCTACAAGAAAGCCGCATAGCATCATGTATTAAAAATTCTATCAAAATGATGAGAATGACGATCGGAGAGAGAAGTAAAATTATTCAAGGCACAAGCAGTTATATTTTTTACTACATCTTATCAATAATTAATGTTTTATTCATCCACAAGATGTTGGATGTTTTTAGCCAAAAAAAAAAAGGAGAAAGAAAAGAAAAAATTGTGAAGGATTCTCGACGACTTCGAAGTAGTTTACAACGCATTCAAATTGAACCCTCGTTTCAAACATCAAAATATAAAAGAATGAAATGAAAAGAAAGAAAAACCTCTTCGTGCTGTATCGAGCTTCATCCAAACAGTAGTTGAATAAAAAAAAAACTCCGAAACATTTTTAATTTAAATTTTATTGATTAGTTTTTTTTCTTCTTTTATTCCACCCGGGTGCTTCTATTTCAGCATTCACTGCAACCCTCAACTCTCTATCGCTTTCTCTTTCTCTTCATCTACATTCCCACCCCTGTCGTCATACCATCGCTTCTTGTTCTAAATCATCGAATTTCTGTTATCATGGTAATAGTAATTATACTTTTTTATGTACGTGTATGCTTTTTTTACACTACGCCAAGCACAGCCAAAAGCGAGCGAGAAAAAAAAATCTATTTGCATAAATTCCAGGCAAAATTTTTCTCATTTTTCAGCGTTAGAGCGGGGAGTGTGGGTGGTTGCTGGCAGTTGTTTGATGGAATGAGATGTTTTGCGTGGGTGGCATTGGGTTTAGTTTTTTTTTTCAACTTCTATTCATTCGTTGTTATAATGATGATACTGGAAGCGAGGATGTAAAAAGCGCTATGGAAACAGGAAGAAGGGACGACATGAAAATAGGAAAATAATTTTAAAAAGGGAGACTTTTAAGTAAACGCTAGTTGCTGTTCAAGTACAGAGTCGTTGGAAATATTTTCACAATTTAGATGAAAGCAAAGGCGATGAGGGAGTCACAAATAATTCTGATGATGTGTAGTGAAAAGGGATCATTAACAAATGACGATACAAATTTATCATTCTTTTATTAAAAGATTTAAATGCATTTAATCCAACATCCCTGTTGTTATCGTTTGACATTTTCTGTTGAATAACATCGCTCTGTTTTTTTTTTCTTGTTAAAAATAAAACAATTTTTGTTCAACGCAATGTATTGTCGACTGTGTAACTTTATAGATTTTTACATTACATTATATTTTATTCTTTTTTTGTGCGCTGCCATCATGTTAGAGATATTGAGATGAGAGAAGGCGAATACAGCGGAACAACGAAGAAGAAAAAGGAAAAAAATATGAAACTTTTCTTTCTATGTTGTTTTGTACTCGTCGTTGTTGCTTCTTCAGTTTGTTGGGCGCTGAATGCTTACTGCCTGCCACCCATTCTTCCTTCACGACAATGATATGACTAGAGAGTGTTTAGAGAAACGCGAAATGGTATTTTATATGCTTTTTATGTGTTTCAATAGAGCCTAGGGAAGGAAACGAAGAGCAGGAAGCGACTCAAATCAAAAACTATGGAATGAGAAGTGTGCCTTCGTTGTTCTTCCACTGAAAGTATCTTTTCTTTTCTTTTTCTTTCTTTTATTTATCCGCGACGCGAATGACGACGATGAAGAGAAAAAAAATCGTACGCAGCCGAAAATAATAAAAAAGAAAGGAAAATGAGACTAAATAGATGTGGGGATGAGTTGAAAGAACAATGAAGCACATTGGAGATTTTTAAAAGAACCTCCAACCTCAAACTCTTGATTGTTGTTACATCTTTCCTCATACAATTCACATTGTTGTTAAATACGTGTATTATGCATATAAAAAAGATAGAAAGATAGATACAAACAAATTTAAAACTTGGTTTTACTGCTTTTTTATCATCGTGTATGGTGAAGTGTTGCTCAACATAAGACCCACGATCCGCATAATTCTTTTCTTCGATTACTTGAAATGATTCCAACACTGTTGATGGTGGATCGCGGCTTTGTACTTACTGCTACCCTTATGTATAAACAGCATTATTTCATATCCTTCATTTAAACCATTTCTCCTGCTCATCCTTCATCATAATTTCCCTCTATTACTCTTGTTACTAACTAACCCATTCCACCAAATAATATTTCTTTCTTTTTCATTTCCTCTCGACGCTAACACACAATACACCATCAGCAAACCAGCAGTAGCAGCATCCACGAACAGCTCTACGAAAAATCATTATATCTATGTTAAGCGTTCTTCTGAAAATTTCTTTCTTTTCTTTTTTTCTTTTTCGATGATGATGGGGTCGCTTTTTATTTTTATGTATAATTTTTTTTATTTTATTTTTTAGAGAGCGATGTCGTTAAAGTGTGGGTGGAGATGTGGGGTTAGGTGAAATGAGGGTGCTTCTGTATATGATGAGATTTTTTTTTCGGTACCAGCGCTTTTTTTTCTATACAAAATAAATGTACAACACTCACTGCCACGCCTAAAATTTTTTAGAAAAAAAAAACGGAAAAAAGCTTCATGATTATAAAATAAAAAAAGAAAAATTTATTTCATTATGCGGCGTGTCTCATACCTAGGTTACAGCTTCCCATGAATCCCCCCGTCATTTCAATTCAGTTCAGTTCAGATACATCATACACGCGTTTCATGTGACTGTGTAGACTTTTTATTTGAGCTCTTTCTCTGCTTCTTTTTTTCTCCTTTCAAGGGAGGTTAATATGGGGGAGGAATATAGGATTTTAATTTTTATTTTAATGTAGTGTATGTGAAATTAAAAAACTGTGTACATGAAACATTGTCTGTACGTGTAATGCCGCATAGAGCGGGAGGCGAGATGGAAAATTATTTTCCTTTTTTTTGCTGGTTAGAGAAACATTTGAAATTCGTTTGAGCGTTTTCTGTATGGAAGGGAAAATAAATTTTCGTTTGTTTTTTTTTCTTCTGCTTCTCTGACAACAGCGAGTTTTACTTTTTTTTATGTAAAAGTTTTATAATTAAATTTATTTTTGTTACATGTTACAGAGCCGAATGAGTGAATTAATGTAGATGGAGATGAATCATTCTCAGATTCATGTTATAAGATGATTTAGCTACAAACTACTGATAATGTTTGTTCCACCCCCGCAATCCATATCTCTCCTTAATTATTCATAATGGTATTTATGGAAAGTTCTAATGAGGTTTTTTCTCTCGCGCAAACATAAAACTTTTCGACACAGCCTGGATTTCAAGTCGGAGAAAAATACTTTATGATAAATACAGCTGAAATTAGCATGTTTAATTTGAATCGTTGAGCGATTGCTAAGAGAAGTGAGGGGATGAGAATAAGAGCTCCAGATGAATTGGCAATTATGAAAATTGTGTACATTATTTTGTTCCGTATGCGTCAACAATATGAAAAGCAAAAAAAAAGTAAACGAAAGAAACTTTTCCACCCACAGATTTTTTTAAAAATTTTTATCCTCGTTGCACGATCGTCAACTGCAGAGAACAGTAAAAAAATTCACCCTTTCTCATTGGTGAAAAAATTTAGTTATTTTGCATCATTAAAAAAATGGTGGAGTGACCGTAATCAGGAGATTTCATAAATTTTACTGTGATGTGAAAAAATCCTTGATACAGACACTTTCAACTGTAGGCTTCCATATTATTGTTATTATTATTGATTAAAATTTATTTTTTTATTGGTCGCATTTTTTTCTATAATTTTTTTATATATTTTTTCAGCAGTTCTGCATTTTTTCTGGCTTTGTTTTATTTTTTTATAAGTGATGTTAAATATTTTTAATGGATATTTTATATTTGAAATGTATATCCTCATATTTATAGGAGTTCATAACGAAGAGATGATACGATTCGTTGTAGATGCATGGATATATGAAGACAAACAACTATTTTATATTTTTCAATTATGAAAATAATTAGTAATGCGCAATTTTTTATTTCCAGTTGATTGGATCGCATTTATGTACATTTTTTTATCCACTTTTGTTGTTATACATTCTGATTCGATTTCTTTTTTAATGATAAATCATCGTTGGTCATCTATTAGTGTTGCATGAAGGTAAAAAAGTTGCATACATCGCATGCGAAATAAATTAGTTTGGAAATGTTTTTCTTATTCCCAAAAGTTATGCAACAAGCGAAATTTGGAAACTTTATTGAAAATGACATCAAAGAAAATTATCGCGAAATTTACAAATAAAACATTCCATTCATTATTTTAATTAATCATCCATTGTTACTTCTTGCATAATATTTACAACACAAATATATTTAATGATATCCTTATAGTCATGGCCTTATAGCTCTGACAAGGCTTCTGTTGGAAAATTTTTATCGCTTTTTTTTGTGTAGCAATTCCCAATTATTCATTATCGAAGCAGCATTTTCATATTTTGTAAATTTTTTTGTGCGTTTATTGTGCAAATTAAAAATATGATTTTATAACGAAGAAAAAAGAAATGAATCGTGTACCAGACATATCCGGACCAAACATGTTCATACAAAAAATGCAAACTTGCAATTAAAAGTTTTAAAAAATCAATCATGTGTAAAACAAATAATTTCATATATAATGCTTTTTTTTGTTGGGCTGTCTCCAACTAGCCATTATAAAAATGCAATACAGATAAAAAAAATAAGAATTATTATCATAGCATCAAGAGATAAAAGCCGCATGCATAAACTCTGGTCAGATACAGCAACTCAATTCATCTTTAATGCTTGCTTGATTATTTTTTAATCAGTTATCAGTCATCGGAAGTTGAAAATGACACTCGAACGTGCAGATGTCGACTATAAAATCAAGTTAAAAACTTTCAAAAATAGTGTTAAAATTTCACCCCTAAAACAAGCGAGTAAAGTCATCTCGCAATTTTTATGTAAATCGAACATTGTTGCCTCTAAGCATAATTTCCAACCCTCCACCCACATATTACTCATTCCATCATCTCATTTCAATTTAATGCGTGTTTTTATATAGATTTTTCCCTGTTTTAGATTAGTGTTAGTGCAGCAAGTGTTATTTAAAAAAGTTGGGAGAATATAATGTCGAGGTTTTCGTTTTTTCCTTTTTTTTATGGGTGCAAAACGAGATATATTTAAAAACTAGAAAGGGATGGAAAATTATAAAAATCGCGTCTCTACATATTGCGAGGGTGGATGATACTGTAATCATGTTTAAATTTTTCTCTCTCTTTAGCAAATTTGACGTTCGTGTTGTTTCCATAGATTTGGGATTATAAAACTTTTTTTTTTTCTTCTCCGTATTTTCGAGTTAATTCTCAATTTACGAATTTTAACAATTTTTTTTCTGTTGCGATGTTAACTTTTTTTTTATTCTTTTTATTTATACACAGTAAGCTTCGACATCCACCTGCTCCCTATTTGGTAGCTGTTCCCCTTTTAATTAGCAACCAGCATTCAAAATATATCGGGTCTTAAAAATACATAGCTTAGCGAATATGTTCACGTTGCTATCAGGGTTTCTCTGTTTATTTAATTACGCCACACAATCTTACGTGAAAATATCGCAGCAAAGTTTTTAGTTCATTGTTGACGACACAAAATAATAAATTTTCATCTTGAAAGTTAATTAAGAAAATTCCGAGTGCTTCAATAGCTAAAAAATATTATTCAATTTTCTGCCGGCGTTAATAAGAAGTAAATCTGACATGTTGCGTAGTATTTATTTAATTACACACTAAAAACAAAGAGCAAAATTTCTATAGTCGTACGATGAAATATTTTCTCTGCCAACCATATTTATGAATAATGATAAACGAGAGTTGCGTGAAGATTATGTATGAAAAGCGAATAATTTAAGCTGCTTCCTTCTTCTCTCACTCACTTACTCCCCCGCCTGCCGAATATTTGTTAACAAGTGTTCGACATTGTCTGAAAACATCAACAAAACTTACATACATAATGATAACTTAGAAATATGGTTGTGATGTTTGCAATGAAAATATGATTACATGACGAAAGAAAAACTTCTTCGAATGATTTCGTTTTTAACGAGCCTTTATTAAGAGTTTGAAAACGTAAGTAAAGAAGTAAAATGATAAATATTTGAGAAGTGAATTTCATTTTCATCTCATTAATAACATAACAAAATCACATAAGTGGATGGAAAGAAACAAACTTATTTTACCTACTTGTGTCTTACAGTAGCTTCAGCGTAACTTGTTTTCATCGGTGATAACAAATAAACTTCACTAAAATAAAATTCTCTTCGATACATTAATGATTGAGCTTATTTTGTCTCCATGAAATACAAAAATTATATAATTTTACGATCAAACCGGACGAGAGCAGAGAATGAATGATATTAAGACATACGAAACGATAAAATGTGTTGTATGAAGAAATAAAAGTGAGACATAAAATTTATAGGCACTCAATTTTTACCGAAAAAAATGACAGAAATTACTCGATATTGTGGGCAGTGAACAGATGATACACATTCGTCGAATTTGCTTATTTAGCATTTACAAAAGATGTTGATTTCTAGGACCTAAATTCCAAAAAAAATTGATGAAGTTTTTATCTTCAGCTGAGGAAAACTTGCAGCGTTATCTCTAAGCTTTAAAATCGATTAAAATTTACTGGAATGGATGAAATACAAGGATGGTTAGTTTACTCCTTACGTCATGTTTAGTAAATTTCTGATAGAAATTGGTTTCGCTTCTTTGGATCGGGATTCCTATAATAAACTCAAATCGATTACATCAAAATGTGATTATGACGAGTTTAAGCAAGAATTTGAACTGTATGCTTTGGAGAAAATAGGAGAAGATGTATGGTTCAAATATTATGGCATAATGGACTCCTCTTCGAAGGAGGGAAAACCATCTGTCATTATTAGAAAACAATATAATTGTGACATCGAAGAAATTTACAATATTATTAAATATGCAATATCTTATGATCCTGTTGTCGCATACTTTAAAGCATTATGTGAAAATTTATCCGGAATGGCATTGAGTGAAATAGAACGATACAATAAAGAAGTTTCGAATTAATAAAAATTTATACCATTCATTAATGTTATTTTTTTTTCAATCATTTGAAAAACTAATTTTAAGTCAATTTAAGAGTTGCTGCAATTCAAATATTTCAACGGTTTAGGAAAAGTTTCAAAAAATATTTGAATTTTTGACTTCAATCAGGCTGACAACTTCAACTCAGTTTTTGTTAGCAAATTGTTGCAGCACATTAAAATAATTCTTAATATCTTTTTATGCATTAAAAGTCGTCTTATTTTGTTGAGAAAGCTACGTGTCAAAGCTACTTTAATATATTCAATTGTTTTGTTTACGTGAAACTTTCGTTTGTTAAGTGTTCAGTGTGGTAAAATATTAATTTATAATGTGTCGACATATGATGAATAATAAGGTTTGTAAGTTAATTTATTTACAACAATAGCAATTAATCAATCTTTGTCATGTTTAGAAATTCTGGAGGAATGTTGAACATCATCTTGGCCCACTGAATGAAGAAATTTGCGCACTTTTGACGAGGTTAGGTTTTAATTCTTATTCAAGCTTCAAAGGCACTCCCGATGAATTAATCTTCATGGACATTTTGGAATCTTACATTAAAATAGTGTTCGATCAGACGCCAAAATACTTTGATATACGATATCGTCGTTTAATTTTTATGGTTGAAACTTCTCGTGAACTTAAGCCATCTTATAAAAGTATGATTAAAGCCATTCATCAACTCATCAAAGTTACTCCATACGAACATTTTAATTCAACAGCGTCGCCACCATTTAAACCATCGCGAGATTTCAAGTTTCGTAAGTTTTGTGAGCAGTGCAAAGCAAGACTTAACTACGATGTAATCATAAAAATGTAAAATTCAAATTTTCCAATGCTTAGTCATTAAAATAAATCATTTCCTTCATCAATAAATCGAAACCGATCATTTCTCATTCTTCCTTTAAACATTCCTTTATGCACTAATCCTACACATCAGCGCTTCAATTAAACACAGCAAACATTTATACAAGAAGTTTGTTCTTTCTGTTTTACTTCTTATTTCATTGTGATGTAGGACATTGACACGAAAAGCTGTTTTATTATTATTTCATTCTTAGTTCTTCTTCTCATTTTGCATTATTTTTCTTCGTTAGTTCATCTGCAACTAATAAAAAACTGTACTCGTCCCATTTGAGCCGTTTGTGTTAGTAGTTTTGCCAATGTAATTTGAAAGCCAAACTCTTTTCTTTTCTCATGCACGAACTGAATGCAAAGAGGCACAGAAAACTGATCTTTTTCTGAGAAGCTCGAAATTGCATCACAAAAAGAAAAAGAAGAAAAAACTCAATTTAATAGAATCGAAAATATAAAAATGAGAACATTGGACGAAAGACGAATTGCAAGTTTTATTTTGATAATCTTTAAAGAGTCAAAACCTACACAACGAACTCAAACTTATCTCGATGTGTACTCTCGCGATGCGATGTTTGTTGCGCAAATTTTGCAATTTTTATTTGGGTTGAAGAGCGGGAGGGGAAAAGATTTCTACGCTTAAATATAAGCGGGTTATCTTGCAGCAGCCAAACACCACACTAACAGCAGTTTTTCTTGCAATACATGCAATCAACGAGATCCGGAGAAAACAAAAATAAAAAATGAAAAAAAAACTGCACAACCAAAAGCAAAATAATGAAGAAGAAGCAAAATAAAAATTGTAAACCGAAAAAAAGAGATAATAATTTTTTAGACAGGCTATGCCGTGTTCCATTTCGTTATTATAATTTATTATGAGTTCTCTGTGAGTTCTTTTTTATTTTCTTTTGGCGAGTTTATGATGTGAATGCACTCTGGAAAAATAACAAACAAAAGGCAAGCAGAAGAAAACTGGATTTTAGTGCGATGGGTCGTTAAGCGAGAAGAAAATTTGCATATTTCGTCTTTAACATTCATTTTTAGATTTTGAAGACATTCAATGCAATTCAGGGTTGTTAAATGACGACTTTGTCTATTTTATTTCTCTTTCTTTTATTCTTTTAAATAAAGAAGTTGAAAACTTTTGTTTCACATAAATAAGTATGTAATGATTGTACTTTTTCAAAAATGGGATTATAATCTACAGCATATTATGCTTTAAGCATAAATCTCATCTCAGAGGAATTTTGAAGTTTATCCATCCATCACGATATATTTTCTTCTTGATCCTCCTTCGAAGAATGTGCTGAGGTTGATGATTGCTAAGAGCGATCGTCCAAAAATATTATTATTTGGCAGATAATTGAACTGTGAAACGATCTTCAAACTTTTATAAGCAATGAGAGAAAATTTCTTCATTTCAAAGATTCACAAGATTGTTCTTGTTGAAAATAGAAATAACATTAGCAAAGTAACTTTTAAAATTAATTTAATTATTCTCTATTTGCTCACACATGAAACATTAAGCGTTAAGCTGATGAGAGGTGGAAATTAAATTAACTCCTTAACAACAAACTTTTAGGTGTTGAATGATGTGATGCTCTGAGAAATAAATCAACATTTTCATTTTGCTCACAGTTATTCATCACAATATCGCAGAAGAAGCACGTGAATTATGAATACCCATAAATTATTTTGTGTTAGTTATGATAATAAATTCATATGTAAATTAAATCATTTACACGTGTTTTCATCGGTGATATGTCGACGTGAAAAAGGCTGTTGAGTGTGTACTATTTCAATCTGTCGTGCTTTTCTGTATGCTCTTCTTCCTTCTATTCATCATTGCTGACATGGGAAAAAGCTACCACAAAATGTTTTTCCACCCACAACTCACTAGATATTTAGATTTCCCTTTTCTCTATTTTCTTGTCACTTCACAAGTGAAGACCGAGTTTGTAATTTTCCACAACAATCCCCACACACAACATCTACCGGAAAATGTATTCAAATAGTGATGGCTTTCGCCTGATATGATAATTTACATTAAATAGGAACTTTCGCCCCCTCCCACCCTAACTCAAAAAGTATTTGTTGCAAACAACTTTCCACTCGTTTACGATAACTATGCGTAATATGTTTTCTCTGGGTTATAAATTTTTGATTATGTGATAATTAAATGTGAAATTTATAATCTCATCAACCACATCAACATTCCTTTTCTCTAGGAATTCACATGATGTATGAAATGAAAGTTATCTGGGTAAAGTGTTTTAGTCTCTTCATTAAATCTTGTCTAAGTCGTAAAGGGATTTTCTCTCTTCATATAGTTGAGGTAATACTTACTTATTTAAGCATATGGGGATGTGGAAACTATTCCCCCATTCATTGTTCTTGTTCTCTAAGAAGATGAAACCCCAATCAACATACAAAAAGGTTTTAATTTATGTAACACTTACGTTTCCCTCAAAATATTACTTTTAATTGTTTTTTATGACCCTCAGAATTTCAACCCTAATCAACATACTCATATATTTAATTACATTCACTTTTCTCTATCGGTCATGAAAGTTTCTTTGCGTGTTGACTGCTTCTGAGCCTTCACAATCTATTATCTCATGACCGCAGATTATCTGTAATCAAATATTTTGTGCTGGAAAGAGAAGCAAGAAAGAAAAAACTTGTTTAAGGTTTTCATTATCGTCAAAATTTTATTGTTCGAAGCTCATACGATTACATGGCTGCTAAATTATTTAAGGGAAGGAAAGAAAACCTTAATCGTGAGTTCAATCTTCGTTGTCGAGTTTTATTTAGTAAATTGCGTTGTGCAATTGCAGCAAACTCAAAACGTAATTACAGTGCAACGAGGCACGTCTACATTGTTGAATATTTTGTAAACATTGCTTGAAATGCATTAAAGTTTGGATGCGCAGTCAAAGGGAAGACAGCAAGCAGGTGTTTTATGTTAATTAATTGATTTATTTTGCGCGATATTTACGTTCAACTACTCATTTCATTTCAAGTAAAAATATTTGGATTTCTTTTCTTTTTTGTGTAAGATTGGAAAACAGGATTTCATTTCAATTGCTGTTTCAGCAACAGTGAAACACTTTTATCTGATCATTGTTCGTACTTCGAATTCAGCCCAAAAACTAATAATTTTTATTGCATCGATTTCGTGAAAGTTTCGCTCTTGTGTGCACAGAAATGTTTTCTCTTTTCACTTCGAATGGGTTTGTTTTGTGTGGTTGATGTTAAAGAATAATAAATTATTTGTAAAGAAAGAAAAATCTCTTAAAAAAGTTAGTTTCTTGAGATTTCGGGTTTTAAGTGACACGGTACATTAATGCTGTAGCGTTTTTTTATTCTTCCTTTCCATTCTTCAAGCAGCTTTGTTGATGCTTAAGAAATAAATGAATGTTTGTAAGATTCAAGTATCAGAAGGTTGACATCACCTCCGCTTATATTTCTAAAGGCAAACAAAGGCACATCTCAAGTGCAGCTAAAATGCAGCTTTGTTGATTGTTGAAGTTCCACTTTTCAGGTGATGTTTTGGAATTTCTTGGCACTTGAGTAAGCGACGCGATTCGCTAGCTTCACTGAAAATTTAAGCCGATAATAAATCATGATTTTGCAAATCTCTTGAAGTAATTACACCACAAATTTTTAAGTTAACAGTTACATGCACGTAACTCTCGAGTAATTTGAGATAAATGGAGAAAGTTTCCTGTTGCTTTTTTCTTGTTCGACAGGCGTCGAGATGTTGTTGCATGCAATTTTTTTATATTTTTTTGTTTTTAGAGATTTAAGATCGTCGTGGAAGCGAATCGTGTATTCGAATCTAGCGTTGAATTGCCCTAAATCTTTCCTTTCGTTGGAATGCATTCAAGCAAACGTCTTAAACAACGAAAGCAAATTATAATTAACGATCATCTACGGACTCCAATACAGTACTCTCTGTGTGTGTATGCAAACCTCAAATGTAAGCAGATAATTTACGAGTGAATAAAGATTAAAATGAATTGTTTCTTTCGGCGATGGCGAGGAAAAATAATTTGTTTATAGGGGCAGAAGAAGAGAGAAAGAAATATAGCCGCAAATTTATAAAGATGTCATTAAATTAATTGCGTGAAATGATATGGAAATAATTGTGCCATCGTAAATAAGAAATCTTTCTCAGGAGGTTTTAAAATATTTTTTTATATATGTGCACATCACATTCTATTTATTTCTCGTTGTCTTCTTCACACTTTCTACACTTTGCGTTTATGAAATCGTACATAACAAAAAGTGGAAAGGAAATTACATCAAATTGCAGAAGTAAATAAATTCAGTGCGAATTCCTTGAGCGACGACTCTTTAAGGTTGAGGGGATAACAAATTAAATGGAAATAAGGCAAGCACGGAGCGGAAAAGTGTGTTCTTAACCAACCTCAACATACGCTACTGATGGGCTGGCTGAAAGGAGAGTGAGAAGTGAATTTCCCTTTTCCACATAATTTTCGGCTCGGTAATTTTCTGCGCCCCCTCCGACTCGACAGAACTTTTTCTTTCTACTTACATTGCTTCTTCATCGTCATCTCTCTCACTTACTTTTCCTTTCTTTCTTTCTTTCTTCCTTGTTTTCCCAAAAAAAATAAAATAAAAAAGCCACCTCACTCCCCCCCGTCTCTCTATATTTTGAAGAATATAATTCAACTGGTGATTTTGTATGTATACATACGTATATATGATACGACACGACACGGTAGTCCTTATTTATATTATGCGGCACAATGTTTCGACCCTAACTGACACAAAGATGAAACCAGAACATTGTGGCAATCAAAGTGTGTTTTACTCCCACACTACCCGGACGTTTGCCTTTCTCCACTCACCGCACAAAGCTTAAGGGCGGCACAAAGGCGCTCACTAAATAAACATAATGGTCTTATATCATTAGAATATATTTTTCCCTCTGTTTCTCTATGGACTTTCTCAATTTGAATTAGATATTGTGGATGTTATGTTTATACGACTCACACTCTTTGAAAATAAACTTAACTTTAACACCTCTTCGGTAAACTGAATAATTATCGTAGACATGTTCTTTTGGGTATCATGCAAACATTTATCAAAAGCTTAACAAGTGAACAGTTAAAAGGTAGATATGGGAACTTTTTAATAGTTTCTATTTAATAGCATCAAATTGAAAATCTTTTCCTTTTTTCCCTTCTTCGTCAACAAGTTTTTCTTCCCTTCAGTTCTTTTTTTGAGTGAAGCTTTTGAATCGTTTATTTTTATGGTGATTGCTGAAGAGACGACGAAGTGTAATGGAACAATCGTAAGCTTCTAAAAATTACGGTTAAAGTCTTTAAGAAGATTCCAAAACGACCAGACGATGACATTACGTGGAATTGAAAACATTTCTGGCTGTTGGCACAAAAAGGCGCGATTTTCACATTGTACATAAGTTAAATGTTGATGAAGGTGGGGGTGGTTGTAATGGTGAACATTTCGCACCGTTCACATTTATTCATTCATCTCGGATCAGCACGCAAAAGTCAAACGAAAGTATTCATCAAAGAATTTCGTCATTTCACCAGAACTTTTTCTGTCTTGTATATAAAACAAAATCAATTGCTTCAACAGGTTTTTCTTATCCTTCATGGCGAGGTAGTGGGGGAGGGGTAGAATTGCGATGAGTTGAAGAAGACGAGAACGGGAGAGAAAAAAAATTGAAACCGAAATAATAACAAGAGCACAAGCAAGCATAACAACACGAACCGGAGAAATTCCTTTACTCATCCCCGATTTGTCTGGGCGAATGTTGCTGATGCCACTTTTTGCTTTCGACTCATGTATACATGGTTATTTACGCATATTTCTCACAATAAGAAATGCAAGAAAGAAAAAGCGAGAGAAATTCTTATGCTTATTGCTTCTGACAACCCTGTCAAGACTCAAGAGAAGTCTTAGACATCAAGGTCAATTTTCATCTTGGGTAATCTCTTTCTAAGTAAGAAAGGCTTTATGATTAAGACATATGTCACAACAAAGAATGGCTGAAGTATCTCATGCGATAATAACTCATCGCAAGATTTTTTATGTTCAGAACTTTGACGCAAGCTTAATTAAACGTAACTTAGTACATAAACTTATGACGTAATGTTTACGTTGTACGTAACTTATTTACGTGGCTTCTTACGCATTTATGCGTACTCATTGTTGAAACACAAGAACTTGTTAACTGATAACATAAAAATTCAAAAGCTATTGAGGAATATCTATCAACTTAATATTATTACATCATAATAAATGTTGATCTTCTAAAACCATAATTGTTGAACTTCCCAGCCAATTAGCTATAAAAGCTTTGCAATTTCTCAGAAAGATATTTAATGAATAAATGTTTATTTGCGTCCGAGAAGAATAAGAAAAAGATTTCTTCAAAACGCTTTTCATCATTTCAACGTCGACAACACTTAGTCGTAGACAATCCTCTCCACACCCCTGAAGGCTATTATGTTAAAAAGCCAAAGCATTATAAACACTGCATAAAGACTACTAAATATACTAGCAACAGAGAGAATTTAATGTTCCATGGGCTATCAACATCAAGATGGGTTGAGTTTGTCTGTCATTTTCACACCGAAAGAAAAGAAAAACTGTTCATCTCATAGAGTGCGAAATGATGTGAAACAAGCACTTGTGACCTTCGCTCGCAAGCTCATGTATGGTATTATGGTAATCTTACAAGATGTTGCTTTTCTTCTTCACATTTTCACTTGAAACACTTTTCTTTTCTTTTCAATCTCCTAAGGGTGGCGTTGATGAAAAGAAAGGAAACTTTCTCATAGCTCTTGTACATAATCTCGCATGTGGAAAGTATATAAAGGGAAGACATTTAATTCGACCCATTTCACACTCCTAACCTCATTTTCATCTCATTGAAAGCGAAAGGAAAAATTCTCAACGAACATGAGTGACTGAGTGTGTATGTGTGTATTATTTGTGCTGTGAACGAAGGAAATCTTCAGCAACACAAGTGAGGGTTGATAACAGCACATTATGTACACTCTCGCTTCTTATTTTCATCAACATCTTTCGCCTCCTTTTTTTTAAACTTTCACTTTTTTCACGAGTCGATCTCGAAGAATAAAATTTTCCAGCGGATTTTCTTCATGTTGCCTTCCGCAAACACATTCACAGTATAAAAACGAAAGAAAACATGCTTTCAAGCAGAAGCAAGGAGTAAAAAAGAAAGAAAAAAAAGAATGTAAGGAAGCACATACATTTTTCAAGGCAACTTTCGTCCTTGGAGAGATGGTGAACAGTATGACATTCAGGAAATTCTTTTCAAATACCTTAAATTCGCGATTCTTCTCTGTACATGAACTGAAAACTTTTTTCTTTCTTTTTTCCAACCCCGCTTTTCACTTTTGTATACATTGAAATTCACTCGCGGGATGAGCTTGTAAGAAAAGAAACAAACGAGCACTGTGAGTGAAACCAAAAAAAGGTCTCTCAAAAAAAATATAAATAAATAAAAATCAAGGTAAAGTTACTGCCAACAGCTATGTTAGAAACCGATTAAATCAATTTCACGATTGTTTCAATAAAAGAAGAAAGAAAAGTCTTAATGAAAACGAAGGAAAATTTTTCGCATAATTTTCGATACAAATAAACCTCAAGATGAATGGATGTGTAAAGTCATTCTTGTTCTCAAGACACCATTTGTTTGTTATGTATCGTAAGAGTCATCATCGTCATCATCACCATCATCACGTATGTATAATTGAGTGGAGAGGCCACACATAACACCGCTCACTCGACACAATATCCGTGTGTATGGCATTTGGTCTCGGCAGAACTTGACCTCCCACAACTTCTGTTTAAGGATCAAGCAGCATTATATATTTGCCGTAGCACAAAATAAAAGTGAGAAATGCCGAGGAATATACAAATAATGTATTTTAATGTCTTTTTCTTCTCTCACTCACTTACTCACTCGTTCTCTCTCTCTTTCTCGGTTTGTATATAAGAAAGAAATTGCTGTATGTAGTACGAGTGGAGATACATGGAAAGTGTCTAGCATAGCAAGGAAGCAATGTTTTGTCCCCTTTTTTCTTTTCCTTTCTTTATTTCCTTCACATTCATGTACATGAAGAAAATCTTCATTACAAAGGTCAACGAATCTGTTTCCTTCGGCCGAGGTGACGACACGCACACACGATTCAAGATTGATGCTGTGATATGTCGTCGCATAAGGGATTATGGAGAAAATATTTTCCTTTGACCCTTTTTTCTTGTTCTTACACTTTACTTTCTATCCTTTCTTATTTTTCCCCCGTCGTCAACACAACAGTTGATAAACAGAATTTCTTATTCTTTTTTTGTCTCGCAAACATTTGAGAACTTTCACACGGACACAAACAATTTGGTAAAACGAAACTTTATCAAAGATCAAATGAGTTTTGATATTCATGTCACAATCTAATTTTTGTTGAATAACTGTTTCTTGTTGTTCTCATGTCTTTTATTCTTTTGCACAAATTAGTTTTTTTTATTTATTATTATTTCGTGGTGTCGTCGCTTACAGGAACGATTTCCATCTTGATTTGAAGTTTTCACAAGGTTTTTAAAATGCGTCGGATTTCACTCAAACAAGAATTTAAAGTTCTGCGCTATTTGTGTGAATGACAACTAAAAGAATTTTATAAATAATTTCTAGACATATATTTTAATATTTTATATTTTCATATTAGAAATTTAAGATTTCTAGTTTTAGACAATTTTCACAATCGTAACATTTTTTACGATATTTTTATAAGAAAGAAGTTATCAATGACGACTTATAACGACTTACTCAGTCGATTTTTTGTTAACAAAAATACTTTTAGACTTATTTACATTCGAGTAATTTCAAAAATTAATTTTATTTATTCTCTTTTGAATGAGTCACTTAAATTTTTTCATTATTTAACTTCAAGGATGTTTTTATTCATTATTTTGTATTTATCGATTCGCTATTAAATTTGTTCACTTTATTGTATCCAGGAGCTCGGTTTTCACCGATAAGTCCTTAAATTTATAAGCAGAATCATTAAGCACAGTCTACAAAATCTGTCCGACGTTTTTCCGAGAAAATCTTAATAAAATCTTATTTCGTCGAAGGAGAAAATATCAAAAATAACTTGAAGAAAATCTTTTTATTTGATAATACTTTAAATAAAAAGTAATAATTTGAGTTTATCTAAGCTGAGTTTTGATTTTGCAACTGCTTCGTCTAGCGCTTAAACTAAAACTAAACTCTAATAGCGAAAAATGCATTTCACTTCAAGCCGTTTGACTGCACCTATACATAATAAGAAAACTAAAAATACAAATCCACAATGAGGAAAAGTGCATTAAACTGCAATTCGCGTTTCACGATTGTGGTGAATAGAATAAATATTACAAAAACTATCATCGACAAAAGCATGTAGCAACTTTTATTATCTCAGAGTGAAGTTACTTACATTGCAATTACATAGCATACGAGATGTAAACGCTAACAACACATGCATATCGACACTTGCATTAAACATTTGAACATAGAATAAGCGAGAAAAAGTGCAACCTAGTCAAGGCAGTCTAGAAACCTACATTCTCATTATCATGGTGTATGAAACATTACACAATGAATTGTCTATTATTATTAATAGTAGACGAGTTGAATGCACTCATATAAACTTGAACTAGGCAAGAATCAACAAACACAAAAGCGAGGGAAAGTGAAACTATTTCGTTCAAGTTGATACGTTAGCGTGGGTCGATTACAAATTGCAAATTCCACTCAATATTTTCATCATAAAAGAATGAAAATTATGCAATTGTCGCTTCAATTAATGTTATGAAATTATCTTTGAGATTAAATATTACGTTTAAATGAACGTAGGCTGATTGTTTATCAGATTTTGACACAGGAAAACTTCGCTTTTCAAACGTGACTTTGCAACAAATTTTGAGGTTTTTTTGACGGCGGCTTTTAAAACTTTTTTTTCTTCTGTTCTTAAATTCCGATTCAAACCTGTCGATAACATTGTTGCGGCTTTCAATTGATACTTTTGTCACACAAAAACACAAAAAAGTTTTCTCAGAAAATTTTTCTTCAATGAAAACAGAAAGAGAAAAACGAAACTCACGTCGCTCGAAAGCCGGTTTCATTCCGTTTCGTTTATTTAAGAACTTATCAGTCGTATAAGTATGATGGTAAATTTTTGCAGCTGCTTCAAACTCTTTTAAATACTCGCTTTAGAAAATCTTGTGCAACGACTTTATTTTCGTGCGATGGAATAATGACCCGAGAGTAAATTAATTGTTTCATAACATCGTCCACCTTATTCTTGACGCACGTTTTCTCGTGATATTTCGGAAGATGAAAAGTCAGCTGCACCTTTAGCACTGCGGATAAGAAGAAAAAGAATATATAAGTCGGATAAGTGAAATAACTTTATATGCATATTAAATACTTAAATGCACTTTGCTTACGCTCTTTTATTTCTCATTTAACTTTACGTCTTTGTTTTATTTACATTCGTTTCGTCTCCTTTCTTTATCCAAGCGATGCAATTTTATTTTATATTTTTCTTCGCTGAATCGCATAATTATATGCTGACCTTTGAAGGTTGATCAACGGTACTTGCTTCGAGTCACTTTTTAGATTGACTTTACAATGTGAAGAGATTTGAAGATTAACTTTATAAAGAAACATCTTGCGTTCGTGGATACATCTTTTCGTTTCTTCCTCAAACCTCGAATGGTCATTGAACTCGATCATCATGTAGAAAAATTTCAGTTCTCAAGACATTCTTTTATTTAAATATCAGCAAAACCCTTAACGAAGCTCATGGAACTAACAGCCCAGAACAGCACGTAATGCAAGAGAAAAGCATCAAACAATCAAAGCATAAATTTTAGGCTTTCTTTTCTCGCCATTTGCCATAACAACATAACTGTTCTTTAGTACTTTTTTTATTCTTCCATGGTGAAATTAAAGAATCCGATGTACCATGAAGGAATTGTGCGATGGATGAATTTAAAATAAAAATACGAAGAACAACAACTGCTGTGATATGACCCGCAACGACGATATCAAACAGAATTGCCTTTTTTTTATTTTTCATTTAATTTCCCGTGAAAAATTTTCCCCAGTCATCATCGTATCCGTGTGTGATATAAAGCCAATGTTTTTTCATTTTTTATTCCTTTTGATTGTCCTCGCGATTGAGACACAAAAAATATTGAATTACGACACACAAAGTGTCCCAAAAAGAAATATTTCTGGTTTCTCTTTATGAGGGCAAAGAATTCGAGATGCAGGCTAAAAGCATTGCACACATGTTCATCTTACACATCTGGTGTTGCCTTTTGCATTGTTAATATGTTGTTTGTTGAAAGAATTTTTTTTTATCAACCAACTTCTTTTCGCCCTCATGTCGTGAGTATTGTTTTATAAGTAAATCAAGAGAAGCAGTGATGAATATTTTTTACAGTTTTTCAGGAATTCTTTCCACTTGTTTTTGTTAAATCATCACACAATCCAAGTTGATATGCAGAAGCTTGAAAGTCATCAAATAACATTAAGACTAAAAGATCCTTTCCATAAATCTTTTATGAAGTTTTCAAAGTTTCGTCTAAGCAAGAAAGCATTTTCCTTCATCCTCATAATCATCACAAGAAACCTTTATGTGCGATAAGGTTTCAAGCATGAATAAAAAGAATGAAAAAGATTTTCTAGCTGTTCATCTATCTCCACTTTCACAGTTAGTCATGTGCTCCATCAAAAGAGGATGCATGAATTGTGAGTGTGGATATAAATGTAGCAATAGTCATAAAAACTTTTCCTCGTTCTCTCTGTTTCTTTCTCCCTCCCCCTCTTACTTTGCTTCAACACAGAAAATCGTTTGGAAGCAACAGGCAAGTTAGTTTTCTGTTTTTTCCATCCTTTTTCGGAGACTTGTTCAACATGTTTGAAAAGGTTTTCTCTCTTCGATTATATTCAATAAAAATACTGGAAAGTTTTTTTTTCTCTGGGGTTTTATTGGATGTTAAGTTAACATTACGGTTATTGTTGCTATAAGATACAAATATGTACTGATTGATAGTTTTATGACACATAACGAAAGCTTTATTGAATTATTCACAAATTAAGCATACCCGAGACTCTAGAGTTTCGATTGACATCACCAATTATGGTTCTTTGAATTATTCGTTTCAGAAAGTCGCTTTTAATGCAATTTGAGGCTTTGAAATTAACAGCAACAAAAAAATGCACAAGCCATTTCCATTAAAAACTGGTTAAAACATAAAACTTTGCAATATCAAAAAGAAAAAAATCTGCAGTTGGAGGCAGGCTAGTAGTAAACTGCATAAAACTTTATTGGAATTGTTCATTTATTCCACAAGACAAAAAAAAGATAAAAATAAAAATAGATTTAATCAAAATATAATGAATATCATTTTATAAAACATGGAAACTGTGCATGTGCACTTTTTTTTGTTGTTGTTATTTATATTCACGATTCTCGGGAAAACTCTTTTTTTTTTTGAGGGAAAATTAAAATTGCTACAACTATGCACATTGGTTAAAGCAGAAAAAAAATTCACAAACCGAAATTATCGGATGTCAAAAAAAAGAAGCTCATCGATGCATAGAAAATTTTTATAGGAACGAAAAAAAAAATTAAATCTATATAAAAATGAATTAAATAAAAAATTACGATGACAACAGAAGAGGAGAAAAATCTTTCTGGTGATGGATAATAATAAAAATTGTCCGATGTAGCTATAGCTAGAGAATACATCATGTAGTTATGTAAAAAAATGTACACAATAGGTCGGCAATAATGGCAGAAAAAATTGGATTGCATCCCCTGCAGCTTCTCGCCACCGATATAGCGGTAGGATAGGTTAGAGTGAAATTATGTAAAAAAATATGATAATATTAAAAAAATACATTTTGCCATGCACCCTCTCGGACAGGATAAAATAAAAAGGTGGAGTTTCGAAAAAAAATTGAATTTTTTATAATTTTTTATTTTATTTTTTCAGCGCTTTTTTTAAAATACGAATCAGGCTGAATGTACAGAAAAAAACTGATTAAATGTTAGTTGAATAATTTCATGCTGCATCCGCGAGTTTTTTTTATGTTCCGATCTTAAAAACAATCGAAATCGAGCTGGGGATCAATTTGGGATTGGGTGGCTGTATTTATTATCATCATTATAAAAATAAATTATTTTTTGTTGTAGCTTTTTTAAAAAATGGTTGTGCAAATAAAAAAAATAATTAAACATGGATCTGGTAGACTTTTCCAGCTGCGTAAATTTGATGAAATTACATTTTCCCCGAACTTTCTTCGACAGTTTGCAAAACGAATTGAAATTCGTCATTGATTGAAAGCATGAAAATCTCAGAAGCAACGCTAATTGCTTTGAAACCATTGAAGCACAGGAACAATTTAAAGCTAAATATCTTCTGTTCCTTCCATTCCTGAAGCCAAAAAATAATCATTTAAGGCCACAAATACTTTCAAATATAATGACTTTAGAAATGCAACCACATCGCAATTGTACATTAAATCTCTCGTTCCATCATGGCACCGACCAAAAAGAAGCGAAAAAAAACATCGAGTCATTGTTCCGAAAATAATATGCCTTTGAAAAGGAGAGAGAAAGATTTTCTACAACAGATTATATGTATTATGATATTTTGCAATGCTCCTTTTAGCTTTTTCGTGTTTTTAATTTTGTAGCCACATGAAAGCCGAAGCAAAATTATGTTAAAACTGATGTCATTATAAGAGATGACTAGAACGTCAGTTTTAATTGAATGAATAGTTTGGTTGATTTTAATTAACATTCATTTTACTTGTTTTAACTGAAATAATTTTAATGTTATAAACTTTAATCTGGTTTAGTTTTATGTTTGAGTTCATTAATTGAAATTTCCTCCTTCAACTTGCAATCTTTCATCAGTTCAACCAAATCATCGTCACATGTTGCTTCTCTTCTCTTCCTTTCTTTCTTTCACAAAGAAATTTTTCTCTTCAAACTTTATGATGCAGGAAACGATTTTCTCCCCGTGCTTCTTCTTGTTACTATTATGCATCGCATCGCAACATATATATTCTTTATAATGAAGCAGTTTCTTCTTTACTATCTTCACATTTACGTCAATGCCCTTCACTCTTGATGATAGGCTTTTGAAAACTTATTTAAACTTTTTTTTGATAATGAAGTTTCTTCTTTCGTTGGTATTTTTAAAAGAAAATTAGGCAGAGAAACGAAGTTGATAAAGGCCATTGCTCTATCTGGAAGAGTTCTTGAGAATGATTTCTATTTAACAGCATAATAACTACCGACTCCATCAACTCACGACATCTACGAAAGTTTTCTTATTCTTTCCCCTTTCCTTTATGCTTCGTACTCAGCATAGTTTATGCTTTTTGGTTTGCGTTCTTTCAATCTCCCTCTTTTACAATCTTTCGTTTCAATTTTTGGCGAATGTTTTTTTTTTCGATTTTTGTTGTCTAAAGTGCATTGCTTTGCAAGAGAAGCCGTAGATGCAATTTAAATTTGAGAAAGACGAAAGACCTCAACCAGAACTACGAAAAGTTGCTACGACAAGTTTTTTATTTTCACATTCACTTCGAAATCATTTATTTTCGTTCTTCTTCTTCCAATCATCGTTCGCCAACTCGCAGGGGATTGGATCTTTAAACCTAACAATTTCTTCGTTTCTAAGAAAGCAGAAAAAGAACAAAATGACATGATCATGGCATTGCAATCGACGCTACATCTGGAGCCATCAACAATCTTTCCTCTCATGAAGTTTCAAAAAAAAAATTACACAAATTAAATATTTAATAACTAAAAACAGTTTTTTTTAAGGCAAATTAAAATCAACCAAAAATTATTTCATGTTGAAGAACTTAAAATGAAAATTAATGATAATTGCATTCCATTTCAAATATGAAACTTTTTTGTTTTTCAACTGATTTAATGCTGAATTATTCCTATGACAAGATGCTTAAAATTTAATTTATATTCTGATTATACGCCTAACGAAATATTTCTAACATCATTCATTCATTCATCGTCGACAGAAAAAAAGTTGACATCAGCGATTATTTATTTATAAAATAATAAAAGTTCATCATATATCTAGTTTATTACAGTCATTGTTCGTGCCAATCACTCATCGATAGAGCTGCAACTTTATTGGATAACGAATAATGAAAAAAAATACATCATAGGTCGCCCAAAAAAATATATAAAACTCAATTTTTCGTATTAACGACGAGAAACACAAAGATCGATGCATTTTTATTTTTGGTTTAAAAAATTCCAACGTTGTTGAGAGGAAGGAAAATAACAACAAAAAAAATCTTTTCGTGCATTAACATAACATGTTAAAATGAGATAAAAAAAGAACTGTAATGGCAATATAAGTACGTAGTCAAATACGAACTAAAAGTTTAGTTTCCTTTGACATGGTGTGCGCCCAGGTCCCCCCGAAATAAAAATATCTTACAGAGTCACTTTTTGCTATCATTTTCGTGTATGAGTTTCTCTTCTCCTTATTTTACCTTCATAGAATGGATTGCAACACACAAGCACACAAGCATAAATTATAAAACGTAATGTAATTTAAAAATTATATGAAATGTGCAATTTTTACCGAAAAAAATTCGTTTGTTGTGTTGGATGAACTTTTAGGGGCTTTCAGTTACTTTTTTTATGTATTTGGCCAATGCACATCATCTAACACACACGATAACGTTAAACTAATATCAAATATATTTTTTTTGGTGGATATAATTGCATTAGTAGTGGGACTAATGGATCTCCCTATGGATCATCAAACTTTCAAGTGGTGTTGCCATTGCACAACTTCATCGTTTCATCCAATTCTCTTATGTTTGTTTTAACATTAAGGATCATCGTTTCATCGTCAATTGGTGATAGGCGCTTCAAGTGGCGTTTATGATGTGTGCAGGCAATACCGTGGCGATAAAAAAAATTGCTAACGATTCTGAATTAATTTTTAATAAAATATCTATATCTACATGAAAAAAAAATTCATTCCACGCAAATTGGTTGTGTGTGTGTGTGCGTATTTGCCATTCACATAGAACGATTCTCGTTGTTTTTTATTTTTCCAATGCAAAAATATGAGCACAGAAAAATGAATTGCAAATAATGCCATGGTGTTGTTGTACATTGATGATGGCTTAGCTTGAGCAATTTTTATATTCTTCGCTTAATGATGGAAAATGCATGTGTGAGAGTGACTGAGCGAAAAATGAAAAAAAAATCTCCAAATTACGATTGCAAAAATGAAATAAAAATAAAATTGGCAAAAAAAAAAAGGAAAAGAGACAGAAAAATCTCTGATCCCTCTATGTGTTAAAATTATTTTTTCATTTTTTAAAAAGCAGTTCCAGTTCCCCAAACCAACTAAAATCTTTTTCACCAATTCAATGCATTTTTTTTTTCGAAAAAAAGTGCATCATATCTATCTGCATGTAGTTGGCTATATATTTTAGGACCAAACTTACGATATAACGAGAGAGAGGGGCCAAAAAATTCTTTTTTCTCCTTTCATACCCAAATTATATCGCGGTCGTTTTGTGCATGTGTGTGAAGCAAAACTTTTCTACAATGCACATACATATAGTTCCAAAAAAAATTGTGCTGCTTTCGCCCAGGAAAGAATAATATCAAAAACAATGTGCCAGCAATAATAATATGTGAAAAAAAAAAACATATTAAAAATAAACGAAAATGAATTGCATTATACGCGGGCTGCAGTCTGCATCACAGAAAAATGTTTTCATTTTTTTCTGTTGCGTTGTTCGCCATGAAATAAAATCAACCATCGCACAAAAATATCGCCGAAAATAATTTGATAGTGTTTTAGACCAAAAGAAGAGAGCTTTTGAGTAAGTCGTGTTCATCTGACTAAAATAGTCGTTCTTAATGCATTAAGTAATAAAGTTGTAAAACCAAATCGTTCCGTGAACTGCAACATAAGAGAAAAAAATTTAAAAGTTAGTTTTTTCCCTTCATTAAAACACAAAAAAATATAACAAAAAAATTATCAAACTGAGAAAGTTTTAAAATAAAAAAGAGAAATAAAAGTTACAAGAAAGTTTATAAAGAACTCTTCATTCCGTGCGGTGCTGACTAAAATTTACATTCATTTTGTGATTTTTATTTTCTGCAAGCAAATTAAAAAGTTTCTTCCAACAAAACTTTATCAAATGAACTAAGAGATTTGCAATTTGTAGAATGATTTAGTCGCAGAACAATTCATGAAAGTGATTTTTTTGTGGTGCAACTGCGAGCTAATTTTTTTTTCGATTGTTTCAATAAACGTGAGTAGAATGTTTTATTAAATATTTTTACAGAAAGAGATACGAGTAAAATAAAAACGAATCCGCTAAAGCTCAGAAAATTGACTTCTAATTTGTTCCTTTATTTATTCATCCTACCACTCGTATGAACGTTCAATTTAATCTCTATTTAGCAATTTGTCGCTTATGAAGCACAAAAAAAGTTCCCTATGACATTTTTTTGCAATGTTCCTTCCACTACCGTCCACCGTCATACGACAGAAAATAAAAATTGAAATAAAAAGTGACCGAATAAAGCTGCTCTCGTTTGCTGCTTCCTCATAGTTCAGAAAGAATGCAAGCACATCATCGAGTAAAGTGACTGAATTTACTCTGAGGCTACAGTTTATATTCCCTTCGATCCTTTGGAAAGGATGAAAAAAAATTGTACAAATATTTTCCACCAATAAAACCCAAAACGTCGTTGAGAGGGAGAAATGAATCGAGAGAACTTTTTTTTTTGTGTTCACATTGAAAAGTGTTTTATGTTGGGTGTTTGTTTGCTTGCTAGCATAACGAGAAAAATGAAATTGAAGCAGAAAATCTCCACCACTAATCATATAACTCAATAAACATTTTTTTTTGTTGTCGACCATCCGTGCAACGTGAATTCATCAGTTGACAACTTTCCATCCTCAACATAAATATGTATGAGAATGTCATGAATGAAGTGAGCGTTAAAAAAACTTGTATATCAATAAATTAAAAGAATTTACTTTGTCTCGTCAGTAACAACGAGAAAATCGCTTAAACGAGAGGGAAATCAATGACCACATTTAACGATAAAGCGATACGTTAGGCTCGACACGGAAAATAAGAAAAAATTCACACGATTTCGAGTGCACTTTTCATCCATTGGGGAAAATATTGTTTCTCGTAGCAAGTGAATAAAAATTGTTCAGAAGCGAAAGAAAATAAATGGGAAATCTCATCATACAAATTGCCTCACTTTCCATAAGCTTCTCGTTGACTCGGGGCTCGGGTGAAAAAGGCGCACATATGAAAAAGAGGGAAAAACATTTTCAATATCAACGCTCTCACATTTATAAAAGGGAGTTCAACAAGTGGAATAAAATTTATATGTATGTAGATACATGAGAACTGCACGAGGAAAAAAGCAACGTACGGGAAAATTTATTCATTTGCAAGTCTAAAGAAGAAAGTTAAAATGGGTTGAAAAGTGCTTTTCCGCATTCTGATGGCTTCCTGCGTCGACAATGACGACAACTGATCGTAACATAACCAACTCAATTGTCGCGATGAAAGTTTCTCTTGATTATGTAACATTACTGCTTATTCTGCAATTGAAATTCAAGTTCAAGACTTAAAGCAGACGAGAGTTGGAAAAATTTACCTTCAGGCGATAACGCTTTCACCATCTTTCCGCCCCCACACTTTTCTTTCTTGACTTTTCTCAAATGATTTTTTTTCTGACATATTTTCTATCGTTGTCTTCATATTTTATGTATAAAGGGAAAGAAAGCGAAGAAAGTCAGTCAGCCTGCACAAGAAAGAATGAAAAATAAAAAGCAAGAAAACATCGACGAGAGAATAATTTTTGGTGGATAATTTTTCAAGGATAAAAAGAATTTTTTTTTCTAGAGATTTCTTTTCTCCCTTACATACATAAATATAAGAAGGAAAAAAAAAGAAAATAAAGGCATGTGGCTGTCTCGAGAGAATGGCAAGTGTATTTTTTTTCTTGTTCCTTTCTCGAGGGTGGGAGTGTAGAAAAGGTACGATTACGATATCAAGACGGCAACTTGTTGAAAGAAATATAAATGTTTGGCTATGATGGAAAAATCAATTTTCGTTGCCATTTTTTTAACATCATTTCATACAAACTTGTAGCTTGAAATATTTGGAACGACAATACAAGTTGACGTTGACGTTCCTTAGTCTTATCTATGAATGTAAATAATGTTATCAAAATTAGCGCGTTTAATTGCAATTGCATTTCATGTTATCAAAGTTGATGTTGAAACTTTAAATACATTAAAATATTTCAAATGACTGCGATAAATTTAATTTTTTCTTTTAAAGAAGAGAGAAATGCTGAGACATTCAAGTCAAATCTTTATTTAGTAAGAAAATATAAAAAAGTCAGAGTAAGTTTTTATATTCACGAAACTTTATCTTTGGGTTCAGATTTTACGACTTCATTCATGAAATTCAGATGAGAAATGCGCAACAAAGACGACTGTGCATCTGTTCGCTATCACCCTCATATTCTGGTTTAATTTTTCTCTCATGCTGTATACTGTCAAACAACTTCCTGGCGACTTGAGAACGCTCTGCTAAAATAGGACAAACAAGATCGTTCTGTGTGATGAAAATAGGTTTTATTTCATTTCATAGATTGATGAACTACCAGCGAAAGAATTTGCATTTCACAAAACACTCTGCACATCTTTAAAAAGAATTAATGTGATCTTGTTTTTCGTTTTCACTCAGACAACTTTTTAACAACAACAACAGCAACAGATCAGATCACAGTATTGTGAAGGAAAGGAGAAGAAATCTAGATCATGAGACGAGCGAAAGCAATTTTTCTTTTTATCATCATCAATTTATAAATAAAGACTAACAGGGATGTTTGTAGCTTGAAGTTGAACAACAGTAAAAATGTTCAAGCATGTCCGTTTCATTTCATGAAGGCAAAGTGAAAGTTTTCTCGTGGTACTCTCGCAAATTATTGCAAGCCTTTTCTTAGTTCATTTGAAACCCAAAAAAAAGAAAGAAAAACATTTTAAACACATTTCCATACATGTAATCATTGTGTTGTGTCTTGTCTTGTCTTGCTTGATGTGTTCACACAACTGCATTTTATTGAATGCAATGCGTTTTGAGAGTGTTGTGGCCTAAATTCAGTTTGAGACTTGAAAAAGTTGAAAACAAAAAAATTGTTTTGTTTAAAGTCAATTTTCTCGTCAAAGGAAAAAATGAATTTTTATTATTCCTCCGCACGGTTTTTTTCTGATTCAATTGAGCATGCAACAAGACGTAAGAGAATGATTAATAAGTTTGTTTTCTTTTGCTTTTCATATTGAAGAAAAGAGCTGCAGAGACATGAAGGATATGAATTTTGATTGATTAAGTCGCTCATTTGTTCAAACCGATCGTGCGGTGAACGAAATAAAAAAAGAAAATAGAAAGTTTGCTTGTCTCATGAAGCTCAAAGATTTTTCTCCGCATAAATATTAAATACTTGCTCCACAACATGATTTCAACTTTTGATCATTTTTCTCCATCTTTTTTTTGCCAAAAAATCACGTTTTGGAAGTCAGTAAAATATTTAAGAAATAAAAAAATACCGCAAAGATGCAGTGAATAAAACTAGTTTCAAAAGCATCATCATTAAACAATGTTGCAAAGATTCAAAAAGTACTTGGGGAAAGATTCTTTTTATTCTTCTTTTAAATACTTCTTGTTATCCGATAAATTGTACAGAGTTTAGGGAAGGCTTCAAATGTTTCGTAACAAGTTTAACTTCAGATGTTGTCACAGAAACTCGTAACAAAATCTGTGATGTTTCATAAACTTTGTAAAGAGATGTTTCTGACGTTTTCACCATTTAAAAAATTATTTAAGTTGTGACATAAGTCATGAAATTAAATAAAAAAGAAGAATTACTTGGTGAACATTCATGGCGAATATTATCAAAATAATTCTCATTGAATGTCGATGCCTCGTCTTCTTTTTTTGAAGTTCTTCGGCCTCTGCTAGATCCCGAAAATATTTCAGAAACCGATCGTGAAACAGACGAAAAAATTAATAAACTCAATTTGCAAGTTTCCCTTCATTAAACGCAGTCGAGCATTTGACTTCTTATTTTTCTTTTTCTTTATCTTCTCAATTCTTTTTCTGTGTAAAGTTCATCTTAATACAGCTTCGTCTCAACTTCCTTTTGCTTGCATTGAAACTAAGTTTCTAAAATATTCATTTGCAATAATCTCCCCAATCGTATTCGTTAAGAAAACAGAAAAAACGCAAAGTTTGACTGCATTACATGTTATTTGCAGTGAGTCTTCTCTTCATTCCTTTTGATTTTAGTTTTGTTATTTCCACCAAATCCAGCAACGCATACTATTAAAGTCGAAGTTGAAACTATTTATCGCAGAGTGTATCGCAATTCTCTTGGCTGGTTTTTGGCTATTTCCATTGCAGTTAAACAACATTTCTTCCCTTTTTTCTTTATCCATTTTCGTAGCTGGTTTTTTTTTGGTTTTGCCTGGCTACAGCAAGAAGAAAAAGAAGCGATCGAAATTCATGGGCCGAGAAAATGAATTTCGGGGAGAAGGGAGGAAAAAGCAAGCGAAAAAACTGATTTTCTGTTGCCGTTCAAATGTGCAATTTACAAAAAATCTACTGGCCATTGACCCTATCATGAAAAAAAAAACACATTTATCGTTAGTCGTTGCTTTGCCCCGAACACAACCAACATCCCAACTTTTTAATTTTTTTTGCGCTGTGCAGTTTCTCGTTTGTTTAGACTTTGTGTTTCTTATTCTTCATGAAATATTTTTTTTTTTCGGTGGTGGTGATATGCAATATTTTTATTTCTCTTTTTTGCGCAACAACGCACACACAAAGCGCATTTGTGTGCAGTTAGGCAGAGGCAAAAGCATTGTTGGTCGTTAAGGCAAAGGTTAAGAGTCGTCAAAAATGTAAACAATTTCTTATAAGATTTTTTGTGCAATTTTTCAAAGCGTTTGTCTGTTATTGCTTTTGTGTAAACTTTTCGTCTTCGAAATCTTTTTCAGTTCTTGTTGAGTTTGACTCGCCTGGGCCTATTCTGTTAACCGCAGTCTTTTCGCCACAATGAAGTTCCATTGTATGGGTTCTTCCAATTTTTATTTCTCGTCTCTTCATTTCCTCAACCACAACGAAAACATTTGAAATTGCCTTGCAATTCGCCAAAAAGAAAAAAGTCAGAATTCACTCTTCGTTTAACAAATACGAAGATCGACAAACGATGCAAATGACCCCGAGAGATCTAATGTATTGTGATTGCAATTCGTTAAATATTTACATTTCTGCAGTTTATTTTAAATTCTATTTCAAGATACAATTGAATGACAATGTCATGGAAGAGTTGAACGAAACCCCTTCAGTTAGTTGAAAAGCAAAAATATGAAAATTCATTCAAATTCTTGTGCAACTGAATCGTAATAAAAGTTTATGAAACATTTTTTTTTCTTCGTTATTTAACTATCATTGAATTTAGAGCCGACAATTAAAGCATTCATGTTCCAAGCCTATGTTAAAGGGAGATCATAAATTGGGGGATTTTCGCTTGGCTAATTTTGATAGAAATCTGATTCGTAATTCAGCGAAACATGTTTTTCGTGCTTAGCTGAAAATCAACATAAGTAGAAGCCACTCAACTGTGCTGTTTACAATGTCAGCAATGACAAAAAAAACTTCTAATTTCAAAGAAGTTGCCAAGAAAAATTTATTCTAGTTGGGAGAATAAAGAAGGTTTTGTATCCTAGAAAGAAAAAAGGTATCATGTTGTGATTGAAAAATATGTATTTATGATATTCAAGCAAATAACGTTTTTGTAGAATGATGAAAAATATTATAGAAGAGAAAGACAAAAAATCTATTTTCTCTATACATAAAAAACGATTTGTTGTTATATCATCGCAGAGTGTCCTGAACGGCGCCCTTTTATTATTTCAATCAACAGGTGGGTGGGCATGCTTCTATGTGTGGATGGATATGCGCTACGATAGTTCAACTACATCACTCTATCATTCGGCTCTCTCTTTTCACCACCCGAAAGCACGAAGGCACGAATGGGTTTTGAGTTTGCTTTCTTTGCTTTTTTCGGATTTGGAGTTAAATAGAGAAAACTATATTCTACCAACCAGAAGTCGAGCCTTGTTCATGAATTCTCTTCTCGTCCTCGATAAACATCAACATAATGATACGGAAAAGTGTTTTCCTTTGCCTATTTTCTGGGTTCTGACCGCAAAATGACGGTAAAAGCACACGAGACACAAGTGAGTGTTGTGGGACATGAAAATTTATGTTAAATCACATCATAAACGATTGATGGTGATTTGCTGATGTTGTGGAGAAACTTAATGAATACTTTACGACTGTTGTCGTCGGAGATTGTTGTTTCTCTCATCTATGGTAGAATTTCTTCTTTATATTCTTTATTTCTTCCTTTTTCAAGTAACTCAGCGGGTGAAAGAGAAATTTTTCCGATAGTTTGAGTGAAAAACGAATCGCTTCCCCATCTCTTTCCCAAAAAAAATAATTCCTTGGAAAAAAATGGCACAGAAGGGAAAGAAACGAAAGCAAATATTTAAGAAAAAGAAACATAAACGAAGAAATATTGCTGGCGAAAAATCAATACATCTTATATTCGCTGCCATTATGGAGCTTTTTTTATAAGAAAAGAAAGGTTGATGTTTTTCTCTTTATGTAGCGATTTTCCGTCTTCTTTTCATCATTTGATGTAAGTAAAAATAATGCAGAGTCTTGCTAACAACGAATGAAAACTTACGAAAAGTAATAAACGTGATTAGATGAAAAGAAGGTATTCACAGTGTGGAACATTTCAGGCACCTGCAGCACATAAAAAGGTGCTTTCAATCGCTTCTTTCTTGATAATCAAAAATATTTGAGATATTTTTTCTAGTAGGATAACGAAAGTTTCAAGTTGGAAATATTCCTTCAATTCACTTTTAAGGTTTTCACGAGAAAGTTTCATTTTTTTCTCTTCAAGAAATTTCAACAAACTTGTTGGTAAATTTTTAAGAACTCAGCTAATCATACCTTCCAAGTAAACACGTTTTCTATTCAATTTCAAAATGATTTGTAAGTTTTTTTTTCTTTCCCTTACATTTCGATTTCCATCGTTCGAGAATTCTAAGCACACATAATAACGCTCTCATGTTTTCAATTTTTTTTCTTTTCAACGAATTATTGAAGGCAAAGAAATATCGAAATTGTAAAGTTTCCTTCCATTTCTCATTCTTCAATGTTTGTTACGCACATGAAAAGCCCATTTCACATATGGAAGATGCCGAGGTATACTTATTTGCCAGAAAGCTGTGTAGCGAGCAAGTATTGAAAAGAAAAGGAAAAATCCCATAAACTGTTTTCATGGCAGAAAAAAAAATGTTGCGAGGCACGGTGATGGAGGCGAATAGGTGGAGGATTATATGCTTGTAGCGGAAATAAAATGTAAAAGCGAAGAATAAGGAAGCATAAAAAGTAATATCATAAATTTCATATTTGAAAATACATAAATAATTCCATCATGAGGATAAACAACAAGCACATAAAACTAAAAATAATGCTCGCTCTTATTTAGAAAGCGAACGAGAAGAAATTCCTTTTTATGCCTTTATGTGTTATTGTGAAGGCGATGAAGAAGGAAAAAAAGCTGGGAAATGATTTTTCGTGGGGCTTGGATTTGCTTCTTCTCTTTTCCATTTTTTTTTTTGATGATAAGAGGTTTTTAATGGCGTAGAAATAACTTTCGGATGAAACAGTTGGGGAATGATAATTATACGAATGACTGACAACTGCTCGAGTGTTTGTTGACTTCACTACAGAAATGCATTAAACACAAGTCCCGATGAGACTGTCAACTTGTTAGAGCGATGAACTTTCGCTCTATTTACCTACAGTGTTTATTAACAGAACAAAAAAAGTCTTAGTTAAACAGTTGGTTTGGTTGCTGACTACTTACTTCATATCAATTGCTACAAGATTAACGAGTGTGTATAAGTGAATGCCACTTTATGCATTCATTTTACTCTAGATAGTTTTTATCTTATCAAGTTCGCAAGTAAAATACTTTGCAAAACTTTTATGAAGCAATTGAATATTTGCTACGTTTATATCTTATCAGCGAAAATTTATATTTAAACGAAAAACTAAAATGAAAAAACATTGAATTCGTTTGTTTGCGCATTGTTCTAATTTTTTCCACTGCATTAGCTTTTTCACATACAAATTTTGTATTTCTTGTTCCAGAATCCATAACAGAACTTGAAATAAAAGCAAATCGTAACTGGATCCGTTGTAGTGAAATCTGACAAGCTGGGAAGAAGAAGAAAGTCACTGTACACCCCTTTCTATAGGCAGAGCTATTTGGAGGTAAGAAAAAGAAAATTTTATCTATGAATCATCTGTAATTATCTATTAAGATAAAATATAGAATAATAATTGTGTAAACTAGCTGAGTTCAAGTTCGAATATCCCAATTAAAGAAAAGAAGAACATATGAGTCAACAAAAAGGTATAATGAAGTTTAGCGTTGCTAGCGACAAAACTAAATAAATAAATTTGTCATCAATTTTTTCAAATGTTTTCAAGTTATAGTTTTAGGTAGTCTTATTCAAATTAGTTATTACTAATGAGCAGCTTAATGTTAACTTACTTGTATTATTAAAGCTTCACTTGTTTAAACACAAGTCGATATTAAATTATTAAGACTATTGTTCAATTATTATTCTGGAAAAACATTTAGACGTCTTTTCGATCATAGATTCACCTGCTCATTTAGTTCCATATTTTATTTCACAACGTCATAATTTTGATAAAACTGCGAAAAATTAGATTAATGTTTGTACAGCAGTTTTGTGTAAATTGAGTTAAGAATTAAACAACAAATTTCATGCCTATTCGAGCATAAGTCGTTTGACATTCTTACCGTGTAGTTGACAGCTAAATTGTTATCACGAAATACTAAGTTTGTTACAGAAATCAAAGAAAAAAAAAAATAAATAATTATCTTGCTGACATTTTCGCGTATAAAAAAACATCATTAAGGTAAGTAAATAATCCATCTCTAGCAAGTAGCATTGAATAAAGGCATTGCACTTAAGTGCCACTTCTCTATCGCACAAAAATAAAACACTGAAAATTATATTTTTAAATTTATTACACACCGAAAAAAATAATATTGAGGTTACAGCGAGGGCAGATCGCGCGAAAAATATATTCGCGAACCAAAAAAAAGAATTCTATTTCGCGAAAAAAAATGTTTTTGAGCTGCTTGAACAAGATGTGCATTAAGATGTTATTGAACTTACGTTATTTGCTCACAGCTCAGTGCATATTTTTGAGAAAAAAGAAGAAACCTAAGAAAGATGATGAAAAGATAAAAAAAAGCACTCAATAAAGCCTTAGCCTCAATAGAATGTTGCTTCGTCCAGACATGAATTGGGGACAGGGAGAAGAAAATAAGCCCTTACAAACAAATCTGAAAGGCAAAAGACATGACTCGTACGAAATAGCATTTTGAATTCTAGAAATAACTGTGAAATATACCTAAATAAATTCAGTCAATTCTTTTGCTAAATAAACATTGAAGAGAGTTTGAGAAGAAAAGATTTTTAATGCTTTAAATTTAACCGTTTTCAAGCAATAGCTAAGTCAAGACAATATAAGTAACAAATAAACTTGACATGTGTCTCTTCAAGTTCATACAACTTTTGTTGATATTGACAAATTATCTCCCTCTCCATCCCGAAAGATGTCTGAGCAGATAGAAACACTATAAAATTTGAATTTGATGTGCATAATACATCTATAAGATATTTTTAATTTGAACTTTTTATGCATGGTGTTTTTTTTTCCTTTTCGTGCATTCTGGTGTGCGTTTCTCAATCTACTTCTCTTTTTTTCTCATACTTTATTTCTTGCGCTAACTGACATGACATTCATTTCTGCACACTCACACGACCGATCATTATTTGCGGGGTTAGTGTCCTAATATTTTACAGGACGATTTAATGTCAAATGCAATTCTTTGCTAGATTGTCGAAGAATGATTTGAAATTGTTCATGAAATTGAACTTGAATATTTATTCACATGTACTATCGGTGGAAGAAGTATTTGCTTTCGAACACTCGTGTGGAAGATGATAAGAAACTTAGATCTTACGACTCGTTAAACATCATGTTTCTAAGTTCCATCTTATCATAAGCAACTATAAGCGCTTATTTTTCTACTGAATTTTAATACATATCATCGAAAACGTTAGGCATTCTTTCAAATTCTCAAATTACTTTGTGTGTTTGCCAAAAACAATCTTTTCATTCGCAATCGCGTTTGTAGTCAGCTATAATGAAAAAGAAAAAAAAAATCCACATATTCAAATTCTAGTCGATCGTAGTATTAGTTCAGACACGAAGTTCATTTACAGTTTTCTTTACATTTATATATATTTTTTGCATTTTCTTAATTGACGTCAGCCTCGTCGCTGATGATGTATCCCACAGTTTGCGAAGTTCAATGGCAATTAAGAAAAATTACAAACTTAATCAATCATGTAGCATAATTTCAATATAAGAAAAAAAAATGTCTACGGCAATCATCTTATTATCTTTCCTTCAGTCGAACATATTACAACAAAATCTCTCTCTCGTCATTGTAAATAAGCAATAAGGAACTTGTTACAGATCTTTATGATTTACTTGACATGAAAATGTAGAATAAGTAAAAGTTTAGGATCGAAAACGAAGAAAAAATGAGAATAACTTCCACTACGGATTACTTATGCGAAAAAGAAAATTTTTGCGCATCACCAGAGTACTTTTTTTTATATTTTCTCATTCTTCTACTTTCATTCCACCCACAAAATCTCTCCTCCCCTGAAGGAAGAAGCAAAATGTGTTTTTTGTAACAGATTATGGTATGAGGAGCTTAATATTTGTATGATGTAGTGTTCTTCAGTTTTATCCACCCATCCTAAAAACAAGAACTCTCGCGTGGGGGCGAGGGAGAAAACTTTTTAGAGCATTATAAAATACATAAAAATTTTTGTTGCTTAAAAAATGGTTGTGTGTTGTTTCTTCTTTCCATCGCTTCTTTTTTTTATTTTTCATCGTCGTTGAGGGTTGGAAAGAGTGAAATAGAAAATGTATTTTTTTTGTGCTCATATTGTGTGTTTCGCTTGTTAAAAAATGCGATGCTATAAGCACAACCAGCAGAATCGCACACAAAAAATGATCTCATTGCTGGTAACGACGAGAGAAATTACATAAAAAAATTATGCTAACAAAAAATGTATAATTTCGTATATAAAAAAGTTGTAATATCCTATCGTTCGCTTACATATCCTAATAAATTAGTGTTACCTGATATTAGTGTTTACATGAAAGATTCGTTCATGACTTCGCTGGTAAAGTCTTATTTGATGGAGCAAACGTTGTTAGATTTAAATTGTAATATATTTAACTACATCACCACTTTATGTACATAAAAAAGAAGAGTTTTTTCATAAAAATTTATCCATCATACACATGAAATGTATTTTTAATGATTAAACATGAATTTTTTGTACATTAACTGTAATCTCATACGCGAGATGGGAAAGTTTTTTTCCTCTTTTTTTGGGTATGCTTTCGATGAAAAATATATTTTTAATAATTTTCTTTCGGTGTAGCTTCTGAATTAGCAAACGATAGCAGTGGTTGTTCCTACATCACAATATTTTTGGGTATAAATTACTTACTCCTCCTAGTCGTTCCGAGGAAAAAAAAACACAGAGAGAAAGCTTTGCCTCTAAAATGAGATGAGCGCGCAATTTCAATGTCTAGCGAAAATTAAAATTTATATATTTACGTATGATCCTTTTTCCGCCCACCTACGCACGTATGATGAACATGGAAATTGAAGGATCAAAGCTAATATTGTTGTTAAATCCCAAGAATTTTTTTTTTATTCCTTCTTTCTGTAAAATAATATTTTAATTGCATAGCATTTTCTCATGGCGATAATGTTGTTCTAAAACAAACCTATTCTTATTAATTAATTTGTTCAAATTTACTGAAGGAAAACAAAGAATTTTCTCAATGCAAAATATCTTAACAATAACAACATGAGACAAACCAGACAATCTCTTATCCAAGTAGGGAAAGGTCGCTTAAAACATGACAGATTGTCACCCTCATGTAAACGACATCGTTTACAGTCTCGCATTCTCCTTTTTCGACAGCCATGGAGGAGTCTTACTCTTACGAATCCTTTATCGAAACAGACCGACAGCATAAATTGATATCAAGGTCGCAAATTTTCTTTCAAGCATGGGTTGTTATTTGCGATTTCTTTGCCTCGTGTTGCTTCAATATTATAGAAAAAACAAAATTTCAATGCAGCATACATAAAAGATATTTCAAGTCAATGTAAAAATTTTCCCCTTTGTCATTTCTTTCTTCTTTTCTTTTCCTTCAGAAAAATAATTGTATGTCAGCTAGTCAACTATGTAAAGATTTTCTTGACAACATAAAAATGAAAAGTTGGAATTTTCGATTCACTTAGAAAAATATTTAAGCAAAAGAATTTCGCTAAAATATAATTATTTATAAAAATAATTTGAAGAATAAAAAAGACGTTGGCAGGCATGCAACATGTTTTAAAATAAGCTCCAAGTTGCTTGTAAGCATTAATTGATTGACTAGAAAGAAACAATTTTCATTCGAGCTTTTTTTTCATGCATGGTGGTTTTGATGGGGGCTGCGAGCTTTTCTTTCCATCTTTCACCGCAACTTTATGTTATGCTTTCGAAAAAATGATGAAAAGCGCGAAATATTTTCTCATAAATCTTCTTCTTCTTCCTTTTCACGTTTTTTCTGCAAAGTTTCCCTTCACAACACTCGTCTTGTTTTTAAGATCTACCCCGCTATAAAACATTAAAAAAGTGAAATATAAAAAAGGTATTATGTGTGCACATTATACATTTATGTGTACATATTTGCCGACTGTATACGCCATATCACATATATTTCTATTATACAGTAAAGCATCTTTTTACATTATTATTTGAACAGTTTTTTATTATTATAAAATATGTATGAAGGCTTTTCACATACAAATGCGCGGCTTTCAAATAAAATCATGTGTAGGCAATGGTGGAAGAAAGAAATATAATGTGTACATACCACCCACCATTAATATTACATCCATCGTCTAAAATTTCGCGTTTTTTACCCGAAAACATAAAAAGCAAAATACACACAGAGAGGTACCGAAGTAAAACAAACAGAGAAACATATCAGAAGCTCCTTTTATAACTTTTGGGGTCCATTCGTAAGTTTTGTTACATTAGCCGAAGCTTTTTGTGGAAATTTTATAGAAATATGTTTAAGGAATTGTTAACTGAGAAGTAGAACCATTAATATTTAATGAAAGTTAATCAAAATTTACGAAACATTCAGGATTTCTTTTCTATATCATACACACGCATGTAAGAAGCCTTAATTGGTTAAAGGGAATGTAATTAGTGTCATTTTAAAGAAATTGATGTTGAGCGAAAGTTTCTTCAATTTAAAACTCTTTTAGTATTTGAAGTCAATTTTTAAAAGGAGAAAAAAATTGAGAAAGAAAACATTTCAACTCCCCTCGCATCAAATTCAGCCTTGAGCCTCCTTTCTGAGAAAGCTTTACATTAGCGACACAACACTCGACAATGTTCTGTATTAAAACTCATGTCAATAAATTTTATTTGCTCCACTAAATCAAGCATCGAGATAATCAAAAAAAGAAAAACCTTTCCGATCATTTCGTCAAGACGTCCTTAAAATTATTTGAGTTTTAAGATTGGCCCAAATTTTTTATTATCAACCGATACGATGCTATGATTAAAAAATTTATCAGACTTGATGACTCCAACAGTTGAGAGAGTTTGGGACCAGTTTCGAACAAATAAACCCGTTTATTGTTTCATCTGGATGGAAAAAGTTTTTTTCTCCGGGAGAACTTCGATATTAGCTGTAAAAATGAAACACAGTAATGTCTTAAGAAGGAGAATAGCGACATAAAAATCAATACCATTCCACCCTCCGATTACAAATATTAAATGAGAAGACATAAAAAAATCTCACATAAAAATTACATAAACTTTTCTTTTTTTTATAAAATTTTGAAGCGCAAGCCCAAAAAAATTATATAGCTTTTTACATCATCATTGTACAGTTTTATTTCGCCTTTTTCTGCTTCCTTCCTTTTCTTCGAGACGTGAACATATACTATTGCTCCATAGTAACTATTATCATCCTAATATTTCACCCTATTCACGAGGAAAAAAAAATAAAATAAAATATAAAAAACGAGAGCGAACCCGAAAATTCTTCACGATGTCTCACACCAAAGATATTGCGAGTGAGGGTGGTAGGCAGAGGGTGGGTGATTTTTTTGCAGCATCTTAAACATTCGGCATCGCCCGAATTTTTAACTGGGTGATATTCCACTTACATTACAATCCACTTCCCTTTCTTCCCGTGTTTTTATGATAGCAAGAGATGGGAAAATAAAAATAAAAAATAACACAAGTACAATTTTTATGTCTCTACACACTATAATATAACTTCTAAAGGGAAAAAGTGAGCGCCCACCCACCTACGCCCAGACCTCCCCTCTAAAACTTGCTATTTTCTTGATGCTTTTTTCCTCAATCTACTTCGCTCCCTTCCGATGCCGTTACTTACATTAGTGTGTAGTGGGATTCTTTTGAATCCTTGAAAAAAAAGAGCGAATCGTTTTTTAAAATAAGAAAGTAGTCTTTATGAATTTTTTTCTTCCTTCTTCATTCACCCATCCACCCCCGCTGCTTTTCAGATCAAAACTTCTATTACTAAAATCGTTTGTATTTGTTAGATGATCCTCATCCCAATTTCTTTTTCTTTCTTTTTTTTCTCTTCAAAAAGATCCCAAGTAATACAATAAACGATATGATGTCTGCCTTTGCTTGCTATATTTTCTAAGTTTTCAGAGCTTGTATTGTATAGTGTATGAAATGATGACTGGAATGGGACTTACGCTGGAGTTGTTTTGAAGATGAAGCGAAGGAAAAAATGAGAAGAAGGGAAAAAAAGATATCCTAGCGCTTTATTCAAGGATTTCTTTCTGTTTTCTTTTTTTTTTGTTTTTTTTGCTTTTTATTCACATCCCCGGCTGGAAAAATTTAACAACCGTTGATAAGGCAATACACATAAACGCAAAAGCGCGAGAGAAAGCGACTGGGTGTAGAGGGGTGGCAACAACGAAAGAAGGCAAAAACTTTAAAAAAGTATTTTTATGTGTTATTGTACGCACTTGTTAGGATAGATTAAAATGGAAATTTTATACAGCGCGCATATACTTTTTTAATGTATAAGTTTTACTTCCATCTCATTTCTTTTTTTGTTATGCGAAAGGCATAAAAAGATAGCAAGCGACTCTCACACGGATATTTAAAAAAAAACAAAAAACAAGAAGGAGGAATTAGTGTCGCCATCATTTGAGGATGCTCAACGCTAGTTTTAATTTTTTTCCTTCTGTACAATCGGGAAACACTAGAATGTTATACCGTCATGAAAATTTTATATAATACAGCAGCCAACAATAGAGAGGATTAGATTAAAAGAGGCGAAAGAAAACGAAAAACTTTCTTTACAGCATAAAATTTTCGTAGATGTGTAGCTATAAGATGTAGTTATGAGAAGATGTGCTATTTATCTTTCAAAAAAGAAAAGCGGGAGAAGTTGAAGGAAAAATAATAGATCGGAAAAGGCAGTAGAGAAGAATATAACTTTTGAAGTATGAGAGGCAAGAGTGTGCGGGGGTGGGTTGAATAAAACTTTTCATAACTAAAATTACACTGTCGAGGGAGAAAAACTGGCAAAAATGTTTTCGTTGTAAAGTATCAAGGCGAAAGTCAGATTAAAATGAAAAATATAAATATAATAAAACGGAGGAATTTTTCTCGTGCTAGAACTTTTGGCAGAGATCCGAAGAAGATTGGAAGGAAGAAAAATAGGAAAAGATGGAAGAAAAATTGACAAATGTATTCAAGTTTGTGCGATGTTGAATTTAAATATTTAAGATGAAGCAATTTATAAAGATTTGGAATTGTAACGACAACTCCTTTTTCGCGTTTTATTTGACTTTGTTCTTTATTTCGGGATTGACGAAAATTTTTCACTACTTTCCATATTCAAATAAATTCAATTCAAAATGGAAAACTATAGAATTAAACGAATTAACATAATCACTGTCAGTTGAAATACTGAAAATATATGCATGATTTTATGACTCGATACCGATGTTTAATGTAGAAGTTATTTGATTTTTCAACCACGCACTAGATCAACAACAGGTTATTAGTCGAAAAGCGATAATTTATGGAAATTCTCATTGAATTGTGCACTTTCTGATGCAGAAGTCCATCAAGGAAGGTGATAATTTTAATGAGTGTTGTTAAGTTAACAATTTTAATAACATAATCAGATAAATTTTAAAACCACTTGAGTGTTTATATCTAATCAATTAAGCCCATCACGACACCAAAACATAAACAAGATACTAAAAAACATGCATGGCAAACTAATTTAAATTTATTGGTTGGTAAACTTTCCCTTTACTCGTGCCTTGAATAAATTAAATGATTTTTCGATCGTAACAACTTGTTTTCATTTTATTGTTATCAGGAGTTGTTATGTTTTCAGTGATTAGAGATTCCATCAATATGATTTTGATGAACCAGTAGTAAATTAACAATAAATGTACTGTTGCATTGATATAACATAATAAACTAAATTGTAGATGTTTGTTGTATAGAAGTGTTGATTTGTTTGCTATTTATAAAGTTGTTTTTCACTTGTGTTATGAAATTTATACTCAGGAAATATTCTAAAAGGAGAAAAGATCACAATTTATGTTCGTTGCTACATGTAACTATTTTGATCTTGTCGAAAACATCAAACAATTTCTAGCGAAAATTCTTCTTCCTACACTGGAAGTTTCTTTATTTTGTTTTCAACCTATCATATGTAGCACAATTAAATAAGAAGTTGAAATTGTTATTACGTAAATACTTTGGCAACGAACATTGAATTCCAAGCAGATGAAATTTTAAGAACTAGAAAACATTTTCAACTATAAAAAAGATATTAAACTAATCACTCTTCGTATTTTCTTTTATTATTTTATGTTGCAGTGAAAATTCTCCTTTTTCCAATACCATTTTCCAAATAAAATAACAAATACATTTGAAAGGATAAAAATAATGAAAATTTTCTAAAGATGAAGCATTGAAGTAAATGAGAAAAGAAATAAAAAGATTGTTGGCTCAACCATAACCACCTTCTTCATAAAATTACCGTAGTATAGAGTGCGATGCGATGAAATGCAGGCTTAAAAATTATATTGGAGAATAAAAAAAATCCTTTTACGATGAAAATTGTTACAAGTTGGAAGATGGAGAAATTTGTCTTGTTTCAAACGAAAAAAAAGGCAAAAATATTTTTGGTATAAAAAAATTCCTAACAATTTGGCTTTTACTGCAAAAGCTGAAAATAATATCTCTTAGCTTTCTTTAGCTTTCATAAGAACGAGCGAGAGACAGAGAGATAGCATAAAATTATAAACCCCATAAATTTGATATTTCTTATAAACTTTTTTGCGCTGCCATTACAGTGAAGGGAAATAAAAATTGAAAATGTGAAGAAATGTTGTTTTAGAGTCTTTTCCTTCTTCATCATTTCTCCACCCCCACTCAACTTTCTCCCCATCGTTCATCTTGCTTGGTATATGCGTCATTTTCTAACTGAAAACGAGGAAAAAAACTTTTTATTATTCTATAAAATTTGTGCTCTTAAAATTTTTGTGTGCTTGCTCTCGCGGGCTCTGTCATGATATAAAAAAAAATAATAAATTTTTAATTGCAATGCTAAGCATAAACACACATACATTCATATATCAAGCGATAAATGTATATTATAAAAATATCCGTTATTTTCTGCGCACTTTCATCTCTCGCGATGAGGAGGTGGAGGCAAAATAAGCGAAAAAAAAGTTCGTGCGAGGAAAAAACAAAACATAAATCTATCATATATTTGTTGTTAATATTTATACGGTAGCATACATGATATACATCTATCATTGAGTGTTCGCTATCGATGATCAGCTCGCAACCTCACTTGACTGCTATCAAATTATATTCTTTTTTTTTTCTTAGCTTCAAGATGTTCGCAATGCTTTGTATTCTGAGTTATAATATTACATCTTACACGATTCCACTAAGCATCTCATTCCACTATTTTTATGATTCTTTTCTTTTCTCGAAAACAAACAAAAATCTACTTGAATGGAAAGAGAAGCTTCCTCGCAATCCGAAGATATGCTTCATCGTTTGTTTCGCAATATATAAAAAATATAAAAATTTTATATCATGATACACACATTTTTTAGTTGTTTCTACTCTCTTGAAAAAACATTGTTTCTTATTTACACTGAAAACCCGTATACGAGCCCAGGAAAGACGAAATGAACGCCATGTTTCCGAATAGGTTTAGAGTTTTTTTTTCATTTTTCGTTCACATTTAGCGAGTAAGAAAGGGTTGCAATCAGGTTTAGTGACTTCAAATAAACCATATATTCTTTTATTCACTATAAAATTCATTACTTTTCTCATTTTGATCACTCATAACATCAATGGAGATTACTTCAAAAAAAATCGTATCAATGTAGATGCTTTTTGTAACTTTGTCCTTTTTCTGTTGATTTCTTCTTCACAATTCAATAAAATATTTTTAAAAAGCTTCATACGAATGAAAAACTTTTTCTCGTACTTATTTATGTTGGCGGAATTGGCATGAGGCTGGTGAGGCGAGTAAAATTCAACAAAAGCCAACAGAACTGACACATATACTTTCAGTTTGTCATGTAAAATATAAAGAAAATATTTTGTTGCTATTATTTTAATGTGATTTTTTGATGCTGGCCTGCTTTACTTCTTTTTAAGCTTGCAAAAAAATGTTAAACATTCAAGCGATATTTCATGTAATATTTAGAAATATGTAAAATAAAAATCCCGTAAGAGCACGGTTTGCTAGTGACGCTACTTGTGTGTTTTATCCTGAAAAACATAAAAAGATTAGAGGGTGGAATGGTAGAGGAATTTTTTTTTCTTCCTTTTTTACTTCTGCCGTTTCCATCTCTCATTTACCTTCAACTTGAAACCCTCATCGCGGGGGTGTGGGAAAATTGAAATCAGTAGAGTAGAGGGTGGAAAAAAACGAGCGCAGAGAGATTTTGATTTCGTAAAATGAGAAATGAATAAAAGCAGTAAAAAATTAAAATAGTATAAAGTATGAGTTAGATTTTCCGATTCTTTTTTTTTTCATTTCGCTAAAACATCGCCGTGAATGTGTTGTGTGCTGTTGTGTATGAAGGGATAGATTCATACACCCTTGCTCTCAACTCGAAAGCGAAAGAAGAAGAAAAATATAAAAAGTATACATTATCATATTTTTTCGCAGTTTTTATGTTGTTTTTATATTTTTTTTTCGGAAGGGAAGCTTTTCTGTATAGTTGTGTAAGTGCTTCGCGAATGTTTGAAAAATTATTGCTACAAAAATTCAACTAAAAATGTTGCTGATGGGGTGTTTTGGAGAATGGGATGAAAGGGATGGGTAAAAATAATATTACAGCATCGCTCTTTATTCACTCATCCCATTCAAAGCATCGCAAACGAAACGATTTGCTATATAGACGGCTATATATTTTATTTTTATGTTTCCATGTTCACCAAAGCATTTCGGAATGTTAGAAGGCAGAAGCTGGGAGAAGAATAAGAATAAAAAAAAAGAAATAATAATAATACATCTATTCAATCTATCGTTATAGCGTTAAAAGCTATTTTTATGGTGTTGGCTACAGTCTAAATAAATAGTTTTTCTATTGCCACTCGCATACGTTGCCTTTTATCGCCTACACTATTATTTCTTGTTAAATGTTTCTTATACGTCTTCTTCCGCTAAATGATATCCTTTTCCAAGATCATAGATTACATTTCACAACCATTTCGTGCATCCAATATATTCTCATTAATTTATTGATGATACTTGATACTCTCTTCTAAGTTTTCAACAGCAAAAAAAAACCCGAAAGATTAATAACAACGGAAGCGAAAGCAAACAAACATAATTTATTGATTTGAAGAGTTTCGGTCTTTTTTTTTGTGAAAAACAATTTTTTCCTAGTTTTCATCCATCATTACTACGCAAGCACTATTTGTCGTCGTCGTCCCCTTTTTTCTCATTTCGTCAATATCAAATGTCACTCCCTTCACCCACCACCTTATATCGCGTTAGAAAAATGTATAATAATTGATAATGTTTTCTTTTCTTTCGCTAGAGAGCGAGAGACTGATGATAAAGTGTGAGGCAGTCGAAGGGTGCACTTCACAACTTCTTTTCTTCATCCACGATCTTCAACCTACTTTTCATATATAAGAAAACTTCTTCAACCATCTCTCATCCTTTCTGGAAACTCAATGAAGGAAAGGAAAAACTCTCATTTCTCAATACAACAACTCATTCCACAAGTTTTCCTCAGTTTTTTTATTTCGCGTCTTGTGATTTTTTCTCAGTTTTCCGCCGATGATGATGTGATATTATTATTGGTAGTAGTAAGAAAATATAGTGTGTACAAGTATGTGTGTGTGTTAGAAAAACTAATGTAATGGCTTTGAATTACTGGTGTGTGCTTTTCTCTTCTTCGCATAATGCTTGCTTCTTCTTGCTCAGTAATGCTGTATTAGATACACGGCGCACGAGAAGAAAAAAAATGTAATGTTAGGGATGATGATGAGGATCTCTCAGCGATTTTCGCAATGCTGTTTGTGAGAGTATTGCTCTGTTGAATGGGGTTTGTAATGTGTTAGAGTATTTGTCTACATTACTAGTAATATAAAATAAGGGTGAATTATATTTTTTAAAAAGGGAAATTTTATATTTCTCTTCAGCATACAGCATGACAACGAAGGTGGAATGAGAGGCTCGTACGAGAGATACTTTTTTTTTATTCATGGAAAACACATTTTCAAAAAAAAGAAGAAAAACTTCTTCACGCGATTTTGATACAGTATGAGTCTCCCATTTCGCGAGCGCCTCTCACTAGAAGCCGGGCGATTGTGGGAAGAGGGAAAAGGGAGAAAAAATACAAAAGCAAAGCAGCAACAAAGCTCGAAAGAACCCCCATTAAAACTGTGCTGTATTGCTGTACTGAATAGAATAGCATTTTTCGGGGGGGTTTCGCGTGTAGGCGGTGTTAGAAATATATTTTTCTGTCAGTGTGTAGAAAGAGAGCGAAAAAAATATAAAACTCTCGGAGTCCCAAAAAAAAGAAATTGTGAATTTATATAATGCTAACAGCAGCATACATACAATTTATATATTAACTGCTGGAAAACAGAATACGAATTTTTTCGGAGCACAGAATCAGCAAAAGATTTCTAACCGCTGAAGCGGTCATACACACATATAGTTTTTTAACGATATTATTAATCTGAAAAAAAAAATCATATTTTAGGAAAACACTGTGGCAGTGAGTGACTTAGTCATACACTTGATTTCAGTTCATTACAACGTTTCAGTCTCATTGGATATATTCGCAAGAACAAGCAAAGAAAAAATATATATCAACAGATTATTTATCATTTTAAGCATAAGAAAAAAAAATCATATTTCTTTAAGAAAAAGAAAAGTCATTTGTGATTTATTTTGTAAGTGAAAATATGGAAAACTTTTTTTCTACATGTGAAAGTGAAAAGTATAATTTTTTTCTCGCCAAATTTTTCCGTTGTAGTTTAGAGAAAAAGAAAATCCTTTTAGAAAATTTTCCAAAATATAAAACGTCTCAAACAAATTTTAATTTCTTGAGAAAATGAAAAAAAAAATTCAACAGAGACGAGAGAACAGATCATATGCGAAAGGCTACACTATATTCTAACATATGATGTATTGTTACTTAAACTACATACTGAAACACTTTAGATGTGTGACTCGCGAAACCCGAAACATATACACGAAAAAAAATGAAGAAATAAAAATTCTTTTTATAAAAAAAACTCATCCATCCTTTCGAACGACTAACAAAAAAGATTTTTTGTTTGGGCCCGAACAAGCACATTTATATATTTTTTTTTTAGTTTGGCCCCGCTATTCATCAGAGATAGATGAAAAGAACAGTCGTGTGTGCAATTCGGTGCATTCAAGAAGTTTATTAACATTTCTATCAAGTTTTGCTACCGCTTCGTGTGATAAAGTTCCTTCGGAATTTCTTTCTCTTTTTGTACACCCCCGCTCCATATAGAGGGTGATTCGAGGAAAATTTCCATGCATATATACTTTCACTTTTTTCTCCACATGTCGGAAAATTTCGTTTTCATTTGCAAACTTTACATGTGATTTTTCTTTGGCTATTTTTCTAGCAACAGTGAAATAAAAAATTCTACGGATTAGAATTTACATTGATTGAACTGACGTCTCCATTGCATGTTCAAACAATTTAATTTAAAAACGAGAAAGTCTTAACTGCAGTGGTGATTGAAAATTAAAAAAAGAAAATCGTGGGACTTGGAATTAGTTTATTAGTTTATCGTGTGATTTTCTGTTTTGTGATTTGACAAAGTACCGTAGAATTGGCGAAGAAAGAAATAGTTCGCCTAAAGCACATCATTATAAAAAACTAATTCAGTTTCACCTCAGACATTTCAATTTAGGAGGAAAATAATAGAAAAAAAATGACATTGAACGATTTAAATTATAATTTTGTCACCCGATTTTGACGGTGAGTGAAGTACAAAAAATATTCAGAATATTTCATATTTGATTGGAAAGTGATTTGAAGAACAAATTTCCGTAGTGAAGAGAACAATTTTATATTTTTGGTGGCAATTAAGATACTCAGGAATAATTAGAATCGAATTTACTGCAATAAAAAAATAAATAAATATTTCGGGACATTGTGCAAAATTTCAAAGGCGGAAACTGATAAAAACATTTCAAGGTAAATTTTTAACAAACTATTTTTAGTCTTAAAGTTTTCTTTTCAAATATTAACATGACCATGGAACTGCTAAGTCTAAGAGAACGATTCATCTTTGTAAAATTCTAATAATTTGTTGAATGCCTCGACTATGTTCTCACTCAAACACAAAATCCATTCTCCATGTCAGTCGTGAATAAAAAAATGTTAAAGTGAAGAGTCGGTGAGAAGAATAAAAGAACAAGAAGTTAAACTTGCATTTGATTCTTGAATCGCACTGTTCTTCCAGATTAACGGCTTTGCATGTATTACACAATGTTGTCATTTCTTTGTATGTGGCAAAATAGCAAGAAAAATAAGAAAACAATTTTGTGCAATTTTTCTTTGATTCGCTCAATTCGATTTTTTTTTATTTTTTCCAAGTTGAAAATTAGCAAATTTTTCACCGACAACCAAAGAAGAAACTTAGAAAATAAATCGCAAACTGATTCTCTGTATCTCAATGTGGTAAACATCTAGAAAAAAAATTATAACTAGCGCAGATTTTAGAAACAAGATTTAAGCGTTTTGTGCCACATAGTTTTCTGCAGTAAAAACAGATTATTTTTGGACTATCGCCATTCAAATGTATGAAAAAAAAATCTTTCAAACACACACTCACGCAATCCAAAAATAAAAAAAAGAATAATTATTTTACTACTAGCAAACTTTAAAGTTGTGCAAAGAACAGTTAACTTTTGTGTGTTTAGCCTTATCAAACCAAATTGAAATATTTTTATCATTTGTTGCTGTGCAAAATACACGAGATATTCGCACCACAAAACTTGTAATTCCATTGCCAATGTTAGTCACGGTATCAGTTGTGAGTGGATCGAAAGGGTAACTTTATTAGAATTCATAGTGATATGAAATATGTTTTAAGATCATAGCAAACTCTTAATCAAAACTTGTGGCAAACAACAGTCTAACCCCTGTACACACTTAAAGTAATTTTAATAATATTGACGAAATATTAGTGAGTAAATATTGATAACATTCTTTGAAAAAAAAAACATGCTGCGAATGAACTCTTAATTTCACGATCAACGACGCTATACAAATGTCTGCCTGCTTGTTTCACTGTTTTTCCTTACTTGCCGAAAAATTACGAAGTTACGTTGTTAAAAACTGATGAACTTCTGCTGAGCTGTCAATAACAGCTGAACTTTAAAATAGAAAGACTTTTTTAGGAAATAAAAAACATTAAAAAATTGACAGAACAACAAAAGTTTTTAAAGAAAAATTCTGATGAACGTGATTGCCTTTTTTCTGATTTTCAATAATTCAAATATTTGATCACGCGATTTAGTTTGCTTTGAAAATATAAAATATAAAATTCGGAGGCATATAATTTGAAAGATGAAAGGCCAACACAATGTTGATGAATGAGTTGGATGACGCAGAATTATGCCTCCACATGGTACAAGTGTCCTCGAGGCAACTAGAATGCATCCTTGCATTATAATTAGCATCCAAATCTCATTCATTTATGACTAAGGCTTTCACGGCACAAATTTTTATGCGGCAAATTCACAACAAAGAGAAAAAGTTGCAATAAAAAAACTTAATTTAGGATTTCGAAAACAAAGGAAGAGAAGTTTAAAAAAAAGTCTCTAAATGGGGCTGTTTACAATAAATTCAATCTCAAACAATTTTTCACAAACGAAATAACAACGAAAGAAGGAAAAAAATATTACAGCCAATTTCCACGTCTTCTGGCTGGCAAAAAAATGTAATTTTACTGCATGATATGCCATTTTTTATAAAAAGAAAAACTACAGAAATTTACGAGTTTCTATCCTGACTTTTGGGCCCTTCAATGCAGATAAAGTAATACTTTTTTATTTCAACATCAATTAAACTTTCACATAAAGTAGCTGCTGAAAGTGATTTGCATGAAAAATGAGCACAAGTTTTACTTTAAAGGAAAAATTATATTTATTTGCTCTTTTCGTGAAGAAAAAAAAATGAAAAGCCATGGAAATTATTTTTCTATTTTTTTCTTTACTAAAAGTTAAATTGCGACCTTTCAAGCTACGATATCAATTCTTTTTTTAATTGCATAAAGCTTCATGATTTATGTCGCTCATGTCTTAACATGCAACTCGAAAGTCATACAAAGTTATTGTTTAGAATATTAAAATTGTAGAGATAGCGAAACTATCATTCATTCCTAATATTTACATTCATTGTTTATGTCTGAGGGTTAAACATGAGAGCACAGTAAGATATCTACATTGTACAGACATTTTCGAATTCGGTTTAGAATATCCAGCGGCCTTCATTCATTCTCCAAAAAAACAAGAGAACATCACTTGAGGGTTTAAATCAATTCATGATCAAAAGATGAACGCGCAGTTTAATGAAATCGTGGGAATTTCTCGCGTAAATAAAATTTTAATATTTTTTAAGAAGTGATAATAAAAAATTATTTTGAAATCTGAAAACCTTCTGAACTAAACGTTGATAAAATTATCAAGCATCGCGTGTTAGAAAAGAAACTCACACTGATGTTTAATAATTTAGTTTTATTTACTTTTTACTTCGTTTTTTTTAGACTAATAAAAGTGCACGTACACAATCTTCATTAAATACGAAAAAGATTCGCGAGGCTTTTAATGTTTGTTTCTTCCATAAGGTTATCTTAGGTTTCCGAATTATTATTAATGAGCCTCAAAAGACTATTTTTAGTAAACCCGAGTTGAAGAGAACATTTCATAAACATGACTTGAAAACTTTTCATTTTTTTTCTCTTTTTACGTATTAGAAATTATTTTTAAAGACACAGATGAACACTGACAGAATACAATTGACATCTCTCTAAATTTGTACCGAAAAATATGAAATTATTTCGCTCATTTATCTCTTCATATTTGGTTCGATAATCTCATTCTTTTATCAAAATGCCGAGTCGTAAAACTTGCACTGAAACTTACTTCTGTTTTTGTTCGTTTCCATCTCACAAGTTTTCACGAATAAAGTAAAACCGATCATTAGAGAACATCGTGCATTTCTAACGTACACATCTACGAATGTTATAAATAAAGAGTTTTTTTTACAAAAATATATGAAAAAAAATGTAGCAAAGAGGCAATCGACCGCTCGTCCGAACAACTGTCACTAGATCAAGGTGAAGGTCATTTGTTCGTGCTCTATACGTATGGAGTCACTACGAACATTGAATAGCATGGATGGAAAGAGAAGACATGTATGTAGAGCATCGTGCAGTTTCTCTATGTGCATTGTATACGACGATATATGTTTCTACCGCAGCGGCTGATATCGTATGTGCACCGAAATGAATAGAACTCAACTTTTCAGAATAGAGAACAGGGAGATGCTTTTTCATTCATAGTTTTCGCCAACATGGTTTATGCATGGATGTGAAAAAGTGGCGAGAATGCTTATGTACAATTGCGTCATTGAATGTTCTGTCTTCGTTTTCGATTTCATGCAAAACTACTTTGGGAAGTTTTCCTTTTCCCTCTAAATATTTCCCCCCAAACATGTAAACACTGATTCGTGATTTCTCGCCACATATGAGGTGTACATAAGACCCTGCTAGACTCGACAATTTTTCCTTCTTTTTTCTTTCTTTACATGCTTTCGCACATGTGTGTAAGTCTCGGATAAATCCCTGAACTGTTGCACACTTTATCGCCATATCACGTCTCATACATAGAATGAACTTAAAAGTTAGATAATTTTTTTATTCTGAGCTTCAACTAAGAACATGAACACATATAAAAGAGAATGAATAACAAAAGGCTACGAGCCAGACGCTTGAAATATTTGTATTAGTTGTTAACAAAAATTAAACAAAAACTTTTCTGCACTTCTCTGGTTTTTACTACACGAATCGCAAACACAAAAGAGAATTTAAAAAATCGTCTACAACAATGTCATCGTAACTAAAAATGGTTTCGACTGCAAAGTATATAACAAGTTATATGTCATCGACGAAAGCATTTATATTGCGTTTCGGTCTGGCGATTTTGCGGTCTAGAAGTTCTAAACAGTAAAAACTATTTATTCTCTTTTTTTATATTTTTTCGTCTGCGGACGATTTATTTAATTTTTTCTTTTTTCAAAAGCTATCGAAAAGCAAAAGCTTGCACTCAACATTATTCAGTTCGTTATCATTATGCGGTTAGGTTCATTATAATTGTTTTTTTATGCTTTATGCATCCGGCTAAGTCTACTGTAGACATTAACGTCCGCTTGTTATCAACCTAAAACTTTCCGACAAAGACATTTCGCTCGAAGAATTCCAGGAACCGCGCAATTCACAAGAGACTTCCACTGATTAAAATATCCACGCGTTTTTCTTTCCAAAAATCAGCTTTGTAGCCAAGACCCACACAACAAATTATTTAGGCTTTCAATGATGAATCATAAACGAAATGAATGAAATAAGACAAGTAATCACACGACTTGAATTTCACTCAAACCATGACCTTTTCTTGCGTCTTAATTGTTTTTATGTATACGTGACGTGGAACTTTTCCTTTTCTCTCATTGTTTATTTCTTTTCTGCTGTTGCGAGAAGTCAATCTTATCATGGCACGTGAACTTTGTATCTCTGGCCATCATCATCATCGTCATTAACATCTTCAGTCTTATGACAGACATGCACAAATATTTATGTACAAACAAGAGCTTTTCTTCCGAGTAATAACATTACACGAATGGGGATGAAGGGCAGAAGGGTGAGAGGAGAAGAAGAACGAGTAGAATTTGTAAAACTTTATCCTTTCATGTTTTCAACGTCCCGCGCTTTCCTGAAATGATTGAAGGTTTGTGTAAAAGAACAGATAATGACTTTTCATATTTTTTCGTCTCTACTCATCTCCCGCTTTTCAACCTTCACCCATCGTTATTTTCACACCACTGTGACCACCTTAAAGGAGAGACACTTCCAAAAATAACCGTAAGAACAATGAGAAAAGTTCTGTCGGGGGGAAAATTATGTATACGCATTCATGTATACCGAATATTTTATCAGTAAAGGGTAAGAAGCGAGGAAAGATTTTATTTTCTTCTTTCCTTTTTCCTTTCTGTTTTTTTTCGAAGCAATTTTTCTTTCGTTCTGCCCGTCGACAACCATCCCATTCATTTCTCACACCATTCATTCATCGTCAGCATCCATGAGGGTTATGTTCTCTGCAGGAATGGCATATCAACGAACAAAAGTCTTTGCTGATTCTCTTCTTCATGTATTTTTTCATCTTTTTCTCTTGTTGGGCCATGTGTGGGTGGTAGAAGTGAAAGCCGGGTGGACGTATCGTAGCAAAAGAAAATATAAAGCACCACAGATTTTCCTCATTTTCCTTTCATCGGGTCCGTCTACATGCCGGGTTTTTATGTGTCTGAAAGATGAGAGTATAACTGCAAACGTACATATTCAAACAAACATATATGTATGTACATAACTAAGCATCTTTGTGAGAAGACAAAAATATGTTAATCACTTGATGATATCAACACATTGTTTGCAAGAGAAAAAAAGAAATGTGTCTGAAGAAAGAAAGGAAAAAGGCCAAAATGTGAGACAATTTTTTCTTCCATCTCTTCATCCTCTTGTTGACCTTTTAACAGGTTATTTTGTCGCATTAAGGAGACATAAATAAATGCTTCATAACATATGTTGATCCAACCCAATCTCAATCATCCGTATTGTGCCGATTTTTGTTTTCTTCTGACACTTTCAACCCTTACCCTTAGAAACAAAAAGATTGTCACGGTCATTGACTGCGATTCAATCAATGTGTATGCGTTTATTGTCGCAGTACATATACTGACATATTTATTCACTTAACGCCGTCTGTCTGAGAATTTAAAGTCAAGTCATTAATTAAAAATTCGTTTCACATCTATTTGCTAAAGAACGATTTGGTTTTCTTCTTAAAATCCGTAGTCTCAAGCACAACATCGTAGTTTACCATCATCATTTAACTTCGCGAAGATTTGGAATTGTTGCGAATGACGAGAAGAACAGAGAAAAAAAAAAGCAGAAAAAACGATTTCTAGATACCTACTATGAGTTGTCCAGACAAAAAAGATCTTTTATTTTGACGGTTCTTCTTCTTACATATATCTTGTTTTGACTAATGCAACTCTCATTCTTTCTTCTTTCAAATCGAAAAAGATTCTATGACTTGCGAGTCACAGTCGCGCGAGACAGACTAGGGTCGTTATTCTTTGTAAATATTCTTAACAACAAAATCTTTTTTCATCGCCACACGAATGGAAAATAATCGCAACTTCGCCAAAATAAAAATGCGACTCTGAATGAATGTCTAGCGAAGAAAATAACCGATAAATAAATATGTATATAAAAAATATATTATTGAGAGAATTATCTGCGGAGAGAATGCCAGATGGTTGATAAATGTTTCCATATGTGCGTGGAAAAATAATAAAAATTAATGCTCGAAAACTATCTTAACAACATCATCAGGCCAGCCAAACAATCGCATCTAATTCTTTCCAATTCTCTTCATCCCTCTCAAGTCTCACACCATTTGCACAAATAGCAATTTTGTTGTTGTCATTTAGCTAAAATATTTTTGTTTCTTTTCTTCTTCTCATATTTGGCTATTGAATGACTGCGCTCTATGTGCTAATAAACACATGGACTTGAGTATCGTCTGGAGCGGCCAACAAAAATGTATTTCAAGGTTAAATGAAGGAACCAGACAGTCAAAAAACTATTTCGCGCATATGAGTTGTGTTTAGATTGTCTAATTCTAGAATGTCGTATAGAGGAAAAAAAAGTTTTTTATTGTCTGTGCCGCAAAATTCTTCTTTATATTTATTTCAAGACTAGGTCGAGCAGCAATAAAAGCAAACTCATGACTATTGATTAGAGACTCGTTGTGTTCATCAGACGGATTTTTAGGAAATTAGTTGCATCACGCTGTTCACTATTGTGTCATGAATTTGTACATTAAGGAAGTTTCTATGATATTTAATGTGGTGACTCAGAAAAAAGTTTAAAAAATGAATCGTGTGTGTGTATGTGTGGATTTGGTCATATTATGTTGAAAAGCAACGGAAACGACTTTTAAGCTGATGCACTAAATATCTTACGCTATTATCAATTGCAAAATCAGCGATAATTTGAAACCTATCTAATCTAACAAACAACAAAATAAAAGCAGTGAATTTGAAGTTTTTCTTTCATAAATTGACGAAAAAAAAAATTAATAAAACTTTATCTATTTAGTTGCTATTATTTCAAGGTTACTTGAACGAACGATTACATTTTCGTTCATCGCATTCAATCGTCAATCTATTTTGAAAGTGTTTATAAAAGTCAGAGGAGGAGGAGAGGAAACGAGCAACGCAAGAATATCAATTTCATTGCTTGTTTGCAAGCGAAACGACGCTAAATTTTTTTTATTCCATTTGATGACGAAATTTTTCCTTCATTTGTAAGTTTTTGAATTCAGAAATTTCTTTATCATATTTCTTGTGAAATTCTTATAAAATTAAATAAATGAATTTAAATAAATTTAGAGAAAAGAATAAGCTTCTTTGGTCAGACACTTTCCATTTCAAAACCGATAAAGGAAGATGATGTAAAGAATTGTGAAAATGAAACTGATTTCTCTACGAAAAAAAATGATCATTTTAACTCTAGAAAATGCATTCACGTTAAAGATATTCTGATATTTATAGAACTAATAGCAAGATGAAGGAGAAAACTTTTCTAACATAACGTCGGGACTTAAAAATACTCATTTTAATTACGAAATTTGTTTGTGATCTTGACTTTGCTTCGCATTTCTCATGCGTTTATTTTCAACATCCAAGTCGGGTTTAAAGAACTTAGCTTGGATGTTTAAAGAAATTCAAGGTTAAAGAAGCAAGTGGAACAAAAATTGCACAGTGAAAATTTACGCTTCTTTATTTAATTCATTTCATTTTCAAATGCTTGTTGCTTAGTTGCTTAGGCGATTTATCAATCAGATTGACGAAAACTCTCATCACCGGAAATAATTTGAAACTTCAGTAAATTTTATTGTAAGAAGATGGTGGGTTGGATGTAAAATTTATTTCTAAATAAATTTCAATGTTTAATTGAATATTTTAAACAAACCATCATCGAACAAATTATACTAAACTTACGATTGTTATCATTTGATATTTCATGCCATTTAAGCGATTCGCTTACAAATTGAGTTTTTGCAAATAAAAGTCACAACTTGTGTGTTTGTTGAGTTCAAATAAATACATGATGAGTAAGAGAAATGCATTTTTCTAACATTCTTTTATTATTTGCAGAAAGTTCAAACTATAAAGAAGCTTTTTATCACCTTTCTCTCATTAAACACAAAATAATTTCTTGTCATCAATATTAGTCAGATGATGATGAATAAAACTTCCAGTTTCATTTGTAAGCTGAGTAGAAGTCGATTTACAAAGAATTTCCGGGAATTACTGTTCACTGGAATTCTTGTCAAACGTGAACAATTTGAAACCTTAATCCTGAACGCCCAAACTAAGAAAACTAAGATACATTGCAGATGGTTCATAATATTATTTCAATAAAAAACTTAATAACATCATTTTATCGAAGGAAATTTAAGAAGCATTGAGTAATATCAAATTCTTTTGTTATCGATTCTTTATAGGAGAACAATAACATCAACCACACCAGCAAGATGGTGGACACTCAACATTTCTGTCTTAGATGGAATAACTATCAGAGTAGCATAACATCAGCGTTTGAAAATCTTCGTGACGATGAAGATTTTGTTGATGTCACATTGGCCTGTGATGGAAGGAGTTTGAAAGCTCATCGCGTTGTTTTGTCAGCATGCAGTCCGTACTTTCGGGAGCTATTAAAGGTGAGTTAACATGAGAATATAAAGGAAGGTGACAGGAAGTGCTAGAAATAAATACTGAAAAGTAGCACAAAAAAATATTTGCTGCATTAAGAAACCTTTCAAATAATTGACGTGAAATTCTCATCACAAAAAAGAAAAGAAATTCAATTGAATTGAAAGACAAACTTAAAATCGTTAACTTCTTAGTAGTTTTTCTCTCTAACCGGATATTCAAAAATTAACTTCTTCGCTATCATCATAATGAAGAATGTAAACGAAACCGATGGGATAGGAAATTTACAAAAAAAGAGATAATTTAAGTTCTTTGCAGAGGCAGTGCAATAATAATAGAATGTAATTATAGCGTAATTTGTGTTCCAGCCAGCAACAAACAAAAAAAGCCAAAACCAGCAACATTAAATGCAATTTTTTCTGTGTTCAACGCCGAAATATAAAAGAAATTGATGAAAATGAAATTTTCAGACAGCGAGGAAAAAAATGATGAAATAACTAAATGAACTCATAGCGATGCGAAAGCGAATGATAATTGCAATTTTTGTGCTTTTATGTATTTATTTCAATTCTTTCCTTCTCGCTTTAGCCTTTTAATTTACTTCGGCCAGGATTATAACTTTTTTTTCATCTCGCAATTATTTTTCAATGTATTTATTTTTATGGCTTTGATTGGCCAACGCGAGAGAAAAAACTATTTGGTGGATAATGAAAGTAGCAGATAAAAGAATTGACGAACAAATATTTTTAATATCTCGCCTCCTGAAAATAGCGTAAAGATTCTGGGAGTGGTGGCATGCATTACCTTGATAGCTGTTCAAATATATGAACATTATTCCATTACTCTGCCCATAAATATTTTTGTTTCTGTCATAATTATCTACAATTGCAATTGCAATTTCACAAATCAATAATAAATTCATTTCCAGCCTGCATTTTAATATAATTAATTCTCATTTCTTACACAAGAAGCAGAAGGAAGAAAAAAATTTATTTGCATATTTCGTATTTATTTTATTTCAAATTTTAGACAATAAAATTATGTTTTTAACGTTTGTCACGAGAGCTTAAAAGAAGAATTTAATTACATTTTTATCAACTCCTTAGAATCTTGTTATGCCAGGAGCATATTTTCAAAGCTAAAGGCATTTTTATGTTCACTTTTTGAGTCGCATTACTTTGAAATAAGAATTAATCTCAAAGTATTTGTCTGAAATATTTTAAGTGTTTGAAATCGCAGTGCATTACAAAAACAGACAATAAATGGCAGTAAAATTTGCAAGTTAACGCTAAATAATAATGAAAAGAATGACATTAAATACAAGAAGATTTGTCAGTTTAAGAAAGTAGGACAAAACTGTTTAAAAAAATAAATATTTAAGCAGACACCGACACCGACAACAACGACTAACTTCTCTTTTTCTTTAAAGAAATAACTTTCCACTTTGATCATTGAATACATTACGGTTCTCTCGCTTGAATTTAACAAGAGATATAAAACAGTTGAATGTTTATAAGATCTTGTGAGAAAATGTTTTGTGAAAGCGTCCTTCAAAGGTGCAACTTTTCTTCAATAACAACAATTAATTTAAGTTTTGAAAGTCGAATGACTTAATGAAGCCTTTGAGGCATGTTGTTGCAATTGGATATAACTGCATTTTAACGGCATTCACGAATGGCAACGCTATTCTTGGATGTACCAACTGATATTTTGCAACATCACGCGACTCAAAAAAAAAAGTGAAACGTTTCCTAAGTGATACCAATTTGCTTTGCTGGCATACATTGTAGAAAATCAAAAATGCAAAAGCGAAAATAATAAATTCAATGAAAAAAAGAGAAAACAAATTCATTGCACCTTACATGTCATGTCATCGAAATTGTAACGAGCTGGTATTTAGACGAGCCGCGATAATGCGAATAAATTGGCCTCAAAATTTATGTCAACTAATTACTGGAGGTTGAAAAAGTTAATATTATTTTAGTATTTGCATAATGCTATCCAACTGCTTAATATTGTAATGACTGGTACTCCCTTTCGTTATCATGCAACTTTGTTACCTCAGCACAACTGAAAGAAATGTTGTCGTGACAATTTATTTTAAGTATCAGGCTCCCTTCAGATATGTTATGCAACGTAATATTTCTCTCTTCCTTCGTATGTGCAATTATTATGCATAACTGTTTGCCTTCACTTATGTTATTTAAGATGCAATAACTAAAATAAAAAATAAAATTGAATTTTGACTTGATAAACTATAATTGGAAAATTTAATTTAATCCACAGAGTACGCCATGTAAGCATCCAGTAATTGTCCTTCAAGATGTCGCATTTACCGATCTCCATGCTCTTGTTGAGTTCATTTATCATGGAGAAGTTAATGTTCATCAAAGATCATTGAGTTCTTTCTTAAAGACAGCGGAAGTGCTTCGCGTTTCCGGTTTGACACAACAACAAGCTGAGGAAACTCACAATGTAAGTTTAATTAATATTTTAAATGACGAAAACATTTCCTTTAATGATATTTCAACTATAGTTAGCTCAAGTACAAAGTTTGGCTCAAAATGGAGGAAGAACTCCATTGAATCATCATCAAAGTTACACCGATAAGCTGGTTGAAGAAGCATTATTTCCACAAGGTGCTTCACCACCGCCCCATCTTAATAATTTGCATAATCCATCAGGTAAAAAAATATTTAATTATATTTATAAGAAAGAAAACAATTATTAATTGTATTTTTCTGACAAATAGCTCACTCCGGGGCAACTGTCAATCAGCTTTTGCGTCGTGCTGCCGCTGCAGCTTTTACAAGACGCGAACGTAACAATTCATGTCACTCTGATGAGCTGCAAATGAAACGACATCGTCCCGATAGTGGAATGATGGGCCCGAACATTAATAATAACAACTTAGATATCATAAATCACATGCCGCAAATTACTGCAACTGACTTCTCGACCAACATCAAGCACATTAATAACAACCACTCGCCGCATATTAAAGATACTGATCGCATGGATGTTAAGACGCCAAATGGTGAGATTTTATTAAGAATTTATTTGAATTGAAAGAGATTTTTATTCTTTTTCTCTTTGCTTGATAAAGGAAATAATAACAACACGCTTAGCACAAACAACAATGTGGTCAATAGCAACATCAATAACAATAATAATAATAACAATAACATGAAGGATACAATTAATTTGACGACAAATGGTAATGGCGGCGGTAGTTTGGGTTCATCAACTGATAAGGAAAGTTTAACTCCTTCACCACCTGCACGATCACAAGATGATGTCAAAACGGAACCTCTAGAACTTGTCAGCAACAGCATTAATCCGGATAATGATCATAGCAATGATTCGGTCGTTGACTTGCATTCAAACACTGGGAATGAGATGAAAGGTCCACTAAGGTAAGAAAGTTTGGTCGGGAGCGCAATCAGGAGAGACTAAAGTTCTGATTACGCGCCTGATGTCCATCGTTCTAGAAAATAAGAAAGAGATGATTGTGCACTTAAAGGTTGAAATATCATTTTAGCTCTCCACATGATGATGACATGGATGGCAGCATACATAATCATAATCCACCACCGTTTCTTATGTCGCCAGGCGACAAACTCTTTCCCCCTCCCGGTTCATTCAATTTCTCAATGGCTGCTCTCGCTGCTGATCCACAAGCATTAGCAAGTAAGTAGAAAATTCTATAGAAAAAATGTCAGCTTCTCTCTTAATACAATTTTTTTTCCTTTCCTTTCAATCAACTCACTTTTAGACTTCAATTCCATGCAATCTGCGGCTGCTGAGCTCGCCGGATCGCCTCAAGGTAAGACAAATTTAACATATTTTACTTATCAAGTCCTTTTGTTTTATTTTGGAATATTCAAAGAAAGAATAAAACTTATTTTGGTTTTAAACACCCCCATGAACTTCCCCATCTATTAATAGAGAAAAAAATTACAAATAAATATAAAAAAGAAAAACGATTGAAATTATCCAACCATTTCATACAAAAGAAATAAATAATTGAATTAATAACAAGATCCTTCATTTTTAACTTTTAAGATGAAGTTTTAAAGGTGATGAAAGTAATGAAAAAGAAAGAGAAAAAAAGGTTTAATTATTTGTTGAGACTGATAAATCAAGCTGACAGTTGATGTAGGTGGCATGATTTTTCTTAAGATGTGAATGATTTGTCTCACCAATGATAACTTCTTTTAATCTAATTAATTATGCTGCCTTCTAGAAACATAGAAATTTGAAATAAAAATTTTTCTCTTTCTTTTTTAACTAATTTTTGATCAATCATCGAAATTCATGTTTGTTGCCAGAAGTATGAAATATTTTGATCAAGTTCAACTGGAAAAAAGAAAAATCTTAGGTATTATGGTATATATAAATATTTTAGGTTTCATACGGATTGAGTTTTGAACTATTAAATCCCTTGACAAAAATTATCCCTTTTAACCAAATTAACCCAAATTTACAACAATTTTATTACTTATTGTCAGAGACTAATCAATTATCTTTAACTTACCTTTATTGTAAAACAAGTTTCTTAATCTTTAATTTGGTGAATTTTAATTGGACCCGAACAGGGACTTAACATTTAAATAACGGTTATGGTTACTTGTCTCCACTCATGATATCTTATTTCTCGACAATCTTACTGAATCTCGTGACAATTTACAATTTACAAAATAATATTTCTTCAGTCTTCTTCGATTTTCTTTTAAACCTTTTTTATCCATCAGTTTATATTTCTTCGACAACAAAATCTTCTTCAACAACATATTGATCAAAACAAAATCCATTTGCTGCGAAAAATAACTCTTAAAGAGATTTACATAAAAGTACACACATAAATATTTATATATACCGAAATATCGCCAGACGACTCATCGATGAATTTTCATTTACCAATCGACGTATTGTTCAATTTCACTGCTGATCTCATAAGACATTTTTAAACAAAATATTATTAAATGTGACATTTCAACGAGACCAAAATTGGATTGAAAAAGAAAGCAAAATCTCACATTGAAGAAATTGAAATTATTTAATTTTTATGGAAACTAAAATAATAATAAAAAACACTATGCAATTCTGAACTTAAAATTAATTAAAAACAAACTTTACCGTGAATTGGTTTTGTGTGCTAATTTATTCAATGTATAATTCGTAATTTATATCGTGTCATCGTCGTGTTATGTGTGTTTAAATATTTAACTATGTTTTATTTTTCTCACTTTTCTCTCTATTTTCCTAAAAAAAAATATTTTTCATTTAATTTTCCATTCTTCGACTGATTATAATTTTTCCAGAACTTTCTTAGTTAATCTTTCCTTATATTTATTACTTTTGGAAAAACTTCTTCTCTCAAGCTTTTCGAAGATTCTTTCTTCTTCGTAATAATATGTGAAAAACGAGAGGATGTAATTCCCTCATGTGTACTCTGCCGTGTTTCACTGTTAATCAGCTCAGATTCATCCCTTTTTACATTCACAAATCGCTTCAAAAATTTTAAATCAGCTAAACTTTGCACAAGGAAGTTTAGTTTTTTTCATTTTCCCCTCATTAATCTCGCAATAATCTCCTGAAAATGTGTTTTCAAACACAAATTATATAAAGGCAACATAAAAGATTCTTAAAGAAAAAGTTGAAAGAGATGCATTTGAATTAAAACAACAAAAAAAAAACATATGAACACAAACATTAGATATATTAATTGGAATAAAATATGTAAATTATTATGATTATTCAAAAAATAGTAAATGAAAAAAAAACACATCACAAATGTTTCTCTTATGTAAAAATAACTCAAAATTGTGGAAACAAAAATGCATAAATGAAGCATTGATAAACAACATTGTACATATTAGATTTATGATGAGGCTAAAATTGGAAAGCATTTTTTAAGCATATAAAAGTATTATTGGAAAATTTGACATGGAAACTGTAAAATATTATAAAAAAAGTATTTTCATGTAATGCTTTTTTATGCTTTAGATTTAATTGACAAATCATTAAAAATAGTATTATTTGTTTATTTCTTTGATTCAATAATAAAATTGCACTAACGGTTACCGGGATTATTTTTTAATTACAACTGATTTTTGATGCCATAAAAACAAACAAAATTAAATTTTGAAATTTTTGTAATTATCTGCTTTCGATTGATAAAGTTTAACAAAATCAGGAAAGACAACATAAACATTGAATGTGGCTTGGTTTTTTATTCGATATCAAAAATTGTGTGATTTTTGCAATGTTTTTATTTTATATCAAAATTAACCCTTTTTTTCGTTATTATTTTTGTTACCCAACAAAAAATACAACAAACTCATCAGAAATACTAGATAACGCTTTTTCAACGTAAATACATAAAATCGATAAAGATCACACATTGTATGTATAAAAATATGATGGCTTTTAATACATTTAGCAGGATTTTACATAAATTCCATTGGTGGAAAGGGTTTCCCTCGAAAATCTTGCTTAAGTTTTTCATGCTAATCGGATTGAAATGAGAAAAAAATGAATGCAGAAAATATTTTTATATATGTGGTGATGGTGATGTTGATGATTGGCTAATTATCGGTCGTTTGCCTCTCTTTCTCTCTTAAATAAATTTCCCTCTCCATCTCGTTGTCAAAAAATAAAAAAAATAAAAATAAAAATGACGACTTCTGCATCAACATCTTTGATGACCGTCAACAATCTCTTGCAGCTTCCGGTGGGGGTGGAACACCCGGCAGCCTCTCTGAAGACTTTCGATGCGATCCATGCAACAAAAACTTATCATCCTTAACACGCCTCAAACGCCACATTCAAAATGTCCATATGCGTCCTACAAAAGAGCCCGTCTGTAATATTTGTAAACGCGTCTACAGTTCGTTAAATAGTTTACGTAACCATAAAAGTATCTACCATCGTAACATGAAACAACCTAAAGTCGAATCAAAAGATGAAACCAATGCAACACCGATAAGAGCACCAAATTATCCATTCTTTCCCATCAATCCGCGGACCACCTAGATGACAATTTAACAAAACCAGCAAATGTTGTTGACTCACAAATTGTCACAAACATTACTCTTTCCATCTTTACTGTCATTATTTGAGTTTTCAATGCCATAGAAATAGTTGGAAATTTTTGGAGTGCCATTCAAATTCACAGAAAAAAAACATCACAAAAATAAAGTTTTCACATGAAAGCCATAACTATTGAACAGCAATTTATTGAATAGTATATAAATATTAAGCTTTTTTTCTCGACAAATCATAAAAGTGAATTTAAATTTAAAAGCTCCCAACAACGAATATAAAACGCTTTTATGCAAAACAAAGAATTCAATGCTTCACTACATAAACCTGATTGCGAACAATTTAAGCATATAAAATACTGTATCAGATTTTAAAATCTCGATTATTTAATAATCAATTTTCTTCTTCCACTTCTACAACGAACAAATAAATTACCATTAGAATTAATCGCCGTTAGTTATTGCAACTTTCTTTTTAAGCATATAAATTTAATTTAAAAAAAAAACAGTAAAAATATATACGAATTTAATAGATCAAACTTTAACTTTGTAAATAAATCAGAAAACTTTTTCTTAAAATCTATTTCTTCTTCTTTTCTCATAACTTCAAACTATTACAATCGATGAAACTGTTCTCATCTCCTTTTTATCGAAAAGAAATACAATACTTATGGTGCAGGTGATAGGAAAAAAATAGCAATGAATTTTCTTTAAAATTTTCTATTTAGAAAGAAAAATTTAAGCATTAGAAAATTACTTTAAGTAAAAATATAATTAAGAATTTAATTAGATAGTGACAAGCAAGCGTCTTTCAGCTGTTTCTGGAAAACTTTTCTCTTAAGTACATTTAGGATTAAGCTACCATTCTTCTTAACTTCACCTTCGACTCAAGGAAACTTAAAAGCACACACGAACACGCACACATAACATAATGTGATTTGAATCGTTAAAAAATCTGACTTGTTCGTTGATTGGAACCAAACGGTTAAGAAAACTACTTTTAATATTGAATTTATTTTTGATTAACACACAGTTTAAGTTTTTTCATGGAATGCAATTTGAATCAAGTATTTTAAAATTATTCTCATCTCAAGTGCGCACAAATTTTAGAATACTTTTTCAATTTTTCTCTTAAATTTTTTTCCTTTCTTTGATTTTTTTTAATGTTGGATTGCCTTGGTAGATTGCAATTTTACTTTTATTTTTTAAACATATATTTTGTCTTGAAAATAATTTAAAAAAAGGGCTGCATTGGGAAAGCACAAAATGGAGAAAATGATAATAATAACTGGAGACATTAGTGACAGTAAATTTTTTAATCACACAAAATAAAATCATTTGCTCGAATCAGGCCATTAAACTAAACAAAAAAGAAAAAAAGTCAAATCTCTAAAATTCTCACTGAAACCAATCTCAATGAAACATCTCCCAGGTGGACTCTTTTTGTATCTATTTCCATCGAACCAAAACAAAAATTAAAAATATTCCGAAAAACGACTGAAAGTATTTGATTTCCGCTATATTGATTCAATTGGTTCCGATTTAGCGAACCCGTTGGATTTTTTAATCGCAAATCTATTGTCTATTAAATGCAAAACAAAACGCTATTTGAGCATTCATCATCATGATTGATGTGGATGCTCAAATCGATAACGCTAAGCAAGTATCATTTTACTTTTGTTTATGATTTTATAAAAAAAGAAAGAAAACACAAAAGTATAGTGTACATCTAAATAAACCAATTCCCGTATAAAGTTGATTAAGTTTTCATTATTTGTTATAAAAAGTTTTATTTATTTATTTTATATTTTTTTAATTTAATCTAACAAAAAAATTGACAGCAAAAGTTTCAAAAATTCGTCTAAGTTTTCAACGTTTCTTTTTCTTATCATTTGGCATTAAAAATTTTTTATTTTTGGTTGAAAATGCAAAAACCCGTTTCGTATTGATAAAAAAAATTAAAGCATAAAATGACAAAAAAAAAATCCTGGGAATCAAAATTATATGAATCAAAATTCTATTCGTACAAATTGAGAAAGCGCATTAATATTTTGTTTATAACGTCTTAACAAGTATCGTCTTCACAAACCTTAAAATTACACAAAAAATATGAAATTCGACAAAAAAGAAGCCTGAAAAATGAAATTGATAAAGAAATTACAAGTAATCATTTATACTTTTTTTGTGTTTGTAATAAACATAAAGGTAGTCACAAATGTCCCTAAAATTATTATTATTTTCTTTTATTTCCCGGTGCTGTTTCACCGACTGATCGTCCAATCTCGAACCTTAAAAATTCTGTGAAAATTTGATCCAATCAAAACATAATTGAAAAATCTAATCATAAAATGAAATTGCGATTGTTGGAAATTGGATAAAATAAAAGGAATTGGAAATCATGGATCAGGCAATGGAGACGCTGGAGGAATCCTGTCGAATCGTTTGTCTTTGCCTCTCCCATTAACTGCTTGCCATCGATGTGATGTGTGTGGAAAGCTTTTGAGTACAAAGCTAACCCTTAAACGTCACAAGGAGCAACAGCATTTGCAACCGCTGAACAATGCAGTCTGCAATTTATGTCACAAAGTGTTTCGCACATTGAATAGCTTAAATAATCATAAAAGCATATATCATCGTCGGCAAAAGCATCATCTTTATTCAGGTCACCCGTCAGCTCAAAATATGCAACCACATCATCTGTCGCAACTTCCACAGCAAAATGCTGCCAAACTTGACTTTATCTAAGAACATCAATAAGGATTTTTTTATTTTTATATATCTTCATTTGCACTTTATTAGTTTTATTTACTTTTTACTTAGTTGCATTGAATATGGATCCCAAAAAGAAAAAAGCACAACCACATTTTACTGCTAACAATTATTTTACTAAAGACGCTTTTAAAATTACCTAAATTGTGATTTATTTAAAAAAAAACTTATATATTTTGTTTATTTTCTTGTTTTAGTTTGAATTTTTTTAGTTTATTAGCTAAATACTCAATCAAAATTTATTGCAAAAAGAAAGGAAAAAAATTATTTAAATCTATCTTAAAATATAAGTTTAAAAGCATTTTGATGATGAAATCGCTATTTTCCCAATGAAGGCTAAATCGAATACCATTTTTGTAGAATGAAAAACTTTTTTATTACCAAATTATTTTATTTTTCAACTACTTTATTATTATTTTTTATATTTTTCATTCGCATGAAGCACCTTATACTTGACTTCGAGCAAAAGCTTTTTCTTAACTTGAATAGCATAACTTGATTTTTACTTGACTATTTTTATATTAGAACTTGACTTAAAATATCAATCAAATGAATTCTGTTTGAAAAGATAAAAAGGAAAACTATAGATTATCGACAATAATTATACTGTAATAGTGAAAACTAAATTTTCATTGTAAATATGTTTCACTTAGTTTCGTTCAACATTAAGTAATATATGCTGTACAGCAATGGCTATTCTACAAGTAAACTAATTAAATAGCAAGAAAGTACAAGGAAGGTTGCGACGAGCAAATCTGATTTTTTAATTGATGTGCGACAAAAGAAAAATTATGAAAAACTTGCCAACTTACATTCTCATAAAACATAACATTTTACGTATGATTACGTAAAACATCTTCGCTGTGTAACTATTATTATTATTTTTTTGAAAGTTAAAGGCATTTACATACTTAAAATTACATTAAATATGAGAGGGAATTTGTGGTTGCTTTGAAAGTTTTATTGAGAAGTTTTATCAGTGCATTTAGCATTTCTCAATTATTTATGAAAACACGAAAAGGAAGGTTCTGTAGAAGGTATGAGCTACGTCGCCACCAATTTTTTCTCTACTTAAGAAGCGTGTAAAAATTCCTTGTTTTGTCACCACAACAGATTATTGCATTTACATATATTTTAAACAATTCATTCTCACACTCAAAGTGGAATAAATCATGTGGATGAAATAAAATGATATTAAATTAGATTCTACATACTTAGAAGGATTTCCTTGGAAAATTGTCATGAGAAACTAGAAAATATATGACATCTCCTTGTACTTACCTATAAGGAAAAATAAAAGAAAATTCTTGCCAGATGGAGAAAAATCATGAGAAGTTCTTCATCTTCAAAACATTGAGTTTTGTTCTAATCAAAGCTATATATTAAATGATTATACGCAATTGTATTAAACATGTGATTAAGATGCATAAAGATGATAAAGAAGATAAGATTACACGGATGTGATCTGAAAATATTAAAAAAAAAAAATAAAATCATTATAAAATTAAAATTAGAAAGTGTTGTAAGAGATGAACCTTTAGGACCCAAAACAAATTACAGATGAGAAATTGTATAAAGCAACTTTTTTTTCGTTTTTGGAATTATTTTTATTTAATTTTTTTGTTATAAAATTTGTGATCGTCTAAAAGACTGAATTTTTGAGGAGAAAACAAAATTATTAGAAACTATTTAAAAAACCATGAAAGAAAAATGGAAATTGAGAAAAAAATTATCAGAAACGAAATTCAGAATGATAATGAATAAAAAAAATTTTAATTACTTATGTTTAAATGTTATGCGGAACTATTGATAAAGAAACATAATTGGCCTCCAAATTTGAAATTCGAAAGTCTGAAAATTAATTCGTTAAACCAAAATTTTTCTAAAAACTAGAAAAAAATGAAAATTTCTTATACAATAAATACGAAAAATGAGAAACCTTTTATTGGAATCAAATAATCCACAGATAAAGTTGTGAATCTTAAAAGAAATCGATAAAAATGGCCCTTGGCCATCGTCTATATTTATGCATTTTTCAAAGTTATTAAACTCGCAAGATATAATATTAATTTCTGTCATACATTTTTATTTCAAAACATTTCATTTTCGGGCTATAATACTTTTCAAAGATTTTATTTAGTTTTTAATCACATTTTTGTTTCACATTTATTTTGCAATCTATCGATGCATTCATAATTTATACTTTTAGACGTTTTTATGCATTTAATCGTACGTTGGAGGCTGAACATGTGAACAACTAATATATTGTTATAAGTTGAATAATCATGTATGATCACTGATTATTGAATTTGTTGAGGTCTCAACGAAAACGAACTAAACTTAATGCAACGATAGACTGCAATTGTTATTTATATAGCTAAATTTTTATTTACCATTTTTACAAAGAGAATAGAATGCGCGAATAAAAAATAAAGGAATCAATTAATTGTTTCACTTTTTTATCAACATTCAATTAAATTTTTTGTTAGCATGGTACTATTTGAAGAGTTGTAAAAAAAGAAGTCTATATATGAATCATTTATGTTTCCACTGTTTTTTAACTAAATAATATTTTATCTATGTAATGTAAATGTAGTAAATCGAACAGCATCATTTAATTAATATCAGACAACCTACATACAACAGCATCTATGTTTTCAGTTTTTAAAATAGATATGTAAACAAGTTTTTAATATTTACAATAATTCACATCCTATTAAACAATAGACATGGATAGAAAGTACATTTTCATGAATAAAAATAAATATCTGTAATGAATGATGAAAAGAAACTGAATTAAAATGAAAATCAATTTATTTAATTTAAGACACAACAGAAATATTCTTAAAAAACAATTTTGCAAATATGCAGAAATAAATCATAGATAAACAAGATAAATAAAAGCACATTAAACTTTCTGTTTTTGTGTTATCAACAATATTTCCTTTTGGAAGAAGATTAAACATGAAAACAAAAATACGATTTGCAAAGACTATGATGGCTATAGAGTAATAAGACAATTTCACATTTTTTTTTCATTTATTTATCATTAAAAAGAATTAAAAAGGAAAACTTTGTTGGATTCAAGAAAAAAAAATTAATAATAAAAATATTTTTATCAAAACGTAAGAATAATAAAGATTCATGAATAAAAAAAAGTAAAACAAATCAAAATATGTTAAGCTTAAATAGTAGGACAGTGCATCTTATTCGGCGATAAGAAATTTAATGTTTGTATGCTCCCCAGAAAAAAAAGAAGTTTCAATATCTTCAGTCTTCCTCTTTCTCTCTCTCTATCTGTCACTCTCTCTCTCTGTTTTTCTCTTGAGTGTTAAATATTTACTTGTGAAGGAATTTTTTTCTTACTGCGTTTAGGTGGTTTTAAGCTCATCTCGAATCTCTTTCCTTTATATCTTTAATCTTTTGTTAAATTTCTTCTTTGTCATGTCTTACAGCTTGAACATGATAATAGCCTTGCACACTTTATAGCTCAAATCTTCGACATAAACTTTTTGTTGGTTTTTAAACAAAATTATTGCAGAAAAACTGCTACCAGAAAATAAAAGAGAAACTAGTGGTCGGAAAGAAGCATTTACATAGTCACTGATGAACTAAAAAAAAACAATAAGTCACTCCTCTGTGAAAACCAGAAAAAATATTTTTTCGTTAATCTTATTACAGGCTGTTCGCCCAAGAAACTGTTTTCGTGTCAACTGTGTGGAAAAGTATTATGCTCAAAAGCGTCATTGAAGCGTCATATCGCGGACAAACACGCCGAACGTCAAGAAGAATACCGTTGCATCATATGCGAAAGGGTTTATTGCTCGCGCAATTCACTCATGACACACATCTATACGTATCACAAGTCAAGACCTGGAGAGTTGGATATGAAGGATATCAAATTCTTTTAGGATCTCAAATGTGAAAATTACTACAGAATGCACTCAACTCTAACTTCGCCTCCTGCTAGACAAATAAGTTATCAATTTAGTAATTATAATTCAACCGCAACTGCCTATTGGTCAACTTTGCTATCATACACTGATAATGAATTTATGAGATGTTATCACCGCCATGGTGTTGCCCACAATTTTCACGTTCGCCAAGGTTAGCTAATTGATTTTAAATCAAATCAAAAAAACAAAATCAACAATCAGAAATATCTTTCACAAGTTACTGCCTTATTCGCATCTAAAGCAAAAATATTTTCTTGACTTCTTCTTCTTCTACTGTTTTCCTGCCTTTTATATCTCATTATTTAAAATCTTCTCCTTCTTCTACTTCTACTTATAAAAACAAATATTTCGCATATTGCTTTGATAAAAAAAAATAATTAGAGTTGAATGCTAAAGTTAAAAATATTATTTAAAAAAAGAAACATAAATTCAACATCGGATTTACAAAAACAATTAAATAAAAAGCTCTGAACGCCATGAGAACAACAACATCAGCGACAATCTTCAACTGTAAAATAGTCTGTCTACTCTCCGCCTGCCAACTTCTCTCCAATTCTTCTTTCTTCTCGGACACTATCATACTTGACATTGTTATTAGTTTGTTTCGTTCATCTTCTCTTCTCTTCAGCAACTTCTTCTTCCTAGTGCTAAAAACGTATTTCTTATCTACTGTATTTGTATCAATTATAAACAAAAGATATCAAACAAAAAGTATTATAAGAAATGTATGAGATTTTTTTTCTTAGATATGAAGTAGATTGATGATTGCACAAACATCTACTATCCTAGTTATTACTCTCTAGCTTTTACTATGCTATACATTCGAAAGTATATTTGAACTATGTACACGTTTTTTTTTATGGGGGATACGTTAGAATTTTTTTGCGATAATCATTGTCGATTGATAATGATTGGAGACTCACTCTCTTCTATAACAAGAAATGCATCTTCCGACAACTATAAGTTATTGATTACACAAACTTGTGTTATTATCATTTTAAATTGATGAAATTGGTTCCATTACTTTATGAAACTACCAACTTGAATACTAAATACAATTTCTCATGAGGTTTTTTTTCACTCTCACGCCTTCAGTTTACCCCATCATCCATTTATATCGTTTATAGTTTATTTTCTGATTCCAAGTATTATAACATTTTTTTAAGTTTGATATTTGGTGTCTATGCTTAATGTAATCTCTCTCTCTGTGTTTTCATTTTACTTTCAAGCAATTAAACGGAAAGTTCTTAAAAAGCTTTTCACTTTATTTGATTTTATTTTTGTTACTTTTCTTTATCCCTTAAAATTTGTTTTGTTTTCTTTTTCTCCTTTTAAAAAATCTTTCCTTTCACCAAACCAAGAGCCTTTTTTTCTGTTGTTGATGTTTTCATTTTTTTTATTTAAAAAGAACGAACTGATGTTGCATGCTTAAATGTGTTGTTTTCATGATGTAATACACAATGGATGATGATCCCAAGCGATGATATATTTGAAACAGATGAAATATGACGTTCAAGTATTTGATGTTAATTGTTTTTAAATGTATACAACAATCCGAGCAGAATAATAGTTTTTTTTCCTATTTCTTAATGATAAATATATGTTACTTTTGAAGCAATGTTTAACGTAATAGGTAGGTACTTTTAATTTACTTCCTTATTTCAATACAAACAAAATATTTTTGGCTATACGTTCTGAACAAGCTTTTCCTTCTTTCAATCAAACTTGTAGAAAAATCTTTTTCGGACATACAGCAAATTTATTTAAGATTTTAAATTTTTATTTTGGCCGCAAAGCACAAATTTAAATTTACTTTATTTTATCTGTTTAGAATATATTTCAAAATTCATATTTCCACTGCTTTCAATTTCATTACAACAATCAATTGTGAATTATTTACATTTACAATTAATTGTTCATTTGCATCCTTTTGCATGTTTTGTCTTGTCATGCTTTTCCTGTGCTTTCATTTCTGATAAAAAAAAAGAACTCAAATTTCAAACGAACTTTCCTTCAAAAGCATGCATCACATTTTTTGCTGTTTTGTAGCTTGCGCTTTCATTTGTGCATTTTCGATAGCGTAAAAGACAATTTTGAATTTTTTTTTGGAACATAAAAAAGCAAGAAAAAAAAGAAAAATCAAAAATTAAAATTTGAAAAACAATGAAAGAAAGTATCGTTTCTAATTCACTTCTATAAATTTACTTTTTTCCTTTACTTTTTATCAAATTTCTTCACCGCCTTCAACTATCTGAACACGATAATTGATAATTCAGGTTTTGATTTTCTCCATCTCTTTGTTTTTATTCAACAGGTGCCCAAAGTGGTGTTATCTCTCCCACATCAACGTCTTCTCAGCACAGTAGTACGACATTAAGAATGCCACCGCCTACATCTGGCGGAATTAATGAGCCACAAGAATGCCCTTACTGTAGGCGAACATTCTCTTGCTATTATTCACTTAAACGACACTTCCAAGACAAGCACGAACAGTCTGATACTCTTTACGTGTGTGAGTTTTGTCATCGACGATATCGCACAAAAAATTCACTGACAACGCATAAAAGCTTACAGCATCGTGGCTCAAGTGGCATGCTTAAGCGCTTACTAAAAACATCAGCGATAAAGAATGTCCTCGGTCCACATGTGCCACAACATTCACGGCCTCATTTGTTTGATTTCGCTGCTGAGTTGGGACAACCACCACCGGGTATCCCACAATAAAAGAAACGCAATCATCTTTTGCAATTACAAATGCTCTATCTAATGCACTCAACAGAGATTGATGGGGTTTGAATGAAGATTCGGAATGAAAGAGACAATTCTATTTTTAGTCAATTTTAAATGTGTAAATTTAAATATATCAAAAAAAAATCTTTATATACATATTTAAAAGGGATTTTTCGACAAAACAAAAGAGAAAAGAAAAATGGTAATATTATCATAATAAGCAGAAGTTCATTGAGATTGTAATGTCTCAAAATCAAAACATAACAAGAAAAAAAATGATGCAGGCTTATCGTGTAAATTTTAATTATCATTTTCTAGAAAGAAAATTTGTCAAGTTTTTGTCTGCGCATTCAAAGGCGAACGTGCAATATTTTATTTCTTTTCTTGTTTAAATTAAACTATAAAAAAAATGAAAGAAACGAAGAACAAAAGGATATCAAAAGTAACACTTTTAAATTTTTTCATCATATCAAGTAAAGCACATCATGTTGAAATTGTAAGATTAATAATCAAACCTCTTTTTCAGTAAAGTTTAGACCAAGAAAAAAGTTTTTCTTTTTCTCTTCTAAAAAAATTATTATAAATGTTTAAACGATGAAAGATTAAAAAGAAGAGTTTTTAAATGAGAAGCGTTTGTAATAATGCAGTTTTTATGAGAAAATGTTTTCTTTTTATAATTTTTGAACTCAGTGATTCACCAAATAAGTACAAAAGATGATAAAGAAATTAAATTAAAATTTAAAATACATTTCTTTGTAGCTCTGATACAGGAACGATACATGAATCATTTTCTCCTGCATTTGTCTATAAAAACTTTTTCCGTATTTTTAATAAATCTAACTACATTAAAAGTTTAGAGTGCGCTAATCATGTTTGAAGATGTTTCATGAAAAAAAATTATTAAATTTTAGAAGAAGAAAAAAAATCAATAAGAAATTTCAACATAGCAACAGTGCCATAATCATCAGTATTCTCAGCTTTTTCACAGGTTAATTAATTAAAAATATTTACTAAGTGACTTAACAGATAGATTCGTTTTTCAGGAAACTTTTGTGCCAAATGTCTTGATGCTCAAACAATGAAACTTCTTCAATCATGATTAAAAAACTCAATGAACTTAATCTCTAAACAAAACATAAAAGAAACTTTTGGCCAAAACATTTTTTTTTTATGAAATGCTACAAAATAAATTTCTGTGATTCACGAATGAAAACTGAGAAGAAAGATTAAAGAAAAAATAATAATTTCATATTAACATGAATATCAAAATAGAACTTTTGGACCTCTAAAGAGTTGTTGGAATCACAAAACTGAGAAACAAACAAACATATAACTTCTTTTGGTGTTTATTAAAATTGAAGTTTCTTAAAGTAAGAGAAAATTAAAATCGATTACGATGATGAAAAGGAAATATATCAAGTAAAACCTGTAAATAATGTATTTTTGTGCCAAAATTGTAGTTAGATCTTTTCCAATTTTTCTCACAAATACGAAAAAAAGAAAATGTTTGCTAAAATCATTCATTCAGTACACGTTCGCACGAATCGAGCTCAGCGAAGAGCTTTAAAGTTTAAAAGCTCGTTAGTATCATGAAAGCTCATTTACGTAGCTTACTCTATCAAAATTTTCTTTTTTTCATTTTTAACTCAACAACTGCGCGATGGGATTTCGAAAGTTTTGGAATTTATAAGATTTATGAAAAAAAGAAAGCAAATCATTGGATTTTTTTCCATAAAGCATAGAAAATTTAAACTAAGTAAGACGAATTTGTGTCATGCTCAAAAAACAAACAAAGATTATTGAAATTTAGGCACTAAAAACGAAACTTAATCTTCTCGACATATCAAAATTCTTTATTGGTCAGATTACTTCGGTTAGGTAAATTTATGATTTAGATGAAAAAAATTATGTTTAGTAATTATGTTCCTTATTTGATTTATTGACGATAAAAAAAATAAAACTTTTCGGCTTAAAATTCAGTATGTGAAGAAATAAATAAGAAAAAAAAATGTCTACGTCTAAAAACGATTAAATTTTTATGGAAAAACATCTGTGATTCGTACAATTATTTTAATGTTATTAATTTTTTAAAATTAATCAAACTGAGTAAAATGTGAAGAACTTTTAAGAACTGATTAGATCATTATTAATTAAATTATTTGTCTAAAAGCTTTTTTGGAAAAAAATGAATTCTTCTCTTTTTTTTCGAAACGATAATTATACTAAATTTTTAATGACATGTAAAATTTTTATATTTTAATGTTTAAACTTTTCGGCTACCAAAGATTGCGATAAATTGAAATTATAATTTGAAGAAATTGAAACGATAACAAAAAAGTTTTTAATAGAATCCCATCAAGATTAATTTTGAAACAATATTAAATATACAAAATGAATAAGAATAGAGAAATTAACTCCATATCTTTCTTGATATCTTTGATACTCTTTCTCTTGCGCATCCGTGAAGGTCGAATTAGTAAAGAGAAATAGTAACCCGATATACCTCTGTAAAAATACAAAACGAACTAAAAAGTAAAGTTTAGTAAACTTCATAAGCTTTTTTGTACGAATTAAATTTCTTTGTGCCATTTAAATGACAACAGTAAAACAGTAGTAATTTGATTTGGTTAAGATTTTTTTCATCATAAGACATCATCATGATTTTGTTTTTAAGGCTTCTCATACACATATCTGAAAGTAACTAATTAATATCAGAATTCTTACCATGAAATCGTCACCCACAAATAAATAAAACCTCTTCAAAGATAACATTCATTGAAATATCAGTGTTGAACCAGTTTTTTTCTAATGTAAATTTTCTCAAACTGTATAAATCGTAAAACTTAGTTTTTTACCATCAATAAAAGATTTGAGACACAAAAAAAAATATCGACAAGTCCGAATTTATAAATGTAGTAAATTTTAAAAAATCTTTAATGAAACTTGTTGTTGTAAGAATTGAAATGAAAGATGAAACAATGATAATATGTTTGAACAATATTTAAGATCGCAACATTGAGGAGTAAAATTCCAAATGGATGTTGCAGCTCATATTTCCTACGATTTATGATGAGGAATTGCAAAATTAACAGCGGATATTTTATAAGACGAAAACGTTTATTTTGGTGCAGCAGAAAGCAAATCATATTTCATTGAACCTCTTTTCATGAATTCATGTTTCAATTTAAGAATATGAAGAAGAAAAAAGAACGCATTTTAAGGAAATAAGAAGTAATAAGGATAGCATTCGATTATAATTTCATTCGCATAATTTTCCTTCTTGCAATATTAATTTATTAGTTGAACAATTACTGATGATAGTGATAAACAATTCACCTCTCTTTTTTTAATTAAAATAATAATTAATAGACATGTTGTAAGTTAATACTTCCAATAGAGTTAATCAAAAAACAAACACAGGAAATATTTTTGTGTCTAATTTTTAAGTCATTCCACGAGCATTTGAAATGCTTAAACTTTCTTATTTCGATTATTAAGACATTTAATTTTTTAATTTTCATTTTGAATTGCAATATTCAATGATATTTTTATAATTACTAAGCATTAGCAATGATATCAAAATGATTATGATTTGATAATCAAATTTGAGTTTAAGTTTTCATTTTTTACATTTTCTTTAAATATTTGAGCTGTTTTAAAAATAACTTTTCTTAAGCAGATAAACAAACACGTGTCGTCTTCTGATTATGGTTCAGTTTAGTACTTTTCACGGATAAATGAATTCAAAAATGAAACGTTCAAATACAAAACAAGCTGCCTTTAAGACAGTACAAGAAAAAAAGAAACAGAAGAAAAATATATCAGTAACTAACTAAATCAATTGACGTTTAATACGTCACATCATGTGTTTTAAGAAGCATCAGAAGAAGTAGAAACTGTTAAATATCTGCAGAGAAACGAGAGAAATATCGACTTTTTTGAAAACAGGAAACAAACCGCAAAAGAATTCAAATTGAATTTGAACACACTGATAACGAAATACCTCAAAAATAAAATAACAAAAGAAGAAAAAATTAATGTTTTTACAACATAAGAAAAGAAATTTAAGATTTACTGTTTAACAATCAAAACATTGATAAAATGCCATTTATAATGTAAATCTTTTATACTTTCCTCCTTACAACCTCAACTAAAGATGAATCAATATCAAAAAAAAAAAATATCAAATGAAAATAAAAGTTTTCGAACAAACTGTTAAGCACATAAATTGATAGTTTATGAATGCATTTAAAAAAATATCTTTCGAGCAACTCGACGACCCTTTGTTTTAAAAAGAGAAGAAATCTAAAATTACATTTCAATTGATGAAAAGTCTCAACATGAGACATTGAAAATAAAAAGATTATCATCAAGGCAAATGAATTCTTCAATTAATCAAATTATATTGAACATCAATCAATCAATTAATTATATTACTTGCTTATAATTATGCGTGTAAGAAAAATATAAATCAAATAATAAAGTTATATCTAAAATTAATGTTGATTGCTTATTTATTTTCTTGAACTTCTTTCAGCATCACAGCTTATCAAATTAATAGAATATGAAACTTTTAAAGTTAAATCACAACAATATTCTTAACTTTATTAATGACTTTTATTTTCATAATTATGTAATTTCGTTATACTTTTGTACATTTATGGACGTTCCATGCTTTTCTTCACAATGCCTTTTAAGATCATTTAATGTTTTCATTTTTTCAGGACATTTAAGACATGGAAATTGCGCATTGTTCTCCATGATCTCTTCTGCAATGCGATTTCATTGCGTTGTTGTATTTAAACTTCAACCCACAATATCTACAACGATAACGTTTATCATCAGAATGCGACTGCTTCATGTGTGTAAATATTTTGTTCAAATTTGAATCCATATCTTTTGTTGCAAATATCGCAAGAAAATCTCTTTTCATCAGATGATGTGTGAATATTCATTTCATGAGATCTTAGATGGTTACGTGTCTTAAATGTCGCCCGACATTGTTCACAAGGACATGGTCGATTGACATTCTTTTCATGTTTATCTTCAACATGTTTATCCAATTTATTTTGTGAAACGAAAAATTGTGCACACTAATGGAATGAAAATTTTCATTTTAGTGAATGTATTCATAAGTAAAAAATATTATAAATTCACCGTTTGACATTGAAACGACAAATGTCTTTTGATATGATTCCGATAGTCATCAACCACGACTTTACACTGGAAGCAGAAGTTGTCCACATTTTTAATATGTTGATTGTGTATTTTAGCCATGTGATCAACAGCAACTGCTTTGAAAGTGAACTTCTTACCACACCCAATGCAAGGATAATTGTAAGAACGCCTCTTCTCCGTCAAAATTCCAATACAATTTCGAATGTGATTTTGAAAAGTTTTTTTCACCTCGTGTGAGTCTCTTCAAACATTTCGGACATTCATATAGAAGTCCACAACCAGATACAAATTTCATGCTTGAATCAGCTTTCACAATTTCGCCTCTTGTATGAATCTTTTCGTGATCTCTCACCATCGTTTTATTTGAGAAAAATCGTCCACAAATTGAACTGAAAGATTATTTTCTTTACAATTTCATAAAAAATGAAATAAATTGCAAAATTACCAGCCAAATGGTCTGTAACCTTCGTGACTAACACGAATATATCGTCGAAGATTTTGAGGAAGCATTTCATCACCACAATGTGGACATTTTGCTCGTTCTCTTTCTTTGTGAAGTGTCATGTGTGCTTTCAGGCGCTTTTTTGATTTGAAAACTTTGCCGCATATATCACAACAGCCGTGATCAACCTGTGAATCACACTTCATTATAATTAAGAATTTAACACAAGAATTTTAATATTTACATGTGCGTTATGAAGATGGCTATGAAGATGCATTCTTGATTTACAAATTTTATCACAAAATTGACATTGTGTTGATTGTGATTCTTCATTGGAATCTTTTATAATTTTACAGATTTCAGATTTATTAGCGTTTTTAAGTCTTTTTGCCTTATTAGTGTAATGTTTTTTTACTTCATCTTCAAACGTTGCTACAGGTTCCCTTAGAGGCTCTTCAAACATTACGCATTCAACAGCAACATTTCCATATTCAGGCTCTTCTTTTATTACCATATCTTCAACTTTTACATCAGAAGCAGGGAATGGATCTTTATTGAAACAAATTTCGTCAAGAACTTGTCGATCGGAGCAAAAATGACCTAAATACTCTAATAGTTGTCAACTAAAGGATGAAATTCTGTTTAAATTTTCTATGGCTTTTTGAACATGATAAGACGGATTGGTTTTTAATTTTATTATTGGCTCAATGTTTCACTTTTCTGTCCATTAACTCGTAAGCTTGGTTTTTAACGCTTAAGTCGAACTCCAACTGTGACAATGCGTTGTTAATCTTCAATTCACTTTCTTCTTTATCTCTGGAAATTTCTTCCGGGATAAGATTTCGTCGACAGCCAGAATCGAGCATCATTGGAGTTTCAACTGTTCCATTCATTACTTTTTCAAGTTTATCTTGCGGGCTAACGAAATGAACACTTTCTACTTCATATTGTTCATCATTGTCTTCATTGACATTTTCGTTTTTCTCGATTGCCAGGACTTTGTTTCGATGATATTCGCCGTAAGTCATATTGTTAGAATTCACATCTTTCAACTTTCTCTTCCCTTGGTTTTCATTCATCAAGTTCATTGATTGTAATATATTATCCATTTTAACTTCCATCGTTTCAATACGTTGATTCTGTGCGTTATTTCTATCTCACTGATCATATGAGTTATCGCCTCTCTGAAAACTATCGTAAGGCTGATATCTATTCATTGTTCGATAGTTTTGTCGATAATTGTTTTGGCTATTTCTTTCGGGAAAATTTCTATTAGCGTATCTTTCTTTATCTCTAACATAACGCATTTTCTTAAAAACAGGAGGCCTGTTACACATTCTTGCATAATGATTTCTTCCACTACATTTCTGCATTGTGCACCGATGGCTGGGCACAAGTTTTCCATAGTGTGTTGTAGAAAACCGCATTTATTACAAGAATTATTGGCTTTTTCAATCTTTTCGCTCACATTTGTGTTTACAGCGTTCACTGATTCTTTCGAGATAAAGCAATTTATTTTTCATTATCCTCTTTAATTGTCTTTTCTGCCAATTTAATTTTATGACATTTGTCAACTAATTCCTCCGAAGTCTTATCATCATAAGATTTAACAAGTGTTTTCATTTTAAATGTTGAGTATGAAACACCAGTAAGGAATTGACCTCGAACTTCATTTTCAATTTTTTTGTTTTTTCAAATTCACAGCCTTACACCAACAGATTTAATCTTCTTATATATTCTCGAGCAGTCTCATTCGGTATTTTGAAAGCAGCTCGAAATTTGAGTCTAGCAGCGTTCGGATAGGATGCTCCTCCAAAAGCTTTATCCAAAATTTTAAACATTAGCTTCGTAGCATTTATATTTTTTTTCACTGTCAGAATCTGTTTGTACTTTTTCTTCTTTCAATCCTGATTGAAAATCCTTTCCAGTCTTCAGCATATTTTTCAGAACTTGTTGGACATGTATGCCTCCCAAGGACATTATTCGACCAACTTTCTTATCTTTTGTAATCTTTATTCCGCTTAAATACCATTCAATTTGTTCTTTCCAGTTGTGCCAACTTGCACAAACGTCTTTGTCTGCCTCATTTGGGTCAAATAGTTTAATACCATGATGCACAGTGTCTGTCATCTTCTCGGTTTAATCGTTTTTTAATAAAGTTATCGTTGGATTTCTTTTATCTCGAGTTAACTTATACTTCCTTCGAGTATTTTATCACCAGTTTACTTGATTTCTCCGATCTAACGTCTTTCTATAATAACCAACGTAATAGAAAAGTCTTTAGAAAACAACAAAGTATCACAAAAACATTCTGAATAATCTTTTACATTTTCTGAATGTACTTTTCTTTGCATTGACCATCTGCTGAATTATGGAAAATATTCAATTACATATTTCCAAACTCTCGTTTCTTGTTTTAAAAATTGCACATTGCCATACTGTGCTATAACTTTTTTCAGTTTTATCTTTTATTTTATCGCACGTTGCCATACCGTGCTTTTATTTCGTGCATTTACACAACTGCACTTTTCTAACGCACATTGTCATACTTGTGCTTTTATTCTGTACATTACCACACCTGTACTTATCAAACGCACATTGCCATACTGTGCTTTTACTATGTGCATTACCACAACTGCACCTTTCTTACGCACATTACCATACTGTGCTTTTATTTTGTACATTGCCGAAACTGTACTTTTATCGTGCTAATTTTTCTCAGCTGTACTTTTCTAGAATGCACATACCAATCTGTGCTTTTCTATATTCATCGGGTTAATTTTATCTAAAAACACCCGGAAATTCCATCTTTCAGGAATATATTAGCTAACTGAGGGATTTTCATCTCAAAATTGCAGATGAAAACGAATATTTCGGGGAAAATTTGTCATTTTCTTTTCCCCTCAAAAAAACTCCCTCAGTTGCCTATTTTCATCTTTCCTCCGAATAAAAACTACTTTATGCAGAAAGTAGCATTCAATCTCAATGAGATTGATCGAAAATACTTACAATTTCGTTGAAAAAGAGAATTAATCCTCGTCGCCAGATGTTCCGGTGCCAAACTGCACGTCTGCACGCCTCGAAGTCTCGGTCTAAACTGACTCAGAACTCGTGCCAGTACCCACGAATAATCTAGTGTCTGGCCCCTCTGAATCCCACCGGTACAATTATAATCAATATGCACATCCGTCCACTGATAATCAAACAATGCCAATTGATCATACTGACGATCTTATCGAAGAAATTCATGATGGTTACAAAGTTATCTATCAACAAATTCCTGAAGAAAATATTTGTAATAATGAAACANTTGTGTGAATTCATAAGTAAAAAAATATTATAAATTCACCGTTTGACATTGAAACGACAAATGTCTTTTGATATGATTCCGATAGTCATCAACCACGACTTTACACTGGAAGCAGAAGTTGTCCACATTTTCAATATGTTGATTGTGTATTTTAGCCATGTGATCAACAGCAGCTGCTTTGAAAGTGAACTTCTTACCACACTCAATGCAAGGATAATTGTAAGAACGCCTCTTCTCCGTCAAAATTCCAATACAATTTCGAATTTGATTTTGAAAAGTTTTTTTCACCTCGTGTGAGTCTCTTCAAACATTTCGGACATTCATATAGAAGTCCACAACCAGATACAAATTTCATGCTTGAATCAGCTTTCACAATTTCGCCTCTTGTATGAATCTTTTCGTGATCTCTCACCATCGTTTTATTTGAGAAAAATCGTCCACAAATTGAACTGAAAGATTATTTTCTTTACAATTTCATAAAAAATGAAATAAATTGCAAAATTACCAGCCAAATGGTCTGTAACCTTCGTGACTAACACGAATATATCGTCGAAGATTTTGAGGAAGCATTTCATCACCACAATGTGGACATTTTGCTCGTTCTCTTTCTTTGTGAAGTGTCATGTGTGCTTTCAGGCGCTTTTTTGATTTGAAAACTTTGCCGCATATATCACAACAGCCGTGATCAACCTGTGAATCACACTTCATTATAATTAAGAATTTAACACAAGAATTTTAATATTTACATGTGCGTTATGAAGATGGCTATGAAGATGCATTCTTGATTTACAAATTTTATCACAAAATTGACATTGTGTTGATTGTGATTCTTCATTGGAATCTTTTATTATTTTACAGATTTCAGATTTATTAGTGTTTTTAAGTCTTTTTGCCTTATTAGTGTAATGTTTTTTTACTTCATCTTCAAACGTTGCTACAGGTTCCCTTAGAGGCTCTTCAAACATTACGCATTCAACAGCAACATTTCCATATTCAGGCTCTTCTTTTATTACCATATCTTCAACTTTTACATCAGAAGCAAGGAATGGATCTTTATTGAAACAAATTTCGTCAAGAACTTCAGCTAGCCTCGTTTTTACTGGATTTATGAGATTATCAACAGTTGATAAGGATGAAATTCTGTTTAAATTTTCTATGGCTTTTTGAACATGATAAGATGGATTGGTTTTTAATTTTATTATTGGCTCACTTCCATAATAATCGAGTAAGCAGTGAAATTGATTCCAATATTCAAGTTTCATATCTTTAAGCAGCCACTGAATCTCTAATATCTCAGCTTCATTTCCCTCACTTATAATTCTCACATTCATTTCACTGTCAATTAAAATTTCTATTGAAATGTTCACAATGTTGAAAAGATCATCTTTTTTAAGTTTGTAAAAACAAATTCCATCAATTTGATTGAAAACTTTCCAATCATTTCTCCAAATGATTTGATCGTTTGATGATGAAAGATAGTTCAAAAAAGCATTGTAATCTGATATTCTATCACTTGAGTCAAGGAACTTTATATGCTTCTCATAGAAAAATGATTTTGTATCTGCTTGCTGCATGGCTTTAAACTTGTAGAATAAAATCGTCCTGATTTCCTTCAAATCTATTTAATATTTACTTAGATCTCATTCATTGACAATGATTCACACATTTATTTTTTTAAAAAGGCATATTTCTCATAGTCAATTATTTTCAAAGCTCGTTTTATTTAGCAATTTGAAGAAATATTGATAGAACTTTTACACTTTTCAATTGTCAAACAAAATATTTTCAAGAAAAGAAAACAAACGCTGGAAATTTTAAAGGACCGCTAAGCGGCGATGTCTCGTTTTATGGAATTTGAATATTGAAAAGCTGTTATAAATATTTAATCGAAATTTTAACTTTGATACTTTCAGATATCAGTTTATTAATGCTAAATTATTCCCGTTCCTCATAATACACTGAATTTTTCAAATTTTTATATCCCTATGGTCTGTGCCATATTTGCATATAAATACAAGGTGGGCAATCCAAAGCAGAAAATTGAAACAGCCATTTTTATCGCTAAGCATGTCCACGTTCCTATTCCCATAACTAATAAAGTTCCATCTAACCATACAGCTTTGAATGCGATAGCCAGAAGTAGAAACGTTACAATTGGAGCATGTTTCCTATTTAGATCATGCCGAGAAAATAGCCAAAGGAGGCAGGTAACAGTACACGTTACAACTAGAAGTATGTTTGATTCAAGGCTCTTTTGAGTGTAAATCCAAGAGAACTCAGCTCCACGAGCTCGCCATAATATTAAGCCCTGAATAAAGAAATTCATTAATTGCAATCTTTTAGTTTATTTGTTTCCTTACCTTTGATAAAATAATTTCAGCTGACGACCAACCCACCGCAGCAGTAAGAAGTTTAGAATGACTCTTACCAGGTATTTTACTGAGTACAAAGGCGAGTCCAACAAAATCCAAGAGGTCAGCAGAGCAACGTAAACATTCCTTAAAACAATGAATGTTATGTAAATGATTCATTAACTTATTAATCACAACCACTTACTCCGAGGAAATTAAAATCTGCTGGATCTGTGTTTATAGTTTCCGGGAAGAAAGTAAGAATGAGCATTTTACATAATTGAGTAAATACGTAAATTGAACCGGCATGGAATATTTTCGTTAATCCATATTCTGACCTAAAATAAATCAAACTCAATGAGGTTTCAAAATATGAAAATAAAATATTTTAATGAAAATTTCACTTACAATCCTGAAAACTTATACAGAAAATATATTGGAAGTACTGCCAATGCCACAACGTTACCGAAATGAAATAATGTCATGCTGAATTATTATAATTATGATTAGGTATTTATTTGATTAAAATTCAGGAATAGAACTCAAAGGCCTTAGATAAGTTTTAAATACCCACAATAAAAGCTCTTTACCCCTTTAAGATAATTTTTGAATAGCAAAGAAACGTTATTTTTTGTAATTAACGAATGCTTGAAATCTCTCTCTATTGAATGGTGTTTTGGACATTCGATCATGATGATCATTCAAATTGATGTAATACTGTGTTAGGGCAGCAGATAATAAGATTTGTTTTATTGAGAAACATACAAAACATGGAAAAATTATCTAAAGGTCATCTTCAATCCACAAATGAATATTGTCACCTGCAGACACGAACAACATATAAGCTGGATTAAATAAAACTAATGGACAAGGATTTTCGTGTCCGCTATGTAAATCAAATTTCTTTAAAGATTTTTTTAAACACCAAACAGAATTAGAATTTTCTTCACTACCAGTAAAAACAATATTTGATTCAGGAGCGAAACATGCATCGACAAATCCACTAAATGGTAGATTCGTATTTCCTGTGGAATGGAATAAATAATAAATTTATTTGAATACAAAATATTCTGAATGAAAAACTTACCAATTAGATTATGTAACTCATCTAATGTTTCTGCACAAAAAATGATCACACGTTTAAAATTTGTTGTCACCATCAATAGTTTTCCATCATTTGAATATTTTAAGCTTGTCCATTCAACTCCTGGCAATTTCTCGTGTTCTTTCTTATTAATTTCTTCAGATAATTTCTTTCTGGAGAAAATTTTGATTATACTAGAGTCATGGCAAACGGCGAAAAACTCTCCAGAAGGATGATATGCCACCAAAGGTGTTGAATCGAATGCTAATTTTCTTCTGGGTGTATCACTTCTTTCATCCCAAAGTAAAACAGTTTTATCCCTAGATCCTGAAGCAATATTATAATTTGATGACACAGATAAAGACACCACCTTTGATATTATTAAATTTAGATAACATGAGAATAATTAATATGACATTATAATCTCAGGTAAAAAATATTATTAACCTTTTCAGTGTGTCCTTGAAAATATCTTTTAAAACCTTCACTATCTAGATCTAGTAATCTCAATGCTAAATTTTTTACGGGATCAGGAAAATAATGTTTGGCTGATGTGCAAATCACAAAATGTAAATCAAAGAATTTTACTATTCCTAATCCATACTTAAATGAAGGGATAGCAGCTTTGGATAATCTATCATCGATTTTTATAACATTAAGGATTTTGTTTGTATTTGCAATAAGAGTCTCTCCGTTATAAGAAAAGTCCAAAGATTTAATTTTTTCTTGTGACTCCATTGAAACATATTTTGTATATGCGACACGAAATTTTTTAATGTCTTTGGTTGTAATTTTATATGACATTGTTTGATTTGTAATTACGTACGTAATTAATTTAATTTCCTGATAAATATTTTAAAATAAAATGAAATTTTCCTAAAACCGACGTGCAATCTTAACATTTAAATCTAAACTAAAGTATTGTTGACAGGTATCAAATTAAACTGACATTACAGAAAAAATTGCTAAAAAGTAGGACAGGACATTCTTATCTTAATGGTTTGTTCTCTTTCTAAATATTTTTTTGTGGGTTATGTGAATAAATTCAAATAAAAGTTCTAAGAAGCAAAGCTGTGAGTGCATTTGCAATGTTGCCAAATTTATGACGCCTTCATCACTTGTAGATTTATCTAAAAATTAGGATAGGTTGAATTTTTTTTTATGTTTAACAGCTCTAAATTATAAATCAGTATTTTGGATTTGTCGTTTAAATGTAGGAAGAATCACGTTTAAATTACAAGAACTTCTTCTTGGTAAGAAAATATTTATCACTTTAACCCTGCATTTTATTTCATTCTTCTATGAAGAGATGCATATGTGTGAGTGTACTTTCCATGAGATAATGTGTAATGAAGCGGTTAATCAAATTTATAGACAGATTCATCACGATACATGAAATGCTGAAAGTTCCTTCCAAAACAAGAATGTTTAATTAAAGAATTGTTGATTATTCTTCCAGATTTTGGGTGTTAACCACAAATTCATATTTGGGAGCATAAAGCAGAAAACATGTTCACACACACATTCACAAGATAATCTATTAAGAGAGCTAAAATTTTTGTAATAAGCAAGGTAGAAGCTTTTATATCCTATACATAATGTTGCCATTTATCACATCTTTCACTTATTTCTCTTATGGATTCTTCTTGTTTATTTGAGAACAAAAATGACTTTTGCTCGTTCTCGAATGCTTTCAGTTACTCGAGTTTTGTTCGTCACATTGCAAGGACGTGTACAAAGCTAAATCCAATAAATTGAAGATATTAAATTCATCAAAGTTTTAATATAAAAGACCAAAATGGTGAGTGAAATAGTAGAAAAATGTTAGGGGAAAAACCAGAAAAAAATCGTATTAAACTCACAATTAAAATGTGATTTCTACTGATTTTTTTTAGGATTTTATGGCGAAAAAAAATCGTTTAGAACCTGATTTAGAAAGGAAAAATATTATATAGCGTCGTCATCAATTTTCATGTGAAAAAAAGAATAGCTGCCGTTACCTTCAGTTTAACCGTAGCGTTTATTGATTTCCTAGAAAAAAAAACAAAAATCGCTCGAAAAACTGTAAATTTTCTCTTTTTTGATGCGTTTCATATGAAAAATAATAGCATTCATGGAGAATCTTGCCATTTTATGAAAATTATTTATGACGGTGACTCATCCGATTATTTTTCTTCTTTATGTAGCGCGAATGTATCTCAATTCATGTCGGACAAGCTGGTGTTCAAATCGGTAATGCTTGTTGGGAATTGTACTGTCTTGAACATGGAATTCAGCCAGATGGTCAAATGCCCAGCGATAAAACCATGGGAGGGNGAGCTGTTTAAGTGCTCAAATGTTGAAAACGCCGGGCTGTCTACTTTACTTGTAATAGAATAATTATAATTTATAATTATTGACTTTCTGTTAGATTTTTGCTTAATTGCATGCTCTTTGCGGTTAAATGTGCTTAAATGCATTTCAAATCTTTATGAAGAAATCTTCTTGGTTTTTAAATTAAGAAACGGGATATATTGCATAAAAAGTTTATTTACGTCAAAAGAAATAAACATATGCAGTAGAATGTTTAATATCAGCATAAAACATGAAAGGAAAATCATATCGAATGAACGTTTCAAGATCTAAGAAATGTAACAGTTTAAAATTCTCACCGATAGGTGGCGATGGTGGGTATCATTATATCAAAGAGAACATCGCCATTAATGCTTTTCTGAAAAATAATCATTTTCCAAGAATTTTATTAGTTTTTCTTGGAATTTGCCTAGCGCTTTTAACGGCCAATATTTTTCTATAAATTACCCCTTGGTAAATTCTTACTTAGGAGCATAAAACAGAAAACATGTTCACTCACACATTCATGAAGATTAAGAGAGTTTAAATTCCCCTAGAAAGCAAGGCAGAAGCTCTTATGTCCTATACATAATGTTGCCATTTATCACATCTTTCACTTATTTCTCTTATGGATTCTTCTTGTTTATTTGAGAACAAAAATGAATTTTACTCGTTCTCAAATGCTTTCAGTTACTCGAGTTTTGTTCGTCACATTGCAAGGACGTGTACAAAGCTAAATTTATTAAATTAAAGATTCTAAATTCATCAAAGTTTTAATATAAAAGACCAAAATGGTGAGTAAAATAATGACAATGAAATAGTAGAAAAATGTTAGGGGAAAAACCAGAAAAAAATATCGTATTAAACTCACAATTAAAATGTGTTTTCTACTGATTTTTTTTAGGATTTTATGGCGAAAAAAATCGTTTAGAATCGCATGATTTAGAAAGGAAAAAGACATTGAAATGTGAAAAAAGAATAGCTGCCGTTACCTTCAGTTTAACTGTAGTGTTATTGATTTCTTAAAAAACAAAACACGCTCGAAAACTGTAAATTTCTCTTTTTTGATGCGTTTCATATGAAAAATAATAGCATTCATGGAGAATCTTGCCATTTTATGAAAATTATTTATGACGGTGACTCATCCGATTATTTTTCTTCTTTATGTAGCGCGAATGTATCTCAATTCATGTCGGACAAGCTGGTGTTCAAATCGGTAATGCTTGTTGGGAATTGTACTGTCTTGAACATGGAATTCAGCCAGATGGTCAAATGCCCAGCGATAAAACCATCGGAGGTGGAGATGATTCATTCAACACTTTCTTCAGCGAAACTGGAGCTGGCAAACATGTTCCACGTGCAGTTTTCGTTGATTTAGAACCAACTGTCGTTGATGAAGTTCGTACCGGAACTTACCGTCAACTTTTCCATCCCGAACAATTGATTACTGGCAAAGAAGACGCTGCCAACAACTATGCTCGTGGACATTACACTATCGGAAAGGAAATCGTCGATGTCGTCTTGGACCGCATCCGAAAGCTTGCTGATCAATGTACTGGTCTTCAAGGATTTTTGATCTTCCACTCATTCGGTGGTGGCACCGGTTCTGGATTCACATCTTTGTTGATGGAACGTTTGTCTGTCGATTATGGAAAGAAATCGAAATTAGAATTCGCCATCTACCCAGCTCCACACATCTCAACAGCAGTTGTCGNTTGAATTAAAAAGGCATAATCTTTGACATGAACAATTACAAAATGTGAATATTCTTCTTGGTCATGACAAAATCATCTAATTAATTTATTTATAAAAAAGAAAAACAGCATACATCCTTCTAGGTTGCAGATAATTGTATAAGACATTCTTTGATTCGAGATTAATAATTTTAATATCCTTATAAATATTTTAAAATGAAAAACAATTTTTTCCTAAATTCCAGACGAAATCTTAACATTTAAAACTCAACTAAAGTTTTGTTGACAGGTATCAAATTCCATTGATGTTTCAGAAAAATTTGCTAATAAGTAGAACTGACATTCTTCTGATGGTGATTTTATTGATTGGATCCTGTAAATCCATTGAAATTATAGTTTTGAAAGATGAGCAAAGCAAAACTATGAATGCATGCGAAAAAATGATGCGAAATTAATGAAAATTTAAGCCGCCTTCACAACTCATCATTGAAAATATTTTAAATTCAGAGTTTTTACATAATATAGAAGGGTTTTGATTCTGCTGTTTAAATACTCAAAATGTTTTTGGTTTCAAGCTTCCCCCTGTTTAATTTCACACCGAAGTATGAATCACTAATTTTTTTAGAAAATATTTATCACTTCAACCCTGCATTTTATTTCATTCTTCTATGAAGAGATGCATATGTGTGAGTGTACTTTCCATGAGATAATGTGTAATGAAGCGGTTAATCAAATTTATAGACAGATTCATCACGATACATGAAATGCTGAAAGTTCCTTCCAAAACAAGAATGTTTAATTAAAGAATTGTTGATTATTCTTCCAGATTTTGGGTGTTAACCACAAATTTTTATTTGGGAGCATAAAACAGAAAACATGTTCACACACACATTCACAAGATAATCTCTTAAGAGAGTTAAAATTTTTGTAATAAGCAAGGCAGAAGCTTTTATATCCTATACATAATGTTGCCATTTATTACATCTTTCACTTATTTCTCTTATGGATTCTTCTTGTTTATTTGAGAACAAAAATGAATTTTACTCGTTCTCAAATGCTTTCAGTTACTCGAGTTTTGTTCGTCACATTGCAAGGACGTGTACAAAGCTAAATTTATTAAATTAAAGATTCTAAATTCATCAAAGTTTTAATATAAAAGACCAAAATGGTGAGTAAAATAATGACAATGAAATAGTAGAAAAATGTTAGGGGAAAAACCAGAAAAAAATATCGTATTAAACTCACAATTAAAATGTGTTTTCTACTGATTTTTTTTAGGATTTTATGGCGAAAGAAATGGTTTAGAATCGCATGATTTAGAAAGGAAAAAGACATTGAAATGTGAAAAAAAGAATAGCTGCCGTTACCTTCAGTTTAACCGAAGCTTTATTGATTTCTTAGAAAACAAAAAAACGCTCGAAAAACTGTAAATTTTCTTTCTTGATGCGTTTTATAGAAAAATGCTGACTCATCGGATTATTTTTCTTCTTTATATAGCGCGAATGTATCTCAATTCATGTCGGACAAGCTGGTGTTCAAATCGGTAATGCTTGTTGGGAATTGTACTGTCTTGAACATGGAATTCAGCCAGATGGTCAAATGCCCAGCGATAAAACCATGGGAGGTGGAGACGATTCATTCACCACCTTCTTCAGCGAAACTGGAGGTGGCCATTATGTTCCACGAGCAGTTTTCGTTGATTTAGAACCAACCGTTATCGACGAAGTTCGTACCGGAACTTACCGTCAACTTTTCCATCCCGAACAATTGATTACTGGCAAAGAAGACGCTGCCAACAACTACGCTCGTGGACATTACACTATCGGAAAGGAAATTGTTGATGTCGTCTTGGATCGCATCCGAAAGCTTGCTGATCAATGTACTGGTCTTCAAGGATTTTTGATCTTCCACTCATTCGGTGGTGGCACCGGTTCTGGATTCACATCTTTGTTGATGGAACGTTTGTCAATTGACTATGGAAAGAAGTCCAAATTAGAGTTCGCCATCTACCCAGCTCCACACATCTCCACAGCAGTTGTCGAGCCATACAATTCTATTTTGACCACCCACACAACTTTGGAACATTCCGATTGTGCTTTCATGGTTGACAATGAAGCAATCTTCGACATTTGTCGTCGTAATTTGGATATTGAACGTCCAACTTACACCAATTTGAATCGTTTGATCGGTCAAATTGTTTCATCAATTACTGCTTCACTTCGTTTCGATGGAGCATTGAATGTTGACTTGACAGAATTCCAAACTAATTTGGTTCCATATCCACGTATCCATTTCCCATTGGTTACCTACGCACCAGTCATCTCTGCTGAGAAAGCTTACCACGAACAACTTAGCGTTGCTGAAATCACAAACGCTTGTTTCGAACCAGCTAACCAGATGGTGAAATGCGACCCACGTCATGGAAAATACATGGCATGTTGCATGTTGTACCGTGGCGATGTCGTTCCAAAGGACGTCAACGCTGCAATTGCAACCATCAAAACTAAACGCACCATCCAATTCGTCGACTGGTGTCCAACTGGATTCAAAGTTGGAATCAACTACCAACCACCAACAGTAGTTCCAGGTGGTGACTTGGGCAAAGTTCAACGTGCTGTTTGCATGTTGTCGAACACCACAGCTATTGCTGAGGCTTGGGCTCGTTTGGATCATAAATTCGATTTGATGTACGCCAAACGTGCTTTCGTTCACTGGTATGTTGGTGAAGGTATGGAAGAAGGAGAATTCTCTGAAGCTCGTGAAGATTTGGCAGCTTTAGAAAAGGATTACGAAGAAGTCGGAATGGACTCAGGAGACCCAGAAGATGAAGGTGCCGAAGAATATTAAGTTCTTCTTCATGACTTCTAAACCCTTTACATGCTTTTAGTAGATAATATTATTTTGTCATTTTAAGTTTATTTCTGAAATATTTCTAAGAATATTTTAAATGAATAAAATGTATTTCTCAGTCAAGAGTGTGTAAAGACAAATATGAATTGTTTAATGCTTTTGATTATTTCAGATTTTGATTTGGCGATGTCATAAGGCATGAGACGATTCAAGATTTATCTAATGGTTAAAGCTCATTTCCTTTTTAGAGAGAGATGCCAAGATGTGAAATATAATAATGTGAATTAATCAGAAAAGGAAAAACTTTTGTCATGAAATATCAAAAGATTAAGTCAAGACTTTCTCATGTTTTCAGAGTTTCTTTTTCTGTTAGTTTACTATTTTTCCTCTGCTTGTTTTTCCCTATAACTAGCAAGTCAAAATTGGAGAAACATTCATAAAATTAACTTTGACTATATTCAACGTTGAATGATTTTTATTAAACATTTCCATTTTAGATATTTGTTTAGTTATGGTACGATCATGACATCATAAGACTGTGTGGGATCTTTTTATAGCAATGTGACATGGCACTGCACACCGAGAAACTGTCGTTAAAAGAGAATTTTGTTTTCGTTTTGATAAAATTGTTCCTCAACCTTGATTTTTTATGAATGTACATAATACTTGTGAAGAAATTTTATTTTATTCACCGGCTAAATGCCACAATTTCAACAAAACAATGTACACTTCTTAGCTTATCATAATGATTCCAAATTTATTCATAAAGTGTACAAAACAAAGGTTGAATTAAAAAGGCATAATCTTTGACATGAACAATTACAAAATGTGAATATTCTTCTTGGCCATGACAATATCATCTAAATAATGTATTTATAAAAAAGAGAAACAGCATACATCAATGCGTGTGTATGAATATTCTCAAGAGTACTTCAATTCATCCGAACTATGCAGCGTGTAGATTGCTGTTTGATAATTAAGTCCACTTCTAGCATTGTATTGGGAACGAGAAACTTCCTGTTGTATAAAATCTAAAAAGCTGAATAAAAAATTTATTTGTGTAGCCTAATGTATTGCTTATTACAATATTTCATTTTGTTACTTCTTGTTTCTACGTGTAGGTGGAAGAGAAAAACTCAACTTTATAACTGATCGAAATTTGTTCAGCCATTCGAGTTTTGATCGTCACATTGTACAGACGTTTCCGAAGCTAAGTCTTTATTTTCCCATAATTCCTGAAAATTTAATAAAAATCATTCAAAATGGTGAGTTTCATATTTATCAATTTAGTGTAATTTGGTGTCGAAATATTTTATAATCTTAACATAACAAAATCGTGATAGTGATGAATGTGTAAAAATATTCTTATCAAAATCATAATAGCAAAAACCGGCATTTCTTAGATGTTTAGAAAAAGAAAAAGTCATTTAGCCAAGTTATTGATTTTAAGAAGGAGAAAACTAATTAATTTCTTTTCACTCGTTTGCATAAGAAGTAAATAAGAATTTCCGCACTATTTAGAAATTTCTATTGTGAAGAAGAAAAGTTTCTGCTATGTAAATACCACGTTGAAAGGTTTTTAGTCACGACGTCTTACAATTTTCTTTCTCTTTTCTTCTATTTATTAAAAATAGCGTGAATGTATCTCAGTTCATGTCGGACAAGCTGGTGTTCAAATCGGTAATGCTTGTTGGGAATTGTACTGTCTTGAACATGGAATTCAGCCAGATGGTCAAATGCCCAGCGATAAAACCATCGGAGGTGGAGATGATTCATTCAACACTTTCTTCAGCGAAACTGGAGCTGGCAAGCACGTTCCACGAGCAGTTTTCGTTGATTTAGAACCAACTGTCGTTGATGAAGTTCGTACCGGAACTTACCGTCAGCTTTTCCATCCCGAACAATTGATTACTGGCAAAGAAGACGCTGCCAATAACTACGCTCGTGGACATTACACTATCGGAAAGGAAATCGTTGACTTAGTCTTGGACCGCATCCGAAAGCTTGCTGATCAATGCACCGGTCTTCAAGGATTTTTGATCTTCCACTCATTCGGTGGTGGCACCGGTTCTGGATTCACATCTTTGTTGATGGAACGTTTGTCTGTCGATTATGGAAAGAAATCGAAATTAGAATTCGCCATTTACCCAGCACCTCAAGTTTCAACAGCTGTCGTTGAACCATACAATTCTATTTTGACCACCCACACAACTTTGGAACATTCCGACTGTGCTTTCATGGTTGACAATGAAGCTATTTATGATATCTGCCGTCGTAATTTGGACATTGAACGTCCAACTTACACTAATTTGAATCGTTTGATCGGTCAAATTGTTTCATCAATCACCGCTTCACTCCGTTTCGATGGAGCATTGAATGTTGACTTGACAGAATTCCAAACTAATTTGGTTCCATATCCACGTATCCATTTCCCATTGGTTACCTACGCACCAGTCATCTCTGCTGAGAAAGCTTACCATGAGCAAAATAGCGTTGCTGAAATCACAAACGCTTGTTTCGAACCAGCCAACCAGATGGTGAAATGCGACCCACGTCATGGAAAATACATGGCATGTTGCATGTTGTACCGTGGCGATGTCGTTCCAAAGGACGTCAACGCTGCAATTGCAACCATCAAAACTAAACGCACCATCCAATTCGTCGACTGGTGTCCAACTGGATTCAAAGTTGGAATCAACTACCAACCACCAACAGTAGTTCCAGGTGGTGACTTGGCTAAGGTTCAACGTGCTGTTTGCATGTTGTCGAACACCACAGCCATTGCTGAAGCTTGGGCTCGTTTGGATCATAAGTTCGATCTGATGTACGCCAAACGTGCTTTCGTTCACTGGTATGTTGGTGAAGGCATGGAAGAAGGAGAATTCTCTGAAGCTCGTGAAGATTTGGCAGCTTTGGAAAAAGATTACGAAGAAGTCGGAATGGACTCAGGAGATGCTGAGGGTGAAGGTGGCGAAGAATATTAAATTCCTCCATACATTCTTCTAAATACTTGACCGATCTTGCTTTTAAAAAAATGCCGCAACTTTATATTTCTTAAAATATAAAAAATAAAATCTTTAAAGGCCCAAGAAGCATGAAAAAATAGAACAATGAAGTGGTTTCATTTAAATTTATTACATTCCCTTTTTCAGTTGATTTCAACAGGTAGATTCGATAGTTTTATTGAAAGTTGGTAAAGAAGATGTTAAAATGTGACTATCATTGACACATATGGCTTTTTGTGACCTCAGCACCGCCTTTAGACATTAAAATAAAAAAGTGTGTGACTAAAGAGAAAGAACAGCAATATGTTGTTATGATCTCAAATATCTTGCAGCTGTGAATAATTTCTATTAAGAATTTATTAAGTAATTGATGAATGTTAACGAAGAGAGAGATTGAGACAATTAAATTTTGGCTTGATAGTATTAAAAAGTCAAATCATATCATCCATTTAATTTCGTTTTCAATACCTATGTATAGAAGAATCAGTGAATGATGACATCATGAACGTATAACAAGATGTGTGGGATTTGGTTATTAGTTTTAGAAATGGAAGGAAAAAATCAACTTAAAAATCGGGGTTGCATGGATGGAGCTGTTACAGTGCTCAAATGTTGAAAACGCCGGGCTGTCTACTTTACTTGTAATAGAATAATTATAATTTATAATTATTGACTTTCTGTTAGATTTTTGCTTAATTGCATGCTCTTTGCGGTTAAATGTGCTTAAATGCATTTCAAATCTTTATGAAGAAATCTTCTTGGTTTTTAAATTAAGAAACGGGATATATTGCATAAAAAGTTTATTTACGTCAAAAGAAATAAACATATGCAGTAGAATGTTTAATATCAGCATAAAACATGAAAGGAAAATCATATCGAATGAACGTTTCAAGATCTAAGAAATGTAACAGTTTAAAATTCTCACCGATAGGTGGCGATGGTGGGTATCATTATATCAAAGAGAACATCGCCATTAATGCTTTTCTGAAAAATAATCATTTTCCAAGAATTTTATTAGTTTTTCTTGGAATTTGCCTAGCGCTTTTAACGGCCAATATTTCTCTATAAATTACCCCTTGGTAAATTCTTACTTAGGAGCATAAAACAGAAAACATGTTCACTCACACATTCATGAAGATTAAGAGAGTTTAAATTCCCCTAGAAAGCAAGGCAGAAGCTCTTATGTCCTATACATAATGTTGCCATTTATCACATCTTTCACTTATTTCTCTTATGGATGCTTCTTATTTATCTGAGAACAAAAATGATTTTTACACGTTCTCAAATGCTTTCAGTTACTCGAGTTTTGTTCGTCACATTGCAAGGACGTGTACAAAGCTAAATTTATTAAATTAAAGATTCTAAATTCATCAAAGTTTTAATATAAAAGACCAAAATGGTGAGTAAAATAATGACAATGAATAGTAGAAAAATGTTAGGGGAAAAACCAGAAAAAAATATCGTATTAAACTCACAATTAAAATGTGTTTTCTACTGATTTTTTTTAGGATTTTATGGCGAAAGAAATGGTTTAGAATCGCATGATTTAGAAAGGAAAAAGACATTGAAATGTGAAAAAAAGAATAGCTGCCGTTACCTTCAGTTTAACCGAAGCTTTATTGATTTCTTAGAAAACAAAAAAACGCTCGAAAAACTGTAAATTTTCTTTCTTGATGCGTTTTATAGAAAAATGCTGACTCATCGGATTATTTTTCTTCTTTATATAGCGCGAATGTATCTCAATTCATGTCGGACAAGCTGGTGTTCAAATCGGTAATGCTTGTTGGGAATTGTACTGTCTTGAACATGGAATTCAGCCAGATGGTCAAATGCCCAGCGATAAAACCATCGGAGGTGGAGATGATTCATTCACCACCTTTTTCAGCGAAACTGGAGCTGGCAAACACGTTCCACGTGCAGTTTNAATCTTTAAAGGCCCAACAAGAAGCATGAAAAAATAGAACAATGAAGTGGTTTCATTTAAATTTATTACATTCCCTTTTTCAGTTGATTTCAACAGGTAGATTCGATAGTTTTATTGAAAGTTGGTAAAGAAGATGTTAAAATGTGACTATCATTGACACATATGGCTTTTTGTGACCTCAGCACCGCCTTTAGACATTAAAATAAAAAAGTGTGTGACTAAAGAGAAAGAACAGCAATATGTTGTTATGATCTCAAATATCTTGCAGCTGTGAATAATTTCTATTAAGAATTTATTAAGTAATTGATGAATGTTAACGAAGAGAGAGATTGAGACAATTAAATTTTGGCTTGATAGTATTAAAAAGTCAAATCATATCATCCATTTAATTTCGTTTTCAATACCTATGTATAGAAGAATCAGTGAATGATGACATCATGAACGTATAACAAGATGTGTGGGATTTGGTTATTAGTTATAGAAATGGAAGGAAAAAAATCAACTTAAAAATCGGGGTTGCGTGGATGGAGCTGTTTAAGTGCTGTAAAGTTGTTGAAAAAGTTGGCCCTTACTTGAATAAAATATTTATAATTCATAACTATTGTCTTACAGCTAGATTTTCGCTTTATTGCTTGTTCTTTTCGGTTAAATGCGCCTAATTGCATTCAGAAATTTGCATTTCAAATCTCTATGAAGAGATCTTCTTGAATTTTTAAATTAAAGAATAGGGCATACAGAAAAGAAGTTTATTAGTTACCTTAAATACAATAAACATATGCAGTAGAATTTTTAATGTCAGCATAAAACATGAAAGGAAAATCGTATCGAATGAGCGTTTCAATTTTAGGATCTCACCACTAGGTGGCGATGAGATGGTGGGTATTATTATTTCAATATCCAGATCTAATCCGAGTTTCCTTGGGTTAGATTAAAATTTTTAAATGGAATTGGGGTTAGACTAACGCGATGTTTGATTAAATCTTAATCGAGAATAAATAATTTTTGTGACATCATTGCTTTGCAAGATTAGCTAGCGGCCTTTTCTACAATTCGTAAATTTTCAAAGATTCTGCAGTAAAATTTCATTTTTTGTTTTAAAAAGAATCCCAACTAATATCTGCTGTAGTGAAAGTTGAAGTAAAGTCTAAAATATATCTTTCTAGTCATTAAATATTCAAAAAAATCTTTTAAATTTACAGATAGTCAAAGAATTCAAAAACAATGGCAGCAGAGATCAGTGGAATTTTTCGTCAGGAGCTTCGTGAATTGATTTTGTCTTCAAAAATCCTTGTAGTGGGTGCTGGTGGCATTGGTTGTGAAATTTTGAAGAATCTTGTGATGTGTGGCTTCAAAGACATTGAAATTGTAAGATTATTGTAGATTTTTCTAACCTTTTATTTTTTAAAACTGACTTTGAAATTGTTTTAGATTGATCTTGACACAATTGATGTGAGCAACTTAAATCGACAGTTTCTCTTCCATAAAGAACATGTTGGAAAATCAAAAGCAAATGTTGCACGAGAAACTGCATTGAAATTTAATCCAAATGTCGACATCAAAGCTTATCACGACAGTATTTTTAATACCGCATACGGAGTGAGTTTTTATCAACAATTTAGCATGGTCCTAAATGCATTGGATAATTTAAAAGCTCGAAATCATGTCAATCGTATGTGTGTAAATGCAAGAGTTCCTTTAATTGAAAGTGGAACATCTGGTTACAATGGCCAAGTTGAACTTATCCAGAGAGGCGTCACACAATGCTACGAGTGCACTGCTAAAGCAGCACAAAAAACTTTCCCAGGTTGCACCATTCGTAACACGCCTTCAGAACCAATTCATTGCATTGTCTGGGCAAAACATTTGTTCAATCAACTTTTTGGTGAGGACAACGCTGATGAAGATGTCTCACCTGATACCGCTGACCCTGAAGCATCTGGAGAAGCTGGCAAAGATGCAATGGTAGGAGAGTCGAATGAACAGGGAAACATAAATCGAGTCAGCACTAAGCAATGGGCTCAAAACAGCGATTACATGCCAGAAAAGCTTTTCAATAAGTTTTTCTTCGACGACGTCAATTATTTGTTGAGCATGTCGAATTTATGGAAGACACGAGCACCACCAAAGCCAATGAAGTTTGGTGAGCTCGATGTCATTTCTGATGTCAATGATTTATCGCTTAACGTTGGCGTTATTCGCGATCAAAAAATTTGGACAGTTGGCGAATGTCAAAAAGTATTCGCAGACAGCATAAATAATCTCAAATTACAATCTCAGCAACTTAAAGAAGGCGATCACTTAGTATGGGATAAAGATGATCAAGATGCGATGGATTTTGTTACTGCTTGCGCAAATGTACGTTCCATGATTTTCTCAATTCCACAGAAGAGTCGATTTGATGTAAAGTCGATGGCAGGCAATATCATTCCAGCTATTGCAACAACAAATGCTATAACGTCAGGCTTTGTTGTTCTACATGCATTTAAAGTGTTAGAAAAGAACTTTGAATGCTGCCAAAACGTTTACATGAGATTAAGAGCAAATCCTCGTAACCAAATCTTTGTTCCAGAGAAGGAACTTTTGAAACCGAACCCCAAATGTTATGTTTGTGGAGACAAACCTGAAGTGATCCTCAAAGTTGACACTGATGTTGTAACAGTAAAGGAATTGCGAGATGATATCTTGATAAAAGGCATGAGTATGGTCGAACCAGATGTTATGCTTGATGGTAAAGGAATCATCGTAATCTCATCAGAAGAGGGCGAGACTGAATGCAACGAAGGAAAATTATTAAAAGAACTTTCTATTGTCGATGGTTGCATTTTAAAAGTTGATGATTTCTTCCAACAATATGAATTGACAATCACAATTATTCATAAGACTGTTGGACGTGATGATCCTAAATTTGAGATTATTGCTGATCAAGAAGTTTTGAAACCAACAAAAGAAGAAACTTCTAGCAAAGAACCACAGCCAGGTCCTTCAGGCTTAAATGGAGGATCTTCAAATGGATCAAAACCATATGAAAGTGATGATGATGATGTTCTATGTGTTGAAACAGTTCCACTCCAACCATCAGCTGAAAAACGAAAACATGCAGACGACGACGAACCAAGCTCAAAGCGAGCACGAGTTGAAAACGTTCCAAAATCTATCACAGATGATGAGGATGACGATTTAATTTGCATTGATTAAAATATCTCTCATAATTATATCATTTTCCTTAATGTTTTAAAAACTTTATTGTAAGCTCAAGGATAATAAAAAAATAAATGTTTTTAGAAAATTCAACGATTTTTTGAAATTTAAATTCATCTTGTATTCTGAATACGAATCTTGTAATCTAACAATAACAAAGAAAATTTAAGCTTTGCTTAAAGAATTCTTTTATTTATCGTGAATATTGAAGAAAACTTCACAAATTTTTAATTTCTAACTTTAAACATATTCATATTATTGAAGGTAAACTATAAACTGTGGAAATTCCAAAGAATGAACTAACATTGTACAATGGAGATTAAAACAGAAACTCCCCTTGAAGAAGTTGAAATCGGCGATCAGCAATCAGTGTTATTGAAAGTTGCTGGCCTTTATGCAAGTCATCTATTATCAGATATCAGTTTGGTAGTTGGAGAAAATCGTTATCCAGCTCATCGTGTAATTTTATCTGCAAGCAGTGAAGTGTTCCAATGTATGCTGCTTAATCCACAATGGCAGGAATGCAAAGAGAGTGTAATAAATCTAGTCGAGGATCCTCAAAATTGTCGAGTGTTTCCTCAGTTCCTGAAATATCTGTACACAGGACAAGTGAGAATTTCAATAGAAACAGCAATGCCACTTCTCAGCCTTGCTGACAAATACAATATCAAAGATTTAATAGTTTTGTGTAGAGATTTCATGTCGAAGAGTATAGCAATCGCTGGAATTAAAGGATATCTTATATCATGGCTTCAATATACTCTCTCATTCAATTATCATCAGCAATTAACTAATGAACTAAAAAACTTTCTTCGGCTCAACATTGAAATTGTCGGTTATTCTAGAGATTTCGTCGATATTGATCCAAACAATCTCGTCGTGCTTTTGCAACAAAACGATTTGGTGATTAAAAATGAAGCTGCACTCTTTGAAATTGTCGAGCGTTATTTAATGGCAAAACGGGAACAGATTGAGCATGAAGAATCGTTATCTGATGAAGAGAAAGGATGTCATATGAAATCTCTGATCGAGGGAATTTGTAGTCATATACGCTTTCCTATGATGACCGTATCTGAACTCGCATCGATACCACTCAAAGCTATTACTTCATTCAGCAAGGAATTCTTTTGTGATCGTATGGCACTTGGAATGTCTTTTCATGCTGGACAACCGTTTCGTCTTTCAGATTGTGATAGCCACGAAATCAACTTACAATATACGCCGAGGCTATGTAAGTATCAACAAAGTTATTCAAGAAATTTTCTCAATTTTAACTTTTAATTCATTCTCAGATACTTGCGATGTGTTTTGTCTGGAAATGAAAGTAGAAGAGATTCACAATGTTGATAATTACAAAAATTTTGGTGCTTGCTTCTTCAGTCTTTCAGAATTTCCATACAACAGCAATGATTCATCTGATGGTGAGTTTTTCTACAATTTTCTCTCTAAAGTTTAATTAAAAAGATATATTTTCTTCCCTAGAGAACACAATACAATGGGAAATTGATTTCTTTCCTCGAGGAATACGCTACAATCGAGCACAATTGATAAATGTGTACAACATGCCATTACATCATCAGGGTAAGGTTGAAGTACCTGAAACTATTCTTAAAACTGTTCGAGTTCGTTGCACATGTAAAGCAAATTTAATTGAAGAACAACGATTTAAGGTGAGAAAAATTATATTTTCATTTGAAATAGAAACATTAATTTTTGTTCTTTAGATTGCAGTTCTTGTCAGTGGAAATCAAAACAACATTACACACACAAGAACTCTTCACACCCGAATTAATTACTTCTCTCGTGAAAATCGTGTAATTAACATCGATAATCTGGTTAACTATGACGAGTTATCCACAGATCGAAGTCTTTATTTAATTGGTCCTAATCATGATACTGTTCGTATTCATGTCATTATTACACCAATGCAACAAGGACTCACACACGATCCACCAAATTTCGATTTCAAATGAGATTTACTTCCATTTATTCTCTGTAGTGTCATTATTTTTATCTTTTTCATAATGACATAATCAAAAAAATACTTTCGATTAATAAAATTATTTAACAGAATAAAAGTCTTTGATGAGATTTTATTTGAAAATCTGTGAGAATTTTCAATTTGTTATAATCAACATAATGAACAAATTTCCTTCAAGGTTGGTTAAACATTCTCATGAAAAAATCATTTTATTAGCATGTACACCTCCTTTTACTGATCATTTATCTTAAAACTCCAAGAGTTTTGTATCTCAAGCACGTAAACATTTTTATTATTTTATGAGCTGGTCTTTTTCTTTTCATTTGAGTTTGTTTTCATAAAACCCTTTTTTCCCTCTGTTGTAAAAAGATGTGAAACAAACAAAACAATTTGAATCGTAAATATTAAGTAACAAGTAGGTAACACTCAGTTGTATGTAATTTGTTTCTTTTTACCCGCCTTCGTTCCGACAGAAAATTCATAAAGCAGTTCATGAAGGTTGTTTGTATATTTTTTAAATTATTGTAAGTGATCCCAAACTGGGATCAATATTTAGGTATGTGCTGGTATTTATTCTTGCAAATGTGCCTGCCAGTTAACGCAAAATCTCAAATATTCCCCTCTCTAAGACAATCTTTCCCATCCCAAATCTTTCCCATTTTCTCCTGTTATAATTTCTCAATACTTACTTTTTCACCTGATCACCAGCCAGATCAAAATTTTTGGATTCAGTTCAAATCAAAACTTCTAAGTGATAACTTCGGTGTTAAATCTCAAGAAAATTAAATTCTTGTTCAAAATAAATAATAAAATCCAACAGGATCCATAGCAAGTGCAGCGTTAATGAAAATGAGAAGTGATCGAAATTGTTAAATTTGAATTAAATCTGGGAAAGATTTTTTTTGCTTTGTAAAGTTATTAAATATTTTATGAGTGACAAGGGATGCATAAAAACATTTTCAGACCGAACTTACTTGAATAAATTAGCTGTCGATGTAACTTACTCATAATTGTTTTCCATTTTATTTTCCTTTCCATATTGACTGAGTGTCTTCTTTATTTTATCCTAAAGCTCACTACTCGCATATGTTCTTAATAAATTTAAATTTTTTGGAATGCAGAAAGCAATGTTTCCATTTTCTTCTCTGATTTTTCATGCTACTTTACCACAAATATGAANTTTATCAGTTATAATCATATTGTCATTATCTTAGTTTGTAAATAGTTTATAATATAAAGATATGAATTTTAAAGTTTTTATTGATGTTTTGTAATTCTCAGGCCGAACATTTTAATTTGTAAAAGATTTTTATTTTGTATTCTTGTTTTCTTCTGGAGTTACTTTTCGGTTCTTACAAAAAATGGTGCAACAGCACATATAAGTGGACGATGATGATCAAAGGCGTGCATACTTCGTAGAGAAACCGTGGCTTGACTTTGCTTCGGTAGTTGAGTAGGATCAACAATTCCTTCTTTCAATTCCTTTCGAGTGCCTCTGCATGGTCTCCTTCTCTCAACGCTGCCCATACTCCTTCTACGTAAGCAGCGCTTAGTATCTCGTGCATCATCTTTGTTGGACTTGTGCGAGTTACAACTGAAATGTTTTCATGACTTTTTATGTTCTATTTAAGCACTTCACAATTTTTTTTCAATGTAGTGTCTCGGACTAAGATTACTAGCTGGGGCTTCGCTGTCAGTCGGGTGTCAGAGATGAACCTGGGATCGTCTCGTCTATAGCCTCCTTTCCTACACACAGTCTGAAAACACTTTCACAAATAAACACAGTTGAGCTTTTGTTTGGCAACTACTTTTGCCTTTTCTATAACTTTTATTTCACAACGGTTAAAACAAGTCTAGATGTTACTCAATCAAGAGCTCCAGAAAAACTTCAAGGTTTTCGGTAAATCGGAGCTCTTTTTATACATAATTTTTGGATGATAAAACATCCCTATTACAATTAATAATATATTTTATGATCTCTTATCGAGATCGAGATTCTTATCTACCATATCTTTTTGCGTTTCGGGATATTAAAAAGCACGATGAATTATCGGCTCATCATTTGGATGTTTATTCTAAATGTCGTATTCGTATTTAAGGACATTATAAAGCGCGGTAAATCATCGGCTTAACAATTAAATGTTTATTCAATAATGATTAAACACAAACATTTCCATGTTGTATTCAATTCTATGATGAACAATTTGATCATCAATTCGTGAAGTAATAAAATGTTTATTACATTTTATTACCTCTGATTTTTGTATTGATAATATTGCACGTGGGGCGCTTTTCACCCTTCGATTACTAGGGATGAGATATTCAACCGCCTCGAGGGGTGGCGGATGATTCATTGCAAGACATGCGCAACACGTGTCCCGAGTTTACTTTCGGACCAGCACTACACAATCTCCCCCAGAAGTTAATGCATTGCAAATGCAAGTAACTTCTTAGAAATTGCTGTGTACGAAAGGTTAAAGATATGATACTGTTATTACAATTTAACATGAATTTTTTTCTTTTTATTGTGCGTTATTCTTTTATATTTTTTTTAATATATAATGCTATGAAATGATTATATTTAGTTAAATCAGTTGATATTGGACTCATTTGAGGTAGGCAAAGCAACCTTCTTACAGTGGAAATTTGTTATTTTATTACTGATCCTACTAGTCATTCAAAAATAAATTTAAAACGGGTAGATGATTCTTTTTTTTTTTGTGTTCTGTTTATTTTGTACTTTTATAATTTTATCTATGGACAAACTTTAAATGAATTGATTTAATTTTTAACGTCTGTTTTAAAAGTAAATAACTTGAAAAGTTCTTCAATTTGATTATTATTTATGATCAAAAAAATGTCTATTGTCTACGAATAACTGAATGTTGTTTGAAAAAATTTTTATTGTAATGTTTAAATATGTTATTGTTATGATCTGCTTGCTCGGCTTCTTACATGTTGATGTCCGGGCATTCTCTGTTGACATAGCTTGCTGAGCACATGTATGGGTTTAGGTGTACAGTGAGAACCCATTCAGGATAATTGTCTTTCAGGGCGGCTTGAGCCCCAGCTGAGGCGACCGAGCGCCATTCTTCTAGAGGCCTTGGTCCCGTGATGGCGCCGTGTTGTCTCTGCTGTGGGACTTCCGTTGTTTGGACTACGACCTCGGGCGTCGTAGCTCTTGATGAATACTCTTCAGATGACGCATCGTCATCCTCTGCCATAGCTTCGACTGCTGTATTATTCGTTACTGCTGCGGCTGCAGATGATCCTTTGTTTTGCCTGTCATAGTCAATTTTTTTGTTAACCATGTCTTCCAACATGTCGATAAACACTAAGGCGAAACCGTAGCGTTTTCTTTCTCGTTCTTCCTTGATGGTTTGTTCCAAGAGTTGCGCTTGAAAATCGAAGCAATTGTCTGTCAATGGTTCATCTTCCAAGGAATAGAACGCTGATGGTATTGTGACATTCTCTGCCCTGTTTCCATGGTTGTTTGCCGCCGCTTGCCTTTCTTCCGTTTGCTGCGGAACAGCTTCTCTAGGCCTTTCTGCGAGAGTGGGCAAGAATCTTCTTCCTGCACGTCTTTCAATGGCCCTGATGAAGTCGTGAATGTTTTTTTCAACTTCGTCCCAGTCACCGTATCTCACCGCTGAAAGGAAGTCTTCTTCCACTTCAATTGGCACATGCGGTCTTGTTCGACCTATGGGACTGGTACCTGATGTGGATATCATTTCGTCTTCGTCGATGTAGATTGGATTCTGCAATGCTAATTCGATCAGGCTGGGATTTGTAACGTTATCACTATCGTTGTTAATTTTACTTCTATGTATTATGCACACTTGAAATAAACTGAAGTGGAATGTCGAAGTGCGTTTGCTTATGTTTGACTTTCCTAGGTGTTTTTACCATCCCAAATCTTTCCCATTTTCTCCTGTTATAATTTCTCAATACTTACTTTTTCACCTGATCACCAGCCAGATCAAAATTTTTGGATTCAGTTCAAATCAAAACTTCTAAGTGATAACTTCGGTGTTAAATCTCAAAAAAATTTAAATCTTGTTCAAAATAAATAATAAAATCCAACAGGATCCATAGCAAGTGCAGCGTTAATGAAAATGAGAAGTGATCGAAATTGTTAAATTTGAATTAAATCTGGGAAAGATTTTTTTTGCTTTGTAAAGTTATTAAATATTTTATGAGTGACAAGGGATGCATAAAAACATTTTCAGACCGAACTTACTTGAATAAATTAGCTGTCGATGTAACTTACTCATAATTGTTTTCCATTTTATTTTCCTTTCCATATTGACTGAGTGTCTTCTTTATTTTATCCTAAAGCTCACTACTCGCATATGTTCTTAATAAATTTAAATTTTTTGGAATGCAGAAAGCAATGTTTCCATTTTCTTCTCTGATTTTTCATGCTACTTTACCACAAATATGAAATAGGTGATAGTTAAAGATTGAAGTTTCTGATTGTTTTATCATTTAATTATGGAAGAACATAGTTGAAAGAATTATATGCAAACTTAAATTCAGGTGTCGAAATATTAATATGAAATCTTTTGAAGAACTGCTGATATTTTAATAGCTGATATTTTCTTTAGGGCTGTCACATATTTCCGAAAATGTTTCTCTTTCTTTTTTTTCATCAGTGTAATATTTTGGAGATATTTTTTTCTGATAACTCGAATAACTCAAAAGAAAGTGAAGAATTTAATTGAGAACTGATAGATGGATTTAAAATGCTTACACAAAACCTAACTCAATGATTAAGTCCCGAAGAACTTTTTTCTGAGTATTCATCAGAAATTTTACTTATAAGCTTCGTTTGCTACTGTCAAAAATATGAGATCATCAAGTGTTGTGAAACTACCTTCAAAATTTCTTCAACCTTTTCTACATAAGATTATAAAGCATTAGCTTTATCGATTTTGGTAGTTTTAATAGGATAGACTCTCATGTTGATGTGATATCATTGTGTAACTTTTAAATGTTCTTTTTGTTTTTTACTGATTGAATTATTTTTTATCAGTTATAATCATATTGTCATTATCTTAGTTTGTAAATANCGGAAAATCTCAAATATTCCCCTCTCTAAGACAATCTTTCCCATCCCAAATCTTTCCCATTTTCTCCTGTTATAATTTCTCAATACTTACTTTTTCACCTGATCACCAGCCAGATCAAAATTTTTGGATTCAGTTCAAATCAAAACTTCTAAGTGATAACTTCGGTGTTAAATCTCAAGAAAATTAAATTCTTGTTCAAAATAAATAATAAAATCCAACAGGATCCATAGCAAGTGCAGCGTTAATGAAAATGAGAAGTGATCGAAATTGTTAAATTTGAATTAAATCTGGGAAAGATTTTTTTTGCTTTGTAAAGTTATTAAATATTTTATGAGTGACAAGGGATGCATAAAAACATTTTCAGACCGAACTTACTTGAATAAATTAGCTGTCGATGTAACTTACTCATAATTGTTTTCCATTTTATTTTCCTTTCCATATTGACTGAGTGTCTTCTTTATTTTATCCTAAAGCTCACTACTACAATAACTATGTTCTTAATGAATTTAAATTTTTTGGAATGTAGGAAGAAATGTTTCCATTTCCGTCTCTGATTTTTCATGCTATTTTACCACAAATATGAAATAAGAGATAAAGTTAAAGATTGAAGTTTCTGATTGTTTTATCATTTCATTATGGAATTGTAAAATATTAATTAGAAAATTTCACAGACCTCAAAACAGAATTGGGAAAGCCATCTGATGTGAATAGTGATCATAAGTAAGAATTGACATTATTTCAAATGAAAATTCATAAATATTGAGAACATAGTTGAAAGAATTATATGCAAACTTAAATTCAGGTGTCGAAATATTAATATGAAATCTTTTGAAGAACTAATTGATGTTTGTAAGGCGCCGATTATGTTCGTTTAATGAATGTTTAATAGCTGATATTTTTTTTAGGGCTGTCGCATATTTCCTAAAATGTTTCTCTTTTTTTTTTTCATCAGTGTAATATTTTGGAGATATTTTTTTCTGATAACTGGAATAACTCAAAAGAAAGTGAAGAATTTAATTGAGAACTGATAGATGGATTTAAAATGCTTACACAAACCTAACTCAATGATTAAGTCCCGAAGAACTTTTTTCTGAGTATTCATCAGAAATTTTACTAAGCTTCGTTTGCTACTGTCAAAAATAGGTGATCATCAAAGTGTCACTGAAATTACCTTCAAAAATTCTTCAACCTTTTCTACATTAGATTATAAAGCATTAGCTTTATCGATTTTGGGAGTTTTAATAGGATATGCTCTCATGTTGATGTGATATCATTGTGTAACTTTTAAATGTTCTTTTTGTTTTTTACTGATTGAATTATTTTTTATCAGTTATAATCATATTGTCATTATCTTAGTTTGTAAATAGTTTATAATATAAAGATATGAATTTTAAAGTTTTTATTGATGTTTTGTAATTCTCAGGCCGAACATTTTAATTTGTAAAAGATTTTTATTTTGTATTCTTGTTTTCTTCTGGAGTTACTTTTCGGTTCTTACAAAAAATGGTGCAACAGCACATATAAGTGGACGATGATGATCAAAGGCGTGCATACTTCGTAGAGAAACCGTGGCTTGACTTTGCTTCGGTAGTTGAGTAGGATCAACAATTCCTTCTTTCAATTCCTTTCGAGTGCCTCTGCATGGTCTCCTTCTCTCAACGCTGCCCATACTCCTTCTACGTAAGCAGCGCTTAGTATCTCGTGCATCATCTTTGTTGGACTTGTGCGAGTTACAACTGAAATGTTTTCATGACTTTTTATGTTCTATTTAAGCACTTCACAATTTTTTTTCAATGTAGTGTCTCGGACTAAGATTACTAGCTGGGGCTTCGCTGTCAGTCGGGTGTCAGAGATGAACCTGGGATCGTCTCGTCTATAGCCTCCTTTCCTACACACAGTCTGAAAACACTTTCACAAATAAACACAGTTGAGCTTTTGTTTGGCAACTACTTTTGCCTTTTCTATAACTTTTATTTCACAACGGTTAAAACAAGTCTAGATGTTACTCAATCAAGAGCTCCAGAAAAACTTCAAGGTTTTCGGTAAATCGGAGCTCTTTTTATACATAATTTTTGGATGATAAAACATCCCTATTACAATTAATAATATATTNATAGACTCTCATGTTGATGTGATATCATTGTGTAACTTTTAAATGTTCTTTTTGTTTTTTACTGATTGAATTATTTTTTATCAGTTATAATCATATTAAATAAATATATAATGATTTTGCGGATGTACCTACTTTTTCTTTTATAATGTTTGTATTTATTAATTATTTTGTACCGAAATTATCTTTATTGATTTCTTTTGGGCAAGTAAAGTTTTGTATGCAGACTGCTTACTTGATTTATCGCCTATTTTGGTCTGGACATCCCCTGTTGATGTAGTAAGCTGTACATAAGTAAGGGTTGAGGTGTACCGTGAGTTTCCACTCAGGGTGAAGTGTGCCTCTTCGGTTGGATGTTTAGTTGTTCTTGATGTTAATGGACGTTCTCTTTCTTGGGGGTCGAATCGGCGGACACTTCTGTAAATTAACTTAATTCTATCGAATAAAACTAATTTTCTACTTTTCACTTTCCAGAAATACTTTATTGCTAACTTATGTATATGAACTTATGCAATTTGTCTTAGCGGCTCGACCATCACCCTTTGACGCTTTTAAAAGAACTCAACTCTCTAGGTGGTTTTCACGCGCTTTTATACCGCGGAAAATCACCTTGGCCAAAGTTAAATTGGCGGCAGCCCGACCGTCTGATATTCATCTTCTTCCTTTTTTGTCACTCTGAATTCTTCTTGCTTAAAAGGGCGTTGCACCTCTTCTTCTGCCTGCGCTGATTTTGCAGCGAGATGTGCTTCCTTTACAAAGTTTCAATTAACGCATCGTTCTTCATGTTGATGCGTATTGATTTTTGTGACCTTTGAAATCATCACGGCAGGGTGCCACGTTTTGATATTTTTGGGGTGATTGTCGGTCACCTTGCTTCTTTCTGAGTATGTGTGGTCGCTAGTGTGAGTTTCTCTTTCCCTTTCGCACGAGCGCCCACTACACCTGTTGTAATCGATCTTTTTGTTAATTAGATTTTCTAATCTATCGATAAATACCAATGCAAAACCGTAGCGTTTCTTAATCCTTTCTTCTGCGATGGTCTTTTCATAAATTTCAACTTGAAATTCGAAAAGTTTATCAGTCAATTGAAATTCATCGAACATGGCGAATATCCTTGGGACATTATCTGCCCTGTTCCCTTGATTGTTCGACGCAACCTGCGTGTCATTATCCGGACACAGAACTTTTGCTGGCAACAACTTATGCCAATTTTCTATAACTTTTATTTCACTACTAATTAATGAATACACTTGATGATGATAGCTTGGCAGCTCCAGAAAACTTCGAGGCTTGAAGTAAATCTGTGCGCCTTTTATATTATTTCAAGGCACTTAAAATGTTCCTTTTGGTCCCTTGGGGATGCTATTGACCCATCGACGATGTGTCAATCTCTCATAATATTCGCGTTTCCCTCTTGTTATCTCACCCTTGATTTATTTCACCGCTTTTGCAGGTGTTACATTCACAAGATAGGGGAACAAAGCGTGACTCATGTTTTCGCTGTGCACGAGAGTTGCGCACGCGTATTTTGTCACTTACAGCTATTACACAACTCCCCCTAGAACTTACAAGCCATAACTATGGCGTAAGTTCTATAAAGAAGCTGTATGGGACCATATATGTTTTAATATTAATGTTACATTTATTAAATTTATATGTTTTTATGTACTGGTCGACTTTTTTTTATGATGCAAATATTGTTTGCTCAAATGATTCTTTTTGAATTAGTATTTTAGAATCTACATTCATTAAAATAATTGCATTTAGTTATTATTATTGTTTTTATTTTCAAGCAAGTTTTCATGAATTACAATTGAATATAAAAGACAAAAAATTTTAAATTGAATTTTTATTGATAGCAACGAAATTCTTGGAACGGGTAAGCTTGCAATAAAGTTTGCTGGATGCTCTTCAATATCTGTTGTTGCCACTGGTGTTGAGGCTGACTATAGTGATAGTGATGTCGTACCACTATTGGCTGATTGTTTATGACCAGTGGTTGATGAATGTTTGCTGCTGGTGGCAACTCAACCGCTGGCGGAATTTGAGGTATAGTTAATGTCTGATTAGTCAAATCTGCGTTCGAGTGTTGAATCGGGAGTTGGTTCGGTGTTATTTGCTGATGAATCTCACCCGTTTCGGCAGTTGTAGGGAGCGGTGCCGTCGCTTGGGGAACCTGCTGATCCATTTCCGCGACTAATCGTCGTTCTTGATCCGGCAGATCCTAGCCATTCAAAGAATTCGGCTAAGGATTTGTTAATTAAATATTTTTTCAGTCGATGATGTGTCAATCCCTCATACTTTTCGCGTTTCCCACTTGTTATCTCACCCTCGATTTATTTCACCGCTTATGCAGGTGTTACATTCTCAGGATGGGGAAAAAAAGCGTGAATCATATTTTTGCTGCGCACAGGAGTTGCGCACGCGTATTTTGTCACGTACAGCTATTACATCCATATTTTCAATGGTCGTCTGATTTCATAACTCATTAATTTGGCGAAACATATTTAATTTTAATGTAAGTAAGACATACTTTTTTTATGATAAGAAATGTTACTTATACTGATTTTCTAAATTTCACAGCTTCGCTCAGAATGCGCAAACAGTTAAAAATCGCCCAAAAGTCAACAAGGTTCCTACTGAACAAGCTTATATTAACAAAAAAAGGCAGCGAGAGATTCAAGTTAAGGAGAACAATTTATTGTTGAAAAATCTCGTGATGAAAATGTAAAGAAAGATAAAAAATAATCTTTATTAATTCTTTTATGATTAATCTTCTTCTTTTATTTTAGCTTATTCTTTATTAGTAAGAATTCAAGAGTCAATAAATTCATCGCAAAACAATTTCTTCATTCGCGCAATATGACAAATATGAAAGCAATATTAGTAGCAGGAACTATCAATGATCATGGATATTTATTACCAACTGTTCCATTTCTTCTCGATTCTTTGGACATCAATTCACAATCGGATGAAACTAATGATAGCAACAGTAGCGGTGAAATTTTTAAACGAGTAAATTAAATAAATTTTTACTTATCACTAACTGCTAAAGCATGCAGTAATGAAGATTTGTGCAATATGACTTCAACAATACAAGCATGAAAACATTTGCACAAATCACCTTAAACGGTTTTATTTCAAAGGCTGTTACAATTGAAGACTCTGAAGCTCAGATTCATCACTTGGAAGAGAATATCGCCATGCTGGAGGACTTCATAAAATTGAAAAGATAACATTAAAAGTTACTTGTGACACTAATGAGAAATAAGTAAAACAATCAAAAGATCAAATTGCTTTATTAATGTTGAATCATGAGAATATCAAATGTCAATATACAAACTGATCAACGAAATGTTTGTGTGTTCAGATTGGATGTGAGATTCAAACAACTGAAAATCGAAGTTTGTTTACATAAATGCAGGATGATGATTCAGAGACATTGTTGACAATTAAATGAAATTTAAACTTCAAGAAAGTTTTTGATCGTGAAATTGAAATTAAAGAGTTGAAGAAGGTTGCAAAATTATTGAAACAGGAGAAGAAGTCTAATCAAAAGCATGGTGATTATTTTGGATCGAATGTAAGTTTTATGAATTTATGCTACTTAAAATAATATTAAATCATAATCTTCATTACAGACTGAGTATGACCAAATCGAGAGAAATCTGCAAGAATTTAAACGATTGTACAACGTCAACAAGAAAAGATTTACGACCTTGAAAATATTTTTCGAACGATTTTCCTATGACGTCTAAAATTTCAAGAAGTTTTTGAAACTGTGAATTCCATTCTGAAAAAAGAAATTCAAGAGTATGAAGAGAAAGAAATTATTTGCTCATATATTTTTGCCTTTTGTCACTTACATTTTGTCATTTTTTTAATTTGCCTTTGATACTCTTTTTAAAATTTTTCTGATGAATTTTAACACTAAAAGCTCAGCATTTTATATTTTTTGTAAATAAATTTATTAAAAAGAAATCTCATAACAGACGGCGAAACATTCTACGAAGCTTTCTAGATCACAAAAGCTCGAGCAAAGATAAATATAAAATGAATGATATTTAACTTGTTTTATTCCATTTTTTCCAGTAATTTGTCCAATTTCAGCGATTTTATTTTCTTGTTGACACTGTCCGAATCCTCCAAAAATTGTATTCGTCTCTTGTCAATCGTGATAATTTAAATAAACTTCCAACACAACCATCATTAGCTTCACAGAATTGCAAGAAAGAGTTCCATAAGGGGTTTTGCTTTAAAAATTATTCTCAGTTAAAGAAAGTTAAAGAATAAATATTCAAAATTACTTTCAATGTGTCCCCATTTCCAATCAGAATAAGAAGAGATTTTGCACGTGTAATGCAAACATTCAAACGTTTCTCACATTTCAGGAATCCTACACTTCCGTATGATTTGACTGTTGAGATTATAATAATCTTCTTCTCTCGTCCTTGATAATATTCTGCAGTTCCCATTTCAAGGTTTCGATAAATTTCTGCATTAAATTTTTGTTTTAATTTTAAAAGTTGAGCTTTATAGGGCGACACAATGCCAATGTCGTCAGGGTTGATTTTAACACCATCGATACCTTTCATGAGTAAAATATCCACATAGAATTTTACTTTTTCGATTTCACCTTCATTGAATGAACTTGTGCCATTGATAACAATCTGACTCGGTGTCTTAGTGCAATGAAAGAGGATTGGGAATTTTTTATTTCGGATAAAGTTCCATCGAGTTCCAAGACTTCTCTCAGGCTCCGAAATTTTTGCACGAAGTTTTGAATTGTAGAATAAAATATTTGAGAATTGAAGTATTGCTGGATGTGAGCGAAAATTGTTAAGCAATTGAGTGATGTACTTTTGATCATACGAATTGTCTGGCCTTAATTTGTACTTTGACTTTGTCATGATTCGCTCCATTAAGCTGACACCTTTAAGTTGAAGTAAGAAATTAATTTTATCAAAGATTATTGATAAGAATAAAATAATTCAAACCTAATCCAAGGTCTTCAGCGAAATGAGATTTCACGGCAGGTCCAAACTGTTTGTGATCTCCGATAAGCACAACATTTGTTGTGATATTTCTGTCTCCGGTTCCGAAACCTGAAACATTTGTTTGTTTTTAGATAATATTGTGAATAGATTGTGTGTTTATTTTAACTGATTTGATTTTGATCAGTTTTCTGTATCATCACGTTAAATTCATGAGTCTCTCAAACATTCATTTCATCACTGAAATTTATGAATTTTCAAAAATTTTTGTCAACTCACCAACGATTGGAATATAAGCTTCAGGTTCAGTTGCTGCAGCACACTCATCGACGAAGATATAATCAAAATGTTTATTGATATTGTCGCATTTCGCCTGAACTAAACGCGAACATGTTGTCAACGTAATAATCACAACATTGAAATGAAAGAATTCTTCCTTCGTAGGGTATTCGTTGTTTCCATTTCTCAAATTTGACGTTTCAAGAAGAACTTGAGAAGCTTCGGCATTACCGGAATTCAAAAGTGAAGACGAATAAAAGCGATAAATCTTTCCTCGTGGAATAAATTTCAGCAATCTGTTTCCAATTTCATCACAAGCGCTGTTTGATTGAGCTGTGACTAGAATGTGATTCGTTGGTCTCTCTTTCAGAATTTGTGCGATACATTCAACAATAAGAGTTGTCTTTCCAGTTCCTGGTGGTCCAAAAACAACGTAAGGGAACGGATATGCCGTACAATTGACAATGTTTTTGATTGCTGTCTTTTGCTCTTCATTTGTTTCAATCTGTTTATTGAACCAGCTAAAATCTTCTATTATGTTATCTTTTACTCGATATTTATCAAATCCAGAGTACTCAAAGTCATTGAAATAATCACTTAAACCGTGTACACCAATAGTTTCAATAGCTTGAAAACACGCACGGTAAGTGATTCGATTGGGAATGAAACGCAGACAATATTTACATGACAAGTTGAGTGTTGGTTTTGATTGTGGCTGATGGAAATTTGGAATCTTTTTAACTAAATAAATTTTACCATTCATGTAATTTTCTATTTGTGAATAAATGCAATCCTTTTCAAAGTTCATTTTTCCTTCTCGATATTTCTCCATTGGAACTAAACAAATTGACATCTCTTTGTAATCACGAGGAAGTTGATATCCTTCGATGGGAATCCAATATTGTTTGCTGTCTTTCGAATATTCTAGTTGAATATGTGGCAAAATGAATTCTTTAAGTTCATTCTGACTTTCCAAGTCTTCAACATTTAGAGCATATTTAATCATACGAAAGAAGTTATGAGTCCGTGTTGCCAGAGGTTGACGTTGATACTGACTGAAGTGATATAAATAATTAAAAAAAAATAATGAAAAAGAAAAGTGAAGGCTTACTTGATTTCTGTTAATATATTGATATCATCATTTGTCAATGCCTCGTGCAACTTAAATTTGTAATTATACAGTGTTATGATGCTGTTTTCAACATTATAATGACGGAGGAATGCAAAACTTAAACGTGTTTCAGTAAGGAAATATGGTAACTGGAAAGAGGAAAGGATAAGAGTCACAAAAACTGTTTAAAATGATTCCTTGCGCATCGAAATTCACATACATCAAAATCATATTTTGATCTGAATATTTTCTTATCAACATCGTCAAGTAACATGTATGATATTTCAATCGTGAACTCTTTCCTGAAAACGTGTCTTTCAATTTTAGAAATATCAACTTTGAATATTTTCTGATAATTGTCGTTTGCTTTTGGGTAGAAGCATTCTAAAGGTAGCTCATCATCAAGAATACTTTTAAATGAGTCCTCTGGAATTCGAGCGATGTCGAAATTATGATAAAAACCAATAATCGAGATGAGGTTCCATTCATATTCATACGCGCGGAAATCAAGGATGAGAATTTCTTTTAAAGCATTATATTTGACATGAACGTTTAAACATTTTGTAGGTTTTTTAGATCTGATGAGTAATAAATAATAATAAATATTTCACCATATTAATTAAAACTGGTTTGCAAACTCTTACTTATCCTGTGGAACATTTGTAGATGAAGCCATTGCATTTGTAGTTTCTTTGTGTGGTGCTGATTGTTCTTCATTTATTGCTTCTGTCACATGTTTTGTTGTTTCAAATGTGATGAGAGTTTCCTCATATTTTATTTTAACTTCCTGGTATTCTCCAGCAACTTTATTGTAATAATTGAACATTTTTCTACTTAGAAGTATATTCACGAGTCTATGATAAAAATATTTCAGTACGTGCAGCAAATTGCTTCGCTCCAACTAGGTTATGTATTACGATGTAATGAAATTCGAACATAAAATATACTGGAAATTGAAAGATACCTAGTTGCTCGTAGCGTATTCAACTTTATCTTCTAAACGTTTAAGATCGATTATTCCATATCAACTTTCCAATCATATCCAAACTTCGACAATCAATTCAAATTTAATGCTAAAGATGCTAAAAATTAAATACGAAAAGCATGCGAATTGTTGAAAAAATTTAGAAATAATTCATGACAAGAATATAAAAAAAACAAGTAGACATCTTTTACATAAATATCTTTGACTATGGGCCACCAAAGAATTATTGACTGATGACACTTTTTGCTTTGCTGCAATTAAGGTGAGAATTTAAATTTGTAAATTAAAATTTGTTGAGAAATTTCATTAAATAAACGAATAAATTTTCAATCAATGATCTATTGAAATCTTATTTTCAGTTTGACTTTAGACTACTGACAACACTATCAGAATAATAGAAAGGAAAAGTTAGGTCTCAAGCACATCAAGTCACACAAATTCTTAAAGGTTTAATCTCAATAAATGTGGACACGAAAAGAATCCGCTGGCTGGATCGCAATCTACTAAAACAATGGTAAAAAACATTCACTTCATCATTCAAGATTCGTTTCTATCAACAAATTGCAAAAGCTCTAATTTATCTTCAACGTTGTTTCACATCTTGACGAACTTATAGAGTTTCGACGTTTGAGAAAGTTCAATCAACGAGGAGTATTAAAATGAAAAAAATTTTTAGGAAAAGTTCTTCAATGAGAATTAAAAAATATTAAGAAATAAAAGAAGGGAAAAGAAAAGTGGAAAGCAAAATAAAGAATAAAGAAAAGGCTTTGAAAATTATCTAGAAATGTTTGTAAATTTATTATTTATTTTTCTTACTTCTTCTTTACAGATTAATTAGGTAATTACCTACATATTATGAATGAAAATTTCTTTCTATCGAAATCTTATCGAATTGAATTTTTTTAAAAGTATTTTATGCCATGATGTTTCATCACACACTCGCCTCTCGAAATCTTCATCACTGCTGTTGCATTCTATCAGCAAACAGAAAGAAATCATTGCCTGTTCGCTTCGGTCATATGTTTGGGTTACTTTTGATTTTCGATTCCGCTGCAAATGTAATCATACGAAGATTTGAGTTGAATGCATATTTGGGATTGACGGCTGTGAATGCATTAAGTGTATTGTTGAGCTCACGAAGGATTTTTGGTGCGTGTTCTTTTGGCAACATAAATGTTTAGTGCAAGAACAGCGTCACTTAAGTAGCTAAAATTAAAAGAATTTTTGATGAAAAAAGAAGAAAATTATTCAAATTAATTGTAAACTCACCGAAGCTTCAATTCGCTAAACTTTCCCATATGTCAGCCGTAAGTTGTTGAATCAGTTTGAATTTCAAACAACTGTTTTAGAGAGAATTAAATATTTGACTCATCTAACAATTTTTCTATCACTGATCACAATGTGCAAGCAGTGAGAATGAAAATTTTGTTTTTTAATTTTATGATAGTTGAACATAAGCACTTATTTATGCAGCAAGTAATAAAATCTGCAAATTTTTCCATTTTTTAGAAATCTTATACATATGCTCTCTAACTTTCTAAACATCTGGTTCTGAAAGTTCCCCAAAACTTTGAGAGCAGTAAAGAAAGATATACAAAAGAAGCAACAAAATTGAACATGTTTTCTTCAATAATTTTAAATTTTATTGCGGACTTCCATTCATAAATACGCGGAAAATGTCTTTGGGATTGAATGAAACAATTGAAACAATGTCGTTAAATGATTTACTTATCCATAATGATTATGATGCTTTGACATCACTTTTTAAAACTCCTAAAAAGCAATTAAAATTCAGTTTGTTTAAGACAATTGAGATTTTATGATCCAAAAATATAAACTAGCCATTGAAATGTTTTCCGCATGCTTTCACGCTAAACTTGGCGAACTTCCAAAACGAAATGTTCACTTTGTAGCATAAAATTAATGCTTCCAGTGAAGCATAAGCTTTGAAACCATTTGAATAATTTAAATTCCATATTTACAATGTCTACACAAAAACAAGAGAGATGATAGAGTGAATGACAAATGACAATGGGAATTTCTATTGAATGAACACATAATTAACCATCATAAAAGGGTCTGCTTTCAGCCAGTACGAATCTTGTATTCAATGCTTCAAGCTTCATCATATGAGGTCCTCATTGTTCGTATGCCTTTGTTTTCAATTCACTAAAATGTAAACAATCTGGTTGAGTTCTTTTTTATGATTTTCGGTTTGTAAAATTCCCTGTGTAAATATGATTGAAAAATAAGAAAAAAAGGAAGATTCAATCTCATAAAAGCATAAAAGCAAACGAGAGAACTTTTCTCTCCCAAATATGCGACAGCCCCGAAATATCCAAATGTTTGTTGGCCTGCCTGTCGAATCCCAATTGCGAATGAAGAAGTAGGAAAATGAGACAAAAGATGTTTCTGAAATAACGAGCGAGAAAGAGGTGAATATATTAACATCCTAACAACACATCGTTCTCGCCTTCTTTCCTTTTCCCCACCGATTCATTCGTTCGTAAAGAAGGCAAAGAAAATTAATTCAGTTGTTTGCGAGATCTCGATGAATTAATGTGTGCATACGTTGTCGCTTTTTATTATTCGGTGGAATCTCATAATTTAGTTTCATCCCGATAAATTTTAAACTTGAGAAGCAGAAAGATAAAAAATTGTGAGAACTTTTAATAAGAAAAATATTTAAAAACGATGAAGTTCTGTGATAAAATTAATGAAAAGTTATTGTCAAAAGAAAACAAACAGAAGAATTATTTAAAACTTAAAATATTTGCAATATGACATAATGAAGAATTGTGTTTATGTTTGTTAAGCGATCTACACATAGAAAAGTAATTCAATCCATCTCTAGACTTCTATTCAAACAGTATGTGTAAATGCATTAGTTGGACAAAACAAAAAATTGCATGCCAATAAATAAATGTTTCCTTCTTCTTGCTATCCTTCAGTAAGATAAAATAAAAATTCCTTCAACCGTCATACACATAATTCAATAATTCATTAATTCGTCGATTACTTTGCTTTTGAATGAACTCAAAATCGGTGTCAACGAGAGTTTTATAACTTCATGCACTTAATAAGTGCACTTATGCATCGTTCGCAATTAATTAAGTGATTGAAGAGTGAGATCATTTGTACATGATGCATATCAGTTATGAATAATTAGCGGATGAGAAATTTGGTCGTAAATGAATGAAGTGAATTTTTTTTATTTTTGTGTTTTGAATTCTTTGTCATGTTTTTATGCTGAGAGAAATGCATTCCAGTTAAACTCTCACATTTATCAAGCTCGATCAAAAGTGGTGAAGAAATGTGTTAAAAAAGAAAAGTGGTGATAAAATGTGTTAAAAAAAGCAAATGAAATAAAATATGAATTTCTCAAATGAGTAAGTGACAAAAAGCCAAATTAATTAAAACAGAAAAGTTGATTAATTCTGATGAGATTGTGGAGATAAAAAGAAAAGTTTCATGTGAAATGATGACATTTATGCCTTGTAGTTATTTATCAGCTCCCCGCTGTATTGAACTGATTGAGAAAATGACAGAGATTGAACCAAAGGTACGTGCAATTGACGAATAATCATAATTTATTAATAACAATCTGTTGATCCAAAACGAACCACCATCGAGAAGCTTCTTTATTCAAAAATATTCAACATAAACGTCGAATCAAATGTTATTAGCTGTTAACACGTTTTAAAGGACTGTTGAAAGTTCCAAATCATTTCTCTCGCTTCTAATTTAAGTAGATTTTGTGACAAACTTTTAAGATCCTATCAGTTATAAATATTCGTTCATTTAAACGTCTTTTTATAAGTTCTCTCTCTTACTTTATTTTATTAATTGATTTCTAATGAGATGGAATAAATTTCTATCTGAATCGGATGGAGTGAGAGAAACTAAAGTGAGAAACAAAAAATCTTTCGTCCGTGTAGTCGCAGTAGGAGTTTTGGAATTTTAAATATCTTAGTCCCAATTTTAAGTGTTCTTGGACAAGGAATCTCATCATTCACTATTTTGAAATATCTGGGAACAACAAGAAATATCTTTTGAGTGTTTTGCAAATTTATCTTGATTGCAACCTGGACGATCCTTGTTGTCGCTTTCCTTGAACAAAAAATTCTTTGATTCCTAAGCGACGAACCCGAACCTAAACAAATATTAGTGGACCTTTTGATTTTATCTCGCGTTCAATCAACTGTAAATGAAACTCTTCAATCCTTTGTTGATATTTAGTGCAAAATTATTTTTCCTTGAAAAAGTTTCTTCGTTCGCATATTTTTCACAAAACATAAATAATTTGTTATTTATCAAACTTAAACTATACATCAACGTTTAGCTTACGAGATAAAATACGTCTCGTCATAGGATCATTAAAAATTATTTTATAGCAGCTTAAAGAACTTAAAGAATTGTGTTTCAATTACTCATCAAAATAAAAATGAAGGAAAATTTATCTTTCATTTGTTTAAATCCGTTTAAGATGTTGAAGTCCAACATAAACATTCCAAAATGTCATAAACATTAAATTGTTAATACTCAGATTACGTGATTTACTCTCTCAGAACGGCTCCAAACAGAAATCTTGAAATGGAAGTTTTCAAAGTTTAAATCAAAACACAAATTAATTAACCGACGTTTTGAAGGCTTTCTGTTTACATATGAGAAAATTCTAAGAATCATAAACTCATGAGATGTCGCAATTTTTATGTTTATGAAATCTGAAACTACTGCGGACTTATTTATCATTTTCGAATCTCATCTCGACTGACAAACCTAGAAACATCATCGTAAGAATTGATGACATTCCAAAAGAAATAAATCCAGAGAAAGAACAACTTTATGTGCCTGAGAATTCCCACCGAAACCATCGTGAAAGAAGAAAGTCTTTGATGGGAACTTTTCACAGACATTTAAGGATGTCTCTAAAAGCAGTCAAAGAACCACCTGGACCTCTTACACGGTGAGTCAATAAAATCTCTCAACATATTACTTCAGCTGTTTTTCTGACGATATTCTGACAAATTTCTTCGTCGTACTTTTTGATGATGATAGCATTAATTTGATGTGGAAGTTATTGCTGGTGGTGGAACTAGTAACGACGGCGAGTCTGATGGCGACATAACCGGGGCTGTTGTTTCCAGAGTTTCGTCGTCATCATCATCTATAATTTCAATTGGCACTTTGTGCACTCATTTCTGTTTGGTTTATTTTTTTCCCCTTTTTAAACATAAAAATACTTTTTGTTTTTGACTGATTGAATTATTTTTAATCAGTTGTATTATTATGCATGATTCTGATACTGGAGACAGTTATTTCTCCTGAAAAATCTTCGATATGAACTGATCTGAAATAGAATTTAATTCATATAATAGTAATAAATAAACGCTTTGATGTTTATTGGCCTAAAGTTCTTGCTAGACTGAATTTTATTTTTATTTCTTGTTTTCTTCCAATAATGAATTGCTGACAATATTTTGCTTAATATTTACTTGCTTATGATGATACAATTAGTTTGATTAATATAATAATCGTTCCCAAAATTCTCCCCCCCGGCGAACGATTTAATTAATAAAAATGATAGATATATAAAAAAAATTGAATTTTAAAACACTTGAAAACTTGGCAAACCTATGAATTTCTTTTTATTTCATTTCGATGCCTCAAAATTATTAAGAAATTAATAGCTTAATACTAAATTTATTCTTATTCCATATGAAAAAAAAACTAAAAATAGGCAAACCTATGACAACAAGAAGTCATTACGATGCCTCCAAAATTATGAATCGTTAATATAAAATTTCTTAAGAATATGAGTCTTGTAGACTTTGATTACATAATATGAATTATAATATGATGCATCACTTAGTAGTAATGTAATTTTCTTGATAAAAAAAACTTTTTGCGAACCTATGAAGAACAGAGTTGATTTCCGTGTAAGCCCTGCTCCTGCCACCACCCGCAATTCAAGCATGTTTCTTCTCTCATTGCTGGCACTCTCCATTTCAACGCCACGCATCTCATATGAGCCGCTCTAATTAAGTAGACTGGTTTTCCATTTTCGTCTACTTGCTCATTTACCCAATACGAGTTAGCTGCTTGATGTCTCGAGATTGGTTCATCACATAATGTACAACTTTTCTGCCACTTCACATCTTCTTTTATCATTTGTTTTTCAGTTTGGAATTTTGAACACTTCCACTTTTCAATTGACTCTCCTTCCATTTGCAACAGATTCACGTTGCATGCATAGTTGTTATTTTTTATATCATTCATTACACTGTTCTCTTCTAATATGATGTAACCAACAAGGTTACCTACGTTAACTAAGCCAATCGGTCCCTGTTCGTCTTGTATGTAGCATGGTAATTTAGTCACTAAACTTTTCGTTTCACTTTGCACATTGTCTTTAAGGCTGCTGTTACTCTTAAGCTTTCTGAACTTTCCACACTGTGTATCCTTTTGTATCGTGCCCAGCCACACATCCATTTCATGCAATTGCAATATACAATAATCCACTGATGTAATTCTTCTGTTTTTTATGTTTTTTGTTAATTAGCACTGCATAAACTGAACTCGTATCAGTAATACGTAACGTATAACATAATAATCGTTCGTTTTTATTTTATTACTAAAGAACATGATTCATTCATTAGGGTTAAAATTTCACAAGACGTGTTATTAAACACCTTATTTATTATCAATTGCGACATAAGTAGATCCATTGAATCACTTATTCTTTCTCTTTCCCAACCGTTTTCTGTGATATAAATTTTGTGTTTTAAAGAGATAGCTAATGAATTGTACGCAATTTTTGGAATTCTTCTGTTAGCGAGATCAGGTATTGGAATGATGTCTATTTCATCAAATTCGAAAGACTCTAATTGTGTTACCGTAATTGAGCTGTTAGTCGGAATAAGTGACGCTACTGAAATTCTCATATTTTCTTCTTCTGTTCTATTCCACCGTGGTTTTTCTTCAAATACAATCTTTGCATGATCTGCCATGCGAGAAAATAGCACGAATGCACTTAGAACATGATAAATTTTTCTTTTTCACTTTTTATTTAATCAACTGATAAAGTTTCTTAGTATGACTTTTTTGAATCACTTTATCTTTTTGTGTTGTAGAGACAAACTTTTGATTTGTTAAAACTGTTAATTAATTAATAATAGTTTTGCTTTTATAATGTTTTTGAAAAAGAAAAAAGCCGTATGATCCGTATGAAATCGTATTGAAAAATCCGAACATTTTTTTTTTCGCTTTACAGAATATCTACATTGTACTAATCTACAACACAAAGAATCCAATTTATCAAATGTTGTGTTTCCTTTATCCTGAAAAACATAAATTCGCATTGTTTCTCTATTTCATTTGAAGTCTTTAATTTTTCAACATGAAACCCCATCGAAGAGTTTCATAGTTTGAGAAATTCTTAGTATGAAGTCAAAGCTCATCAATCATTGCATAATGATAAACATTACTGACCTTCAAAATAAGAACGAACAAATAAATGCTGTTCATTGCAAGATTTAATTTCTACAAAAAAGTCATGAATTCAGTTTCTCTCTGAAACACAAAAAAAAGATGAGTAGGCATGGGAAAAGTAGATATTCTAAATAATTCAATCGTTTTCATTTTTTCAATAAAGACAGAACCATATTTAGCGTTTAGATATGGATATGTGGAATTCATAAATTAAAATAAACAAAACGATTCTACAAAAATTCTTATTATTTAAAATGAAAGATTTTTTTCATCACTCATTTTTGAAAAGGTTTTTCAAATCAATTCTGAAAGTTTACTTTTATTGATAGACCTTTAATTATTTTCAATTCATTATAAAAAGGTGTCGGACGATGATGTTGGTGCCTGAGTGACAATGTCAATGAGCGGAGTCATAACTGATCCGAAGCACTTGCGAAATCCCAGAACTTTGAAGTATTTATTTTGTCATGCTGCTGACCCAAACGATGACGTGTAATGATATTAAATTGATTGCGTAACGTATGATATCTTCGGGATCGTGATGTAGTTAGCCACCTTCTTAAATGTCTCACTGCAATATTATAAATTATAACTAAGATTCAAACTCAGACACTTTGTGATCTCTTCACTTTTATTATTCTTCTTTTTGTTTAAGTTCACAATTTGAACGTTTAAAATTTACTCGACGCTTCTAAGTCAAGTTGCGTCTTTTATATTAATTCTAAAATGTGAAGCCTTATAAATTTTAGTAGGTCTTTAGAATTTTCTTTTAGAGCATTTCTCGCTGAGTCATCTCAGCAATTATTAATTTTCTTGGATTTGATATTTATTTAAACCACTTAAACTTTTGTAATTATTTCTTTATTGAAATAATAATTATTTCTCTTTTTTAATTAACAACAAATTTTAATTTTTTCACTTGGGCGCTTCTTTATGACTGTATGTAAAAAGAAAGGAAAATAATTATGATTATGTGCATGAATATTTTAACTTTGATGTTAGTGCAAAGAGAGAAATTTTTTCCTGTGTGCAGCGTTTTTTCCTTTTCTGCTTTACGTCATTGTTCGTCCGATTGCATTAACAACACATTCTTTAGCGTCAATTTTCATTAACGACGAAAAACAATATCCCTTACTTTGTTGATGAGGCAAGAAATTGTCTTATCTTTTAGAAATTTGCTTTACTGCTGCTATTGAATTTCAGTTTGTAATAAAGTCTTTTTAAATAAGTCTGAAAGATAAGGCTTGAAAGTTATTTGAAGGAGACGAGTTGCAGTTCACATTTTTATAAACAATATTTTTCTTTCTTTATGGAATTATTCATTTAAGCAGAAGTAAGTCTGAACGAAGAAATTTGAATCTTGAAAGTGGTTTGAAGGGATTTCAAAGTTATTTGAAGGGGACTTTGTTGAAATATGATTTTTCTTTTTGCTTATGCACTTGTTTGCAACCGTTTTGAAACGAATGAGTTCAATGTTTTCAATGAATGAGTTTCTCCCAAATGAATTAGAAAACCAAGAGATTTCTTTAATATGATTCTATTTAAAAATGAAGTTTTTGACTGGTTATTAGACTGTGATTAGATTTTTGACCACTTTTATCAGCAGAGAATCATTCACTAAACACACTGATTCTTAATGTGTTTTCAAACGAGGTTCATAAAAGTTAAAAAAAAGGAATTGTTAAAAAAAACATTATTAAGATTAATAAGATTAGGTAATGTTTGAAAACTGTCGCCGGCTTTTGACAGTGCTGAAATCAACTTACTTCCTTCAATCGCTAACTACAGTGGAACTGTATCACTATAAGTCATTGATTTCTTTATTTGAAGGACCACTTGTTTTATTCCCTGTAAAAGGAATAAAACCTAAAAAATAATGAATGAAACATGGGTATTTTTTATTGATCACTAAAATGAATACTGAACTTTATTTCACTTTTTTTCTTTTTATAATGTGAATTTATGAAGAGTAAGCGATTATTTCGGTTTTGATTGGTGGCAAAGTCATCGAATTGAAACGAGCTTGGAGGAGCATATTGAAGTCCTCGGAATGCAACAAAGTCTTAATTAAGAAAATTAAAAAAAGAAACAAATTCATTTTTAATTACAATAAAAATTCACTTACTGCTATCTCATCGCCGTTAAGTGAAAAAGAAACTCTTGTAATGTTTCTTATTGGATACAATTGTCCAACATTCAAATCTCTTGTATGCTTAAGATTCGCGAAACTGGAATTATCCATTTTTCTGACAGCTCCCTAAGTATTCCAGATAGCATTGTCACTCTCTTCGTCTTCGAGTGCTTGCGAAAAAAATTGCTTGAGACGCATCATTAGCATGATGATGATGATGATGAGAAAGCATCATCGATGGATCAAAATTGTCTTCGGAAACTTCACTGGAAGTAGATGGTTTACCACCTTTTCCATCGCTTGGGCGTTTTTTAACTTAGTCCACATTAATTACGACTGAGCTTCTGCCAGTGGGAAGTAAAAAACCATTTTTCTTCGTCTGTTTTTGAATAGTTTTTTGTTATTTTTTCAGTTGGAGCCTGCTTAACGATGCTGTTGAGGCATGCTGACGTTGAGTTCTTGTTGAGAAAGATTACGTTGTCTAGCAATTTCTTCTCTACGGTGTACGCATTCTCTTTGTCTCAAATGATTTCTTGAGCGTTTTCTGAATTATCTAAAGCGATGCTCTGTGTTGAAGTCCCTGGGATCAAAATGATATTGCTCTCTATCTTAGCCTTCAATGAATCTGGAAAGATAAGTTAATTATTCCATTAAGTCTCAATTTATTTCATCGGTGCCTCTTACCAGAACTTCTGGTGAAACCTAAGGGTGAAATCAAAAAATGTTATAGAATATTTTTTCTGAATATTCATTAAGGTCGGCAATTAATAATATTTTTTTCTGGTTGACGAGTAGATGATTCATCTTTTTGTCGATGTCTTGCGTCTCGGCTTCCGTTAGGTTGAGATACAATTTCGCAACTTTAGCTGTTCGTCTTCGAGTTTCACATATTCCATGCAATGTATATGTTGGATCATACTTCTCAAAAATTTTACAACATTTTTGTTTTTTACTGATTGAATTATTTTTAATCAGTAATAATGCTTATTCAAATATGGAAATATACATTTATTTATTTTATATATTTTATTTATAGAATTTCTGGAAGATACTTATTGCATTACTTTGTGTGCATTACGTCTTTGAGATTTTTCTATCTTCAAAGAAAATTAAAATTACATGATTTTTGAAGACAGGTTGATCCGTAGCATCCAATTGTTTGTTGAGCCAAAGAAATCTTACTCAAGATTTCGTAACAACTTGTTTACAAATGACACAAATAAAAATTTTATCACAAATGGGATCCTCGTACACATTATAAGTCATTTTTTTCGTCTTCGCATTCATTTTTTTGGTAGTATTTCCAACTAGTATTTCAAATAATGATTGCATTTTATTTAATAAACAATAAGCAATGTTAAAATAGCGTCAAGTGTGTTATAGTATTCGTCAATAGCACAAATAGCACCAATAACTAACTGCTCGCCTCTTTTCTGCAGCATATATTTCACTTCACGCACCATTTTTTTGTTTTTTAAAACTGTTAATAAATGTAACTTCAACTTTTTATCAAAACAGTTTAATAAATGTAACTTCAACTTATTTTATCAAAACTGTTAATAAATGTAACTTCAACTTTTTTATCAAAACAGTTTAATAAATGTAACTTCAACTTATTGTTTCAAAACTGTTAATAAATGTAACTTCAACTTATTTTATCCTTGTGAAATACTAGAAGCAAAAGCAATTTCTGAACGCACAAAAAAAGTTAAAAGTTTTTTATCTACATTGTAAAAACGAGAAGAACATATTCACTATTATATAAACACAAACTATATAACACAAACTAAAATAATAACTAAAAATGAATACTGGATGAATACTGAACATATTTATTGCAAATTTTTTCTTTTTAACATAAATTTATGATGAATTAGCGATTACCTAATTCGCTTTTGATCTGTTTTTTATGGAAAGGGAAAAAGGTGGGCGTTTGTTCCTTTAATTGGTTTAAACAAACTCCCGAAAGTGAAAATATGAAATAAAAATATAATATAGATAAAATATAAACGAAATATCTATTTTTCTTTTGAATTTTTGAATTTTAAAACTTCCTTTGTGCTTATAGCTTAAAGATTATAAAATATAAAAAATGAATTTTTATTCTGAGCCTTCGTGCGAACGACGTTCTTGATTTGTTTTCTTAAGATTACTAACATAATTGAATTAAAGACTGATTTGAATTTTTCATAACTTGCAATATCGCCAGAGAAGGTTGGAATCCCAACTTTTGGTTGGCGGCACAATCCACAAAACCACTTTAAGGTTTTGAATGATTCGATATTTAAACCATTCATCGCGTTGTTATGATATCCCACCGCATTTATTTCTGTTATTACACTGTCGCTGACTACAACATATCCCATTAATGCTCCCAAGATTTGGAAGCCAAATGGGGTTGAATCATTCTCTAAAACATATAGAGGGATGACATCAATTTTGATGTAGTTCGGAATTTCATGGTAAATGTCCATTTCAAGAAGATGAGCATGTACTTCTTTAATTCTTTCGTTTATGCTTTTTTTATAATCACTTAAAATGCAGAAAACTTGAACATCACAACAAATACCAGCAATAGCTAACTGCTGGCCTCTTCTCTGTAACATATATTTCACTTCACTATCCATCTTATATTGAACTTTTTTGTTTTTTAAAAACTGTTAATAAATGTTTTTTGAAAAAATAAAAAGCTGTGTGATTCGAATGAAATCAAATTGAAAACTACTAAACATTTTTTTTGTTCGCTTTTTACAGAATATCTACATTAAGTAAAACGAGAAGAACAAATCACTATTATATAAACACAAACTATATAACACAAACAATCCTTTTTATCTAATGTTGTGTTTACATTATCCTAAAAAACATTAAAACATTTGCTTTGTCAGCACTATTGGCAATGAGTAATCATTGCGATAAGTATTTTCACAGAAGCGTCAATAACCATAGGAGCAACCGTGTCGCGTTGTATATTCCGTGAAGGAAAAGGTTGCTGAATATTTATGTATGTTAGGTTATTCTTCTCAAAAACTCTATACATATTTTACAATATTTTTGTTTTTTACTGATTGAATTATTTTTTAATCGGTTATAATTCTTATTCAAATATGGAATTTAAATTTATTTATATTATATATTTTATTTATTGTTTTATTCCCTGTAAAAGGAATAAACCTAAAAAATACTAAATAAAAGACATGGTTTTTATTAATAACTATAAATGAATGCTGCTAGGTAAATTCTTAAAATTAAATTATGATATGAAAAGAAATTGTATTAAAGAAATTGTATAAAAAAAAAATCAAAGTAAATTTTTTAAAATGCGGTGTCTCTTGGTCGTTGAAGATGATCTTGTAGATATTTCCGCGTCCATAGATGTGGTTTCAATTCCAGGTCTATGGTTCTATGTCGTCTTTTTTTGATGCGCAGACTGCATATGATTATGATTATCGTTATCATTAGAATGCCTATGTAGTGACGTCGTTGCAATGATGTATGGGGTTGATTTTATTTCGTGTGCTTCAACATCTTTTATCTCGTCGAACAGATGTTCTTCTAATTTATTGATTTCGTTTTTGTTTTTCATTTTGACTTGTTGCAAGTTGTCGTTGTCGTTGATAGTTTCATTGAGATAAGTCCAATTTGCCTTGTGAATAGCCAGTCTTGTTGTCCCGTCTTTATTGAATTGACATTTTTGTGTATTTATAACGACTGCGGATTTGATATGGAGTTGTTTGACGATATTGTCCACTTCACAATTGATTACTTTGATGTTGATTGGTTCATTAAAGAACGTAAAGTTGTTTGTTATTACTCCGCCCTCTTTGATGATTTTTCTTTTGAGTGATTCACAATTATAATTTTGACTAGGTCGCGTTAACATTTGTCTTTCACATGTAGAGATTGACCTGATTTGCTTAGTGACGAAGATATCTGGTTTCGGTGATGTGGTGTCGTCTGCATCAATGATTTCTGTTTTTTCTGGCGACTCAATGTAGTATAGTGTGTAGTAGTTTTCTTGGCTTCTGTTGATGTTGATTATTAAAAAAATTTCATATATTTTGTTGTAAACAGTTGGGAGTATGTAAGAGATTTCAACTAGATGGTTATCTAGTTTCTGGGATATTTTGCGTTTTTGCATAAGTTTTCTTTATTTATGAATGAAGGTAATTTCCAACTAGGAGAGTGTATTCTGGCGTTGTTTATATCATTTATTAAAAGATTTATGCGTTCTTCAAATTTTTTTTTTAAATACCTGAAATCATACATAATTTTTTTTGATATTTCTAATATACAGAATCCCAGAATGTTTGGTCGATCAAGTGTAACCTTCTTCATGGTTGACATTTTAATTGCATTAAAATTCTCATTAAATATTTTCATACTATGGAAATTTGGTTTTGCAATAAGTCGTTCACCGCAATTTCTTTTACCATCAGCCCTCCATTCGGTAACTAAATAAACATCTTTATAACGTTCTTTCTGCTGAACTGACTTACCATATTACCATATAGTATTGTTCATTAATTTAAAAAAATCTTTTTCAAAGGCCGTCGTTGCCAATGATCTCTTATTTGTATTGAATAGAATGTATGGCTCCAGCCATCGACTTTGATTGAATTTAAGTGCTCTATGAATTTTTGTTACTTTTAATCCGTTTTCTAATATTTGTTTTAAATTAATGTAATGAATCGGATATTTTTCTTTTTTAGAAAAATCTAAAATTAATTTAGTAAACTTTCCCCTTGGCGGTATTTTCTTTTCAGCACAGAAGGGTAGATCACAGTGTTTGTCGTGTAATGTTTGAGGAACTTCAATATCAACATCTAAAATGTATCCAATTGGCGAGTTATCTTCAATGTTATGCACTGAATCAATTAATGAATTTGAATTTTCTTTCTCAACCCATTGTAAAGACTCTCGTTCGGGGGATCTGTAATGGAATACTAATAACAAAACCTTTCTTATTTACTTATTCACTTTTATTTTATCCACTTTATAGATTATATTTGGATTCGATTTGGATTTTATTTGACAAAGAACAAGAATTGTTCCACGCTTTTATACTAATTCTATGTTTCGTCTCAGCCAATCAAATGCTGAGACGTTTGCTTTAATTCTAATTTATGATCGTCCTCTTGGGACGATCGCGAGTTGTGCAACATTCAAACAATGACCGCTCATTGTTCAATGTGCTTTGTCAGCACTATTGGCAATGAGTAATCGTTGCTTGAGTATTGTCACACCATTGATAACCGTTAATAGGAAGTGAAAACGTCATGGCAATACCGTATAGATTGTTACTATCATAATATTCAACGGATGATGATTCGTAATTATTATTATAATTTTTCATGTGAATATTATTAGCAATTGACTCATAAACATTAAGTTGAGTGATTCCACCACGTATTCCTCTTTTAATAAAATCAATTTTATCTTGTTCAGTGAATAACTGAAAATCTACACCAGTCATGTAAAGCATAGAATCCATGCTTAAACTAGCACATGTCGGATAATAGACAGGATCGAGCTTGTAAAAGCTCAGTGACATTTCTCTAAACCTCTCAAATATATCTGCTAAGATAAGGATGTCTGTTTTTAAATAAAGATCAGAATATTCACCAATGTTTCGACAATTGAATGTTGTAAACACATTTCGTGCATGATTATAATCTTCATCAGATATGTCCCTGACTGTAAGTGTGCTATGAAATTGTGTTTTGGGTATCATCAAGCCATTCATATGGAAAAACACCTTTTCGAATTAAAAGATTAAATTCAGATTGAGTGTATTTTCTATATCGTTGTTATTATTAATACGTCGACTTGGTCTTCTTGATGGGGAGACGGTGGAGGTGGCGGAATTGGAGATAGTGGTGAATAGGATGGAGATTCTGGCGAATAGGATGGAGATTCTGGTCGCTGTGAATCTCTCATTTCTTCATCATCCGAGATTTCGAATGGGACTTCATTCATGATTTTTGTCCTGTTTGTTGCGTTTTCACTCATTGTCACTTTATATTTACCAGTTTTTTTTTCTTTCACTATTTCGTTTGATGTTCACCAATTTTTTTCTTCACTATGTTGTTTGATATTCACTAATTTTTTCCTTTCACTATGTTGTTTGATATTCGTCAATTTAAGTCTTCTTATTAGTTTAACTTGTCACTTTGCTGCTCTGGCGCTGGGCTTCTTCCATCATTGACGTCCACATGATTCTTCTTAATGCTACTTAATAGTATTTAATATTTTTTCTTCTTTTATGAGAACGTATAAAAGATATTTTCTAACATTTTTTAATTTTTTTTTGTTTTAGTATTGAAAAATATAAAAGTGTGACCTAACTTCTAACAGAGTGCTTATGTTGCACAAAATTTGTTTATGATTTTAGAATGGAAGAAAGTTTTATTACTTTCTTTCTTCCCTTTTCTGCATATGTTCTTTTCTTATCTGCATGGTGTAAGAAAAAAAAATTATCAAGAGAGATGTGTTTACGGTTTGAAGAAATTACTTTGAAAAAATTTGAAACATTTTTTATGAAATGTCTTTTGATAACTGAAACTGATTTATTTTTTGTTCTCTTGATAAAATAGAAAATGATTCATTTGATTTCATTGAGTTTTAAGGCATAGTTATTGAAACGAGGTGTCGTTTTTTTTTGAATTTTTTATTTATTTAACATAATAGGTGCTTGTGGCACTTGTTCAACTTCGTAATCTTCTTTTGTTTCTTTGGGAATTTCATCATTTATTTTAGCATTTATTTCGGGGCTCATTTCAGCATGTGCTTGGTTCACTTGAATATTAATTTTCTTCAGGTTTTCTAGAAAGATTCTTGTTACGGAATTCCAAAACCCGAAGAAGATTCTCCACGTGAAACCAAAGACTTGGTAAAGTGCATAACCATTCAATATCCAGTCAACGAAGAATTTCAGTATGTTGAAAATACAGAAAATTGCCAATATTGCTGAAAAATGTTGCCTAGTGTTAAAAGGTCTCCATATAATGAAGAGAATATTTGTGACAACCAGTCACCTATTTTAAAAATTGAATTGCGACCCGAATTGTTTTTTCGTCTTTTCATCCCGTTCTGCAAAAGTATCCCCTGCGTCATCTGTTGGTGGGGGCGTTGGGGTGATTCGTAATACTTCTAGAGAAGACATTGGTATCTCCTTATAAGCTTGCTCGGCATCGAGTTGAATTTCAAGTGCGTTGTATTTAGTTTCATCTTTTTCCGGAATTTTTCTAGTATTATTTCTGATTACTGTTATGAATGCCTGCGCATTCTGAATTACTCTGATACATGTTTCTTCATTTCTTCTGACGACATTTATTTTTTTATGTATTTGTTAAAAGTTGTCTTAATCTTTTAAGCGTTTCACTTAACTCATTTCGAGTTTTTAGTTCACTCACAAATAAGATTTTTTGATTTAATTATTTTCATTTTCACTTAAGCAAGCGAGCTGTGTCTTTAGTTTGTTTAAGTTTGTAATTCACTTGCCGGAAAAATCGTTTCAAATGATTATTTCAATGTCTAGACTGGTGGCATTGATGCCGCAGGATAGAGTGGGTCTAATTCTTGTTCCATTGGATCCCACTCAACCACTTCCACTTTTATTTCACCGAAGCCTTCCATGATTCTCTTTCACTGAATCTGTTTTTGATTTTTATATTAAAAGAATATTATTTTGGAACGTTTTGGTTTCAGTTAATTTCACTGCTTATGAATATTCTTTTTTCACAGAATATTTTTTTGGAACCGTTGAAAAATATAAAAATGTGACTTAACTTCTAACGGAGTGCTCATGTTGCATAAAATTTGTTTATGATTTGAAATAGAAGAAAGTTTTACTACTTTCTTTCTTCCCTTTTCTGCATATGTTCTTACTGTTTCTTTATCATATGCATGGTAGAAAAAATTATCAAGAGAGATGTGTTTAAAGGAGGCTATTATTTGAAGAAATTATTTGGAGAAAATTTGAAACATTTATTTTATGAAAATACCTATGTAAGAATAAAAATGTATTAGTGAATATTTATTTTATACTGCCCTTTGTGGAGCTCGACTTCCTTCATCATGAAGCGTCCCTTGGTCAAACTTTCTTCATAATATTTGAGGCATTGGTCATCAGATTCGATGTAGGACAATGGTGAAGTCCAATCATCACTTCCATCATCTTGGCGTGTTCTTTGGAGAAGGAATATTTGGTGACAATATCCGTGCTGACGAAGCCTTTCTTGACTTTCTCGAGTCGTTTCAACTCGTCTTCGATGAAAGTCCTTGGGAGTTCTGCATGTCTCCACAAGCTTCCTTATCGTAAAAGTAACGTCTTTAGTCAACCAGCGGTGGCTGACCTGGTTTCACAATCGTGTTTCCAAAGTCGTGGATAAACTTTTTTTCAGTAAGTAAAGAAATTGAAATATGATAAAAAAGAGATTCGATTATAATCAACTATTTTTATTTCAACTAATAATCATATAGATTTTTTTAACCAATGACCAAAAGATTCTGGAAAACGCTCACCAAGAAACAAAAAGCAACGTTTCCATGACTGCGTCACTTATTAACGGAGCAACCGCTCGCTCACATAATAAAACATTTCTAATATCAGCAGAAAGTAAGAAACTGATTAGAGGCATTTAGTTTCACGATTGACAAATACATGAACCTTCGCCGTTGACGTTACTCTTGCATAATCGTGCGATCCAATGCTTATAAGATGGAAGAGATAGTGAAGCATCATTTTTTGTTATTTTCTTTGAACCTGGATAGTGACAAAGTTACTTCAAATAATGACGGAGTAAGTGTCATGAAAAAGTATGGAAGATTAATTTCTCAGCATAATAATCTATGTTTCAATCATGCCATTCATTTAGCAGTAACTGAGGGTCATTACAAAATGTAAGCGATTGATAATAGTTCGATGGAAGTGGATGAAGATCAGACAGATAGCGATGGTGATTATAAAGATAAAGGTATGTAAAAATTACTAAATGAAAAATATAAATTCAAATTCCAATAAATATTTATGCTCATAATATTCATGTTTTATAATTTATGATATTTAAATATTCCTACCACTTTGATAATTGAAATTTCTTTTTATTACCCAAGATGATGGACAATGGTTGAAGTTTTCGGCAAAGAGAGGGAATCAGCACTAGATGTCAAACAGCGCTGGAACTCAATCATAATTATGTTTAATGTTTATGTTTTCTCTAAACCAAGAAGATCTGGCTAACAATCTGGACTTTGAAGCAATCGAAGGACTGAATGAGCCCATGCAACGAAATAAATTAAGCTAAGTTAAGATAAGCAAATAATTGAGAATAAAAAAATTGTAGATTCAAGGTCAAATTATAAATTTTATTAGACATTTTTTTCATTTGTTTGTTTAACAGTTGTGAGTGAGGTAATCGGAGGTGCTTCTGATTTAAAAAATTAAAGTTAGATAAATTTATGGTCGATTTGTATTTGAAGGACAAAGAAATTTATCTTTTATCTGCTTCTTAATAATTTAATTAAACTTAAAAACTTGTTACATTAATTTCTATAAAGACTGTTAGCCCACAGTGATAATAAAACCATCTCTACTTGAATGACAATTTGTGTGATTGCTGAAATTAAAGAAATATTATTAATATGCACACTTATTTTTTTTTCCAATTAGAAAAAACTTAAATTAAAACTCACATCTTATTTTTACAATAATCGTGAATGGTCCCTCACAGCTGATGATGAAATGTTTTAAAATTACGTCAAGAAGAATTGGTTGAAGCTTGCAAAAAACAAGCACTAATTGAAACGTTATGAATTTTTTTAATAAATTAAGATTTGTGAAATAAGGAATAACCATTCGTATTGTAATTTGAAAAGCCCAAACGCCTAATATAATTGTGATGGCAATGAACGGTACAAAAAACGGTGTTAGACTGTTAGCTACTTCTGGGTTTTCGATTGAAATTAAATTTAGCGTTAGAAAAATTATCACATGAACAACGGCCATTTGTATTACTAAGAATCTTAAGATCTTGAACTTTTGTCTAAAATGAAAACATGAAATAAATATTTAAAAATATATTTTTAATTTAATGAATTTTCTTTTAACTACTTTGTTACTCGAGATTTTTTCAGACAGCCAAAACAACAGCAGCATGGTGGTGCTCTCAGTGAAAATGTTTCTTCTTTCGATAACACAATGAATCTGCTTTCGCCTTCTACGTAATTAATACATAATCTGCAAGAATTTTTAAATTACAAACACTAAACTTTGGTATTCATGTAAACAAATATCTGATACTTACCGGTAAAATTGATAAGATATAATTACAAAGCTTATATGAGAAATGGTATCACAAAAGAAATAAGCTTTTGGTACGATAATTGAAATTAAAGAGCTGCACGCAACGATCTAAAAAATGTGTTTCATAAGGTAAGAAATATTTCAAAATTGTTTTAATTTCTTTTAACTTACAGGATAAATAGTTAATAGTGTTACAATGTTGCCTTTAGTACAACGATCCTGCTTTTTGATTACAGCCCAAATGTTTATTATATAAAGAAGAAATGTTGTCAAACAGATGAACGTCGTAATCACAAGAATTATTTCGTGTTCGAGTTGAAAATTGTCGAAGAAATATTTCACTGATGGGATTCCGTTTCTGCAATCTAAAGTTGAGTTTTCCATTTTTTGATGCTTGTAGTTCACGCAGTTTCAAAAAATCTTGAAATGCTATTGGAACGTCAGAAAAACTATTGAAATGTCTTTGATACTGGTTAGAAGCTTGCTTGTTTATATTTTAATTAATTCGTTTTGATTGTATGTAAATGTTTGCTATGGCAATAAAACTTTCAATTAATATTTGTTTTCTGTCATTCTTATCTTATTCGTTTGACACTTTTATGACAATACTTTTCATTATTTTCCAACGCAATATTATTTATTTATATTAATTTTTTTATTACATTTTCACCATCTAAAATTAGGAAAGCAGAATAAATAATTCAACAGCTTTCAGTGAACCTCATAACTCTACTGAAATAAAACTAATGATGATTTTCATATATCTTTTGGACAATTACATGTACGTCATCATATTTAGTTTGTTTAGTTAGATTTTGCCAAAGTGATCTTGAAATTTTTTTGGTAGTTTTTTTGTTAAATCCAGTTAAATTGTAAATCATTATCCTCAGTAAAGGGTAGAGTTTGAAGTTCACACTTGTAAATAAATATTTACATGCAAGTCTGTGGATGACAGCCTAGGATCTTCTTACATTGACAATAATATTTATTCAACAAGCTCTAGTCAGCCCAAAAATTATTCTTGATAGTAACGTGATAGAAAATGAAACAATGCAATTTGATTACTATTGATTAATGTTTTATTTAAGTTTATCACTTTTAATATTTAATGGCAAATGAATACAAAAATGTGTAAGTAGATTTCAATATAAAGCTTTGTCACTGTTCAATTGGTAATTTGTGTGTTAATTATTTCTGGTTTCATTATTACTTACTTGTATACAAAACAGTACTGATGTCAATCTTTCACTTTTATTGTTAGAGAATTATTTTTTCGACGAAGTTTTTTCATTGAATCCCGACCCGATCGAGTTTCGTCGGTTCATGTATTTATGAACTTAAATAAATATAAACGGTACAAGCACTGGATTGAGACCGACAGCGAGACTTTATGTCTAATAGCTTGTAGAGTTGAAAACTATATTCTCAAAAGATTTTCTACAAAGCAAATTTTTTTGTTGTTCACGTTTCATTTTTGTTAAACGTAAGAAGGTGAAGGTCGACAAAAATTGTGGTTTTGACTAAAATGAGTTTTTTTTGGCGAATAATGATTTTTTTTATATAAAAATTGGCATTTATTTTGTCCATTCTAAATGATTCATATAAATCGTTTTCGCTTTTGATGGTATTAAAACTTAGCTTATATGTGAAGATTTCACGTTATAAACATGTGATATAAAATTGAGAATAAAAGAACTTTTGTATATTAGTAGGTAGGTACTTAATTTTTTAATTCCAGAATGTGCATAGATAATGAAATATTTCAGATACAAATATTAAAGTTAAAACTGCAGCAATCAAGACTTTTGCTACTCTACAGACTTGTCAATCAATCAAAACAGAAAAAGCGGATCTGGATGAATCTTTCTTCCATACATTTATGAATACAGAAATAATAAAACTTTAAAATACGCTTGCATAACAAGAATAATTATTCTTCTATTTCTATGTTGAATCTCGCAAGAAAATAAATTGAAATGTTTTATTTATTCTCTTTTTTTTTATTTTCTCAGGTTCTAAAACATGTACTGTTAATTTGGCAGATTTTTCGTACATTTAGAGATTTTTTGAGGAAGGTTTATAGCACTTGTTGGATGAATTTTCAGACAACGATACACTGGAATCTGTAATTGAGATAGAAGTGAAGAGAAAACATTTAATGCTGCTTCTTAATGATAAAAAAAGGTAAATAAACAAACATAAGCTAAGGAAAAGTCAAGTGTTGGTTTTTCTGATCGCTGATGGGATTTTTCGTTCTTTTCATTCTCTGTATGAAGAGCTTTTTGAACTAAGTCATGGAATTGAAGATTTCCTGTGGCGTCTGTTTTGGGTTCTGAACTTTCTCTTGGAATATTTGAGACTTGAGACTGAGACTCAATATCAAAATCATCAATTTCAACACTTCTTAGGTCAGATGGGATGCGATAGTTAAAATCTGGCGGAACTCCTTTGTTTGCTGATAAATTTGTCCACTTCATTGGACTTCCAATGGTTCCAATATACTAAATGTTAAAGTAAGAAATTTATCTATTCAACGCTTATTTTAATCTTTAAGGCACTCACTTGTCCACTTAAGTTCCAAAATCTCACAGATTTATCATAACTTGAGCTAATCATGATTTCATTTCTATCGGAAAATATCAAATTTGTTATTGGCTTCTTGTGACCTTGATAACAGTTCAAAAGCTTTGGATTTACTTGATTACTTGTAAAAATTTCCCCATTGATTGTCGACGACAAACTAAAACCAAATGGAAAGCAAGGTAAATTTTCTATCGCATTCCGAATAAAAATCGCTGTTCTACTTATTTTATGTCATTCAAATCGATAGTCATGTAACTTCTGATTTTCATTATGCCACTCAGTGTAACGAACACAAAAATGACGAACGAGTTGGGAAAAATAATTTTTCGTGTTTCAAGTTGAGATATTAAAAGGAGAGAAACTAACACGATTAGAAAATGTGAAATGGAGCTGATTCGGTTCAATTCAATATTATCAATCAAAAGTTGATAGTAAAGTAATGGCAAGTTTCGATCACCCGATATGTATTTAAAAGTTTTACTTTGTATTGAAATGAATGACAAGGGAATAAAAGTTCACGAACAATTATAATAAATAAACTCATCATTAAAATGGGGGGACGCTTTCAACAGATTTTCTTTACAATAATGTTATGTTTCCCCTAGCAAAGTACCTAGAAAACTTAAGGATTCTTAAGGACTCTTATCAATGATTTTAAAAGCCATTAATTAAAAATAAAATTGCAATAAACATACAATCGACAACATACCAAAAGTTTGATATCATCCACGTTTTTATGTAGCCGAAATGTGATCCAGCAAATAAATATCGGTTTTGAGTGTCGGTTGCCAATGCTGTGACTAACAAGTTTTTGTTTTAATTTTATGACAATAAATAAACAAATTGAACAGCATGAAAAGAGAATGAAATTATAATAATGAATATATCAGAATAAGGTTGAAAAATGAACATCAATTGATCACTTACTGACATCTCCATTCATACAATTTGTATCAAATTCCGTAATGAATGGTTCTCTTCGATTGTGATGAGACCAAACTTGAATTTTTCCATTTGACAGAGCTGCTAAAATCGTTCCATTGGTGAAATGAGATGGTCGATTCAATAGGAAAAGAAGCCGTTGTACCATAAGTGGAGACGAGTCTTGTGCCAAATTAAAGTCGAGCCTTTAATGAAAATATTTTTGTTTATTCCTTAAAGATTTATGATGACATTGACAATTTAGTCCTTCTCAAAATTTCCCTAGTTTTACAAATAAATAAACAAAATACATATGAAAAATCACAAACCTTTCCTCAAAGTTCTTCAGGGTTTTGTTTTGTTTTGTTTTTTGTTTCCTCGTATTCTGCTTCACGTGAACATCGCTTTTAAGAAAAATTTTCTTATAAACAGCTGGTAACTGTTGCGTGGGGTCTTTGACATTGAAGCGCATGTAAGGTTGACCCATTTCTGAATTCCAGAAAATGATATCACCAGATGTACACGATGTGACTAATATTTTTAAGTCATGAACTGTGGCACATTTGATTTCACCATGATGGCATTTTCGCCAACATTTTCCAAAGGAAATTTTTTCTTTCATACTACTCAGATCAATAAGTTCAGTGATATCTTTCAGACTGACAACGATAATTCTCTCCTCAAGCCAAAACACTGAAACAACGCGTTCATCTACTGTCAAACATCGAAGTAACTCGCTTGATTTCATATCCCAAACTTTTAATGTCCCATCACTACCCGCGGTTAAGAGAAAAAGCTGAGTAGGATCGAAACAACCAGCGGTTATATCAACCTCGTTATGTTTCAATCGAGTATGCGCTTCAAGAATTAAGTTGACTTTACGTCCTCTCCAAACATCCCAAATGATTATGGAGCTCGACTTGCTACAAGTCACGAGAAACCCAAAAAGTTTGTTAAACAAAATAAGCGAAATCGGAGACATATCTGTGAAGCCGTCAGTCTTGTTTAAGTCTATCTTGGGCTGACATTTGAAGTATGCAATTCTTCTCGATGCGACGATAAATTCACGAAAATCTTCATTGTAAAATGCTGAGACAGAAACATTTTTTGTGAATGTTTTAGTCAGGTCTTGAAAAGTTTGTAACAAGCGAGCTTGTTTGACATCCCACACATTGACAATCTAAACGAAATTTTTGAGTATTTCGATAAATTGAAAAAGTTTTAATAAACGAAACCTTATTTTTATCCATTGAGTAGAGTTTAGTGGCAGAGTCTTGAAAGAAGATGCTTTGAATTCCCGAATTATGTCCAACCATCGACGCTTTCATCTTTTTAGGCATGTGATAATCCCAAAGACGCAATACAAAGTCAGGTCCACCTTTTATTGAAATAAATTTGTAATGCAATTAATGAGACACACAACAGAAAATGTGAAAAAGGCTCAAGCAAAAAAATTACACTAAGCAAAGAGAAGTTAAAATAATTATTAAAAAGAAGATCGAGGGATTGTTGATGGTCATGTGAAAGAATGTTTTAGTCAAAGCATTTCGTTTCCGTGCCTCTGAAAGAACCGTCAACAATTCAAAAAGGGAAAAAAGCTTTCGAAAGCTTTAAATGAATTTTTTTCAGAGAAATTTTGGAATGAAGACAATAAAAATACTCACCTGTTGCCAACATTTTTGATGGTTGATGAAAATCAAAGCAAGTTGTCCCCTTCATAAAGACATAAATATTTTTAAGCAAATGAATTATTTAAAGTTTTTCTCTTTTTCTTACACCATTCATTCTGAAAACAACTTGAGGATTCGAATGAGAATGAATGTCACTAAGACTTTGTATCACAACACTTGGTGCATAAGAGCTTTTTGATAAGATGTTCTGTGCTGATGATATGAAACTGTTGACCGACTCAATGAATGATACTTGAGTAACAACATCTTGATGGGTTCGGACAAACTCTCTGCATTTCATTGTTCCGTGTATGTTCTGTTTAATGAAGATAAATGAAGTTTAAAGCATAGAAACATTTAGAAACTGAAACCACAAAGCAAAAATGTGCAAATTCTGTTATTAAATAAAACATTGAAATTCATTTACCTTCATTAATTCACTGTGAGATAGTTGACGCAATATCGAACCAGTACGAAAATCTAATTCAAAATTCTTCATGAAATCAATAACGCGAACAGTTCCATTGAAATCTCCGATAATTAATTGTGCATTTCTTTTGTTGTCAATTGGTTTATGGTAGTGAAGTGCACTGATAAGGTATGGAAAGTTTCTGACATAAAGCCGTAAAATGCATTTATTTATCGTGGAGCAATCGTAAAATCGTAAATCACAGCACACCGACGAAATGCAAATTATTTTCAGATCTGTGAGTATGACAGCATCGAGAATCAACGTTTTTGAGGATTTTTTAATTAGTTTCTTGTCAGATAATTCGATTATTGGTAATTCTGTTTCGGGAACTTCATCTAACGATTGATAAATATTTACACACATGAAAGTTTAATGAATCAGTTGATGAATGTTACTCTTACCAGCAAAAATAATACTTTTCATTCTCCACTTCAACGACCAAAAGCAAATATCACCAAAGCACCCAATTGTTACATAAATTCCATGTGAATCTGTTGAAGCAAAAACAAAATTGTTGTCTATGAAGTGAATCCTCAAAATGTCGCTTCGATTTTTCGATAGGAAAATATTTGCGGGTTGTGCAATTGGAAGCGTTGTTGACAAAGCATCTTGAGCATTATCATCAATTTGGAGTTCAAGAAAAAGATATGAAACGAACTCTTTCCAAGTGATGAAATTATCGCGATTTGGATCCATCTTCAGACAAAGATTAAGGAAGTCGTCATCATGATAAGTGAGATTAAAACGATTCAAGAAACTTCGAAAATCTATATAACTCAATTTTGACGATTCCTGTAGCTTAAAAAATTTTCCAGCATACTCAATGTCGCTTTTAGTCAGGAACTCATTAAGCCTTGGAGTCAACGTATGATCTCTAGCTTCACTTGATGACATTGTACGACAATTTTTTCAACGCGATATGTTAACACTCAGGAAAAAATGAAATTGAAAATTGACGATTCTGTTGACAAAGGTTGCTTTATCAACTTTAGGTAAGATGTTCTCGTTCACATTTCTTTGTATTATCATCAACATTAGGTTGTGCGCCTATACTCATGAATTAAATATCATTTCTTAATAAATTGCTTATGTGACGCTAACGTACTTTAATGAAGACATTAATTAAATCTTAATATTGAGATCAGATTTAGAGAGTTGGTTTTTATTTAATAATTTTAACGTTAGAAAAGAATTCAAAATTTAAGATGAAAGATCCAAAAAAAGATGCAAGAAACATGCGATTTTGTAAACAAAAATCTCGTGAATAATCATGAAGGTGACAAGATTTAAAAAAGCATGTAAAAGAATTTACTTCTATATAAACAACTTTAACTATAGGCCACCAATACAAGTATTGATTGATGGCACTTTTTGTTTTGCTGCAATTAAGGTGAGAATTCAAATTAATTTGCAATTAAAATTTTCTGACAAAATTTTCATTCTATAAAGAATAAATTTTCAATCGAGGATCAATTAAAAAGTTACCTTCAGCTTGAATTGAGATTACTGACAACGCCATGTATGATAATAGAAAGCGAAAAGTTAGGTCACAAGCTTCATCAAGTCACACAAAAACTTAAAAGTTTTAATCTCAATAAATGTGGACACGAAAAGAATCCGCTGGCTGGATCTGAATGCATCAAAACAATGGTAAAAGACAATCATTTCATTGTTGCAACACAAGATCGCGATCTTCAAGATTGGCTTCGTCATCAAATTGGAAAAGCTCTAATTTATCTTCATAACGTTGTTCCACATCTTGACGAACCTTCAGATGCAAGCAAGAAGTTTGTGATTCGTAAATCAAAAGCAACAACAAGAGTTTCGACGTTTGAAGATGAGCAATTAATGAATATTAAAAAGAAAGAAGGATTATTAAAAGAAAGTTCTTTAGTGAGAATCAAAAATATTAAAAAGAAAAAGAAGGGAGGTCCAAACCCTTTGTCATGTAAAAAGAAAAAAATTAACATTCAAACTAAAATCAAAAAAGAAAAAATGAAAAGCAAAATAAAGAAAAAGCTTTGAAAATTATCTTAAAATGTTTGTAAAGTTATTATTTATTTTTCTTACTTCTTCTTTACAGATTAATTAATTAAATATTATGAATGAAAATTTCTTTCTATCGAAATCTTATCGAATTGAATTAAAAATGTTTTTAAAAGTATTTTATGCCATGATGTTTCATCACACACTCGCCTCTCGAAATCTTCATCACTGCTGTTGCATTCTATCAGCAAACAGAAAGAAATCATTGCCTGTTCGCTTCGGTCATATGTTTGGGTTACTTTTGATTTTCGATTCCGCTGCAAATGTAATCATACGAAGATTTGAATTGAACGCATATTTGGGATTGGCGGCTGTGAATGCATTAAGTGTATTGTTGAGCTCACGGAGGATTTTCGGTGCGTGTTCTTTTGTTATGACATCATAAATGTTAAGTGCAAGAACAGCGTCACTTAAGTAGCTAAAATTGAAAGAATTTTTGATGACAAAAGAAGCAAATTATTCAAAAGCATTTTAACTCACCGAAGCTTCAATTCGCTAAACTTTCCCATGTCAGCCGTGAGTTGTTGAATCAATGACAATAAAACAGATTGTTGCAATGGACAAGGATTAAAAGCAGCTTGGTAATCAGCATTTTCAAGCGTAAATTCCAGCAATGATAAATCGCTGGAGATGAGTGCTTGATGAAAAGCTTTATCGATCTGATCATGAGCTAATAATTGTTTGATATTCTCCCGTTGATCATAAATTGTCGGAGCTGGTGTTTCAGCTTGTGAACGTTGAACAACTGATAATACTGAATCTTCAAGTGTCATTGTTTGACGTTCAAAGCCATTTTGAATTTCATTCCTAACTTGCTCTTTCACATCGTTGATGACCTTTGATTGGAACTTCTCCAAACGTTGTCGGATATCAACGAATCCTGAATTGAGCATCGGTAAGACGGATTGTTCAGTAGTTGCGCGAACTTGTTGTGGAATTTGATGAATGGCACCGGAAAATTCAGTCATTTGGAATTGCACAGCACCATACTGCTTCATGTAATTGTCGAAAGCTCTCGTATATTCTTTGGTGCCTGTTGTGAAAGCTTTTCCCATTTCTTGGAACATTTCGTGTGTTATCTTCTCGTAAGATGGAATCATAATCTCTTCCAAAGACTTTCTGAACGTCTGTTCGAGTGAATTTTGAATGCCAATCAACATTGAATGACTTATACTCTCAATAAATCCTTTATGTGTGCAGACTTTCAGAAGATTCTCTTTAACAGCTGTCTCAATGCCATTCAACTGTGTTCTCGATAATTGTTGGAACAATTGCATAATCGATTCAGTAATCTCACGTTTGTCTTTCATCATTAGTGAATTTTCAAACTTAACAAAGTTCTGTTCGATTGTTTTCTTGCATTGTTCTTCAACTGTGTCTAATTTATGATCGATCACCATTGCTTCGGCAACATTCGATGCTTTCAGATCATAAATTTCATTGCGTAGTTCAGCAATGTAACGTGATTGCGTTTCCATTATTTCTAATAAATTATATTTCATTTAATATTTTTAATTATTATTTATAACAATAAAACTCACCAATCATTTGATTCATTCGCGTTGATAATGTTTCAACTTGTTTGGATGTAGCTGGAACTGAATTTGTATCCATGAATTGCGGTGCTTTCGGCCAATCACTATGTGGTGTTGACTTTGTAGGCTTTACTGTAACTATTGGTTCGTCATCTTCATCATCTTCTTCATTTCCATCGTCCTAAATGATAAATTAAAATAAATTAAATAAGAAAATTTAACTAAAAAAATTTTCTCACCTCATCGTCGTCGTCATCATCATCAATATTCTTAAAGTCAACATCGAGTGCATTGAGAGCATTAAGAACGTCTTTGTTTTGTTCCTCTTCAATCTCTAGGTCGTCACTTTCTTCTCCCGGATAATAATCTTCATTAACTGAATCAGCTTGTAAGAGAATGTCACGAACTTCGCGACTCGGACTTGAACCTCCCGATGCTGCTCCAGATTTTGCTTGTGTCGTTGTTTGATTGCTGTTACCATCAACTGGCAATTTCTGTTGAAAGATTTTCTCTTCTTCAATCAATGAAACATTTGTGAGATTCAAAACATTTTCATGTGATTTGTTAGCAACTCCGGGCGTCGTTCCTGCTTGATTTGTCTTTGCTAACATGAAGATTGTTGATAAAACATCCTGACTGACATCTTTTTGTTGTTTCTCAACAACTGGTGAACTAAACGAATCTGGTGTCAATAAATTTATCTGGGAAGTCTTTTGTGGTGGCGTCATTAAAGTCAATGGTTCAGCTTTCTTCGTGTCAATAGATGAAGAAGCTGCAATGTTGAGCTTTGAATCTTTTACTTCAGTATTGAGAATTTCAGCAGATTCATTAAGTGCTGGTTGATACAAAATGTGACACTCTTGAACACTTTCTGGAAGGATCATGAACAGACGCAACACAACACAATACAAAGAATTGTTTTCCTCATCGTAATCTTCTAACTCGTCAATCAAATAATTATCACTGAGTGCACATTTATATCGACGAATAGAAGCATTTGAGATCCCATAACTGAGAATTGTTGAAGCAAGACGAAACTCAGCAATCGACTTCACAAAAACACGTGAAATTCCACCAACAGCATTAGCAGCAACGTCATCACCATTGTTGTGATGTTCTTCAGAGCCATTTTGTTGACTCAAAGCATTTTCCTTAAGAATTTGTAAAACATACATTTGTCGATTGGTCATATCACTGAGAATAAGATACGAAGACGTTCTATCAATCTCTGCTTTAAATGCAAGCGGTTGGCCAATGGATGACTTGAATGTAATTGTTTGTAATGTCTTCCAATTGTCACATTTTGACACTTTTATTTCAGTATTGTTTGCTGCTAATGTCACTGCATATTTCCATAAAGTGCTGCCAGCAATTGGTTGCGTGTGATTGTCAAGGAAGAAGAATGAGCTTATTGCAGCACCATCGTGAGGCTTCCATGCATGTAAACAACGTGGAATTGTTTCATGGAAGTAAATCTGGAAGAATTTTATGAAGCCATCAATTGTGCTAATGGCAAGCGTTGTTCCATCAGGAGAATAAGTTGCATGAGTAATCAACGCTCGTTGATTGTCGTAGCTTCTTACAAGTCCTTCGGTGATGTTTTCCGCTTGAATTACTCCAGTATTATAATTATCGATGATCGTTTTTATTGAGTAACATTCGAATTTGTTGCCACGCACCCAGACTAGCAGCATCACTGAAAACTCGTCAATAGTGTCATTTTCTTCAGGCACGTAGGGACACCAACTTATCTTATCCATAATGGGGACGTGACCTTCAATCGGATTCTCAATCTTTAGAAGTTGAGTACAGTTTAAAGAGTCCCCTCCATCAACAACGTCTAACCGATTAATGTGCAGTGCTGATTCTTCAATACAACCGATTATAATCTCTTTGCTATAGTCGGCAAATTGAAGATCCAGAACTTCTTTTGACATTCCTTTAATTAATGCTCTTTTATTTCCCATTCCGAAATGGATAAGACGAACCATTCCTTGTCCATTCACATTGATCGAATAAGCAATAACTTTGCCATCTTTGTGAATGGCAATTAAATGTCCCGGATAATCTTTCTTTTCCCATTTGTAGCCGATAATGTTTTTTAATTTAACCATTGATGATCCATGCGAAAAACCTGAACGAGGTTGAACTTGAACCACCACATTTGCTCCATTTGTCTCGTAACAATGTTGTACATCATCCGCATTGTTAAATGCTCTTCATGAAAAAAGAAGAAAAAAACGAAGAAAAAAAATGAAATTAAATAGTTTGTCGGCAAATCTTTATCTGAACTTACATAGTCATTTGTATGCTAGAATTTTCCATTTCCGTGTTGGTTTTACGTAAAATCCACTTTAAAAACGAATAAAATGCTCCAACAATGAATAGAGCAATTTTAAAGCGTGATATACACGAAAATTTTGACAAAGTTTTAGAGGTGTTCGGCGTTTAGACGCAGAATGCAATTTTTTCGCATCCTGATGCGGAAATTATCATGGAGAAAGTTACATGCCCATTGTTTTGATTTTGGCCTCAGCTAAGAAACTTTTTAGTTGTATGAACTAAATTTAATTTTTGGTAACTTGATTCATTCAATTAACTATTAATAATGAAAATAAGTCAAAAATTTTGTTATTTCTGTAATAAATCATATTTAAAATCAAATTTACAACGTCACATAGATTCTGTTCATTATAAGAAAATTTTAAAAACTTGCAATATTTGTAACAAAAGTTTCAAATGTAGGAGTTTTCACATTGTAACATAGACTTTATTAGTAAATCCAAAATCTTCTTTTCTGTTTTTTTATAGCCGATACACACTACCAATATCACATGGCTCAACATGAAGACAGACGAGAATTTCAATGCAGTTTATGTGTTAAAACATTTAACACAAATCAGGACTTGTGGCAACATTCAAGAAATCACAATAAGAAAGAAGCATCAACGACAAAGATTTCACCTGAAACTTTTCCAAATAATCAACTGCACAAATCACATCAAAACAAACATGAACAGAAAAAAGTAAACAACGTTTGTCCCTTTTGTGACAAAACTTTTCGATACCTTAATGATCACATAAAAACTGTTCATTATGAACACAAATATTTCTGTGGCTTTGAAGGATGTAACAAGAGTTTTGCAAAGCTGGGTGGCTTAAATCGCCATTTAAAAATTCATTGTGATGACTTCAAAGATTTCCACTGTCCTGTATGTTCAAAACGTTTCGCTGAAAAATCTCAACTTGAGAGACATTTTCATGTTCATTTCAAAGCAGAAAAGAAAACAGATTTTAGATGTGATAAATGTTTAAATTATTACAACCGCCAGTCTGATTTAAAACGACACATAAAATCAATTCATAGCGAGAAGAAGTACCAATGTGATCAATGTGATCGTCGATTCAGATCTAAATTTGAAGTTCTTCAACACTTCAAAGTTATTCATTTAGGTCAGAAAGCAAAAAGAAGTAAACGTCCTCCAAAAGTCCCCTTTAATGATATTTTAAATCATGTTTATGATGAAATTATTGTAGAAGCCCTTGACGACACATTTGATATCACAGAATCTCTTGATAATACCGAGCACATTGAATTTGATTATTTAATTTCCGAAGAACAACAATTAATGAATGAAGCAATCTTTTTGCAAGTGTTTCAACCTCCAATAAAATGGGAATGTCAACGTTGCAATCGTTTTTATGAAACACCTGAAAAACTAAAACTTCACAATATTCGTAATCACAATTGGAAATGTAAGAAATGTCCAAACACCAAAGACACCATCAATATTTTCTACAGGAAAGAAGATTTTCAACTTCATTGGATTGAAATTCACAATGATGAGACTTTCCCTGATAAACTTGAATGTACAATTTGTGGTGACATGTTTGCAACTAAAGCTGCACTTTGTAATCACAACAGAAATGAACATAAATTAGAATCAATTAAAAAAGTATAAATAAAGCATTTTTTATCATATCATACTTTCAATATTTTCATTTATTTTGCATTGATAATTGCGTTTAGCGTTCGGTTTGCATTCACAAATTTAATTTACTACAACAACAATCGTTTCTTATTTTTTCAGACAACTAAAGAAACATTTCCCTTACTATTATTATCTAGAAATTCTCTTACTGAAACTTTCTTTCATTTTGTTACTTTTATAAAATATGTAGACACAAAATGTCTTCGATCTGCACAACACATGAACTGTTATCGACAAATTGTGAGTCCTTGAGGGAAAAACTTTGTTTCTAAAATATTTTGAACTACAAACTTTGTATATTTAACGCGGAATTAGCTTTGTAACACTTGTGATTGATTGTCAGGTAACTAAATGAATCAACTGAAGAAAAGATGATGTTAATCTTATTCTGAAAGAATTAACGATGTCTCAGTCTGTTGAAATCTGTGCACTCAACAATAATTTATAAAACTTTAACAACTAAAAGAAAATTCTTTTTACCCTCAACCCACTTAATCTGCTGAACCGTTTTGATAAACTTCCTTCTTCTGTTCTAATTTATACTGTTCAAAGAGAACTTTAATATCAGAAAGTGCTTTGCCAATCTGCTGTGCGAATCGCTCAGAATCTGTCACTTTACAGCTTTTTTGAGAAGATATGTGGAAGAAAAGTAAATCTTCTCCAGCGATGATATACGACACTCCATAACCATCTTCTGATACTGGCCCAAATCCACCACCAGCACTAATACAATGTGGATTCTTTTTCAAATCCATCTTCGGTGTTTGCCCGTGAGGTGTTTGACTTGTTGACAATCTCCATGGCTCGCTGAGTATTTCCTTTAGAAACGGTGAATCAACTTCCAAATATTTCGACACAACATAAAGACAGAACAAGTGACGATCGATTCCACGACCACACATTGCATCTTGATATCCAATTTGATGTCTTTTACATGCTTCATTTAATAAACGAACTCGCTCTGTTGCATTTGATGTTTTATCTTCCATCGCTCTCACCCATGCTGATGATTCAATTGTACATGGTCGGACTGTTTCTGTTCTGCCTTCTCTAAATAATCTTGTCATTGAAGCCTCATATGTTAAAGAGAATTTGCCATAATCTCGATAATATGCGAGTTGAAGCGCCATCTGAATGTAAGCATCTGGTGAAATGCGACAAGTTTTCATGAATCCTTTTCCGTATGCATCATGCACAAAAATGCGAAGATCAACATCCTTAAATAAATAAACTTGTTAATATTACTAAGTAGAAATTATAAAATAAAAGCTTACATTTAAAACTTTCTGAGCATCGTCATAAGCTTCATCGATGGTTTTCAACAGCTGTTCGCTATGGAAATCCCATTGCAAGCGTGTTGGAGTTGGTGGAAGAATTTCAGGTTTTCCATGCGTTTTTCCATTCTCATCATATCTAAATATAGAAACATAATTCATTCATTCATTTATAAATAAAATAAATGTTAGTCTACATGCAACGGCAATTTGTTAGTTAATTAAATTATAATGTTGTAAAACGTGTTAATTGTCAAATGCATGCAAAAAGCATAATGATTGTGTCATAGATCCAAAGGTGAATTTCAAAAATAAAGAAAAGGCTTTAAATATGAAAAGAATTTTCATTTTATCCTATTTGTAACATTCTTTTTCATGTCACAAAATAAAATAAAAATTTCTTTCATTTTTCCATTGCAAACAATTTTTCATCCCAAAGCTTTAAATTTCTTTTTTTTATGTGTAATGATCGGTCTCTTAAAATTACATAAAATCCCGTCTCAATTACCCATAATTTACATCATCGAAGATGCAATGCTCCCACAAATGACCCATAATTGGCGCATCAGCCCTGAAATTATTTCAAACAAAATAAAGCTTGGAGTGAATTCTATAAATACAATTGGACGGTTTATAGGTTCAGTGGATGATCATGCTGTTGCGTCTGGACATCGAAGCGATTTTACGAAGATTACAAATATACACAATATAAAAACCATAAACAAAACCAATAGATGAACGAAACAAAATAATTTTCTTAAAAAAGAAGCTTTTGATGAAAGCATGCGAGTGAAGTCACCAAAAGCTCCTTTTTTGTATAAAAATCAAAGTAGAATTTTGCTTGAAATTTAGTTTACCGCGTCGGTTCATTCTCGTCCACGATGATACCTTCCCATATATGGGACATCACTGGCGCATCAGCCCTGAAGATTCACAAAATATTTTTTATGTTTCACATTAATGAAAATAATAAAAATCAAGTTGATCATCAAAGATTTAATATCCAGCAAAACATAATCAGCAACTGTGTTGAAGGCAATTAACTGTAATTAACAACAACTTACCACGTGTGTTCAGAATTAAATCCGATCTGAAATGAGAAGTAAAGTTGAAAATAAATAAACATTATTACTGATAACGAGATTCAAAGTCATATTAAGAATGCTTTGGTCTTTAAACCGGATTGTGAAAGGAAAAAAAATTACACGTGACTATGACGATACTTACACGACCATTTGACGCGACACAAACTGTGAAGCTCTTATCAAACCACCTGTCAGTGCCTTTTCCATGCATCATTTTACGACCGAACTGATCTAATTTTTCCGGTTGTGCAATATCAAACTCGTATGGCTCATCATCAAGTGAAATAACAAAAGCTGCACTTTCAACCAGGAAAAGTGAAACTTTATTGATACCTTTAGCGAAATATTTCTCACGAGCATTTGCCCATTTTGTTCGATCCCATGCAGTAAGTGCAGCAAGAAACTCTTCGCCATGCAGTGGTGTCGCTTTATTGCTGAGAATATGTTCGAATTGATGTTGAAGTTCGCAAGGTTTCAACAATCTTCCTTTATGATAAATTATCATCTTGTAGTAGCATCCTTTGTGTATCACCACAATATGATTTGAATCCTTGTAGTGAACAATCTTGTCACCTTCTACACCAGGAACACGAACGGTATTGAAAATTCTCTCATATTGCCATGAACATAATGGAACAAGTCCTTGAACCATAATTGGTTCGAGTTCTTGTCTATCAACTTGTCGACGGAATTGTAAAAGTAAATGACAAACACTTGCAGCTCTTGCTGCTTGATTCTTTGTTGGATGAGCGAAGATTGCGTCAATTCCATAAAAATTACTGTTGACCATTAAAGGACTTCTTCCACGAAGGTAAACATATTCTTCCCACCAATCAGAAACATAATTTGTTGACCACCAACTCTTCAACAACAAATATCTTTGAAGTTTCTTTCCAATTCCTTTCTCAAATTCATCAGCTTCACTTTTAACTTTCTCATAAGTTTCATCATCAAGTAATGGTCGAACTGATCTCAAATATCTTGACATTGTGTCTTTAACACTTGGCAATGGCAAACGCGGAAGTGAACTTTGAAAACTATATAAGCCTGGATTGTTCCATTTCTTGAAAACTATTGAAAATTTGAAATAAATTTAAAGAAAAATTTTGAAGATTTTTTATAAAATTTCACCTTTCACCAGCACTGCCCACAGTTTTGTACTAAGACTGACTCTACTTCCAGATCCACGTGATTCATACATCCATCCTTTGTACATCAATAGAAGTTTAAGTGTATAGCGCATTGTCAAGCAGGCAGTAATCCAATAAATTAATGCGACAAGATTACACATCAGAAGTTGCCAGAAATGGGAGTTGCTACGTGCATATTCATATTCAAGTCAGTTATCATGAAATATAATGAAAGATGATAAGTAGATACTCACCTTGGCATAAAAGCCATGAAAGTATTGACCAAATCATATGGAATTCGTTTATTTATGTAATGAAATAATGTGACGAGTCCCATTAACACCCATAAACTCTCCAAATGTGCTGGATAAACTCCATTTCGAACTCCACTCTTTAATCTTGCAATCCTTTTCTTCCATGATCGTACACCAGAATCCCACACAAGATTCAACACTTCACGATCGTAATTTACGTTCCATCCTTCATGAGTAATGGAAAAGGAGAACGCAACAGCTTGATGGGCTTCCGCCATAACTTTTCGAACAAATTCGCTACTTTATAATTTTAAAAATTATCAACTTCACTTTTTCTTTTTTTTTTCTCTTGTCAGTTCAATGTCTTTTTATTTATTCAATTAGTAAGCAAGCAAGTGACTTTTATAATTTCTGTCACTCTGAAAGGAGAAGAAATAAAGAGAAAAATGAATTATTTTAACCTTGAAGGGTGGTCGAAGGCTCGATGATAACTTCAACAAATAACAAACTAAATTTGACAACGAATCAATATCAAATGATTTCGAAATATTCGCAGAATGGTGATAAATAAATAGGAAAGAAATCAGTATCTTGAAAGGTGTTTGCTAGCTTTCAAAGAGGCTCATCCTAAAAGTCTTTTATCAATGGGTTTTTTGAAGGTGAATCAAGAAAACCTTCATACGTAAGTTTCCTCAACTCAATGTTTTAGGTTTTTATCTTATCAAGTTCCCCCATGAAAGGATTTAAAAATAAATTAGACATGGTAGGTACAACCACTATCAACAGCAGACAAGAATTTTTTGTTAATTCGATTTAATGCGATAAGATTGTTAATTGGTCGAAACCAGAAAAAGCCAAATTTTAAGTCGTATTTCAAATTATCGCATTATCCAAAAATATTTAAATAGTTCAAGGTCACATGAACAAAATAATTTAACTAAACTAAGCACTGTTATAATTTTTCGTTTATTAGAGTTTGAACTTTACTATCTTTGACTTGAACTGACTCAAATCATTTGAATAACAACAACAATCACATGAAAATCTTATTAATCATTTTAAAAATAAAAAAAATATAAAACTAAAGTGGACTTTGTTTTACTCAAGTTAAGAAAAAAAAGATTGTGATCGTTTGTAAACTCTCGCAGCTGGTTTTGTTGTTGAACCTTTATTCGCAGGCATTTAATGAAATAACGTTGCACAATAATCTCGAACGCTCAAGAGTTTTCAAGGTAAACCTTTTTTTTTGCTGGTGGCTTTTGTTTTTTTTTCTTATGAACGAATCTATAACGAGCTCAATGAACTTTAAAATGACTTTCATCGTAATCGACGACGTCGTTTGTCTGTGTTTACGAACGCGTTTGAATGAATTTTTTTTATATCTTTCGGGAAGAACAGTTGGTTTATAAAAAAAAATTATTCAAGCCTTTCAACGGTTCTTAAGGAGAACAAAAAACTATTAACAGACGAAATGAATACTTCAATATTTCCTACAGTCAACAAAAGAAAAACAGCACCCGTTTTTATTGCGGAATGATAGCAGACTAAAAAGGCAAAAAAATATTAAAAGCTATATAGACAAGTTTTTTTTTTGTATTTCGCGTAAAGTTTTGTTTTGTTTTATTTACTTGAACCTTGTTTTCATCAACGAGTGGGGAAAAATACTGGGATGATGATAAATGTGTACGTGGAGAAGGCACGAGAATTCTTCTTTCCTTCTTTCAAGAAAAACAAGTTTAAGTTATAAAGTTTCATCTATTTTCAACACTAATCGGTCAAAGTCCATGTTAGGTGAATGAATAGTCATTTCTTCACATTATAATTTTGAATCTAATAAACTTGCTGTTGTCACGAAGAGTGCTTAACATGATTAGCAGAACAGAACGTCATTTCTTAAATTATAGTCTACGACTCATTATTTGTTTTGTAATTTATGGCTGATAAAGATAAACAACAACTATGATGAGTTTCATTCAGAGCCTACATATTGTAAACAAACAACAACACATTATTAGCTATTTCGTTGCGAAATGAACATTTTGTCAAATTGAAATTCATTCAACGAGTGGGAAAAGAAAACTATTCAAACACACGCGCATTTATTTTGACTCTCTCACTTTATCGCGAAATTCTGAGCGACGATTAATAAAATTTAGATTGACCTACTAAAATAAATATTTAGGAAGAGATTTGTCAGCATAATTAAGTAAATGATTTTCATTTTTATTCTTATCATTATTTTCGTTTTATTAAGTCTTCCGAGATGAGAAAAATTCAATAAACAAAGATATTGCGCAACTATTCAAACACTACTTTTAATGTTTTTATTCACACGTGAACTTGATAAAAGTCAACCTTGAAAAATGACTTACAAATGTCTTATTTTGAATTTCCTGACTATTTATTGAAAATAAAAATTAATTTGCTGAGTCAAATTATTTAATTAAAAACAGCGATCACACTCGCACATGTCACAAACGAAACTGCAAACTCGAGTGAGAAAAAAAACTTGGCTATGTGTATAATGAAATAAAAAATAAAAAAAGAGGAAAAATTTACTACCAAACATGACGCAAGTAATCAAACGTTCAAAGTCCACACTTGTAGACAGCAGTAATATCAGTCGAGTTCTGTGTTTATTTATTTGTTTCACGGTAAAGAAATGCTGATTATCAGTGAATTATTATGAATTTGTTTTGTTATACTGATACTCGAAATCGCACAGCACCCATTAACTTATTAGCAGCTTACGATAATATTCAAAATCCGGATTTTATTTGGAGTTTGTACCTAACAGTATCAAGAAAGGCAAAGCGCACTTTCCTACGTGACCTTAAGTTCAACGAACGCCCAAGCAAATTTATTTATTTTTATCTTTAAATTATGGAACTTTTCCTATCACCTTAATTATTTAGCACAAGGTAATTTACTGATAATTTGGGACGGCAGAAAATTTTTTCTGTTAAAATTTGTCAACGTTTTCATTCAGCAACTCACTCGAAAGAAACTCTAAAGAAAACTGCCTTGAAACTGTGTTTTTTTTTTGTATTGCTCGAATATTTTTTAGTTGAGAAGCTTGAACAGAATGAGAGAGTTTTTTGATCAGTGACGTCACACACACAAAAAAAAAAATCTTTAGATTCTACGATCGTTTCTCCTCGCTACTTTACTTCCGAATATCTTTCAATACTAGCAAAATATAATTATCACAGATATTTTTAGTTTCTTTCTATTTCTTTGAGTGCAGTCGAAAGGCATACACTGAGAGATGATTTTGTGTATTCTCATTGAAATTTCTGGAGGTGTGTCTCGAAATAGAGAAAAAAATTAAAAAAAACTGTGTACGTAATATTTCTTCTCCTAATCTTCAAAGACAGGTAACTGAACTTTATAATGTTACTGTCTACTTGCTTTGACATGATAACCGAAACAACTGGACTAAAGAATGGAAACATTATTGTGAAGGGACCTTGACGAAAATAAAAACAAGAGAAATCCTCATTCCAACACAGCAAAAAGACGCAAAACTCTTTTATAAAGAAACCACTTGATATCATTCAAGAAATTTTCACAACAAAACTTTTAATTTAATCACTTATGTTATATTAACTATTAATCTACTTGTTCACCTTTATGAAAGCTTTTCAATTCCAATTATTCACATTCAATATTTTTATATGACAGCTTTTCAAAAACTGATTAAGGAAAAACTTCCACGTGTTATATTTACGAACTTCCAACTTGTCTTGTCGTTTTTGTAAAAACTTAATTCATTAAGGCACAATAAAATAGTTGGGTTTGCTTAAATTCACTATTTTTTCAATACTTGTCTTTTTCTGACTAAAAGTTTGTGAACTCTGCCAAAAGGTGAAAACATTAAAAAACATTCAAACAAAACATCCAAAGAATCTTCGTCTTGCATACCCTGTCTAAATTGCAATTTGGGCGCGGGAAAAACACGTGATAATAACAACACTTGCTGATATTTTGCAAAGTTCAATGAAAGCTTTTGAGTATGCTTGAAAGTTTACAGGTATGTGTTATGAAGAATTATTATTTAATATTTACTATTAAAAATTAAGTTTTCTTGATGTTCTCTAATACATGGAAGTATTGATATTTCCATAGAACTCCGATTCTCAGTGTAAATATAAATTATTTACCTTTATATATGTACAATCAAAGAGCGGTAAAGGTCAACATTAAACTGTAGGCTTTAATTTTGTTGTTACTTTTTTCAAAGAAAAGCACGAAGTCGTGCTCTTCGACGTTAAGAGAATATTATGGAGAAAATATGTTTTCTCTCAGAGAACGATAAATAATTATGTTGCATTTGAATAATGTTGCAATAGTTTTCTGACTTCCTTCTATTCTATGAACACCAAGTGCGACCAATAAAGATTTCTATCATGAGGCACTTGTTCTATGAAAATAATTTCCTTTAGTTTTGCCTTATATTCTTCAGAGCGTGACATGCTTCGTAAAATATTCCATTTCTTATTCTCTTCTTCCTTTTCTGTTCTTTCTCACGATAACTTTGTTTGTTTGTAACGATTTTCAGTTTTTAACCTCGCGTCTTCGAAACAACATCGTCTCAAAAGCAGACAACCATCAACTTAAGAATAAAAAAATACGAAGAAGAAGAGATCACTAAGATGAATTCTTTACTCTTTTATATTCGTCAATAAAAACCTGAATCGAGGCATTTCTTTCTCATCAAAGGAATTCCAAAGTAGTTTTATTTACTTCGTCCATTCTTAAAAAGGATTAAGACGTGACAAACCCAAAGACTTTCAAATATGGATGATGAAAGAACAAACAATTAAAAAAAAGTTCATTTGAATGAAATGATGCAGTGAAGTTAAAGATAGTTTAATGTAATTAACTCATTGAAGCAATTGAAAAGAAGAAAAGAGTTAACAATCACACTTTTCCCACACAGAATTGCCATTAAGCATTGTGTTCAAGACTCCAAGACTTTCTTAACGGGAAAAAGAAGCCTTGTCTTCAACAAATCATTTTTTTCTTTCATGTTGAAACATAATGTAGATGGACTTGCATACATTAATTCGTGTTTTTTGGTGAATATTTTAAAACCGACGAATTGAATTTCATTAACAACAAAAGTAGAAATAGAAGCAAAAAATAATAACTTTTTTCGAAATAAGAAAAAGAAGAGTTTCTCAATAAACTTCTCTGGTTATGCTGTAACTGTTTTTGTAAAGCGCGCTGTGTTTTCGTTACGTTGTATGTTGCTAAAGGTTCTATGGACAAAATTGATGTTTGTGTATGAAAAAATAACGAATGAAACCTGAAATAAAACCGGTTTTAATCAATACTTACGACAAGCCAATGGAATTTATTACAGGAATTTAATAATTACAAATGAGCGGATATCCTTTCTATGAACATTTGACTTATCACAAAGAAAGTTATTACGTTATAAGTGTACCGAGTTAAATTCGGCTGCTGTTTGACATATGTTCAGAAATCTTTAGTTTATTTATTGATCGCAAAAAAGAAAACGAAGAAAAGAGTTTGCATTTAAAAAATGTTTGGTGATTAAAATGTATATGAAACAGATGTGAATGAATGTAATCTGAATCATAAAAATAAAATAACGATTCATTGATAATAAAACGAAATTAATTAAATGTTAAAACATATTCCGATCCCAACAATTCCGCCACCGTCATCAACTGCGGTTGGATCGTCAGCTTCAACGACTTTTGCTACAACACCGACACGACCATCGCGTCCCCTTCTAACACTTAATCGATCCCAACAACCATTAAACGTCTCAACTTTAACCACTGCATCAAATATCACATCAAATGGCGGTCCATCTCTACTTCAGACCTATTCAAATACGCCCTTATTGACACATTCTTTTGCTGACATAACAACGCAACAACATCCGAAGCCGCTACAGAATGGACATGCACCACGCATGTTTACGCCCTTACCGGCTTTATCGGCGAACAGTCAACAGTTTCTTTTAAAGAATTTTAATAATCACAATCAACACAACAACAATGCAAGCAATGCAACATCATCATCATCAACATCAAAGTTTATCATGTGGGAACATAACGGAGCCAGAGAAGCTCTTACAAGTCTAGGATTATTATGTTTAGGTGAAGCCCTTTTGTTTGCTTTGATTAACATGACTTTCTGATATTAATGAATCAAATTCTTTAGTTTCACTTCTTCTTGCCTTACTGTCTTTGATATTTTTATTAAAAATATCGCCTGGTACAAAATCATTCCACAATATTCAGCAACAACTTCTGGGATCATCAGTGGAAGAATACGCCATTGTGTTTGATGTAACATTAGCATTATGTGCCTTGTCACTGTCATTAAATCTTTGTTGCTTACTTGTATGCGCAATTCAATTCCTGTTCGCTGTTAAACTCGTTGGTTCTTCACCTGCTATTATCGGTGGAAGGTATGTGTGTGTGTGTGTTTGTGTTCATTGTTTGGACCATTCACGTTGCCATGGTAATGTAATTAATTCTTAAATATTCTTCAGAGAGAATAAATATCTACAAAAATCATCGGTGTCGAGAATTTGCGCCATTGGAGGTTTCTTTATTTCTATACCGATTTTTTTAACAGGTAAGTCCTTGACCCTGTCGTAAATATTTTTAAAAAGATAAAGATTTAAAAAGGATACCAAATTTATATTCACTCATTTCCTTTATGATCATTTTCCAGGTATAATTCTTTACACTTTCACTCAATTTCATTCAACGCCGGCAATCGTCACAAGTATCTTAATCGGTATTGGAATTCTTTTCTGTGGTGGCGCTATGGTTCATAATGTCTTCATATGGCAAAAGGAGAAGACAACTGTCTTCAATTGCATGAAGCAACAGCAACAACATCAAATGTTGCATATGCAACAACATCAACAGCATAATTTGCAAAATGGTTCAATACATCAACCAACTGTGATGTCACGACAAACGCCATTGAACTTGAATCTATCAATGAACTCACCAATCAGTACAATTCATAATCCGGTGACGACAAGTAGCACACGAGATGTAAACTTAGATCAAATTAACAATCATAGTTATGTTAATGGTGGGGGATTAGCTCATATCAATACGACATTAAACAACACACATTTATCATTATTGAGTCAAGCTGTGACTCCAAATCCTTATTTCGGATTACGAACAACACCACCGACACCTAAAAGTCAACAGATGCATAATGGATCGCCGAATAATTCAGCGAATCTTGATCAATCGAATAATTTTAGAAATTCTTCAGTAACAACTGCTCATGAGCTATCAACCTTAGTTTAACTGCTTATTAATTAAATATTTGTTGCTTAGATGCTTGTAACAAGCGCAAGAAGAAAATTTTAATGGCTAAATAATTATCTATTAAAGAAAGAAGCAAATCTCTTTTTATTTTTATTGAAAAATAAACTTTTACAACTGAAAGTATTTAAGCTTTTTTTACTGAATTACTTCTCGCAAAATCAGATATTTTCTTTGCAAAGTCATTGGCACTTCGATCGTCATAAGATGAGCGTGAATGTTTTGACTTCTTGGAGTTGAAGTTGTGGTTTCGTCGAACATCTTCAGTCTCAATCGAAGAACTTCTCTCGTCATCGTTTCTTGGTGAGTTTCTGTAGGACTTTTTCTTGGAATGTGAATTGTTTCGTTTGGAACTGGCACTACTTGTTGTGGAAGTCTTTCGAATATTTTCTTTAACTTGGTGACGCTCTTTTTCAGCTTTTCTATTTTTGATTCGGAATGAAGCTTCAGTCGACTCATCAGAACTTTCGGAGACAGTCCTTTTGACTGTTGACTTCTGTACAGACTTTTGTACAGGCATTGAAGATGTCGACTCATCGGAATGTTCTCCAGATTGCATTGGAAATGTATCATCAGTCTTTGATTGATATTTATTGAAGACTTCTTTAAGTTTGTCTAGAAACTGCTTTTGGGAAAAATCATTTTCGAAATCATCTTCATCGTCAAAATCTTCTTCATTGTCTTTCTTAAATTCCTTCGTCTTGATTGTAATCTTCTTAGGAGATATTTGCTTCTTAGACGATTTTTTCACAATTGATTTTTCATTTTTCTTCAAACCTAAATGTTCTTTAAGAACAGCAAGAATTTGTTCGTTAAGCTTATCTGTGTCGGTTTTAGTCTTGTTTAATTTTACAGACTTCTTAGCTGTTTTTGCACTTTGTTTAACGGTAGCAATGTCTTCCTCCATGGAATTATCTTCATTAATATGTTGTTGCCTTTCATGACGTTTCTTAGACCCACGACTAAACTCAGGCAGCATACTTGGATTCATTTGTTGCTTCTTTTTTGCAGCGTCACATGGAATACGATCCAATAACTTTGTCAACATAAATGCATATTGTCGATGAAAGCAAACAATGTCGTCTTTGTGATTAATTGCTGCTTTCAATTCGTTTTCATTATTATCATTCAAAATTTTATGTTCCTTCTCTTCGTCTTCTTCGTCATGATCTTCTTCTGTGCTAACCAAAGCTCTCGCATTAAATTCACTAGATTCAGGTGATGGTGTTGTCGATGTTGTCGTAGTTGTTGTAGTTGTTGATTTTTTCTGGCAGACACATTTCTTATAGTTATCAATTTGAGATTTCAAAGCAGATTCGAAAGCGTCGAGAACATTTTTGTAAGTACTTTTGTAACACGTCTTCTTGTCATTGCCGTTTTCAACTTCAACAATTTTAGCGTCGTCTACTTGGTCTGAAGAATCTTCATCGAATTCATCATCAGATGGATTTTCACGTTTAACAGTTCGCTTGTCTAAATCAGGGCGATATCTTTTTGCAAACTTTTCTTTTATTAATGCATCGAGAAGTTGCTGATTTATTCCTTCGTCACTATCTTCTTCATTTAATTTATAAGTCCATGATTTGTTGGTAACTTTATCTCTGGTTCGTATTTCACTATTTGGTCGATATGTAAGCATAACTGCTAAATTATCTTTTTTATCATTGCTACGTTTTATAACTTCTGCTGAATTAGCATTTAACGATGAAAACAGAACCACCAACGAAAAAATTACGATAAGCTTCATTTCAATTTTTTTATGATACTCTTGACTGTTCTGTAACTTGAAACTGAATGCATTTGTCTCTTTAAGTGAACGTTTTTTATATTAAAGAAATTTTTGACGATTGCACATTCAAACATTTATTTTTGTTAATGAACTTCAATGGAAGGTGTTAGCTTTCTATGCAAAATAATTCATCATCATGTCTACGATAATGTCACGGAAATGCTGAAGACACTTAATTTTGCTGCGTTTTATAAAAATACAATGAAATGATTTTTAGTTGAAATGAAATTGAGCTTTCCAAAACGAGCTTTTATGTTTCATTTTTTAAAAATTTGAGCATTAAAAGCATTAATGTGCAGTTGTGTGCACCTGCAGCATCTTCATGGATGCAATTGCTCTCACCCTAAATAGTTTTTATCCTAATAGCTTCTTTCGCCCTAGTTTTTGTTTACGTCGGCCCTGCGATCGTCCAGTCAAAAATATTTTTTTTGTCATAAAAGCAAATATTTGTAACTTTTCTAATGTGATAACATAAAAAGTTTAATCAAAATGGGAACCTTCTTTAAATACTTTGCTATCGCGTCATTCGTAGCTTTATTTTCTATAATCTTTCAAGCTTATCACGAATCAGGATCTTTACAAAATATTACTTTTCAATTACAAGCACTCGTTCAATTAGAATCAAATCACAATATTATTTCAAAAGATGATAAACCAAGGGTTGTAGTGGCTTATGGAAGTTGTAGTGATCTAACTGTTCGTGCTGTCGATGTTTTAAATTATACCGGAAATTTAAAAGATTTTCAAGTGAGAGATGAATCCGATGACGAGATTCATACTTTTGAAGACTTCATGAGAAGTTTTATGTATTACTTCTCCAAAGGAGCTGCCGCCGAAAGATATACGCCGAATAAAGAACTCTTTAGGAACATTGTAGCGATAGCAAAGAAACATTCCTCACATCGATGGGATCTTGGTGGAAATGCACCCGTTATGGGAAAAAGATTTCATTTGGAAGGAGCACAAGTCCTCATTGCATCGACCATGTCAGTGAAACAACGAACTCATCTGGACAAAGGAATTGACGTTGTTGATTTCATTCCAAGTGAAGATTTTGTTGATGATATTCATTTGATATTCGAGTATAAGACTGGAGACAAGTTTGGTGATCATTTAGCCCCACGAGCTAATCGCTACATAATTCATAATGACGAAAACAATCCCATGATTACATCACTGGAACTACTCAATGTAAATAAGTACAACCCGAAGTTATTTGTTGTGTCTGGACTTCAAATGCTCGACAATTTTCCATTTAAATCGCCATCGGTTAGAAAAGAAAGACTCCAAGGTGTAAAGAAGCAAATGACTGAATCACATCCCGACACACTCATTCATTTTGAGATGGCAAGTTTTGTAGAAATTGAGCTCATGACTGATTTACTTGAAAATGTCATTCCTTATGCTGATTCCTTGGGAATGAATGAGCAAGAAGTTGACAATCTTATGCATGTTTTAGAAACTGGAAAAATCAGTTTATCAGCAGATTCAAATCCACGAGTCGCAACGACATTAGATCAAATGAGAAAAGTATTTAAGATTTTAAATCGGAGTTATTATGAGCATCGTAAAAATGACGTAAAGTTGAGGATGATCTCAAGAATTCACATTCACACACTCGCATTCCAATTGATGATGAACGTGAAAGCAAGCAATTGGAAGAATATAAAAAATGCAGCAGCTAAAAGCTCTCTCACTGCTCATCGCCATGTATGTCAAACAAGTTATGTTAATCCAGAAAATACAATACTTGTGCTCGATGATTCTTTTGCAACATCTGCCGAGACTCCTGCTCAGAATACTGATAAAGACATGAGACCGAAACGAATTGAAATTAAGCTTGGCGATCCTGTACCTTGTTGGAACGAAACAATTTCTGTTGATGAAATACATTCTGTTGACGTTGAGATTTGCTTAAGTCCCGTTTTGGTTTGCAGAGAAGCAAGAAAAACTGTTGGTGCTGGTGACAACATCTCAGCTGCTGGATTAATTCTTCAAATTTAAAAAAGTATTCAAGATGACATTCCTAACGATCAAACATTTCAACTTTTAACGATGACATTCCTCTTTAACGTTATTAACGTATAATTTTATGAGCTAAAGTTCAATGTTTTTATTGTTTTAAAATATGACACTTTTATCCACGGAGTTTATGCATTCTGCAATTGTCAGTTTCAATTTATTGTTGTGTTCAAATGTGAATAAAATATTGACTGTTCATAAAAAGCAGAAATTTGATTACTTTTCTTGATTGCCTTTCAGTAACAATTCTAAATCAACGAGAAAAAAGAAATAAAATTAATTTCAATGTTTTTTTATTCAATCGTCCTAAACTTTTCAAAAATGACACCAGGTGAAGGAAAATCATAAATTATTGAATGGAAATCACTACAATCCCGGCATGATGTAGTGAACATTATCCATGATACTTTGAAAAAGATTTTTCGGTTCCTCTTCAGATCCCGTCTCTCCATTCGTGAGTGGTGGATCATTTTGAAAGTTAAGTTCTGGAACGTAGTTTAGACAGCACATAAGTGAGCCCATTGCACAGAGAATGCTATCAAGCAGAACAGAAAAACTTCCTGATACAGCAATTTGACCCTAAATCGAAAAAGTTTCATTTAAAAACAATAAAAATTGTTAAATATTGAAAATTCACCTCATGCTGCGATAATCTTTCACCAATATTGATAAGACTTTCGCCAAGAAGCTTCAAATGTGCAGCAACATCGATGGGTTCCAAGTCAAGAGGTTTATTTATTTGTACAATGCTACTTCGTCTTCCAGTAGATGTTGATGGTGAAGCCTTGCAACTACTGCTAGTGCTTGGAGTCAACGATAATTTCTCCTTTTGTTGTTTTTGAGCATTTTGAATAGATTGCGTTTTTGATTTCTCAGATTTTAAGAGTTTTTGTAGTTGCTTTTGTTGTTTCGTTAAAGGTGTTGATGTCGTTGTTGATGTTGAAGTGACGGTTGAATTTGTACTTGTCTTGTTAAGATAGTATTTCTGCTGCATGTATTTGCTTGGTTGTGGTACTTGTCCTTTGGCACCATTTGATTTCTTAATCTTATTAGCTAATCTCTTTGCACGACGCTTCCAATTATATTTAACATTTGTCGGCACATTAGCCCACATTTCACCAAGACGCTTTGAAACGCTCGCAAAATCAAGTTCGGGATTTGATAATGAGATTGAATGTCGAGCTTCTTTAGCCCATAACATATAAGCTGTGTAACGGGTCTTTCCTTTATCTTTTCGCTGTGCTTTTCCCATCACAATTTTTCCGTCTTTCATCATTTTCTTTTTCGAAGATTTCTCAGTTATGTAAATACTGCGACGAGGTGTTGCGAATTCAATCTCAGGATCATCTTCTGTTTTTATAACCATTTGCCGATCATCAGAGTCACTCTCTTGGAAATCTTCATCAGCTATATTAAGATCATTTGAAGGATTATAATTATTATCTCGATTCTTCATTGAGAACGAATGGTCATCGATGTTATCATCGAAGTGTTTGGCAGGAAGAACGTGAGTAATTTCAAATTCTGGTTCCATTTTTATGTGTGAAAATTGAGTCTGAAAGTAAAGCAAAATGATTATGAAATTAAACATAAGTGAAAAATAAATGCCGGCTTACCATGTTTAATTTTCTGGAAGCTGATGCCATTTTTTTCGCTTTAACGATCTCAATATCATCTGGAGAAGTGAAATCCATTAGCTTTGTACTCTTCTTTATCACACGACCACTACGACTCGTCACTCCAGATAGTTCATTCTCTACAAATAAAATAATTTCATTAACTGGATCATCATTCAGTCAGCTGTTGATTTTGTAAATTTTGCAATTTTCACAACTTTTCTAACTTCTAACAGAATTTTAACATACCTCGCGTCGATTTTGGACTCTCCATGATGGTGATTTGTGCAGATAATTATGTGAATGAATTGACGCAATAGTTTTTTTTAAGTTATGAGCAAGTTTGAAATAATTTTTCGCGGTTTTAATAGAATTTTGCTTTTGTTTACTGAGAGTTTTTGTTGTAGTCTGCTAAAATTTAGCAGTTGATAACCTCTGTAAGTTCAAAATAATTTTAAATGCCCCAGAAGAGGGCTGCGCAACTATAAATCTTTCTTTTTCGTTTCGTAGCTACTTCAATCGGAACGTGCTTGGAGTTTTTCGCTAAAATTAAATATAATAAGCGAACAAAGTAAGTGTCAACCTATCAAAAAATGTTTCCAAAGTTAACTTTCAACTTTTTATAGTAAAATATCTAATTTTTCTTATTATTTTAGGTCAATATGCCGCAGGAAATCAAGGAAGTCAAAGATTTTCTAATCAAAGCCCGTAGAAAGGATGCCCGTGCAGTTAAAATAAAGAAGAACGAGAATAACACAAAGTTCAAGATCCGCTGTTCAAGATATCTTTATACACTGGTTGTTTTTGATAAGGAGAAGGCTGAAAAATTGAAGCAATCTTTGCCTCCAGGTCTTCAAGTTAAGGAAGTAAAATAAACCATTGTTTTGAGAATCAGCAGCAATGCCATCATGGCTGGTGAAATTTATTTGTGACACCTTATTGATTCTGCAATAAAAGATTCCATTGCAACATAAAAGTGAAATCAAAACATAAACACTGTTTATAGAATTTTTGGGGTTATATTTATGCAATTATGCTTCAGAAGAAAGTGAACAATGTTCTTCATATTAATTATTCATATCATTCAAATGCTGAAAATTAGTTTCCAATACAAGTTTTTATGCTCTCGAAATGTTACTGAAAAATAACTTCCGATTATCTGCCCAAAGACGCCAAACGAATAATTTTATGTTGTTATGCTTAGTCAAAGTTTTCATATCAGTGATTTCATATTTTTGTGACGTTCTATATAAATGTGACTTTAGAAACTTCAATGTTAAATTTTATCTTTCTTTCCATCAATTAAGCAGCATAAAATCATAATTGAGATCCAAAGAGTTAATATTCCCATATCACTTACTCTAATCCATAATAATCGCGAGAAAGATCATAAATATTATTCTCAATATCCAAAAATTAAAAACTTTTTGGAGAGCGTAGACATTCATTGATATTATTTCTACACATGTTTGCAGAGAGAAATAATTTAGTCGCGATATATTCGTCAACGTGGTTGAATCGGTGTTCAGTCTTTTATTTTCAGTTCCTTCTTATTGTCTTCTTTAACACAACTAGGAGAAGAAAAAATCCATTTGCGTCATTAGATTATAATTACGGTAAGTGTTGAAGGTTTTTTCTGAGTGGAAGGTTTAAAAGTTCATCCAAATTTTTTAAACTATTAAAAGTTCTACAATTAAAAAATATCGTGAAAGCTTCAACGGAATCACGCAAGCAAATTATTTTATTTCCTAAAATATATAAACTTTTTATCACTCTTATAAGGTAGAGTTTGTAAGGTTTCTCATAAAAGTGCATTTAAGACATTAGAATTTAAAGCTAGATATTCATAGTGATTCATTTTTCGATAATCAAATGCACTTCTAACGATGTTTGATGCTTTCGTTTTCTATTATGACGCAAAAGAGTTTTATCGACGGTTTAATTTTTTCCCCTATAATTTTTACGTGTTTCATTTTTAAGCCAAGGTCGTCTATTAAATAATTTAGATAATTGTTAAATTGTTTGTCCAAGAACTTTACTAGGATACAATAAAATTGATTTTTTACTTTCGCTGTTGAAAAGATGGCAGGAGAAGCTTCATATTCGCCAGCATTAATTAATGAAAATGATGCTGAAAATCATCAAATTCTTGAGCTTATTTGGAAATCTGGCTTGAGATCATGGAAGAAGAGATTTATTCAATTTACTACCAAAGTCCGTAATGGAGCTTACCCAGCTCATCTTGAAAGCTTATGGGTGATTATGATGATAATCATGAGCTTTCATTTCACGTCACCGAATAAAGTTCCTTACGATGCAGTCGAGAAAGTGCTTAAAATAATGCCACAGTAAGTAATAGTTAAAGATCGTTGCAATATTTTTATTTCATTTCTCTACAGAAACACAATCGACTACCAAATATTTTCATGTTTTGTCGTTGCCCTGTCATGTTGGCTAATTATATGTTTTACAATGCGATATATATTAAAATTTCTTTTAATGTATAAAGGATTTATGTTTGAGACGCGTGGAAAAGGAATTAGTTTAACAACAAAAATTTGGGCTGTTTTAGTCAAAGGTGAGAATTATTAACAAAAGTTCATTGAATGCATAAAAATTTTATTTATTTTTATCGTTAAGTATTTGTTAAATGGAATACGCCGTCTTTGTACAGCTTTCAAGGTTCTCTGCCTCATCTCCCACTTCCCAGTGTTAAGAGTACATGCGACAGGTATTTGAGATCAATTCGGCCTCTGATGGATGAAGAAAATTACAAGAAAACTGTGAAAGATATTCGAGATTTTCAAAGTACAATTGCGAACAAACTCCAATTTTATTTGATATTGAAAAGTTGGTGGTCGTCTAATTACGTGTCTGATTGGTGGGAAGAATATGTTTACCTACGTAATCGTGAACCGCTAATGTACGGAAGCAATTATTACGGATCTGATATCGTTAATCCACCAACAAAAATTCAGTCTGCACGAGCGGCAAATTTAACTTATCTGATGATAAAATTTCGAAAAAGAATTGAGAGACAGGAATTGAAACCAATCATGGTACAAGGTTTAGTTCCATTATGTTCATGGCAATATGAACGAATGTTCAACACTGTTCGTGTGCCTGGAATTGAAGGCGATAAAATTGTTCATTATAAAGACATCAAGCACATTGTCGTTTTACATAAAGGATGTTATTTTAAAATATCTCTTTATCACAAAGACAGAATGTTGAATCCTTGTGAACTTCAATATCAAATTGAAGAAATTTTGAGAAAGAATCCAATATCATCAAAAGCTGAAGATCATCTTGCATCACTCACAGCGTGGAATCGCACTAAATGGGCAGAAACACGTGAGAAATACTTTTCTCATGGCATCAACAAAACTTCATTAAATGAAATTGAAAGTGCTGCATTTGTTCTTGCATTAGATGATGAACCGTTTGAATACGACACCAACTCATCACCAACCGAGTACGGTTTTTATGGTCGTCAACTTCTTCATGGCAAAGGTCACGATCGATGGTTTGATAAGAGTTTTAATTTCTGTGTTGGAACGAATGGAAAAGTGAGATTAAATTTCATATTTTAAGATAATCCTTAATTAATTTATTTTATTTCAGTCTGGTCTAAATGGGGAACACACTTGGGGTGATGCACCAGTTTTGGCTCAAATGTATGAGGATTGCCTATTTGATGACATGCAGTGGTATAGAAAAAGTATGAAAGATTTCATAAAATAAATATTAATTAGTTTTAATTTCCAGTTATGATGAATATGGGAAACTCAAAGGATCAAAAGAAGTCAAACCGCCACTGCCACTTCGTCTTGATTGGGACTTTAGTGATCGTGATTTGACAGAAAGAATCGAAGAGGCTTTCCAAGATTCTCAGAAAATAGTCAATGTAAATTCTCATTCATATTAACTATTCATATGTTTAATTAATGATCTTGTTTAGGATGTTGACCATAAAATTTTCATTCATAAAACTTTTGGCAAAGGATTTATTAAAACATGTCGCTTGTCGCCAGATGCTTACATTCAGATGGCGCTTCAACTCGCATATTTTCGAGATTTCGGCAATTTTTCACTGACTTATGAAGCGTCAATGACTCGGTTATATCGTGAAGGTAGAACCGAAACAGTTCGTCCTTGCACAATTGAGTCAGCAGCATGGGTGAAAGCAATGGAAGATGAGAATTCGAATACAGACGAACGAGTGAAACTTTTAAAGGAAGCTTGTAATCGTCACCAACAAGGATATTTGGATGCAATGTGCGGACGCGGAGTCGATCGTCATTTATTTTGTCTTTATGTTGTTTCGAGGTATTTAGAACTTGACTCACCATTCTTGAAAGAAGCAATCAGTCAACCTTGGCGGCTCTCAACAAGTCAAACACCTCTCGGTCAAACACCAAAAACTGAATGGAAAGGAGATGAAAATTTCATCAGTGCGAGTGGTGGGTTTGGTCCGGTATCATCAGACGGATACAGTGTTTCATATATTATTCTTGGCGATAATTTAATCTTCTTTCACGTGTCAAGCAAAAAAAGTTGTGCTATCACAGACACTGATAGATTTGGAAACGGAATATTTAAAGCAATGACCGATATCAAACTTTTATTCGAAGATTTTAATCAAAAAAAGTAAAATAAAAGTCGAGTGCAAAGTGTAAATTCTATTTATATTTATATTTTTCAGACTTATGTATGAACTCAAATCATCGTTTCTACGTTCACAAGATAATTTTTTCTTTTTCTTTAAATACTTTAAAAATAAAAACACTCAAAATTATCAAGCTTAAGTCTAGCTAAACTTCAGACTAGATGCACTAAGTTAAAAAAAATATCTGATTCAAGACACGTGATAATCTTTTACCCGACATATTTGAGAACGATTTCATTTTCACCGTGTGCGCAATCGTGTAAACAGCTGACTGACTTCATTTTATTCACCACAATGTTTACTTCTCTATTATTGCGGCACAACAAAACGTAAAAAAGATAAGAAGAAACAGAGTTTTATTTTCTCAACAACAAACAAACAAACCTACATATATTTTATGTCGCTCTTACCGGTATTCGCTTCAGTCTTTTTCGTGTGTTCATGCTTAAAAGGTCGAAGAAACTCGAAACTCAGCGAAAATATTGGACCTTGAACATCATTTTATTCTCTTAAGGTTTTTTGTTTTCTCATTCACTCTTGAGCAGCATCTCGATCTTCATAGAGTTTTAAAAAGATTGACGACTAAGTCGAGTTTTGTTTCGTGTATCGCGGAAGTTTTAATAAAATCTACTCGATTAAAAATAATAAAAGCAACTTTAATAATATTTTGAACTTCAAATAATCAAGGTAAATATTAGTATTACCTAGTGGTGCTCATATTTGTGCTAATTTGTGAAGGAAAAAAGTGTTAAGAATGTTCATGCTTATTTGTGCAACAATCGAACTTTGATCTCTACGACGAAACCTTGTGATTTAATCGATCTTATCGAAGAAAAACATTTTAAATTTGTTAAGATATTCATAATCAGATTTACCAAGGTAAATTTCAGTGATAAGCAAAGAGTGAGGACGATTGAACGCAAAACTTGATAAATTGAAAATCTCTTTGACTTTGCACCAAGCAACAAGTGAAAAAAGAATTTAATTGGCATTTGTTGACGTAACTTAAATAAATAACTGTGATTGGTTTTGTTTGATTCCTCACTTTCAAAGTAATTACAAGCGCTTTACTGGAAAACACTCACAATGCTTTTGAATTCAATCAAGATAAGATAAAAATTATTGTCGTAGGAGTTCAAAATACTCAAATATCTTATCTTTGTGAAAGATATTTTAATGAATAAATTAATGATTCATTGATCCTTCTTTCTTTTATAATTTAACAGAATATGGCAGAAGCCCATCAAGCTGTGTCGTATCAAGAATTGATTAAACAAGAGCATACAGATACAAACCATGACAAGGAAGTTTTACAACTTGTTTGGCAATCTGGTTTGAGATCATGGAAGAAACGTTTTGCTTTATATAGAAGTAAAGTCCGAAATGGAATTTACCCAGCACACCTTGAGAGTCTATGGATCATTATGGGAATTGTTATAGGTCTTCATTTCTCTTCAAATACGACAAAAATTCCATACGACCTAGCAAATGTTTTCATAAAAATTATGCCTGAGTTAGTTTCTTTTTTTATTGCTTTCAATTTATGTAATTTATTTTGGAATTTTTTCTTTTATAGTTCATCAGCTGTTTGGCAAATTGTTGCTTGCTGTTTAGTGAGCCTTGTATATTGGCTTACAATTTGCCTAGTTATGAGGTACACATTGAAATTTCTGTTGTTGTATAAGGGCTTCCTATTTGAAACTCGAGGAAAAAAGGTCAGCACGAAAACAAAAATCTGGGGGATGCTTGTCAAGTGTGAGAATATTTTTTTGTCTCAATTCATTAATAAACAACTTATTAAATTTAATTATTTATTTTAGTCTTTCTTAAATGGAATGCTCCATCGATATACAGTTTTCAAGGGTCACTACCACGCTTACCAGTACCGAAAGTTGAAGAAACTATCGCACGTTACTTACGCTCTGTTCGACCTCTACTTGATGATGCAAACTATGAGCGAGTTAAAGCTCTTTCCGTTGAATTTCAAAATGGAATTTCAAAAAAGTTTCAAAGGTATTTAATTCTTAAGAGTTGGTGGTCAAACAATTACGTATCTGATTGGTGGGAGGAATATGTTTATCTACGTGGTCGAACTTCTCTTATGGTCAACAGTAATTATTATGGATCTGATTCGTTTGATAAGCCAACAAGCTGCCAAACGGCACGATGTGCTAGTCTTATCTATCAATTCTTACAATTCAGAAGGAAAATAGAGCGGCAAGAAATGAAACCGATTATGGTTCAAGGTCTTGTTCCACTTTGTTCATGGCAATACGAACGAATGTTCAATACAACAAGAATTCCCGGAGAGGAAGTTGACAAAAATGTTCATCTTAATGATAGTAAACACATCGTTGTGTTACATAAAGGATGTTATTACAAGATGCCAATCTACCACAATAAACGTTTACTAAATGCTTGTGAACTTCAATGTCAACTTGAATATATTTTAAAGAATTCTAATAAAACCTCACATGGAGAAAAGTATTTGGCTTCATTGACAGCATGGAATCGAACAAAATGGGCACAAACACGCAATAAATTCTTTTCTTCTGGTATCAATAAAACTTCTTTGGATGCTATCGAAAGTGCGGCATTCTTTATCATTCTTGATGAACGATCATTCAATTATGACACACCCGAAGGTCAAGCAAGTGGTTTTAATTATGACAAATATGCAGCTGAAGGTCTTCATGGTAGAGTCTATGATCGGTGGTTTGACAAAAGTTTCCAGCTTTGCATTGGAACTAATGGGAGGGTAAATAAAATTAATTTGAATTTCATGGCTATATTTGTTAAAATAAATTAATTATTTTATAGTTTTTAATGTTGGCAGAACATTCCTACGCTGATGCACCATCTGTATCGCATATGTTTGAAGAAAGTTGCTATTATGATCTTCACAGTTATGATGAAAATGGAAATCTTTTGGGTGCAATGGAAATGAAGCCACCAGTTCCAATAAGATTAACATTTGAATTTAGCCCTGAGTTAATCAAATTAATTGACGAAGCTTACAATGATGGACTGAAAATTATAAATGTAAGGAATTGATTTATTATCATTTTGATTATTTAATCATTCTGTTAACTGTTTATATTTATTCATAGGACGTTGATCACAAACTTGTAAACCATGATGCATTTGGAAAAGGTTTTATAAAGACTTGTCGTGTATCACCGGATGCCTACATTCAACTGGCACTCCAACTCGCATATTTCAGAGATTATGGGAAATTCTCTTTAACTTATGAGGCTTCGATGACAAGATTATATCGTGAAGGTAGAACAGAAACAGTCCGATCATGTACAATTGAATCATCAGCATGGGTGAGAGCGATGGAAGATGAAAACATAAGTATAGAAGAAAAAATGAGATTATTTAAAGTTGCTTGTCTAAGACATCAACAAGGATATTTGGATGCGATGTGTGGTCGTGGAATTGATCGTCATCTATTTTGTCTTTATGTGGTATCAAAATATTTGGAAGTGGAATCACCATTCTTAAAAGAAGCAATTAGTGAACCATGGCGTTTGTCAACGAGTCAAACACCACACGGCCAAACACCGTTAATTGACTTAAAAAAGAATCCGCAACTCATCACACCTGGAGGTGGATTCGGACCAGTTTCTTATGACGGTTACAGTGTTTCTTACATCATTTCCGGGGAAGAAAGAATTTTCTTCCATCTTTCCAGCACAAAAAGTTGTCCTGTAACAGACACAAATCGTATTTCAAAACGCATCTTTAAAGCAATGGATGACATTAAAAAGTTATTTGAAGAATTTGATAAAATTCAAAACAAAACAGACAAAAAGAATGGTGCAATCCATTAGATTAGTATTACTGTTAAAATAAATTAATATTAATATTCAAAATTATTATTTTTCTTTTCAAAGAAATCGTTGATTTTTAAATTCTTAAGCTTTTCAAGCTTTCAGAGCTTTCTCTGACTTGCATTCTCATTTGTAGAGATATTTGATTTTTGTAGAGTTTCAGTCGAATAGAAATTCAGAAATCTTGTAGACTTTTTTGAGCTTTTGCTATTGGTGAATATTTGAAAATAAATAAACAAACTTTTGCTATCAATGAAATATTTTTATTCACAACAATATTTTAATCGATGCATTGATCGGTACATTACAATGTATGAATTTTGACATTTAATTCATAGGTCAAGAATGATCAATTTGTTATTGCATTAATTTTAATTATTGTTTAATAATACATGATGAAAACAGTCAATAACGAAAAACGTTCTAAAACTTTGTCACCCTTTTATCAATGACCATTTTTTAAGTTTTAATTTAATTTCGCAACTTGTCAACATATTTCTGATTCGTTTTTCCTTTGACACCTTCTTTTTTTTTTGAATAAAATGTATGTTAGAAAATGAAGTAAAGTTCTAAATAAATCATTGACATCAAGTGAGAAACAAATATTTTTTAAAAACTTCAATGTGTTGAAACAACAAAAAGAAAAAGGGAAATTAATGCAATCAAGTTTTAATTATCGAACATGTACATATCTTTGTTCATACATCGTGAGCTACAATATACGATATAGTAATTGTGAGAATCCTTCTCCCTCACCAAAAAGAAAAGCTTTTCATTGAAAGGGGTATCTTCGGAAAGAAAAAAAAGGATTTAATTGAGCAATTACTAGTAATTCAATAAAAATTTCCATCATAATTTCAATCGTGTTGAAATTAAATTTGAAATTTTAATATCTAGATATCTCCATCTTCAATTTTTCTTGTGTTTTTTTTTTTCATATTAATTATGCAGGTATGTAAGAATTTCGTGTGCTGCCTGTGATTGTTATAAGAGTTGTAATTAAGGTCTTAATGAATAATAGTTTTCCACTTACACAAATATCACTTATTTTTTAAACATTCTTTTTTATTTCATGAAAAAAAGATTGTAACTTTTTATTTTCTTAATTAACGCATGTTGTCGACTCAGTATCGTTCGTAGCATTTACAAAAAAAAAGTGTAAATAAATGTTCACCTCTTTAAACCGATAATAATTTTGTAAAGATATCTTACAATTGTAGATGAGACATTCTCGAGAAAAGAAATTAATTATTACACAATTAAAACCAGATGGAAAGAAACTGCTTGAGGAAAACAAAAATGAAACACTTTAAAAAGGTTACACGTGAAGAATTTTCAACACGTTATTTTATTAATACGTGTAGCCATTTCCTTACAAGTTTCCAACTTGAGTTAAATATTTAAATTACTGAACTTTCAGATCCTCGCATTCTTTACATCCATTAGGTTTACTACGTACAGAAAATTGCAGTAAAATGCACAAATTATTGTTTGAAGATGGATTTAACAGTTTATAAAAACAACCTTCTTCGTGAATAATTTAATCTTGCAGTAGTTTGAACCTATCGATTGGTAGCTGCATAACACTTCATCATTTGCCGATACTCAAAGCAAATTATTGGTAAGGAAACTTACATACACTTCGCAGATAAACATGAAGGAAATTTGGTTAATTGATGCAGAACATTATTCAAGTTTTTATTGCGAAGAAATCTAAAATGTCTTTTTCCTTTCATTCAGTGAAATTTAATAAGAACTGAAGAACAAGCTCCCTCTTTGCATAAAAATTATGCACATTTTGTATCACGAAACACATTCAATTGCAAACCAATTTAATTTGCGAATAAAAAGAAGAAATGCATTGGAGGAATAGTAAGTAATATGTACACTTGTTCAGTCCAGTGGACTAATTAAATGCCTACATGCAAAATGAAACAGGTTTGGTTTTCCTTTCTTTTCTTGCCATTCGCTCTTTGATTAAATCCATTTTAAAATGTTTCTGTTTCGCGTATATTTCTTGAGAAATGGCTGCTTTAATTTGCAATAACAGTTCTGCATTCTGTTGGACATTATCTTTTTGCCTCAATTCGTGCTTTAATCGTCTAACATAAAACGAATGAACCTGGAATGGCCGACACATTTGCATTATTTTATGCGATAAAACCATTGGCTCATTTCATTATTTCTACATTTGAGAACTTTGTTTTTACTTTTGTATTATTATTTTCACGAATTAATTCTTTTAATTATGAGCATTGGCGTTGATTTCAATGATTATTCCTTCACTCAGGCCATTTCAATTGCATGTTAACAGCTCATAAAAGAATTTCAATTATGTGCAAGTGGTAAAGTAAATACTTAAAAATTTAAGTTAATACCGAGAACTATTCGTAATTCAATTCATACAGAATAAAGTTCAAAAGACTCGAACGACACTGATTTTATCTTTCAGAGAGATAAAGAATGAAAATAACATTTTAAAGTTTTACTTTTTAATCTGAGATTTTAACATTAGTCATTGTAAAAATGTTTTATCTACATGAAAATTATACATCGATTGAAAACCACACTTCGTCTTTTCTTCAAAAGGTGTTGAAATTAATAACAGTACGATGACTTGTAAAACATAGGTACAATCAACCGAAACATGTATTCGCTTTTTATTTATGCATATTGATCATTCAGAAGAATGAAACATTTGAATACATTCATAGAGTTGAAAAAAAAATTGTATTCATTCGAACAATGATACATAAACAAGTATTAAAAAGAAATTTAAAATTTCTCTATGCGGGTGGCCGATTATTCTCAACTTTCATTCATAAAAAACATGGAACATAACAATATCAATTTATCGAGGATATCAGAAAGTCATCATTTAAATACAACATCAATGAATATATTTAAATCTTTTTTTATACAATTATTATTTTCACGAATCGTTACATCCACCTAATAGATACTCTAACATGTTTAGTAAGAAGAATGACGAATTATTTTCATTTACTGCCTTCTAATGGTGACTTTTTGTTATTGATAAATTAAAGTTTGAACATTGAACAAAAAGCATTTGTAGTGGACCTTTAATTTTATTAGCAGTTTGACCGAAACAATGAAATGTAGCCCAAACAACATGAAAAATCAATAAATAAACACGACCTGGAACAATTTAACCTTCAACATTATTTATCTGTAACAAATGTATCATTGCTTATTGCATCAGAAGGTTAAATTGACTTCAATTACATACCCCAATGTATCTGAATCTCCAAGATTTATCCAAATATCAATTTTTAGTAAGTTCATTACAAAAAGTGTTGAAGAAAGGTATGTTTATTGAATTTATCAAGGAATTTATCAATTTAGCATAAAAATAAACTCATATTTTATATTCAAAAGAAACTCGTGTCATTCATCGCAAATTATACACAGCCTTTGATCTCACATTTGCATTTCAGCATAATCGCTTTAACTTTTTTCGTGTGATTGTAAATAAATCGAATTGATTGGAGCAAAATGATGATATTTTCTTATTTTATGTATATTTTCGATTTGACACAGATCAAGACACAGATGTTTGCGTGATTGAAACTTCAAAATTTAAAGTTATTTTCAATGTCGTTGGAATGAACTTTATTACGTTTGTTAAAGAAATCATTTAACAGAATTCTTTAGTTTGTAATGAATATCTTGAAGCTATGATTTTAACATCAAGTATTTATAGCATAATTGAATTATAAACTTACATTCAATAACTCGGCATGGATGTTTGTGAAATTATTTAAATCAAAATGGAAACAATGTATGTACAGTTTAGTTAGTGAATACTTATTCGCGTAGCAAAGATCGAACTGCTCATATTGCGAGCTAATATGCAGATTGAAAGGTAATCAGAGTAATGATAAGTATGCCCTACGATTTAATAAAGGCTCCGCAAAGGGAAAATTAACTTCCATTTAATGTGCGAGCTATAGTGCTTTGTTCCATCAGCATACTGCACCAATGCCATGTATTTATGTTGATGAAATTATTGTAATTTGGTGCTTCATCATTATACATTGTTACCATTCCCAGTTTGTGTATGCTTTGACTCTCACTTGGTTGAATACGAACGAGGGGAAACTTTTTAACAATGTTTTTCTTTTTCAATAATTTACTTAATTTTATGCAAATTTCGGTTTGGGTCCGAATTCGTACGAATATTCTGAAGAAAAAAAATATCAATTTTCTGTTATACTGTTGAAATCCTGATAAGAAAAAAAAACGTTTTCCTTCGTGAATGCTAAGAGTAAAAGCTTTCGGACTTTAAAACGATTCATAATTATGGGTCTTCTTTGGTATTCAAATTTTCTGAGTTTTTGCCGCCGATTCTAATACCAATCCGTTGTTTTATTGCATATGCTGTAATTGGCTCGATCCCAAAGGAAATCGTTTGAAGTTATTTTATTTAATTGCGACCAACAACATCGCTTTGCATTTCAGATCCTTTTTTTATGTTAATCATTTCCCATTAAAGCATGGCATAGTGGCTAGTCGATGTTTACCTCTGTCCATATCGATTGTTGCTTATTATTATTAAAGTAGAAATTCGAACCTTATCTAAAGAATTTTTTTATATTTCAATATGTCTGACAAAAATGAGCGAAAGTTATAATTAGAACGGTGTTGAATATCTTAAAAAACCTTTCAAAATTTCTAATCTACCCTCGACTTTAGCCATAATTCATTTTTTTAGATTTAATTGAACTTTTATTAATGTCTGCTGGTATAAATTTAGTCAACTTGTGAAAAAGATATTTCCTAAATTTGTAATTTCCCACCAGATGAAAGATTATGAGAATTTCTTATTAAATAATTCTTAGAAACTTAAGAATTGGATGCCAATAATTCTATTTATTATAAGTTGTATGATCAAGTTTATTAATGTATGATGAGAATTACACGCTGCCAATTCATCTATGGGAATTAAAGAAAATCTGAGTCATTGATCGATCAAACTTGCTTTTAAAGTTGAGGTCATTGTTAATGAAACAAGTCTGACTTGTTATTAAATATTTTCCTTTAAATACTGTTAAATAAAGTTTTGAAATAATGGTTGACACACATACCGTTTTTCACATGGTGTGACTAAAAAATAAATAACTAATATTAAATTTTCCCCAGCATTTTTCCAAACCATGGAAAGGCAATCAACAAACAATGAAAGGAAAAGTTACAAAATTACAAAATTCTTGTCATTGATTTTCTATTGAACTTATGCTCATTGTTAAATTAAAATCACTGATCAAGACGTAACTGGCAGTATTGTAAATACATTTAATTTACATCAAAAGGATTAAAATTTAAAAACATACGCCGACATCTAATCATCTTTCAATTCAGAGACGGGAGTGTGTCAACGATGTTGAATATGCAACAATTGGAATCCTTTTTTTTTGTCAATATAATTTTTCATTCACTTCACTTGATGTGAGGATTCACTGAAAAGGAAATAATGAGAAAATTAATGAAAGCAGTTACTTGAAATTGAAACTGTTTCTAAAGAAATGTTATTGAGATTTAATCGGAATAAAGGTAATTAGTAGCTTTTACTTATTTAGTATCACATATCTTACTGATTGATAACAAATAAAGTTGACTTAACAAAAGTAAAAATAAGAAAAGAAAGAGAACGTTAATAATAAAAGGAAAAAAGAAACTGATTGAAATGTTTTCGAACATTTCTAAAATTTTAAACGATGCAAACCATAAAAACAAATGGAAAACTCTACACAACCCGAATTCAGAAGCGTACAATAGATGGGCGTGGAGTAGGTTTGTTGTTGTTTTTCACATAAAATGAAACTCTCCAATGATGGAACTGACTTACTTCTTGCGCAATTTTCGGCTTTTTATGTCTTTTGTGTTTTATTTCTCCCTTCTGCTCTGCTTCCGTTCTGTTCTCCATATGAATATCAAGTTACGTCAAATAACGCACGACTTTTTTTCTGTTCAGTTGTTGAATTGGTGTTTAAAACATTATTCGATTTATAAAGCATTATAGTTAAATTGTGAAAACTGCTGTGAAATCTATGAAACGATAAAAATTGGAGCAAAATTTTTAAAATTTCAAGCTGAGACGCCCAACTGTTATGCTGGCGGCTGAAAACCAACAACTCCCGATTCTCAAATTGATAAAATTAATTCATTCTTTATGTTGTATCCACATGATCTCGCGTGCTACTCACTATTTTCTCCGATGGTGGCTGTATTTTGATCTCATTGGAAGCTAGCTGTTCATAAATCAGTTGGCATGATTCATTGGGATGAACCGTTGAATTCGAGCAGCATTATCAGCTTTTCGCTTTTCTTTCTTTTGAATAGTTAAATCATCATGTTTCTAAGATTGAAAGCTATAATTAAGATTGAATTAAGTTTGCACCCGTTGTCGCTAATGACTAGTTTAGGCTCTTTCTACCCTTGATCTTGTTTCCTATTTAGGTAGCATACGAATGGGAAGACTTTAATTCCAGTCTAAATTTAACCCACCCCTTTTCTACTACAATCGGAATGAAATTTTTGAGTCTTTGATTCAAATAAATAAATGTTGTAATTTTATATTGATGCATTTACACATTCTATGGAATATCCGGTTAGTTTTTTTATACTTTTCAAAGGATGCACATTGTTTAAAATGCTTTCTAGAAATTATTAAAAAGGCGCTCAAATCTTGGATTTTCTTATTCAGATATTCATGGATAGATTACATCGACAATGTAATCGATGGAGGTTCATCTTAAAATAAGATAAAACAAAAATAAACTTGTTACACAATTGATCCATAAAATGTATGCGACAAATTTTTTAAAAACCTAAAATTATATTTTGTCCCATATATTAAGTAACTACAACAGATTTAACTTACTTTTTATGAAATATTCGGTAAAATGAAGAGTAAAATTCACAACATAACAATTGCATGAAATTTCTAAACCAAAAAACCCTCGACTCATTAATCATGACCCATAAACTGATAATTTGTCTGTTTCTATTGTTGCCCTCTTACAAAACTTCCTCCTCTACGAGCATTATGACAAAATTGTGAATTTTCGTACGGAAAAAAATGTTTTGATGCCATTGTATGCTTATAATTTATGATATAAATTTGAAAGAATAACTTTTTTAAACCACATTATTGTAATGCCTTTTTCATTGTCAGTTTTCATTCATTCAGTTTTTTTTTTCATCTCTCTCTTAAATAATATTCTTTAGTAAAACTTCGACTTCTCAATTAAGTAGTCTTATTGATGAGCCAATATAAATCGGAAGGTTTTCGCAAATTCAATGTCAAATCAATCTGAAATATTATGATTCTAACAATATGCATCCATTTTGTATTTATGAATTAAGAAGAATCGATTTAGCAAACGATAATAGCGGAGGAATCAACTGATCAATACTTATTACCTTCTTTCTTTTTTATTTTTAACGAAAACCGTTATAGATGTTTATTAGATATTCGGAGTGGTAGAAGGATCGAAAACTTTCGCTAAAAAAGTGTTATTAGGTTAATTTAGCGGGGATCGAAGAATTTCTATAAAATTCGCAGTTTGATTATAAATAATTGAAAAATTGGAAATCCTCGTCTAAATTTTAAATTATTTTCGCCACTCGCTCTTAATGAAAATTATTGTTTCCTAGTCATTCAATCTTTTAATGATGTGCCAGTGGCTACGATAGAGTCAGAGGTTATTAAGAAATTCCAACAAAGGCTTGAACATGTTTTTAAACATGTAAATACAAGCGTGAAATTGTAGTTACACTGTTTTTATCTTACATTCTTTATGTCAACCATATGTTAGATATCATCTTTAAAATTGCGTTAATTGAAAGGGTTTTTTTAGGCTTAATACATCTTGTTTTATCACCTGTTACTTGCGGTTTTACAAACAAAACTGGAAAAATAAAAGCACAATCTTTATAAGACATAATTTTAAAGAAATTAGTTGCTTCAACATATGGTACAAAAGAAGGAAGATCTCAAGGTATGTTCAAGTTTTCTTCTCTTTGTAATAAACAATGTGAAAAAAATTCTTTTCAACATTTGAAAGTCATTGAAGAAAAGTTTTTGTTTTGAGATTACGCTTAAGTGAATTCAAACATTGCATGTACATTCATTTTCAATAAATTATTACGTACTTATTAACATTTTAATTTCCCTTTTCAAAACATATTTGTCTTAAACTCAACATCAGTCTTATGTTCATGTTTTCCTCGGATGACAAACAATAGAACGAATATGGAATATGAGAAAGTCAACCCAACATATGCCTCTGTATTTAGATATTTTTATTCAGTGAAAAGTTTTAGAAAATTTCAATAATTTAATGACAAAATATATTTTCAAACTTTAACTGTTACCAAAATTACAATGTACGAAAGTATTAAGTTGTTCAAAGTAAAAAGCTTTTCGAACAGATCTCTGTCGAGAAATGTTGAAAAGTGATAGTTAATTAAACGAAATAATTTGATAATGTTATACTGTAAAACCACATCGTTTCTACTATTACTATTTGGTAAAAAATTTAATTAGGGTTTATTATTACATAAATATTTATGTATTCTTCTACCACACAACTTCGTTCGAAGTTTTGTTTCATGTAACAAAAGTCGAATCAACATAAATACTTATTTATGTATATTTTACTCACATTTAGATAGTGAACTCAAGGGAAGTAGAAAAGAATTGCTTAGCTTAACTATCAACTTATTCTTTCAATTGAGAATTTCTAGAAATGGCGTTTTTATATTAAACATTTTCCCATAAAATTTTTATGTTTATTTACGGCAAGTATGTGCAATTAATTATATTTATTTATCCAAATTGCTTCATAGCAATTGTTTCAACAAGAGCTATCTAGATAATTATATTCACAAAAAAATATTATAAACGATGTTGTGGCATTTGCCTTTGACATGAAGATTATTAGGAGAATTAAAGTTTAAATCTATCTTTTTTTTATCACACCAAAATTTGATGTCATAAACATAAGATCGTGTTTGAAGAATTTCCTTATGAAAATTTGTCATCTCGTTTTCCTGTAAAAAATATTCAAATGAGAATATGAGTTGGAAAATTTTCATTTATCATTTTAAGTGAGTTTTTGATGATGAAATTCTGTTTGCGATATATTTTTGTTGCGTTGTCTATTTAAGGTTCTTAATGACATAGATTCATATGTGCTAAAGATTAAACAGTTTAATTCAATGCTGGGAATATTTTTGATGCAGAACAAAATGTAGGCTATTTTAAAACAACCGTCGCTGTTAACAAATTTAAAGATTCTTTGTGCTCTTAAAAATCTAACAGAAGAAAAATTTTTGTCGTTTGTGTGCATTTAACATTTAGAAAGTATGACAGTTAGGTTGTTGAATAGAAGAATGTAATCATTTTTGACGCAATTGGAGCTTAGATAATATAGAAATAATTTCATTAAAGTATGACTTATTGGAGCATTTTATTAGTCCATTGCATGTTTCTATTATGAAACACATTAAAACTATTTACATGGATTCTTAATACTATTTATTTCATCTACCAATTATTTTTCTAGCATATCTGGAATTCAAGAACTAAATACATAAAAGTTCTGTTCATATTTATGTCTTGACTTTTAACGAGCTTCAAAATGTTTATCATTTCATGGTTTTAATATAAAACGATTTAACGATGTATAAAAGATGGTGTGAATTTTGATTAAGGATGAAATCATAAGAGAAGAATAAGTTATTAAGAAATAAATGTTCACGAGAAAACATTTAATATGTATAACTAGATTTATATACAAGACCAGAAAAGTCACTGAGGTTTATAGGGGTTGGAAAAAAAGTAGATTATCTTTCAAGCTATTGATTATGTGTGAATGGATTTTTAATGGTGAATAAAAGAAAAATCAAGTGCAGTCGAGAATAATTATATCTGAATAAAAAAATTATCTTTGTCCTTGACTGTTATAGCTGAAAAACAGAAATCGATTTAGAAAAGTAAAATTCAGATCATCAACATTAATATTTAACGACATCAAATTTTATTTTATGTGATGGCTTCAAAAAATTCAAATATCATTAGATATGACAATATTGTTGAATCAAAAACAAATTGCTGGCAGCAAAGATTTTCATGAAAATATCCCCTAATATCGAAATATGATGATGATCCCTTTTCAGTGCTTTTGCAACAAGCAAACCAAAAATTGAATTAACAGAAGATTTTCCAGCTTTTCACAACCATAATGTGATTAGTGTTATCAGATTTAGCAACAATAAACAAGGGTTTCCCACTGTGGTGAATTTACTCAGTCATTGTACTGGTAATTCAATAATACAATTTTCATTCATTAAAATGATTATTCCTCTTCATTTTCTATTCTCTTCTTATATTAAATCTGAGACCAAAACCATTAAATAAAATTATTTGGTAATTTGACATTTATAGATGTGCACGATGTGGCATCATTACCATTAGACGAAGAAGCGTTTAATGAATTATGATGCTTGAAACTAATTTATCACTTCAAACTCTTGGTGACTTTACACAGCATAAAAAAAATCTTAGAACGAGGGTGGAAACATACAATAAAATAAAACGTGCTTGACGAAATCCAACGACAGCAATAGTTAAATAAAAGATAAATTATGTGAAAACTCTGTTTTCGCAAGGAGGGAGAAAATTTTCCAGTTTATTAGAAATTGAAAATTTGTACAATATTTATTTTGATTTTATAATGATTGAAATTCTTTCAGGAATATTTTTTTTTGCTTCAATTAATCTCTTATTTTGTTCTTTGTTTCTTTTCTTTCATTATTTCTTTAGGGAAATGGAACATTGTTTAGGTTAAGAATCTGCAATTAATTTATTGGTTGTCTCATTAACAACCCTCAACAATCCTCCCTTACTTGGTTTTCGTTGTTGGAAAAATCATATGAATAGCGGAAAAAATGTTCCTGAAAAATAAATCTCGATGTGTCATCAAATGTGTGTGTCTACCGCCAAACATAAAAGATGAATAGCTTTCTTGTATTTCTTTGAAATAACTGGGTAATTCAACAACAAACTTAAACAACCTCCTGTGGATAGTTTAATGCTCTTATTTTAAAATATTTAATTTCGCTACAGTTCAGTTTCCCCTCATGACGTTATTTGCTACTGTGTCCCTCAATTTACAAATGAATCAAGCACAAGCTGTGCTTGTGAGATGTCGAGGAAATGTTGTTAAATATTGAGAGATCAAATGGGGTTGGTTTTCCTTCTGTAAATATGTATAGATCATGACAAAAATAACTAGTACATGAAATGAATGCCATTAAAATAAATTTTCAGAATTTAAGGATGCTACGACTGCGTCAATGTTGTGATTGAAATTGCGTAGATGATATAATTTTATCATGAAATTTGAAACGCTTGTCTTCATTCGAGATTAAAGGGGACACATAATTTCTAACAGCATTAATTGGATATAATCACTTGAAACTGTTTTGTCATTTGCTAAGTCGATGTCTCAAGAGAATTTTATGTTTAACCTGAAATTAATGTTGAAAGAGCACAAAAGACGTTCGACATAAAAATTATAAAAATAAATATCTGTGAAAATAAAAAGTTAGAAACAATTGAAGTATTATGAAAAACGAAATAAATTTATTAATTCTTCTTGCCTGCCGAATTGGACTTCTTTTCAACAAAATTCATACACAGTTATTATTGAACTCATAAAGAAAAACTATTTAAATAAAATAATTTGGTTGTGAGTAGACAACAGATTTGGATTTTCATCGGGATATCTTTGTGATTCATTCATCTATGATATGTATTGTTTTAAAATAAAGAAGACAAATCTTTGTCATTGTCGGGAATTAGCTTTCCAATATGTTTAATAATTATAATTTAATGCAGTCAAAAATAAAAGAATTTTCTAAGAGCAAATATTTTAACTACATTGAAGGATTTTGTTTTTCTTGAAACATTAATACATTGAAAGATTTATGCTCAAGGAAGGACTTATCTATATTTACCCAACTTAATTTTCCTTTTATACATTCTTTTAAAGATATTTATTTTTCCTTTAGCTTTACACGAATATTCACACATTTATGTTGTAATTTATGATTTCCAAATATTCGGAAATATTTCTGATGTTTATCAAACGATTCAAGTTTTTTCTTTTATCAAAATTTTCAACCTTTCGTTCGATTTTTTCCCGCACTAATTTAATTACCAATCTGGAAATATTCATTGCAGAAAAAAATGATCCATTACACATGAATTTGTACTTGTAAATATTTATCTTTGAAATCATATCATACATAATTTTGCAAAAAATAAAAACAATTCTCGCGCTTCCGTAATTCGGGCGTTTTCTGTGAATCTAAAGCATGTGATATCAAAATATTTTATGAGATTTCTTTTCTCTCTTTCTAAATGCTTTGTAAAGTAAAATTATTGTGAGAAGCGCACGAAGTAAGTGAACTTCATGCAATTCCTGTTTTAATGTCCAAATGATTCGTGTGATCTAAATCGGGACTTGGAGGGTGGTGATGCTGCTGTAGATTATGATGTAACAATGGAGCATTAATCTGGTGAGGCGTTAGCACCATCGTATTGTGTTGATGTTGAATATGCAGCCCATTAGGATCGACGCTTGTTGATGCTAACGAAATGTTATAATTATGTGGCGAAGTGTTATTGTTGTTTCCACCTGGTGAATTTTGATGAAGATCACTTGTGTTCTGCTCTTCAGAATCACTGCAAGAATCTGACGAGCCCTTTTTAACAGTACCAGTAGTTGTCCCATTATGAGTTTTTACATGTTTTGCAAGATGATCTGACCTCATAAATCGTTTATTACACACCGGGCAAGCGAATCTGCTGAATGACAATAGAGAAATGCTGTTAGAGTCACTATAACTTATAATCTCATTTATCTACCGACCTTTTCTCACCGGTGTGAGTTCTCAAGTGCCGTTGAAGTTCATCAGATCGCGTAAATCTTTTACCACAGAAAAGCCAATTGCAAACAAACGGACGTTCTCCAGTATGCCAACGTAAATGTGCCTTCAGATGGCTAGTTTTACCATACACTTTACCACATCCAGGTATGTGACAACTATGAATATTCTTTTTCCTCAAATGTACACCAGCAGGGCCGAGACGTTCAGCTTCTTGGCAATTTGGGCAATCACATGTTGCACGACCAGCATAACGCCGATTTGGTCTAGAAGGTGTTGTTGTTGACGTGGTCGTTGGTGCCGGTGGAGAAGACGTTGGGGCGTGTGACAATGAGAAATTTCCAACTGATTGTGCTGGTATCATACTTTTATACGTATCTTGAAGAAGGTGTTGACCTGATCCTAATAAATGAGCTGTATTTGATAATGAATGTGTCAAAGGGGAGTAGTCGGTTGTTCCAGCTGCTGCATAGTTTGCCATGGTAGCATGCATGCCAGATCCCATATCTAACCAACTTCCAGCTGCTGCCGCTGAATGCATATCCCACCAACCACCATTATCAGTTTTATGAGATGTGACTGTATTAAAAGGCCACTCGTAAGGATGTCGAGTGTATACAGATCCAACTTCGACCTTCCCTAAAAGTCCCTGATGAATGTGGTGATGATTATCGGATATTGCAGAAGACGCTGTTGCGCCTGGAAAGTAAAGATCACTACCATAAGATGGTGTGTGAACGGATCCAGAAGAGCAAACACGACTGTGAAAGGAAGAATATTAATATTTATGTTCTTCATAAAATTTTGATTGACTAAACTCACCTTGTTGGAGCAATCGTGTGGTTCATTGGACTCCCTGAAATGTTTCGCTGCATAGTTAAATTTGAAGATATATTGTTGTTGTTGTTGTTGTTACTATTATGTTGTGGTGACATTTGGTTAGGAGATTGAGGGCCTGATGACAATTGTTGTGGACTTTTTTTCCACGGATGAAAGCCTTTGCCAACAGCAGCGTCGGCCAATGGTGGCGGAGATTTATTCGATAATTTATTACACTGTGCGGCAAGCATTGCCAACGGTGTTCCTTTTAAACTTCCAGATTGTTCCTGGAAAGAAAATTATTTAAAATTAATTTATTTTGAAAGAGAAAAAAATATTCATTCATATTTAAGTTGCTCAATATAATTGGATTCGTTAAAAAATAACCCGAAAAATATAAATTTTAATATAAAGCGCGGCGGAGAATATATAAAAAAGCCGGCGCTACGAAATTTCATGTCCCGCCGCGCAATCTTTCATTGTGTCTGATAATATTCTAATTCTCAGTTCTCCTTTTTCAGTTTGGGTTATATGATCGCCATGTAGGTCTCTGCAGCTTTTCTCAAGGTTTTTTTTGGTGTTATTTTATTGTAATAAATTTTGAATCTTCATTTTCTTTGCCTCTTTCTACCGCTACATTTAATAACTTCCTGTTTTTAATTTTTATATTATATCTAAAATATTGATTTGATGAAAGGTATAAATGCTGATAATTTATCAGAGAAATAAAAAATATTTTCGAATGCGACAGGTAAGTTCATAATGAGACTCTGTAAAATCATATCTAAATATCATAGATCAATAATTTATTTTTGTTTCCTACTAAAACAAATCATGATATGTTTCATTATGGAATTAATTGATAGAAGTTTGAAGTAAAAACTTCTTTGAACGTTGTTTCTTAATTTTTCTTATCCGAAGATTCAGGTAAAAATTATTGCGAGATATGCGCAGAAAACAATCCATTAGATAGTCGAGAGAATAAGTAAACGTTTTATAGTTTTCTTTTATCACTTTTATGTACAATTTAAAGCATTAAAATAAAGCGAACATTGTGATTTAAAAAGTTGATCTATATAAAAATCATAATAAAATGTATTATGCGAGAGTAATAAATTTCAATCCAAGCTCTTTTTAATAGAGTTTATTTCAAACAGATACGTTTCTCAACCTCATTGCCAATCTTAAACTTTTTTTAAATTAAAAGTCAAGTTTAATTCAAGTTTATTATTTTATCTTTACTAAACTAGAATATCAAGTTAAATGAGCTTTTAACAAAGTGTTTGAATCAGCTCAAGTAGCATAGTTTCTGGCATCATATAATAAGAAAATAAAAAAAAAAAGAACCCATTAGATAAATTAAACATATTTTCTTAATTTTCGACATTTTCCATAATTACCTACTTCTATTTTCAGGTATTAGTCATCTATGTACTTCTAAGCAAATGCCACTACCGACAAAGTGAATATTGAGAAACATCAAATTGTTAAAATGAATGAAAGGAAAAGCAGGCAGCCAAGATTTATCATGATAGAAAACCGATAAATAAAGTGTAAGGTAATGCTTTATAATGAATTCTAAAGTGACTATGATATTGCGTGTTAACGACTACTGAGAAATAGACTTTTTGAAATTAAATAACATCGAATGATTTTATAGCGCTGAAGCAAAGCGTTTTCAAGATACCATCTAGAGTCTTATTCATTTCTACTTTTCTTTCACTTCCATTAACGTTAATACAAATCTAGGAATCGGTAACAAGCTGTTGTGCTTTGTTAACTTAAAAAGGCGACGAAGTGCGTAAGACATTGTATTTACTTATTATTTTTCACGCCGACAAAACATAAAACAATATGTCTCGATCTCACTCTTAATGAAACCTTCTCAATTACCAACTTCATAAAAGAAGATCTTAAAAAGCTTTCACTTGAGTTTCACTCCAGAACAATTGATGTTTGACATGTAAGAAATTATTGTTTTAATATTTATTATTAATAAACTCCATGCGATTACTTTACGGGATAATTCAAAATAACTTTTCCTTAAAATCAGTTCTAGATATTTAGACAAAATTATCATAAATTTTTATATTTTATGATGGAAAGTAAATTGTTGATATTTTCACTTCTGTTGACTTTAATCGAACCAAAAATGTATTCATATTGAAATATTTATTAATATAATTTTGCTTTCTCCGAGTTCTCCTTAAATTTCCGAGCAATTTCCAAATATTTTACTTTTGAAACCACAAAAAATGACGTTTTTAAAATTGGGCAACTTATCTACTTACTAACCGTATAATTTTTTCCTTGTGGATATTAAACGAAGGAAACTGTTCCGAATAATTTATTTTACTGTTTATTTTTGTAGGTTTTTGTTCTGAATGTTTTGCGGTCCAGTGTGTAAATTAAATATAAAAAGAAATAAATGATAAGTTGTAAATATTGGGTAGCATCAAGCTTTTTTTTTTCTTTTAAAGATATAGAATTTTACGAGCCATTAAGCACATTAAATTTTATTTGTTTATTAGCCGTTGAGAAGATGTTAATTAAGCAATATTTACATGATTAATCACCATCAAAATTTGCCTTTATAACATTGTGCAAACACAAGTTTTAGAAGTTTCATTCAATAAAAATTTTAGATATTCACGTTTAGTAATTGATAAGAAATATTTAAGTGAAAATCATTAGGGGAAAATTTGAAAATCATCTAATTATGTAGATATCTCTTTATACGAATATGCTATAAAAATGTAAATTTTATCTATGATAAAGTCCTTACTTTCCAATGAAAGGATTTCCTTTTCTTTTAAGAAAGCACTAATAACTAAGTAATAACTATTTACGATGAGTATAAGTCGAAAAGAACTCAATATTTAAATGGTAGCAGGGGATTAATTGCGTTCACGCTTCAATTGTAATAAAGAAAAGTTTCTTTTCAAACACGAAAACATTAACAAGCCGCGTAAAACTAAATATATAAGTAAAAAGAAAGGTGTTAAAATATTGATTCAATCAAACAAATATGTTTTGTCATGTTTTTATTTTGGGGCGATTATAGTGAGAGACGATACCAAAGAAGTTTCTTTTTATTTTCTTTTTTTGTTCTAGTAAAATAATAAAACCAACGAAAGTCATTACAAAATAAAAAGAAACTTTTTTTTGTGAACTCCAACTATTAAAAATCAATTTAACCACATTTAGTTTTTATTGTGAATGTGAATCGTGAAGGGTTTCAATAATATCTAAATAGCATAAAGAAATTTATTTTTAATGTGAGCAATTCATGTTATAAATCAATTAAGAGAACGCAGTCTAAAATGATTTAGAAGAATTAATCATCAAACAATCTAATATCTGTTTAGATATGTAAAAGCATAAAATATCTGGATGATGAAATTTAAAGATATCTTTTTATATTTTATGTTATTAAGATTTTCAATGTGAAAGAAGTGGATGATTTATAATCGACAAATTCCCGTTGGCATTTTGATTGAATTTGCATATTTCTTCGGCGCTGCACTTTTATTTTTCCACAAAGAATTTGAACAATGAATATAAACTTTAAAGATTACATATTTTGATAATCTCTTTCTTCTACACAATGGATATGAGTCGCTTTCATTTTTATTCATGATGTTTCGTGTCTTGGGTATCCATGGGCATTAACGTTAATGTTTTGTGATTAGCCAATGAAGAATGTAAGGATCATGGTTCCTCACATCACGCTCTCAAACATGTCATACTATTAATATGTTGCAAAACAACATCAGAACAATAATCGAAAAATACAAAAAATTGTATTATGCAACATAAATACTCAGTATGATGCAAATGTTGCGCTTTTTGTTTGTATTTTATCGGTTTATGGTTCACCACGGGGAGCTGTTTTTAGATCTCTGATTCTTCGTCATGCAGAGAGACCTCTCAACAGAAGCTTTTTCAGTTACGCTTGTCATCAACACATAAATATAAACATTACAGTTGTTGCATAAAAAAAGATCAAAAACCATACTTAGTCAAAAAAAAATAAAAATTATAAGTGTTCATCACATTTTTCAGTGAAATATTTTGCGTGGAAATTAGGTTTTCTGTCAAATGATTAAAGCTTGATTGATAGACAATGAAATAACCGTAAGGTATTAAAAGAAAAAAAATAATAGTCATCACTACATAACTGTTTATGAAAGGACCGCAAACTTAATACAGGGATAAATGTTTATTGAAAGGGGAATTAGAGAAGCTGTTAAAGTAAAAGAACATCGACTTAAATGGTCTTTAAAGATCTTAGAACTCTGAGTAATGTACACAATCTTTTATACTAGAAAGGGGCGATAAAAGTGAAAATGAAAATAAACATAAAAATAATCCCTCTCATCTCACTCAACTTTTGTCTTCTTTCATTATTTATACTTCAGGTCTATAACTTTTTTTTTCTTGCACATAAAGAATTATAAGTTGTGTTGTACTTGTGAAAAAGGCATTACAAAACGAAATTTGTCTTGCAGATTAACACAATAAAAATTGTAAAAATAAATGTTGCGCTAACTAAATTATTGATTTGATAATAAAAACTTTACATATTTTTTATAATTTTATTTATCAAAACAAATACGTTCATCGTTTATTATTCATAAAGCTTACATGTGTATGTACATGCAAAAACATCAGCAAGTATGTCTGATAAATAGCCTGGTGCACAGTGCAATTTATAACCGTAATTCTTGATGTAATACCTATACATCATTAATAGATTGTTGAATGAATATACATAAATATGAAAGCAGCTTCGTTGAATTTTAAATGTTTTGATGAATTGCAATTGCGAAAATGAAATAGCCTGAGTCGCCATGTAATAGCGATCTTTTGTTTTGTTTTTATTTTACCTCAAAGAGCTTTCATTTGGTGAGAATTGTTCAGGCTATAAGTGCATGAATGCTCATTGGCTTTAGCGATGTTTATCAGAGATACGTTTTAGATACGTAAGAATTATTGTAAAGATATTTATATTAAATTAACAGAGAAAAACTTGTTCATTGAGGTTGAGAATCTTATTGAATTAAAACCCACACGTGACCCTGTAAAATAAGCAACCACTAAGTATAAATGCCAGTTAGCGAAGGTCTGTAATTTGTACTTGAACGGAAGTCAAAAGAATTTTTTTAAAGGCTAAAAGGGATCAACATAATCCTACCTTTCCCAAATTCGGAACTCTTCAAATTTGCACTACTGGTTTTATATAAAAAAATATGTTTTAAAACGCGAACCAAAGTTTATACCAATTAAATATTTCCATTATGGAGTTTATTGTGTTTACGTCAGAAATGAAAATTTACAAGGTAAATTAAAATGGCCTAGTCTTAAATTTGCATTTTTTAAATTGTAGCGCATTTTTTTTATTTATTTTACATCTAGAACTTCAGTAAACGCTACGCTTAAAGCTGCGGGATAAATTTTCAATGGCTTACATAGACAGATACTTATTGATTAATGTTATTCAAATATTTATATGACTATTTAAATTTTCTACTTAAATGACGCTGCTGTTTGTATATTTTCTGTCGAACACAATTCCAATGACTCTTAGAAAAAAATCATTAATAGAATCTCAGAGAAAAGATATTGCAGTAAAATTATTTAGAAAGACTCACGTTCTTCCTTCGACAAAACTATTTGACTCTTCTTTTATTTCTTCAAGCGAACAAAGATTGCGACACATCAAATCTCAACAATGCGTTGAAAATTGATTAGTGACAAGGCTTTTCAAATGACGTTGGACAAAAAAAAGAATCTTAAATACAGAAAACATCTTTAAAACGTTAAATCACCAGAAAAAAACTTCTTTTCTTTCATTTTTAGCACATGTTGGTTGGGGTGCATTGACTTTAATCGCCTGACAGAGAGAAGGAAATTGTTAAACACGAACAAAATCTTTATGATGCGTTTTTTTTTCTTTTGTGCATAAAGCAAACATAAAGAAGGTATAGAAGTAAAAATGCAGTCATATTTATGTGTGAAGAATATCCAAGAACTTTATGTTGTCGGAATTTTAAGATTTGCTCATCACAACCGAGAGTACTTCGTCTCTTGATCAAATAGCAGGAAATAAATTTAACAAACATCCATAGGGATGAAGACATTTTATGCTTTTCAATAATAAAATAAATTAATGTTTTTGAGAATATGAAGATTTTAAGCAGATTCTTAGTATTTAATCATATTTAAAGATTATCGATCTTTTCGGGAAAACCAACTAATTGTCTGAATAGAACTCACAAAACAAAGTTTTTAATACTTTTTTGAATACTTAGATTACTACATTCTTCTCTTTTGTGGCTTTCTTTTTCAATGAATAACTTTTCAAGAGCAAATCCATTCAACATTCCGAGAGCTTGATGTTTGTTAACTTTAGGGATAACAAGTTAAATATCTCTTGAACCATCTTAAGTCTATTCTTTAAAAAAATGCAAAGGAGCTAATTCATTCTCGGTAAGAATTAAACAAAATAAATCTTAATAATGATTGTCAAACATGAGCAATTTTGAGCCTAAGATACTCCAAAAGTTTTATAACTCCAAAGACAATTCTTTGTACATCTTAATGATACTTAGCAGAATCATAAAAAAAGTTGAATGTGTTTATTAAAGTCGTTAAGATTTTCTTTGTATTCATTTAATTATCTACCCGAGAAATGCAACACTTAAGCAATCTGTCAAACCCAGCATGAAATTCTTGAAATTTTACCGGCTTTTCTTAAAGGCTACGAGAAAAAAATATTAAAACATATGTGATGAGTACGGATCAGTTTTTGATAATTTATGTTGCGGAACGTTTGTATGAGTGAGAAAAAAGAATATTTTGGGATCGTAACAAGACGTTGGAGTATTTGTTTGACAGTATCTTAAAATCTATGATTTGTTTGAAGATACGAAACAATCTGAAGACAAAACGAATCCTGAGGAACTGCAAACCGCATGAATGCATGATTCATATTTCTGATTAATCAGTCATGCAATTTAGAATGAATCGAAAACAAAACATATCAAGCAGGTCAATTTTTTTTCCTGAATTAATGATGATGCAACAACAACAGCTTAACTTTGTAAAAGATCGGAGAAAAAAATGATTTAAGTCTGGAAATTAAATTTAATTAAGGAGGATAGTTTCAGTATTTTAATTTCCTGATATGTCTTTCTAAATCTTAGACATTTTGTGTTTAATTTGACCTTGCCTAAAATGCAGAATTTGTTGTTTTTTTGCTTCGTACTTCTGCTTTAATTTGATCACGCAAACCTGAGCCCGAACAGGTTTTAAGTTCCCCAAGCGTAGATCATAGCACTTTGAAATTGATTTGAATACTTACAGATTTATTTTGTGCTATGTTTGTGATCCCAATTGTTTGAAGCTGTGCGCCGTAAAATTGGCTTGTGTTAGCCGCCGTCGGTGCAATATCAGTTAACATATTAATATTCACAGATATTTTTTTTATCGTTCGCTTTTCAATGATTTTTAATGACAAAACCAAAGGTCAAACATTACAATCACCAAAATTATCAAGAAGAAACTTTTATAATATCTTTTCTAAAATCTTTTCTCAAACTTTCTTACTTTGTGTAATTAATCACTTTCTTTAAAAAATTGTACAAACAATGGATAATCCTTAAAATATGCTTGTTTTAAATTCATTAATCTTAAATGTTCTCTTCTAAAATTTTTGAGTCATGTGTTTTCGATTCTTTTACGGCTTTGTTTCTTGTCTAAATCAACACTTTTTAACACAAAAAACAAAAAAGAATTCTACAAAAGTTATCGCGTCTCACTCAATGAAACTTTTTTAACTGAGCCGCATTATATTTTTTTCATTTTCTCTACATGTCGGAAAAGGATTTATGTTTGTGTTGATGTCATGTTGAACAGAAAATATGTATGCTGATGGAATGGTATGAGTGGATCACTGACACATCAACTGTATAGAACTAGTTGTTCAACAACCTACACATTACAAAGTTTTCAAGGTAAAATATATCAAATGTAACCAACCAATCAAAAATTAGATGTTGTACACGCCCTGGAGCGAGAAAAAAATTGATACAATGTGTTGTGATGTTAACACACACTTTTGAGCTCTCTTTTTGCTTTTTATGTTGCAAATATGTAGCTTATGAACAACTGTACACCAACAGAACATTGATGCCGCTCGTAGCCACAGATTAAACTCGTTGAGATAAAAGGTTAACTTTTCTTTTTCTTGCAAAACCGGATTTATGTTTCACTTTTTGGCATGCGCAAATGCTTTCCTTTATAATTCATTGAATATATGTGTATTAAGAAAAGATGGTTAAACATGATGGTTAAATAAATTAAATAGAATTAAATTCTGTACATTTTTAGAATAAGTTTAGCGGTTTAGCTACTTTGTTGAAAGACTGATATGTTGTTAATGACTTTGAAGACATCAGCAAGCACAATGCATTCAAGATGCTGTAACTTTTGTCATGATTGGTGTGTAAATAATTTTGTGTTTCAACATGATTACAACTTTAAAGAAGATTCATTTGAGATATTTTAAATTCAATCATATGAATGATGTTAAGACATGAATTAATTATTAAATAATAAAATATTATGAGCCGTCTTCTTTTGTAAATCTTTCCAAATGAATTCTCATCATTTTTAAAAACAAAACGTAAAATAAGAGAAAGAAGCAGAAGGATAATTTTTAAGAAAATAAAATGAAATTATGATTCTTGTCTGATTTCATATCTCAATATTTAGTATCCCAAACTCAACAGAAATTGTCCATAACAAAGCAGGGATATATGATTTTCATTTGAAAGTTTAGAAGCAATACAATTAATTATCAAAAAAGAAGTGTGGAAAAATGAAAGGGCTGGAAAAGAGTTTGGATAAGACATTTAACTTAAAATCCACGATTACGGTTTGATGTTTTATTTTTTTTCGGTTTTGGCAGTTTCTCAGTTTTTGCTGCTTATTAATAAAATCTTTTATGTTTTTTGATATATTTATGTTGCGTTCGTCGTTTTCAATTTTTCTCTTATGGTTCACTTCGCTTGAATTTACTTTTTCGGGATTTTGGCGTCAATATACCGTGAGAAATGTTAATGTTAGATTTTGAAAAGCCAAGTTTTGAGCGAATATCTTAGACGAAAAATCTGATTAAGAAAAATGAAAAGAAAACCTGATATAAGAATTGCAAGCAAGACAAGCAAGAGTCTGTAATTAAATTGCAGAGAAACCCAAAACCCATTAAAGGCCCATAAAATCTGCGTTGCATTTTTTTTCCTCATTTTTTTAAGCATTTCAGTTCGAGTTGGAAAGAAAAAATTAAATTGAAACAGAATTTGATTAAATATGTGTAATTAAAAGAGATATTCTTGATTTTCCATCAAGATATTGGAAAAGCCGTGGAGAAAGCAAATACGGATTTTAATTGGCAAAATCTATTTAATTTTCCTTTTCTCTGCGATTTAAACTTTTCGATAATCTTCATGTCAATGACAGTTCAAATCAAGGGAGGTCAATTTTCACAGCTGATATCTCAAAATGATTCAGAATAATTTTCTTTCCTGTCTTATCATTCAATGAACATTACAGGATGCTTTATAAAATTAAATATCAAATCATTATTTCTATGCAATGAATGAAGAAACGGAACTGGGTGTGAGCGTTTATTGAAAATTTTTAAACCAGTATTACCTTTCAAAGCAGATTGTTCATTCAACTAAACTGAATGATGAATATTTGCAGGATCAATGTAGGTTTATGACAAAAATAACTCAAATCATTTCTTTCCTTGCACCTTTTAAATTTTGAAACATTCGCTCATATAAAGTTTCAATTTTTAGGAAGCAAAATATTAATTTCTATGATTGTGATATTTGAATGTAGAAATGAAATGCAATGGGAAGTATTATTAAACGTGAGCAAATGTCATATTAATGTTTAAACAAATTTACAGCTTTTTATACTTAAAAATGTCACATTTTTCTAAGAATTATTCAAATTTAAATTGTCGTAGTGGATTTTCAGCTATGTGCATGTTGACATTTGCTTTAATTGCTATTAAAGACAAGCCTATCCCGACTTCTCTTTTATATGTTGAAATTTTAAATAGCATAATTCAAAAATGTAGTTTTTGATTTTTATTAATCATAGAATGAGTCTGAATTATAACTTCATGGAAATTTTGTAAAAAATTGTATTCAAATAACAAACATTGGAAGCATTAATAAGCAGACACTCATTGTAGTGTATAACTCAGCGAACATCAAAAACAGTTTTTATACCTAATGAAACTTGAAGCATTGACACATGTCCTTGATGGTCCTTAATTGATTGTCCTTGAAGAATCGTTAATTCCTACACAGCAGCTCTATAAAACTGACACTTGTTAGGCACAACTTCAAATATTTAAATGAAATCATTCATAAGTTTTTGTTTCGTAACGATCTTTTGATTAACCAGTCTTGATGAAGAAAAAGTTATTCATTAAGAAATTAAATCTTTTTAACACATGTAAGGTTTAACAGTTCAGAAGTGCTGTATTTAAAAATTTTCTCAATAATAAGATAAAAGTTTACGAATTGTCAGTGTGAACCTTAAGAAAAACAAAAATTAGTTTTCAGGAATATCTTAGTTTGGAAAGAATCATTGAATGAACAAAACAAAATGAAAAGAGTATAATTTTCTTACTTTTATTTTGCGGTTCCAGAAACTTCAGCAAATTATTTATTACAGTTTGAATTTGTATATTATCTTTTTTTGAGTTAATTACAGGTTATAAAAATAACAATTTTATTCTTCAATCCAGAACTGAATGAAAATGAAAAGAATCAAAGCCTTTAGAACTTGTTCGAGAAGACATTCGATTTTTCTTTTAATTTTGTGCAAAAAGAAACATGAATTAAAGGATTTTAAGCCCTTTTGTTTTTTATGTTTATATTTGAACATTTGAAAACAAGATCGAGCATTTGCTAAAATTTTTTTATAAAAATGATCAGATCCATTTATTGGTGAATAAAATTTAACGAACACAAGATGACTCGTTAAGCTTTCTAAGAATTTTTTTGGGTAAATGGTGTAAATTTTATTCGAAAGGGAATATTTGTACGTACATAATTTTTTTTTGTTGTGAACCATAAAGAGATCGATGGTCCTTTAATCTTAAAGCTTTAAACATCGCATTGTTATATGATTAAGTCGAGTTAAACATTAAGCAATTTATTTATCTCAGATGTAAGTTATCAAATCGGATATCCAAATATGATCGTAAAAGATTCAATAGGAGAATATCTTGAGTCATATATTATTCTCATAACATAAACAAGGCGTGACAAACAGCCTACCTGAACAGTATAATAAAGGCAAAAAAACTTGAAAATAAATAATATTCAATCTATAATGCGTAAAAGCTACGTATATGTAGCGTTAATAGATAATAATTGATAACTGTCACAAAGAAAAGCTTTTTATTGATTTTTAAGAGACTTTTCAATTAATTTGAATTAAATGCAGCATTTGCAGACAAGTTTCAAAGAACATTGAAAAAATGTTTTCATTCTTTTTATGTTCAAATTCATGGTCTTTGTTTTTAAAATGCAGTTACTAAGGTAGATATCTAGTTATGCTCTTAAACTGGCAGAAGTATAAAAAACGATAATTATTTGAAAATAAGAGAAACGAGTTCTAATGATAATATAATGATGATTAATAATCGTTTCGCTAGGCGTAAACTCTTGAAGCATTTTTACAGAGACAGAATATTTCATTAATGGCTTTTATTACACTATAAAATTGCCTAACCTTGAGTTAGGTCTTTTGATAATGAAAAGTGGTCAAAATTGTTATAAAAAAAATTTCTCTTCAAATTTTTGGAATGTAGTTCCATCTTATACCTACCAAAAATAATTTAGAAACAAAAATCATTCGTTTAAATTAGTTAGAGTGAATACACTAAAAAAGGAGACGAACAAAAAATGGAATCATTACTTAGGAAGTGAAGCATGTAAAATACCCTGCGACTTAATAATAAGGTTGTCAATGTCATTTTTAGAGTTATTAATGGAGTTTTGTTATTATTTAGAAAGTAATTTGTTGTTAAGCTCTTTATAACTTTTTTTTGTGAATGCTTCGAAATAGGAACTAAATAAATGGCAATTTATTAACCTCCTTAATAAAAATCTATTATCTTCCTATCTCTCTCTCTCTCTCTCTGTTCTTCATTTTCACTGAACTTTAGTTTTCATTTCTAAGTCTTTTAAATAACCAATGACTTTATGCAATAATTTCTCACTTGAAAAGTTTTGATAAACGTTCGGCTTACTGACAAAACAACTACTATACATTACACTTTACAATCTTATAATACAATATTTCAATGAAGTAGGTAGTTAAAGTAAAAACAATACTCTGCTCTTTGAACTATTTGACCGGCGAGACGAGATCATTGCATGCATCACGTTGTATACCAATGAAAATAAATTCAATACACCTTGAAACACAGCAGTACATTACAATCTTTTAATGACTATCAGTAGAAGTAAGCTTGTTGATAATTTCGTAGAATTTAAGAGATTTAATTATCTACTTGAAAATGAAGTAATCTAAGAAAGTCTATTTTTAAGTGATTGGCATGAGACGAAGGAATACGCTTATCATTTATTAAATCTCAATTCACAATTTCCTTTGTTTTTGTTTTAACGCAGTTAAACTTTATAACATTTTTAAAACACAAGACCGCAGCTAATCAATTTCGTAGCAGAAAATTTAGAAGAAAAATTATGTAAACAGATTGCTTTTTCATAAATACCAACTGACACGACTATGATATCCCTTAACAGGAAATCTTATTTAAGTTGAAGTTAAATTAGCGCCCATAATTTTTCTAACAGATGCAAATGCTTTCATATCATTATGAACGCCACAAAAATATTGATACGGTTCAAGTTTTCTCAATTTCCGTTAGGTAAGAAGTATGGCTGTCATTCATTCATCGCTTCCGTACATCTTTTGAAATGGTATCCAAATAAATCAAATATTCGCGTTCAGACATTCTTTCTTTCAATCTTTCTGCTTCTGTTTCGTTATTAAATGACAAATGTTTTGCCCATTTATATAGTTTCCCCGATAGCATAACGAAATCATGTTGATCTATTCCATAGAACACACAAAAAAGAAAAAAAGAAAAAAATTGGTTAAATTCTCTTCATTTCGACCATTAAATGCAAGACCAAAGTAGATCGAAAGAAATATAAATAAAATTCAAAACAAAACGCCCACGATTTGAGATTTATAGCAGTCACTCCACTTCATCTTTTTCTTCATCATCATTTGTGTTTTCTCCCATTCTAGTTTCAATTTGTATTTATTTATCAAGGATTTTCCTTTTGTAGAGGGAAGCAAATTTTCCCCCTAGAAAATATTTTACGATCGTGATGTAAGCAATACTTACTGGATAAGTTTATTGAAGAAGAAAGCAATATTTTGATACAATGTGGAGATTGGCTCTTTGAAGAAGGGTGCAAGTTGAATTCATGCCACCTTACGTTGTGAGTGGTGCTATGATATCATTGAGATTAACCTTTAACAGATAAGCATCAATAGAAATTATACTTTCTCACCCACATGAATATAAAAGAAAATGTTTTGAAATGAATCTCAAGTAGCTACTCGTATTTTTATCGATAAATCTTCCAATAACAATGAAGAAGATTTCAAAATTAAATTTGAATTTCAATCAATTATTTCACAAAAAAGATGTTTAGACGCTTTAACATAAAACAATAAATCAAAATGTTAATCACACTTCATTTTTATAATTAAGATACTTTTCATGGAATGAATTACAAAAAAAATCTTTAAATAAGCATTGAAGTCAGGAGGGTGGAAAATGTGTTGAGCATTCATTACTCTCAAAAAAGTGTTAACGCATGACCCTTGAATGATTATCAACGAGTCATTGATTTAAAAATTTGTCAGCAGGAAATCTGAGCGGAAGGAATTAACTTACAGCACGCACTCATAATCATTTATGTTACGTAAAATGGCAGGAAAATGAATTCTCGTAGGTTGTCTCTCTAAACTGCGACTTTATTTATATTAAATAAATTCTAAAATAATTTCTTCAATACATATGAGATAATTGTTTTTCCTTGAAAACATTTTCATTTAATTATCTGCGAAAATTTAAATTCAGGGGTTGATCTCAAATACATATTTGAATGTCAAAGCAATAGACTTGTGCTGACAAAAACGAATCTAAAATCAAAGAAATGTTTTGAATAGAATACAAGATCAACAATTTGAACAGTTCCAACATCAGTTTACTGTCGTTTTATTAAGAATTTAAAAGTAAATATTTAATATGTACCCAAGAATCGAGGGGAGATTAACGATTTTCTCACCGTTGTTTTTATTTGTCTGTAAAAATCAATTTCTTCCATGGAAAGCTCGAATTTAATCTATTCGTAACATATTTCCAGCAGGTTTTTTCATTCATTATAACTCTTATCAAATCATAAAATTATCAAAAATCGTTTTCGACACAACATAAGTATCGTTGTAATTTAAACGTTTTCAAAGGAATTTGGGGTGAGAAATCGAAAAGTAATTTCCAAAAAATATTTTTACTTTCATGTTTTTATGAAGTCTACAATACATTAAATTGAGAGCTGGAAAATTATGATAAATTACGAATAATTTCAAAAATATCAGGAAGAATTAAGAAAAGACTTGAACTGAATAATGACTTTCGTTCGCCGTTTTCCATTCATCAGGATGGGTTTGCTTTATGATGGATAGCACAAGCTTCAGGCGCCACTATTCCAATAAAGAAACACTATAATGTTGATGAGAGAAGATCGTTCGGTCGGGTTCTAAGTAATTAATCTTTCGAGTTGGGAAAAAAAATATCTGACTAAAGCAAAACAAAAAAAAAAATAAAAACAATTGACTAAGTTTTATTTCATCTTCTGTTTTTAAATAAATTGAAGAAATTAAAACCGGATACAAAGATTTTATCGTAGATCTGATTAAATTAATTTTATTGCATAAATTATTCATATTTTACGCATAAATATTGTATCAGCTGAATGAGAGTAAAATTTTTTATGGATAATAAAAAAAGAATTTTGCTGTCTACTCAGGTAGTTTTGTTTGCCTTTTCTTGGATACAAATCGAGTTCGGTCATCTTCTAAAAGAAACATCAATTCATTCACTTGTTTGACACAATGATCTTCTAAACCAGCATTGCAAATATATCCACAGACTTTCCGACACACAAAAGAACAAACGAATACACATAGACACTTTTTACAGAATTAAAATGATGATTTGTTCCCTTGTGCATCAAATATTGAAGTTTTCTTGACATTCTTAATCACAGGTAATTACGGTATGAAATAAAGAGACGCGCGGGTATCTAACATGATTTGTTCTTATTTTTCAATAACTCTAGAAAGATTGACTGCTATTGTATTTCTGTTCTTTCAAAACGTTTCGAAACAAAAAGAACGAATCTTTACTGCTTTTTAACTAATACGAGTATCCGTGACGGAAGAATCTCACATAGTCGCATGCAATAATGCTGATGCCTCATTTTTAAAAGAATAATAAGTTTATACATAAAAATATATTACCAGTAAAATTTACTGATAGATCGTTCATTTAAAAGCTTGATATTATGATTTCATCACTCACTCCCACGCAAACTTCAGAAATCTTCCTAATTTTAGGACAAAATGTAACTTAATGTATCGGATAGACAGACGGTTGAAATAAACTCAACTCAAATTTTCCTTTGTCACTTCACCAAGCCTTAGACACATAACGCTACTCGCTGTAAATCCTCAGAGAAGAAAATGAAACGAAATAAAATTGACGAGGGAACAATGGACCAAAAGGAATCGTTTAATCTGCACCGCAAGACTTAGCAAAAGAAATGAATTGTTGATGAGGGACGAACAAAAATAAAATGTATCACCATTATACACACTTAAATGATGAAGAATTTCGAGACTTGGCGCCTCGGCTCTATCGGCCTGAGAATAAAAGCGGAACATTAATTAAAAATGCGTCAAAAGTTGAAGCAAAAGCAAAAGCACTTATATGCAATATTATTGTGTTTTGCGGCTTTCATGGTTTTCTTTAACTTCATTTTTAATTTCAAGTGAAAATATAAATTTTTATGAAAGTATTAACAGATTAAAGGACTTACCACTTGAAAGCCTCACAACATCACACTTACATACTTTGCCAATAGGTAAATATTTATCATCAATTTGTTCATCAACACAATCACATACATTTTGTTGATCGTAATTTTCAATATTTTAAATTACGACATTTCAATAAAAACGAAACATGTTCTAGACAGTGACGAAAGAAAAGGCAGCAGTGAGTCTATCTTTTGCCACTCATTAAGTGTTGAATACAAGCGGTATAGAGATTCATCGTTTGATTGATTCAAATATTCCGACATTTAATTGGGTTCAATGAATGATGAAAAAAAAAAGTTAGTATGAATTTATCAAACTTCTTCTGCATCTCTTTCGGTTCGTAAATTAAAAATTAGAAGCACCGCTTTTACAAATACTTAAGAAAATCTGATCGAATGTTGAGAGACGGATAGAAAAAGTGATTATATATCTTTTTACATTTTTTATGCAAATCATCATTGAAACTTAGGTTGAAGCATCATTCATTGGCGATGAGCGAAGTATCGGAGCAATTAACCTTTTTTCTATAAGATTGTCTGAAATGAACTCTTAGATCTAAAACAGGAAAATTCATAGTTTAAATTGGATAGATCGATAGAAAAGAAGAAATAACTGCTTCACTCTGCCCTGCCGTATATTTACGATAAGGGTAAAAGCAAAGCAAAGAGAGAAGCACGTTTAATGACTGGCAGCTTTTTTTCAGAAGTACGTGTCGGGTTGATGTCAAAGCTTTAAATCTTACTTACAATAAGTATTAATAATAACAATAATAGGAAAATGGAATCTATCTACCTACATAAGTATGGAATAAATGATTTCAATAATGCTACTATGGGCATGCTTTTAAAATTTCTTTTAACTTCAGTTAGCAGTCTGTTTCTGATAATGAAAATAATTAAACAAACACGACTGCGAACTGACTTCAACATTATTATGTTGAATAATGTGATGTTGATCAGAGATGGGAATCTTTGTTTGAGTTCGCAAAAATAAACTTCAATTTAATTGTACAATAGTCATTTCTTTTAATTGTTCATTATAAATTACTTAAAAATGATTTCAATCCCTGATACAGATAAAATCTTTCAACTCGACTCAAATGAAATGTTTCTGAGTTACGTTTGCTTTATTCTTCTCTCATCAAACATGTAAAGTAATAAAGACAAGTCGAAAGTTATATTATTTGTTGATTGATAGCCATTACTAAATAATACGTCAGCTTTTATGCTTCTATTCCGATATTGTTTTGAAAATCAACAAAGATAAATCAGACATAAAGTGAAGACATTTTGTGATAACTTTTCTTTCTTTTCAAACAATGAACTATTAGATAAATATTAGATTTAATGCAAATGAAAGTTCAATCCAGCGTTTATAAAGTTCTATGGAGAAATTCGACATGCTAGAATTAAGAAATTAATACAAACTCATGCTTAAAACTTCTTTAATCTCGCTTCATTTTCAGTAGCATTGAAAAATTTGAACAGCTTAAATATATGTAAGTGTTTTATAATGATTGCGTGAAATGTTTCATTTAAAGACGATTTGAACAACAATTCATCATTGAGCGTTCATCAGTTTAACCTTGGAGCTCAAACTAATATAATTCTTTTTTATATCCATTTCTACTGTACAATTATCGGATTTTTGGATGGCTTCATGTAAGTAGAATGTGCAAAAAGGCTAAGTCGATAATAAGAAGATGATAACTGCTGAGAAAATGTGATTTTAAATTTAATTCAATGTGAATCATTTAATCTAACATCATAAAAAATAAATCTTTGTGAAAATGCTGCCATAGATGACAAGGACTTCCTTCCTTTTCCTTTTGAAAATAAAAGAACTCTTTGTATATACATTTGCCATAAAAATACTATCTGCCTGCAGAATAATGTACAGAAAAACATTTCCGAGAACGGCGAAAAACATTTTTTTTATTGTGGATTTGAATAAAAAACATATAAAAAGGAAGAAGGACCTTCTGAATGTTGAACATTCAAGGAGAATAACATAACAATCGAATGAATAAATCTGGATTGTGCTAAACAACCCTACATATTGTATGTAACTTCATTCGATATTTAAGCAGTAAATAGATATAAAGAAGAGAAATTTATATGAAATGATAAATAATGACGTACATATTTTATCAATTGATTTCCTTATTTATGTTGAAAAATATATTTGCAAGTCCTGGTTATTGTCTGGTTTGGTTTTTATAGTTTGTTTCAGATGGTTCAACTCAAAATTTCAAACAATTGAAATGTTGTAAAGAATCTTCATGCTTTTAATGATACAACATTTGTTGGAATTTTAAGGCGCTCCCTCAATGGTTTAACACATAGCAACCACAATGTGTTTGTATTTCTAATGCAACATTTGTCTGTTTTTAATGTTCCATCGTCTCATGATGAAAGTTTTTCTTTTCTTTTTCGTTCTAATTTTTCGACAGTCTTAAATAAAAGCTATTAAACATATTTTACGGTTTGTTGACGGCAAAAAATTTTCAACACACAGCATTTAGTTAAAATTTATTTTTTCATTCAACGAGACTTTTATTTTTCTTTAAGAGAAACAATAAAAAAGACAAAATATGAAATTAAAGATAATTTTTGTTATGTTCGCATGTAAATTTTTCTTTTGTGGTTTTATTTTATTAACGACATCAGCCCGTCATCATTTGATGAAGCGGTAAAAGCATCAACTCGTAACATTGCATGCTAATGGAGCGAACGACTTAATTTAGTGAAAAAAGTAAATATTTATCAGATATTAAATAAACCATCCAAAGAAAAATTTCCAGTTATTACTCATGTAGACAAGCGAACAGATCTCAAAGTGTTTATAAAATTTAATTTTTCTTTTAAGCTACTTGCTTGATATTTCAGTCGTTACTTAATTTTATCATTTGAAAATTTGCAAGTCATGATTCAATTTTAGGTGAACATGTAAAAAAACATGACTTTCTTTTATTTACTCAATATGAAGCGAGAATTTTCATGTCAGTATCTCTGCTGTGGTTTGATATAAAAAAAAGCGAGCATTGAATTTCTATTTTAATTTTCTCGGTAATATTTTTTTCTGCACAATAAATAAACTTTTCATCTACTAACTCATAACATAACATGAAATTATAAATTGAAAAAACATGTAGACACTTTCAAATATCTACGTAAATATCAAACGATCTTCCTAAATATCATTGATTTGTTAGAAAAGTTTTATCTTGTTCAGTCACGTTTAATTTTCATAAACTTGTACAATTAGAGATGTGAAAAAGAGAAACAGTTTATCATCAAATGTAATATCTTCCTTTTTTGCTTTCTATCTATCATAAAAATCAAAGAACTAAAGATTCTCTCGATGAAAAGCACCGAAAACTATTTTATTTTGCGCTATAATTTACGGCTTTCGAATTTCGTGCGTCAACCTTCTATTGTTATGTTTGGTTCCGTGGCATTGTATTTAACTTAGATAAGTAGAGAAACTCTATTCAGCGTTAACAAATAATCCTCATATTTTTGTACATATTTTAAAAAATTCATTGACTCACCGCCAATAATAGCTCTTCGGTTAACATCAGCTTATTATCCTGACGATCCATGACTCGAAAAAAAATTATTTTGGCTTTGTTTGTATAAGATTATTCTTGCATGAGCTCTGCCAAACACCATATAGATATGATTAAAATCTATGATTTGTCGTTTTCTTTCTCTAACAAAAACTTTACTTGATTTCAAGGTGTTACCCTATGATTATGCAGGTAAACAATGGACTTGAAGTATACATAGGAAGCCGAAAGTACGCCCATGAAATGTCGCGCTTTTTTTCATAAAAAATTCTAATGATTTTCGATGAGAAAGTATTTTCTTATTTTCTTCCACAACATATAGCAACGTTTGATTTTTCCTTAATTGGATCAATTGATTGATAGTTCTGAAGAAACGTAGAATAAATCTGAATTCAAATAATTATTTACCAAATTAAATCACCCAATGCATTTTGAGCCATCACAATTGAATCAAATGAAAGATGCTTAGGCTTCCAATTAAAGTCTATGAAAGTACAAAAACATAATTTCTAATAAATATTTGTAGACTTCCTCACCAAGTCACCAGTAAAATTTTAACTCGATGTTTTCCGATAAACTACTAAAAATTCTTAATAAATCCGAACCAATATTCAGATAATTTATGTAGCAAAAACTTTTATGATGCATGACCCGTGAGAATAAAAAATGTCAAGCAAACATTTTTTTTGCTCTGCTAGAATGTTTCAATAATATTTTTTACACACACTTCCTTTTAAATCGTTTTTTATTATTTTGAAATGCAGCTCGCGAATAATCAATGATGAAGTTACATAGAGAGGTCGTAACTTTTTTTTTCAAACCTGAATGGTAATCATTGCTTTTATGTTATGTTTGCACTGCCTTTTATTATTCCTTTTGTGTTGCTGCAAATCAATTAATTTATTGACATTTATATATAAATATTTTTATGAATAAATGTTTAACACTTTTTTCCGAACTCACGATGAAAATATTCCGGACAGTACTAACGTGTTGGAAATTGCAACTCACAATGATTGAATAAAACTCTTTTATCATGGAAATGATCGTTGGAGTCGAGGCTTTTCCACTCTTACTTACTCTGCTTAAAATTACTGACTCAAATGGAAGAAAAAAAAAATTAGTGTGTTTGTTAGCTTATAATTTAAGTTCAACAACAAAAACATCAGCAACCGCAATTTGACGTCGAAGAAAATGTTTTTAAAAAAAAGGGTATGAGCTCTGAAAGTTGTAATAATACACTTTTATTTTCAGATCGAAATGAATCCAAATGCATGTGTGTACGCTGGAAGTCAGAGAATTCAAAGCATGTAATTACAGACAGTGGCAGTAGTTCTGGAATTTTGCACTGTTCCGTTGCTTGAAAGGCTCCAGAGGGCATATACATAACTTTCGAAGTGGATAAAACTCTATAAAGCTCTATATATTATGTAGGTGACTGGGAGCTTCGACATGAGAGCACTTGTGTAAACAATTTGTTGATACAGAGAACAACAACTTTGCTGATGACACCACTACTAGATGAAGGAGCTTTTTCAACGTACTTATGGCAGATTTACATGCATTGTAATGAAAATACTTCGCATGTAATTTGCAGCAAATGAATTAGTGAATTCCAGAATACGCACAAAAGCAAGAGAAAAATAAAAAGTATGTTTAACTCTACATAAATTTGAAAAATTCTGGTTTATTTCATTGCAACACAATTTTTTGTTTCATTTTTTAATTCATTCATTTTTTTAAAGAAGATAATTTAATAAATTAAGTTTTATCAAGAGCAACTGTGTGAATCTTTTAATGTTCTTTTTTATGTTAAGAAACGAGACTTTGCTAAATGAAGATGCATATTTTATACTCCCTCATGGGAATCAAACTTTGACCTCATAAAAATTTAATGGAAACTCTGTTGAAACCCTTAAAAGATTGATATTTATTCGCATCGAAGCATAACATTTATAAAGTTCATGATTTTTGCTGGTATAGTGAATTTCGAACATGACGAATATTTCATAATTATGAGAGAAAGAAAAGCGAATCAAAATAGCAACAAATTTTATTGCAATATTTTTATTTCTTGAGATCGCTTTGTACGATGTTTGAAATGTTAGAAAAGTCTCGCTGCTTCAATTACATAAAATATCTGGGAAAATCTTAAATAAATCTTTATATACAAATTCAAAGATTTTAATTTTCCAGGATATTTCTAAAACTAAAAAATATGGCAAATATGTTACATTCAAAATATTTTAAGGAAATTCATTTATAAACCCGCCAACATGATTCCAACTGTAGAAGCAACTCTTTGCATTTATATTTGAGTTGTGTGTCAAAACTGATTCCATTTATGATCGACATTACATAAAAGTGAACATTCACAGCTACAGGAAATTTTCGTAGGCAACAAAATTGATTATTTATATGATTTCCAATTTTTTCAACTTTATTTAAGTGTTCTTCAAGACTTTTTGCTTAATAATTTTAACATGTTGAGATAGTTTATACACAGAGAAAGAAACAAAATTATAGCAGCAATTAAATCCAGATCTAATAAAGTTTTTTTCCTATTCCTGATTTAAAAAAATATAATGGCGTGCAACAATTTTTTATTGTCACATTAAACATTTTAATGTTAATATAAATTTGAATATTACTGTGAAGAAAAAAAGTTATTATGTCCGGATTCATTGTTACTAATATTTTGTTTTCTGATCTCAGTGCAGGATCTGCAAATCTTTTTTTCATTCTGACTGAAAGATATTTGAACTGTAAAACAGCCTTCAACTGCACACAAAAAAGGATTCTCATCACCAAAATACTCAGCAGACTCTCATTGCAATATTTACAAATAAGGAAACTTCAATTGGAAATTGGCACTATTATTATGAAAAAATGGACAACAAGCATTTATACTAAGCAGATTTCAAAATATTAAGTCACATTCGAAAATGTTTATTTTATCATCGCTCCCTGAATATGTTTTTCGTAGTTTTGTTTCTTTTTTTCTCTTTTCATAACATAAGATCATTTTATGTACATATATAAATATATTAATAAGTATATATGTACATAAGCACATTTAAATAAAAATAAAAATCAGAAAATTCATCGCTGATTTAGTTAATATGTGAATGATGGAAGTTATTGCTGTTGGTATTGTTAATGTTATTATTGTTCGAAGTAGCTGTCGTATTGTTGATGTTAATCAACAAATTGGAGGTATTGATGTTGATCGTGTTATTGAAATTTAGAAGATAACTTTGGTCATTCGTTGTTGAACTGCTGGGAATCGCAAAGTTAGCTGGTTGCTGATAGAAACTATTCGCTTGATTTTGAGCAGTTGATTGAAGATTATCAATAGATTGCAGTGATCCAGAATGTTGACGTGGAACGGTTGGTGCTGATGGGAACACTCCACGATTCTGATCAACCATATGACCATAATAGTAATTCTTGTCTTGATACATCCTTGGGTTTTGATGGAAATAATTGGATGCATACATATTTGATTGATGATGTTGATAAGGATGATGATAGGACTGATAATATTCTTCAATTGGTGACTTATGTTGTATCGATTGAATGTCTTCACTAAAGCCTTGACTCAAACTGCTATTGCGCAGTTTTGGATCAGTGTGATTGGTACTAGGAGTTGGTATGTCAAGAGAAAACACCGGCGGTTTAACGTCATCATCATCTTTTTCTTGTTTAATGGCAGGCATGTTTGAAATAAAACTCTTCGTTTGTTTCTCGCTTTTGTCACCTTTTTTGGCGATCAACTTTTTAACTTTGTTCTCATGAGTCTTTGTGTGCTTTGCTAGATGATCCGAACGCATAAATTTCTTACTACATGTGACACATGTGAACCGTTTTTCACCAGTATGGGTGCGGAAATGACGTTGAAGCTCGTCAGATCTGGTAAATCTCTTACCACAGAATAACCACTTACATAAAAATGGACGTTCGCCTGTATGCCAACGAAGATGAGCTTTCAAATGACTCGTTTTTCCGTAAACTTTCTCGCAACCAGGAATGTGGCATAAGTGCTGTCGTTTGCCTTTCTCGTCGGGCCCTACAACGGGTGGTAATCCAGACAGTTCATTTATGCAATTTGGGCACGTACAACGCGCACACCGTCGTTGAGCTTGTGTTTGAGTATATTCTTCAAGTTTAAAGGCGTAAGCATCGTTCAAGGGGGGCCAAGTTTGTGAATGGTAAAGTGGCGGGTTAGCACCCGTGGTGGTAGGTGACGCTGGATCTTGAAACCATGAATTCGAGTAAAAGTTATTGGCTGGATGATATTGATGATGATATGATGTATAAGCATGCGACATTGATGATGGTCTAGATAAAAACAAAAATTGAAAGAAGTGATAGGATAATTGCTTCATCAAATTTTAAGGATAAGCAAAAATATACCTTGAAGCAATATCCAGGTGATGATGCTGATGGAAACTATAATTATTGCTATTAGTTCCAGTTGATGGTGCGTTATTGCTGCAGTTATTTATCGGTAAATGTGATGTAGCAGACGCTTCAGGTGTGAAAATCACATCGGGACTTGAAGAAGATATGTTTGATTGACTTGACGTGCTAGATATTGATTGCGTTGGTGAAAGACCAGCGCTTCCTATTGTCGAATGGCCTAGGGATCCTACAGATGGTACTTTTGGATACTGATAAGGCAAAATATTTAGTGGTGTCAACTGAAAACCAATTAAGGAAAATTTAATTTTTTATTTTCTTCAATTAATTTTTAATTTCAAAAGCAGATGTAAAATTTGACTAAAGTGAAGAAAAAACACTTAAAAAGCAATTGCCAACGGATAAATTCTAGAAATGATCGAATGAGACTTTCTCAGCTGTGGATGTTTGATTAAACTTTGTCTTTTCTACGATACGGAAAAATAGATTTTATATAAAATTCTGTTGACGTTTAAATGTGCATTGCAAAAATTTAGTATTCAACTATTCAGAATATCAAGTCAAAAGAGACTCGCATTGTTATTCGAGGCGGATCATTGAACAAGAATTTAAATTTTCCACTTAATTAACTTGAATGACAGAAATATCTGGAAGCAAACGTGCGTAAAAATTTTCCACGTGATCAGGAATATTTCAGATTGTTATTGCAGAATAAGATTTTATGAAATAAAATAATAATAAAATGCTAAATAATAATGAAAGTTTTTTACCTGGGTCGTTGAATTATTCCAATGATTGTACTGTGAGACGAAATTTGTTGATGCCATTACTTGATAATCAATCAGAAGTTTATATTCTTCTTACTGTATTATCTTTCAGAATAGTTCTTTCTTTTTTTTATTTTATTTAATTTCCTTTTATTATTTAACGTCAGTAATTCATTTTAAATAACCACTTATAGTCTATAATTTTCACTTCATCCAAACTGAATTAATCATGGAAAAATTTTCACATCACAGAAAAAAAATGAACTTTTACTTTGAATAATTAATCTTAGATAATTGGAGCACACACGAAAAGGTGATTTTTATTTTTAAATATTTTTTGCTTTAATCCTTCAGCGTCATCCTCCGATAGTATGAGACAAAAAATGACGTAATTTAGCACAAACGAATTCGATGACTTTCACACACGAAATCCATCGGGTGTAATTGAAAATAATTATAATAATCAGGCGAGTGCCGTGTAATCGATTTCCTATTCAATCGGGAGACAAATTACAAATAAACGTTTTCGAAAGTAAAAAAATCTTTAGCGAAGAGATTTGAGCCTCCGAAAAGTACATTAGTGTTGAAAAAGAAAAGTTTGAAAGTGTTGGTGAGGATTTTTCTTTAGGAGTTTTATCTTGTTCGGATATTTCATTCTGGTTTTTTGAGGCGAGAAAAAAAAAGTTGAAGGTAATACACGAATGCACTAGCAATAGATTTGTTGGTAGATGTGCTGGTTCTTTTTTCTATACTTATACCAAATCTTATACAACTAAATTATAGGGACTAAAGTTTTAAAAACTCTCTCGTCTCGTCATACGAACGAAGAAACATCTACATCATGAAACATCTCTGACGGGTTTTTTTAACGAGAATGAGAGAGTTGAGCGTGATCTTGCACGTGCTGTTATTTCGGAAATCTCCTCTAAAATCCAACCATGAAATTCCATTTTGTTCTTAAAGTTACCAATTCAGATGAAAAGCACCTTTAATTAAACTAAAACTTGTACTACTCTTCATGTTATCGCCAATTTTCGCATGGCCCCAAAGTCTCAAGAAAACACTCGCGAGGGAAGCGTGCGCACACAGACTCAACAAATATCAAATCCAATCAAAATAATAACTATTTTTAAACGGGCGTGGTTAAAGGAGGGAAATTTCGCTTTTTTTCTTCTTTTTTTGGGTTACGGTTCGGAAAATTTTCGTCGCATATTTTATGAATTTCCTAATAAAATTTTGAGCACAATGACTTGAAAGTAATGTCAACTGATGTGATTTTTTTTCTCGTTTATATTTTCAACTTTAACCTACATAAACTTACATACGTATTTTTAATAGCTTGTAAAATTATTAATATTTGGTACAAAATAACAGCGAAATTTTCCAGGAATTTATATTTTCATGAACGATTAAATGGATGACTTTCTTGCATGCCAAAAATTTGCCCGATTAATGTATGTAATTTAATATTAGTGATTGTCCTAAAAAATATTATGAAAGTGTGAAATTTTAGGGGAATAACAAAGCTTTTAATACCGTTGTGTATGATGTAATATGTTTTACTTCATAAAGCCATTTAATAAAAGAAGAAATTTACAGAAATTTGATAAATTTGTTTGTAATGGAATACATAGAAACTTTTTACAGTAACATATTTATGCTTCTGTTTATTATTTAACGGTTGAATGGCTAAATTAGTATATTTTAGATAGATCATAAAAATACATCATGTTATTACTTGTTTTAAGTAAAGATAGTCATAACAAGCAGGTAATGAGAAATAAAGTTCAAATAAGGTGACAATATTAAATTTTACTAACTTTTTCATGTACCTGAGTAAAAAAACGCTATTTTTAGCAACTATTAGATGTGTAAAGGAAAAAATTAATAAAGCTCCAACAACTGAAAAATACGTTACCAAAATTATGGAAAAGGTTTTCTTAATAATTTCGTAGAATTATATTTCAATTACGAGTACCAAAGTACCTGATAATATCCAAGATATTCATTTCTTTCACATTCAGTATCAGACATCTTATTAAGGTGTCTGACGTTATTATCGAACACTTCACTACATGCATGTATGAGATGTTAAAAACATTTTTACTCGTATATTGTCCTTTACCTATGGTTTCGAGACATCTGAGATATTAAACATGAGCTGTCTATTTAAAATTTAATATATTCAATATGATCTATCTACATGTTTATTTTAAATATTTGAACTTAGTTCAACTTTCATTTCTAACCAATTCATGTTGCAATCTAAATTTCATCTCGTCATTTACATACTTTACATGTGATTTGATTGAATGGAAATTTCATTAAAGAACACCATCGAAATTCAATGGAATTGAAAAAAGGTTGAACTTATCTTTATACTGTTTTGACTTCGGAGACGCGAAACAAGTATAAATAAGCAGATAGATATATAAATATGTAGGGGTTTCTTTTGTAAGAAATATACATATTTTGATGTGTACAAGTTTCAATATTTGAATTGTATTAAGAAAACATTCTCTAAGTAACACTTTCGTAAAACACACATTCTTAAAACAGAATCGATGATTAATTAAACGGCTTGTCAAAAGGCCCATAAGAAATAAAGTTTCAACATCAAGATATGTACTCAGGAATAAGAAAATATCGCCACCATTGTAACTAAAACTTCACTTAGTGAAAAGAAAGATTTTAAATGGTTCGGAAATTATTGCCTCTTTTAATATTTATTAACAAACGAAAGTTGAAGTTTTGTCTTCAAATTTATGATTTTTAATCCCAAAACCTTTCTGTTCTGAATCGAAAAGAATCATTCGAATGATCGTTATGCTCGCCGTGTAACCATTTCAAAGGTCACGAAGTTTTGAATTGCTTTGCGGGCTGTTTGTTTGTTGTGCGTATTCATGATTATAATTTTTTTGAATAGTAAGAAAAGATCAGAGTAATAAAAATAATTTCAAGGTGTTTTGAGGAAGAAAATTTCTCAACTTCATAAATCATCCAGAATAAGATACGAGAAAGAACAAAAAGAAACCGAAGAGAGCAAAACCATCCCTGCTGTGACATTAAAAGAACCAATTTTTATTTAATTTACAATTTTTCTACACCACTCCTTGCGTAGACCAGACCATAGACAATGATGGGGCAAGTCTTTGTGGTGGCTTACTATAATATTCTTTTTCTCCTTTTTTTGGCAAACATCATTTCCTTTATGTTTAACAGGCTGGAAAGAAGAAACATGATAATGTTACAGACGCGATCATTTCGTTACATGCTACCAAAGTTTGGCAAAAGCCTCTGTTAATGATGCTTGAAAATCATGCTCGATTGGTGATAAATTGACTTTTGTTATTTGATATTTGGCTTGTCTTTTGAACTTCAAAGGGCTCCTTTAAATATTGATCGTTATTTGGAACAAGTTGTTTTCCTATGGCCTTTTTGCGTACGTATCGTAATAAGAGATTGGGGTAAAAATGTTTTTTCTTAAAAAATGTGTCAATTTATCCTTCCTTACAAGTTTCCACGATAATGATCACAGGACAGTACGAAACAAAAACATCCTGCAGCGCTCAAAGAATTAGCTGAGGTTTCTTCACTGTTGGAGTTTTTTTTTATTTTGTTACAATCTACAGATTTTGCTTCAGTTGAACTAAATAAATTCTGTTTTTACTTTCTTCATGTTTATTGCAATTGTAAATTTACGGACATGCATAAGATTTAATTTTACTACAGATTTGATTATAATCGATGGTCTTTTTATTCCTTCCTTATGAAGGTGAAGAAAAAATTGTGTAATTTGAATACTTATGCAACTAATTTTATTGGTATCGTAACAATAAAGTTTTTGAGATTTTATAATACTGATAAGTAAATTATGAAAGATAAAAAAGATTAATGACATTTACATTATGGAAAGAGAAGATGTCAGATACATATTTTAAAATTGTATTTTTATTTTTAGAGTGAGTGTATACAATTCAATGTTTGATACTCTTGTTACTACGGGATGTCTGTGAATTTCTTTTATGGCGAAAGAAGAAAACTTGCTTTATCCATCTTTTTCATTTGATATCCTTAAAAGTACCTGACGAGTGACAACAATGTTAAGAGAGACAGGTTGTGGGAAAATTAGCGAAATTGGATATTTTATGGATTTGTATCTGCATTGATTTAGGGATACTAAACGTGAAGAAAAAGTCTCGTATTATGCTTATTAATCAAGTCTTTAAGGTGCTATGAAATCTAATACCTTGAATGAATAAATGAAAATAAATCTTTTGTTACGAAAAGAATTTATTTTTGATCAAATGTCTAAATGATTGTACAATAAGGAATCAGCTGTCAAAGATTTCAGGAAGTCTAAAGGATTTTGTGTTGATAGTGATATCAAGATAATACTCATAGAAGAATTTTCGGCATTATAAAAGAAATAAGCTTTAGGACATCGTAGGTAAAGACAACGGAAGGTTTGATATTATTATATTATCTGAGTTAAAGCTATTAAAAAGATTATTTTATAGTTAAAAGGTGCTATTAAGACAAAATTGAGCGCAACGAATCTAATTATCATCAGCTTGTGCAATTATAGTTAGAATTAGATATCCCGAAGCGAAAAAATATTTTTCCCAATTTGCAACGGTTTAATTTGAATAAAATTCCATGCGAAACCGCATGGAAAAAGCTTTTCTTAAAGCGCTTTTCATAGAAATTCAGGCATTCCGTCAAAAAAAAATTCACTCAGAGTGTGTTGTAAAATCATGTTCATTTATGGTCTGGCTTTCGAGTTATAAAAATTAAAATTAAACTTTAAAATTTAAAATGAATTTTCAAGCATGTCTATTAAAAATTTTCTCGGTGAGTAGGAAATATCAATGAAAGACAAAAGGATTCCAATTATGTGCAACATAATCATATTCATCTTGTCAATGAGAAATTTCGCGATTAGTTAAATTTCTTATTGACAAAGTTGCCACGAAACTACTCATCACGATTATATTACTCACCTTTATAATGCATTTATAGCTAACATTTAAGTGATAAGAACAAACATTGTTGTGGCATAATAAAAATCCATAATTTGTCTAAGATTAAAAAAATATTCAAGAATGACAATCAATGAAATCGAATCATTTCATCCTTACAGATATTCCTATTTTTTTACAATCCTGTCGATTCAGGAGCACTGCAATTATCCAACAATAATATTGAAATGACGTTAGGTAAGAAAAATTAATGAAGTAATCAAGGCCGGTTGGTTTTCACTTCAAATTATCTGAAAACGAAGAGGAGAAATCTGAACGTAATCTGATAAGAAATCTGGTCATTAACAATAATGTCTTCTTTTCAGCATCAAATGAATTAGTTATAATAAATTTTTATGCGGACTGGTGTCGGTTCAGCAACTTATTGCAACCTATTTTTGATGAGGCAGCTGATAAAGTTAAGGAAACATTCCCAGAAACTGGAAAGGTGGTTTTTGCTAAAGTCAATTGCGATGTTGAGACATCAATTGCAACAAAGTATCATATAACAAAATATCCAACTCTCAAAGTATTGAGAAACGGTGAAGTCACTAAAAAAGAATATCGAGGACAACGTTCAGCTGATGCCTTCGTCGAATATGTTAAGAAACAACTCGAAGACCCAATCAAAGAATTTGCAAGCTTGAAAGATTTGGAAAATTTAGATGATAAGAAGCGAATCATTATCGGTTATTTCGATCGTCGTGATCAAGATGAATATCAGCTATTCCGGAGAGTCGCTACAAATCTCAAGGAAGATTGTCAATTTCATGTTGGATTTGGTGATGTCGTCTTACAAATGCATCCACCTGGACATCCAATCGTTGTATTCCGACCTGATGTTGCACTTTCTCATGAAAACGATGAGACATACCAAGGAAGTTATACCAACATGGAAGAAATGAATAAATGGGTGCTTCAAAAATGTGTTCCACTAGTTCGTGAAATTACTTTTGAAAATGCTGAAGAATTCACCGAAGAAGGCTTACCATTCCTTATCTTATTCTATCGTCCTGGTGACACTGACACAATTAAAGACTACAAAGCTGTCGTCGAAAACGAATTACTCCCTGAAAAATGTAAGTTTTAATTCATTGAACTCTCATTCTGTTATTTCAACTGTTCAAATATTCACAGCAAATATAAATTTCTTGGTTGCTGATGGTGATCGTTTTGCACATCCTCTACATCACTTAGGAAAAAGTCAGTCAGATTTGCCGTTGATAGCAATTGATTCTTTTCGTCATATGTATTTATTTCCTAACTTCAAAGATATGTAAGGATTTAAGCTAAAACTATTAATTTTTTATAAATTAATCAATGAAATTTAATGTCAGGTATACACCAGGAAAGCTTAAAGAATTTCTTCAAGATTTGTATAGTGGAAAGCTTCATCGAGAGTTTCATTATGGTCCTGATGAGTCAAAAAATAAAGAAGAAGAAGCTCCACATCACCATCAACAAGTCGAACATCATAAAAAAGGAACGCAACCACCAGAGTCGACATTTAAAAAGCTTGGACCATCAAAACAACGTTACACGATACTATCACCTCGTGATGAGTTATAAATGATTGATAGCACATAATAACAGTTGAACATTAACAAAAACTGTAAAAATTTGTCATCAATGCGATTCGTCATTCAGAAATGAAGAGAAAAAAAAAGAAAAACTACAAAAATTGCCGTGAAATTTTCTTACTTTTAATTTATTACCGAGTTGGAAATTCCAAGGACATCAACTTAATTTTTTTTGTAAATAAGATTCTCATCAAATAAGCTTCAAATGCCCTTTCTCCAGAAGATCGTAAAAATATAATTTCTGCCTGAACTTATCGTGTTTTAAACTTTTTGATAACAAAAAAAAAAAAGAACTTCAGTTTTTCTCTTTTATTTAAACTAAAATAGTTTTTTTTAAACATCCAATGATTCAATATGTCAGTGATAAGTGATGATAAGAACATTGTCATTGGTTACATTCTAGTGTAAGTTATCAGCTTTTGTATTAATTAAATGAATTGAAAACGTGATTGAATAATTCAAATCTCGATTTAAATAATAATAATTTTAATGTATTTAATTAATAAAATAGTCACTCGAGGATATTTCTGACAAAAAGAAGAGTGAAACTGCTCAAAAATAGGAAAACCTCACCTTTAAGTGAAACTGAATTTCCAGTCAAAGAATCGTGTTCACCTAAAACGTCGTCGTCATCATCAGAGTCGTCATCAGTCTCGTCCATAGTTCCAATCATTTCTACGTTCATTGTCGTGTTGAGGGTTTCATTAGTGTCGATTGCCGCTGTAGTAACTTCCAAATACTCGTCTCCCATGTCAATTGATAAATTCAAATCAGCCTGAGCATTGATATCTTGTTGATTATCCAACATTTCTTCATCCTTCGCAATAGTTTTAGTAAGAACGTCGAGATTTGCTTCTTCTTCAATTTCTTCTGCTGTAGCATTTGTTGCGACGTCGTCAGCGATTTCGACGACTGCAAGACTCTCGAAAATATTCGCAGGAAGTCTTTTCAAAGCTCTTGGCAACGTGTTACAATTTTCTTTGCTGCAACATTTCCAACACTCGGTGTTGTCTCTTAAGGAAGGAAATTAAATATTTCCTGTAAGACTCCAAAAGTATTTTAAAATTCTACTCACTCAGCATGATCACATTTATAGTAGCCGTCATTTTCTTGTCCCTCAACCGTCTCACAATGATCCATTGAAGGACATGAAAATATAATCGAATAAACTCCTTCGATTTTTGAAACTAAAGTTTCACAGAATTCAACTCCATCAGGACATGCGTAAGAAAGAGAACATTCTTCTGTTGAATTTTTTACCTCACAAGCCATACAACTGATGGCATGAGAACTTTGTACAAAAACACTCAAAAGTGGGAAAACTAGGAAAATGAACATTTTTCTGTTGAAAACTTTTGTAATCGACTTGAAAGTTTGAAATATCGAATGAAACTAAAAATTCTTCATCCTAATTCTTGTGACTTTGATGAGTTTTCAACACGAAATTTTTAATTGTCACGACTTTAAAGACACGAAAAGTATAGTAGGATTTGCGCATGGGGGAAGTTATTACTAAATTTTATTTGAAACCGCTTAGTCATCGACATTTTTTTGTAATTAATCCTTTATTTTCATTATTTCACTTTAAAATTTGCAATTTCATAATGCAAAAGAAGAAAATGAGAACGCACAAAACTACATATGTGAAACTTTTTTATCTTTATTAAAAATCTAATTTCCAGTGGACGGAATGGAATTTTGGACGGAATTTGTTTGACTTAAATTATTAATTTTATAAAAAGTTAAATTAGCTTAGATATGATGAATGCCATCATGTTAACTGATATTAATGTCCATACAGATGCTGAAAAAATGTTGCTTGAACTCTGAAATTAAAGAATACTTAATATTCTTTCATGATACTCAATTCAATTTAACTTACAATGACGTAGTAGTTACATCGATCGCCAAGACAACACTCTGAACATGACCAATCTTCATACCAAATGTGAGTGCAGTATGGCATGTACTTTGATCGTATCGCTTGACACTTTTTCTTGGTAGCGCAGGTTTTCGAAACGTAGAATTGTTTTGGCGCACCAAAGTCCCAGTATGGTGTTGACCCTTAAATTAATTAACTTTCATAAGTTTCGTAAAAAGAAACAATTTCAAAATTCATTATTACCCCATCTGATTTCCGTTTTGCAAACATCTTCATCAGGTTCACATGTTTTAATTGTGTTTAAGCATTTCTGTGTATTAGCAGATTGATTCGAACAGACATAACACTCCAATGCTGAAGCTTTATTATTGAAATTCAATGTAAATAAACATATCAGAAACATTTAAACATATTTTACTTACATGCTTCGAAAACTGAGAATAAAATGATGAGAGCAACACAATTCTTAATGAAATCCATAACAGATCTTGTTATCAAAACTAAAAAATACTCTTAAATCTACAGCATAAATGAATGTTTAAGTCAGTTTAGCTACACACCCAAGGGCAATTTCATAAGTTTTGTTACGATGGCAAGTCCATGGAAAAATAAATTTTCAATATTAACTTGTGAGACTTGAATTACACCAGGGATTGAGACCTCTCGTTAAATAAAGTAAACATTGAAATTTAATCAACATAATTTTTCTGCAAATAGTTAATAAATTGACTTGAAGGAAGTAACCAGAACCACAAAAGTTCTCATATGTTAAGTATGCATCTACTCTATTTGTAAATAATTATGTATGCTCATAAATTCAGCATGTGTGGACTTCATTTGTGATTGTTATTTTTTTAAATAAACCACAGATAAAAATGGAATTTTAAAGCATTCAATGTGTGTGTCATTCAATTTTAATATCTACAACTATATATAAGACTGCTAATCTTATCAAAATTAAACTTTTCACTGTTATCTCTACAGCAAATAGCTTAAAAAAGTGAAATTAAATTAACATGGAGAAGCTTTCAAGAACTTTAAGGATTGCTTGCATTCAGTTGAAAGTTGGAACTAATAAGACTGAAAATGTTGCGAGAGCACTTGAGAAAATACGAGAAGCTAAAATGAAAGGAGCTGAGTTAGTTAGCTTACCAGGTTTTTATTGACTTTCACTTGCCGGGTATTTTAATTCATTTCTTCTTATTTCAACAGAATGTTTTAATTCTCCTTATGGAACCAAATTTTTTCAACAATACGCAGAGGCAGTTCCGGAGGGCGAAACATCAAAGTTCTTATCAGAAATCTCAAAGGAACTTGGCATTTATCTAATCGCTGGATCGATTCCTGAATCGAAGGAGAACAAACTTTACAATACTTCGACGATTTGGGATCCTAATGGAAATCTTATCGGAACATATCGAAAGATGCATTTATTTGACATTGATATACCAGGAGAGATTACATTCAAGGAATCAGATTCGTTAACTGCTGGAAACAGTTTCACAACTTTCGATGTGAAAGATTTTAAAATTGGTGTTGGAATTTGTTATGACATTCGATTTGAAGAATTTGCCAAGATTTATAGGAAGAAAGGTTGCAACTTATTGGTTTATCCTGGAGCTTTCAATATGAAAACGGGACCATTGCATTGGGAACTCTTAGCTAGAGCGAGGTATAACATTAAATATTAATTAAGCATTCTTACTGACTTGAATTTATTTGAAGAGCAAATGATAATCAATGCTACACAGCTTTGATATCTCCAGCTAGAGATGTGAATGCTGATTACGTTGCTTGGGGTCATACAATGGTTGTTGATCCGTGGGCCAAAGTTGTCGAAACTGTTGACAGTGAAGAAGGCCTCATTGTTACTGATTTAGGTATTTGAAAACTACAATTAGAAATTATTTCATTTTAGTAAGACGTTAAAACGTTTTGTTACAGATCTTTCCCTTGTTGATAAAGTTCGTGCTAACATCCCTGTGTACAATCAAAGACGAAGCGAGATTTACGATACAATTGACAAGAAATGAATGGAAGTCATTAAAAGGTTCAAGAAAAAATAAAGATTTACAAATATCGTAATGAAAAATATATTGAAAGTTAAAAATTAATTTGATCTTCGTTTTATTCTTATTTTTTGTATGATTTGAAATTTTAAAAGCTCACAGTTTACTAAATTTTAAATTTAATTAATTTAGGAAGCTACGAAACAAAGGAAAGCATTCGAAGAAATTTGCAAAAAGAAAAAAAAAGAGAAGTGTTTGAAGAACCTTCGTAACATTTCTTTCATAATGTTTCATACACTTTGAAACTTGTTTTCTGTAAAGTTTTGTCATTTTCTTTCGGTATTTACACTACGTTGTTGTTACTTTACCTAAAAATAAAGCACTTTATTCACTTGAAAGAGATCAGTGATTGGAATTTAACGTTGAATACATTTAATGGATTAAAATTGAAGTTTATTTATAAACGTTGTTAAGTAATGATGAAGCAAATATTGTTAAGTAAATCGACTTGATTACTCATTAACCACAAACTACTCCAGATAATTAATACACACATACTGCATTTAATGTAAGTTGATATCTATGTAAATTTTTTTCATATTGTTTCAAGTTAAGCCGCAGATAAGAATGAAATTTTAAAACATTAAATGTGTTTGTCATACAATTTCTGATATCTAAATTGTAGTACTAATATAAATACGGCTGCTTTCTTATCAAAATAAGAATTTCACTTTTATCTCCATACCGAAAAGATCACAAAACGAACACATTAAATAAGATGGAGAAACTTTTAAAAATTGCTTGCATTCAGTTGAAAGTTGGGACTAACAAGACTGAAAATGTCACGAGGGCAATTGAAAAAATTCGAGAAGCCAAAGTGAAAGGCGCTGAGTTAGTGACTTTGCCAGGTTTATTTCTAATAACTTATAGTAATTTAACTGGAATTTCATGTTTCTTTTCATTCAAACAGAATGTTTTAATTCTCCTTATGGTGCCAACTTCTTTCAACAATACGCAGAGTCAGTTCCGGATGGTGAAACATCAAGACGTTTGTCAGAAATCTCAAAGGAACTTGGCATTTATATAATTGCTGGGTCAATTCCTGAATCGAAGGTGAACAAAATTTACAACACTTCGACGATTTGGGATCCTAATGGAAATCTTATCGCAACATATCGAAAGATGCATTTATTTGACATGGGCATGCCTTATGTGTCAGGAGAAATCCCATTCAAAGAATCAGATTCTTTAGCTCCTGGAAACAGTTTCACAACTTTCGATGTAAAAGATTTCAAAATTGGTGTAGGAATTTGTCATGACATTCGATTTGATGAGTTCGCAAAGGTTTATCGGAAGAAAGGTTGCAACTTACTGGTCTATCCTAGTGCTTTTGACATGAAAACGGGAGCTTTACTTTGGGAAGTGTCAACGAGAGCGAGGTTTGATGTTGAAAATCTATTCCGACTATGAATTGCTTTGATTGTGAATTTTTTTTGAAGAGCAAACGATAATCAATGTTACGCGGTTTCGATATCCCCGGCTAGAAATGAAAATGCTGACTATCTTGCATGGGGTCATACAATGATTGTTGATCCGTGGGCTAAAATAGTGCAAATAGCTGGAAGCGAAGAAGAAGTTCTTATGGCTGATTTAGGTAATTGTAACAATTTGCATTATTTTTTAATTAAAATGATTTTTTTTAACAGATCTTTCCCTTGTTGATGAAGTTCGTGCTAATATTCCGATCTTCAATCAACGACGAAGTGAAATTTATGACACGATTGAGAAATGACAAAATTAAACAAATAAAAATTTAATATTTCATTCTTTAAATATTAATTTGATTTATTATTCCAAATCATTTCATATAAGTAACATTAACATATATAATTGACGCTATAATTCAGATTAACAGAAAATCAGGGATTTTGATAGAAATCTAAAAAGCTAACGCATTTTATAGATTTATGAGATAGATGAATATTTTATGAGGTGATAATTCACTTTCCCAGAGAGACTGTAATGCGGTTTTCTGTAGAAATGAACTTCAGGCTTTCATAATTATTTAATTCTCTTGTCATTTTACTTTCGACTTAAGTCACCTTTCCTGGGTTGCTTGCTTACAGAAATCTTTACAAAATTTCACTCCTGAATGATAAACTTTTGTAAATATTTCTGGATAGCTAACAAATTCTTGTATCTCGATACATTCAATTATTTTATTGTCTGTAAACAACTATCAGATAATCCCAAGGATATTTATCTTATATATTCATCAAATCAACCAAATTGAACATTAAATACTTTGTTGTAACATCTGATGAATTAGAGAATATGTAAATTTGATATATGTAAGTATTTATGCAAATTTGTTGTAAAACTGTTAAACATTTTTTTTTCTTCGATGACTTCTTCTAATTTCACTAAGCAGTACTTACATAAGTTTGTATATAAGTGCAAATTTAAATTCTTTTTTTATTATTAATTTCAATTAACTGATTTCCCTATTTTAAATATTTATATTTTATTAAATAATTGATTTAGTCAATCGAATAAAGTTTATGAGAAGAAACCATTTTAATTGCATTTTTAATATTAAAATTAAATTTATTGTCGATACCTGTTGATACGCGAAGATATTTGTTCTACTGATAAATTTTACTACACAAACCATTCCTCTATCTGTCCTCGAAAGTTGTCATGTTGCATCAAGTCATTATTTGATAATAAGGACGGATCTCCTGTGTTAATTTTAGTTGCAATTTGCGGAGATAATCTATTGAGAAACACTAATTGAAATTTGATTAGACAAATCGACTAAACAATCCATTTGATACAACTCCGATCATAATTGACTTATTTAATGTGCACGCTATTTAATAATAATAAAAATTGTGCTTTTAACCAAAGTGGTTTCATTTGTTTTCCTCTAAAACCAACGGCATAAAATATTCACAATTAACTTATCTGTTAACAACTAATAGTTTTATCAGCGAAAAAGAATATTTAATTGTTAATAGTTTTAACCGTTAATATTTAGTAAGGCAACGATGGCTTTCGGTTGTGCTGACAGTGGGATAAGTTGTTTGTAAATTAAAAGATATTTTCCCAAACATATTTAGTGCTAAAATGTTTAACTTAATGTGTTTGAGATATTTTGAAATTTTGATTAAGGAAAATTAAAAAAAGGATAATTAATATTAGGTTCTGACATCTTTTTTTTTGTGATTGATCTCTTTCATAAATAATTTACACATAATTATAACAACCTCTTACTGCTGGGCGGTAATCATTTAAATGCTTTGGACCATTAGCATCTGAGTACATCGGATGATTTTTTGATGTTATGTCTTCATTTGTTTTCTTTCTACAAATACAAATTCCGACACCAAATCCACAAGCCAACATCATTAAAACTACACAGATTGTTATGATAGTCAATGTTTCAGAAGACATGCCAAAAATATTATGATCGATGGGGTCTACACAAAAGAATCAAATTAATTTCAAAACTCTTTAAAATGAACTAACAACTAACCTTCACATAAAATCCCAGTAACTTCATCACTTCCATCTTCGCAATGGTTAATATTATCACATAACAAATCAGGATGTATACAAAATTCTTTTAATGTACAACGGAAATCTTTGCAAGAATGTTCTACATAATTGAGTAATAAATTAGATGGTTCCAAAGTTTAACAACATTTATACGTACTTCCGTCTTTAATTGCTGTTATAACAAGTTTGAAAGTGTTATCAGTTCCCCAGCCATCGGTTACATATCTTAATGTGATGAAGTTAGATCGAGTGAATAATGTTCCTACAGTTTGTTTAGTATTGCGACAACTGATATCAGCTTTATGAGATGATGCTGCATGTGCACCATCGAATATGTATAAGTGATCATTGCAGTCTAAATTGAGAACTTCAAAACGAAGCATGAATCGCTGAAGAATGGAATGAGTTTGGAATGTCAAGGTACAATCCAAATTCCGCTCATTCTTCGATATTATTTCAGCTCCATCAATTTTTCTATAAGTTGACAGAAATGTTGGTCGCTCACAAAGTTCCCCAATTTGATCTTTTAAAAATGTTCTGATTATTTAATATTCAAAGAATAAAAATGTTACTTACATGTTTTGCTTGGCTCTAAACAGCATCCTCTCAGCAATAGAATAAAAGTTAATAGATTCCATTTAAAGGCTGAATTCATGTTTTAACAAAGTGTTAAATGTTTCTCGTTCTCCGTGAGTTTTCCCTTCAAGAGGGTTCAATGTTTCGATGAATGATGGTTCAGCTTATGTGAGAGAAGATAATCGGCTTTTACATCGAACATTTGCCATAGTGCATGAACCTTAGTCTGCCTTCCATGATTGAAACATGAAAAGATAATAGTTTGTGGGAGGGTAAAAAGCATTAAACATAATCAAGTTATTTTCTTATCAAGATATTCATCTATTGATTTTATATTCTCTTTAAACCCATGGAGGCGAGGTAAAGAAAGCATTTAAACTTTTAAGTGTCTAAAGATTATGTTCTCAAGGTGACAAAAACTTTTTTATGTACAGAAAGTCAACGAACTTTACATGAGATAATATTTTTCATTCTCCAACTGTATTGATATTGAGTGACATGGAAAAAGTCATTTATAAAATTGATATTCTAATTTGATTTGAAATAATTATAGAATTAATGGATCTAAAAAAGGATTAAATTTATATTAGGGTTGCTAGGGGAAGAAAAAGCTACAATAACAAAAATGAAATGATTAAAAACTTGAATTCATCACGTTATAATGACGATGACAAACAAGCCGATCCACATTAAAATTAGACCATAATTGATGAGTTTTCTAATCACTTTTCTTCGAGCAATCATCATTACTTCAGTGTTACTGAAAACTTTTTATTGAGTTTGAATCAATATTCAACATAGATATTTATCTCTAAGTATAGATGTAAGAATGTATTTAAAATGACACAAATCATCAATACAAAAATAGATAAAATCAAATGAAAGAAATATCTGAATAAACTAAGAATTGTTGAATAATTTTATGTCCCAAATAATTTTCACTTCAAGAATCTACATTCCATGAAACAAAAAATATTTTTCTATGTTGAATATTTCTAAGCATATTTATTAAAGCAATACTTGACCTACACTTTTTCCCCTAACTTTAAGTTTTCATTCACTTTCTAAAATATTTACTTTTTCACTGATAAATTGAGGGTTGATAAATACCCTTATATACCAAAATATAGCTTCGCACTATTAAAGTTAGAATAAAAGCTTTAATTTAATTTAATAATCATAGTTTTAGTTAATACAAATTTAAAAGCTCTGTTTTTTACACTTTATACTTTCAAAAAACACCAAGCTCTATTTATTTCTGTGATTTTGCGCATCTAATAAAACCGTATCTACTATACAGATACTTAGTTACCATTAACCGACTGTTTTAAGGATGTCAATTCTGAGCTTTAATTTCTACTTTCAAAATGTTTAAAAGTTTTTCTTTTAGGTACTTATACACTGTAATGTGACATAAATGATCAATTTTTTGATTTTTTGTACATAAAATTTTTAACTTGACTACTCAAACGCGTTTTTATTAATGCAACAATAATATTTATTTCAACAATAGATTTGTAAAAGCTTGCTTTCGTAGAAAAAATGAAGGCATAAGCAAGCATGGAACTTCCATTGTCAGGATGTCAAAGTACTGAAAATGCGCATGTTTCGCATATACGTGCATGACTTTCGCATGTTTATTAAAAATTCTATGTAACTTAGAAATGATTCACTGAATTAAAAATGTGTAAATACCAGTCGACAAAGGAGCTGAAATTGAATAAATCTAAAGAAAATTTTCTATTTAGAAATCGTTTCCTTAAGGAATTGTAGAATACTTTAAACGAAATCGTCGAAATGTCCATATGGACAAATCTCCAGTGAAATTTTCAGAGTTGCCAAACGCAACTTTATTCGCCGAATTACCCTTTAAAGCCCTCAGTTTGATGTAACTAGGCGAAACGGTGAAAGCAAAAACTAGAGAAACAATAAATTTAATTTATGTTGTCATTCCAATCAGTTTATCAAATTCAGTAAATAGTGTAAAGTTCAGTATAAATAGAAAGAATCAAATAACATTGTAAATATTTTAAAATGAAATTTGAGTGAAAAGAAAAACAAATTTCAAAATTCCTCGCAAAAATATAAATAAATAAAATCTGTAAAATAACAAAAATGGCAAATCTAAGTAAATTGACTCAGCGTAATGAATTCATATGCGCTAGTGGTGTTGCAGCAGCTGCAATTCTTCTTTTAATTTCAAAATATTCACGAGATACAAGGTAAAAATATTTTATTTCGCAACAGATTAATATGACGTCGCCTTTCGAATCTTAAGAATTGGGCAAGAAAACAAGTTTCTTATAGAGATGCTTGGTAAAAAGGCAAAATTTGGGCGAGCTCAATTGTTGCCGTAAACTTGATTTCTTGCATAATATCCATAATCAAAGTCCAAACTGTGAAAAAAGAAAGAAAAAAGTCCCACGAAGAATTAAGTTTCGTAAAAGTTTAGCAAGTCATAACAAGCGGATGGATAATGGCCTAATGGGTCGTGAAAAAGATCAAAGTTCAACTGGAAATAAAATAGTCGCGATACCTTCCATATCTATAAATCTTTTTTAAAATCGGTTTTCATTCGAATCATAAAACATTTAAAGTACAAAGTTCAATTTTGTTACAATTAAATTCTGGTTTCTTTAATTGATACATTTTTTTTGTTTATCCAGAAGAAAAAATCTTCGCCCAGAAGACAAGATAGAATATTTCATCAGCGAAAAAAAAGATTCAAAGCGGGTCAAAGCTCACGTTAATTCAGTTTTCTTCAAACAATTAAAATTTTTACTTGGTAAGTTAACGTAAAAGTTTTACGATTTGATTTTTTTCTCACCTTAACACATTTCTCAGGCATAATAATTCCCAAAAAATGGAGCACAGAAACGGCTCTTTTAATTGGAATTGCTGGTTCACTGATTCTACGTTCTGTGTCGGATATTTGGATGATTCAAAATGCAACTGTTATCGAAAGTTCAATCATCACAATGAATCGTCCAAAATTCAGAACTTCGCTTGTGAAATTTTTAGCTGCTATGCCGGCCGTAAGTTTACTTCTTTCATATCATTCATATGACATTTAAATTTTTTTTTTCAACAGATAGCAGTCGTGAACAATGTGCTCAAATGGAGTATTGGTGAACTGAAAATAAGATTCCGAACAAACCTCTCCAAGTATTTGTTTGAACAATATCTAAAGTAAGTTGAGCATTTGAAACATTAGAAAGCCATTTAAATACTGATTTATTTATTTTTTTAGAGGTTACACTTATTACAAAATGACGAACTTAGATAATCGTATAGCAAACGCCGATCAATTGTTAACAACTGACATTGATAAATTCTGTGAAAGTGTCACCGATCTTTATTCAAATACTTGCAAACCCCTTCTCGATGTTTTCATTTACATTTATCGCACAACATCAACAATTGGAGCAAAGACACCATTAATCATTATGATGTATCTTTTGTTTTCGGGTGTCATTCTCACACATTTACGTCGACCCACTGGAAATCTAACAATTCAAGAGCAGAAGCTTGAAGGAGAATATCGCTACGTCAATAGTCGTCTTATTACCAATTCGGAGGAAGTTGCATTCTATCAAGGAAATGTGAGAGAAAAGTTGACCATTCTCGCCAGTTTCAACAAACTGACAGCGCACTTAAGGAAATTCTTGGAGTTTAGAGTTGGAATGGGTGTCGTCGATAATTTGGTGGCTAAATGTAAGTAAACAGCTTAAATAGTGATTTTGTCAGTCAAAAGTTTTGATGTCTGCGTCAGCTTGTTGACTCAAGTGCAAGCCCGCATTGAAATCAGCATCGACGATGACAGGTTCGAATCCTGCTCATGGAAAATTTCTAAAATTTTATTTTATTTAAGAAAATTGCCTTAAAAGCTTTTTAAAGTCATCAAAATCTTTAATGTTGATGATGTGCGCCAATGAGGCTAAATTAATCTCGATTCCACAGTTCAGAATGCTTTACTTGGCACTAGGACTACTACAGACAAACTTGGAGGGACATTTTTTTACTCATTTCATTAAAATTGTTTTAAATGAAGAAATTTATTTTAATATTTAAATTTCCTTTCAGATATTGCAACCGGTGTTGGTTTTTATGCTGTTTCTCTTCCATTCTTTGATAAAAATAACACATTATTGCAAGAAAATCATGATGGTGAACGTCTTAGAGTGAGTGAACATTGAAATTTATTAAACAATTCAGAATATTCAATCAAAATAATTCTTTCAGCATTACTACACGTTTGGTCGTATGTTGGTGAAACTTGCTGAAGCTATTGGACGTTTAGTTCTCGCAGGTCGTGAAATGTCACGTTTAGCCGGCTTTACAACACGAATGGATGAACTGATAAGAGTATTGAAGGATTTAAATTCAGGAAAATATGAGCGAACAATGGTCAGTAACTCGGCAAGTGCAGACGCTGAAATTGCTGTTGGTAAAGGATTAATTTCCTTCCAAGACAACATCATTCGGTTCGAGAAAGTTCCACTTGTTACACCAAACGGCGACCTTCTTGTCAAAGAACTTTCATTTGAAGTTCGAAGTGGAACAAACGTTCTCGTTTGTGGACCAAACGGATGCGGTAAATCCAGTCTCTTCCGTATTCTTGGAGAACTTTGGCCGTCATGGGGTGGAAAGATTGTGAAACCACCACGAGGAAAGCTTTTCTACATTCCACAAAGACCATACATGACTCTTGGCAGCCTTCGCGATCAAATCATTTATCCTCATACACATGAAGAGATGAAACGTCGAGGAAAAACTGATCAAGATTTATTCAACTTCTTGGACATTGTGCAATTGCGACCATTGATTCAACTTCGTGAAAAGGGTCTCGATTCTATCGAAGATTGGATTGATGTTTTAAGTGGAGGTGAAAAGCAGAGAGTTGCCATGGCGCGTCTCTTTTATCACCACCCACAATTTGCCATTCTCGATGAATGCACAAGTGCAGTTTCTGTCGATGTTGAGGGAAGCATGTACGAGTATTGCCGTAAAGTTGGAATCACGCTCTTCACTGTGTCACATAGAAAATCTCTGTGGACACATCACGAATTCTTCTTGCGTTTTGATGGTCGTGGTGGATACGAGTTTGGAAAGATTGACGGGTCCAATGAAGAATTTGGTTCATAAGCAAACATTCCATACAAAACAACTAACAAATGGACTTCTGTAACTTAAACGTAAAATTCTGTAAACTTGTTGTGGGAGTATGAACTATTTTAATCGTTTTAGGGAAGAAATTATTGCTCAGTTCTAATCCAACTTTTTGTTTCTAAAGCATTTTAAAAATTTCAACTTTCTTCGTAAAGTTTAAGTTCAATAGCAAAGTGTAAAATTTTCTATCAACAAAGACATTATTAACAGAAGAAGATTTTGTATATTTTTGATTGATGTGATTCTTTTTTGAAGCAATAAAATATTTTTAATTTAAAGATTGATTTGACGTTTTGAAAGTTTTTGTTTATTTCTGAAATTTCAAGAATGTTTTTCAGTTTTCAGATAAATTTAAAGACAAAAAATTCATTTTTATTTATCTAATTCACATATATTTTCACATCTTAAATCGGAATTGGAAGTGTCTTTACAAGTGCTTTAAGGACATCTTCCGTTTTGAAACACCAATTCTTTATGTCCTTGCTGATACGACACCAATTCTCTCCATGTTTGGGCTCAGCAGAAACGCAGCGATTTAAAACTTCTTGCTGTTGTTCTTCACTTCCCATCATTAGTTCGAATTTGTAGAAGAATCCCCAAGCATCACCAAAATCAGGATCAATTTTAACTGTTCGATTAAACCATTCGCGACATTTTTGTGTTTTTCTTTCGCTCCAGAATAATTTTGATACAGCAAGAAGAACGTTTGGGTCATGTTCACACTTCTTAAGTGCATCGACTGATTTCGCTTTTCTTTGTGGACGATTTTCCAAGAAAATTGCTTCTGACCAAAGTTCACCAGACGTTGGGCATTCTTGAAGTGCACGAGCTAGCAAAGTGTTGGCCATTTCCTTGATACCAGCTCGAATTTCAATCCTGATTGCTTCAAGCCACAAGATTGCAGTTTTGGGATTTTTCAATCGACCACGTTCAAGAATTGATCGAGCTTTTGTTAAGATGCCTCTCTTCTCTTCCAAACCTGATAACAACAACCAAAGTGGGATTGAAGTTGGACAAGTTTTGATTCCTTTGTTGTAGGTGTCAATGGCTTGATCCAGCTTTCCTTGCTGTTCTTCAATTTGCCCTTTCATCATCCAAAGCTTTGCAAAATCTGGAAAAACATTGACAGCGTTTTCAAGTAAATTCAAAGCTTCTTCTAAGTTATCCAAAGCCCATTCTAACTTCGCTGACTTCATCAATACTCTAGGGGTTGGTGCTGCTCCACGTGCTTTCGCAAGAAGCTTTCGTGCTCTCTCGTATTCAGCATTTTCAGATTCAAGTTTGACAGCAGCTAACCAAATCTCTTCTGAATTTGGGTTCGCTTGGAAAGCATAGCTGAGAATACTTCTTGCTGCTGGAACATCGCCAGCCAACCATTTTGACTTGGCACCCATAAGCCATAAAATTTCAGCTTTTGGACAATTTGCAACAGCTTTTTGTAAAAGTGCTTCAAGGCTTTCTCTTGTTCCGTGACTTTTCTCAAAGTATGCCGCTCGTAGCCAAATACTTTTCTTCATTGGGAAGATTTGTAAAGCATGAGCATAAATCGCTCGTGCACATTCAAATGCGCTTTCTTTTGCACAGTTTTCAGCATCATCAATCCAAGTTTGTTTCTGGTCTTCTTCTTCAACACCAACAGCAATTACTGACTTGATAATTGCTTGACAACAACGAACAGCTCCTGATTTTTCAGCTTCCATTGCTTCTTGCATCCATTGATCACGATTTATTTCAACTCCATTCGCAGTCAATGATGAAATTGCACGATCGATAATCTTCTCAACCATGTGAATATTTCCATTCGCTTCTTCTAGCTTTGCAGCTGTCGTCCAGATTTGTTTATCAGTTGGAATATTCTCACGAGCTTTGTTCAAGACTTTTCTTGCATTTTCGTAAGTTTCCAGTCTTGCAAGTGCCAACCAAAGTTCGACACTCGTGTTACAGCATTCGACGGCTCTTGACAAGAGAATTCTGGCATCGTTTGGATTTTCAATTTCAACTGCACTTTTCCACAAACGAACAGAGTTTGGAATATGTTCAAGAGCTTTTCGGAAAACACGTCGTTTAGCTTTAGCTTCATTTTCCAGATCAGCTGCTTTGATCCATATTCGAACTGATGTTGGAATGTGACGAGCTGCTTGAGCAATAACACCTTTTGCAGTGTCTGGTGGTTGTAATCGAGCTGCTTCCAACCAAAGATCTTCACTCGTTGGATTGACTTCACATCCTCTCATGATGAGATTTCGAGCTGCTTGAACTTTTCCAGTGACTTCTTCCAAACGTGAACTCGCAATCCATGCAGGTGGATGATTTGGATTCGTTTCACGAACACTTTTGAGAAGCAATCGGGCTTTCTTGATGTCGTTAATGTCACCGCCGTATGTTGGAATCATACTTTGTAAGTCTGTCAAATATCCTTTGGGGTCAACAACTGTCTGACCAGTCACAGAGTCAGAAATTTGAGAAAGTTTCACGTTCATGAGTGTGTTACGGGCTTGTCCAATTTTACGCAAGTCTAAGTCACCACTTGGGGTCAGAACACCAGGAACCATGGATGCGAGGCCTGAACTTGGATCGATTGCATTTGCAGTCTCGCCTCCAAGATTTTTAGAAAGAACGCTGTCAGGTAATGGTGTAAATTTCTCAGCTCGTTGGTTTCTTTGCTTTCTATTACGTGCGTCACCAACTTCAGGTAGAGCTGCCCATTCTGCTTCTGACACACTTGCAAGAGATCTTTTAACGTCAGAGAACAACTGTTGGATCTTTGGACGTTCTTGGCGGTATTTTTCAAGGAATTCCTTTTCTTTCCTCTCTCTGTATTCCTTACGCTTCTCATCCATGCGTTTATCAATTGCTTCGTAAATAGCGTCAGCTTCAGCATCGTCCTTATCATATGGATCTTTTGAAAATAACCCTGATCCTGAATAACCAGAGAATTCATCGTAATTTGAATCATTTAAGTCCTCATCGTCGTCTTCTTCTTCATCTTTCTTTTTACGCTTTGTTGGTGGTGCATGTCTGTCGTCTGAAACATCATTAGCATCTCGTGCTGGACCAATATCAGATCGAGTTGTGAATCCAGTGGCTCTACATAAATTGGAAAGAAGTAGATTAATTAATAGGTTGAAAAGCAAGTAAATCTAAAGTTAAAAACATTTGTAAATTAAGGAAAACAATCATTTAAATTAAAATCAAAATATTTATAACTTACCCTCTGCCAACACCAGCAACATAACCAAGAGGAGCCGGTATACCGAGAAAATGTTTCTTATTTTTGTTTGCTAATGATCCTGAAGCCATTTTAAATGAATGACTTAAGCTACAATTTAAATCGTTTGACTGTGCTCCGACAAATTTAACAAAGTCTCCGAAAGTTTCTGAAAGTCTCCAAAACGCCGAAGCCTACAATTTTTCGCTGATTCATAATAGGTCACTTTTCCCTACTTAAAATTTATTGGCCGGACAGAAAACAAACAATTTGTTTAAACTTTAAAAATTTGAAAGAAAAATATTATTAATCTATTAATAAATCATGGCTGGTGTAGAATCAATGATCGTTGAAGAAAAACAGGCTCCAGTTCGTTCAGTTGATCGTGAAAAAGTAAGTAAAAACACGAGATTTATTTTTGTCTTCTAAAAATGCTCTTCACATAAAATTTTAAAAAATAAAATTCCTTTTCAATCATTTTTAGACATGTCCACTATTACTTAGAGTTTTCTGCTCAACGGCTGGGCGACATCATAGCATGAGTGAATATTCTCATGGCAGCACACCTTCAAATGAATTACAAGTATGAAAACATTTCAATGTTGTTTTTGTCTTATCGAATTTAAAATTCAATTTTGTTTAGATTTACACATGGATGGATGCCAGTCTCAAGGAGTTAACTAGTCTAATTAGAGATGTAAATCCAGATACTCGTAGAAAGGGTAAAGATTAAATTTAAAATAAGACGACAAACATAATAAAATTTCCTCTTTCGATTCTCAGGCACATATTTCGATTTTGCTCTCGTCTATCCAGACCCTCGTCCTGGTACTTATCGTATGAGAGAAATTGGTGTTACGTGCTCAGGACAACGAGGAGCTGATGACAGCAAAACTCTCACTCAGGCCAAATTTCAAATTGGCGATTATTTGGACATTAACATTACACCGGCAAATCGTAAACCAGAACAGCGTCAAGATCGCCGTGATCGTCGTCCATATTAAGACTAATTTACTTCATAAATTAAAAACTCAATTGATTATTTTTTCTTTTTTGTATCTATATGTGAATGAAATTTCTTGATCAAATTACAATTTTATTCAAATAAATTTGCCCATCACTCAAGTCATTCTCTTGATTTTCACTTATCCTGTTTATCTGCTCGCATTTCTTTTCACGGTAATTTATGATTTGTCACCTACAACTGATGATTTCGAATCACGTGAGTCTCCATAGAGAGACGTCATTTATATGCAACAAGTATGGCAAACTTTTTTATTTTAAATATCTAAATTTGGAAAGACAAAATTGGAAAGACGACATAACAAATTACAAAATTAACATTCATGAGTGTGCAGATATTTTTTGTTTCTTTCGCAAAAACTTTTGAAATTACTTGCACACACAGGTACATTAAAGTTTTCAGTATCATTTTAAAAAATTAAATATTTTAAGAAAATTTGTTTTTTATTTGAAGAAATTTTCTTGCATGATTCAACAAAATAACAAAAACAGATTTAACAATTAATTGAATTCTTTCATCTGGAGATATTACTTAATACCCAACATAAACGGAATCTCCAACTTTAACATTTCCTTTAGTTCTTAATCCCAAATGAATTCCAAACCAAGGACTTGATGCAACTTTGTCAAATGTTCTGAACGTCTTCAGCGTTTTAAGAGGCTCCATGTTGGGACTTCTTTCTCCAGTGATCGGGTCAATATTAGTAAAAATGCATCGAATGCATGGTTGAACATTTTTAAATGTTGTTTTATCGCCAATCTTCAACCATTTCCAATCATCTTCTTCCCAAGCTTTTGGACCGTTGACAACAAAATTTGGACGATACTGTAAAGGTGTTACAGAATGCTCAAGACGTGTATTAAGATCATCAAATGACCCTTGATTCATTAACATGAAACTTGTTTCATCATGAAGAGTGCCCGTATCTCGTGGTTCAGCTTGATCGAAAAGATATCCTTTGTCTTCGACGATTGCTTTTGGAAATTCGCTTGGATAAAATACAAATCTCAAACCTTCTTGCGCGTTCAAAATATATTGTGAGAACCATTTAGCTGATTCATCACCACAATCGACACAATCTACATAATCTTCCCAAACCTTCGTTTTTATATGATTTTCTGAAGTATATAAGTCTGAAATGCTGATCTGTAAATTCTTCATTGAAGGTGCTGAAAGTGTCAGAGTGTCGCCTTCAATTTTAGGTGAAATCAAAACCATTTTAGGGTAAGTTCGAGCTGTTACAACTTCTCCTGATTCACGAGTAACCATGAAAACTCGATCACGAAGTTGACCATCACAAGGCCCTAAGAGACCACATTCGATTTCAGTTAAATGAACTGGTCCACATGACTTCACAGGGAAACAAAATAAGTTAGAAATTTCACCAACTCTTCGCCATCTGAATAGGAAATTTATTTTTGGAGTCAAAGTTTGTGAAATCTTTTATCTGATGAGAAAATCTTTATCTACCTAGTTGGAGGTCGTTCATTGTAAATTCGTTTTACTAACTTGATCGAATTTATTAACACACCAGCACCCACAATAATGCATGTACCAATCTGAATTACATCAGACACTTCCATTTTTACAAACAAAAACTGTAAATTAACTAAATTTGTCGACAAATCTGATGACACTTGTGACCGCACACAGTCAAATGAAAAAGTCGAAAACAAAATTATACCTAATTGGTTTGATAAGAAGAATGAAATTACGTTGATAAGAATATTAAGTGTGGGATTGGAAAGGCGAAGTAAATCTATGCTTGTCACTTAATGTCAATCTTGATGTTCAATTTACATAATTATTTATGATTTACGAATGAACTTTGTACCTTGAAATATTCAAATGTATGTAAATCGATCACATGTTCAACTGAAAAAAGAAATGATCAAGAGATTAAATTGAATGAAACATTTTTATATAATTTCAATTGTATTTAGATTAACTATTTATAAACTTCTCGACAAAAGATTTAAATAAAGAAATCATGATTTAATAATTTAAAAAGAAATTAAAAAAATGTAAATTTATCCAAAATACTAGTATGCCTCCATACTTGATATGTCGAAGTGAAAAATTGATGATTTTATGAAATTATTTCTCTTCATTGTTTGTTGTTTAAAATTTATGGCTAGCCAAAAATACGAATTTTTTTTTTATGAAAATTATTTAATAACAAATCGCATGTCTTCGGATATTTCCTTTCTGTACTTATTTCAAGACGTTCAGAGACAATTTAAGATAATCGCACATGAGCTTCAACCAGTCATTCAACAAAACTTTGAAAGAGTTTAGATGAGTGATGTGATGAGTCGAGCCTTGAAGTTTACAACACGTTCGCTAGTTTGTGCCACTCGCTGTAAATAAATAAAAGATTTGAAGTAGATATTGTTTCATTAATTAAATGCTTTGTTAAATAGTTGAAAGAATTGAGAAAAAAATGAATAATTACAAGAATCAAATCTTGAATTAAGTTGGACAATCCCCGATTAGCAAGAACAAATAATCTTGTAACAGGTCCGGGAATGCCTTCTGTATATCCATCGCCTTTTCCTACATCGGTTTCTTCGCCATTGGCACTTTCATCAGTTTGGGGGGTTCCACTACTTCCACTTACAAGCTGAAATCATCATAAGAATGATTCAATCAAATAAATTATCAAAAATTATTTATTTTTAAAACTCACCCGAATAATATCAAAGAGAAAGTTTCCTGATCCACCAGCTGAACCACCACCTGCATCAGCACCTGCATTTGCATTTGCGTCAACGCCAAACTTCAAAAATCTAATGAAATATCGTAAAATGTTTTTTCATTCATTTTTAACTAAGTTAATTGAAATATACAAACCTCTTGCCCCGATTTTCATCATCTTCAAAACTATCTAAGGAAAGTTCTTCAACAGCTGAAGATGTTCCTTGAGCTGCTGCAGTAAGGTCTGAGTTAGATTGTTCCGATGCTTGTGGTTCTTGATCCTTGTTAATATTATTATTCTGGTTGTTATTAAGATTATTAGTTTCACGTGCAACACGAATTGTCTCAAAGATTTCTGAAGCAGCATTACTTGGCTCTAGTAAGTTTTCTTCTTCAACAGCTCGCACCTTTACAATGTTTTTTTATTTTTTTTATATATTTTTGTGTCGTGCCAACAACCAACCATGATTTAATTATTCATCCAATGTTAAATCGAGAATAATTTGGTGGACGTAAAAAAGGATGAAAGAGAGCAGAAAATGAAATGAAACAATAGAAGAGAAACAATAAAAAAGGTGAAAGTAATAATAATGATAAAAAATAAACAAAATAATATTAATTAACATATGTACAAATCTTTATAACTTTTAAGTTAAAACCAATCAAATCACAAATGAACAAACACGACCAATCATTGTCTAATGCCACAACAACATAAAAAGCATAAGGAGAAGAATAAGATGAAGAAAAGGAAATTCTAAGAAGAATTAAAATTTGGTTCATAATTTTTGATAATAAGAACCTTTGAACAAACACGATGAAAGTGCTTTTATTCGTTCTTTTTCCAACTGTCAACAGTAGGAAGCTTTAGAAATGAACACATGGAGACTAATAACCAAGTCTTATGTACTTAACATGTCTAGTTAACTAATATGAAAAATTAATCAAAGTATTTTGTGAAATTTGAAAATCATGCCACGCTGTGGACATTCGTATACTAATTGTCTATGAAGGGTTAGATTGAAAACTTTCGTAATGTGTGTAGGGAGATTAAGACGATTAAAAGTCATCATCATCATTTGAACTATCTAAGAGATTGACTCGAGACGGTGAACTTTCAGCTGAGGGACTGGAAGACTCGAAACTTTTTTCTGAACTATCAGGAGCAAATGTTGGCAAAGATATGCTGACTTTGTCATCTTTTCCACCAACTTCATTGGTGTCGTCATCTTCAAAATCATCAAAGTCGTCATCATTATTTCGATTTGATGTGCCGCTTGTTGACGCTGTCCCGCCTCCTAATCCACCACGTAACAAGATCGGTCCAAATGTTCGAATAGCGAATTGAATAATCATTTGAAGTTTTCGTTCCATCATCTAAATTACACAGCGTAGCGGGACAACAGTTACAACATATTCATTGTTTCATTATAAAGTAGATATCGTATGTCAGGCAGATGATTATGCGAAAATAAATGATCAAATAAAATATCAAGTGGATATAATTTTGAATGGTTAAACTTATGCAAAATATCTACGTTTAAATATTAGTAGGTAAGGTAATTTTTACACTCAGGATTTTACGAGACAGTGCTCAATGAATTATTTTTAATATGAAAAATCTCACATCCATATATGAAAAATTGAAAAATTGAATTGTCAGATGGTTATCAAGTACTGGCGTAGCATAATGACAAATGCACTAGTCCGGTTAATTAGAGATTGCTGGTTTGATTCCAGTCGTCAGAAAAATTTACTTTTTAATTTTTCAATTTTTCATATATGGATGTGAGATTTTTCATATTAAAAATTAGTAGGTAACTTTAATAGTTTCTGTTTTCAATGAGTTCAATATCAGATAAAAGCTTTTAAGGGTTGATAATTTTAATCTTGACCAAGTTGCTCATTTCTGAACATTTGCAAGCAATATTCTAATTGATTTTCGATGTAGCTTCGTATATAGGATCAATTTAAATAATTAACGTGTTGGAGATTATTTATTAAGCAAGCACATAATCCGAATTGAAACTTGTTTGAAACTGTGAAAATTTCTTGTGCTACAAATCTTGTGATCTAATAAGCGTAGCTAATATGCGAAAAATTTAAATTAAAATAATTATTTGCTTATTAATAATATGGGCGAATTGATTAAATTTCATTTATGTCTATGTACATGTTTAAGTTTGAAAAATAATTACTTCAAGGCTTAAACTGGATTGAACGGCAATAAGATTAGTTAATGATATAAAAAATTCCTTCATATCAGAAAAAATGAAAGAGAAACCAAACAAGTCATAGATACACAACGAAGGCAGCTTATTTAATCATATCCTTCGTACAAGATCTTAAAAATATATTTCAAGTATAACTTTCCTTTCTCTACCAAGGTCGTAAATGTTTATCATGTTTAATATATCTACACAAGGTTTGCAAATTCTCTGGTTAATTCGATAGCTCGATAAAAATAAAATGTTTCAACTTGAAACTTTTTATCTTCTTGTTCATCGAGTCGAAAGATATTTCAGATTCTTATGAAGAAGTGTAAAGAATTAAAGAAATCTTACTTTTGATAGTTCGGGGAAAAGTTCTCTAAGAATTCCAATTGTTCTTTTATTTCTCTCGTTAATCGTTCCATCTGTTTCAGCCAAAGTTAAAACGTCTAGTTCCTGAAAATTGAAAAATGAAAATCTTTGTCATTAGTCGCTACATAAATTAGGTGGGAAAAAATTTGAGCTGGTTTAATGACCGATTTGTTAATAAACATTTGGATTGTCATTAACTCAAACTGAGACTTATTAAAAAAATTACAAAATTCGTCTTAAATGATGTACAATTAGAACAGTTAATCCTTGAAAAAATATAAATTGCAATTGTTGTTTAAAACACTTTTTCTTACAACATCATTTTTTTAATGAATTAATAATTAAAACTGAAAAGAAATCAATTGCAAACCTAAAACTATTTATAAATTGAAATTTAAGTGTTCAGTGTACGCTGTACATATATACAAGTAATTAAGTCGGCAATTACACAAAACAGCGAACAATTATTGATCCTCTAAACTATGGTGATTAAGAAAAAAAAAATGTGAATTCCCTTGGTTGCATTTCAAATGAATTTGAAAGCTTATTGCCACATCTAATGTGTTGTTGATAATAAGAAGAAATTTGTCGTTTAAGTTGATATCATAACTTCAATTAAGTAGGTATTAAGAATATTTTTTGTTGATTAATGTTACTGACATTTAAAAATGCTGAGCTCGACGCTTTGGAATGTAAAAAAGTTTTAATTATTCGAAAACTTTTTTTCGCAAAAATATCAGAAAATTAAATCTACTTGCATGCTGTGTCTTTCAATTTACGTCAAACATTTTTTCCTCTTAAATTTTTACGTCTCAATGATTTTATTTGTTGTCGCCAATGAATAAACTATAACTGCAATCATGCTCTTGAGCTTTGTGTTCAACGTACTTATGTCTGCTAACAAATAATTCATAAAAAGTACAAAAAAGAAATCAGAAAACTACCAACAACGTTTATAATGGTATTGTCTTCTATAAATAATATAAGTGAAAGTGAAAGAAATTGCAAGCGTCTCGTGACTTACATTTTTCGTTGACTTCTTCTTCTCGTTTTGTTTTCTTCTTTTCTTGAAGACAATAATTATCATTGCATCATTTCTTTCATTATCTTACAAAGATGTCCATATAACCTGTCATGAAATCTTCAAACTATGCTTCACTGTTGAATCGGTATGAGATTCATGAATGTTTAAAAGCAAATTGTAATTCGATGAGCTTGAAGTTTCTAAAACAACAACAATAAAATGGCAAGAAAAACGAAAAAATCAAATAACTTAAACGCTTGAACGTAAACGAAACAAAACAAAAATGCTAAACGAGAAGTGGATCGCTTCGATTCCACCTTCACACGCATTGTGTAATCGAGTTCATGTGAAATTTCACTTTTTATTTTGTAAGGTTTTATGATTAAATTAAATGGGTCAAAGATAAATCATGTAGAATATTCAATAACATTTAAGTATAATTACAATAGCATCATTAATTATTTAAAATCAACTAGATATTAAACCTTATTTAGTGATCTTGAACTTTTGAACTTTCCCTTAAACTCCGATGAAATCTATCGCGTGTGAAACAATACATTGCATGTCTCAAATTTCACATTTCAAAACGAAATGCAAAACTATTCATCATTTTGATATCGGACATCTTTAAGGTTTAACATAATTCACTTTCATGAGTGGTGAGAACACATTAAAAGTTTTAAATGCAAGTAATAAATAAATTTCCAATATCTCACACATCAAATTGAATTGTCAAAACGATAAGTGATGGACCGAAATGACGTAAAGCAAAAAATATTTGAAAAAATCTTGTGGATTGTCGTCGTTTGTTTGAAGTTATTCAACAGTCACTACTTGAATAAGTGAAGTAAATACCATTGACGTATACTTAATTAGCAGTTCGTAGTCATATCATATATTATTATTATTATTCATATACTTTAGGGTACAAAGTAGAAATTTTAATCTTAACTAGAGACTCAACAAATAATGTTTCTTCATATTGTGATAATCACATATTAAAGTCGGCAGAGAAGTCATTTGGTTAACGCTTTTTGATATATAATTATTTTAGACGATTTTGTTTACTCACCTTATTATCACTAAGCGGTATATTAATTAAATCTATTGACTCTTCTGGTTGTGCTACAGGAAGAGAATTTGCTACACAAAAAATAGCTGCGAACACTACGACTGCAACTTTCATTTTTGTGCTTTTTTTGTTAGAAGATTTGATGTTTAATTAATCCAACCTTTTTATGTTGTTCTGAAAGAAGAAGAAAAAAGTGAAAAGTTGTATAACTGAAAAGATTGTAAGGAACATAATTGAACGTTTAGAGCAAAAAAAAGTATTGCGAGTTCAAGGTTTTGTTAGACAGTTCATGAGATTGTTAATCTGTTGAAGTGAAGGTCGATTTAAGTCAACAGACGCTTCCAATTATTCACTGTCTGTTTCTTTCTCTCAGTGTAGTGTAATATTTCTTTTTCTCAAATAGAAACCACATATTTGCAAGACAATCTATTAATATTCATTATTTATGATTTTATGAGGTAACACTTGTGTGATTGCAGATTGTAAGCGTTTTAACCTGAAAGAAGGTCAGACTATTAACATTTTGATTGATTTTAATCGCTAAAACCAAAACTTTATGCTTTTCATTAAAGTTGTTTCTCTTCATAATCGCTTTTTGAGTGCTTCAAATTGAAAGTGGGAAAATTGGGGTTTCCCAATATATATTTGAATGCAGACTTAATTTCTTCTGATTCAGATGATGAAAAATGAAACCGAACATAATTTCAAATTGCTCAAGTCTGTCTTCGTCGTTTTTTGATGAAGATAATTGGGAGAGCGACCTTGAAATTCAGTCTGAAAAACGACAAAAACTCTCATTTTGTTGTTATTCAAGAATTGGAGACAACCGGAGACAAGCGCTTTAAAAATACTTTAAATGAAAATGAGAGTGGTGCACTCGATTACATATGTAATTCCTCGCAAAAGCTGGTTTGAAAAGTCGACTACCTTGTCGATTGCAGCGGCAAATCCAGTACATATATTTAAAAAAGATATTTACGTAGATATTTCTTGCTTGCTTTTATAATTGTGCTTTTCTAAATGTAAAAGTTTCTGCATGTCTTAAAAGCCTAGTTAAATTTTAATCCATTTCTTGACGTAATATGATTTTTTTTTCTTCTTGCATTGTGACAGAATTAGTCTCAACGCGGAAGTTTGTCAAATCTTAAAACATAAGATAAAAGACAAATATAGCAGTTGAACTTAAAAAACTAAAGCGCTTTTTATGGTTGAGCGGTTAGTCTCGAGAAGCCTTCAATTAATTGCTAAAATTTTTAATAGCTATCCTTGAGTAGGTCGGTGAGAAAAATCAACTACTGTTCACTCCAATCACCACCGACACTAATGAAGAATTATCATTGTGTAAAATTTGATTAAGCAATAAAACGTTTCTTCCATTACATCATAACTCAAAAGTGAATCTGAAGAATTTGTTGTGTATGTCTTTAATGCATCAAATTAGCAATGACCAAGTGAGAGTTAATCACTTGAGAAACCCCAAAATTTGTCACTCTTTATATTCAAATTTATACATGAAAATATCTTAAGCAGATAATGTAAAATTAAAGTTGAAACAAACACTCGACACCATAAAGAAAGAAAAGGCGCTTCCATTGACTGCGATTAAATAAAGAAAAAAAATCACATTGACGACTTAATTTTTTTTTGCGTACACTTGCGGCGTTAGATTTATCTACCACTTAGTATGAAAGACACTCCACTGCTATTGCATAATAATTGTGCTTCATTTCTCTTTTCTTCTTCGACTGTAGTTAATTCAGACTTTGTTGGTGTATAAAATAATATTTCACAATGATAATAAAAACATGAAAAGCTTACCAATAACGGAAAAATATTTATAAATCTTCTTGCACCCAAATACAGACTGAAAGATTTCACTTTTTTTCTTGTTTTGATGTTTAAGATTTATTATTCTTTTTTTTTTGTTGTTTTGTTATGACTATGTAGAAATAAGAGAATTTAAATTGCTATGTGTAAACTTTTAATCCATTGATTGGAGGATTTGTAAATCCTTGGATAATTGAATATTTTTTATTCACCTTTTTCATTAATTGCCAAATAAACTCAAAGTGCTCCAATTTAACTTGTAAAGCCGAAAAGAATCACTCGCGTGTCGCGTTCGTACGATTGCTGGTGTAAAACTACCTGTCTTATGCTTCAAGACAAGCAGATTAAAATAAACTTTAGCTTTACTATAGGTCACAAAAATTGAGGAACAATTTTGTGCTTCTTGTCTGCACAAACACTGAATCGAAAATGAAATAAAAGTGAACAACACTTTAAAATTAAATATTTGACCACCTATGTATTGCTGTTGTATTTACGAATATGAACTCACTTTCAATGTTTTTGCTGGCTTAAGTTTCTGTCTGTAAAGCTTTTCACTTTACTTGCTGAGCTTTTTCATGTTTACATGTACATGTAACGCAAAAACGTCTAAGAAGGGGCTTCAATCTTAAAATTGTTGTTTTTTATCTTCTCACTCCGAATAAATATCAAAAACTTTTGCGTTCAATAAACGACAGATAATCTTTAATTCTTTCTATCGAAAACGAGTTGCACAAGATGATAAAACAGGATCCTTTATAAACAAAGTAGTTAAAAAAGACGTTGACGCTTTAATAAATGGACAACGACTTTGCGTAGGGCAACAACATTTCAAAAATTCACGAATATTTATAGAACTTATTAAAAATTTAAATAAAATTTGTAGAATGTTTCTTGAAAATCAAGTTTTAATTAATTATCTGCTTAGTTTCTCAGAACTGATTTAAATATTTGAGATATTATTGGCAAATGGTAGCACTCACTCCACTTCTAATGCTATAACGGAAATTCATTAAAATTTTAAATGAGTCATTGAGGGTGGTAGTAAAATTGCACTTAATGAGCTTTTTTTCAATAAACCGGTTTATCAGCGTCATTGGAAAATTACATATAAGTATTTAATTTAAACAAGTTAATTATTAAAGTTTAAAATAAGCATACCAACTTGGTACATAGTCTACTTTTAAGTATTTAATCACTCACAATGTTACATAATCATACTGATCAAGTTTAGATTTTATCATCAGATAAATGATTAAAGGTCAAGTGTATCCTTCATAATTTTAATTATTAACTTCGAACAATACAAATCTATCATAACAGCCTTACTTGTCCCATTAGAACTCACAATTATACAAATTTAACACGTTATTGCCGATTCTATATATTTAAAACTCAAGTTGAGAGCCTTGCTCGATACTACAAAATCAACTTGAAAACTGATCCTTGATATTAAGAAAAAAATAACAATATTAAATATAATAAAGCAGAATATGTCACGTTTTCACAGTAAAGATATTTCATTGAACTCGATTATGTGCTTTTCACACTACCTGACTAGATAAACTTTCAAACCACAAAAGTTAGCAAGATTGATGAGTTTAAAATTTAGAGCGACTGACAGGTAAAATGTTGACACATTGAAGGTGATGCAAACTTCTTTTTTATCATCTTATAAAAAATTAATATTCTTACAATAATGATCTTTGACTTTTTATTTGCTTTGTATGAGAACATAAAAGAATTTCAAAGTCATGCCAATGAAACGATGAGATAATAAAATCATAGCAAAACAAAACATGCAAAAATGTGAAACATTTCTTTCCATGTGAAGTTTGTTCAGATATTTTAAACATCATAATTAACATTTTACTAAATAACTTTATTACGTTTATTGTTTCATCAAATTGCATTTGATTAATAATAGAGCATATGACCGTTTCAATGACTGCAAGCATTAAGTATGATGTCAAATGCTTTATAAAGTGGACATCGACGAAGACATTCTTCAGTTGGTTTTTTAATTGTTGAAGTGCTTGAACATGTTCAATTCTGTAAATAATATCAAATAAAATCATGAAGTTTGTTATATTTTTAATGATATTTTCGATTTCGTGCCATTCAATAAAAGGCACAAAAGATGAAAAATCGATTAGTAAAGTTTTGAGAAGTTTAATGCAAACTCCACAAACTCAAAAAAATCGTGAAACACTTACGAAGAATTTAAGACATTCAGTTGCAATGGGAGTTGCTTTGGGAGCATTGAGAGTTGAAGAACGAATGGAAAGTAATATAATTAAACTGTTTGATAATTTCGTGAAAACTGTCAGAAGATCTGATCTGGAAAAAGCTGCAATGCAATATAAAAATATTTTAAACACAATTAGTAATGACAGAGTGCGACTTTCTATGCTTAGAAGTATAAGCAATATTGCAAGCCTATCGAAAGGCTCTAATGCAATCAAAGACTCAATTAATATTGCTTCGAAAATTGGAAAACTTAAGAAGGAAAATCCTGTTCAAGAATTGAAGACTTTTGAAGTATCAGATATGGAAAAGAAGTTACAATCTGATGTTCAAGAACATTTAAAACTTATTCGAGAAACAACACGCAAATCAGTAACAGATCTAATGAAGAATCTAAACTTAAAAACAAAATTAAAATTGCCTGACTTGCCTGCAGCTGCTTCATCAAATCACTTTGAACGAGAAAATCTTTTAAATTATTTTATGAAAGGAAAGTTAGGACAAATGTTCAAAAGTCAAAAGCAACAAGTCGATGATTCAGGTGAAGAATTCACTGACAAAGAAAACCAAGAAGAAGGAGACGAAAATTTTGAAGGTGCTTTAGATGCACCTCCTGCTGGCAATGGTGGATTCACAGCTTTAATTGCTAGTTTAAGTGGAGGTGATGAGGGATCTGATGTTGGGGCATTGGTTGGTGTTCTTTCCGGAGCGATTTCAAATCTTCTTGGCCCAGAGGGTCTCGACATTCCTTCAACCCTTGCCACAGCTTCAAGTCTTATCACAGGACTTCTAGCAGGCGATGAAAACTTTGGAAAAGTTTTAGCTTCATACATTGGAACTGTCGTTGATGGATCTTCCGGTGGAGGTGGTGCAGTAAATATTTTCTTTCTTTTTTCATGCTTTATTTATTTAATTAAATATCATTTTCAACAAGGAAAGCAACGGTGAATTTTTTGGAAATTTTGTTGGAACTTTGTTCGCGGAACTTAGTGCAGTAAGTAATAATTAAAAATGAGAAAATTATTTGTGGTAATGTGAAATTTCAATGATAGGATCCAGAAGAAGAAGCAGGACCTCAGCCGAAGTTATTTATAGATTATTTCTTTAGAGGAATTGAACAATCGAAACAAAAGCGTGACACGGAAGATAGCGAAGGAGCTGAAACTGAAGAAAACAAAGGCGGTGGTTCTGCTGGATTTATTTCTGAATTAGTTTCGTCGTTTGTGGGTGGAATTACAAATTTGCTTTTTAAAGCGTCAATTTCATCGTCTGGTGGAAGTTCCCATGGATCAGCTGGGTTATCTTCAGGAAGTTCAGACGGTTCTCATAAAGGTTCGGCTCATGCCACCGAAGCAATAAAAACATGAAATTAGACATTTGATTTAGAAACCAAAATATGACTCAGTAGATGTAAGCAATGAAATAGAAAATATAAAATAATTATTATGTTGATACTAATAGATCAAGCAAAATATTGTTTTTATCGCATTGTAGACTCTACATGATTATTAAAACGAGTTGTTGAACATTCAAAGATCAACCTATTGCAATTTACAATTCATGTTTCTACAGTTTTATGCAAGAAATCTTGCATGAAATCAAGTGTTTGTGTGTTTTTTTTTCTGCTTAAAAACTTCAAGAAAAAATGAATGTAAAAGCGAAAGTTAGTTTGAGTGAACTTTTTTTTTGCCGAAACAAACCTATTGAAGTTGAAGGAGAGTGACATTGCGGTTCTCTTAATTTAGATTGACAAATTACATTAGCTTTTTTGTTATTTAACATAAAACTTTAAAGTTATAAATTGTAAAATGTTTCCTTAGAATTCTTTTATTTTCCTTATGTTCGGATGAATCGAGAGGGGAGATGAGATGTGTGAAAAATTAATTTTAACTCTTATAAATGCCATCATAATTGCTTCACACAGAGAATTTGTCGTCGCTTTGTACAAAAAAAATGTTAAAAACACGTCTGCCGTCAACAACACGTAATTGTATGTTGGAAATAACATTTGATGTCATTAAGCTGCAAACTATAACAGCAGATGCTGAGACTAGGTCAGTATTCAGATCGAAACTCTTTATTTTTCGCCGCATGACTCCAATTTACAACGCGATAGTCTAATTTGTGAAAAAAGTATGAGAAAAAAGGAACCACAAACTTGTACATATTTGCGATTCAAACAATGTTCATTTGTTTTAATTTTAGATAGTTTGGAAGTGTGAAAACCAAATATCCACCACAAATTAATTAAAATTGGAACAAAATCAATGCTTATGGTCAATAATCTAGAATTAATTAAACAATTGTCCGTTTTAGTTGTTCCGTGAAATTAAGAGACGTGACATTCTCGATTTGTCAAAGAAAAGTCACGCTTAATTGTTAATTATCTGTTAGACTTTTATAATACCTTTCGGATCAATAGTGCAATTGTAAAAGTAGCATTTTGCCCGCTCGTAAAACGAGCTTGAATTCTTGCACAATTTCAAAGTTTTTTTTCTCATATTTTTATTTTTGCAACCGCGTAATTTTCTAACAGCAACAAATGAATGAATTCGCAGCCGGCTCTAGTAACAACATTAAAGTAGGTAATCAATTTTGTAAATGGTTTTTGGATGTGAAACATCTTCTGTTGTAACGACAATCAAGACAGAGATAGCCTTGACTCATTCCAAATATGGTTGCAATATTGTATGGATCAAAAGTATAAAAAACATCTTCATAAATCTTAAAAGTTTTTTGATATTTGATTTTAAGGTAGATATAAAAGAAAAGTAGCATCATTAACACATTTAACAAATATGACACAAAGTAGCATCAGCTGAAAATGTTTTTAACGACGCTTCATTGTTTTACCTTCCTACAAAAAGCTACAAAATTTCTGCAAACAAATGAAAATCTGACATTAACAAATAGATTTCTAACATTTTTTTCCTCACTTTATTAATTCTTCAACATTTTTATTTATTCTTATAGGATTTCAATAATATTTTGGGGAGTTCTTATTTCATATCATAAATATTATTTAATGCTTTTGTTTTTTGTCATAAACGTGACTCGTGACCTTCTTATAACTTTTTTATATTCTTAAATCTTTTCAGCAGCTCAATCATTTTTATTAATTAGATATATTCATCGTTAAGTATTCATTTATTCAAGTGTATGTATGTAAGTATATATGTTCCTTAAATATCATCGATAAATATTTTCAGTAGGAGTATTCTAATCTAAAGTAGAGTATATTGCAGTTTAAATATTATTTCATGTTCTTAAATACTCTGTTCGACACATTCAATTGATTTTATATCAACATTAATGCGTTAAAGATTTTCATTTTCATTTTTCGTAGAATTTTACAATTTCAAGAATTTTCCCTAAGGAGATTTTTTCATTATTTTTAAATATTTGATGATAGTTAGCATTTATGAACAAATATTTAAATAATTTGGAATTGGAAATTAAATCTTTAACACCTTTTAAATATTCACTATTTTTCTTTTTTACATTTTAATATTTTGTTAATTTTAATTTTTGATTAAAATTTTCAATTTAAACTTTTTCACGTTCAGATTATTAAGTCACACAGACTTTCTTAAATTCTAGGGGATTAAGGGAATTAAATATGGAGAACAGAGAAGAATAATTTAATCTTACTGTGATTTATTATTTATTTTATTGTCGAACGAAAAATGGATAAGGAATAAAGATATAAATTTCATAAGACTATTTATTTTCATTATCATTTATTTGGTTTAATGAAGCTGAATAACTTTCATGATTTTTATGAATCAAATTATATGATGCAATATTTATGATATATCACTCATTTCTCTTCGAAAAGAATTTTATGTTGGTAATAATTATCTCCTTTCATACAAACAAAAGCCAAATTAAATGAATTCAACATACACGCATTCGAGATATGTCTGGCCAATAAATATTTTTATTCCTAAGAAAGCACAATTAACAGAGAATCTTACAAATTATTCAAAAGAAAACTTTCACTAGAATTAATAACTTTTTGATTTGGAAAACTGCAACATAATTTATTTGTCTAAATTTGGATGTTTTCTTAATTTAAAGATTTGGTGATTTTGGAATTATTTTCATCGTCATTATGACATGCAAACATTTATTATTATTTCGTTATTATTATTACATTGAATAATTCATCGTGAGAATAAAATTACGTTTGATTGAAGAGTATTTAATAAAATAGAATAAACATCAAATCAGCTTTAATTTCACTCCCAAAATGTAGATAAAAGCAATAAATTTTCATTCGACTTTTCATTCGAGCTTGCAATTAAATTTCTTAATATTATTAATACCTCCACAAACAAACAGATAGATGTCGAATTCAATTAAGTATATATTTATCCTTTTTTTCATTTTTAAATTAATCACATACTTACTAGAGTCTACGTTGATTGCAACTCTAATTTGAATCTGAATCTGTATCACTATGTGTTGCCATTGGAGTAGCTGCAACAGGTTCCTCACGAATAGGTTGATGTTGTGGTGTCTTAACTGCTGTAGCTGACAAATATGCATTTTGACTTTCACCCATGGTGTGTTCAATGCCAACTCTGTGAATTTTGAAGAATTGCTTATTAAATATGAATGAAAGTTTTCGTCTCATTATGTCATTGCTTACCTATACTCATGTCTTGCTAAATACCGAACATATTTCTCTGGTGGCTCATCACTGTCAGACTCTTGAACACTCACAGATCTTACAGTCGTGTGCGACACTTGAGTCGCTGGCATTGTAAATTCTATGTACGCATATGGCGCTAGTTGATCGGGGATTTGATCAAAGCTTGTAAGAGCGAGACGACATATAAGTTGATGAGTCGTGTAAGCTCCTGAAAATCAAATAATTTTTTTAATTCATCAATTCACAAAATTTACTTTCTTTTTTTCACAAACCTTGACCCTCTTTTGGTAGCCGAGGGCATCTCCAAACAATTGCACGATGGTGATGTTCATACTTCGCTTGACCAGATGTTACTTCGATGAGAGACTCTTGTAGTGTTTCAACAGTTCCTAAAAATCGTTCAATGCCTTTTATCTTTCCAGTTCGTCGATGTGTTGATTTAACTGAACCATAACGGAAATGCTTTTCAACACGGAATAAGTAAATCCAACATTCGGGAATTGGAAATCTAATTGCAACATCTTCACATGGAATTTGTCCAAGTTTACGTGATGTAAAGCCTGGAACTAAGACGTCTGCTCTCAGTTGAACTTTATTTCCAGTAACAACCCATGTTGCTTTCAGTTGTAAAGGTAATTCACGGTTTTTCGGTGGACGTACACGAAATCTCATGAGTTCAATATAGCAGGCATCTGGTGGCTTAAATTTGATTGTTCGTGTACGTTCATATTGATCTTGTTGAACGCAAGAATGAAACTCAACGCCTTCCAGTCGAATCCACTCTTCTGTTGCAACTGGAATAATGTCATGACGACCAACAACTTCTTTACCTTGTCTCCACAAATCGTTAAGACCAAGTTCAATGTCAGGCATTCCTGATAAAAATCCCAAAAAGAAAAGACGAACTCTTGCAATTTGTTTCTCAATGTAGCCTTCTGAACTTTGTTCTACATAAATCTCATCAACAGCAGTCACTTGCACTTCTTCCATCTTATATGTTAACGCACGATCACGATGAACATTTAACTTAAATAACGCTTCTTCTATGCACATTGAAAATTGCTTTAAATCCTCGTAATTCATTGAACCGAGTTTGAAAAGTTGTGACATTTGTGGTGCATGTTCAACTGGTAAGCCAAGTTTCTTCAAATCACTTCCAAACTCCTTAACACCTTGATAGTCGCCTTCAATCGCGTATTTGGCAAACATGCTAAGTTTAGTTGTGATGCGTTCAGCCTTTGTGACTTGTCCTGGTCGTACACCTGGACGTTCCTTATAAAAAACATATTGAAGTTTAATCGTGAATATCTTTCCGAAGTTGTCAAATTGTTGAGCAGCAATCTCGGAAATTGAGTAGCAACCTTGTAATGGTAGTTCTTGAAAAGGCTCTTTGTCGGTATCTTTATTGAGAAGTTGCACAACTGGATTGTCACCTTGCCAAACCATTCGAACAAAAACTTTTTTCCAAAACCTTTGACCAGTTATTTTCTTTTTATTTGGCTGACGTAGCTGCATTTCCCATCCTGGCCCTTCGTAGAAGATACGTGGGAAGTCTTCGAGAGGTTGAGACACGTCATCGTCAAATAATGGAGTTCCGGGACCCGAATCTTGTGAGTCACGTCGTTCTGGCGATTCTAAAAATTTAAGAAAAGATTTTAAAAATTTGAAATGTGAATGCTTAAAGTTTATTAACTGCTATCCATTTGTGGTTCTGTGTAACTGCTTTCGAATGGATTCACTCTCGGTGATGAATCTAAAGATACAAAATTATTAAAATATTTTGTTTCATCAATCAAAAAGCTTAATTTACCTCCTGAATAAACTGAACCAGAGTATGGAGACCTTTGAGGTGGTGGAGGGCCAAGAATTGGCGCAACACTTCCATGATCATTAAGATCAAAGCCAATGGCTTTTGGTTTTATTACTACACTAAAATCTTTTCCTTCATCAGAATCTATCGATGATCGGCGATTCATAAACGGCGTACTTTCTGGAACAACTGGAGCATCCCATGAATCAAATCCATCTTCATTACCAAAGCCATCATCAACAACATTATTTCCATCGAATGCGTCTGAGCCACCCCAAGCATCAGCAGTGTCAACTGCAGTTGTCTCAAGGCTATCCAAGAATGCATTTCCAGTAGCCTTTGTCTGTCCTTTACTTTCAAACTTCATCGAGAAGTCATCAAATTCATCAGGTTTTACAATTTCAGGAACAACTGCTGGTTGCTGAGTTTTAACAGATGACAAGACACTTCCATCACGAGCTGGTGGTGGTGGTGGTGCAGCTTTAGCTGGTGAAGTTGTAATTTGTCCACCAAATATTGGTGCAAGTTCAGGCAAAGCCACAATAGGGTCTGGTGTTGTAGGCCGCTGATTCTGATAAACTTCCGAACGTTGTTGCAGAAATTGTAGCTTTGGAGAAGGTTCGTCTTCAGCTTGTGTAACTTGAATCTGAGTTATTTCAGGAGTCTCAGACTCTTGCAATGTCGTATTACTAAGATATCCACTTGATGTTGATGTTGTCACTTTTTCAATCTCAGGGCTATGATGATTTGATGGAACTTCTGATTTTGGTTGTTCAACTTCTTCAACTTCTTTCTCTTGTTCATGATTATTTAATTTAATGGAATGATCTGGTGATATTTCCATTTTCGTCATTGAATCAGAACTCGCTATATGATTCTCAACAAATTCTTCCTTTTGGATTAAAGGTTCTTCAACAATTGGTTGTTGTGGAATGACTTTCTCTTCTTGCACTTCAATAACAATTTCTTTCTCGGGTTCATATGGTTGAACAATCGCCACTGCTGCTTGAGTATGATTTTGAACAGTGAAATCAATATTTTCCATATCTTCACTTAATAAATCTGGCTTCTGATCAGCAACCACAGGTTGTGTTGGTGCTGTGAATAAACTGAGAATATCTTTATTTGATTTTGGTGGAGCTGGTTTTGGAGGTTTCTTCTTTTCCGAGCCAAAGAAATTGAGCAAATCATCGTCGTCTTGTTGATGAGCTTGTGGATCTTTTGCTGAATTATTTGTGATGATTGGAGGTGGTTCAGTGACTGGTGATGATTTTAGTGATCCTTTTGGTGGTGTAGGTCGTGGAGGGACAGGTCTAGGGGGTGGTGGGCGGTGTGGTTTATGTTCAACTTCATGATCATTTGACTTCGGTACGACATTGTTTGATTGTTGTTCTTGTTCACAAGATAACATATCGGAAACATCTAACAAATCACCAACATCAGGCGAATGTAAATCTCGCATCGAGATGGGACTTGGCGTTCGAGTTTTTGGAAGTTTTCCCAGTAAATTTGTGCTGGTTTGATCCAAATGGTCAGTTAAGTTTGTGATTAATTGTTGTGTCATTTGTGATGGTGGCAACGGCCGAGGTGGTGGCTTATGACTGTGCACAGCATCATCCTCTGAATGCTTCACAACATCATCTGCCATCTCATGCTGAGTTATAATCAAGTCATTTGGTTTTTGATATTGCAATCCATCATATTCGTTTATTGTAGTGCCAAAGAAACTCATGGTGGCATCAACTTGTTGTTCATCAATGTCATTCTCGACAATGAACAAACTTGCACCAGATTCGGCTTCGACATTATTCTTCTCATTGGCATTATCATCAGCATCATTAAAAGCAAAAGGATTACTTGCTGAGAAAGGATTTTCAGCTGAAAATTCATCAACTTCATCGTCATCTTCTACTAAGAAAGGATTGGAATAAGAATCAGCGACGGGATTTTCTGCACCCGTCTCTTCTTCCATAAACAAGAATGGATTGGCCATGATTTCAAATTTATTTTGTGTTCTGTGAGAATTTAATTAATAAGCTCGCTTTCAATGATCTTAATTTCAGTTTCTCCTGGTGCTAAATTTGCAGCAAATGAAGTGTCAAATGGATCGTAGTCTTCTTGTAACTCTAAATCAAGTGAACCACTTGGTTGTGGTGTCAAAATCTTCACGTAAATTGAGTTGTCTTGAGTGTCTGATAAGATATCAGTTGGTGGTGCTGGTTCCGGTTTCTTATCGATAAGTTCGTCTTCTAAAAGTTTAAGTTCAGCAGAACCTGGTAGAATGTTAACAGCTATCGAAGTGTCAAATGGGTCGATTTCCGCTTCTTCCGGGGTGCTGCTGTTGTCTTTATAAGGAGTGAGAACTTTAGTATCGTGACTTTCAGATTCTAAGAATAAATCTGTCTGAGGTTTTTCTGGAATTGGTGTGATAGCACGAGGGTCAAAGTCGGGATCAGAAATGCTATGTTTAAGTGTCGTTTCTTTTAAAATTTCCTTTTCAATCAATTGAAGTTCAATTGATGTTGGTGCGTTGGCTGGAACGAATGAAGTGTCGAAAGGATCTTCTTCAACTGTGTCGTCAAGCGATATTTCACGAGTATAATAAGGTGTGAGAGGTTTGGGAATCTTTCCACTTCCTTCAGCGTCTGCTTTTAATAAGTCAGGTGTCGTAACAGCAAATGACACAAGTTTGTGATTTGCTGACGGAATTTGTAAGCTTAAAGATGACTTTCTCTGTCTTAGTTGATCTAAGTCAGGTTTAACTTCCTCGTCTGCTCGAGGGTCGAAATCGTCGTCACTTAAAGAAGCTTGTTGATTACTTTCCAAAAGTTCTTTCTCCAAATATTTTAATTCAGTCTTGCAAGGTACAACAAGTGCGTCAACTGCAGAGGTATCAAATGGATCGATTTCAACGTCACTTTGTGAGTTAGCACTTGGCTCTAATGTTGGTATAACTTGAGCTAAATCAGTATGACTTGTGTGCAGTAAATCCTTCTTTATTACTGATAAATTTGAATTTTCTGCTTCAGCAGCTTTTTCTAATTCTTCAATTGCTCGAGGATCAAAATCGTCGTCGTATTCGATTGATTTTGGAACAACTTTTTCAACATAAGTTGTGTCAAATGGATCTTCATTTAAATCATCATCATCATCATTCTCTTCTTCACCAAGCAAAATTTGTAAATTTGATGGCTGTGGTGGTCTTGATGGTAGAGGTGGCCGTTTTGGCTTTTTATCTTCTTCGTCTTTTTTAACTTCAAATTCAGACCAATCACTTGCAACTTCTTGTGGTGGTTCTGGTGTTTTTGATCGACTATAGATAATTGAATCTAATGCTTTTAAATCATTAACATCATCACTTTGCTGATCTAAATTGTTGCTATTTTCTTCCTTCTTTTGTTGAAGAAGTGATAAGTGTAGAGAAACACTTAAATCGATTGGAACTTCTTCACCAAGATCTGTTGGTTCATCTAATAATAAAGTTTTTGTAACAATTGGCTCCGAAGCTGCTGCTGGAATCGATTCACTGTCTTCAGATTTAGCTTCGAAACTTTCTAATAACAAATTTTGAATTCCACGTCGTTGTCTTCGTGTTTTACTGGTACTTCCAACTACTTCAACTTTTCCAGTAAGAACTTCAACTGCTGCACCGATATTAACAAGCTTTTTGCCACGTGTTGAAACTGCAGGTCCTTTAATAACTTTCTCTGCGTAACCTGTGTCAAATGGATCTGGCCCTAAGTCAGTTTCTTCTTCAGGTGAGTCAGGAATGTACGCTAATGGAAGTTCTCCAGTTTCAACTTTATCAATATAAGTTGTATCAAAAGCTGAATCATCACACTCTGATTCTTCTTCTGATTCCGAAAGTTCTACTACTGCGTTTAAAAGCTGCTTCGCAAGATCTTCTTCTTTTTTAGGAGGTTCTACTAAAACTTTTTCTTCTTTTGGCTCAACTTTTGTTTGACTTGGTGGTGCAACTCGCTTGAAAAAAGAAGTCGATTTAATTCGATCTAAATCTCCTTGAGTCTTTTTTAGAATTGAATCAACGCCAGTTGTGAGAGCTGCAAACTTTGACCATTCGTCATCGGCTTCACTTTTTTCGTTTTGTGGTTCTTTCTCAGCAACTTGCTGCTCACTCTGTTGATGTTCACGTTTGTACTGCTGTAATTCTTCTTCGGTGAATAATTCTTGATCCTTTTTTGATTTTTTTCCTTTCTTTTTCTTTTTCAGACCTTTTGGTAATTTAAGCATTATCTATTAAGCGAGACATCGACATGTCTAAAAATATTCAAATATAAATGAAAAAAAATTATTTTCCTTGTCATGCTATCAATTTGATTATTTTCACTAATTGTTAAGCTCAACTAAATGTGATTAGAAATATTTTATAAGTTTTCTAAACTCGAATTTTCCTTCGTCTTTAATTCGAAAATTCCAATTCTCAAATTTAATCCACTTAAAGTAAAGATAAGATTTCTAAATATTATCAAAGCATTTCCTACAAGATTATTACGTAAAAATTTCCAACTGGAAATGAGAACTTATTCTATGTTCTCTGACTTCTAAATATGATTGTGAGTAAGTTTTCGAATGTATATGATACATGCGCTCTTAAGTAAAATTTAAATGAAGGAAAAAACCAAAGAAAATATCATTTAAGATTTCTGAACTTCCTTAAAGCAAATGTCAATGCTTGTATTCTACTTTACTATCCCAATTTTAAATGTAATCGCTTAACTTGTTTAAGTAATTATCCTTGTATCTCCATTCGACGATCGATTAAACTTTATGGTGGCTCTAAGCTTTTGAGCTTTAATATTTTAAATTTTGTTTCAGTTGAAAAGCAAACACGTAAAACATTCGAAGCTTTTTAAATTCTCTATGACTCTACTTACGCCTCTATGAAGTCACTATTAAAAAGAGTTTATTGTTCTTTGATTTAGTTTAATGAATTTTTTGAAAGAAAAATTCACAAGCTCACTATCTGAAACACTTTAATTTTTATGCGAAAATCGATATTGGGAAAGCTCATGGAAAGATTCCATTGGAAAAATCTCATGACGTAATAAACTTTCCACAACATCAATTTTACACGCTTTGATGAAAGATATTGCATTGAACACAATGTTATTGCATTTCCGATTTTTATCAATGTGATTAATAATTTTTCAATGTGAAAAGTGAAAGCATGATTTATGAAAATTTAAATTGCTATGTACAAAGATAATTAAAGGGATTTAATAATTAATTTCTAAATCAAAACTAACATCATAAAATTTAAAATCACTACTGCTGTTGGTTTGATCTCCTGTACTTATATAACAAACTGAAATACATATCACTTTGTATTATGTTTCATATATTTAAATATTTGTCAAATGTAAACAATGAATAATATTCAGGATTGTAACAATCTCCTGTGGAACGCTCTGAAAGTGAAACCCTCATCATTCAAGTGATGAGACATGGGGAACGAAACAAGAAGGGATTTAGGTATATTCCTGTACCCTAAACGTGCACTCCGTAATAAGTATAACGATGATGAATTAAATTACTTTAAAAACCTTTATATAAATGTGCATGAAAAATTAAGCCTGAAGGTTTATTTTATAATGATTTGCAATGATAATTTCACTGAACTTAGTTTTTACTTTAATTCTAATATTATTAATCATGAATTTTTTAAAGGACTTATTGAAAATCGGTCTCATTAATTTCATCAAAAATCACAATTAAGCTTAAATTTAATTACCTATCTGATAATCTTCTTTAAGAGTGTGATAATAACAGCAATCATGATTGATAGATTTGATTATTGTTTGTTGAATAAAAATGATTAAGAATTCGTAGAAAAAAATAAGTCATTCTTACTGATTACCTTGATAGATGGAAATTTATTTAAATATGCTTACTTATTTATTTAATATGTTTAGGCTTCTATAAATACTTACCTCGTTCTCTTCAAATTTAACTGAATATTTTTCAAAGTGAAGTAAATCGCGAAGCTTAAAAATGAAATTTTTGTTCGCTTTTGTTTTGATCGCTTTCATTGTTATCGCTGTTCATACAGCAATTGTTCCAAATGGAGAAAAAATGGGATCACAATGTGGATCAGACTTGACCCACAATATTGAAAGTAATTTTTTTATTTTTATAAAATTTTAACTTGAAATTTCCAAATTAGATTTTGATATTTAGAACGAGATGCTTGTAGAAATCTCACCAGTATTGATGAAGTCGACAACTTGATATAACTTTGGATTGGAAACTCTGACAATGAAATTTATAATTAAAATTCTTATAATGTTTTAATATTGCATGCATTCATTAAATATATTTAACCCTCACCCCCGCACTTTGCAAATTAAAAATTATTTTTTAAATAGTGGCTTCTTTCTGGTTTTATTGAAACTCACATTTCATGACAACAAATATTACAACATTTAGGTGTGTATACATATTTATAAAAGTAGACATTAACATTCGGGTAACATTAAATCTTGATAATAGAAATCGTCATAATTCTCATCGAAGCATTCGTTATTTGATAAGAAAAGAGATGAAAGTTGCTTTAACTTCATAAACTCTTCTCTGTCTCTTATAATTTGAATTTTATTTGAAGACAAATCCAAATAGTTTAAGTTGAGAGAATTTGTAAAATATTTTGGTGTAAAGTGAGTCAGTTGATTATGCTCCAAGTTCACATACTCCAACTTTACACAAAATGAGAAAAGTTCTATTGGAAGATTTGAAATTTTGTTGTCTTGCATTTGAATTTCTCTTAAATTTTGAAGGTTTTGAAATGATTTTTCAGTGATTGTTTCAATTTCATTTCCAGCAAGTCGCAAGATTCTGAGTTTAATTAAACTTTCAAAATTTTCATCAGTCAATGCAGTGATGAAATTTCCATTCAAATATAAAGAACGCAAATTTGAAAGGTTTTTGAATGCTTGATATGGAACTGAAATCAGTTTATTGAACGACAAATCGAGAAAATTTAAATCAACAAGACCTGAGAAAGAATTTTCTCCGATTTCTTCAATTTCATTTCTTATTAAAATTAATTGTTTAAGTGGCACGTAGTTTTGAAACCAATCATCAATTATGTTTGAAATATGATTAAGTCTTAAATCTAAAGTAGTTAAATATTTTAAATTTTCAAATTCGTTTTGTACCAAACGATGAAGTTGAACATTCCGCAAATTCAATTTCTTGATATTTGGAAATTTTCTTGAAATCACTGCCGGGAATAATTCTAAGCGTGAATTAGAAGTTTGAATTTTCATCACATTTTCATCATTATCACCATTGAAATGACTTCCGCTTATTGCAAACTCGTTTTGTTGGTCCTCTAAGAAAATTGCAGAAAGTTTACATGAATATAAATTTTCATTGTCATAAAAATATTCACAAAAAGAATTTTCAAAGTTGGAAAAACATTTCTGAAGATCGATGTTTAATTTGTCCATTAATTCGTTAGAGTTCTCTTGAATAATTGCATCAGAACAAATGTTATTTCGTAAGTCAACTTGTGTTAAATTCAACATTTCAGAGAACAAATCAATTTCAATGGCATCGATTGAAGCATCTCTTGCTTTAAATTGAGTTAATGATGTCAATGTTCCAAAATCTTTAGAAATTAAACGATTTAATCGATTAAAACTGATATCTAAAGTTCTTAAGTTCTTAAGTGGTTCCAAAAATCCTGATTGGAAAGGTGAAAATTGATTGTTGTTTAACATTAACACTTCCAAGGCATGACAAGAGATAAATAAATCTTGATTTAAGAAACTGATTTTATTATTTGAGAGAATCAATTCCTTTAAACTTTGCAAGCTTCTAAATGCTTCTGATTGAATAATTCTTATGGCATTTCCAGACAATTTCAATTTAGTTAAACTTTCCAAAGGCTTAAAAATGTTTCTTGTTATTCCACTAATTTTATTATTTGATAAATCCAATTCCTGTAAACTTTCAAGTCCACTAAAAGCTTCATCATTTACTTTTGATATCGCATTATCATCAAGATCAAGTCTAGTCAGCATCTTGCAGTATACGAATGAATTTGCTGGTATTTCCTCCAATTTATTTTTGTGCAGGAATATCCGTCTTAGATTGTTACACTTTTTAAATGAATTATTTGTTATATTCTTCACGTCGCATTCATTAACATCAAATTGATTAAGGTTTTGGAATTTTTTTTGAATTTCTCCTGGAATATCTTCAAATCTAAGATTAGATCTTGGGACAAAGATTTGAACATCTTCATCACTATAAGATCCCACATGTGCTCCTGTAATAATGAGCGAATCTCCTTCACGAAATATGCCATTTGATGCTCCATAACATTCATACTCTCCATCATGCTGCGATAAGTCCAAAAAAATACAATCGAGAGTGACTTCTTTTGTACATGTGACACTGAACAAAGAAATTAAAAATATAAAAATTTCCTCGAATTTCATTTTGAACTCATTGAAAGCTAAATGTTTACTGAAACCTTGACTGAAACAATAAATGACTTGATTCGATAAGCTTAAGATAAAAATTACAAAACATATAATTAGAGTTGTCAAATTAATCAAAACGGTTGACTTATCAATGATGATAAGAGAATTAATAACTACATAATCCGAATAAGTTTTGATACGATTTTTGGTATTTTAACACAGTAACTACCTAGCACGCTACCTTTACTGAATATCCTCAATATGTAGTCCTAGGACAAATTTTACGAATTAAAATGTGATAAAAATCTTAGAATTGAAAATAATTCTTAAGCACTACACAATATAAAATTGTTTTAATTAACTTGAGTGCTTAGAAATGATTTTCTGTAGAATAGTATTGAATAGTGAAAGGTCAATTATTGCCTTTCTTTTGATTGTGCTTACAAAGTTTTAAGCTTTGAATAAAAGGAAAAAAACTTAATAACAAAACGTGTTTAGAGTATTTTTATTTTATTCATGAAGCACCAACAACCAATAAAAAAACAAAAACGGACACCATAAAAAGATTTAAATTTGGAATGGATCTTTTTTAATGAATTTATCCAATTCAGCTTCACTTGATGGATCGTAAGCTGATAATTGCGAAAAGCCTTCATCATCGACGAAACAGATTTCATGTCCATTGGGATCGGAAAGGATAACAACACGAACTGAAGCTTTTCCGGGTGTATCTAAAGTCACAAGTGGAGTAAGAATTACTTGACTATTTTTCTCAATCAAATTTGAGATATCTGGTTGTAAAGCATAAGGGACACCAAAGGCGATTCTACCAAAAGCTTCAGCACGATCGAATTTCTCATCAATTTTCTTAAATTCAATTCCGAAACGTCCATTATTGTAGCTTAAGAGGGCAGAGGTTGCATCTTGACGAATTATTGTCATGTTGAGTATTCCATTCCAATATTTAATTGAAGCAGATAAGTCGGTGACGTTATAAATGATGAATTTGATCGGATCTTCATCAGCAGCTGCTGCTTCATTCAAAATAAAGAAGTTGAAGCCATCCGGTGCCTTCAATAAAAGTCTTCCATCGTTTAATGTCTCATATGGATACTTATTAAGCTGAGCTTTTTCAAGAACAGTTTTCGATTTAATCGTAACACCTCCAAAATCATTTCCTAACTTGTAAGACTTAACTCCGTAGTTGTATGTCAATTCAATAACAAAATGAGTTGATTCATCTCCGTAACCAACCATTGTCTTACTCCACCTGTTGTCATACGGTCCATTACATTGCGCTGCACATGTTTCAGTGAACTCTTCGTGACGAAGAACCTGTGTTAGAAAATATTAATTTTAATTACTTTCTAAATGACTAATTTAATTGTGCTTTGATTGACATTTATTCTTTTTCATAATTTAATTTATAAGCCGAACAATTAGACGAAACATTAACTCAAATTAGTTCCGCTTGTCAACTTTTATTTTGATGCAGGTCAAATTATGTCACCCTTGTCATCGTCTTTTGGCTTCTTTTAAAGTTTTGTAACATGACGATTAAGATGACTGACATAATTGTCATTATGAACAATTGTAATTACAATCTAATAATTATCTACCTTCATTCCTAAAATCTTACGATAAAAATCCATCGTCGCAGCACGATTTCCAATTCTAAATACATGATGAAGAGCACGTCCCGAAATCCCACTCATTTTGAAAAGACAAAGAATGAATGACTGTTCAAATTTCAAATAAAAGAATGAATTTATAGTGAAATTCTATTTCTTTTTGAGAGTTAAAGTGATCTCTTAAATTTGATAAACAAAAAAATCACAAAGTGCGCATTATGTGCGAGAAATAACATTTCGTTCACTGGAAATGTTTTGTCAGTCGGACATAAACAAGTTTGTGATGTTTGCAAACACATTTCATGATAACTTAATTTTCTGTACAAGCCTCACGTTTAATTGAACAATTGAAAGTCAAAATAGTAAACCTTCTTTGGATACTATCGGAAAAGCAATGTAATAATAGTTTGCGGAAACTTTGAACGCTCAAGTAACACTTAAAAGACGTAACTACTTATAATAAATACGAAAAGAAAAAACATCCCCGAGTATTCAACCATATTCATCGTTGTGTTTTTATTTTTATTCGTAAGTACATAAATAGAACCTTTCTTACAATTTTTCATATATTTCCGGCTATTTTGAAGGAGATCATGAACCCTCTTTGTTTTAAAAAATATATATTGTGCTCCACTTAAATCATAATTTCATTTTTACTTTTTTAAAACTCAAAATGGCTTGAACCAAAATTAATGTGATAAAAACATATGTAGACGAAAAATATTAGAAATTTCCAAAAATAATACTTGCACGGACACTTCGAGCATGTTAAAGTGTCTTCACATTTATTTACTTATTTATCAAAGTATAAAACTATTTTTAGTACTTGCGGTCAGAAAAATTCACAAACCAACCATGTCTGGATCTAGCGGAAAACGAAAGGAAATCTACAAATACATTGCTCCATATCCATTGTACTCAATGAATTGGAGTGTCAGACCTGACAAAAGATTTCGATTAGCATTGGGAAGCTTCGTTGAGGAATACAACAATAAAGTTCAGATTATTAGTCTTGATGATGACACAAGCGAATTTAGCGCAAAGTCAACATTTGATCATCCCTACCCAACAACAAAAATTATGTGGATACCAGACTCAAAAGGAATATTCCCTGATTTGTTAGCTACCAGTGGTGACTATCTTCGAATATGGCGTGCGGGTGAACCAGAAACTCGTATGGAGTGCGTGCTTAATAACAACAAAAACAGCGATTTCTGTGCACCACTCACCTCATTTGATTGGAACGAAGTTGATCCTAATTTGGTCGGAACTTCATCAATTGACACAACCTGCACAATTTGGGGATTAGAAACAGGACAACCTTTGGGTAGAGTGAATCTTGTAGCAGGACACGTGAAGACACAACTTATTGCTCATGACAAAGAAGTTTATGACATTGCTTTCTCTCGAGCTGGTGGTGGACGTGATATGTTTGCTTCTGTAGGCGCTGATGGTTCTGTGAGAATGTTTGACTTACGTCATCTTGAACACAGCACGATTATTTATGAAGATCCCGCACACACGCCACTTTTACGATTAGCTTGGAATAAACAAGACCCGAATTACCTCGCAACAGTTGCAATGGATGCCTGCGAAGTAATTATTCTTGATGTTCGTGTTCCTTGCACACCAGTTGCAAGATTAAGCAATCACCGTGCTTGTGTTAATGGCATAGCCTGGGCACCACACAGGTATGTAATATTTTTTGTTTTCTATTTATAAATTGTAATGAAAATATTTGTGTTTCTAGTTCATGTCACATTTGTACTGCTGGCGATGATCATCAAGCACTAATATGGGATATTCAGCAAATGCCTCGACCTATTGAAGATCCAATTCTTGCCTACACAGCTGCTGAAGGTGAAGTTAATCAGATTCAATGGGGACCGACACAACCTGATTGGATTGCCATTTGTTACAACAAATGCTGCGAAATTTTGAGGGTTTAAGACAGAAAATAAAGCATAAAGTGAAAAAGTTCATTGTAGATCCTGCTTTAGATATTTTTAAGAATTTTTTACTTCAATATGATTCTAGAATTATGTGAAAAAATCATAAAAGTTGAAGTTCAATGAGCACAACAACTTACAATGATTAATTAATCTTTTAATTTAGTTTAAAAGCGGCGAATGATCAACTGTGGAAAAAGATAAAGAAATCTTTTTCAAATCTTTAGATTTGTAATTTATTCATTATTTATGAGATTTAATTGATGAACAAAATAAATTTTTGTATATTGTACATATCTTAAAATAACATGAAAAGACTTTTATTTTCTTAATGAAGGATTGAAAACATTTATCTTGACGATCGTCGATCACAACATGAAGTGGAAGACGAAAAATTATTTTCGAGAAGATTTTCGAAAATGAGAGAAATTGAGAGACGATAAGAAGTTCGAGTGAAAGTCTTGACAGATATACAGAAATCAAAACAATTGTTGACTTTTTTTGTTATTTAGCTAGGATTGTAGAGAAATATTATCAACTCTTCTTTAAACTGTGACCATCAATTGTGTTCTGTTACCCTGAAACTTCTAGTTAGTTCTAAATGTTATTATTTAATTAATTAAACATCGATAACTCTAAAATAAAATATTTTTTATACAGAAAACAAAAATAAGATTGGAATGGATTCAAAACCGAATGAAGAAGAAAGACTGAAACTTTACAAACGTTGGGAAGCTAACGAAGAGATTCAATTATTTCGAGATTATCTTCGTTATCCTACTGTTCATCCAAACATTGATTATGGTAAATAACAATGAATTAATTTAAACAATTCTTAAATCCTCTTTTACTGTTAAGAATAGAACCATGCATTGAGTTTCTTATCAAACTGGGCAAAGATTTGGGACTTGAAGTTAAAGTCGAACGTCCATCAGTGATGACTAAACCAACTGTAATAATGTCCATGATAGGCGAACAACCTGAATTGCCATCAATAATTCTCAATTCTCACATGGATGTCGTTCCAGTGTTTGAAGAATATTGGACACAAAAACCTTTTGATGCATTTATGGATTTAAATGGGAAAATCTTTGCTCGTGGTGCTCAAGATATGAAATGTGTTGGGATGCAATATCTCGGAGCTTTGAGAAGCTTTAAGAGAAATCTTGTAACATTTAAAAGAACAATTCATGTGTTATTTGTACCTGAAGAAGAACTTGGTGGTGTCGGTGGAATGGCTGATTTAATTAACACGGAAGCCTTTAAGACTTTGAATGCAGGCTTTTCACTTGATGAAGGTAGTTTAATTAATTTATTTTCCTTTTTTTTCTGACGTTTTTGTTTCCTTAGGAATAGCATCTCCAACGGAAAGCTTTGATGTTTATTATGCTGAGCGAAGCATATGGCACACAATATTTAAAATCAAAGGAACTTCTGGTAGTGATTCATCAGTTTCACTCATAAGCGACACTGCGGGTGAAAAGCTTCGAAAGTTTCTTGATAAAATTTATGAATATCGAGCAACGCAAGTGGCGAAACTTAAAAGCGATTCTAAATTATCAATTGGGGATGTCACGACTGTGAATGTGACGATGGTGGACAGTGGAGAGAAATCAAAAATGACACCGCCAGAAATCAAAGTCATGACAGATTTCCGTCTTGCTGTTGAAGTTGATCATGACGAGTTTGAAGAAATGATCAAAAATTGGTGTGCTTATGCTGGTGGTGACATTGACTATGAATTCGATTATAAAGATCCTTTCATAGAACCGACAAAAACTGATGAGACGAATCAATTTTGGACTGCACTTCAATCAGCTTTTGTTGATTTGTAAGTTTCATTTTCATCATTGAAATATTTAATTAAATTAATATTCTTTTAATAGGAATATAAAGACACAAGTCAAAGTTTTTCCTGGTGGAACTGATGCACGTTTTCTAAGAAGCGTAGGAATTCCAGCTATTGGATTCTCACCCATGAACAACACTCCAATTTTATTACACGATAATGACGAATATTTGGAAGCTGACACTTATCTCAAAGGAATTAAAATTTATGAGAAAATTATTGAGAAAGTTGCAAATGTTTGAAAATAAAGAAGCGATATGACGATTTAAATTGCACTCGATCATTGACCGAAATTTTATGATGTTATTCACTTGAAAAACGTTTTCAATTCAACTCGCTTTTATGTCATATTTAGACATGAAATTGTTGCAAAAGTCAGGACGTAATTTCAATTAGAATGAGAAGGTCTTTAATCTTCAAAAATACAATGAAGAGCAGTAATGTATATTTAAGTGTTTGATATCTCTTTACACAAATGTATCTACATAAAGTTCGCTATTTCGTTTGCCAACTGAAGTGACATCAGAATCAGATTGTAAAATTATTTTATATTCTCCTTTCATTGTATGAGCCATTCGTCTCAGTCTCGCCGACTTATCATTAAACAATTAACAGCAATTGCTGATAATGCTTATTGTTCATATCTGCTTGAAGAACTAAAATACTCAAGCTAAAGCTCCCCCCTATTCTTACGCAAAGAGAAAAAAATGACTTAATAACTTCTCGTAAGTTACTTTCAATTCAGATCGCTTTAAGACGCTGACTCAGTAGCATCGTTTTCAAAAAGAAAAACAAATAAAATAACTGATTACGACGAAAAGTCTTAAAGTTTCCGATTACGTTTAACTTTTTTCAAATTGTTGATTGTGAGGAAAAATGAGTGCTTGGGAGGAAAACGAAGAAATTCAAATTTTTAGGGAATATTTGAGAATTCCTAGTGTTCAACCAAATGTTGATTATGGTAAATAAAAATTGTTGAACGATTTTAAGTTATCTTAGAAGTTCTTTTTCTAAAGTGTTTTCAAGAGCTGTGATAAAAATTCGGTGTTGTTAGATTTTAAATCTTTTAACATTATCATGACAGAAAGATTAAATAAGAGTGAAGAGACACTTCACTTGTAAATTTTCTTCTTGATGTGGTTTGAAAGATAACGAAGATCACAAAACTGACAACATAAATTGTTCTTTAAAGTTTAAACAGTTGCTGCAATCTTCAAGAGTTTAACTAAAGAGTTTATCTAAATTAATTGTTCTTGTTCTCATATTGATACACGTGCAATATAAATCAAGCAAAAGTGTCTATTTCTGCACTCGAATGAAGTTAGTTATTTTTAAGTGAGATGAAGTGAACAATGAAGTGAAAATTTAAGATGAATCAATGTGTGATTGATAACATGAATAGTTTTTTCTATTACAAAGCTCAATTCTTCACTCAATTAACAGCAATCATCTTTATTGCTAATTTCCCTTTCAGAACCGTGCGTTGATTTTTTACGAGCTCAGGCCGACGAACTGGGCCTTGAATTTCGAATTGAAGTTCCAGTCACTCCAAAAAAACCAATTTGCATATTAACATGGATTGGAACAAGACCTGAACTCAAGTCGATCATTCTGAATTCTCACATGGATGTTGTTCCAGTTTTTCAAGAGTTTTGGACACACGACGCCTTCGCAGCTGATATCGATGAAGAAGGAAAAATCTTTGCACGAGGATCACAAGATATGAAATGTGTCGGCACGCAATATCTTGGAGCTTTACGTCATTTCAAACGAAACAATATCAGATTCAAACGAACCATTCATGTAACTTTCGTCCCGGAAGAAGAGATCGGCGGTGTCGATGGAATGAAAGAATTCGTTCATCAAAAAGAATTTAAATTGTTAAATGCAGGAATTTCTCTTGACGAAGGTAAATTACTTTAATTGTCTTCTCTTAATTACGTCACATTAATGTTATACTTTTCAACTTTCAGGCGTTGCATCACCAAATGATGAATTTAGCGTTTATTATGCTGAACGATCGATTTGGCATGTTCATTTCACAATTCCAGGACAACCTGGACATGGATCATTGCTTTTGAAGAACACAGCAGGAGAAAAAGTCAGAAATTTACTTGATCGTTTCATTGACTATCGAAATTCTCAAATCAAGCGATTGAATGACGATCCCGACTTGACAATTGGTGATGTGACGACTGTCAACATTACAATGATGAAAGGTGGCGTTCAGTCTAATGTTGTACCACCTGAATATCGTGTGACTGTTGACATGAGACTAGCGCTTGATGTTGACCATCATCACTTCGAAAGCATGTTCCGAAAGTGGTGCGATGAGTCAGGAGAAGGAATCAAATATGAATTCGAGCAAAAACAACCGAAGGTTGAACCAACGAGAACTGATAAAAGTAACCCATTCTGGGGTGCATTCAACGAAGCCACAGATGAACTGTAAGCTTATCTATATGAACTTACATTTAATGTTGCATTTAAAGCAATACATAAATCGTAAATTTTCAGTGAATTGAAGACCAATTTACTTGTGTTCCCTGGGGGGACCGACTCGCGTTACATTCGTGCCGTTGGAATTCCAGCTATTGGATTTTCACCGATGAACAACACTCCGATTTTGCTTCACGATAACGATGAATTTCTCAAAGCCGATGTTTATCTAAGAGGCATTGAAATCTATAAAACAATCATCTCGAAACTCGCTAATTTGGAGTAAGCAGAGTGATGATGAAATCCATTAAATTTTTTTTATTATGTAATCAATTTTTCCATAAATAATAAATTGACTTTGCCAAAATAAATGAATGAATCTTTTGTTTTGCTTTGAACTTAAAACGGAAACTTTAGCTCTGATAAGCTCAATGATAATAAATGTATGTAAATGCAATCAATGAATTGACACTTGAGATCAAAATCTTGAATTAATCTAAAGATACTACAAAAGCGTTTTCGAGTGGGTTGATGACAATTTGTGTACATTTTTGCATTTTCCAAGATATTTTTAATGTTTTCATGACGATGCAATTTCAACTTTCATAACAGTAAACAATTGCAAATGTTGCATAACAATCAGCTGTGCAAAATATTTTTCCAATTATTTTTCATTAATTTACAAAGCAAAGTTGAATGATAATTTTCTTGAGTTTTCATTATCTTGTTGACTTTACTTTATTTTCTTTCACTCTCTCGCATGGCACAGAAATAATTTTTTCCTTGATTTTATTTTAATTTTCTCTCTTGTTTCTCTCTTCGAAAGTTTCTTCGAAAAGATCATAACAAAGTAAATATTTTGATATTTATTAACTCCGGAAAATTTCTTTTATTTTAAAATGACTGATATGAAGTGCAGTAAAAAAAGTAATAACAAAACAAATATTATCGATTTATTTTTTAATTCATTAATAACATTTCTTTGTTTATTTATCTTGACAGATCCCTGTGTAAGTTTCTTACAAAAGTTAGCCAATGAACTTGGCCTTCAATTTCATGTGGAATGTCCTGTGTCGAAAGAAAAGCCAACAGTAATTTTAAGTTGGATTGGAATACAACCTGAACTCAAATCTATCATGTTGAATTCTCACATGGATGTTGTTCCAGTATTCGAAGAGTTTTGGACACACGATCCATTCGCAGCTGATACTGATGAAGAAGGAAGAATCTTTGCGAGAGGTGCTCAGGATATGAAGTGTGTGGGGATGCAATACCTGGGCGTAATTCGATATTTCAAGAAAAACTACATTCAATTGAAGAGATCAATTCACGTTGTGTTCGTACCTGATGAAGAAATATTTGGACCAGAAGGAATGAAAGCTTTCGTATTGACTGAGTTTTTCAAACGTTTAAATGTTGGATGTGTTCTTGATGAAGGAATTGCATCACCCGATGATACATACAACATGTTTTATGCTGAACGAAGATGCTGGCGTGAGTTTGAATCTTAATACTCGAATCAATTTATTTATTAAAAATGTTTTGTTCTTTGCAGATGTTTTGTTTCGTGTTTTCGGTCAACCAGGTCATGGTTCATTGTTACTGGAGAATACTGCAGCTGAAAATCTTCATTTATTAATGGATAAAATTTATGATTATCGAGCTTCACAAGAAAAGATTTTGAATGAAAATCCTTCTCTACTTTTGGGTGATGTGACAAGTATTAATGTAACAAATATCAAGGGTGGTAAGCAGAGGAATGTCTTACCACCATTCATAGAGGCAACAGTTGATATTCGAATGGCAATCACTGTCAATCCAGGAGAATTTGAAGAAATGCTGAATCAATGGATAAAAAGTTGTTGCGATAATATTGAGATAGAATTTGAGGTGAAAGAACCTTATTGTGAGCCGACTATAATTGATGATTCAAACATTTATTGGAAAGGATTCAAGTCAGCAGTTGATGAATTAAACATAAAAATTTCACCCCAAGTATTTCCAGCTGGCACTGACTCGTCTCATATCAGGTAAGAAATTAATTTCGATACAAAACTTTAATTAAACTCCATCATTTTTCTTCTAAGACTTCTCGGAATTTCTGCATTTGGCTTTTCGCCAATGATCAACACACCCGTCTTGCTTCATGATCATGACGAGTATCTAAGTGCGGATGTTTATCTCCAAGGAATAGAAATTTATAAGAAAATCATTCAAAATATGGCGAATGTTGAAGGATGAAAGAAGAAAATATTCAATTCTTTAATTAACATAAATTTTACATCATTTGAATCGTAAATTTAATCATATTTGAAGATTTCATCTTCTTATTTAGGTTCTGGATTTAATCATTGCACGATAATATTTTATTCAAAAATATCATTTGTGTGATAATTTAGAATTTAGTCTACATAAATTGGAATTATTATGCTATAAAAATTATTTAATTTCTTAAGAGTCATTGTTAAGTGTTTCAAACACCCAACCACCCATTCCATCAAATTTCAATATTTTTGTATGGAATTTCCACAATGTTGGACGGTGTGTGATTGTTAAAAGTGTTATTCCCATATTCTTTGCTGTCTCATATATTGAGCTTTCAACATCGATTGAAACTGCACTGGTGCATTCATCTAGTAAAGCATAGTGTGGTCTACAAATAGCAACAAAAAATTATTTATAAATCTTATTAAATATTTTATTTTAATATTACTTATGATAGAATAATCTCGCTATAGCCATTCGTTGCTTTTCTCCACCACTTAAAGTGTCTTTCCAATCACGAATTTCATCAAAACTGTCACGTGTTGCAATGTAATCGAGTGAAACTATTTTCAGTATTTCTCGAAGTTTATCTTCACTTATTTGCTTGTTCATCATGTCTTCAAGTGTGTCGGGATAAATTATTTGTTCACGTAAACTTCCAATGGACATATAAGGACGCTAATGGTAGAAAAAAGACGTCAATTAAATCAATTAAATCTTCTTAAACGTCATTTTCTTACTTGTGGAATATAAAACATGCACGGCTTGTTTTCACAAGATTTTGGCAAATAAAGTTCGCCATCATAAATAGGCCACAAGCCACTCAAAATTCTAAACAAACTCGATTTTCCACAGCCATTCGGACCTGTGATAAGCAAATGCATTCCAGGCTCAATCTTCAATGTTAATTTTGGTACAACAATATCACAATTAGGTGTCACAACAGGAACATCTTTCAATATTATTGACATGTTCTCTAAATCATCGATGTAAATCACTTTTCCTGTAATTTCAACACATGGAAATTAATTAAAGTTGTAAAATAATTTTAAAATATTTCACCTTTTGCTACTGGCTGACCATTTCTAAACTCAATAATTCCTTGCGTCGTAGTCTCGTCAGCAACCATCGTCTTTTTGTAAACACCTATTGAAACATCGTCAAACACTTGGAACATTCCCGACACTCGACTTGTGTAACCAGCAAGTGCAACAATTTCTTTGTATGATGACATTAATCGTTCAACAGCATCAGCGCCAGAGATAAGAAGATTTCTAGCAGTTGTAAAGTATTGAGTTCGTTCACTAACTCTACTTCCATTGTTGTTGTCTTCATTGCTGGGGCCATCTTTACTTAAATTACTTGTCGTGAGTATTGGAAGTGAAACCATCACCATACCAGTTCCACTCCACACATATTTCATGAAGAATTGTTCGACCATAACAAACCAAAGCTTCTGTGAATAGATTTTATTCATTTGCCTGCATAAACGAGAGTATGCATCGCTCAATTGCAAATGTTCAACCTATGTTGAGTGTTACGAAAGAAGAAGTGAAGTAGCATTACATAAAATATTTTATCAACTATTTATTTATGTGAAATAATAACAACATACTTTATGGCCGCCGTAAAATGCAATTTCTTCAGCATTTGTGATGATACGTGAATGAATGTGACGTAAATATCCATTTCGATTAGCTTCTTCGGAAACAAGTTGACCGAACTTTGGAGATACAATTCGCATTATATGTGCGGTTGTTGATATGACAAAGAATCCCAAAAGTGGTCCATTTACAATATTTGCTTTCATTTTGTATGACGAATGAGCTAATGATAAACCAATAAGCATCAAATCGAAGCATGGCTTTGTCAAATGTGAGTAAAGATGCGCTACTGAACTTGCAAATATTGAAATGTCTTCCGTCAATAAATGATCGGCATTTTGAATTCGTCCATCAAGATTTGAAACTTTGTAGTATGTTTGATTTGTGAAATATTGTTTGTATGCATGTTCAACAAGTCGCGTTCTAGAAATTAAAGGAATGAAAAGATTTACCACAAAAAATTGTTATAAAAGTCGTAATTGATCAAAGTTTGAAATCTTCCATTTCAATTCTTAAAAAAATTACGAAGAAACAGAAAATTTGTGTAGCCATCAAGCATTTTCTATGATTAATATCTATTAAAAAAAATCACTACGTTTCTAAACGGCTTTCGTGTATCTACTGCTGTCCGCGTCTAATTTTTCGAGGTCACATTGACGCAATGATCCGACTAAAGCAACAACTTTCATTTGAAATAATCAAGTTTCAAGCAAATCTCATCAAACTCTTAAATTGCACAGGCAGATATTGCAATGCTAAATTACCAATAACTGAATAACTCAAACTGAACATAACATTCGTCCGTGACTCAAACTATGATGAAATGAATGATTTCAATCGGCGACTAAGAATTTAATGTTAGTTTTTATTCACATAGAGAAAATAGCAAAAAATTATGAATCAAGCAAATTTTTAACATTTTAATTTAATAGTTAAAGATGTAGATCAAGAAAAGCTTCGTAATAAACTTTGATTTATCACGACAAGATTATTTTCTATTTTTTAATGTAATAAAATTTAATAACATTTATTGAAAAGTTATATCAAAACAACATTCTCACCTGAAAGCCAATGCAAGTTTATTCTCCAAGTATCGAATCATGGAATTTATGAATGTCGCTGGTATTGCAATACCAAACCATTTCATAAGCATCCATATGAAGTTCTTAACATCTTTACGAACGATGTATTTGACTATGGCACCTTCCATTGCTGCAACATAAATGCTGAGAAAGGTTCTTGATATCAGACAAAGTGTATGAACTCCAAGTAATCCGGTTTCACGACAAACAAGTCTTGGAATCATGATCTCCACTAGATGCTTCAATTGCAATACAAATTCTAAGTTCAATCCAGGTTGCTTTATTTTTCTTTGAACAATTTTCAATTTCACTTCTTTCTCGTCTTCATTTTTTCCAAATTTACTTTTAGTTTTCTTTATGTTGTTATTGTTGTTAGCATTGTCATTGTTGATTGAAGATTTCTTTTGTTTAAGACGTTTCTTAATGTATGGATATGAAATCTTCACAACGTATGCAATCATTGCTGTGGAAAGGATTGTTTTTGAGATAACTTTTACGTTGTTTCCTCGTCTTTCATAAGTGTCAACGGCATCAGCCAATAACTTTGACACGACAGCCGGCATCCTTGAGCTTTTCCTAGTTTTATTATTTCTCGAACTGAATTTGTGTTATTTGTAAGCCTCTTATTAATCAACCCATTGTAAATGCTTTCATACTTTGACCGCAAAAAATGGATTTATATAGTTGAAGTCATCGCTTCTGTAAAAAAAAAGAAATATTGAAGAAAATGAAGACTTTGAATAAATGTGAAGAATAAGTAAGATGCAAATATTGTTGAAAATTTGTTAAGTTTTTTATTTGTTTGTTTCAAGATTCGTAAACCTTGACATGCGAAATTTCAATTAGCAAATCATAGATGAAGCTAATAAAGTTGATGTCTCCAACATAAATTATTTAAGATTAGTTTTTAAAATTCATCATTGATTATTAAAAGGTATTGGAAGCTTAAGTAGATAAATAGCTTTAAGTGTCAAACTTTACTCCATCTTTAAGCCTTGAGAATTTGTTTGAAGCTACTTGAAGTGACCTTTTGTCAATCTGTTGATATCTTCTCTAATTTTATTACTTCACAATGACGCTTAAGCAATCATTGTCATTTTGGAAAGAGAGAAAAAATTTAACAAATTTAATTGGAAACCATTTTTCTTCACGCATAAGATGATTTCTTAAAAAATTAACTTAAACTTCTCGAAGACCAAAAGAGAGACGATTAAAAATTCCCCGCTTACAATAGAATTCAAGGGTATCATATAACATTTGTGTAAATTTTAAGTATGCTTAATGAATGGAAGTAAGAAATTGATTTTGTGAACGTCAAATTTTGCGTTAAACACGATATTATTAACTTGACTATGAAAATTTCGCAATATGCTTTTTAAAAAATGGAAACACAGAAAATTATATGAAATGACATTCTTGTTTATGCAAGTATGAAAAGATTAAGAAAATAATCAATAATGTAAAAAGCACACGCAACTGACATTGACATTGAATTGAAGTTGTTACTTTTTGTTTTTATTTCGCAAATTTATTTTAACAATGTCTTTCTTTATTCAACTGAAGTTGTGCAGAATAAATTGAATAAAAAGAACCAAATAAAACCATATAAAAACTTAACTCATGAAAAGTGTTGGTAGGGAGCAGAAATCTCAAGTAGCGGCAACTAATCTTTATTTAACATCCGAGCAATTATTTAAAGTAAACCCAACTGAGTTTCAAGGTCATAATAAATGAAATATTTCAAAGCGAACACGTAAAAATCTACACAAAAAATTAAAGTAAACGAATCGAAGTATACAAATGTTTTTCTGCTGTTCATTAACTGTTTAATGAACGGATGAGAGAGAGAAAAAAGTTACCAATTAATATACTTAATGTACTTAATTAAGATGAAAACGTACGAGAAGGTAAAGCTATCTGATTTTCTTTTTTTTTTACACTGAAAGTATAATTAAAAGTATGAATTTGGAGGTTTCATTTTTTGAACCTTATTGCTTAAAAGCTTTAAAACATACTGATATGTATTCGCATTCAGCAATGTAACGTCAAAAATGTGATTAGTATATATTGTAAATAGACATGTACTATGTATGTACATATATGTACATATATTCAAATCGGAAGATTTCAATACACAATAATCATTCAAACGCAAAAATTGAATTTAGCAGTTTCATTTGGTTGGCTTTACGAACGTAACGCTTGCATGGTCATTTTCCTTTTCAAAGTTCATAGACATGTACAAAGTTGGTATAAGTACGTTTAAACTAGCTAAAAGCGTCATTAAAGTAGAAGTAAATCTGGTCTTAGTTATGCTTAAGACAAAACGAGTAAATTTACAGAGTATGTAGATTTTTGCAACATCTAAATGGCACTTGTTGCATGGGTTGCTATGGATTAAGTCACAAACGCTTTAACAAGTTTTTATTTTTTAATTTCAACGACTTTTTATTTTTTCTAAGTATGACAGAATACAATTTATACATGCACCGTTCGTTAAACACTTGCACAAGGATCTTCTCGCAAGAAAAAGCCAATTGAATAAATTGCCACTTGTTATTGAAATTTTTTTTATAAAAGTCTCATTAAAGTGAGAGTCATTACGAAATGTACATCAACTTATCAAGTGAATGTAATTTACATGTATACTTATGTTGTCATGAATTATTGATAGTTGAATTACAAAGTGAGTTAGTTTATTTAGAAAAGCGTAGAAACAAATAAGTGGTCAGAGACGATAACAACTTCAAACTATTCTCAGTTTCTAGACAAGAAAAAAGTTTCATAAAGTTAATCAATATTGAATATATTTGCCTATAGATTCCCGTTTGTTGTAATGTTTGCTCTACTTTTTCTGTATATATTTGCCTACTTCTGTGTATATTTTTTTCTATTTTTCATCAAACATGTCGACATTTTAACTTGAACTTCAGTTTCGGTTCACTTATTTATCACAATGAACAGCTGATAAGAAGGAATTAAATGGATTTAGCAACAAATCGTAAATGCCGAAGCAGAATTCATTTAATATTGACTGCATGAAATATTTAGACTTTGCTTCTTGTTTATATCTAATCTAAAAAAGAAGGAAGTTTCCAAGGAAAGACGGAAATTGGCAAAAACCCTTTTCCAATATGTTCTTTTGGCATTAAAGTAGAGTTCTCTCTATTTTGCTATGTTTACTTTTACGTTCTCATTTCTTACTGCTTCTTTTTTTCTTGTCTCTTTGGTGCTACATATATAAAAACAGAGAAAACCTTTCATTGAACCTGTATGAACAAAGAACTGCAAAGAACAACGGAATCTTTGTGTGTAATAAAACTGTACTTTGATTTTTTTCTTGATACTTTTATCTCTATTCGTCATGAGTCATAAACTAAAATGTATTCAAAGCTGTCATTCACACGTTCATTTAATATTGGCATACATAATTTATGCAACTTTTTTCAACTTACCTCCAGAAAAAAGTATCCGAAAACGATTATTATGTTAAGTTGATATTTAGTTTACAGCTGTTGAGAAAGTTTACATGTTTTTAATCTTTTGCTACTCTTTTAAAAACTATTAATCAAAAGAATTATTTATATAGAATTTTTTTATTAATTTTTTTCAAAGCTTCAAAACATTTTTATTCTATCTATAGACAGATTATGATGACGAATTATTTGAAAATATTTACTTTTTCCACTTCTTTTCTATTCCTTTGAAGAAATTCAAAATATCACTGAGATCAAATTGTTTATTCGCGAGACTTTCCGCTTCGAGATTTCAATTCGAACTATTGAGCTAAGCGGAATGAAAAACAGAATGAACAAACTCTAACGCAGTTGGTTTGTGTTATTTTCCTCTCCCAATAATAATAAAAAAATCATTTTGCTTGTGTATAGTGCGCTGAATACTTGTGGAAACCGATGGAAGTTATTCCGGAATAACTTTAAATCAATACAAAATAGGTAGCTTTTCTTTTTGTATGATGCAAGTGTTTATGTCATGAAATGTGTAACTAGATAATTTAAGTTGTTTTCCCATTTCATTTTAATTCCTTAAATGACTGCATTATTATTGTAGTTAAGAAGGTGAATGAACGAGAGCCAGTGCATTAAAGATTGGCAATATGCAAGCTGTAAAAGTGTATCATTATATCTGTATATCATTATGAATATGTTGAAAAACTATCCTTTAATCGTTATTGAATAAAAATAATAAACCTCTTGATAAGTCAATTTTTATTCTCCGATTGCAAGTAAAATCTTATTGGATTCTCTTAAAGTTGTGAAACACATTGGAAAATGAAACACTTTAAGAAACAAACACTACCAAAATAATGTTCTTATAAAGTAAAAAATACTTTACGAAAGTGTGAGTAAAAGCTTATGAGAGTTAAACACAAACAAAACCTTCCATATGATTTTTGTTTACGATTTTATGAAATTTTTATTTTCAAATATTTTAATTACATAGGTTTACAAATTTGGATCGCTAATTGTTAATTATATTGAATACACTTTGTATTTTAAATAAATGGTCAAACTCACGTTTCGGAATGAAAAGAAGAAAAAAGAATAAAAAAATAAATTTTAATTTTTTGCACGTTTAATCAATGAAATGCTTGTGTCGTATGTCATAGTATATATCAAACTGTTTCAAATAGTTATGTATTTTCAAATAAATTTACATTTTTTGTAAAAATCATCCTATAGCCAAGAAGGAAAATCTACTCCGTAAAAATATTTAAATGCTTTTATATAAAATTAACACATTTTTCCAAAAGGGAAAATAAAGAAGTGATGTTAAGGCATATTCTGTGATCTTTAAAAATAAAGTATCTACACGATACTAAAATAATTTCTTCTCACTAAATTTCGGCAACACAAACTTCAATACTTCAACATATTTTGGATTGCTATAAACTTCCCTTCTAATTTCTGCTGCTCCTTCGCCTTCTCCAATGAAATTTTCAACTTTGGCATGCTCTGGGTTTTCAATCATCATAACTGGAAGAATTGACAATGTAGCAATAAGGCCTTGATATGCTTTCCGTTCAAATTCCTCCCGAATGTCATTCAAATTTGGAATTCTTCCAAAACTTAATTGCTTCAATGAAGCTGTCAATTCTTTATGATAAAACTCGAGAAATTCATCAACTTTCTCTATTACATCAGAGTTACATGATGTGTAAAGAAAATGGTTAAGGTCAATACCGACTGATCCCCAAAAGCATTCTTGAAAATCAACCTTAAAATAAAATACAAAAATTATAATTATAAAATACCTAACTCAAGTTAATCATGAATCTTACCAAAACCGTGTCAGTTGGTTCTTGTTTTTCATTAAACGATAAGAAAATGTTATTGATCCAAAGGTCGCCGTGATTCAAAACATGAAACTTATCATTTGTGCTCCTCGTAAATACTTTTTTCTCTTGCTCGACGATATCAAAGTTCTCCATTCGATTGAAGAAATGTGCAAGGTCCGGAATATTTTTAATAGTTTCTAAACTCTCTTGCATGCTAACAGTGAAAAAGTATGCGATTGGTGTCATTTCATCGCTGTCAATAGCTGATTTCAAATGATTCCTCATCAATTCTGGATCGGTTTCATGTAATTTCATTGTCGCTGCGTGAAACATTGCCAATTTACGTAGAACAGTCATTGCTTTGATCCAATTAAGCCGGTTTTTACGATCAGCAAGAAGAAACCCATGCCGACTTAAATCTTCGAGTACTAAAGCATTTTTATCAGCATAAACTAATCTTTGGTTGATAAAAATATTAATAAAATGTTTAAAGTACAAAATAAAATTTTATCTAACTTACCTAGGGGCAAATTTACATCCAGGAAACAAATTCTCACTTTTTGAGAGAATATTAGCATAAACATGAGTCTCGCCTTCAAAAACACCGATTTCATCAATCATCTCACTTACTGCCGCAGATTCAGATCGTGTTTTCAAAACAAAACTTATATCTTTATTAATCCCAATCGTTAATTCATATTTAATTGTTACACGAAAAATTGCACTCGCGAAATTTTCTCCCTTATTTGTTCCGGAACTAACAACGTAATCAGTTAATTGCAAATTATCGTGACCTTCGTATTTTACTAAAACTGATTTGAAGAAATCTCTTGTCATCCATTCAGCTACATCTGTTTGTTCCGACGACATTCTTTTTATTTTAATTTAATAGACAAACAAAATAAAATTAATTAAGCAGTTTTATAAAAAATATTTAATTTTTAGATTGAAGAGGTTTCGACATGGAATGCTTGACTAAGTAAATGAAACTAGGTAGGTAGTGAATTAAAGTTATAAAAATATTTCTCTGTTGTCATTCTCTCGCTCTCTCAGATTCTTCTCAATACGCTCAAAAAGCTTCGAGATAAACTTTCCACAAGCTCATACGTTACATTCAGAAATGACGATCGAAAATACATTTTCAAATGAAGCAGGAAGTCATAGTGTGTCGTTGTTCTAAAGAGTAATATTTATAAAGTTTATTAGAAATTTAGATTTTGTTCTTCAAAGTCTTGTATTCAATACATTAAAAAAAATTAATTAATCTGTTAGTCTTATTAAATTATTAAGTTAAATGAAAAGTGTTAAAGGATTAAATGATGTAATAAAATTAGTTGTTGATCAGTTTTCCAGTTGATTGTAAATGAGTAGTGGATTGTTGTCTGTTTGACTATCTCATTTAGTATTTGGCGATATGATCGGGACAAAACCTGGCAAATGAATTTAAAAACTTAAGATGACAACATTATCAAAATACTTTCTACTTACCACTTTCCTTTAGGTGTTTTTGTAATATTGACACATTTATAGTGAAACCATTCATTTTTGCACGATTCATAATCGCAAGCAATCATAGATCCATGACTTTTCCTTTGACATATACAATAAAGTTTTTCATTTAAAAATGTTTCAGAATTTGTGCTTGATAGAAGAAATGTTAGATTGTCTGGAAGGCAGTAATAAGAACAATACCTGAAAGGAAATATCAATCATTTTAATTTAATGAATTAGTGAAAACATATCTGAGATACCATTTCTGATTAAGAGAATTAAGTGTTTTGATGCAATCAGAATGAATCCAGCTCATGTTACATTTAGGATTTGAACATTTTTTCATGCTTTTCATTTTCGTATTGTCGTATAGCTTACAAACATCGCACATTTTTCGAGTTTCAGATTGATTGGGCTTCATTTTGCTTAAAGGCTTTGAAATTGACCCGTTGTTTGACACATTTTGCAATTCCTTAAATGGGAGTGACATTGCATCTTTCCTAATTGACCTTAAAGGATTTTCGCGTAAGAAATAAGGTTTTGCTTTTTCTTGAAAAGAATTTTCTTTGTTATTTTGAAGAGTCGAGCTTAATAGCTCACTCAATTCTTCAAGCTCGGCCACGGTATTCTTTAGCGGAATGATTGATTTTAATTTAAAGTGTGTGCAAACTTCTCTTAGCTTAGTATCAATCATGAATAACTTTGAAATCAAATCATCGTAACCTGTAAAAACTGAAAATTGATTGTCATTTCTATAAATTACATATTAGGATACTAACCATTACCAGCCATTATCGAATCTTTTTAATTATTATTATATAGATATTATTGATAAGGATTCGACTTCTTTCTTTAGTTATGGTCGAGTTTTTGTATTTTTTCTGAAACACGTCTTTTACCTTTAAGCGCGAAAAAATTCTAAAATTTATACAGCAAAGACACAAACTAAAATCTCAAAAATGTGTTCAAATCCATTCAGATTTTTAACAGATTTTAATGTTATCAATTTTATTAGAAAATAGACAAATGATTCACTCACTTTCAACCACGAATTCTAAATAAAATTACACACTTTTGTCAAAGTTACCATTATGCTGAATATTCAAAACTTTTCCAATAGTTTCTGATCAACCTAATAGGTAATTTCTATAATCTTTTCTCACTTTATTAGATACAAGACAAGTATTTTCCAATAAATAATAATTAATTTACATCTTTTTAGCTTCATAATGTTGCAAATAAAGTCAAAACATTATAGAATTAGAAATAAAATAAAATTCTTTACCAATTTGATTTAACTAAATAGTTTTGAAATTATAAATAGTCTTGCAACAATTTTAAGTACAATTTATGAACCTTCATCGGAAAAAAGTCCCGTAAGTGTTGCCATCCGATCACTTGATTTTCCACGATACGCTAAGATCAAATTTTGAAGCTCTGAAAGTGACTGTTCAGTCTAATGAAGAAAATTGAGAAAACAAGAAATGTTTATAAAGAATTAAAAGAAATTAGACAACAATTTACCTTCTTTAAAAGATCAATCGCAGATTGAATAACTTTTTGCCATGTTTTCATTTCCTTCGAATGAAGTTCTTCTTGAATTTTAAATAAATTCAACCATTCTTCAGGAGATTTTGGTGAATTTCTAATTGAACCAAAAATAATCAATGTTTAGTTTAAATTTTTAGAATACACAAATTCATTAACTTACTTTAAGAAATCAAATTTCGATTCAAAATCATTGTCTTGACGTTCATCTAATTTCCATAATTTAACATACAACATAATGTTTAAAATGATGAGTGTACTTAAAAGAAATATAACAACCCAAGACAACATTTTATGTGACTTGTTACGAGCTGTTTTTGATTCTTTTTGTGTTTGCATCATTTGATGTGCATTAAGACCACTAACATGTCTTATTGACGTTGGCATTGTTTCATGATTCTCATGAGATTTAATTGGAAGTGTTGGTTGTGATGTTAATGGATTGGGAATCGAACTTCCCTTTCTAGTTCGTCTGCTTTTTGCTTTCGCAGGTGGCAAACAATATTCATCCATTAAAGCCTTTGAAAGTGATTCATAAAACTCTTCTAAACCTAACCACGTGTTCTTTTCAATGAAGCCCTTGATTACACCCCACACAGATTTCTTATATTTAATTTGTGCATGAACAGACATCACGGTTGAATCATCGACAGTTCTCTTCATGCAATAATGAAGTAAAACGTAGAAACTGTCTGCATAAGGAATACCTGAAGAATCAAAAGTAAATTAAGTTTACACATTAATTAACAATTTAATTTCCTTTCTTACCAGCATTGACAGAAGTAGCATCAATCGAATAAAGTTGCCCTGCCTTACTACAACTTCTCATCACTTGAGTTTCTGTGACATGAGAAGACTTTGGACCAACAACTTGTGTGATTGCAACAGTTAAACTTATAATTCTTTGCTTTGTTCCATCAGGCATATCTTCCCAATCACCTTGCTTTAAATCTGTCGTTTTTCTCATTTTGTGAAAGTCTGAGAAGAATTTTGATTTATGGAACAAAAGACCAAAGACACTCTCAATACTTATCGGTAATATTGTGTGAACCAATTGACGACCTTCGTGCATTGAATTACATTCTGCATCATTAACGAAATCCATCTTTGATGTATTTTCTGAGTCTGATGAATCACCAGACATATCAGTTGGACAAGTCTCAGAACTTATGCAACTTTTTGTATCAACAGACGTTGCTTTTATCGATTCAATTGGTTGCTGTTGTTGTTGTGTGTTCGTTGAATCACGAAGGGTTTCTTTAGTAACAGGAGATGATGACGAAGATGACGAATTTCTTTTCGTTTCTTTTTTCAACTTTTTATCACTCAGTTTTCCTGAAGATGACGAAGACGCTTTTGGTTCTTCTGAAATACTTTCATTTGAGACTTTAGCTTCAAATGGATCTATGTAGTCTTCATCGTCACTGGTAAGTCCAAGTTGTTCACCATAGCAGCTATGAACCTTAAAAAGAGAAGGAAGCAAATAAAAATAAATAAATTTATGAAGAATTTATTAAAATTAGATCAATTTGATAATGAATGAAATCGAATTTTACCGATTGCCATAACTCTTGGGGATTCATTGGCTTGTCCATAAGTGCATTTTGCCATAAACGGAACAGTATCACATAAGCTTTATCGCGCGATGCAAATGACGTGAGGAAGTATTTTTCTGACTCAGTTGTGATGAGAATTGCATTTGGTATGACTTTGGCTACCTTTTCTTTGCCTTTTTATGTGTTTGTGTGTATGTGTGATATTTTTTATTGAATTATTATAAAAATTATTAGAAATTTGACTTCAAGTCAACTCACTTATCCCTGTCACATCTTTCCAATTGATGATAAAGCGTGTTTCGTATACAATAATATTTGCGTGAAAACACAAAGAACTCTGCGACACATATAATCTCCCATGAACCAAAATATCTTTCTGGATAGCACATGAATAATCTTTAGCACATGAATGTTGTGTTATGGAAATGAAGAATGAAAAGGAGAGAAAAATAAATGTTAATTACCTTTAATTTAATTATTTTTTTCTATTTTTATGAAACTTTAAACTGAACTGAATATAAATTGAGACGAGAAACTAAACGAAACTTATTTCTCTTATCGCGATAGGAACGAATTATTTTTTATTTCACTGATAACAACTTTGTGGAATTATTGATAAAGAAAAACTTGCTCATTTATGTTCAGACGTTGAAAAGTTTTTCATAACAAAGTAAATATTGATTTCACGTGTTCTTTCTTTCTTTCTTCTTTCTTATTTCTTTCTCAAGTTTTTCTTTTATATTTATGTAAGAGTATAAATATCATTGAGCAATCAATTTAATTCCAAAAAAAGAAATTAGATAATCACTTCATTGCTTTATAAAAAACATATTGTGGAACGTGTAAGTGATGACTCATGACTCAAAAATTGTTCAAGTTTTTGATTTTTCTTAAGCTTTCTTATCATTATTAACACAAAACAAATAACGCACCTGCATTAAGTTGGATCGTAAACACTTAAAATAAAGACATGAAAGGTTTGATTTACTCACCAACAACTAAACGTTCATCATCAGAAACATTAAACAGCTTTTTAAAATCTTCATCCCGAGATTTATAGGAAGGATAAATGGCGCTGTACCAAGCTTTCTTTTTTGCTCGTTCAGCTAGTTTTGAGACATTTAAGGAGGAAGATCTTTTACTATCATTTGTGCCATCTGACTCATTATTTGCTTCGTTAATTGATTGAAGTTCCTAAAATTTAATTTGTATAAATATCAATTAAATAAATTTATTCTTCTCATCGCTCTTACGACTTCAGAATTGCTGTCCAAAGCTTCAGAAGCTGCATACGAGGTTTTACTCTTTTCTAACTGCTTATGCACAACACTAGGAGAACGTCTCAGATTTATATCCTTGATCGCAGATGTTGTCATCGACACTGCTTGATTGATCGCATCTTGCGATGACGACACCAAATCATTTACTGACTTTTTCCTTGTAAAAAGTAATAAAATGTGATTAAACAGATTTGAATTGAATGTTTACGAAAACAAATTGAGGAAATACGTTTTTGTGTAATTCTCTGATGATGAAAAGAAAAAAAAAATAAAACGTCAATGAAAAAAAAAACTTTTTTTAGAAGAAAAGAAATGAAAGGAGAAATATATTTGAATTATTACATCAAAAAGATTATCTAATGGTTAATAGATTGAACTTATTAATGTCAATTTAATGAAAGTAGAAACAAGGTTAAACATACATATTAGGTATTAATAAGAAAGGAAAAAATAATCTGAATTTATGAAACCTGCGTTTTTCTGCACTCTTCCATGAGTTCCACTTCATTTCACTTACATCAAGTCTTCTCGTTTTCGATTTGATATAAAATTCATCTCTTTCACAATGACATTAACACAGGAATCTTCTTAAATTTAACTAATAATTTTCTATTATGATTATAAATAATGAATTGGTTTACAAATTTAAGAAAAAAAGTCAGAGATTGAAAAGCTCCTTATAAACAACTTCGAAAATTATTTAAATTTTGAAACATCGTTAATTTTGGTTTTTTCCCTGAAAATTAACTATCTAATAAATTTTGATACCAATCATTCATTCAATGTCCATGAAATAAAAAGATGCTTCACTTTCGAAACTTCTATTCATTTATTTTTTTCAAGTACACGTATTGGGAAATTGTTGAGGTAGATCATGGTCAGTCAGTCATATTTATGTAAACTAAAAAAGTTCTCTTCGAAAGATAAATTCGAAAATAATTTTAACGTAAAATCTTCAAACTGACAGTTGACAAGGTTAAGTAAGCTTAATTATAAATTCTTCTAGCGAGTTTTATTTGTTATAAATTGAAACAAATGAGTCAGTTCAAGTTTCTTAACGATATGAATAATTTGCTGAATCTCGATGGGGAGTTAAAAAATCAATCAAAGCCAAGATGGCAAAGAAAAATGGAATCTTCAATGAATGGATCTGTGAACGCTTCAAAACTCAGCGTTTCTTACAACAATAGCTTCATGACAGCAATGAGTGGAACATCTATGACGACTGGAAATAAAACTCCAAATAAATCCACCATTGATGTCAGTTGCTCTAAAAAGAAGACTCCAAACGATAAAAAATCTCCAGGTAAAAATTTTCAATTGTCTTTCATGAAACCTTCTCTGAATAAACAAATATCACTTAGGACGTAAAACACCAACAAGAGGAGGAAATGTTATCAATAACAATGGCTCAAAAACACCTTCAGGTGGAGACAGATTTATTCCAAACCGAGTTGCGACAAACTTTGAACTTGGACATTATTTGGTAATTAATTTTAAATATTTTAATGCAACATGATTAATAAAATTTAATGTATTAACATTTAGATGAAACAAGAGCAGCAAAAAACGGATGGAAATGAAAATTCTACAGACAACAATCAAAAGTCGCCTAGCAACAAAGTTCGAGCTCTTTCTGAAGCAATGCATGGAATGGACATATCCAAGAAAAGGATCTTAACTTATCAGACAAAAGCTCCTGCTGCTCCTGAATCTCACATCAATCCTCTTCGTGTTGTCTATTCTGTAAAAACACCAAGTTCAAGTAAAAGTGGAACTCGCTTCATTCCAACAAATCCCGAACGTATTTTGGATGCTCCTGACATCTTAAACGATTATTACTTAAATTTACTTGACTGGAGTTCAGCCAATATCGTCACTGTAGCTTTAGGAACGTCTGTCTACTTATGGAATGCTGAAAGTGGCAATGTTGAAATATTATTCGAGAAGGAAGCAAACGATCACGCTTGTTCATTAGAATGGATACAGGAAGGGCACATCCTAGCTGTCGGTACCAACAACGGAAATGTTGAGCTTTGGGATTGCAGCAAAATGAGACGGTTACGAATTATGACTGGACACAGTGCAAGAGTTGGGGCACTGGCATGGAATTCTTACGTCGTTTCATCTGGATCCAGAGACGGTTCAATCATTCATCACGATGTCCGACAACGAGATCATCTTGTGAGCACTCTCAATGGACATTCACAAGAAGTTTGTGGTCTGAAATGGTCACCCGATCTCAAGTATCTTGCAAGCGGTGGCAATGATAACTTAGTTAATATTTGGGGGGCTGAATCGGGTTCGAATATGACTGGAAGTGCTCCAATACATGTTTTGAATGATCATCAAGCAGCTGTTCGTGCTCTTGCGTGGTGTCCATGGCAATCCAATATTCTTGCATCTGGAGGTGGCACAGCTGATCGCTGTATTAAATTTTGGAATGTCAGTAATGGGACATGCGCAAATTCCGTAGACACGAATTCACAAGTTTGTTCGCTTTTGTTCTCGAAAAATTATAAAGAACTCATTTCTGCTCATGGGTATGCAAACAATCAATTGACAATTTGGAAATATCCTTCGATGATCAAACAAGCTGACCTTACCGGCCATTCTCAGCGTGTTCTTCAACTGGCAATGTCACCTGATGGAAGCACAGTTATGAGTGCTGGAGCTGACGAAACTTTACGCTTATGGAACTGCTTTGCTCCTGATCCACATTTTGACAAAAAGAAAATTACAAAAACTGAAAAAACAAGCTTTTTGTTAAAGCAAAGCATTCGATAACTCCAAAATTGTTATTATTGAAATTGAGTTAAGGCTGATAAAGATAATTTGCCATTTCTTTTGACTAAATAAATTTAAGTTTAATTCATTTTTATTATTTTCATTTTTATGTGTACGACAAAGTTTTCTTTTTTAATAAAATGTCAAGAAAAGAAGCAAAATATCTTTATTTAATTTAATCTTTGAGTAGCTTACGTGCGTTGAAAGCTTTGAATCTTCTATATTGGATTATTGACTAAAATAATTCTAATCTATCTTGAAAGTTTGACTAGGAAAGATTTTTAATGTTGTAAAAAACTGCGACAATCCATAGAAAAGGATCAGCACAAGGACAGCTGTTTCCATGATAATGAAGTGTGACAAAGACGTGCCAATTTCCAACCACGAGCCTTTGTTTTTCACTAAATAAAGGAAATTCAAGCACATAATGTCACAAATGACTAGCATCATGATGAACATTTTTCTGGCATCAGCGCGTAGTGCAATGTGAAGTGCACGATAACAGCAAGACAACAAATTTATTGGAATGGAAAGTTTAAATATGATGAGCGCCGTCATTAGGAAAGGTGAGAATGTCGTCACTAAACATCGAACCCAATTTGGATCAAATGAACTTATTGTTGCCATATTCCCAGTGCCAAAGAAGGAAATCATCAAGTAAAGCATCTGAAAAGATCATTTCAATAAGTTTTCAATTAAAAATTGAAATAAAAACTTACGAAAACGAGAACACAACGAACGTCATTTATGTCAATTTCTCTTCTCCGATTATCTTTCAAATGTTCAAATTTAAAGTCTTTTAATTGTTTCGAGCGACGAAATAAAACTAATTCCATTTCAACCCAACTCATTATGTGGGAGTAGAAAGAAATCAAGAACAAAGGTTCATATGAAAGTGACATTAAAATGAATGGCAAGCATAATCCATTTCCAATTGCTTTCAATCGAATTTCCATGTTGACAGATCCCCAAAATGTCACGAATGGAGATATTAAGACAATCCATGAAATGATTCTCTGATAGTCCTCTAAATCATTGCCAGCTTCCAAATGAAATACAAGGAAAAGCACGAAAAGTCCACCACAAAACAACAAAACTGTTTGCACAACACTTGTTCGATCATAACGTTTCAGATAAACGTAATCCATTGATCGAAATATCCAAAAAACAGTTCCAAGTGCCCTTAAATTAAAATAAAATTCCAAATGAAAGAAACATTCATGAAAATAAATTTAAACAAACTTACAAAAGAAATAAATTTTTTGTATCCTTTTCAACAACTTTTAAAAGTGGAAAAATGCCAAGACAAACAGCAGATGAAAAATATTTGAAGACTTTCAATTTGGGTTGAAGATTTTTTCTGATGGCGTACGTTGTAACAATTCCACTGTAGCCTAACAACAGCAAGCTTAAAATCTTGCGTTGAAAGAATGAAAACACAAGAAACTCAGCAGCAATTATGCACATTAAAGCTGTAAGGATGTGATGTTTGTTTGTCATGAAAGATTGAAGTGCTTTTCTACGATTGTTTGATAAAACGATCATCCAAATAATGATTGGAAGTAAAAAGTAACCAATCGCTTGTATTGGAACTTTCTGACAGAAATTGTAAGTCGCTATCACAATAATCAAAAAAGATCCAATTTTGAGATACTTTTCTTCTATTCTTAATGTCATTTCTGATGTCATGATGTAGAGATAAAGTAAAGCAATCCATCCAACAATCGAAATTGTCACTGCTAACAGAAGTTCATTTTTATAATACATTTGATAGAAGTCGATGCCATTAAGAAGAAGAGTTATGAACTTGTTCGATTTAACAATAATATCGTCATAATCTTTAAGAGTGAATGACAAACGAATTTGTTCATCAAGGAATGTCACTTCATCTTCAATAATTTTCTCGTTGGGATTGAAAGAGAAATCAAAAGTACGTTCGCGTGAATTTTTATGAAAACTTTGATAAATTGCATGAAGTTGATAAGCGTTGTTAGCGAAAGCATTAGCGAGATAAACATTACTGACATTTGGATACATGTAAGGCAATTTTCCAAAGTTATTCGTTGGGACTGGAATGCCAAGAAGTGTCGACATTAAAGGTGCAGCGTCAGCTTGTTCAATATCGTATCTAGGAATCTTTTGTCCATCAATCGTCAGAAAATTTCTCGTTACAAAATTCTCACTTGCTGGTGACCAGAAATTGACGCCAGCTCCCCATGCAAGAAACGGCGTTTCAGTCTCATGACGACTTCCCGAACCATGTGCACCACGATTTGTCATTCCATGATCAGAAGTGAAAATAAAAGCAGTTTCGTTATCATCAAACACATTTTCAAACAATTTCACTACTTCACTAATTCCTCGATCAACAAATTTTAAGTTTTCAGTGTAGCGAATTGAATGTGGCTTGTGAATATGACCTGAAGTATCCATTCCGAGGAGATGAAGAAAGAAAATCACCTTCCGCTTCTTCTTTATCTCTTTCATAAACTTCTCACGATTTAAAAAGGTTTTCACTTTCTCAAAAACCCACTGATCAAGTAAATAAGAATGGGCACTGATGCTGAACACTTCATCCTCTGATTTATATGAATCAATGATGACCTTGTCTGGTGTTGCTCCTTTTGAAAACATTGGAAGAATGTCAGGACTTCCCCAAGCAAAAGTCTTTTCACTACGATTGAAAACTGAGTCGAATGTTACGGGATTCTCTTTCCATCCTTTAAATATTGACGAAGGATCTTCATAAACTCCAGCAATGAGTGCGACATGACCAGGACGAGATTCTGTCGGGACATGAGTGTGAGACACGCCACAAATTCCTCTTGTCAATAAAATGTGTTTGAGGTATTTCGTTCTATTCAAGTTGTGCTCGAAAAATGATTCAGCTCGAAGTCCATCAGCGACAATCAAAACAAGTCTGTTGGTTTACTAATTAGTCACTACACAAATCATGAAAATTTTTCTACATACCTTTTCGCTGGTGGATTATCCAAATCATTTAATGGACTAAGACCCGGCGTAATTATAGAACGAAAATATATGTAAAATATACTCAAAAGAAATAAAACATGAAGCAATAATGATAACAATATCAATGATTTCATGTTTGTCTAAATATCTGAAGAGTTTATTTATCTTAATTGAAGATGTGTAATGAATACATTTAGTCTAATTATTAATAGTACGATAGCTTAATTATTTTCTGTTATAAATGTTTTGTAAAAACACTTCTTGATGAATCTTAAATGTTGAGCCGAAAATTCAGGAGTAGTACTAGAATATATTTTGTTATTGATAATTTATTTATTCTAGTACGCTGGTTTAGTCACGTTCCTTCTGAGACCGGTTCACGATTTTCATAAATATCTCGTGAATAGTTCACTTAAATGAAAACATGACTTCAGACGATCGATAGAAAAGTTGAAAGTGGATAAATTTGTAGAAGACATTTCATTTACAAAATGCCTCCTAAAGGAGTTATTCCTGAATAAAGTTTGCTTGTGTGCTTTGTAATGGTTTCCAAACTTTCAAAACCACTGGCACTCAAACTTCTAGAAAATTATTTTGAGAGAAGTGTAAATGTGGCAAAAAGGTGAAGGCAATGAAGAAATGGAATTGTTGATCAAATAAATCTAAATGATAGATTTTAGTTTCAAAGAAATTAAAAAATTCGATAATTTCTCAGACAAAAAACTTTCATTATCTACTTAATTTCATACAGAAGTAAACATTTTCAACAATTTTTCGAGGCTTTAAATTCAAATAAGATGATATAAAAATACAATTTCAATTTTAAAGTTAAAGGATATTTGATATTTAATATTTGATATTCATAAAATTATTTTTCTTCTTCCTTTTCTTGGTCTACATCTTTTTGTATTTTTTTCTGGGCTTTTGCAGAAAGTTCTCGTTTGTAAATCGAAGCCAATGATTTCGCAGCGTCTTTAATCATGTCAAAACGATCTATCGAGGTGTAAGTTTTATGCCAATCGTAATGGGGTGTCTATAAAAATTAATAAAATTAAGTAATCAGTGAATAAATATTCATAAAACTTACATTAAGTTCTCGACCCATAGCAGCCCCAACAGTTGTTGCGTATCCTGTTTCTTTCTTCTCGTAGTTTTTATCAGTTTCACTTTCCAAAGAAATTATGACCGACAATGGAATGTAAGTCATTTGTGTAAATACCTTCAACGTCACATCAGAAATAGGATCAGACAACATGATCAAGCCAAGATCGAACCATCTGGGAAAGAAAAATTCTTAACAAATTAAATAAAAATAATGAAGACTTATACAGACTGATTCTTATAGATTTCCACAATAAAGTTTTCAACTGAGACGATAACTTTGTCAACAAATGCTTCGTTCGTTCTCACGCAGTTGATTCTTTCCTTAGCAGCCAATTCTGCATTTTCAAAGCCGACAGGTTGATTTGCTATCGTTTTTGCATGACTTTTATGACCGTATACAGTTGCTCGACCGAAAATTTCTTGAAAAGCTTCACGCACTGACGTTATCTTGTCATCATTAGAAGAAGCAACAACAATTTCAGTATTTCCACCAGAATCTATGAATAAATATGATAAAACATTTGATTAAATAAAAATTTCTCAATTATTACAAATTAATTGTGCCATCTGAGGATCAAGTGTTGTCACAACTTTATCAATCGATTCTTTCGTTATCTGCATGCCACTTTTCAATCCACTTTTCACAGTATCTTTCATCCACCCGAAAATAACTGAATTTTTAACTCCATCTGTTAATGGCAGGAAAACTTGAGCTATATCTTCTTGTGTTGGTTTTTGCTCTTCATTTTTCGGGTCATCAGGAGTTGGGGGTGTTTCAGCACTTGCTGTGCTTGTTGGAGTGGGAACTGTGAAGTTCTTCTCAATCGGAATCACAGGATTGAACTTTTCTTTAGAAGGTGGTGACTCAATCTCTTTCTCAGCTGTATTTGATTGATTTTGCAATACAAATGTTGGTAGTTCAGTGGGTGGTGGAATATTTGTAATTAAAGAATTAATTTTATCTGACATATTAAAAGAAATTTCCGAAAAACTTTTCTTTGTTTATATTTTGATAAATGCGCACTATACGTGAGAAATTCGTTCGAAATTATTTAAGTTCGAATTGATTTCAAAAATTTCGAAAGATTTCCTTAAAATTTGTTTACTTTCTTAATTAATGAACATTCAAAACATATGCCAACGATTAATTAAATCCTTTATATATCTCCAATATAGCAAATTAGGCTGTTATTAGGAAATATGGCCACGTCAAAATCAATGTTCTGGAAACCGGGTAAATAAACGAAACAAAACGTAAACAAGCAATATTTCTCAAGTTTTTCTTGTTTTTAAGATGACACCGATTTATTTACTGCTGAAAGAGAATCACAAATTGAAGACCAAACAACATCTCTTGTATTTAATGCAAATCGTTCATTGAATCTCGTAGCGCAAAGAAAAAGACTTCCGATTGCTCGTTACAAAACTGAAATTCTTTACTGTTTGGAGAACTTTCAAACTCTTGTGATTGTTGGAGAATGTGGATCGGTAAGTTTCTTGTTTCCTTCACTGATTGAATGTTTAATGTTTTAAATTATGTCTTAGGGAAAAAGCACACAAATACCTCAATTTCTTTATGAGCATGGATGGCACTCAAAAGGATTGATTGGCATTACGCAACCACGCAGAATATCAGCAATAACATTAGCTACAAGAGTATCCGAAGAAATGGGAGATGTAATCGGAAGTGGATCTGTTGGTGTTGCAGTTCGATTTCTAAGTAAATGTAGTGGAAATACGAAGATCAAATATATGACTGAAGGAATTTTGTTACGAGAAATTCTTGCTAATCCACTTTTGTCTCAATATTCTATCATCATGATCGATGAGGCTCACGAAAGAAGTGTTTTGACAGGTAAATAATTAAATATGATGTAAATGTCTTTAATAATGTTTATTAATTTTCATCAGACTGTGTTCTGGGTCTTCTTAAAAAGATTGCAAAGAAACGTTCGTCATTTAAAATCATCATTTCCTCAGCTACATTAGATGCTGACTTATTCTCCGATTTCTTTAATTTTAAAACAAAGCAAAGTCCTAAAGATACTTCAATGATTCTAACAGTTGAAGGACGAATGTATGAGAATCCAATTTTTTATCTACAAGAACCGTGTGCAGATTATGTTCGTGAAACTGTCAACACAGTTATAAAGATTCATTCCAAAGAAGCGCCAGGTGATATTTTAGCTTTTCTGACAGGACAGGAAGAAGTTTATCAAGCTATTAACATGCTTCGAGATCACATGGAATTGTTAGGACTTGATGAGACTCAATTAAAAGTTCTTCCAATGCATGGTTCTCTGACACATCATGACCAACTTAGAGTTTTCTTCCACACACCACGGTCAACAAGGAAAGTCATCATAGCGACAAATATAGCCGAGACTTCAGTCACTATACCTGGCATAGCTTACGTCGTTGATTGTGGCTTCATTAAACTTAAATGGTATGTTGCAGAACATCAAATGGACATGCTTATAATAGTTCCTGCCTCTCAAGCTTGTTGTCGACAAAGAGCTGGACGGGCAGGAAGAACAAAAAGTGGAAAAGTTTTTAGACTTTTCACAGAAGAACATTATAATCAACTTCCAATTGTGAAACCACCGGAAATGCGACGAACTGATCTCTCAATGACAATCTTAAGCTTAAAAGCATTGGGAATTGATAACATTCTTCGTTTCAATTTTCCTTCACCACCTCCAGCTAAAAATATGCTTGCATCGATTGAATTACTTCACGCTTATGGCGCTTTAGATGGCGAAGGTCAATTGAATTCACCAGATGGTTACATGATGGCTGAAATGCCTCTAAATCCTGCTTTATCAAAGATGCTGCTAGCATCTTGTGATTTAGGTTGCAGTGATGAAATTCTCTCGATTGTTGCAATGATGCAAGTTCAACAATTTTTCTCACGACCAAATTCAGGTCAGGGAGCGATAAATGCACGACGAGCTCGTAGAAATTTTGAAGTTGCTGAAGGAGATTTAATTACAATGCTAAATGTTTACAACGCTTTCGTCTCAAACGGTTGTACAAAAGAATTTTGTGGTCAATATCACATCATGTATCGACATTTGAAACGTGTGGTTGAGATAAGAAATCAATTAGCATCGATAATAGTGAAACAATTCAAATTGAAACTTGTTTCATGTGGAACAGAAATAATTAAGATTCAAAAAGCAATAACTGCTGGTTTGTTTCCATTTGCTGCTTATCTTCATCATTCTGGTTCATATCGAATGGTGCGTGGTGATTGTGAAGTTTCTATTCATCCAACGTCGTGTCTTTACACTGAGAAACAACCGTCGTGGATTGTTTTTGCTGAAGTTTTACACACAACAAAGCTTTTTGTTAAAGACATTACAGTTATTGACTCAAGATGGCTTCTTGAACTTGCGCCACATTATTTTGATAAATCAACAGCTCGAAATTAATATCAAAACTTTAATAAATTAAAATAACAATTGAAACTTTCTTTATTTTGATTTATTTTAATGTTTCAATGTTAAGGAAAACTTCGCCAGCTGGTCCATGAAAAAGATTGACGGTGTCAATTTCAATTGGATTTGTTGTCTTCTTGCATACACTGAATCGAAATTTATCAAGTAACAAACTTAATCCAAGAATCATTTGAATCATTCCAAATCTGATGATGACAAAATTAAGAATTTCACTTTTTTTAATATTTTCAATTCACCTCATTCCAATGCATCTTCGATTTCCTTCACCAAATGGAATTGAACTGAACGGATGTCTTTGAGCTTTGGCTTCTTGTGTGAATCTTGATGGGTCAAACTTCATTGGATCGGGGAACAGGTTTGGATCGCGTGCGAATGCGAGTGCGGGGATAATTACAGCGATTTCTTTAGGAATGACAAAACCATTTGGTAATTTATAATCTCGCGATGTCCATCGATGAATGTCACTAACAGGTGGGAACAATCTTAATGTTTCTGTGGAATTTTACCGCCATTTAATAACAAATAAAATAAGAATTGCAACTTTAATTATTTCACCTTCGATTATCTGTTCGATAAATTCCATTTCCATGATTGCATCAAAACACCAAACTCCATCATATTTAGCAAGATTCTTCTTAATTGATTCACGTGCTTGATCTTGAATATCTTGATGATGTGCGAGTAAATGAAGACAAAACACCATTGTCGTGCTGCTTGTTTCAAAGCTAAACAGCACGTTTGAATGAATATAATTATGTAATATTTAAATAAATAATCACCCAGCAAAAAGGAACACAAAAGCTTGTGCTGCAATTTCTTCCAACGTCAAAGTAACTTTTCCATCATCAAAAGTTTTCTCTTTGCTTTCATCTTTCATCATATCAATCAAAAGTTGCATGAAATCATTACGTCTTGTTCCTGATTCCTTTCGATAACGAATTGTATCTTTAACAACGTTTATGAAGAAATCAGATACGTCAACATCATTCCATCGTATGCCAAGAAAAGTTGCTTGCTTTTGAAAGGTTGAAGCGAAAATAAGTTTAAGTGCTTTGGATTTAGAAAAGTGAATCATTTTCCTTCCCATTTTCCGGAATTGTGAATTTGGATCATTTATACAATCAGTGTCAAGTCCAAATGCACAAGAAGCAATAACGTCGGTCATAAATCTTGCTAAAACATCACGAATGTCAATATCTGCCTTTACATTTCCAAACGGCATTAAATAATCTTGAAATCGATGACCAATGTCGAGAATTAAGAAAAACATTTGCTTTATCTTTCCTGAAGTGAATGTAGGTGAAACTTTTTCTCTCAATGTTTTCCATTTGCTTCCTCTAAGAAAGAAAATGTTTGCAGAAAGCACATCAACTTTCTCATTGAAATAAATTCCACGATCCATAAAATATTGAAAATCTTTCACAAGAACAGTCTTTGCGAATTCAGGTGATAGAACAAGAAACACGGGATTACCAAAGAAATAAATTCCACCATAATCTGTTGCACCATTTTGTCTTAATTTTCTGTAAAGCTTCTCAATGACGTAACTGAAGTGAATCGATGACTGAAGAAAATCTGAAACGTTTCCGGTTGGGAACGTCGGGTGAATGTAAGGCACATTTAGTTTCTTCCAAAAGCCATAACGCTTTTTAAAATTCACATAAAGAATAAGAATGAACAAACTTAAAACTGCTGTCAAATATAAAAACATTTTATTTTGTTTCACTTGAAGTAACTTTGATAATTTGGAATATAAACATCACCAACACAACGTTCGACTTTTATTTTGTCTGTGAATTGAATAAATATTTATCTTCTTTCTATCATTGATTTATAAAGAACGCGCTTGAATTTTGATTTCCACATCATGTAAACTTCGGTCAAAGATCATTAACAAAAACAAAAAATTAAACCTCATAATCAGAAGATTAAAATGAAGAAAATGTGTCAAGATTTTCATACACAAACTTTACTAAATAAGTGTAAGCAAATAATTCATTCAGAATAATAAAAAAGCGTTTCAAGATTGAGTAAAAATTTTATTTCCAACCATAAACATTTTAATAAACCCAAAAGTAACAGAATAATTGTTTTTACCCCACTCAATAATTTTTAATTAAAAGATATGGAGATTAAAATGGAATTTAAAGATTCATGAATCATAAAGGAAAATGCGATAAAATTATAATTTGTGTTTAATTCTCAATTCGTCAATACGATGTTGAATTAAACGTTGAAGTTCGATGAGTTTCATGGCTAGTCCCATGTTGCCAGAAACTTTTACTTTCCCTTGGAAAAATGCTTTTTGTGGATTAATTTCTCCTTTAATAAGTTCAGTTACATCCTTGTCGTTAATGATGAACGTCACTTCAGGCTTCTCAGTTCCATTGTAAGTAATTTTTCCTTTCCCTTCCTTAGCATTAATGACCCAATAACCTTCGGCTCCACCTGGTCCATTTGTCACTTTAAATCCATAAATACCGCGAACTTTTTCAATCAAATTTTCCTTATCGTTCTGCATTTCTTCTTCAAAGAGTTCCATCAATGGTGACACTAAGAACCCATCAGGCGTTGGCTTGATTTTACTGTTGCCACCAGGAACTTTTGGAGCCGCAGCTGCTTTAACTGGTCCAGGGAACCCCAATTTATAGAGACCCAAAACAACAGCTCCACCTAATCCAATGTTGTGTTGTAAAGCAAGTTTCGCTCCAGCCACTTGACGTTTTTCAGCTTGTCCTCTCAATTGCCAGCAAAGTTCAGAGCATTGTGCAAGGCCAGTAGCTCCTAATGGATGTCCTTTTGAAATGAGACCACCACTGGGATTGATAACATACTTTCCACCTTATAAATGAATTTCAAAAAATTAATTATCCAAATATAAAGTTAAAAAAAAATTCATACCGTATGTGTTGTCGTTTCTTTCGACCAATTCATGTGCTTTGCCTTCAGCACACAATCCCAATGCTTCGTAAGTAATCATTTCATTAGCTGAGAAGCAATCATGAAGTTCAACAACATTTACATCTTGTGGCTTGCAATTTGCCTTTTCAAACAAACGTTTTGCAGCTGTTTTCGTCATATCGTAGCCAATTAAATTAATGCTGCTTTTGCTATTGAATGTTGATGGTAAATCAGTACACATTTCCATTCCAACGATTTCAACAGCTTGTGACTGAAGTTTATGTTTCACAACAAATTCTTCACTTGCTAAGATGCAACAAGCTGAACCGTCAGATGTTGGACAACATTGAAGTTTAGTAAGAACTTCATGAACCACTGGAGAGTTTTTTATTTGATCCAAAGTATATTCGTCACGGAATTGAGAGTAAGGATTGTTGACGGAATGTTTATGATTTTTGTATGCAATTTTTGCAAAGTGTTCTGGTTTTGATCCATAACGTTTCATGTGCTCTGCACCAGCATTGCCGAATAATTGAGCTGTTGGTGGAGCAGGTCCGAATCCAACAATTTCAGACATTTCCAACATGTGTCTGTCCATTGGATTTGTTCGATCATTAAATTTACTGGTCAAGGAACCTCGTTCCATTTTTTCAAATCCCAAAGCCATAACACAATCATTTTGACCAGTTTCGATCAGTTGCTTTGCTAGAAATAATGCACTGGATCCCGTTGAACAATTATTGTTAACGTTATAAATTGGAATTCCTGTCATTCCAATTTCATAGATAGCTCGCTGTCCACATGTTGAATCGCCTGAAAAAAGTTTCGTCATTTATAATTGAAAACGATTTTATCTTTAATGAGGAAATATTCCCACCGTAAACATATCCAACGACTGCTTGCTTCACTTCATTGAAACTTATTTTTGCATCAGAAAGTGCTTTTGTTGCAGCTTCCTTTGCCATGTCGGGATAATCAAAGTTTTCCCTTCTGCCGGGCTTTTCAAACTTTAATAAACAAAAAAAAAAAAACTCATTCATTAGTAGTGATTGAATATTTAACACATTCAAAGAGATGATTAATCTCACTTTGAACTTTCATTTACAGAAGGCTTTTTTTTCTTCATACATTCATAATGTTTACTATTCCAAAAAATTACAAAGATCAAAGTTCATCATAATAGAAAGATTAAAACAGAAATTGTACAAAGTTCATTAAAATTTTTCCTGCTGATTGTCCTCTTTTACGAGCTTTTTCTTGTTACTTTAATAAAGATAATAATTATCTCTTTTTCTTCTTAAAATAATGAGTGAATGCTTTCTAATTGCCAACGACAAGTGAAAGTTAATTATGAAATAGGTTGAAAAAGATTTATGTTTCAATTTCAATACCTTTGTCATTCCACATCCTATAACAAAAACTTTAGTTTTAGTCATCTTAACGATAGTTAGTACAACACTGTTTAAAAATTAAGACACCAATTCTATTATTTATTATCAATAAAGTTTTTTTTTGTCGCGATTAAATGTTTAAACATCTATACTCTCTCCACCTGTAACTGCACTCCCAGAAAGTTAGTTTCAGGTGGAGAGTGTATAAATCAACTTTGTATAGAAAAACTCGGTCCGCGGAAAAATAAATATTAGTTTATCCGGGTCACACACGCGCTGAAAATTTTTGTATTTCCAAGGGGACATGCTACAACTCTGTAAATTCGTCTAAAAAAATTGAAACAACAAGAAATAAATTATTGTCGCGAATTCTGCTTATTAAGCTCGTATTTTCGCGATTTAAAGTGCTTAAAATAACGTAACATGAACCTCTGATTGATTGTTTACAGTGATCTCATATAAGAATTGTGTAAAGGGAGAATTAAATTGTGTAAAATACTATTGAAAATTGAAAATAAATTTCCCTAAAAAATCGATAAAAGATAAATAAAAATCTCAATAAAACGTGCTAAATATTTGTATACTTCTTCATGAAATACAATTCTGAGTCCTCATTGACCAAAGATATGCAAAAATGAGGAGTGCTGGGTGAAGGAAAGCATTAGAAAAATGAATTACAAGGAAAAAATATAAAAAAGTGATAATTTCCACATAGCTACAATAGAGTGCGCTCTTATCGACTGGATGTTTAATTTTTAGCGGAACACTAATTAAAACTAAACTTGAATATTTCCAATAAAAACATTCGTACAATCATGTTTGCACAGATGAAATAAAATGAAGACACTTGGATAAACTTTAATTAGTATTCTATTTTCCAAGATATGATGCTATATAACCAGGAATTCTTATAAAACTTGAAACAAGTCGTGGAAAAAGTGATTGATTTGGTACATTTTTTTATTATTTTTATTTGTGTTAAACTACAAATAATTCAGGAATAATCAACTGCAAAGTCAGTTGTTGGAATCTGTGTTAACTTAACATCAGTTAAGTAACTTGAATGTGTTTTAAAGTGTTAAAATTTTAAGGGAATTTTGTTTAAGTTGCTAAATCGGTGAAGAAATAAAGAATTCTTTTTTCCTCGGAATTGGTAAAAGACTAAGGAAGCCATTGATTTCATTTCATACATCAAAATTTGTATGCGGCATAAGTAGATATTTAAAGTTAAAAAACCTTATTCATACTCTGAATAAACTTGTGCAGTGCCATTCAGCTTCTAAAACATTCTAATGCTCAACGTTTAAATTTAAGCAGTGATTTGGAAAAAAAAGTATAAAAATAAAAGCAAGATAAAACAAAGTGTATCAGAGCGCACTTTTATCAACAAGCTGAATAAAGTATTTGATTGATTTGTGGCCAATCTTGCAACAACCAACAACACTCTAAGTATTAACATATTTCTTGTTACTTTGCAACAATTTGGCTTCTGTTAATTGTGAAATTTGGCAACAAGTTTACCAGAGTATAAATCATAATTATTTCACTACTATAACTTCCTAAAAAGCACCATCAACATAAACTATCTTCTCCCCCTTATCGGTGAAGTGGATGTAAAAATGTCTTCTTGGTTTACCAACGTCTCAACGGAGTGGGACAAATCATCATGGAAATTGATGTGAAGCACACAAAGCAAAGAAACAAGAGACGGGAGAGAGCCCAACGTATGCAAGCTGAGCGAGATAAGGATGCGGATGGGGTTGGTGTTGGTGTGATTGCCGATGGTGATAGTGCTGATGAAGATTCGAAAAAACCCATCAGACCACCCCAGAGACGCAAAAAAGCGAATATTTTCAAAGAGCCATCACCAATACTCGAGGAAGATGTTGTAGATGGATTTGCAATTTTATCATTTAAAAGCTATGAAGATTTAGAGGTAAGAATAGAAATATGCGCGCGTACATGATAATCCCCACATTTCTCTTATCTGCTTACCTTCGGCTGAGTTAAAAGTTTATTTAATAATATCAAGGGAAGTGTTGCTTGATAAAAAGAAAAAGAAAGAAAGTGCTTTTGTTATATCGATTTCTATTCATAAAAATATCGATTTTTATTGATTCTTTTTCTCTTCTGAGATCAGCGTTCGCCGTTCAGGGAAAACATGCGAAATAAAACAGTTGATAATAATAAATATTAATGGCCTATATAAACTGCTGTTGTTAAATAAAACCAATCAATTTAGCAGTTTTACTATTTTTCGGTTTTAAAATTGGCAAGGATATTGGTGATTCAATTATCATTAAATCACATTCACTTTTTTATACGAATGAGTGAAGAATAAATTAAATAATGTTTGGTCTTTGATGATTTTTAACTGATGAAGAAAAAATCGAATGTCATCATTTTCAATCGAATCAGTGATTAATCAAATAAGTTTTATCAGTTTTGTTTCTTTTTTATCTAAATTTGTAGAAATCTTAAAACTTTGAAGTTGTCATAAGTGTCATCGACCAACATCTAATTTTCTTTTATCTCTCATCTGGGATTTCAAATATTTATAATTCAAAGCGCTTTAAAATTTAAATCCAGCGTTATTTAAAGTTATTGTTTCACATATAACAATCTACATATATCCATGCTATTTTATAGCCAAGTTTATTACAAGATTTAATATGTACATTTCACCTAAAAATTTTATAATAGTTCGCGTTCACATAAAAAAATATTAAACGTTCTATGTAAACATTAGAAATCCAAATAATTAAAACTTTTCTTTTTTCCTTCCTCTGAAAATGTAAATATTTATAGTATGCAATAAAATTAGCTAATAAACGTAACGAAAAACGATTATCGGCAATAACTGAGTTGACGACCATTATGACAGAGGATAAATTACCAAAAATCGATACTGGACAGATTAAAGAAGAGGCAGAAACCGATGGACGGGATCGTGAGAGAGAATGGAACTATAAGAACAATAATCATCATATAACACATAATTCAAATGTAAGTTCACTATAATCATATTATCACAATTTGTTTATTCCACAGCCAATTGTCTTAATGCTAAACTTACATGTTTTCTCAAAGCCGTCTAATAACAACAGTTTAATATGTTCACATAATTCTTGTGAAACATGTTCAAGAAATAAAGAAAAAAGAAAATTCTTTTATCGGATATTTTTAAAATCAATCACTTTTTATGCTATTTTACAGAATATAACCTTTAACCATGATCCTGGTACATCCGATGATAGCGGTCGAGCCTCTGAACGTTTAACAACCTCATCAGTAGCACAAAGAGACCAAGATAGTTCAAGAGACCGATTAAGTGATGTAAGTGTTTTCCTAATCTTCTTCCATATGGAAGTTGGAATGTTATTTATCACTATTGTCATGGCTATAAGCAGAAGAAAACAAGATTATCAAATTTCACGATTTATTTCAATCTCTTTTCTTCCTTTTTTTCTATGTGAACAGGCAAGCAGTCGATGTAGCTCAGGAAAGGGATATATCGTAAGTATTACTTTATTTACTCTTAGTAAAAACAATCATCAACAGTTGCTAACGTTTTTATTTACTTTCTTACTTTTTCTAGTGTGATAGTGAAGGTGATGACGATAAGGTAAGCGACAAATGATTTTTTTTCTTTTTACTTTAGTCGTACCGATAGAAATAAATTGCAAATTTCCTAAATTCTTTGTGGAAACCTTTTCTTATCAGAAATCTAATGGAAATGTTATGTAAAGATCATCTTTCTGTATTTTTACTGTTTTGTGTCGAATGTTACTGAGCAATTTGATTGCACTTTTATATTCCGGTTATGTTAATGTTAGTTCTTCCATTAATGCGGTATAAATGTTTGTAAAAGTCAAACAAAATTTCAAAGAAAGGTGTAAACATTGACTTAAAATATTCGATGTCAACATTATTCTTTTAAACTTATTTACTGTGATAAATTTAAACATTTCATTATTCCTATAAAAACTTACCTTCAATTTAATTATAAACGAAAGATAAAGACAAGAATTTTAATTATACAAGTTTGCGCAATTAATTTATGATTGAAATGTGTCTCACGCACGGTCTTTGCAAGAGAATTTAAAACGAAAAATTTCACGTTTTATATTTTTTAAGCTGGTATTAATAGATCTAATTAGTGCACAAATTATTAATAAACGCGCTTCAATCTCTCCAAAAGCAGTATTTAATATCATGACATAAACATAGCTAAGGATATAAATACTGGGACGACCGTTTAAATTTTCAAAGAAAACTCTGAGTGAAGATTAAAAATTAATTATACTTAAGAACACAGAAAGCATTTTAAAAAGTATCATATTGGACAAAAAAAAATAATAATAAAATACAAGCTGCTTGAAACGCAGCAAAAAAAAAAGAAAAAAGCGAGGATAAAAAACGTCGCTATGTGTTCGTCGTCCCCAATATGAGATGTTGAATTAAGAGAGAAAAATAACTGAGAGGGGCATAAAAAATTTACCTTACACATACATATCGAAACGGTTTTTTTTCTTCTTGCGTTTTCATACTATTCCATCGAGAGCTGTATACGATAATCTTTTTCTTCGTATGAATTTTAAATCTTGTGCACTCATTTACAAAAGAATCTGTATGGTATAGTAGTAAAAATAATAGATTCAATGATTGCAGCGCAAACTATAAAAATAAAAAAAATCAAAATGGAAATAAAAATAATTTTTTTCTCTCGTTGGTATGCTCGTGTATAGTAAAATTTTCATACCCTCTTCTCGGTATTGTATCTTTAACAAGCGACAAAGTGTTAAGAGTCTCGAGAGAAAAATGTTCAAAGCTGAAGCTTGCGCACAATAATGATGACAGTATTAAACGCACTGTATTACCGTTGTTAAAGTTTTTTTCTTATAAAGACAAGTCGAGGGAAAACTTCTCATCATAAAAATACTGGCATTTCATCGTTAAGAAAAGGAAGCGAAAAACGTACAAACCAAGCGTTAAAAATGATGTAATTAATATCATTTAATATTTAATGATTGTTGAGAGAAAATTCTTAAAATTTTTGTAAGTTTGTATGAGTTCTTTAGCCTCTGCATTGATAACATAGAATTGTCGTTAATTTCATTCATAAGAAACTCATGAACACTATAAGTGAGAATGTGTGAGTGAATTGTATGGTAGTAGTTTCTCATTTCACGAGAAGGGAAAAAAATTCTCTTCAATCGGAGTTGATCTTTTGTTCGGTGTGGTTGGTTTTGCAAAATATTTTAAAAAGAAATGAAGAAAAAAAGATTCGGTATATTCCTGAATGATTTTTTATTAAATAAAAGCGTTCAAAGATGAGACTACTTGAAAATATTGTGAAAATAATATCAAAGAAAGAGAAGAAAAAATAATTTAAAGTTTTTCAAATCGTTAAATAAAGTGCATCGATTGAGTTAATCGTGTACCTAGAGCAATCAATGCTAGATTATATAATTCAGTCGTTTAGACTACTGTTGGCTGCATGGGTGGCTGGATAAAAATAAAAATTTAATATTATTGTATTAATAGTGAAATCAATTGTGGATGTATGTGCGCAATCGCTTCTCCGAGCAAACTAAAATTTTATACATAGCCAAGTGGAATGAAAATTAAGGAGCTCTTTGTATATATCAATATTAAAATGTAAATTGAATTTTTATTCATGTGCAAACGAATGAAAAGAAGAAAAAAAAGGTAAAAAAATTTGTATACTTGAATTGCCTTTGTCGTCGTTTGCTCGTTGAGAATATTATATGTAAATAACGCGGATATTATACCATACATAAAATGATAAAAGAAAAAAGCAATATTATTATTCAAGGTGCATTTTTTTTTTACCGAGAAGAAGCAAAAAATGAGATAGTGAAAAAATTCCTTTGAAGAAAGTTTAAATCAAGGTTGAATAATTATTATGTGCAAGACATAAGAGTTGAATAAATTCTTCAAAAAATCGTGGATAAATATAATTAAAAAGAAATCAATACCATATCCTTAAAGGTTTACTAAAGCAGCATAATTAATAATTTAATACCAATGAAAATTTTGCTATAACGTTGTGAACGCTCAATATCAGTGATATTTAACAATAGTTTGAAGTTTCATCTAAAAATAGAATATTTAGCGATTTATAAGAGTAAAGAGAAGAAACAAACTGCAGTTTTCTATTCAAATTCACTTGGAAAGTTTGTAAAGGAAACAGTGCCCTTCTTTGTGAAGGGTGCGGCAAGAAAAATATCAAAATAGCTATTATAGTACGAGTGGAACCCTCCGATTCTCCCAAGGAACAACAACAGTCTGATTCGGGGGGTCCACAAAGTCCAAAAAAACAAACAGACACGCAAACAACTTCACAAACGTCGGTTGTGCCAAAAGAGGTAAAAAACTTGAAACATCTAAGATAGGAAAGAACGAATTAATCTTAATTTTAAATCATATTTTTCATTCTTTGTCATCAGTTTTGATCGTTTAATGATATAGTCATGGAAACGAAGAATTAAACATTTTTGACACCCTTGAGATGTAAAAATCATAGTCAGGGAGACATTATTTATTTAGGGGTTAATTTGTAGCAAACATTTTTACCCTAGAGCGTCCCTTCACTACTTACATGGAAGATATTTATAAACATGAACCCTACATATATGTAGAGAGTATAATAATAACTTAGCGGTTCAAAAGATAATTAAATTATACACATATTCCATCCTCTTCGGTAATGTTTTAAAACAATAAAGTATTGTAGTTTTGATTCATCTCTTCTCTCCAATTTCTACGCTTAGTTTAATGTATTGAATGATAATCCAAATAAATATGTTTAACGATCGATTTTCTTCTGAGGGATTTTGCTATCTATTCACATAATATAGTCAAAACATTAATATCATTTACATAGAAGTTTAGTAAAAGTCAGTGAAATGTTTATTTAATAAACGACTTTTATTATCTATTGTTTATTGTTCCAGTTGATATCAAATATCAGAATAGCATGCTTGAAATAGAAATTGAATCTTAATTCAAGCTTAATCATTAATAAAAGAATTTTGTAGAGAATTTTTGTTTACTAAGTGCGTGATACATTCAATCAGACTTGCAGTCTAGCTCTAGAAAATTGCCAGCCTAAAACTTCTTAACGAGATTTTAAACGAGTATTTAAGGAGGCAAAACAAAATATAAATTAAAGCGACATCAAGTAACGAAGAGAAAAAAAAATGAGAAAGAAATATTTAAGTACACAATCAAGAAAACAGCAGAACGTAGTTAAAAAAACTGAAGAAAAATGTTTAAATTTATCGTCGTCATGCAATAAATTTTTATATTCCAACTTGTTCATTGTTCAACCTCGTAATGAATACAAAATACAAAATATGTCTGGTAATGGCTGTGCATATGTAGAAATATAAAAGGAGTCTTTACTTACGACAAAGAAGGGAATGAAGAGGGAGAATGAGAATTTCAGATTCCATTGACGAAGATTGTGTTAAGTTAAAGTGCAGAAAATAAAAACAAATAAAAGAAGTTTGATAAATAATCACAATAAGAACTTGAATGATTAAAAACTTGTCTGATATGGGAATAAATTATTTTATAAGAAATTTGAAAATTGCGAGAGAAAAAAAATGTTTACAAACCGCATCGAGATAATTATAAATGATTGATTCAAATTATTGTTATTATCCATAAACATTTGCTTTAACAGATTTTACATAACTAAGTAATTTATTTCTGATCTGATAACTTTTGAAATTGTAAAATAATTCAACTGTCAATTACGAGACAATTATCATCACACATTAGGTAGTCAATAGGAAATTCTGCAACGCTGTTAATTGATCTCATTCTCAAGGCAATTTAATTTAAATTAATTTAAATTTTCTCGAAACTGGAAGAACATAAAACGAAAGAAAAATAGTTAAATGCTAGCTCTAGATTAATATGTGATTAAATAGCAGTTGTAAGCAAGACTGCAACCGTTTGTTAATTAAACAACTCCACTATAATCTTTTTTACACTTTTCTCTATTTTTCTTTACCACTTACCACGTCTGCTTGACTTGCGTCTGTTTATGTATGTGTGTTTATGGAAAATGTTAAGGCGTCTGACGGAGGATCAACTACTGCATCTACGTCAGGAGCAGTGGTTCCTAGGAAATCGCTAGATAGGTTTCCATCTTCTGGTGTACCTCTTCTTAATAATGAACCTCTGGGACTAGGGGGCAGTCTAAGTCCTATACCATGTTCACCATCAAACTCTGGTCCAGCACCCCCCGCTCCTTCGCCAGCACCAGCTGCACTACCTCCGCCAACTTTTCCTCCACCTTATGCAACGACACCTCTTCAGGTAAGAATTTCGTCTCACTTAGTTTTGTTATACTTAGATTCAATGAAACATCCAAACAATCCCGTGCATGAATTAATCCTTATACAATTCTGTCTTTCCTTCTCACTCACTCTCTATATCTCTCTCTCCCTTAATCTTGACATTATTTATCTTGATTTGAATGGAAGATTAGATGAATTATTAATTATTTCGATAAATTGATTTAGACATTACTCATTGAGGATTTCAATGTTAATACCTGAAGAGTGTTTGAATATTCAAATAGATATCAACTTAAACGAGCGCAAATCTAAATATTGACATAGATTCTTCTGGTAGATATTTAACGAAATGTTTGTTTTAAAAACTGAAGAAACTTCAAATAGATTCATTTTCACTTCATGGTTAAAAACTCAAGAAATTTATGAGCACAATTTTAGATCATATAATCAATTTCATTTTCATAAATTCTTTTTCTCGACAGTTTTATGCTTACAAATGTTTTGCGTGGTTGATAATTGAATTTCAAAACATGGATAAATGAAGACTACGCAGTCAAAGAAAAGAAAGAAACACCACTTAGATGTTTGTATGGATGTTAATAAATTGTGCTTACAAAGAAGAAAAAAAAGAAGTTAATGTAGATAATAATTTTTCACATTAAAAAAGCTTAGAAAGAAGACAAGAATGAACAAAAATTTTCCACAAAAATGTTGATGATAAATAGAACTTCCTTCTTTTAACTTATTACAATTCTTTAATTAAGTTTCGGTTTCCACTAAAAAAACGCCATCGTCGGGAGTTTTTCACAGACAAAAACACTTAGGGGGGAAAAGCATTCAATGTTCTCTTTCTTTGATGATATTTCTTCTTTTTTACTACACCAAAGATTCGATTTGGTGTCATACAACTCGTTTTCTTCTGGTTGAAACAGGTTTTTTAAGATTTCACCTTGGAAAACACAGAAGAAAAAAAAATAAAGCAAAAACAAATCGTTTACCTACATGTCTTGTTGCCACTCTCTTTAGCAATATTATTGCTGATTACACAGCAGGAATATTAATACAAAACACGATTCTTCGAATGCAAGTGATGGAAAAATGAACATAAATGTACATAGATGTAAGAAGTTATGTAGTCTCTTACATTATATACAATTATATGAATTTATTTACTCAAATGTATTTATTAGGAAGAGAAAAAAGAGAAACAAGAATGACACCACAAAAGAATGTTAATTATCTCACCCCAATGGAAATGAGTAGCACAAACAAAATGTTGTTCATGTTGATTATTACATTGTTGGTGTTTTGTTAACAAGCGTTTATTTGTGCATTGATAATTGATTCAACTCGTATTAAATTTTTGACACCTTTTTGCTAGATTTAAATGTTTGGTTTATTTATTTCTTTTTTATTTACATGTTTTTCCTCGCAGTTTGTATAATTTTTTTTCCAACTCTCTTAATTAAATAATAAAAAAAAACGTTGATATTCGTATAAAGTTTTGATAGCAACAAACTAATAGTTATGAAAAAGTCGAATTCAGTGAGTGAACGTAATGATTGCTGCTTTGGAGTGCGTTACATCAATTTCATTACGATTTGCTTTTTAAGTATTGTTATTAAGACTGTTTAGAGTTGGAAATTCTTTTAATTATTATCTACCTAGAACTATAAATGAAGTAAATCTTTAAGAACTGAAAATTACCCATAAAACGAATCTAAAGCAATTTCAAACGAAAGGTCAAACAATAAACCAGAAGCTTCCATTACGCTGTAAGATCACTAGATAAATCAATATTAAAAGCTCCAACCAGAGCAAATAAATACAATAAATAAGTGCAAAGCATTGCATGATAAATATCATTAAATTGATCGTTTAATTTTGGAATAATTGAAAACATATTTCGTATTTAAATTATTCATGCACTAAAATTTTTGATTGATTTATCAATTAATTATTTAATTAATTTATTAATTAATTCTTTGATTATTAATTCAACAGGTCGCAAATGAAACGCTCAATTCGAATTTAACATCGATACCGAATCATGTTATAACGCTGCAAAATAATGGACAACAACCGGGCATTGTGGTTCCAATTCTAAATGGAAAATCAACCGCAAATGCAGCAAATAAAATACCGACAACATGCACATCAACATCGAATTCAATAACATCAAATAATTCCAAGCAATCAATTGTTCCATCATCAACAGCAGCACAATCATTACCTGGAGGACACAGTGGAACGACGACGACGACGAATAATAGTAAAAAACATTTATCTACGATATCGAATTTACTAGCACCAATCTCAAGCACAAACACTGGAACAAGCAATGGAGTTGCTTCAAACGTCACAGCAATTCCATCTCCAGTCTCTTCAACTTCATCATTATCATCGATTTCTATGCCATCAAGACTTGGCTCGTCTACACCTCCCGTTGTACCACCAACAAGTTCTGCTGGACAAAACTTAGCGAATACTCCAACGACATCATCATCATCTGTATCTGTGAATTCTAATTTAGCTTTCTCTGTGCCACCTGCAAACTTACAATCTCCTCAACAGAACCACGATGCCAACAGTCAACAACAAATCATGTCTGCGTCGTCAAATAATATTCCGTCGTCGATTCTTCCATCATCAGCATCTATGAATTTACCTCCATCTTTAAATGGTCCCAATGTCGGTCCACCAATGATGGGCTTAGGTGGATTACCTTTAAGTCCAATTACAGCTCCACCATATCGTGCGATATATTCGTCTTATGGAATTTATTCACCTTACGGTCTTCATCCACATCCTTATGGTATGCCACCAACACCAATTCCATCACCATCTTTATCACCTCGAAGTGTTGAAGCGCGTCGTGATCCATCAATAGTATTATCAAAACCTGTTCGATCTTTAACACCAAATACGAACAACAATAGTAATAATAATAACAATAACCCTTCAGCAACTCAGTCCAACATTAACAGCAACAATTCTGGACAGAATTCAATAAATTCAATGAGTGCAAGTAGTGCAGCAATTAACTCGCCAAGAGGTTTTAGTCCAACAAGAGAAAGAGATAACTTTAGGTATGAAGAAATGTTAGAAAGATTAAGCGAGATGATTAATTAAAATTTATTTCAGTGTAAGCAGTTTGTCAGTTAAATCAACGGCATCAATGCCTGGTTCTTCTGTGATACCGTCATCAGCCACCACCAGCACCACACCATCATTACTTACATCTTATAACAGTTCTTCGGGACAAACAAGCGTTTCATCTCCTTCGACTTATCCCGTCTCTAGTCTAGCATATTCAAAGACTCCTGGTTTAGTGACGCCACCATCATGGCCGCCACTACCAACACCCACACCTTCATCTCCTTCAACAAATCTTAATTCAAGCTCAATTGTCACGCGACCAACTCCACCATCATCAGCTTCACAATTTGGATCATCGACACTTTTTGCTGCTCCACTTCCACCACCAGTTGCACCGACAACTGTTGTATCAACTCCACATCCGTTTTCAACTGAATCATTACTAACAGCAAAAGGTTTGTTCATTATCTTTATAATCTTTTTGATGAATGTCACTTAATGTTTATTTCTTCTTCATTATCAGTGGATCAAACAGATTTATTGCGACGTGAATTGGATAATAGATTTTTAGATAGAAGTGGATTAAGTCAACCGATAACAATACCACCTGTCGCATCACAAACAAATCAAAATAATCCGACAACAGCACAATCAACTTCAATAAGTGGTCAAACAACAACACAAACAACACCCCCAACAAATCAAAATGCTACGCCAGGACAACAACAGCAGCAGCATCAACAACATCAACAACAGCAGCAGCAACAGCAGCAATCAAATGTTCCGTTTCTTAGACAAGAGCTTCATCATCATCAGCACCAACATACTCACTTACATCAACACCAACATCAGCATCAGCCTTTGTTGCCTTCGACACAAAGTGCAGCATCACTTTTCCCACCGCCACTATTCAAAGATATTCCAAAAATAGGTGCTGTTGATTCGCCCTTCTACCGAACAGGTTCGACACTTGTGGGAATGCCACCATATCCATATCCCTCTGGAATTCTTCATCCGGGTTTGAGTGGACCGACACAGTTTGTGCCTCCTAGTCATTTGCAGTCATTCGTGCCGAAGGTAATTTAGATTTGTTTCCTTTTATTTTATTAATAAAAAGTATGGAGATGTTGCATACTTGTTTGAATCATTAATAAATCACACTAATCACCTATTACCATTAATAACAATATCATGAAAAAATTAATAACAGACTTTGGCGTTGTTCAGTTTTGGAACTTCAAGAATTGTTGAATCAAAAAAATTGAAAATTATCCAAAAAAAAAGGTTCTTTGATGCTAAAGTCTGAGTAATAATGTTTTACTGAAAAATGTATTTATGGTTGATGTTTCTTTTTTTATTTACTTTCATGTATGAATGAATGTGTAATAAACTTATGCACAAACTTCAAATTGCACACAAAAACAAACAAAACTCATTGATACCATCCAAAAACAAAACAAAAATTAAATAAAAATCAATCAATTCATTCAAATAAAACAGCAGCAAGGCCCTCCAACCATAGTTGATCCCACAAAACCCAAACAAGTGGTAGGTTTTATGTTTTTATTGAATTTTCTTTCTATTATTATTATTTTGATTGTTGGTTTTATGTTTTTGAAAAGCTCTTTAATCATGATTTGAAAGTTGCTGCTGGGACAATTCATAATAATTTTCCAATCAGATTTACTTAAAAATCATTAAACATTCATCAGTTTTTTAACCATTGATCAAGCTACAAAAAAAGAAGAAAAGAAATTAGAGCATGAACATGAAATTAATGATGTTTTTTTATTTTTCATTCAATTTTATTATCAACAGAAAACGGGTCGGTGGAATGCGATGCATGTACGAGTGGCATGGGAAATTTATCATCATCAAGCGAAACAAAATCCCGAAAAAGCAAGTTCAGTTGGTGGTGTAAAGCCAGAAAGTATGCTTAGACCTAACATGTATCCACCACCATCATCACCAAGTGTGCCACGTCCTCATGAAATGACTTCAGTGCCATCTGGCTTTCCACCAAATTCACTTCCTGGAAGACCTTTCGATCCTATTACAGCAAATTTCTTAAACTCACCATCTAGTCACATGGGTACAAAATAAACCGAAGTTCTTTAATTTGATCTCATTAATTGAATTTACCTTTTTCTTATTCTTTAGGAGTATCACCATTTGGACGTTACGCTCCACCTTTTGGTTCTCCATTTAGTGGCTTATCACCTTATGTAAGAGACTTACCACCTATAGGTGGACCAATTCATGATCCATGGCGAAGGTAAAGTAAAAAAATAACCTCAATTTCAAAATCCTCACCTTATCTGTCAATTTCAGTAGCATTAGTAGAAGTATGGGAGCTTATCCACCTCCACAAACTTCACTTGGCTCAACATGGCCATTGAAACCTGATCCGGGACTTGATGCTGCACGGAGGGAGGCTGAAGAAAGAGAAAGAGAACGTCAAAGACGTGAACGTGAAGAAAGGGAAAGAAAAGAACGTGAACGTGAACGAGAAGATAAATTAAAGCGTGAACGTGAAGAAAGAGAGCAACGTGAACGTGAGAGAGAAAGGGAGAGGGAGCGTGAAAGAGAACGAGAGCGTGAGAGAAAAGAAAGAGAGCGGCGTGAAATGGAGAGAAGGGAAATGGAACGTGAAAGACTTTTACATCAACAAAGACTTAACGATAGCTCGAAAGTGTCACGAGATCGTTCACCATTAAGGAACGGCGAAGATATTCGAGTGAAAGAAGAGCCAAGAAAGGAAGATGCAGAAATGATGATGATGAGAGCGGAGAATCAACGATATCATCAATCAATAACAGCTTGGCAAATGGCTGGTCGTCATCCACATATGTTGCCACCACCGCATTTGTCAAGAGCTGGAATTCTCCCTCCATCTCCAATGGTAGGGTTGGCTCATTATCCGTCTGCAGCACCAGGATGGCCTTCACCACTTGATCCTTACAGGGATCCTTATCGACTGATGGATCCTATGTTACGTACTTATCCAATGAATCCAATGTTAGATGCGATACGAGTTGAAGAGGCGAAAGCGTATGCTGCTGCTTCAGCACATTATCGAAGTAAAGATCCTAGTCCGGTGCCTCAAATGGGCCATCCACCAACAGTACCCTCACCACATCATAGACATCCAAGTCAGATGAAAAACACAACACAAATCGGTTCTAGTGGCGGTCCACCATCATCTGTGTCATCAAATAGTCTCACAATGCAGAATGATATGCACAAAAAGGAAGACACATCACGATGATAAAAGCTTTAACTTTTACAAAAGATTTATCGAAAAAGAAGAAAATTTTTGAAGGAAAACTTAAATGAATCTCAAAACGACAGAAGTATGACGATCAGAGAATGTGTAAAACATTTTAATCGTTCTTTTAAGCAGATAATGGTGATAACTTGATTAATTTCTCCTTCTTTTTTTATTAAATAATTATTAAATTGTCAAATAAGTAAATAAATTAATGAATCAAAGATAGACAAAAGGAAATGAAATGAACCTGACGATGAAAACAAAAGTATTTTAGAAATACGCTCTTGAGATATTATTCTCGTCTCGACTTGTTTAATTTAATTGTAAATCGATTAATCAAATTTTTCAATTTTTATTATTTAAAAACAAAACAGAAGAGAATTGTCTGAGTCCGATTATTGCATTAGAATCCGAATTGTGACATCATTTGATGGCATCACAGTGCTTGTAGGATTTGTTGTATTTAAATATCTTAGAACTAAATAGCAGAAACTTTTCTTCGGACTCATTCATTCTTCATCAATTTCTTTTCAAATGAACTCAAACATGAAAGAAATGAAATAGTAAAATCAAGGAAAGTTTTTTTTATAAACATTTCTCCTTGTGTCCTTTTTGTAAATCTTGCTGTAAATAAACAACTAAGACATTGCTTATAAAAAAGAGCGTGTAGGAAATTAATGGCCAATTTTTATATAAAATAACAATGAGAAATAAATTTAGAGCGTCATGAAACAAATCGGGTTGAATTTTAAGTAGCATTTCAAAGATGAAATATCTTCAAACGAAAATTGTCGATGCTTGATTACAAATTTTCATCTTCTGTAATAAAGTTATGATAGTTAAGCTTTTAAATAGCATGGAAGTTCAATTAACTTCAAGCCTAACAAACATTCCTCGTAGTTTGTGCATTAAATAAAGTAAAGAAGAAAGAAAGAATGTGAAAAGCTACTTAAAATATGACTCGATAACTGATGAAACTAATTTTTAAATTATTTTAACTGTGCATTGCTGGTAGTGTCCCAAGGCTGCTCCCATCCCTCCTTATACAAAATACTCCACACACCAATAAGAAAAGAAAGAAATCGTGAGTGAACTACACCAACAACCCTTATTCATGACAAAAGGGTGCCAAGTAGTCTTACTCACAAGCTGCTCTTCCTTCTCATTTGTACATAAATAAATAAATAAAATCTTTACTCTAGAGTCCTTTAGCTTAAAACAGAGTCAAACTTAAGAAGTGAAAAGAAGAAAAAATAATCGAGAAAGAAAGTTAAATTGACGCAAGTTATTGTTAAGAAAGATAAAATTTTAGGAGAAAATCTTTTCCTAAAAGAGAAAGAAAATTTGTAATTTATTATTTTTTTTAAACACGACGAATAAAAAAACATGTGAAAAGAAACAAAAATAAGAAAGAATTTGATAAAATTTGTTTCATTTATTTTAGAGCTTGAACGACTGAATGAAAATTTTGCAATTCATTCAGATTGGAAATAAAAAACATTTCAGTAGTCTTCATATCCGGGCATTGGGAAGTCCACGCTGAAAGATTCAACTTCTTGTCTCAAAACTTCAACCTTGGAAGCAAATTCACCATGAACAGCAGCTTTGAAGTCGACAAGTTTCGGTCCGGAAACTGCTACAATCTCCTTTGATAATTCAAGACCACGATGAATGTAATCAACGACTTTATCGATGTCATTTTCAAGCAATCCTCGTGTTGTCAAAGCTGGCGTTCCTAAGCGTATTCCTGATGGATTCAAAGCTGATTTATCTCCTGGAACTGTATTCTTGTTACATGCAATCGAAATCTCTTCCAAAATATATTCAGCACGAGCTCCAGTGATTCCATTTTTACGCAAATCAACCAACACCAAATGAATGTCAGTCCCACCAGCTGCAATTGTGTAGCCTTTCTCAATCAATCCTTTACATAATCGTTGAGCATTTTTAACAACTTGCTGTTGATATTCTTTGAATTCTGGAAGTGTCGCTTGCTTCATTGCCGTGGCAATTCCTGCAATTGCATGATTATGTGGACCACCTTGAAGTGCTGGAAAAACTGCTTGATTGATACGAGCTTCAAGATCATACATAACTTTGTCGCCGTTTGCTTTAACAGAACGTACACCTTTTCGGAAGAAGATGACACCAGCACGAGGTCCACGTAATGTTTTGTGTGTTGTCGTTGAAACAACGTCAGCAAATTCAAACGGCGATGGAATGACACCAGCTGCAACAAGTCCAGAGATATGGGCCATGTCAGCGAAGAGATAAGCTCCGTTTTGATCGGCAATTTCACGGAATCTTTTATAGTCGAGACAACGGCTGTAACAGGAAACGCCAGCGATGATGATTTTAGGCTTGAAAAGCTTTGCTGTCTCTTCCAGTTTATCATAGTCAATGAGACCAGTCGCTGGATTGACTTTGTAAGGCATTGATTCGAAGAAGATTGACGTAGCTGAGATTCTTTTGTTGGCTGTCATGAATCCATGAGTCAAGTGACCACCGTCTGGTAAATCTAATCCCATGATTCGATCATGAGGCTGAAGCAATGCAGTGTAAACTGCAAAGTTTGCTGGAGATCCAGAATAAGGTTGAACATTCGCTCCCCATTGACTTTCATCTAATCGGTAAGCTTCAAGTGCTCTCTTTTGAGCGAGAAGCTCAATTTGATCGATAAACTCGTTTCCTCCGTAATATCTGTCGTGAATATTTTACCTTATAATATAATTAATTGCCTTCATTGTTTCTTTTACCTTTGTCCAGGCAATCCTTCGGAATATTTATTATGGAGACAAGAGCTGAGACACTGAAGAACTGCCATCGATGTGAAGTTTTCACTCGCAATCATTTCAAGTCCACGAAGTTGTCGTTGCTTCTCCTTCTTCACAAGGTTCATTAGCTCAGGATCTAACTCCGCTAAGCTTTGATGAAGTATTTTTGAGGTTCCCGACATGTTCTTTTGTTAAAATATAAAGAAAAATATTTCAATATTAGATTATTAATGTGAGGAATGATCGAATGTTGTTTAATTTTTGATAAAATATTAAATAATTCAAACAGGTCTTTATTGTTCAGGATCGTTTATTGGAATGCAAAAATTATAATGAAACTGAATTTGAAATCAAGCAAAAGGTTTGCAACTGTTTATGAGATTTATTTGATTGACACTTGCCGCGCTGTTTTGTTTTTATTATTTAAATCAGAATGAAATTTGACGTAAATAATGTTTTTTAAAATAAAATCTAATAATGTTCTTGATAACTTTTTAGCCTTTGCTTGTAGCTTGTGAACAGAAAATAAAGAAAGAATTGAAAGCAATAACTGCAATGTGTGTGTTTGTATGTTTTGAAGGGTGTGTTTATTCAAAATGATGATGATAGTGATGATAATCTTTATAAAGATCATATTTTAAACAAATCATTACTCTGTTAATCGATGAAAATATTTGTAATGAAGACGAATTTAATAATCTTCTAGTTGAATTCAATAAATATCTTGACATTCTATAGAAAACCAAATCTCAAATAATTCTGTTCTCCTGGTAATATCTTAATCCAAGACTTAAATAAGGATTTTAAGATTATCTTCTTCTTGACTAACAAACAACGAACCTCAACTACCGAAAGTTCACTGAAGACTGAGAGCAAAACTGAAGATTATTTTGAGACATTAGTCAATAATTATTAAGTTTTGATTGTGATAATCTCTTGACCTAATAGTACTTAAATTTAAATCTTCCATCGCAGTAAAAAATAAATTAAAGCACAAATTTTGGTTTTTTTAATTTATTTATTTTTTTATTTTGACTTTCTAAATGGGAACCGACACAGGAGCAACGGCATTGCGAAATATATTTTTAAAGTTGATCCAAATTTCAAACTCTTGAGTAATTTACTCAGCAGCTTTGACAAGAGCTTCTGCAACTTCTACAGCAATGCTAGCTTCAGCTCTAGCCTGAAATGAAAAGCAAAATTAAAATAACAAAATTCATAGTTTAAACTCTTCAATGTTTACCTTGTCAGTAGATGCTGATGACAATTCACTTTGAGATTGTGCCAGCACTTCACGGGCTGCTGAAAGATCAAGATTTTCAATTGGTTGTGCCTCTTCAGCAAGTACTTGAACAGATGAATCTTCATTGACGGTTATCGTTCCACTTGAAACAAATACTTTCTTTTGTGTTCCATCATTCTCATATACTGTGACAACACCTGGTTTAAGAACGGCTAATGTTGGAACGTGTTTAGGAAGAATACCAAAACTTCCGCTGAATGATGGAACATCAACTTGTCTTACATTTGCATTATCGTAGAAAACTTTATTTGCGGCTGCAAGAGTGAAGCTCATTTCTTCGGCATATCCACGAGATTGCATAGCACGGAGGCCGCGGGATGACAAGAGACGAGCGCTACGTAATGCGAATGACATGTTGAATTGCAAGCTAAAATTAAATTAAAAAATGAAACATTTTGATTGTGTAACATATCTGCGAGAAAACAAATTGTCAGTCAATAAATTTTCGGTGTGATTTTTACTTATATTCACATAATGATGTGAATAAAAATCTTCATAAGCGATGATTGTACGAATCTATAGTAAGAAAGTACCACTCGGTTAACTTACTTTAAGGTTCAAAAAAATATTCTGTTTTTTGGAAAAACTTGCTGAATATCTTGCTGACAAAAACTTTTGCTGAATTCCTATCGAAGTTTGTCCAACTGTAAATTCAAAAAATCGATATTTGAGCCAATTTTGTCCGACTGCTTCCTTTTTCCCTAAATTTTAATCTCACAAGAGTAAGTAAATAAATTTTAATAATTTTATGATAGTTATGACTCTCAAAAGTTTTAAATAATTATTGAAACTTCAACTTAAGTAAAAATTCTGCATGAATTAAATCGATTCTTACACAAATTCATTGAATTAAGTTAAATACATTTGTTTTGAAAATTTGTCCCTTGTGTTTCTATTTTCGAGGTTAAATGGAACATTTAAATTGCTAAATAATAATATTAAACTAATTTGTCTTTCTCTTTCGCAGGTAAAATCAATTTGTCATCATGGTAATATTTATGAAAAAGTTTATAAAGACACGGTATTAATTATATTGTTATATTTTAGACAAAGGGAACATCCAGCTTTGGAAAGCGTCGTAATAAGACTCATACGATATGTCGTCGGTGTGGACGTTCATCGTACCATATTCAAAAATCAGTTTGTTCCCAATGCGGATATCCAGCTGCTAAAACTCGTTCATGTAAGTTAAATATAAGAAAATTCAGCAAAGTGCATCAAATCAGTGCTAATAATAATTCAATTAATATTTCTAGACAACTGGTCCGTTAAGGCTAAGAGAAGAAAGACAACTGGTACCGGACGTTGCCGTTATCTTAAGGTTGTTCGTCGCCGTTTCCGCAATGGATTCCGTGAAGGAACACAAGCAAAACCACGCAAATCAAAGGCATAAGTGTCGAAATATTTCTGAATTTCCAAGAACAACATCCTTGAGGAATGATTTGAAATTTTGGAGTAATGTTTGATACAATATCTATCAAAATAAAAGCTTCTTATTTAACATTCTAAAAGAATTTTTTTCTTCATGTTTATGTAAAAGAAAAAAATGTGGTTTAATTTATTCATTTGAGGTTTTCTTAAATTTTCAGAGTTAGAACATGACAGGAGAAATTATTTTATTGTATGTGGTGCACCATGAATAGATTTTCTACTTCAAATTGTTCATAATATTTTAAGAAATTAAATATTCTTTAACGTCTCAAAGCTTTTCCGTACGAAACTTGAAAGCTTTATTTATTTAATCACTTGAGCTTTAAAATGCTTCAAAAATGTTTACATTAATGTTTCTATATATTTTATCGATAGCTTTGAAGACGATGAAGTGGATTTGGAAGTAGACAGAATTTCACAGAATTGGACAAAAAAACTTTTCCGAAAATTTAACATTTTATAGATAAAAATGGAAATTAAACTTCTTAGAAGAAATAAGAAAATTCTCAAAATTTTATCAGACTAAATGTTGATAAAGAGTACATAAAGAAGGCTGCAAATTTATAAATTGATTTGAAAATTAGATTATCATCTCAAAAACAAGCTTTCAAGTAACTTTTTGTTTTCAAATTAAACACTTCAATCATCTCTGGTGATAAAACAGAAGAAGATAAGAAGTTTTTCTTCGTATTTCCTTTCATTGGATTTCGTAATTGAAGTTTTAAGAAATGTGAGACTGCAATCTTTGAAATTGGATTATTACTACTGAGAATAAATACGTTTTAACGAGATGTCATCGTTGAGTTTTCAGAAATCTTAAGACATCACGTTTCCGTTTGTAAATCTAAATTCTTTTGAAAAGATATCAATTCAGTCTAATCAAACAATTTAATCAAACCACCTGCTCTCATTCCACTTTTTATAAAATCCCATTAAAAAATGATTGTTTCTAAAATTTGTGTTAATTATCTTAATTAGGTTTCACTCTGAGGGAATTTAATTTCAATTGTTTTTTTTAAGCTGAAATTCTTTTTAAATCAATTTTCTTATGTGGATCCAAAAGCAATATGAAGCTCATGATTAGGTAATTCAATAAAACGAGATATTTTTGGATTATAAAAGCTTTTATTGAACACTCTTATTTTTCACAAAAAGGAAAACAAATTATCCAATAATGCCTAAAATCCATAAGCGATGTGGAGCAATGCGTTCATAAACGTCGGGTATTCCCTGACCGCAAGCTACTTGCCAAGATGCTATTCCAGCAATTAAACCATTAACGACAAGTGCACCACCTTCATCACCATAACAAGTGCCTTCATCTGAACGAGTAAATGTGCAAATTTTGTCATTAGTGACACGACTTTCGTCAAATCTCGAGTGTCTCGATCTGCATTCAGCATTTGAAATGATATTTGTTGTCATACGAAGTAAATTGTTGGAAGAAACTCCACCGCCTAGCACATTAGAACCCCATCCAGATACTTGAGCTGACATTCCTTGGCCTATGATGTTTGCACTTATCGCACCCAATTGGACATTATTTGAAAGTGCAATATTTGAAGCCACGAAAATAAGACCAACACTGGAATGATTTTAAAGTTCTGAAAGTGTTTCAAAGTAAAATTAAATCTTATTTACTCATTGATGAGAGTTGCTGGGTTATATCCCGGGTGAATCGTAATATTAGTACTACGAATAGTGACACCACCCGCATTTAACGTGACAGTTCCAACAACGACATTAATTGAATTAAGAGCACGACCAAAGACACATTGCCCTGAAGTTAAAATCCAACGATTTGTCAAAATTGAACCACCACAGAAATGTAAATTTTGAAGAGTTCTCAAAGAAGCCATGAATGGAACTAATCCCAATCCTACGTTAGCTCCACCGACAAGTCTTCCATCAATTGGCTCCACAATTGCTTTAATTTAAAAAAATTAATAAATGTCAAAAATTAAACTTTTATTTTTGTTCACTTACGAGTGCTGCTAGCGAAAGAAATTAAAGCGAGAACTAAAAACTTTTTCAACATTTTTAATGTTTAAAGTTATACTGTAGGAATTAAATTGACGAGTTTTTCTAATGGTTCTGTCTTTTTAATACCTTAGATTAATTGTAATCTTATACATAACATAATAGCAATTCATTTTCAGATAACTAAACGCCATCGTAACAGCTTTAACATTATCAAATCCACTTTTAACTAAACGATAAGACGACGAAAATAAAATTTAAGCTTTTCTTGAGAGCTGATTGTAACTATGACATTAAGCTATAATTCCAGTTATATTAATCATGAAAGTGTAGACAAAAAATAAGCTTTAAAAGGATTTAAAGCTCGTAGAGTTAGATTAAACTTACATAAATGTTCCAATCTTTGTCATCGACGTTTTCTATAAAAATTTATGCAAAAAAATAAGTTTTAGAAGAAAGAAACTTTTATTAATTTCATAAAGTAATAATTCAAGCAACAAATGGTAACAAATATTTCAACTTTTCATTTAAATTTTCTTTTTTAAAATCAAATTTTCTTCTTCCACTTCAGTATCCGAATCGAGAGAATTTTCATCCGACGAAAGTGATGAACAGCTTTCATCAAAATCATCAAGCGGATGTTCATTGAAAGATGAAGCAAATGAATGAAAGTCATCAAGTGTTGATCCATCACTTTTTATAGTCTCGTAGAAACTTTTTGTGCTGGCACCATCAGAATAATAATTTTCTTCAGTAATCGTTCGATCAAGATCAACAGGTTTTGAATGTGAATCGTTTGATCCAATAGCTGAATGATATTCAAAATCTGATGACGAATCAATGTTGTCTTCTTCATTATTATCATCAACAGAGACAGAAGAAAGTTGCGATGCTTTTGGTAAAATTACAGCATCAACTCCTGCAATTTTTAATTCTTCAGAATTAATTCTTCCTTCGCTTGCTCGGATTTCCAGCCGATTAATGTTGTGATTTACGCTCCACAACTTTGGCATATGTTTTGGTTCCATAACATCAAGAAAATGTTGACGCCAACGTTTCTCTAATTGAGTGAGTCCACCATTTTCAATAAATTTCTTTACCACAATTTCTCCATGTGATGGCATCTCAAAGTTAATTTTTATTGGTTTCTTGGAAAGAATCTCAGACAAAAGTTCATCATTAATTTCTTTGTTTTCGTACATTTTCTGAAGCATTTGTTTCAATTCTGCTTTTCGCTTTTCTGGGATTTCTTGATTCATTAATGCACGAGCGATTTTTTGTTCTTGATTTAATTTCTTGGCAGCATCAGAAAGTTCAACATTTGTAAGTCCACTTAATGGTGCATCGCATTCCATTTGAAGTGATTGTCGCATTTTTAAATCAGTAATATTCGAACGTTGATGGCACATGAAACATAACAACAAAACATCGTGACTGGTCTTTGATTTCATCACTTCAGGAAAAAATTTCCGATATTCACGTGGAACTACGTTTTTTCGTATCAATTCGTTTGTTTTGCCACAAACGACACAACAATTATCTCTTTGACATTTGTAATATTCACCGACCTCTCCTACAGCCCGTCCAGCTGGCTCAAAATTTAATCGTACTGTGTAAATTGGATCTTCACTTATTACAACTCCGCGTTCCTTCTTTACATACCAAATTGCTTTTTTATAATCACAGGTACAAAGAAGTTCACCATCTGGGGCTTGTAAATGACAATTATCATAGTAAGGAGTTGAACGTGTTGTGTAAGCTCGATAAACATTTTTTCCAAATCTATAAATGAAATAATTAATAAAAATTTTATTATTTTTCGATGAACAAATTAAAAATCTTACCTTGAATTTTTTGGATTTAATAACTTTCGATCATTTTCTCCAAAGTTATTCAATTTGTTTTTAAATTTTATATCTGTATAAGTGTCGCAGAATGTTTTAATTTCCTCATGACGACTTTCGTTCGGTTTTATGGTTTTGTATAATTCATGAAAAATTTCGATGGCGACAAAAGCATCTTTTGCTGCATAATCAATTTGCTGTTTACTAAGTGTTTCAATTTCCCAATCGGAACATCTGACACGCCAGTTCTTATCCAATTCTATTCCAAGGATTGCTTTTGAAAGTTTTCCAAGTCCTTCAGCTTTTTCATCCGCTAAAAGTGCTAAAAATCTCAAGTCAAATGTTCCTTTCATCATTATTGCGTAATCTTGAAACAAATAATTTGCATCGTGTTCAGGCGTTATTCCCGTTTTTATAATGGTAGGATCTTCAAGAATATTTCGCAATTCAATTGGAATATTTGAAAATTTACTAACACGAAAAAGTGCACAAAAACCTTTTATCGAACATAATTGAATTAAAGCTATTTTTCTTCTTTGATTGTTAACTGTAACCTAAAGAGAATAAAAGAAATAGGTATTACAAGAATAAAACTGAAAATGAGTCATTTCTCACCCATTCGCAATCAAATCCAACAACCGGAAAGTCAAAGCAATGTCTAAATTGCAGAATAAGAATCATTATTAAACATTATTGGCTTTGAAATTATATTTAACATACTTCCTAAGTTGTTCAATGAATAAAGCACATTCTTTTTCGTCGTTAATTAATTGTACTTGAAATTTGGTCCGCGGTATTTTAATGAAATCATGCAAAATTCTGCGTTTCGTATATGAAAGCTTTTGCAGAATACTCTTACGATATTTAGTAAAGATGAATATTCCTAAAGCTGCTCCACCAACTGCTAAGATAACATTGGTTACTTTTTGTGACTTTTCGCTCATGCTTAAGAAGAGTGAAAAATTCAAAAATGTGTTTGAAAAGTTTTGTTTTTGTTTTGCGTTGAAGATCTACAATGGAACTTTGATAATCCGGCTTACCTCAATAAACCTCGAGAAACCGATATTTTTTCGTTCACCTTGAGGCATCGGATTATCAAAGTTCCACTGTATGTAAACTGTTTGTTTACATTACGCTTCAAGTTAAAATAACATCAAGAATTTACAAGAAATCTGCACATATTTAAATTTCAGCAATGGATTACTGTCGGATTTGTGCGCGAAATGATCGAAATCCTTTAGTCTCCATTCTGGATAAAAATCCTTTGAATATTCAAGAAAAGATTTCAAAACTTTTGGGAATAAATGTAAATAAACAAATTTTAAATCTATAAAATAACATGTAAAATAATGTCTTTTTTTAATTTCAGGTGATTGAAGAGAATCCACTTCCACATTCAATTTGCCTTGATTGTCTTTCTAAACTTAACCATTTTAATGAATTTTTTATGGCTTGCTTAGAAAATCAAATCATTCTTGAAATAATTTTTGGTGTTAATGGAGAAAAAAGTAATTCTGAAGAATCCAAAAAAGTCACAGAAAAAGTTGAGGAAGTCAATCATGAAACATCAAATGTAGTTGTCATTGAAGACGTCCAAGTGGCGGGAGAAGCTAAAGAAGATCAAAATATTTCGTTTGATGAATACGAAGTGGTTCTTGATGACTCTGATTATCCAACTTTAGACTGTACCAAGAATACTAAGATACGCAAATTTCACAGATTTGATTGCTATTTGTGCTCCAAACGTTTCGATGGGAATCAAAAATTTGTTCGGCACTTCAAAGAATTTCATCCAAATGATGAGTTACATTATAAATGCTTCATTTGTTCCAATACTGTAAAAACTTATCGATCCTATACCCGTCACTTAGAATCTCACACCACTGATAAGCAATTTTCATGTGATGCCTGCAGTCGATCATTCTCACAAAAGATTACGCTCATTCAGCATCTCAATTCCCATAGAGATTTGAAGACATATAAATGTGATGAGTGTGACTCTTATTTCAAACACAATGCTTCCCTTTTTAAGCATCGTAAGCAAAAACATTCGAAGGAAATACCGTCATGTATAGAATGCAAAAAATCTTTCGTCAGCAAAGAAACTCTTCGACAACATATGAGAAGTAAACACACAATGGAAAAAAATATCCTTTGCTCAATGTGCTCAAAAACTTTCTCATCTCGTTCAGCTTTAATTTATCATCAAAAGTCACAGCATCAGTCAAGTGAAAACAATCGAAATATTTGTGATATTTGTGAGAAAAAATTTCAGACGCATCAAATACTGTTGCGACACAAAATGATTGTTCATCATAAAAAGGAAGTTTTAGAAATTAAATAAATATATATAAAAGGAAAACAAAGTTTTAGAAAAATTTATTTCTTTATTTTATTTAAATCATTTTTAAAATTTTGGCGGAATAATGAAAATATCAAATTAAAAGTTATTCGCTGTCCATTTCAGGAACATAAACCATTGTTTGGTTTAATTTGTCAGTAAGGATTGTTCTGTCGCTAGTTTTTTGATTCGACAGCTTACTTTTGTTATGATCTTCAACATTATTTTCATGATTCCGTTTGTCTTCTTTTCCTTTTTTGAAAGAATTCATTTTGCAGAGTGTATGATCTTTACTTTTATCATTTGACATCTTTTTCTTTTCATTTGATGATGTTGTCTTGCTTGAATTAATTTGTTGTGATGTTAAATTATTGAAAGAATCTTCAAACTTAGAAACGTTTGTTTCATAACGTGAACGATTTTCTTGTTTTTGCTTTAAGCTATTTTTCTCGTAGATTTTACTCAAAGTTGGTGGTTTCTTGATGACAGGTTTTTTGAAAAGTTTTTCATCAGAATCGTCTGAAGGTTTGGAAGGCTTTTGCTTTGATTTGGAATTTTCAAAATCCTTGGTTGTAGTCCGTGAATCTTTTACATGACTTCTGTCATTGGAAATATTTTGTTTACCATTCGATGATGTCTTCTTGTTAATTACAATTTGCTTTGTTTTTGAGTTACGGAAAGAATCTTCAGCTTTTCTAGCTTTCGTTTCATAACGTTCAGAGTTTTGTTGTCTTTGATTTAAATTATTTTGATCAAGATTTTTAACAACAGTTTGTGATTTTTGGTTCATTGGTTTTCTGGTAAGTTTTTCTTCAAATTGAGAACAATCTGAAGGCTTTTGTTGCAGTTTGGAATTTTCAATATCATCATCAAATGGGACAACATTTGAAGGTAAAGAAGGCTCTGGTTTCAAATTTTTATAAGTTTTTTTACTTCTTAATTGTCTTCTGTCAGTGGAACTTTTATCGTTATCATTCGATGAGGTCTTTTTGTTTAATTCAATCTGCTTTGATGTTGAATTATGGAAAGAATCTTTATCTTCACAAACTTTAGTTTTATCTAAAATTGGTGGTTTATTGTCTCCTGTTTTGCTGGAAAGCTCTTCATTAAATGAAGAATCTGTTGAAGTTATTGAATGATTTTTCATTGACTTTCTAATTTCAAGATTTTTTCCAACATTTTTTGGTTTTCTGTTGACAGGCTTTCTAACAAGTTCTTCATCAGATGAAGAATCATCTGACGATATGGAAGGATTTCGTATTATTTTAGTAAAATTTTTGATTCTACCATTGCAGATCTTTTGGTTATCATTCGATGATGTCTGCTTGCTTATGTTAAACTGATTTGATGTCGAATTATGAACAGAATCTTCAACTTCCATAACTTTTGTTTCAAAGCGACGTAGTTTTCTATTTGTTTGATTTAGATTATCTTTTTCATACTTGTTATCCAAAGTTGGCGAGTTTTGAACGACTGTTTTGTAGGAAAGCTCTTCAGCAAATGAGGAATCAATAGAAGTTATGGAAATATCTTTCTTTGACTTGTGATATGCAATATTTTTACTCATCATCGGTGATTTCTTGTCAACTTTTTTTCTGGCAAGTTCCTCATCAGTTGAAGAATCGATTGAAATTATCTCACTAGTTTCTGTTAATAATTTACATTTTTTATTAGGTGATTTCCCCTTGAATTGGCTTTCATTTTTGAATTCTTTGGAAGATGTTTCCATACATATTTTAACTTCCTGATGCCCTTCATTGCTTTGTATTTGATGATTTTTTCCATCATCATCCTTTGACTTGTTTTTCTGAGGCTCTGCGTTGGAAGTAATGGCTTTTAAGCTGCTTTCTGATTGAGGATTGTTTGTACTCAAATCATCAACTTCAATATTATATTCACGCTCTTGAACTTTCATTATAAATTTTCTATTTCCGAGCACTTGCTGGAGTTGTGAAAGAATTGAATTTTCTCCCGTTCCCGAAAATGACATTCCGTTCAATGACAATGAATTAGTTTGCAATTCAAGTATTCCATTTTCGCGTTTTGGATTAGAATTGGATTGCAAAAAATTTTGAAACATTGGAGCCAAAGCAACATTAGTTCTTGAGACATTTGTAGCTCGAGTGCGATTTTTCGTTAAAGTGAGAGAATCTTTTGTTTTAACCACTTCCTCGTTTTCGTGCTCAAGCATTCTTAAACTAAACACAAATTAATAGAAATTAACAAATTATGCATACTTTTTACTACATCACTTACTTATCTGTAGTTACTTGCCAGAATGGTAGATTAAGTTCTCCAAGTTTTTTAATTTTCTCATCGTAACTTTTCTTCAGACCTTGAAGAAATTCTTCACTGAAATAATAAGTTAAACTTTCCTCAGGCATAGCAGGTTCCTCTACTTTAGCAGCATTTTCTATTGCACGAGTAGAATATTCATCGCTTTCATCATCCGAGAACTTATTATCATCAAATTCATCTGCAAAATCCAGCATTTCATCCATGTCCATTCCGTTGTTTTCATCATCGTCTTTATATCTCTCCATGAAATCTTGCCAGTACTTTGCTCTCTTGGTAGCTTTCTCTTCATTTGGCAGGATGTTTTCAAAGGCATCGCTAAATAAATGAAAAAGAAATTATTAGGTTTGAAAAGTGAATAAGAGCAGTTAACGTACAAATCTTCGTGTGATGAATTCATTTTTGTTTATTTTCGACAATTTTTTGTCTATTGGCACTTAAAAGTTATTGTGCAGTTACGATTCACGTTGCACTTGGCACTAAATATCAGTTTTTCAAAAAATATTTGATGAAAACTGCCGTTTATCTTATAATTTTAGTGAAATTTATTGAAAACAATTTGTTCATGTTGAGGAATTCAAAAAGCCACCGGTTTACCGAGGTTATTGGTCGGTTTGAGGCATCGGCTTATCAAAGTTCAACTGTTTTTTTGGCTATGTGTGAGTGAACATAAACAAAAAGTATTTGCGTTGAAAATTTAAGATTTTTAAAATGTTCATTAAGCTGAAAATTACAAAACAAATATAAAAGTACTTTATGTGAATCTATTTGTAGATAGATAACATATAGTTAGAGCTTTTACTGTTGTCTCTTTTGTGTGACAAACTTTGTTTATAAATAAAAATCAATTTAAGTTAACTACGATTTGAAAATGTGGATTAATTTTTCCCTGTTTGAATATTATGAACTTATTTATTACTTAAAATATCGTCTTGGATCTCAGGATGTAAAAGAGAGCATAAATGTAATTTACCTTTGCAGTCTCTTTTTCATTATTTCATACGTGATTTTTCACAAAATTGTCAAGGTAAGTTAAAATAATCGAGAACCAATTACTGCATGCATAACGTTACTGAATAGGTACTTAATTTAGGAATTTATTGAATTTGTTTTTCAGAAATTCCTATTGAAACCAAAAATATCTTCAGATAAACATGGTGCTATTATAGATGCTGCCTACAACATTGTGTTCTTTCTCACTTCAACTTCCTTCCTGATTTTATATCACGGCTATTTCATTAAGAATGAGATTAATACAGAAATTAATGAATTTAATCCCAAAGGAAAAAGTTTGCTATTCCATAAAACTTGCGATATTATTAAATTTAAAATATTGACATACATCTTGATTAGTTACAACATTTTCTCTTTTTTCAAAGATTTGTTTACTCGTGACATTTCTAGCGCAATCTCAAATTTTCTTTTTGTTACTTTGTTATTAACTTCATTTTCCAACAGATACGAAAATTACACAGTTGTTCTGACTATTAATATTGGTCTTTTTCATGTATTCACGAAGCTACTCTTAATTCTAACGTTTAACACAAAGAAAAGTCAAACAATGATGTTTCGAATGTTAGCTGGATTTAAATTTGCAGCATGGATGTATATGTTCCTCAGTTTTTTACCATTTCAATATTTGTTGCCATCTTTGGATACAAATATTAATGACTCATTGTGTTTGAATACTGTTTTCATCAGTTGGTATGTTTTCAATTTATGGACATCTCCCATGTTGAGAATTTTCTATCATCAACTTTACCATTTGACAATTTCGGATTGTCCCGGAGGGAATTCCTTAAGTCGATGTATATTACTTAAGGATTCTCCGGAATTTGAGCATCAAATGAAACTGAAACAAGCTTATTTAGATGTCCGCCTTCACAATCAGCGACATATACTCAATAAATTAAATCTTAGTGAATCTGCTGCATCTTGTTCAAGTTCCACAGCATTCCAAACTATCAAATGTGTTTTATCATTGAAAAGAAAATTAAAAAGAATTCGTGAAAATCATAAAACTGTACAAAACAATAATTAATTCTAAATTTCCATGAGATTATGACGTAATTTTAAATGCAAAGCTAAAATAAGAGTAAAATTTATCATCAGAATGTTAATTCAACACCCTCTTTTAATACAAATTAAATTTTTGATTAATAATTAAAAGCATGTAATGAAACATTTTATAATTACTTTGAAATAAAAATCATTATGAAATATAAAAACGTGATCTAATTTCTCTTTATTTTAATAGACATTAACTTATTTTAATTTACAGATAAGAAGAATCCAAAAAATAAAATATTTCTACATATTAAAGAGCAAAACATAAGTTTGAAACTCAACCCCAATCAAATGTATTGAAACTTCAGATAAATAGATGAAGATAATAAAAGATACACAAATATGTCGACAATAAATTAAATAACGTCGTTATTTTTCGCAGGCTTTTCCATATGTCATATACATAGTAGAAAAACCTCCGACTGATGACCAAGACTTCAACTCTAAGCTTGAATTGATAAACATGGGAATGACTTTTCTCTTTTCAAACCCTTGTCATTGTTACATGTTAGTTTCTCTATTATTTTGTGATTTATTTTTCATTCCATTAAAGTTTTTTTAAGGCGTTTTTCATTGATTAAAGTAGATTTCTTTTTCCTCTTGAAAGAAAGTTTTTCTCTTGCTTTTTCTTTATAGGGATGACTTGACTTGATAGAAAGTTTACAATTTGCTTCTTCAGAAAAGTTGTGTCAAAGTCTAATGGTTTATTATTTAATAGATTAGAAAACTAATTTTGAATGCTTTTTAAGTAGGTAAGATCCTTCTGTGTAAGAAAGTTTGAAATTTTCATAAAATCTTTTTATACATAACATCAACCCAAGACGAGTTTTATGAAAATAGATAAGCTTTAAAGTGTTTACAATATTTAATGCTTTTTGAATATTGCGGGTTGGAAATTCTTAAAAAGCTTAACTGTTTGGTAAATAAAAATAAAAATGTGCTCTTTTGATACATGAGACGCATGAGCAAGCATTAATAGAATAAGTTTTCACGACATTTTACTTCAACGCTATTTATGTATACAAGACTGAAAATTTTTGATTTCACAAAATTATAAAAAATAAAATAATAATCCAGAAAAAAAATTCTAAAGCACGAAGAAGAGCGTCATCATAAATTTACCCTCCTTGAAACTCCTGAATTGAATTAAATTCTATTTAAACTTCGTGAGATAAAATGTTTTCATATCCTATGGAAATAAATTTGAACATTGTACAGTTGTACTTTTTATTACTTCAAACTTTCTTTTTTGAAGTATTTCTGAAATTTCATTCGAATATGTATTTACACTGCAGCTTGGCAACATAAATGGAATAACGCTTGACGAAATGTTTTAGCACATATATCTATTTACTCAAAATAGTTCACAAAAAAAACCAATTTTAACGCCAACTCTACAGAATTAATGTCAACCGAAGTTTCTAATGTAGAGTGAAGGATGTCAAGCGTTTATAACATTTTCTAAATAAGTAAAAACCTCTTCACATGTGGTTGTAAAAGTTAAAAGCAATAAATATATTGAGTGTAAAGAAATGAACACTTTAAAATGGAAAAGAAAAATCACCCATGTAGATGCCATCTACGCTTTCAACTTTCGTGTGATGAAAGAAAAGAAAATTCAATTTTACAACGTCGTTCTCTCTTTCGTTGTTTTTTTTTCTCATTTAAATGTTGATCTCGAAACGCAAAATAAAAATTTTCATGAATAATGAAATTAGTGAGAAAATGAGATGATAAAGAAGGAAAATGTAGATGCACATATACCCGACCTCACGTAGATATTCTTATTCAACATAAGCCTCTGTTTGAAATGAAAAATAAGTTACATGTTCGAGACTTTTCTCAAAATCTCGAATTTCAAATCATTCATAAAATTTCAATATTTAAATTCAATTAGAAGACTAATAATTTGCATTTTTTCTTGTTTTGTTTTTATTTTGATTATTTAAAGCCCACAAAATTCCATTTGTTTCACTTTCCCTTAATATATTTGTTTTCCACATTTTGTATCTTCCAATCTTGTTTCATTGTGGAGAATTTGAACAGGCCGCAACAAAGCTTAATTCTGCATTGAGAATTAAATAGCTTTAAAAAGCTTAATATCCTTGGCAGATGAAATCAGACACATTGTTTTAATCTGAGGATGTTTTCATCTATAGGCATATCACTTCTGCTTATAGGAGCAGATCAAGAAGCAAAAATACCTGGATCCATTGCTAAGTGAAGTTTTCCCAACTTCTGTCACATTCAACTGAATATTTTGGATTCTTTATGGGCCACAAACTTCAGACGAAATTATTGTCACTTGTGACAAAAGTTTCCTTTTATCTTATATACCCCGAAGTTTAAGGTGGTCTGTGCTCATGACATCAACAACAGATGTAGGTTAACAGTTTGTAATATATTCTCAGTTTAAATGTAGATTAAGATAAAATGCTGTTTATGAATCTGTGCGTGTTAATGTTCATGCTAAACGTAAATATGTGTAAGAGTTAAGAGAAAGTGATTTCAGCATTTTCTCACGAGGAAAACAAATCGTGAATTGAAAAACCAGTTGTTGATTATTGGAGAAAAACGATGATGAATGCGACAAATTTTCTCTGACTTTATTTCCTGCGACAGAAGTTCAGTCTTAAAAAGAAAGCACATTTCAAGAATCGTTAGTGATTATTGATAGCAATTCCAAAAAGGCGATTAAATTTATATCTTTGGCCTGTAAAAATCACGATTTATGAGATCATATTGCGACTGATATTGAGCTTCTGTTACACTGCCATGGACAATCACAAAATAGAGAACAGAAATTCGTACGCTTCGAAGAGTAATGTTCTTTTTTCATTGGTAACATTTGCTATTGAATTATGAATCAATGCTTATTTATCATGACTTCAAATTGTCTAATTAAGTTAGCTCGTCTATCATTCTTGCGCTATAGAAAAATAAATTATAGAAAAGAGAAATCATTCAATGACTCTTCTTATTTTATACGAGAGTAAAAAAAAGTGATAAAAATCACTTTGGAATGTCAGATAAATATGAACTACCTATTTAGATTCTAAACGAATAAATTTTCTAACATTACAATTGAATGAATTGTCATTAAGAATATTCAAAAACATTTTCTTGTGCTTCTTCTTCAAAGCCACGAAACTTATCAATTATGCATTGAAAACAATCACAGAATTTTGCGTAACAGACATGCTTTGAATGGCGATGTGCGAATGAAAACGAATTTCAGATATTTATTACCTTAAATAATACTTCTTATTCCCATTTGCTAGGAAAATTAATTTAGGAAAATCTGTGTTTAAAGCAATTGCTAGATGCCGAAACATTAAAATTACAATTGTAAATTTATTGCCTGAATGAGAATATTTAAACTTTGTACGTAGTGAAAAGAAATGTAAACGACAGAAACACCAAGAGCTATCGAGTGTAAGAAAGAAATTCTTTAAATTTCTCAAGGAATATCTTAACATTGCGGAGGCAACAAGCAATTGCTTCACATTGATTTGAATATTTTATGATTAGTTCCCTCATCTTCTTCTATTCCTGAGAGATTTGTTTAATGGCCAGGTAATCTTGATAATTTTTCTTTTACAATAAATATTTTGACGAGTGTCAAGATGAATAATTAATTAGAGCATCTTTTGTTTTGATTCGAATTTACAATTTTCTAACACCAAAAATTTATTCAATCAGTTTTCACCGTAATGTCAGATTCTTTAGAAATATTTTAAATATTTAATAGTTTTCTGGAAGGGAAAGAAATTATATCATGAATGCATCACCCACATACAAAAAAAACTTACTTTTTTCACTGAAACCACCTTCCAAAGAATCCATTTATTCCGTTCTATAAATAAACAAAATGTTACTAACACTTTTGAAGGGCATGAAAAGAGAAACATGCAACGCATGTCATTTAACAGAAGGTTTTCCATATTTTCCAATGGAATTTCAATTTCCTGTACACTTTGTTGGATTCAACAGCCACTTTCCTTCATAGATCTCAGTCATTATTTGGTTCGGAAAATCAACGGATGGAAAACCTTCACGTTTAATTATATTTCTATTAATAATTGTTCATAAAAATGCAAAGAGGATTAAAAATAATTTTTAAAGAAGCATTAGTGGTGAAAACTTTTAATCCTTAATTACCATAAAAAAAAGAATGAACGAAATTACTTTTTAGAGACAAAGCAAAGGAAAATTTCGGAAAATCCTTATAAAAGAAATTTAATTTTTATTTAACGAGAAAGAAAGAAAAAAAAGAAGGGAAAAAATTGGAGCGTTGCGAAGTATTGTGAATAAAAGAAAATGAATGAAAGCAGTAACAACCATTGCAGTCATTGATAACCGAAAATTGATAAAAATAGTGTAATAAAAATATCAACTTAGACAAGAATGCTTTCGAATATTTTAGTGTATTGAGAAAATTCGTGAAAGAAATAAAATTTTATTATTGTTCAACTCATAATAAAACAGAATGAATAAAAGTTCCATAAAATATTTTAGAAGCCAAAGAGAAAAATAAGCAACCAAATCAAAAATATAAAAGAATGCTTGAAAAATAAAGCATAAATAGGACTTTGTCTTTCCTGTGCAAAATTTTAAACTTTTAATAGACTGGAATAAAGGTTTTTTTTCTATTACTTACATAATATTTTAAAGACAGTAAAAGAAGGCAATTAACAGCTGTCAATTGGTATTTTGTGCTTAATGAAGTTATAAATCCAGTGAATACAATATTAATAAGATGTATTTAAATAAAGTGTTTGCTATATAGCAAGTGAAAAATGGGCTATCATTTGAAGAAGCTTTAAGTATTATAAAAGGAATACTCAAAATTAAGAAGCACATTTGCAAGAAGGTAATTTGATATCATTAATTTCCTCCATCTGAATTAGCACGTTATGACAGAAGATTCTGTCACTTAAATATCATTAGTACGATCATAAATTTTGAAGAAAGAATTCTAAACCTCCCTTAAAAGTCTTGAATTTGTCATGAACTAAGTTCAATGGAACTTTAATTAGTTGACATTATTTATTTGGAAATTATACATACACACAAATATCTGTTTTGAACCCAAACATCAAGGGGTGATCTGAATAAAATAAGGGATAAAATCCTCATTATTCTTCTTGAATAAGTTTTAAGTCTTTTTTTTTATTTGATTCCAGACTATCTATAACAGAATAGAGAAATAACAGACAGATTAAAATATTATTCTTGAATGGTATTATGGAGATAATTCAATTATTATTCTTATACTTTAGCAGACAAAGCCCTTCTAGAATTTAAAGGTTTCGTCTGTTTGTGTTAATTATAAAATTTTCAAACTTATAGAAAAACATAAATGCCGATGGTGAAATGAAATATCATTTCATTCAAGCATGTTCAGCCTTTCGCTACCATTTTTTCTTACTTAAATTATTGTCATTTCGACTATTTCTTTTATTTTATTTCCACTAAACCAACTTTTCCACAGAAGTATCAGCACATTTAAATAAGTGCAGTAAATTTATTACTTCTGTGCTTCTGGCTGAACATTAATGTTTATGTACGTATATAGCAGTTCTAAATTGGTGTCAGAGAAAATAAAATATTGTGCCAACCAAGCGTAGTTGCAAGTTGCAAGAAAACTGAGTTTCACTGTTGTCTGTTTTAGGATAATTTAGAATCATATTTCGGTTTGTTGGTACGAAAACTAGCTGTAAGGTTTATATAGTCAATTAACAAGCAACTTAAAATACAATTTCAAATAACACGTAAATACTATTTAATTGGTTAGTTCTATCGGTTTGAAGATAATTATTTACCTATTCACAAAATATTGCGGCGCATCGATTGAAAGCTTAACTCTCGCAGTCAAGTTAAAATTTGATCATTTTAGGTAAGGCGAACAAAATAGAATTAAGTATTAATAACATTTCGTAAATATTTGAACATAATTTAGGCATCAACCACTAGGTCGTCATAAAAACGACAGAAAAAAATAAAAAGATATTAAGTTTTATATTTCATGCACGGAGCAATTCGATACCCACGGGTGATATCATGATATGTTCAACCAACGCCAAAAGAGATGGAAGAAAAATAAGGAACTTGACTCAACCATATCTTTCTATTATATGAGCAAATGTTTGCTTCGGAGAAAATAAAAATGGATAAAATTTTATCGGAAAACCATGAAATACATCACCTACACCTACAACAGTGTGATGCGAAGGTTCCTTCACTTCCATTCGAAACGTTTCCAAATTAAAGAATAAAACAACACGATGAAAAAGGCTTCTCTTTTCTTTTTCGGTAGATATCTAAAATAGTAGAATATATAAAAGTATATTTGAAAACAACGCAATCGAATATATACTTATGAGTATAACATTATATTCTAAATATCATAAAAAGTACCATTCGTTTCATATCATATCGTTGATCGTCTTAGCGGAATAAAATCGATTTGAAGGCGGAGAACGAATCTAATATTCAGATCAAGGACATGAAAATAACTTATTTTTGTGATGTTAAACGTCAATCGTGCTTGAAGTCAAGCTTGAAGTAATGGAAACGCAAATACTAGAATTCAGAAGGGAATTCGGATACTTTGATCAATTTTTTGGAAATAGAAAGTCTTCTCGATTTGAAAAACATCATCGAATTGTTTTGTTGTTGGAATATTTACATAGCATAAACAAAATGTCTTTATTTAGATTTCGAGCAGATACCCGTATTTAAATGTGTTGCTAATTTCAAATTCAATCTTACAAATTGTTTCCGAGAAATAAATTCTTGAACCAAATTCTTATCAGCCTTTTTGTTTTGAGATTTATGTCATAAATATCTACATATAACCTTTACATTCTTAACTTGTTGCATTAAATATCATTAACCCAAGCCACATTATTTCCTCTTTTTTCTTGATTTTATTACTACACAGTCCTTTCATTTATAAGTCACAATATCTAAATATTACAAACTTAAAATTTGTGGTAATGACCTTTTTGTACGTAAATGGTTAATAATCCAACATTGACCTTTTCTATCATCATAAACATCGGTAGTTTAGATATGCTTGCAGCTATATTAGAGAAAATTATTCTTGTTTCTGTTATTTTTTCGGTTATTTTAGAAAGGAAGAGAAAAAAAAACCTAGATTTGTCTTCATGAGTATTAATGAAAATGATAATCATGGAAAAGGATAAGTTGACTAAACCTTGGTGCTTAAAATAAGTATTGTAGGTCTGTGATTGAAGAATCTAAATAGAAAAAGCAGCGACCACATAAATTGCTTGTAATTATACATAATTAATCACTTGTAAGGAAAAGAATGACCGCTCGTTATTCCTTGGGCAACTCTCACCGTTGTGCCATTATGATCAAAAAATAGTCATTCGTTTATTTGCACTCATCTTTGTTGATGGGCATTTTAACATTGTGTTCCTTTTCTTCTGAATAAATCAGACAATGTTAAGTATGTTGCTTTCTAAGGAAATTGTTGCAATTTAAGATAAAGCAATAAATAAAATTTATTTTCCTGATAAGTTCTTGAAAGAAAAGGAAAGAATGAAAAAAACTAATAACTCATTAATCAAAACAGATGATATTAATGTTGCTTCACACAAAAAACGAAAATTCACCCTTTTATTTTGCAAGCGGATTTTTTGTTCTTCCTTTTCCTTTTCTTCTCACAATCTTGAGCAGCAAAGAAACAAGAATATATTAATTTATTTATAGCAAGTTAATTCTCCAAGCATACTTAATTTAATTCAAAATATATTCACAACATTATCAAACGTACACAGCACAGATTTCTTTCAAATAATTTAGCTTCGTTAGCATAAAATTGCAATAAATTGAGGATTCAATTTTCAAATCGTTATTAATTGGAGATATTGCAAATGAACACTTTTTTCTTTCACGTACCAATTTTCTTAAAAGCTCAACATTGCTATCTTCGTTATACATTTTAAATTGAAAATAGCAAAGGAAATAGTTCGGGAAATAAAAGGAATCTCCAATCTGTTTTTCAAATCCCAAGATATTTAATACTCTCGCGTCTCTGAGTAAATGTAAATGGCAATCGTATTTGAACTGAGCTGAATGAAGAATTAAAATACAATTAGAAAAACATTACATTTTCAGAGAAAAAAAATATCTATATCAACTTTTCCTCGTTTATTTTACCCAAGCTTTCGCCACAGTCATCCTCTGCTTGTTCAAGGCTCGTCACATAAAAGATAAAACTCTGTGTAGTGTATAGACATATGGTAGATATATGTGTTGGATACGTGATGCTTTTATTGAGAGAATCTTATGTTATTTCAACATGCTCGCTTGCTTATGGCTGGTGGTTTTTATGATGTTTAAAAATTCCCTTAAAGCGTCATTTATTTCATGACTTTCTATTTTCTCATGGAATTTTCTTTTTTTTCTTTGTTTTTGTTTGATGTAAGATTTTTATTTAAGATTTTTATACTTTTCACATTAGGTTTTGGTTTAAATGTTTTTATTCAATTAATTAATTTGCTTTATCTTTAATGAAAAGAATAACGCAAGATAAAGGAAGATTGTTTTTAAGTATTATCTTGTGGCAACATTAACAGTATTAACAACCTTTGTTAAGTCAAGACAATTGTAGCACTGCTTGACATTTAATGTTGCTAGGTGAGTAAAAACAGTCATTGACAGAATTTTCCTTTTGTTGATAATGTGTGACTTTCTCTCGTCTTAATTCTTATCTTTTAAGAGGAAAGAAGTGAAAGACAAGCATCTTACATAAAAAGTGTTAAATATATCTTCATCTTCATCCGAAAAGTAATCACATCTTAATATTAGCAATTAGTGCCGAAAGGAAAGAAAAGTTGGAAAAGTTTTGAAAGTAGGTTACGAAGAGTTCCAAAATTACGAGTTGGTATTAAGTCTTAATATGGAAATATACGCAACCGAAGTTTTCTTTCTTTCTTTGACTGAAAATAAACATAAATCGTCTGATCCTCGTGCACTCTTGTTGAGAAGGTGATCCGTATGAAATTTATAAATATGTTTTTCGAACATTCAACTGTTGTCTGTTGCTAAAAGTGGATTAAAAAATCTTTTTTTGATTCCACAGCTAAATAAAAAAACGATGCAAAGGTGTGGGTTCAAAGGCATGAAAAAAATAAATTTTCTGTCTACGTAAAGCTACTGTTGTAAAATCCACCCTTCAGTTTATTAACTTCTCTCTACTATGATTCCGCTTTTGCGAAGGCTTTTACAAAATGATTGGAGACAACAGAAAAAGTGAAAAGGCATTAATCAACATCAACCCTTGAAACAAACAACGAAAATCCTTCTCATTCAGTATTTTCACTTCGCTCCCCACTTCCTTTCCTTTTTTATAACATGACTTTCTACAAATTGAAAGAAAGAATCAAAAAATTCCCTTTCTTATATATTTCTTTATTAAATTCCTTCATCTTATAAAATTTGCAGTAACATCCGTGCTATTGAGACTTTTCTCAAATTTCATGTCATGTCAAAGTAATGAAAATGTCTGTACACTTGAATTTATCAGACCTACCTAGATATGAACATGGTAATCTAATTTATGATCTTGCAACATAAATGTATTTTTCTTAGTTATATCTTGTACATATATGCATACTGATTTATGAACAAGAAAAGAAATGAATCAAACCGAGTGATTAAATAACGAAAATAAAACTCTTTGATTAAATATTCAGATAGAAAAATGTAGTAAAATTAATACTTATCATATAAATATGTTGCGTGTTGTGTTTTGAAAAACCTTTCCGCCTACGCATAAACAAATTGTTCCGTTTGTTGATGATATAACACCGCGAAACAAAATGTATATCTACCTACATGAACATAAATAGCACGTAACTTGAAAACGAATGAAACGAAGACAATAACAAAATATATGTAAATATAAAAAAGCAAAGTCAATACAATAAATCAACAAATATCGCTCGGAGACGAAGGAGACTTTGTCCGTTTTCTAATTTTCGTCTTGTGTTTGTTAAAACGTTTTTCATTCACTGAAATGTTTATGTACGCTCATCCCTGTCAGGAGCTATAATAAATTTCCCTAGGCCTAATGACAATGACAAAAAAGCGAATGAACATTCTATGACAGTTGTGAAAATAATTGCTACTGTGGCGTCGCGCAAGAACTGCTTTTCTTTATAGACTCCTTTTATCTGTAGGTTTTGTGAAAGGTTCTTCATGGCTGTTTATTTCATGTTGAGATAAATATATTTGCATAAGTATTGTAATTAATTATTAGAGAGAAACATTCTGCTCACTAAAAAGCGAGGATCCTTCGTCAACGATTTTGCAATATCTAATTATCTAGATTGTCTTGGAATTTTTTTATTAATTACATTGAACAAAATTTGTAGATATTTGTCTGCAGCATCAAGAAAAAAGAACAAACATAAACCGAAGACTAATTTCAATCTTTAATCTTCGGATAGCATCGAAGAAAGGCGGCGGTCAAGTTTCATTTTGAAACTTTGTCTATTTATTACTTACGTTTCAGAAACGTTTAATTATAAGAGAAAGAGAGCGGTCAGTATATTGCTTGATAGTTTTGTACATCGTACATGTTAATGATTTGGTTTACGATAAAATCATTCCAACAAATATATTCATACGGATTTTCTCCTTTCCTTTATCTGATCTTCACTGATGAACTAATTTTACTAAAACTTCGAGGAAATCATGTGTGTTCACCCATAGGTATAGTTATATGTACATAAAGGTCTCAATAGGAATGACAAACAACGCCGAAGTCGAAAAAATCTTTCATTTCTCTTGTCAGACACTTTATTCCGCTTGAAGGAAAATTGGTTGTAAATATTAGTTTGGTAATCACCAGAACTTCCGCCAGAAAACACATGTTAATGAAAAAGGCTAAACCTTAATTCGTGACAAACGTTACTCGTGTAGATTCGTGAGTAATATATTATTTACTAGAAGGCATTTAATTACCTGATATGATAATATCTGGTTGAGTTTATGTATAAGTTTAACCAGATTTACGCATCGAATGATGGCAATAAGTCTTGTTAACAATAACAGAAAAAAAAGCAAATGGAATTATTTACACTCATTTATACCAACATAGATGTCTGTGGATATGTAGATGTAGTTCATCTAATGAAATCAATCGTTCTCGTAATCAAATATAAACTAAAATTATTTATTTCATTTATTCTTTCAGCTTTCGGCATTTTATCTGTTTGCGAAAATAATAAATAAATAGAAGTAACATTGGTGAGTGATGGCTATGAATATATGAATGTTGTATGTATATTTATGTGTTTTTATGTATTGAAATTAAACATGAATATATGAGAGTTAAATATATTTATTATTCTATAGATATGTAAATTCTCTTGTAAAAATAAGATAACATGGATTTCAAAGTGTAACACAAATATGTGACACTCTTTCTTGGGGGATTTAAAAAGGAAAGAATAAAAAGAAATAAAGCTCTGTGGTTTTCAAATTTAAGGAAATGTTTTCAAGTTGCTTATCTTTCTACATATTTTTGTTGCATGAAAAGCTTAAAAGATTGCTTTAACAACAACCAACATAGCCTATGATTGTATATGAAGTGCCAAATTGAAATTAAGTGCTTGTGATTTCACAGCCGCCAACTTCTTCAACAAAGCATGTAATACAAATTGCGAAAGCTTGAAAATATAACAAGCATCGTTGGAACTGCTTTAATGAAACCATAAAATTTTTTAAACTACATATCAAGATGGAACAAAACAAGTTGAATTTATGACCTAATCTGCTTTAATTTTTATTACAATCCCTTCTTTATTGTTTCGAAAAAAAAGGATTCCTAATCTGTAATTTTTTAACATCAAGATCAAAACATAAATTGTAATAAATTTTTAGAAATAAACATCTTTGGGTATTCATTCATAAATTCAAAAATTTATTCAATGAAAATCTTGAAATCAATCGCCTCTGCCTATTTCTTGAATGAAAATTTAATTGAATATTTTTCAATGGTTCTTTGTATTTTTTGTATCTATAGCAGCCAAAACTTTGTTATTTACTTTTAACTACAGTTCTTTCATGAGTATAATTTTGATTCAAGAGTTCTTTTTAACATGAACATTTTGTAACCAGCAGCATATTCCAACATGCTCTTACAAGCTCATCCCTCATGCTTGAGGCTTTATTTAAAATATGTAAAGTAATTGTAAAAATAAATATGGAAGAAAATTCTACAATCAAGTAGATCTGTCAATGTTAATCGAAAATTGGCGCATGCGCAAAAAAGATTGGAAGTAGATAATTTCCAATTTTCCACAAATATGTTTTCCATATTGCTACCTTTACAAAATGGTTAAAGTGAGTTCAAGCCAAATCTTTTGAGTAGCATACATGTAGAAGAAGAAGAAAAAAATGTTTTGATAGAGCCTAATGGCATGTTTCATGATAATCTCTTGAAATTTCTTTGTCGCACGTTTTAAATGATTCCAATTCCCTTTCATTATTTTCTATTTTCAAATTTCATGATCCCGTTTCTTTGTGTGTATGAAAATCTACTTATCATTCATACTATCGAAATGTCATGAAACTTTAGTTGAGAGCTCTCTACTCTGATCCTCAAGGAATGTTTGTAGGTGAAAATGAAGAGAACGGGAGCGATAATACGATTTATATGGCACATTGTACGAACCTTACATTAAATACAATGTGTTCTGCTCTAGCGATATCACTTTGATGTTACACTATAGAACTAACAGAAAGGCTAACATTTTTGTTTCAAAATAAATTCAATAGGGAACTTCTGTGTAGAACACTGTGTAGATAGATGCTGATGTTTGTTTTTTGTTTCCTTTTTTTTTCAGATGTGTGAGAACAAGAAGGTTTTTCCATGTTTTATATATATTATGATTTTTTTTTCCTAAATTCATTTTAAGCGCGCTATTTACTTACGTTAAAACATTTTTCATGAATATACATTGGTATAGGTAGATGTATATATTTTGAAACAATATAAATTTCCATTTAATATCAATAAAATATGAAAGTTGTTTTAAGAACTGCGAAACTCTTCTCTACCTTAGTGACATGAAGTTTTTCATTTTAATATTTAGCTATAGCATGCAAAATTGCGAAGACGAGAAGCATAGGTCTGATTCTATAAGTATGCCACAAAGCCAATGAAAAAATTTATACATTTCTGACTTTCGTATTGCTTCGTGTCATGTTAAACTTTATACACGTAGGTATACATTTCATCATAATTTAAATTTTTTCATATTTTTGTCATGCCCTTGAGACATTGTGAACGTTAAACAGTCAGCTATGCCAACCGAAGTCATATGTTCATGCTTAACTTTCAAGTTTTCATTATTAGTTCGAATAAAACTTTTTCTGTTTGTAATAAAAGTTGAGAAGTCAAAGAATTTCAGAATTTTAAAATGTCAAAAGAGCACTTTAGTTCTTAAGTATCTTTTAAAAGCTCAACAATGCCAAGTATCAGAGGGTTGTGAAAGCTATTCATTTTTAAACAAGTTTTATTTTATATAGAAAACCAATGTATTAGCAACTACTTTTCACATTGCTGTTGTTATAAACATTATATTCAAACTTAATGAAAAGATTACCTAGCTGAATAAAAAATGTTCAATTTTAAGCCTTATTAAGTCCAAAACACAAGTTTGCCATTAACATTTTATATCTTATGTTCTTTTAGAATTGTTTCTGAAAATATCGGGGCATGAGGAAAAAATCTAGGCATGTGTAAACATAAATCATCATCATCTTCATCAGGTTTGGAGGGTCTCAGATTGTTTTTGCTGAATTAAGTTGAGTTCGGGATAGAATTTCTCTCATGAGTTATCTAAATATGAATTTTTGAAAACACATATTAAGAGAAGCGGGAAAATAGAATAACAATTACTGAAGTTATTAATTAGAAATACCGTAGAAAATACCTCCAAACAACGAACGCAACCACTAACATGTTCATAAATATAAAATTTTTTATAAAGAAAATTTTCCCTACATAATTTTTTATGCTTCCAGATAAGCAAAAATGATGAAAATTAATGTTCAGCCATTGTAAAGTAATAGAAGTTTGAAAACAAATAAAGTATATAAGTTTATCCTTATATACTTTCCACTTTTCAAATTCAATTTTCATATCAGAATTAACGTAGATAAATCAGTATTTACCACAATTCGGAATAGGATTAAATTTTCTTGAAATTAGATACTTGATGAATCTTACTTAGATATTCAGCAAGATTTGAAAAGATAACAATTCATCGAATTATTCAACGAATAATTCTCGGGAATCAATTCCCCAGAATCTACTTAATATCTTTCATCTCCTCTGAATTTGCATATTTTTTTAGTCATTTAAACGAGGCCTTGATAAAGCAATAGCATAAATAAATATGAGATGTGGCAACCAATTTGAGTGGGGTTCAATAATTTATTGCTTCATATAAAGCGTCCGATCCAATGCAAACATATTGATTTTATATTCGTTTCGATAGCGCACCACAAAATGCAGAACGATCCAAATAAAATCTATGGAAGGAGATAAGATTAGAAGAGAAGTTTAGCGAAGCGAAAATTTCTGTGCTAAATGTTTTATGTGATGTGTTGGTATCGAGTGTGTTACAATTCATGCAGAAGAAACATGACTGTGGTCAGAATTGTGGCGATATTTTAGATTAACGGAAAACAGAAAGCGTTTGTCACGTATTTTTTGTATCGGAAGAAGGCGAATAATTTTTCATAAAGACATCGTCGTCGTGCACAAATAATCTCAAGAAGAAAAAGGCAAAGACAACTTGTTCGGAAATATTTTCATTTCTTATTGCCATTGCAAGAGATTGACGTTATTTGTGTATTGCATTTTCCAGACGACGTTGAAAGATTTAATATTCATCACAATGATTAATGAAAAAGTAAGAAAAGAATCGAATTGATCTCTGGAATGAAAGGAAACTCTAAAATCAACTTTCCAAATGATCCAGAAATTCACTTTAGGGATTGTCTCACATTTCTTTTGTATAAATATTTATATAGATTAAAGTAAAGTGATATTGACGGATAGATTTAAAGGTTCGTTACAATTTTAAGTACTTTTTTGACTACCCCATTTAATCTTCCAATTCACATACAAACAGAAAAAAAAATCTCATGAAAACGAATAAAAGTTAGCATTTAAAATAGTTTTTCCCCATGGGGGTTTCCCAGTATTTTCCTACTTAAACAACTTAGGTATAAAATAAAGAAAGAAAAAAATTGAATGTTGAATATTTTATCAAACTTGATTTCGGGTTACCTTTTGAATTAGCTTTTTAAGCAAGATATTTCAACTACATATTAGGGAAATAGCCATTTCAGGATTTCCCTCATGTCTATTGCAATTTTCCAATGTATTCATACTCAACCATCAATTTCGTGCCCTTTGATTCTTTCTATTCATTCATCACCAACATGAATTTAAAAGTACTTACCACGGATTGTTGTCATGTTAAGTAGACGATAATCAATCAAACCACATTTCACTTTTGAGGTGACATTCTGTTAAACTTCAGACGTAGTTTCAGCCAAAGGAAGTTTTACGTAACCAAAAAGCCCATATTTGAAATTCAACAAACAGTTTATTGTTTATCGATTTCTTATCATTTGCTAGATTCTCAAATGAAAACATAAGAAATTGCACTATTGCTTTTAAATATGAACATATCAAAACATGGTTTAACTACCTAGAACTGACATCATTACGTTCAAGTTATTTTCTAAAATTATAGGATCCAACGATAGCTTTTGCGGCAGCGATAGTCGCCGTTCTTGAATATTACAAGAAGCCGGTTATAAAATTGTTGTTTTAAAAATCATGAATTTGTTTATTACTTCATAAATTTGCGAACAATCAAATCAAACCTACATTCTGTTTTAAATAACAAAACTAGGCTTAAAAACATTTTAAAAATTTATCCCTCCATTTATTTTTCTATTTTATTGTTATCTACAATTTATTTATAAGATAATAGTTTCTGCTTTTGCTAACTCTCAAATAAAGACCTGTTTTTGTTTTGGGTTTATTTTAATTTAGGTCGGCAATATATTTTATTAAATTTATTTACAATAAAGTTAAAGTATCTCCGCTAATTATTGCAGTCGTGCTAATAAATCTTTAGATAATGGGTGGAAAATAAAATTTTCTTTTTTTTATAAACGCTTTCGTGTAAGATATGCATGTTTGTGTTTATGCATAAGAACAAGCATATGGCTTCATCTACCAACATTGTTGCATAAAATTATTGATTTTATCCTAACATCTTTAAAAATACAAAAAGCATTCTCATGTTCAAAAAATGTAAGATTAAGGACATAATTTGTGTTTATGTATTAGACGCCATTCTTGTGGAAATGTTTTACAAACTTATTATTTAACATGATTAATATATTTTAGTGACAAAAATGATGTGTACTCAACCATAAGTTTGTAGTAGAGAAGTGTTAAATATCGTATTATTATTCAAATAAGCATCTTGATCTAATTAATCATGTCTCAAAATGAATTAAACTTTCATTTGAAAACACATCAAATTCCTAAAGCATTCCTCTTAAATGAGTACTAAATTATAGAAAAATACAATTAAATGTGGACACAATGTTTACCTCTGTATAATTATAATCCAATCATAAATTATCTTCTTCCAACAAAAGATATCTTTTATAACTTGTTCATTGCTTAATTTAAGGGAAAGAGAAGTCATCTAGATAGTTGGCTGTTATAGAACAAGGAGTTTTCTTACAATCTTTGTAATCTTTATGTATGCATTAAAATGTTGTTACATGTTGCTTACAATTAACAGAAGAAGTCAGTCGAGTAAACAGAAATTTTATGAGTCTTCTTGGGCTTTGAGAAAAGCTCAAATAAACAACTTAAACCTGACGTATAAAATAAATGAGAACATTTAAAATAAATGTTGCAGTTTGAACTAAAGCTGTACATAAATATGAAGTAGTAAGAGAGTATCACATAATAATAATTATTTTATGTGTAAAAATTTCAAGAAATTTAAAAACATATCATTTTTAACGTCTTTTGTATATTTGAAATTGCAGCGAATTCAAAAATGAATTTTTTAAATACGTTATACATTAAAGCGAATTCGGAATAAACTATCAAGCTTTATTACATTTTCTACTTTATTTATTTTCAGATGCCAAAATAGAGTATAGTAAAGATAATGTCGAATCCTAGTGGAACAACAGGTAGACCCAACCGTGCTGAATCATCATCATCAAGTCATATGAAAAGACAACGTTCTGTAGAGTGGCAACATGAGCATAATTACAGCAGCAGTGAAGAAGAAAATGATCGGATTGTTGGTCGCATAAACGGTGAAACCAACATTAATCAACATAGAAATAGTTCCAATCCATCACCATCAAGGGATTCATCATCTGTTCTTGCACAGCTTATTGCTCAAACCAAACAACTTTCATCAAGTGAGTTTTGACATTATTACTTAATAAATTATCAGATCTGACTCCATATTCCATGAATTTGTTCTTGATTGGGTGCTTATATATCTTTATCTGTGTATATTCAATCTTTCATTGAAATGAGCTGCGTACCCCAAATTGTTATTATCTCCAGTGATAATGTTGTGAGCCGTGAAGTAAACGATTTACTAGATATGTTCCGATAATCAGTAGCATATTTATGTGTTCAAGTATTTTTCATATAAAAGTGTAATCTACATTATTATTTTATTCAGATTGAACATTGTGATTTAGAAATGATTTATTAATAACATAGATAACAAGTTATCTTGATTATTTGATTGCATACACTATAAAAAAACAATTGTTTGAATTATCTGAAGTTTTTGATTAAATTTAACGAAATGAATGACAATATAAAGTGGACATAAATTATATTAAACATGAAAAAAAATTACACTTCCGTTTTAAATGAGAACTTTCTCATGTCGACTTTGACATCTTCATTAATTTCTGTGACTCCAGGTGATCAGATAATTAAACGAACATTTTTATATACATATAAAAGTAGCATATGAAGCAGTAAAAAATTGATTTCTACTTAATTAAGTTTTTTTTTAATTCAACAAACTTCAACTTTTAAATTAAAACATTTTTCAAAGTCTTTTCTCAAACCACATTAAAGGCAGCAATTAATTTATTCATTTCATGCTGAAAGTTTTTACTTTAGCGGTATTTATTTTATCATATTTCCCTTGACTATCCGTAAAATTTCTATATCTATTCAAATACGATTTGTTTTTGAATTGTCACCTAAATTTTTTTGTTGATGATGAAAAACACTTCCAGCTTTTCATTTTACTTGTAAAACAGTTAAATTGTATCCATAAAATAGAGTTTTATTCCTTTCACACGGTTTTTATGGAAATGGATGGAAAATAAATTTAAGAATCACCATCACTAGATATTAAATATTTATGCTACTGCTGATAAAAGTCTAGTTTGAATTCACGTAATATTTATTATTTCTCTTTGTTTTATTACCCATTGTAGATTCTGAGAGGTCTTATCGGTCTGATTGCGATACTGATGATGGCATCAGCGTTGCAAACGACTGTGAAAACTTGGGTATAAACAGCACAAATCAACTCGCGAAATCAATAAAAAATCGTTCATCATCTGGTAGACGACAAACATCCCAATACCCTAACGAAAACACCAGTCGACGAATTCAACAATACAGCACTGCACAAGAGCGGCTACGTAATGGTGAGACCTAATAATATAATTACTAACTTTTTAAATTTATTTTAGCTTTTATGTCATGTCGCTCATGTCATATATCTTATCCCCGTTGGATAGCTACGAACGTTAATTCTTTTTTTGTGTCAAACTTTAACTTAGTTATGCATGAATGCATAAACTAAAAAGTTGAACAATAGGAAAAATCAAGACACTAAATTAAAAAAAAATTAATTAACACTTTTAACATTAGATAAAAATTTTATGAACTTTGTTTTATATTTTATCTAAATTAAAATTGTACAAAAAAGCACTAAAAATTTTCCATCGATGGTTAATAAGAAGGACAAAAGTACCATATAGCGGGCTTCCGTCCCATTCTCTCAAGCCGCTCGATGCTTTTCTGTGCTGTGTAACCCATACGCGATTTCATAACTTCAAAACTATCCGGTTCACTATCGTTAGGATTTGTGTAGTGCTTGATGCTTCTGAAGGGAAATTTTTCATCATTTCGAACCGCTTTAGTGAGCGGAAAGCACAAGTTATTATCCATAATTTCTCACAACAATGATGAAACACGTCTAACTGCTTTCTGTTACATCTAAAATATTTATGATACGAACAGAGTTCTTTGTTTGTTTCCTTTGGTTTTATCAAGTTTCTGATAAAAAGATTTATTTAACTTGCGGTTTTGCGTTTCATGAGATAAGTTAAAAGATACCAAGATAAGCGAAATGTGCTTCGATACTTTGAAATTTTTTGAAAGATTCTTATGTTTTCATTATTTAGATAAATATACAAATATGTACAAAGTTTTTTTTTAACAAATCTTTTTCTTTTTCTTGGTTCGATATCAAAAAATTCTCAATTTTGATACTATTTAAGTGGGGTCTTAAAAGCAATTCTCAATCCAATTTAGCTATTATTAAATTTTCCATGGAAGGTTTAAGTTGAGAAAATCCAATTCTTTTACCCTTTTTTCTTAAGAAAATTTTTATGGCTGCTTTTACTTAAGTAAAAGTGGATTTTTGATCTTTTTCTTTTATCTATTCCTTTCATCAGGAGATTCAATCTTTACCGCCGGTAAGCCAGCAATCCTTGCCAACAATACACTGATTCGTGGTAGTACAGCTTTAAACAATCGTCGTCCAATAACGTCTTCAAATAGTACAATTTCGTCGCAGAGCACAAATAATGAAACCGGACGGGGTGATCGAAAAGATAAAACATCAACGATTCACCAGCAACTTTATTCAATGGATTCAGGTAGGGATGAAAATATTTTTGTCTTTATTTCAAAGCATAAATTCCATCGTCCCAAACACTCATTCATTCATCCATTCATTCATTCAGTTTCGTCATTTATTTATATAAAAGAAGAAATTTAATTAAATAATTTATTATCTGCATCATTCATTATTATTTAATCATTTGATATCTATCATCAGTCTATTTATTCCAAGGGATGATAATTATTAAAAAAGCTTTCAATGACTTTTTCAATATTTGTTAAAAAGAAGATAAACTTTCTTGTCATCTTCGGGTTGCTTTCATCGATCATTCATTCGATCATCAATCTACTCTCACTCATTCATTCATTTTTCGCGTAACTCTTTGTGCAGTTCATTATTCTTCATTGTTTAACCATCTGAGAGCTAGTTGCGTGCGTGGGAGTGATAGCGGCGTATGCATGTTAAATTAAACTCTTTTTTTTTAACCATCTCATGTACACATGTTGTCGTGTACACGCATCAATCAAAACATGAAAGTGTGAGATATAATCATTCTTCATGCTAAACAGCATGTTAATTGTCGAATTAAAATGTTATGTCTGTTGAAAAGTGGGTAAATGGAGAACTCTCAGATGTGTCTTTGTTGTCGTTCACTTTTTCACTCGTACTCGTTTGTTTCAAATTTTGAGAAATCATTTTTCAAAGCTTCCCCTCTTTATTTTTGCTTTCACCATTAACCACCAACACGTAATGAAAATGCTAACATATGAAATCAGATATAGACTCTGAGCCGCCTCCTGAGCCAGCCCCACCTGAAATGTTGCCCCCGTCGCATCGGGATATATCCATGGCAAGCATTAATGCAATAACAATCAAGAAACCTTCCAACTTTGTACTAAAAATTGACAAGAATGGTGACCAAATACATGAAGAGTTCATTCCAAAAGGCCACAACGGTAAGTTCTTCTCACATTTCATGGATGGGCAGTTTTCCTGCCCGTACTCATCCCTTTCCCCTTTTCTCTGCACACCAACCGATAAAAAAGATTTTTCTTGATGATGCAGCAAGCCGTCACAAGCAATAACCATTCTCATATGAGAGTGGGATGAATTCGTAGAGTATCCCGCTCATTTCTTTCTTGTGACGTTCTTTTATGTGCTGAATGTGTCGGCATTTGCGAGATTATTTTCTTTCTTTGAGCGCTGTTTTCTCTATTATCTCTTCTTTCCCGTCCCTATCAACCTATAACCATTTCCCACCTCCCTTCTGTCTCCTTTTATGTTGTAAACGTTCTGATTGTCCTTTAAATGTCTTCTTTTATATTACATTACACTTCTTCCTTCCATGTTTTCTCTTTCATTGTCACAGCGAGATTCGTAGGTTTCTTATTCTTGTACTTCTTTTGAACATCGAGTTCAGTTTATGGCAAAGTCTTTTTAAGCTTCCTCTCGTTCTCGTGAAAAGGTTGTATGTACAAGAGAAAAAGCAACAACATACACATTTTCACACATTGTGACATTTTCGATAAGTTTTATTATTTTAAAACTTAAATTAGAATTTCAACGGGTCGGGTTTGTTGAATAAACATAAACTCATTTTGTCGTAAATCTAAGATGTTTTCTTCATCATCTTCTTCTTCTCCCTCTCTGTTTTCTTTGGAAACTTTGACTATTTTTCTTGGGAAGAAGATAAAAGAAAATTTCAAAAGAGTTTATTTTGATTTACAATCAATAAAAAAATTATGATTCTCATAACGTTTGACTGTTAAATGCTTCTCCATTTTTTAAGCTTTGGGTTAACGACTCATGTTGTTCCCATTAAATGTTTTCTTATTTCCAACCGAAAATAAACTGTTATTGTCATAACACTTTCAGAGTATATGATTGCTGGTCATAATGCTGGATATTCAACGACAAGATCAATGGCCAATGGGGTTCAAGATTCAAGGCAAGTACAGAATATTTTGTAAACTTTTTCTTTCTCTCCATATTTGTAAATAAGTTTGATGTTAATATTTGTCATCGAACGACAACAGAAGCAATAACCAAAGCTTCAAGCTAAGAAAAAGATGTGAAAATTATTCAGCACATCTAACATGAAAGTTTGCTCCACTAAGGATGCATAAAATCTCAAATTTTATGTCATGAAAGCATATCGAACAGCATGCAGCATAAAAACTTTTGCAATGTTTAATGTTTCTTTTTTTCTCATCACCTACATATACAAAAGAGCGCATGTTGTTTCGATATGCACGAGTTTCATGAAAAATGAAAAATAAAACAACTCTCGTGAGACTCGTGATACTGCGCATATGCAAGGTGTGAATACGATACGAAGAAGAAAAGCGAAGCAGCATCGTTTGATGGAAAAAAGGAAAGAAAAGAAAATTTTATCAATATTTCACATTCAGTGTTTCACTGGCATTACTCGTGGTAGACCAGAAGCTAACTCTGCTTTTCGAGTTTTAAAATTATTTTATCAGAAGGAAAAGTGTTGTAATTTCACGACTTTTCTGCCAAAAAAAAATTGAAAATTTATATTACATAATCATTCGGAAAAGAAATATGAAGAAAAGTTTGTTATTTATGTTGAAGAAAATGTGCATATAAGTAGAGGAATTCAAAGAACATCGGCACAAATTGTGTCGAAATATCTTGAAGGAATTTTAAGAGGAAAACTAAATTTCCGTTTTCCTTTTTTTTTATCCTCCACCATTACACTACATACAACAGTGAGTGGAATAACGATGAAAAAAAAGATGGAATCTGCGCCTTGTATTCAAACGCAATTAAATTGAATATGAAACAGGACATGAGAAGCTTTTGCTTCCTGTCATTCTCTCTCATCATATCTGCTATTCGGTCGATGAGCGAGTGAAATAACACTAGTGTTGAATTAAAATTGATATGAAGTGGTAGACAATCGCGGAAAAAGGCTATTATAAAATTAAAAAATAAATATTGAAGAGATAAAAAAGAAAAACAAAAGGGCAGGAAATAACATAACAGAAGGAACAAATGTAAAAGATAAATATCTGTTGGTGAAAGGTGGAGGAAGTCAAAAAAAGTTATTTGTCATCTGAATAAATAAATAGTTTACCATTCAGAACTTTTGAATACACAAACCAGATCGTAAAAAAAGAATTATCGTCGTCTATCATTCAACGCAACATTGTGAACATTCTCAAATTTCATTTTAATTAAAAGTAAAGTATTTGCAGAAGCTTAATTCGATGACGCTTAGCGTTTAGCATAACAAGATGTGATGTGAAAAGGGAAAAGTTTGAACAAAAAAAATCAGAAGCTATTCATCCCATTGAGATTCGTGGACTATCTGAATGAACAAAAAATAAAAGTTCAGAAGACAAAGTTTGGTGTGTGAAAATTAAAACGCGACGAAGCAAAAATTCCTCAAATATTTAGCTCAAGTTAACTTTTCATGATCAGTACCGAGAAGAATTTAAAGCGGTTGAAAGTTAAAATCCTTTTGAATCACTGACAAACAACTTTTTTTCTTCTTTTTTGAATATAACTAAAGAAAAACTTGTTCCACTTCGTTATTTTTGCTTTGTTGGATAATGAATCCGCAATAGAAGTTTGAACAAAAAACAAAGTTGAAAAGAGAAAAGTTTTTCTAATAAAGCAAAGTGATCAATAATCTTGTTATATATTTCGCGCGGATATTTCTTGTCTCAAAGTTTTTTGGAAGAGGAAGAGACAAGCTGTAAAGAATAATAATTATGGATTATAGAGGCGATTATAGAGACGATAATCATTCGAGATACTCTGTACCATCGACGATTTCTCGTCGTCTTCCTAGCAATGTTTACGATATTCCCATGGAGAAGAGCGTCTCTAGGTAATAACCTTTCTAAGCCCCTTTAAAATGCTTTTAAGTTTCTCCTTCCTTTCCACTTGAAAAATGTCGACTTTAAATTTAATTTTGAAAAATAAAGTTTTCATTTCTTGAGGGCTGACAAAGCGAAGAGACGCAGAGACATGGAATTAATTTTTTGTTTTATTTTATTTTTCTTCCCATCTCATCTCTTGTCTCGAAGCTTCTTCTGCTGTTAATAGGGAAAAGCAATTATTTTGAAATTAAATAAAATAAATATGTACACAAAAGGTTTTCACTCACGATCTGCCTTGTAGATACTTAGTTAAAAAACAAAGTGAAGCAACGTAGAAGAAAAATGAAAATAAATGCTTGTGTATACTTTGGAGAAAGTTATTGCCATTTTAATGAAATTTTCCAATATTTTCCTTTTTTCTGTGCCTTTAACATTGCTTTGCGTCTTTCCTTCTTGTTGAACAAATAAATAAATGGGCAAAACGCTATCGAAAAACATTTTTCATTGGTATCGATTGGGATCGAAAAAAAAATACGAGAGAAAGAAAGAAAAAAATATAAATTCCATAAACAACATAATATCTAGTGGAAGATAACTAAATGACCGTTTTGTACGACATTACGTTTCAGGATGAATGTTACGATGCAAGGTGGACAAGCGCTTGCGGGTATGCAGAGCACACAAAACAGTCACATGAGTGGTTCGTCCCAATTAATGGTGCCTGGCTTTCCACTTAAAAACTCTCAACCTTATTCACCTTCGAGGTAGGTGTAACAGTTTCCAAAAAGTATTTTTTGCATTTCTCTATCTGAACATTTCCCACTTTCCTCCCTCCCCCTCAAACAAATCAACAATGAACACGTAAATGAGTAATTTTTATTTAATTTTCATCGTGTTCATTGTGCTATTTGTGTTCTCCTGTCCCCTTAACTAGTCCCAAATCTTGTCATCTCCCACAGCACCACAGGAATTTTAAGCCGAAACCAAAAACTATTATTTGGTGATTTTCAGCTCGCTGGAGAGTTCAAAAACATTATCTGCAATGGTGAAATATAATTTGTGCTATATACGCTATGCTCGTTTCAGTTTTAGTCCTCTTAACAAATATATCTATATTTAAATGCTGTTATTAAGGTTTTTAGTAGAAGAGTTTAGTTTTACCTCTCGTTGGTAAATTTTAAATACGTTTCGTAAAGTTTGATAGGGCAACGAGTCAGAAGAACATTAAATATATGTACGTAGATATGCGATATTTAATACTTTCATTGAAGTGAAAAGTTATTGTTAAAGAATGGGGAGGAAAAGAAATAAAGATTCAAGATATGCAATGTTTTATGCTTATGCAGATTTTAGCAAATATTAAATGTTTTGTGTCTCTAAATATTTGTATGACGAAGCTTTCATAAATTTATCAAAAGAAATTCAGTCATAATAAATTATTTAGGAAATTTCCTTATCGATTTTTTCCGATATTATTCCAAACGTTATTTCCAAATCCAGAAAAAAACATCAACTTTTATGTTAATCACGTGCAGGAGAAAAAAAATTGCTTTACGACACCTTTCTCGGTGCTGTTTTTTGTTGTTGCTGTTGATGTTGTTGTTGTTGAACATTGACAGAATTCAAAGAAAATTCAAATTATTCACATTTCGTACAAGATATTAGAATTTTCTTGAACATATACCTATACTTATGCTTATAAATAAATATATCTAGACATTCCAACGTCTTTTCTCGTCTTGTTCGTATTTTTTTCCTTCTTCTACTTTCACGATTTGCATTAAAATAGAACATTTCACCAACCACTCCTTTTCCAACACAACCCGATAAAAGTGAGAGAAATAAGCTCCCACAAAAGTTTTCTTTATTTTTTTTCCCTTAAAAGATGTGTAAGATGACGTTTATTCTCATTCTTTATTCATCCTAATTAAATAATTTTCTTCTTTCTGTTTCATTTTTTCTTGTCACTTTTTTTTCTTCTTCTTTTCCTTCACAGATTTAATTTAGATAAACGATTCGAGTACAAGTGCTCATGGAAAATATTTAGCATTGCCTTAATATTCTTAAGTGTAATTCTTTCGGTACTGCTGGTATATTTTGCAAGTGAGTTTCATGCTTAATTGATTATGTTGAAATGGACACTTTTCATGAATAAATTTTAGAGTATAAAGCGATAAGTAATAAAGACTTAATTAAGTACCTAATTTTGCTTGAAGCCATTTCCTTGTAAGAAAATGAAAAAGGAAACGAAAAAAACTGTTCACAAGATCAAAATCGAATTTTTCTCTCCCGCTTTTCTTCTTTTTTTTTCTTTATGAAGTGTCGAATCACGTTACGCAATATATAAGTAGAAGAAAAAAAAAAAATCGGAGAATTTTATTCCAGCTTTCTCATTATTGTATCATCTTGTTCCATTTTCTTTTCCTTTTCCGCATGAAAAAATATTACAACAGCAGTCAGTTCAATAAAACCAAACGTCGATCCATCAAACTGTATTCTCGTCCAAGATGTAAAATCATCACAAACTCTAGCCAATTCCCAAAATCATCTCCGTTCTGATGGAGGCGGAAATAGTTTAAGTTCAACAGGAATGCTGAGTCAGCATTCAACAACGACTGAAGATTCGCTTCATTCAACATCAGATAACGGAGTCGGAAGGACGTTTCAACCAAACATGGACCAACAACAACAACTTCAAATTCACATTCAACCTTCAATCACCGAACTAAAGGAGTTCAACGTTCTTCATCACTCGACAATTCCACCTTTTCAGTTCTGGAATATCGAGTTTCGTAACAAACATCCCGCTTTTATCTTGTTCAATTTAACTCTACCATGGGGCGCCAATTTTGCTGTTTACGGAAGACGAAATGTTCTGCCCAGCATAACTCAGTATGACTTTGCAGAATTCTTCAAGCGTGAACGTTTGGATCACAATCGTTTGCGACGAAAACGAGATGTAGTTGATGACATAATGAGGCATTACGAGCGAACTCACGAGATGTTGGCTGATGGGCATCGCAATCATGACAATAAAATGGTAAATCACAATAAAAACACAAACGTGAGGGTCGACAATGAAATGACGTCTTTTGATGAACATCAAAAGGAAAACATTCCAAAGCAGACGATGTTGGAAGCTTCAGCTTTTCTCCATCTTTCGCTTGATGATGCACATATTATTTCAAAGAGATCTGCAGATGAACCAAAGCTTGACATTGACTCGGTCAAAGTAAATGTAACAGTTTTGGAGTATCTTGATGTTGGTCGTTGGTTCTTAGCGATTTATAATGACGAGCTTGTAGCCCATACGGTACAATTGATTGTGAGTGAAGCTGAAGGTGTCAGTAATACTTGTCCCAATGACTGCACTGGTCATGGCTCATGTTATCTAGGAAAGTGTGACTGCATTGATGGATATCAAGGTTTAGATTGTTCCAAAAGTGTTTGTCCGGTTTTATGTTCAGCTCATGGACATTATGGTGGTGGAGTTTGTCATTGTGAAGACGGTTGGAAGGGTTCGGAATGTGATATTCCAATAACAGAATGTGAAATGGCAACATGTTCAAGTCATGGTCGATGCATTGAAGGCGAATGTCAATGTGACAAAGGTTGGAAGGGCCCGTTCTGTGACCAAGGTTGGTTCATATATCATAATAATTGTTAGTTTTAATTAATTTTAATATTCTCCTTTCAACAGTTGATTGTCACGATCCAACATGTTCGAGTCATGGAAGTTGCGTTTCTGGTCAATGCTTTTGCAAAGCTGGATGGCAAGGTGAAGATTGTGGAACTCGTGATCAGCAAGTCTATCAATGTTTGCCAAGTTGTTCGGATCATGGACATTATGATCTTGAAACTGCTGCATGCATATGTGACCACCATTGGACGGGTCATGATTGTTCTCAGGCACTTTGCAGTTTAGATTGTGGACAGAATGGAATTTGCGAGTCATCTAAATGCCGATGTCATCCTGGTTGGACTGGCGCATTATGTGAACAATTGACATGCGATCAACGTTGTATGACCCATGGCCAATGTAAAAATGGAACTTGTGTGTGCTCACAAGGATGGAATGGAAAATACTGCACACTTCGTAAGTTTCTTTTATTTATGTCGATGTATCACAATAGAAACTTTTCACAGACTTTAAGCCAATAATCCTCATATTTAAAATTCAAATAGAATTGCCAGTAAAACTTTCAAATTGAAAGTTGAATTTTAAGCAACATAAATGGAAGAAGGACAATGAGTAGAAAAAAAGAATCATTCAATTATAATCCAACTCCTATCTATTGTCAATCATTCCGCTGTTATTGTGCTGAGCTATTGTTGGCTGAGGATGAAGAAGAGATTAATGAACTGGATTTTTATTGAATGTGCGATGTGCTATTTTTTATTTCAACAGCCGGCTGCGAGAACGGGTGTTCAAGGCATGGCCAATGTACATTGGAAGATGGAGAATATCATTGTAATTGCATTGAAGGATGGGCAGGTTCTGACTGTTCCATTCCACTGGAGATGATTTGTGATGATGGAGTTGATAATGATGAAGGTAAGAGAAGAGAATTTTGAACGAGAAAATGAAAAAAATCAATATTATAAAATATTACGCGCCTTTCAAACTCGACGGAATAAATATTTATGAAGAAAAAATTGAAATTAAATTTGGTATTAATCTATTAAATCCATTCAGATGGAATGATTGATTGCTCTGATAGCGAATGCTGTTCGCATACTGTTTGCACTGAACACATAATGTGCCTGTCATCAAACGAGCCAGTGGATGTTTTACTACGAAAGCAACCGCCATCCGTGACTGCATCATTCTTTCAGCGAGTTAAGTTCTTAATTGAAGAAAACAGCGTGCAATCGTACGCTCATAAAGATGAATATAGTGAAAGGTGAGTGAAACATTGAAAGTTTTGAATTATAAACTGTGAAATAATTTTTTAATTACGCTTTGCTGTAAACAATAAAGCATCACAATCGAAAGAGAAACGGAAGAAAACTCTTCTAGGTCTCTCTATAATCTATGCATGGCTGTAGGAACTGCACAATGATCTCAACAGTTTCCATTTCTCTTTTTCCTTTTTTTCACATCAAATTCATTGACTTAATGTTTCGGAATTCTGAAAGAATCTCGACATTAAATTTGAATACTTACACAAAGAGAAATGAAATTAATTGGAATCCACCGTGCAGAAACCTCGCCAGCTTTTCCCCTCTCTTTCTCTCTCTCTCTCTCGCTCTGTTTCTTTTCCTCACTCTTCATTTTTTTTCCATCGTCGGAAAAGCAGGAATTTTTTTATTTATTATTTATTAATATGGGAAAAGTCAGGAAAAGCAATGAAATTTTCAAATAAATTTATTTTTGATAGCAAGTGAAATAAATAAAACCCAAATATGTATTATGTACGAGTCCCATGAGGATAATATGTTGAATCAAATTAAATTTATAATTTAAGGTAGAAATTTCAATACATGTTTCAGAAAGTTTCATAAAGTTTTCTTTTTCTCTATTCTTTAAAATGATTTTTTATTCCTCTTGCTTTCTCGACTTTTCTTATTATTCTTCTCTCCATAGAAAATAATTTGAAAACAAAAAAAAAAATGGAAAAAAAAGTTTTAAGTTGAATCATTTCATCAAAAAAGATTTATTTTTCTTTTTGCGTTTTATTTCATTTTTATTTCTTTTTTGAGTTTTGAAATTTCCCCCCGAAAGTGAAAGAGAATGCTTTTGAATCTGTGGCGACGAAGAATTATTGTATCTTCGCTTGAATAAGAGATTGAATTTGGAAATTGTATTAATACCTAAATATTAAATGATAAGTTATTTAAAGCACAAAATTAAATATAGAAATTAGGCATTCGAATAAGTAATTTAGCTTTATCCAGTAGAGTAAACAAAACTATTTAATATTTAATGAAAGTATCTTCAAACTTTACGAATACAATTTCCAACTTCTCTGCTCTAATTCTATTCGCCGAGATTCATTTGAAGCTAGGCCTCTTCTATCTCGGGTGTTGTGTTTGTCTAATGTTGAAACCCATATATGTTTACACAAATTTCTTCAAGATATCATAAATATATCTATATATTTATATAAATATATTATGAATAGATCCAGTCGTTGCTATGATGATAAAGTAAAAAGAAAAAAAAAACATCATATCATATTTATTTCAAATATCAGATTCTTATGTGTAATGAAAAAGCTCATTTCGCGTACTCAAACTTTTCTTTTTCTTCTTCATATCTACTCATCTCCGACTTTCTCATCAATTCCTTCACTTTTTTTTGTCTTCATTTCTCATTTTTTTCTTCTAATCAATATTTCATTGCCTCGTTTCTTTATTCTTCCTTCTATCGACGCTGTTCCTGAATGAACAGATGAAAAAAAATCTACTTTTATCACTGAACGCTATGATTTTTCTCACTCTTCTTATGTTACTCACCTCGCTTCTTCTTCTGCATCACATCACCATAAATTGAAAATTTTTCTTATGTAAAGTTCTTTTCGTTCTTATTTTTCATACATGCATGTACATATTCTTATATATGTACATATGTAGATACATAAGAAAGGAACAAAAGGGGATAAGTTATGTATGTTAGAGCGAAAGCTTTGGTTCTTTTCAAAAAAGAAATATTAGTTATTCACTAAGTATGTACTGGAATAAAGATATGTATGACTTCTTTATTTGTGACTTGGAGCTTTTGAATGACTCGTGAGCTCGAGCAGTATCCATAGCCTCAAGTTTTATTAGAACATTACTTATATATTTTACATAAGTGTCTCAATTCTTCAGAAAAGATTTCTGTACATCATGTTTCAAATTTCCATCTTTACTTACTTTAAGAAGATGTGAAAATAACTGAAATTTTTTCGTTTATAGATATAAAATAATGAAATTTGATAAATAAATGTCCTCCATTTTCATGGAAATCTTGAAAAGAAAATATTTACATTGACGATAAATTTATATTTTCCTTCATTTATGTTCTCTAAATAAGGCAACGAAAGAAAGAAAAACGCATATAACTCAAAACATCAAAAGTTGTAAAGTAAGAGTGGCGAGCAAATTTCGCTTTTGCAAGCTCAAAGAAGGAAAAAAATGAGGCAATTTCATGTGAGAATTCTTTATTTCCAAAACGGAAGAAGAAAAAAAAATCAGATTTCCATGTAAAATATGTATGCTTGCTTGGCTTAAATGAAAGATGCCCAAGTTTTATTTAG